ACACCTTTTCCGCCCCCTACTTGCACGCTCTTTTTAACCGCTTCTTCGAATTAATTATTCTGAAACAAGCCACCCCAAAATATTCCAACCCCCCCCCCCCCCCCCCCCCCTCACGATCGTTCTAGACGTTGCGCCCTGTCGCGCCGCAGACCTCCCACGGTATTCCCGTCGTTTAACATCAACAGCCCACGAAAAGCCCACGAAAAAAAGAGGCATCCACTCACTCACACGCCGGCGCCTCTTCCCAGTAAAAAAAGGCGACTTACACACCTGCAGCCCTTATTCCTATTACCTTGCGCCGCCTCTCCCACCGGGTCGTTTCGGGTAGATCTTTCAAAGTTCGCATGCTCCCACTCACCCAATAATCAAATTCCGTAAAAGGATTCTATTTGAGACCCATTTTGCAAATCCATCGGAATCGCTGTCTTGCGACAGCATCTGTTTGAGTCTTTTCCAGATGTTTCGCCAGAGGTAAGTCTTGTGCTCGATGCCGGGTCCCTTACTATGACCAGCCCTTGCATGTGTCTAGCAGGCAACGTGGAAATCATATGGTTCCCCCCCTTGGTGCCTTATATTTTTATCTATATGCGACAAGCCTTTGTCCTCGCTCCACTATGCTAACTGTGCACGCGCATAATATAGGACAAGTTCACAGAAGCCTGGCGATGAATTGCTTGCCAACTTCCGACAGCAATTTCCCGAGATCACGGCGGTAGCCTCGTCTTCGGCATCGGGAGCGCCAGCGCAAACTACTGTGACTGCTGACAATTCGGTCCTTGTTCCACCGGGACCAGAACAGTATGTTGCGGTTTCGTTCTTTTTAAACTCGCTTTGCTGCCTAGCATTTCTTATTTTGTCGTCTACGATGGCGTCATAAGTTCCCGGTGGTGAGGCCGTGCAAGCGCATTTCAGAGCTTCGAGTTCGAGCGCGGGGTATTCCGCGATCCCCAGTTCGAACACCACTACAACGCTAATACCCAGCGATTCTACTAATAGGGATCGGCGCAACGAAATAAAACTATAGAGCTAACCTAAAACCCTCATTTTAGACACCCAAGTGTAAGCCATGATGTATTTCGAGATCAGGATCCCACGCCGCGGGCTTCAGGCGCGGAGTGGAGGTTCACTCCTTCGTTACTGGATCCCAACTCCTTCTCCTTCAGCACTTTCGCAAACCAACCGCCGGGTTATTACACTCCTACACCCGGTGGGACGAACACGCTTTACCACCCGCAAGCAGGCGACTTGCACACGCCATCAATGGGTTTAGGCATGGGACTCGGCACTCCCCTATCGCTGCCAACTACCGAGGGCGCTATCCAAGCTGGTCCTGCCATGATGGATCTGACCCAATTCCATCAAGGCATACCACCGCCGCATCAATTCCCACAGCCCTTCAATCCATTCATTCAACCAACTCCTCCTCAGCCGACTTTCGCACCTTCGTCATTCGTGCACCAGGACACCGGCTACGAGACGATGGACCACGACGGGTCGCCTCTGGACTCGGATAGCCACGAGGAACACATAGGCTCCATGGATGCGACGTTCCACTCTCAATCACCGCCTAACATGATGGGTTTCCAGCACAGACATTTCGGAGGGGCTATGGCCCATATGCTACCAGCTTCAGCTAACAAATTCCGCTTCCAATCGACGTTAAATGCGCCGACGGCGATGATCAAGCATGCAGACGAGATTCCGGTGACTTATCTTAACAAGGGACAAGCTTACTCATTGTCAGTAGTTGATACCGCAGCTACAATGCCCATCGTACCAGGCACAAAGTATAGGACATTCGTGCGCATATCTTTCGAAGACGACCAACAACGACAAAAACCCGGTGTCTGTTGGAGTTTGTGGAAGGAGGGTCGTGGAACCAACGAAGCGCATCAACGAGGCGGCAAGTTACAAGCGGTCGAGTACGTCGAGGCTGGGCAGCCCGCCGAGGGAGATGACAAGCGAACACGTATCGAGCTAGAGACCGCCTCATTTGATGGATTTTCGGTCGTTTGGACCCCCGGAACGAACGGGGCAGCAGAATGCAGTGTTGCTGTTCGCTTTAACTTCCTCTCAACAGACTTCAGTCACTCCAAGGGCGTTAAGGGAATACCGGTAAGGTTATGTGCTAAGACGACTGCCTTGTCATCGACCGATTCGTCCCCATTGTCAGACCCAGCGTTTGAGATTTGCTACTGTAAAGTCAAGCTGTTTAGAGACCACGGAGCGGAACGAAAACTCTCTAACGATGTTGCTCACGTCAAGAAGACAATTGACAAACTTAAACAACAAATCTCGCAAGCAGAAAGCGGAGCGAAAGACTTTGGGAAGCGCAAACGAGGTGGCGGCTCTCATACTAAGGGGCAAGACCATTCACGCCCAGGAAAAGCCTCCAAACACAAACGAACCTGGTCAATGTCGTCAGCAAGTTCTGCGGGTGGTGGTGGGCGGCCCTCACTCGAAGACGACTTACACTTTAAACTTCAAACACTACAGGATATGTTTACAAGTACTCGACCAGTGAGCATCTTATACCTACGCGGCGACGATTTAGACGATCCGGACCTACACCCAGTCAGCCTCCCCGGGGAGCCCACCGATCTCACCAAGGTCGAGCCAAAAGATACAGCTGCATGGCAAATTAGGAGTGCTCGAAGTTCGGTCGCCGGATCTTCACTCGTATCCCCTTCACCGAGTTCCATGTCCTTACATTCGCAATCAGCCAATCCCTCACAATGGAATGACTTCCGGGGTGGTAGTGGGGAACCTTCAGGGTCCCGAAGGCCCTCTGATATGCCAATAAAGGTCCCCAAAACAGATGACGATGGGAACTTGAGTGGTTGGATAGAAGCGCTAGGCGTCGACCACACGTACAAGCCACCTACCGAGAGACCCATTAAGCCCATCGCTTGCTTCTACGTTGTTCGAAGACATCCTTCCGAGCCAGAAAGACGCGAACTACACCGAGCAGTCTACCTTACCGAGAGAACAATAGCGGAATTCGTTACTCGAGCTTCGGCTAAGTGGGCTATCGATCCCTCCGCCGTCGTACGAGTTATACGTGTTCTCGACAACGGAATGGAAATTCAGGTAGACGACGACGTGATCCGAGCGCTCCCAGAAGGCAAAGACATGGCCCTCGAAGTTGTTGAGGTTGACCGAAGCATACCTCAACCCAAACGGGAATGGGAAATGATGACTGTCGACGCTTCCGAGACTGACAGAGAATCAGCCCATAGTGTTTTCCGCACAACCACGGGCTACGAGCTACGAATTAAATTCTAATTTCCATGGACGATGATGATTTTGATGTGGATCTTCTTTTCTATATTACATTTTTATATTCGAAGATTTTTCTCTAGGGTAGGGAGACGATCTTTTGGAATTGGGTTTGCCGCCACATTTGTTAACGAACATGAATACTTATACCCAACGAATTACCGGCGGATTTTTATTATCATATTTGGCGTTCAAAGGGAGGGACATTAAAAGATACCATTCCCTCCAGGAGCAGCTTTGTTTCTTTCCGTTCCTTCTATTGTGATGGACCGATGCTCGGGATCTTTTAGACTGATGATGCTACATAACCTACATTAGAGAAGATATGGCTTGTATTATCTATATGGGGTCGAGCTCTGTTATGAAGCTCCCTCAAGCACATTTCTTTGGTCATGGAATATACCCAGCTGAATCATATGTAACCTGGTGCTATTAAGTGCTAGGCTTCCCTTTTTTTGTCCCGGATATATTGGAAGGACGACAGGTCAGCTTGGACGGTCCGGAACTATACATGTATCGCATACGAAGTTTACCTCGACGGTTTACAACGTGGAATTTCTTCTTCGACACAATACTATTTCCCCGGCTATAATAATTTTGAGACGAGGGTTTTGTGAGGTTGCGACGGATACAACGCGCGGATGTTCTAATGTGGATGTGGTATCATTGGATTGAGTACCTAGGAATATGGCTATGGTTCTCTTAACCAATGCCTTTGCTAGCTAGTATAACTTACATGTATTGATTGTATTGTATGTATGTACAAGAAATACGAGGAAGTACAATACAAAATCATGCTTTCTTCATATTGAGTTCTCTATTATTATCACCATCACCATTGCTATCACGGTATAGGTAAGTGAATTGTTCTTATTCTATATGTGGATATCCGAGCCCTTCTAGACGCTAGGGTCGGCATATACCTAATTGGGTTTAGTTGGATGACGACGCATTTAATTTCCTGGGACTTATCGCCAATCTGCCTGCGACGGCGATCTCGATCGGGACTATGCTTAATTTCGTGGAATTAACTTAGCTAGGTGTACATTCCGCACATACATAATGATACGTAGGAATGATCAATACATGGAGTAATAATAACGATCATAATAATACTATGTGTACATAGGATTTTCTCACCTTGCCGCGAGCGCCCCTTAAAACAGTCTTTTCATTTAAACGATTTTTAGCAGTACCAAGGCACTACTGAAACTTTAATTGACGGGTCCGCCCCTTACCCATGGTCGCATTGCATTTGGGAGGGCTGAGGCCTAGAACCTTTTTGGGCATTTGGAGAGAGGCTTATTAAGACGTAACGACGAACCATGTCATGCTATTATAAGCTCTATTCTTTCTCTTCCCGTGTGATACAATACATACCCAAGTACCTACTTAAAACATTAATGATATACCGAATTCCCAAAATTTGCGCGGTAAAATAGACGGCATAATTAGCGAGTTATTATCGACGAAAATCTAAAACACCGGCTATTTCACCTTTGATGTGTCTAATAAGTCTAATAGGTAGAAAAGAAGTCGAATGCAATATTCGGTAATGGTGGTATTGTTATGCCTTAAGTGCCGGTACCTAAGATGAAGCGCGAATGGTACCGCACCTAATGAATGTGGTTTATTTACACAAGACGTTTTGACGCATGAATTTAGCTCCCTAACCAGGTTTAAAAACCCCTGTTGTTTTGTTGTTCTAGGTAGCTCGGGTGGTACCCCAAATCGCTGTGGTCTGATAGTAGGTACCCTAGAGAAAGAGCTTTTTAGTGGTTGAAGAGGTAAAATTTGGGGTTCGTCAGAGGCTTCAGGTACCAATCTTATTACGCTTTTAGGCCAGCTGGAGCTTTTAGTCCGCCCCTCACAGGCTTCGCGGAACTCCGGCACCAAGACACCGGGTTCTTTCTGCAGGTGATTTGGATCCTTTCATCTCTTTCCATCTTACCATCTCGTCCATCTACCCCTCCCATTAAAACATTCGACTAGGGGGGTTATTAGGGTATTCACACAATTTACAGTAAGAAACAAAACAAAACAAAACGAAACAACAAGAAAGGAAAGAGGTAAGGGTAAGAGAAACGAAACAATTCGGAATACAACTCTACATTCAGTATAATTCATTTAAACTTGAAGCAGTCTCCCCCGCACGCGCCGTAGTAGTCTAACACCTAACATCATTTGCGTAATCTTCTTTTTTAATGCGTTCTTCATACTATGATATGAGGTTTTCTTTCTCTCCCCTCTTTCTTCATTCCGTCACTCGTCAGTTCGTCATCGCCAATGTTGTATGTGGGGTTGATAATTTCGGAGGAAAGAAAACAAAACAAAACAAAACAAAACAATTGACGAGGAATAATTGAAGGAGGGGAAGAAAATGCGCGCGCATATGTGCGGGCGGGACGAAGAAACGAGAGAGCAAAATGACGATACACGACAAAGCGTCATTTCTCGTCAGACTTTCGAACTGACCGACCAATAATCCCGACTACCTAAGATGTGTTGTTCGGCTTTCTAATCAAATGGTCATCTTGCAATTCAATTCCTGCCCGTTTATTTTTCTTACCGCCTCATTATCACACACAAAATCAACAAGGGGATTTCTCGGGTACAAATCACGGGCTCTTCTCGCCCTTGCGCCTAGCCGAAGACTGACTGACTTACTGCTTGCCTGACATGACTTTGGCTCGGACGCTGGGCCGTGATGGACAAAAAATGACCTGACGTTGGGATAAATTCCAGCCCTCGACAGCCACATATGAGGATCGACATCTAGGTTGAACGGGGGCAGTGCTGATGAGAGAAAGAACACTCCCCCACTCGTTGTGGCGAGTGTTTTGCGCGTTCCTTAGAGCTGGCGAGTTTGGTACTGGACCAGTCTCGCTCGCTGTACGACTCGATATGCGGCTATCTTGTGTTACTGTCGTTCAAGCCGAACGGAGTTCTTCCCCCCCCAGATGCCGTGGTACATGACCCTGAAGTTACTGGAACAGGTGATACCTAACCCCTCGGGTATGTGGTACATCTTCGCCAGGGATTGATGAGAGATTGTTCATCCCCACGCGCCTTTCGCGGACTCACAACTGAATATACCTTGTCTTATCTTGACGAGTCTAGACTTTAGACTTCTCCCTATTCGGCTTCGGCTCATCAAAGACATGATGCAGAAGAGTAGATAGGTAATTATTGATCCAACTCGGGATAGTTTCCCTAATGGTATCAACTTCGGCATGTCCTTAACTCTTTCAATTAGGTACATCTTTTCCGAGGAACCTACCATTACCGTCCTCGAACTAACATGGGAGGGATATGTCTCTCTTACTGCCGCTATACAAGCATCAATGCCTGTGCTATCTAACAGCACTAACGTTTCTTGCGCTTGTCTCTCGGTTCCGAGTGCGGCCAATTTTAAATCTCACCTATCTAGGTACTCGAATTGCCGGTAAGACCTACAGGATCGAATCACGCCAGTGGCGCTGGATTCGGGACTTCTGTGTTTTTTCAGTGCACTGGCTTTAGGGGCTGGATTTTAGCGAGCCTAGCACTACCCATTACCCCTAAGTGTTCATTTTACTGGTCGTGATTACTCGCCAAACACGTCAAAATTAGAACTACAATCGCGCCTCCAAATGCGATGCACCGATTATCATTTTAGTGCCGAACTTCTAATATCATTTATCGCTTATTATAAGGTAATAAACCATTCATCAATTGCATTGGCGACTGTTTTGGCAAAATCACCGCTCCTGGGGGTCTAAGTAGTGCGGATTATAGCGCCATCTTCAGTGTCCTCGACGTATCGCATCGCGCTATAGCAGGGCTCTAATTATTAGCAATTGTGCGCTGGCGCGTATGACAATAGGTACCTACAAAACCCCCCCTGAAGCTGCAGCTAAAGGCATCCATGGTAGCGCTGGAGTGGTACCTAAAAACGCCTTTGTTACAGTTTATCATTTGGGGTTTCTTGGGGGTCCCTCGTGCATCATGCAGCTGTGACGCGCTGCGGGCCTAGCCCCGGTCGCTGAAATAGTGGCCTGTTCAGTGCCTGAAGTACTGGTACTTACAATGACAATGGGCAATTTGGGAAAGCAGTCAGGGGTATTCACTCGCCACAATCTGTCCAGACCTGCGGGAGGCTTGACTCCCGACGACACCTCCGGACTTGCCACGAATCCCCGATTAAGCGCTCCGGAGCCGACCGATGGAAGGTGCTAAGCTAATAAAGGGTTTTTGCATTCTATCTTCTGTTAGAGGTTGGTGGCGATGCAACTTGATAACGAACACTCTGACGATGTCAACGCAAGCGAGCCTCGGTCTTCTTCCAGTCGGATTTCGAGCCCTCGTCGTGGTCACACGCACATGCGACTTTCCGGGGCAACATGAGATGTCTAACACTGAATCCCCAGGAACAGCCCGATCTAGACAGTGTGAGGAGGCCTCCCTTCATGCCACGTGGAGTCGTAATCTACGACATGCGCATGTCTCATCTAGCTATGGACCCAATGGGAACTCAGGGAAGTGCTCATTTCAGCTGGGCTAGGGAGTGTCGAGTTACGGAAGCGAAGTGATGCCGGGACGGATAGGTCGTTCATTCGGCACAATTTCGTGCTGCGTTTGACGATCGCCACTTAGGGCTCGCTACGGTCCCTGCAGAAGCCTAACAGTCGCTCTTGAACTACCGCGAGGACTTTCTGGGACCAATCATAGTTTCTAGAGAAAAAAAGTTCATCAGGGGGTAGTGACATGGTTCACGGCGACTACGGGCAAAATATTTTAGAGGTTCGCTAAGGTCGGGGTATCGCCACAACCATACGCGACCCCGGAATACGATGGTGAGCCACAGATTATTATACCACGCCCTGGGGTAGCTCCCTCTTTGGGCGATTCGAGTGCAACGATAGCCGAACGGTTAACTAGCCACATCATATCCACGCAAAGAAAGCAAAGTTCAAAAGAGGGGCTGGCTAAGAATAGAGGATTTCGGCGGTTTATCGCAAGCAAACTTGCCACCGTACGAGCCACATGGGACGCGAGACTTCTGAGTCGGAATGGTCTGGAGGGGATAGCCAATGATAAGCGGCTATCTGCTAGCAAACTTTCCTCTTCCGGCAGTCCTCCGCACTCGCCACATGTACTCGAAGTACCGCCCGTTGGCGTTCCTGTCGGCAGTGAGCTCGAGCCGTTGAGCATTGCCTTTGAGGGAGAGACGATTTTCACCGTGGTGTGAACCACTTTTGCTCGTGACCTTGGGTGCCACAGTTCGCCACAGCGAAGTCTTAGTCTGAGGTTTGACGCATGAGGATGATCGGAGAGCGTTCCACGGGAGGGGTCAAGCCTCATCGACGGCGAGAATCGGGTAATGAAGTCTGCGGATCACTACACGCTCTGACGACATATCGGTGGCTAGTGTAGCACTGAAGATCGGCGCTCGCGTTGCCGTTTCGGGATGCGACAAGATAGGTCGCGAATCGGCGTTTAGGCCCGAGGCACCCCCTCCGGTATTCATTGGCCCGAAGACCGCCGGTGTTTGGGAGCCGTTGGGGATCGGCGGATATAGGTCTCGTTTCGGTGTTAGTGTCATATCATGGATGCACTTGCATTAAGAGATATGACGGAATGTACGTCAATCGTGACAGCATAGCTAGCTATGTCTTTTATTTTTTTTGGGCTTTGACAGCTAGGTACCAAAGGTAAGTCTTTACGTAACACGAAGTTTTCGTATGCGAGGTTGTTTTAGTCGGATCAGTGTTCTACTTTGTAGATGCCTTAGCTGGTGAAACGGCCCTTATACCTGGGGATCTGAGCGGAGGTTTTGGTATGTGACGTCATACCGTGGTTAGCTAGCTGCCTTCGCCAACAAGGTGAATACGGTGAGAAATGCAGGGGTTAATATATGCAAATAGGATAAATTAATTAGTTTCGAGCGCTATTTGATGATCAGTGAAGAATTTTATGCAGTTTGAGAAATGCGAATAGTCTCGTTGAGTGAGGCTTGATATGATGATGGGTTCTTTGATATCTTGGTGAGGAGCCGTACGAGATTAAGATCCGATATTAGCCTATAGGGGAAGAAATTCAAGGTTTTTTTTTTTTTTTCTCTTTTTTAATCAAATAATGCCGGTGCTAACTTGCATATTCTATCTAGTTTGGTGGAGTTTGTAAAGAATGTGCTCAAATAGTGCTAAGGCCGACTTGACGAATCAGATGCGAATAGTATCATGAAAAATGTCACGTTAAATTATGCGAATCCTAAATCATGGCGACTTTATACCTGCCGCAACCAACCAAAGAGTTTACTTGTCAACGAAACAACATAGGGATATTTGCCAAATGCGAGCGGAAGAGTACCAATTAGCTGAGGAATCCCGATGAAGTCGCTCTACTTAGAGCGAGTTCTCATCGCTCGATGTTAGTTAAATCTATGGTATCGTAGGTGGGGACGCCCTCCGTAGCTATTCGAGGTCTGGTACTCGGAATGCCTGGACTGATTCGCGTTAGAAGGCGTATCCTCGATGGGACAGTTGGTTTGGAAAAGCAAAGGAGTGCGATTCGATCTTTTCCTCCTGAACTGGCATGTAGAAGTGTTCCATCAACCTACAGGGGAATGAATCATCAGTATTTTCTCCGAGGTCGTGGCGTAAGAATCATAAGTCGTATCGGCCACATAGGGGGAGTGCCTTCGTGGTTTCGAATGCACTATCAAATGCGCAAAGGTTGAGAAGTGCTCGTTCCTACTTGGAAGCTGCAGATGTCAACATAGAAAACGAGACGTAACTCGACTCAGTCTTGCCATTATGAACACATATCATTCAATTATTCGCGTATTAATTCCCATACCCTTCTAACCTTCTACACCCATTATCGTGGTACGAAAAGATTGCCCCCCAGATCATTTACTAGTAGACAGTGATATACAAAAGAAATACAGTGGGTTAACGAAGGACGCCAGACGTGGCATAACGATTACACCATATCGACGCAGTCATCCTCGTCTTCATCCATGAACCCCAATCCGCTATCATACTTTCGTCGCTTCTTCCCCTTGCTCGCCCTCGCATGCTCCCCTGAGAAGTACGCGCCCGATCTCAAGGGACTGCCGTCAGGGGTCGTGGTCTCATTTCCTGTTTCCTCCTCATCTTCCTCAAGGTGCCTCTTCTCCGCTGTCTTACGGCCAGTATCCTTCTTCGGCGTAGCCAAGAACTCGGTGCCCATCCTAAGCACATGTTCAAGTTCCGCCTTCATCGCATCAACAGCCTCCTTAGCCCTTCTCCTTTCCTCATTCGCGCATCGGCCTAAGCTTAGATTCTCTACTCTTAGCTTCACCGTCGCCGCGTGCGCCTCGTGTAATTCACGCTGCAAGTCGTCGTGCCCCCTTCGCAACTCTGTCACTTTAGCGTCGCGCACCGCAAGCATCGTCCCATGATATTTATTCAACGCGCGAACTTCACGCTCTTTCCTCTTGCGCTGTTCTGTTAATTGCAATTGGAATGCCTCGGCCTGCTCCCGGACAGCTTCTAACTTAGCCTCGAGCTCAGCGGCTGCGATCTTGCTATCGGTAAGTTGTGCTTCAGCTGTTTTACCTTCTTCCTCCATACGCTGGACCAGTGATTCCAGTTCAGCGACGTCGCGCCTGTACCCTTCGGCAGCACCCTTAAGACGCTCAGTCCCGACTTCAAGGTCAGTGATACGCGCATCACGCTCACCGAGCTGCTTTCGCAGACTATCCATAGCGTCAACACGAGCGCCAAGTTGTTGCCGGAGGGAGAGCTCTAGGGCATGGTACTCGTCGATGGCATCCTCGTCTTCCTTGGCGCGACGCGCTAGGTCGCGTAGACGGTTGAGAACCATGTCTAGGACCTGGGCGCCATGCGATGATAGAGGAAGCGCGATCTCACCAGGTGTTAGATACTCGAGCTCCAAACGCGCCGACCGGAATGCGCCGACGAGAGATGATACGATTTCGCCGGCGTCGTTGCCGGGGAAACCTAAGGCACTGAGGGAGGAGTTAAGGTCCATGAGGGCCGCTGTTCGGTCGGAGAGAGCTTGTAGGACAGTGTCCAAGTGTGCTTCTACATCACTTGAATGCTCGGGATCCGGGGGGGGGCTAGTCGCGTTAAGTTTGTCCGCGATACGCGTCTTGAGGGCTTCATGGCTCTCTAGCACGTCGGTCAATTTCGTCAGCTCAAGGCGTAGCGACCCGAGTTCAGCTTCGAGTGCCTCCTTCTCAGGATCTGGTAGCATTGCTTGTACTCCAGCGTGGGATTGAGGCGTCTCGGGAAACCCTCCTCGTGTAGAGCATGGAGTAGCAGGTATCGTCGGGCTCGTACAAGGCGGCGTCGGGAAAGAAGCGGACGCGCGCCTCTTTGAAGGTGTGCTGCACACCAGCTCCGCCATTGTGCTCTCCCCGAAGCCCTCGTCATCATCCATGTAACTATCGGAAAACGGATCACGCGCAGCCAGCGTCCAGTCGTAGGCGTGCGTCTCGTCGACGACATCGTCTCGCCTGGATCGGCTTCGTAGCTCATCCCTAAGTGTTCTGACTTCACTTTCCAGTTCTAGGATCCGGTCCGTATCTTGTATAACTGTCGTGTTTTGTAACCTATCAATCTCCAGGTCCTTCTCCGCGAGCTCGTCGCGTAAACGCTGCAATTCTGCTTGGCGCTCCTGTGCACCCCGCCTTTTCTCCTGTTGGATGGTGTTCATCTCCTCGCTGAGTCCGTTCCTTCGAATGCGTCGCTTTACGCGGTCATCGAGGACTTGGCGTAGTGAGAGGAAACGTACTTCGTTGTTTGTGCCATTGCCATTGTTGGATGGCTGGTCATCTGCATCCTGACATGACCTTCGACGAAGTGGGGTGGAGTGCCGCCGCCTTTTGGGTGAAGGTCCACTGAGAGAGGTTCGCCCGACCATCGGTGTTAATCCCGTTGTTGCTGATACATCATGGTGTTCGATTGCCGGCCTTGGGTCTGAAAACCGGACTCTTTTCCTCGACCTTGGTTTGCTTGGGGTCTTTGCAGGTGTTGACGCGGTATTGGCTGTCTGCAACCGCGATGGATCCGAATGCACAGCTGTTCCGACGCTAGATCGTCGAGTACGCCGAAGGGCGATAGGGAGATCTTGCTCTTCTCCCATCTTGTAAATATGACAACAATCAATCCTCAAGATAACAAAATATTACAAGATATACAAAGTCAGCCTGCAGGCTTCTCTCCTAGATGCAGTGAGATGTGAGATAAAAGTCCAATAGGGTATTTTACCGGCACGTCGAAGATTCTTAAAGGTCGCGTCTAGGCCGCTGTGAGTAAACAATGATTCCACGTATTTGGTTCCCTCGGTGGAGATGGTCCCTGAGAAATATTGGGCTGTTTACTTATTTCCTATTACGGTATAGCGGGTCAAAGCTCCAAGTGCCCCGCGATCTGACAACCAATCATTCTCGTCCTACAAGGACGTTTTGGGGGAGACCGCTCTGAGTTTCTCCACCTTTTCTCCATTTCTCCTATTTCTCCAACAGTGTAACCCCTCCATCAATTATGCAGAATTTATCTAGAAGACTTACAAAACGATCACGCCGGCAACATTGTTTGCGACTCACATGAATCAAGATAAATTGGTGATTCAATTATAATATCTTGGAAGGAAATGGTGGGATTTTGGGATTCTCTTCTTGCCTCTGATGCATTATTGGGAGTTCGTGTATGACAATCCATATTTGCGAAACCCACTTACTAGAATCAATTCCACCATCAACCCATTTCACTCTCAATTAAACGAGTATAACAGCGTTCATAATCACAGACACGGACGACACCTAATTAATAAATAGAAAATTCCTAGACAAGTGTGGGTTTGATGAACTTCGTTGAGTCATTGGTAATATTATCAGACTTCACCGCTTCGCAGTTAGTCAGATGATGGGGGATCTACACCAAATGCATCTCTATTAACGAACTGACCTCTCATGTAATATTTAGCGGTCTTACATATAGACACTGAAGAAGTCAATGAATGTATCGTTGTGGGATTTATGTGGCGATGGATTTGAAAAGGGCTCTTTTTTTTTTCTGGTCTCCTCCCAACCACCGCATTAAAATACCCCTAGCTGTCCCGCCCTCGGTCCGATAAACGCAATCAGTATAAACGTAAGCCTGCCGTGGGTCCTTACCGAATGCTGGTAGTTGTTATCTAACATATGCCGGGTTACGATTCCCGGTCGGGAAATACATACATATGATGTACGCAGTGTATGCAACGTCGAGGCTGAGGTGCAGATTCCTCCTTGCAGAGGCGAAGAGCGAGAACGATGACGTTCCCAACTTCTATCACGGTTCGGTTCGGCACGCTGTCCGATATGCGAATGGAGAGGGGTAAGATACGAATATACGGATTCCGGAGCCGGAGAATCTGCGAAGACCGATGGAAATATCCGTATGGTACTCGGATATTTTAGATATACAATCATTCCTTCTCTTCCCTCCTCCCTCTCGTTTTTCTTCACTAGCAACGGGATATTCTTGATATTACTGTTTCATCATCATTTAGCTCGTATCGATCATATAATGAGCGCTGTTTATACGACTTAACTCCGCGTGAAGGATGTGAGAATGGCTTATGAGATCGGCTTTTAGAAGTTGTAAGCATAAGCCGGAGATTGGTTGAAATCCTAGCGCATCCGATGGATTCTCCGACTTCGAAATAATATCTGACTCAACTGAATGGTTAGTATATACATAGATCTCCGACAAGATAACTGAGTATAATTGACATAAGTACCTCTGTTGGCTTAATCCGACCTCCATTGTATATTTTTACCTAATCCGTGCGTTCTTGGATCCGTTCCGCGGGGAATGTCGCTGTCATATCCGTTTGAAAGCGTTGACCTACTTTCACTAAAAAATCGTGCAGCCACATAGGAAGAATAGTGCAAAAAATCCCTGGTAATTTTACGATCTAATCGAATGTTCCATGTCGAGAAGAATCCTATCACAAGGTGATGACGTAGAGTTGCTTGATATTGATCTCACCTACTAGGGGAATAGTCATATATTAGTATAATGGCAACAATATCCGTGTCTCGTCGTTTAGATCGATGCAGTTGGTGTGACATTGCTGGCTTATAAATTTCTATCCAGCAATCATATATCAGAAGTATCTTAGCCTAGTATGTTTATAAGCCGAGACCGAAAGACGCTGTTCACTAATATCTCAGAACCAATGTTTCTACAATGACTGTTACCGTAATATCACATCTTGGGTTTACTTCGCGAGCGAAGTGTTACAAGTTTTTAATTAAAATGAATATAATAGTAAGCTTTGAATGGTATGTATAGTGCGATGGATGGTCAACGTTAGGTAGTAAATCGATGAAAAGTCTTTAGCGATTGCTAATGTGCTACTGCCGGACCTTCCCATTGAAGCATTAGCGTGTACCCATTTAAGATAATGCCCCGACTATTAGGCTCCGCAACATCTCCATCGATCTCTTAGCTTTCTTCTTTCGTTTCGAGGCCAGAAGAGTCGACGAGGAACGGAATGTTAAAGCTTCTCTATTTCTAATATTTAGAAACCTATAAATAAATGCGGCCAGCAGTTTTATCTTATCAATCAACTGTTGATATCAGCAGACAAGCGTTTGCGTTAGAAATGAATATAGAAAAATTTTTGAATAATAGTTATTTGCTCACTTCCGCCTTCGGCTATGACCTCGGCTCGCGCTTTCGGCTTATGTTTTGCAGAACGTCCTTCAACTTTTTTTACAGGGGTAAAAGGACGGATGTTGGTTGCGTTCTCACAATCGAACGGGAAGCACACGGAGGAATACCCGTTGTAGTGGCCCCTCAACACTACCCAACTATACCCACCTAGCACGCATAGCATCTGCCGCCCAACCTGACGGGGCCGAACTGCAGGGTGCGTGCAAGGTTGATCGTAACCAATGGACCTATAAGGGTTGTAGGAGCCAATGAGGTGATACGGTCTCGCTGTCTTCGTCGTGATATTCCGACTTCCTACCCCCCAAACACGCAAAGGAGATCGACGGGACTCCCATGCATCACGCAGTGGTGCATCCTATCAAGGTCAGCAGGGGTAGCTACCCACCGTTACATTATCCGTACAGAAGATTCTTAGCTTCCGAGCCTTTATTAATCAGGTCGGCATACTACCTAGGTTTGTGGATACTTTGCCCTAGGCAAAATTCCTTAGTGAGAGCAGAGTTACTCACCGCAGTATTTAGTCACTTTCGATGGTACGGTGATAAGAGTTTACGACCGTTTGTCAGGGTCCTTTCTACCCTGTTGGCTTTTTACCTTATAGTCCTGAGAGGATCTCACTCGCACCCAGGATTCCTCTAGACAGGTAGTTAATTCTAAGTCCGGCTTCACGGGTTAATATTCCAAAATTTTATTCCGTCCTCCAAATTTGTGTTACCGGCCTTAAGTTTTTCGACCGAATTGCCTGGTTTCGAAGTGCGGAACCAGAATATATATATTCCCGTGAGCCGTTCCCGGTGGCTCCTCTTCCGCGAAATCACCAACCCACACCGCTCCATTGAAAACTTCCGAATGGCAGAAGAGAAGGAACTAGACGGCCAGCTTGGCGAGAAAGGGGAATCCGAGGGGATTGAGACCCAGGAAATGGCATCACGAGAGGACTCGATTGAGCAGGAGAAGAAGCAGAACCGGAATAGTGACCACAGCCACTTAAGTCGCGAATCCCACGCCTCCGACGACAGCGACCCATTATCGCCACTAGAATTAGCACTTTCACCAGGAGAGCAAGCATTCGAGGAAGTCGCGCATGTACGTACAGCGACGAGTATCGGGAGTTCGGCATCGCGGCCTCCAGACTTCGAGGTCGCCTTCGAAGATGATGACCCAGACAATCCGCGGAACTGGTCTGTGTGGTACCGGGCGTTAATCATATTCGCCATCAGTTTCACGACGTGGGTGGTCGTGTTTTACAGCACGAGTTACACCGCTTCCACGCCTGGCTTGGTAGAAGAATTCGGTGTGTCCAGCACTGTCGCGACCCTTGGCGTCACGACATACCTGCTTGGCCTCGCCACGGGGAGCTTGCTCGTCGCACCCGCGAGTGAGCTATTCGGCCGCAGACCCGTGTACATCGTCTGCATGATTTGCTTCACGATTTTAGTAATTCCATGCTGTGTAGCAAATTCGCTAGTCCAGATTATCGTTGTCCGATATTTCGGGTAAGTTGCTAACGATGAGTAGCTTCCTTTTCCCGAAAATGTACTAACTCGAGTTCTCATAGCGCGGTATTTGGCGCCGCGATGGTATCGAATAGTGCCGGAACAGTGGTAGATATTTCTACAGAAGAATATCGTGCTTTGACAATGTCGCTGTGGAGTATAGCGCCCCTTAATGGACCGGTGCGTTTCCTTTATTACCTAACCTATTAGGAGGTTTGAGCTCATATTTTATTTTTCCAGGTAACCGGGCCTGTCATAGGTGGATTCGTCTACCAATATCTAGGCTGGCGTTGGGATAACTGGCTTGTTTTGATACTTGCTGGCGTTGGGACGCTCTGTATGACAGTTCCCAAGGAGACGTACGCGCCAATAATTCTTCAAAAGAAGGCCGCGCGACTACGCAAAGAGACCGATGATGATAGATGGTGGTGTCGTTATGATCAGAAGCTATCCAAGGTGGCGCTCATAAAAATTAGCTTGTTGCGTCCGTTTGTGCTATCATTCACGGAACCAATCCTTTGGTTCTTCAACATCTGGTTCGCATGGCCCCATAGTGATGTCCTGACCTTTGCTAACTCTCGACATTAGGATCTCTCTTATATACGGTATTCTTTACCTATGCTTCGTCGCATATCCCATTGTATTCTCCCAACATCGTGGTTGGAGCCCGGGTATATCTGGTCTTGCGTTTGTGGGGATTGGCGTTGGGAGCATGCTCGCTATTCTCGCCGAACCGTTCTGGCGTAGGTTGATTAACTCTCATCCGAAAGACCCCTTGACCGGCCGAGTACCTCCTGAAGCAACAGCGCGTGTCATGATTATCGGGAGTATATTGTGTCCAGTTGGACAGTTAGTATTTTCATGGACTTGCCTTCCCGACACAATTCATTGGGCGGTCCCTATCGCTTTCGGTATTCCCTTTGGCGCTGGCAACGCATTGAGCTTCATATACGGTTCTAACTACCTGGCTGGAGCTTATGGTATTTACGCAGCGTCGGCATTAGCAGGAAATGCTGTTATGCGTAGCGTGTTCGGCGGCACACTCCCTCTTGCCGGACCATCTATGTATGCTACTCTTTCACCGCAATGGGCTGGTACGCTGCTCGGTCTGTTGGAAGCAGCGATGATACCCATTCCTTTAATATTCTACCGATACGGCGCGAAAATCCGCTCCAAGAGCCCGATCATCCGACAGATGCGCGAAGATCAAGAGAAAAACGAGCGCCGGGCTGAAAAGGCACGAAGACGTAAGGCGAGACGCCAGGGTGAGGAGAATGGCAATGGGCCAGTGTTAATGAAGGAGGTTGGAGACAAGTCGGCTACAGAAGATCCTGAAAAGGGCCGGGCAGAGCCGAGTGCGTCGGATATACCGGCGTGGTTGAAAGAAACAGCGGTGTAATGCGGCGGATCGCTATTAATTATCACGAGTAATGCAGGTAGTTCTTAGCGGCACGGGGCGATCCGGACGGTTCGGAAATTTAATGATGTTACGTTCAGGTCACGATTAATGTATTAGATGAGCATTTGGATATATAGAAGCTTTGCCAGCAATCGCATTAATAGACCTAGTTTGGGACGGAATTAACTGGAATTCCGAATGACGGATGAGTGAGTACTTGTGATCCGTACTGAGATACCTACCCGATGCATAGGTGGCGTACTCTTGGCGTTGTACATTACATTTACCTAGGTATTCTGAAGATTTATTCTCATGGATGCAAATTTCCCATCGAATCATCGTCAATTGAGTTGGCAACTCGTAGGCGTCGAACAGGCTATAAATAACTTATATTAAAAGTAGGTTGTCATTTATGTGTACGTGCTCTACGAAATGCTCTGCCCTCTTCTTCTGACATATACGGCGTATTTTATAGGCTTGAGACAATATACACACTTACAAGCATCAGCCAGACACTCTCCAATGATCATCCCTGTCCGCGCTTATCATTTACCAAATACTTATATTAGGGCGGGGGATCTTGTAGTAGTACTATCTTTGCCCATCTAGATATGGTCCCCTACACATGACTATGTCGCTACAGGTGTAACGTTAAGCTGTCGAGAAAGGCAGGCATTGAAGGACCCTAGACCCTAATCCCCATATCATGAACCGAAGATATTTCCCAGATAGTCGGAACAATGCGACGAGTTCCTTATCTTCTAGGTCCCCCGACCGCATCCCTGGCTATGGATTAGACACAGATCTTACATATAATGTGATCACCGAATCCCCGCCTTAGCTCTCGCGTGCTCCCCTTCCCGTATTATTGTGGTTCATTAGGTATTATATTTTCCGGGTCCGATTGTCTCACTGATGAAAGAACGGTATTCGCGATGTTACAACGGACGTTTACCGGAACATGGCTACCGGCATGGGTGCCGGAGTCGACAGTTGCTCTCGCCTTTCTATTGATGTTCTGTTCCACCGTTCAATCGGCGGTAAGCATAATTCCATATCCTGGAAATAATCGCCCGGTGTTCATCGCTGATCTTTGAGTGCGTAAAGACTGGTGGATATGATGGTTCTATGTTGAACGGACTGAACATTCTACCATCATATACGGACTACTTCGAGTTGACCCCGGCGACAACAGGTCTAAACACAGCTTCTGTTTTTATTGGATCTACCTTCGGAAATCTTGCCGCTGGAATTCTAACTGACAGACTCGGGCGACGTCCGGCGATTTTTTGGGCATCTGTCGTCACTCTTATTGGCATTATAATCCAGACAGCGGCGCAGAACATTGCTATGTTCGTTGTCGGTCGCATTATCCTAGGCCTTGGAAATGCTGTTTCGGGTGTCTCATCCGGCGTGTACTTATCCGAAGCCTTTCCAAACCGGTGGCGTGCGTGGGGCGTCGGGTTACTGAACGATTTTTATTAGTGAGTGAACTGCGCTCAGTGATGTAGCTAAATAGTTGATAGCTGATCATCCCCCCCTAGCATTGGCGCCCTGATTGCAGCTGGAATAACCCTTGGAACTGGACAATGGCAATCAACAGTAAGAATAGCCCCTAGAGCACCCCAATTATGCTAGAGACCCACGAATCTGTGAATCTCGAGGCTGATTAGGTTTTTAGTGGGCGTGGCGGCTCCCTTCATTGATTCAAGGAATCTTCTCCTTACTCTGTATCGTCATCCTACCCTTTGTGTAAGTCCATGCTTTCCACCAAAGACTATGTCTCTCCTAACAGATAGTTAGACCCGAATCGCCGAGATGGCTACTACATGAAGGACATTTTGAGGATGCACGGAAGTCGGTAGCGCAACTGAACTCAGACGGCAACCTAGTAGACCCTGTGTCCATTGCCATCTACAAGGAGATTCTTGACGCCCTAGAATGGGAAAAGAAAGAAGGCAGGACAATGAGCCCTAAGGAAATCTTCAAGACTCCAACCGCGAGGAAGCGACTACTCATTGGAATGTCCGCAGGGCCATTTTCATGCATCGCCGGCAACATTATCGCTTCGTACTACCTCAGCGCTGAACTTACGACGGCGGGAATTTCAGATTCAACCGACCAATTGAAAGCTGTCAGTACCTCCCCGGTTTTTATGGCTTATTTAAACCCTTACTGACGTTGTATAGAATGTCGTCTTGAATGTATGGTGCCTTGCATGCGCTCTTACTGGAACTCACCTCGTGGCAAATTGGGGCCGCAAACCAACCGCTCTCACCTCGCAAACCCTACTAATCATATGTCTGTTTATCATCGGAGGTCTCTCTAAGATGTATGCAGATAACCCAGATGGCGCTTCGAAGAGTTTAGTATATGGAGATGTCGCAGTCATGTTTCTGTTCCAAGGATTCTACTCAATCGCCTGGACCCCTCTACTTTACCTCTACCCGCCAGAAATATTTTCGGGTATGTTAACGTGGTTTTCAGACTAAAGTCGTAGCACTGAGCATTATACTGACTCGCATCTAGTTCGTAGCTTTATTCGGTCACTCGAGTCTAAACGGAGGTTCCTAACGAGATATCACAGTATTCAATTCGAGCCAATGGCCTCGCATTCTCGTCACTAGGCTTAAATCTACTCGCGTGCGTCTATTCTCACGTATTGCCGATTATGATACACTACTAAAATAATTATTAGATGCGTACTCGTGTTCGTCATGCCTATTGGACTTAACAACATTGGATGGAAGATGTACTTCATCAACGGATCTTGGGACATTATTGTCGTCGTACTCATCGTAAGTATCTATCCGCTACGACTTCTATTTATTGACATCGAGCTGCTAATTATTTCTCTTTTCTTGTAGGCGGTCTATTGGGTTGAAACCAAAGGTAAGACGTTGGAAGAGATAGATGCAATTTTTGAAGGCGTGAAGCACTCCGATATACCCGACGTCGAGCAGATCCGAACCGGGCAAGCAACAATAGACGTGGGCGCTATCGAACAACAACTGCAGGCTGAAATTCCAATCATCAAATCTTGAGAACATTGGCAGATGTAGGTAACTAGCTAAAGCATACTCTCTTACCTAGAGACCTCGGATATAGCCGTTTACACACATTTAGTCCTATAATAAAGCTCCATTATAAGGCCTACTAAGAGACTAATAACTCCGCCAAGCCCTGAAATTGGAGAACTATTAACTTTATTAATATTATCTTGCTTCCCAAATGCTCATGCCCACCCCATAATGTTGCAATAGGACGGGCCAGACTACCTCAATTAGAAATATTGTCTTTCCCCGAGCCCTAAATGAGCTCTTCTCCCCCCTTACTCCAGCTAGCAATGACGAATATTACGGGGATTAATATAGCGATGCGGAGAAATCACCGGGGTCAATTAACACGAAATCCCTTCTTGGCGGACGCTTTATAAACCCCGACTGGTTGGAATGGTACACACCGATCTGAGGATCTCGGTGTCGCGTACGCGTTCTGGATCTGTTGGTGTTCACCGCGTACAGAAAGGATTCTCGGTCTAAAGATGTGGCTCTCAGGTAGCGTACTGCTGCTCAGTGCAGCTGTAGCGCAGGCGAAATATATCGTGCCTGGAGCGAGATGGAGGGATACCGACGGCAATCTGGTTAATGCTCATGCCGGCAACGTTATCCAAGATAATGGCACGTTTTGGTGGTTTGGAGAGTATAAGGTCGAGGGCCAGGAGGAAGGCGGCGGCGTTTCAGTGTACAGTTCCACTGACTTGGCTACATGGGCGTCCCACGGTCTTGCTCTAGGTAAGTCTGCTGGTTTTGGGGAAGAGAAATGCTTCTAGGTTAGGGAACTAATCGCGAGGATAGAACCTGTCGAGGGGAGCCCCTACATCTCACCTAGCAACATCATTCAACGGCCTAAAGTTGTGTACAGCGAGTCGACGGGAAAATATCACGTGCGTCACCCCTAACCCATAAATTTCTCGCTCGTCGGTGCTAATAGAGCGCGAAAGATGTGGTGGCATGCCGATAATTCTAGCTACGGGCTTCTCCTTCAAGGGTTCGCGACTGCGGATACACCCGCCGGACCCTACAGCTTTGTTAATGCGACGGCTCCTCTCGGCAATTGGTCACAAGACTTCGGAATGTTTACCGATTACAAGGACGGTCGAACATACGCTTTGTATTCGAATGGTGACCGAGCGGAAGGAAGAGATGTGTATCTGACCTCGTATAACAAAGAGGTTACAGCGCTTGATGAAGTCGTACACCGTTTCGATAAGTTCGATCTCGAAGCTCCGACAATCATTCAAACCGAGCGCAGTTACTACGCTCTGATGAGCCATAAGACTGGATACAGGCCTAACAGTGACTAAATCCGCTCATAATTTGCTGCAATTGAATTACTAATCGCGTCCCTAGATGTGGTTGCTTTCCGAGCAGATAGCTTAAGCGGCCCGTGGTCTCAACCCTGGATCGTCGCTCCACTCAACACGCGCACTTACAACTCTCAGTCCGGCTTCACGCTAAGGATAAAAGGCAGCAAGAAGACTACCTATCTGTATTTGGGCGACCAAGTGAGTAGTGCTACTCCTAGGGGTATACCAGAAGATTACAATCTAACCCCGTACAGTGGGACTCTAATTCGCTATGGGAAAGTCGATACATCTGGCTGCCGATGAACATTCATGACAATAGGAGAACCCTCGAGGTGGAATGGCATGATGTTTATGACTTGAATGTGTGCGTATATCAAATTTCTATACTCGCATGCAGCTCTGCTAATCAATACCGCTAGCAAAACTGGCGATTTCAAGCCTGTTAAGGGGCGGGAGTATACCAGCAAAGATGCAACCACGAATGGCAATGCATTTAAGCAAGAAGCAGTAAGTTTTTTATTGGAGAAAAGTAATTGAAATATTGCTAATATCGTGCCTATCGCAGAATTTTGCTAGCGACGGCGTCATCTTAACTGGAATCGAAGGAAATGACAGCACAGTCACTTTCCACGGTATTGAAGGCACAGGAAAGCCCCAATGGGTTTCATTCTATTATCAAAGTAAGCATATTACACCGCCTTATATTTGAGAGCTACTCTAATGATGAATGAGATACCGATGATATGGGTTTCGGGGACCAGCCCGGCGGATCGCCAGACAGAATTGGCGGATCATGGCAGCTCCGTCGCATCAGTAGTGTCGTCGTCAACGGCAATACGGAAAAGGTCGAGACATTATACCAGAGGGATACACATAAGGGAATAATTCTGTCGACTCCTCTCCAATTAACTCTGAATAAGGGGTCGAAGAACACTATCACGGTAGGGGGACTGTCCAATGGATTTCACTATAAAGGCGCGGACCTCGATAAAATCGTGGTATACCCCTCGGAGAAATGAAATTTATAGCATATTTTATTAATTGATACCCCATCTCAGTGGGAATAATACGGTGATTGATATGCTTGGCACATTTTGTGGTGGTGATGATGCGTGGCGGAAAACAAGCCCCTTTTCGGCACTGCAATTCGAGTGCTACTTATTCTCATTACACTTCACATAATACGAATAGCGGAATGATGAATCTAGAGGCATAGGCCACCGTTAGGTATGCACTATTGCTAAAAGCTATCTAGCTATGCTTTAGTAAATCCTGCCTTAGGTCTAGTCATGTAAGGCGAATGGTCACCTGGAGAGCCCGTACCTCTCTAAGGACTCGCGCCATCGACCTGAGTATACCTAAAGGTAGATGTCTTCTGATGTCACCATATCTCGCGATTGCGCCCTATTGTCTTACAGGCATGTATAATTCTTCAAACCTTCCCGTAATTACGTCTAAGCTCCATATTGCGTAGGCGGTACGGATCGGTGATAACTTCAAGTATCGGCGATTATAGGAGCTGCTATCGGATTTTACTATTGCGGCATGGCTAGACTTATAGCAAACCCTACTATGCCAACGCGATGCAAAGAAATGCCAATGGAAGGCCCCAATTGGCTAGATCGATTGCTGGATTGTCTTTTACTAGATGTTAAGAACTCCACTATGAGGTAGGATGCAGGACAAGCCAGCATCGGCGATTAACTTGAACGCATACCTATAAAATGAAATCAAATTCCCAGAACCAAATCGAATATGCTACGACTCCTTACCTATACCTGTGATCTCAAAGGAAAAGCATATTGAAGTTTTCACTCACAACAATCCACCCGTAATTCAAAATGTCGTCTCCACAGTGGTTCATCACCGGCGCCTCCCACGGCTTCGGCCTTCTCCTCTCCCTCAAAGCTCTGAAAGCCGGCCACCGCGTAGTCGCCTCCGTCCGAAACAAGACCAAATCCGCCGACGCCGTAAACCAAATTGAGGCCGCAGGCGGTCAAATCCTAGAATTGGACCTCAACGAGTCTAAAGAAAGCATCACCAAAAAAGTTCAAGCCATCGGGCCAATCGACTACCTAGTCAACAACGCAGGTTTCTTCGTCCTCGGTGCCGTCGAGCAAGTCACGTAAGCCCTCGTCTTACCCTCAGCCTAGAACTACCTATCTAACACCCACTCAGCGAACAGGAAGCCCACATCCAACTACAAACCAATTTCTTCGGCCCGCTCTTCACAATTCAAGCCGCCCTCCCCCTCATGCGCCAACGCCGGAGCGGCACAATAGTAAACCTAAGCAGCATCGCCGCACAAGACCCAACCCCCGCAAGCGGGCTCTACGCCTCCTCGAAAGGCGCCTTAGAAGCCCTATCCTCATCCCTAGCCATCGAACTCGCGCCCTTCAACATCTCCGTCCTAATAATCGAACCGGGCGCCTTCCGGACAAACTTCCTCGCCGCCCTAACACCCCCCTCCGCCCCGCTCCCCGACGGATACGAAGGCACAATAGCGCAAACCGCAACACGTGCATATATCGAAAAAGACGGAAAACAAGTCGGTGACCCACAGAAAGGCGTAGATCGTATTTATGAGGCTATTACCGGGGAGAGCGGACCGGCGGGGCATTTAAAGGGGAAGGTGTTAAGGTTGGTGATTGGACGCGATGCATTGGAGCGGATACGTAAGACGAATGGGAAGTTTATGCAGGATTTGGCGGCTGGGGAGGAGGCTACTTTGAGTACGGATTACTAAAGATATGATAGGATAGGGTAAGATGGGTTGAGGTTGGAAGGGGACTGTTAGGAGTAAGTCGATGCTGACATACACCTAACCAAAAAAGTGGTCGAGGCAAATATACCTCTGGTTGGTCACATCGCTGAGTCAAACGAGCTCAAGTCTTGTTAGCACTTAATGAATCATGGTATTGAATTAAAGGTTGGACCTGTTTCAACATTAATATATTCATATGAAGCTTACCCAATATTACAACGCTATATCGGCGATAAATTCCGAAATGTGTAATAGCGAATGAGAATCCTTACTAAAAAAGTTATGTTCGGTGCAATAGTATCATGACCTGATGAACTGCTGCTAGAGAGAAGACCTATCTAATCATCTTCTACATGCCCCCCCTTATAAACGCCCCTTGAATTCAAATCTCTTGTGTCTACCTGTGGAAAAACAAACAACAAGCAGACGAACATCAAATGAATGCTCAAGAACTCCACGTGTGGCTTTGGCCCAAAGCTGCTATGCCTTATTCCCCATGAATCGGTATATGTATGCGCGTATATATGCGAGTGAAGCCATCCAGAAAAGCACAATGAGTTTGTCTTGCAAAACCAAAGACTGTATGTAATGTGAGACCCTGATGAGAGAGCCCCACTCGATCGGTATGTTTTCTAACCCTGGACAGTGACGCGCGTCAACGGCGCGTGTAGTTCCACTTCTAGATGATCCCTTCTAAATTCCAATCTCCTTTCTGTGCTCTCTCAAGCACTTCACGACCTTTATCTGTGAGGTCTGGCGTACCTCGCTTGTCGGTAGCTTGGTCGAAGAAAACTGGTTTCCAAGTTTCGTTTTTGTGCTCCCGTTCCCGGGCCTTTTCTCGCTGCTTTTCTTCGAGCTCTATTTTGACGTTGGTAGCTTTTGAAAATTGCTTCGACATTATAGCCTGAGTCACTCCATCCCACATCGTTAACGACTCGTTCTCTGCCTGCTTCTCTTTTGGCGGTAACGCCTTGGGTGCGACAGTGAGAGGGTTAAGATCGATGATGGTAGTTCGTTTCTCTACCGGATGCGAATCCTATAGCATAAATTGTTAGTATTTTTTTTTTGTATTGTTTCTAATGAGAAAAGGTATGGACTTACCACTAGCTTGGGACCCAAAGTGAAGACGATCCTATCCTTCCATGCACCACCGAGTCTCGCCACGACGTCGGAGTCAGGTACATCCTTGATACGCGTCTTGTCGTCTTTATCCGGGTCATACTTAAAGACGACACCTTCGACCTTATTTTGCGCCCGGCCAAGCCAACCATCCTCAATGTAGTGAAGAATTGCCTTCAATTTTGTCTGTGGACAGGTGATGTAGGCAAAGTCACCAACACTGACACTTAAGCTGCCGCGGAAGATTCCACCTAGGTGTGCAGCGGGATGCGTGAGTTGGTATGTTTCGTTATTCCTTTTCTCTAGGGTGATGAAAATTCCAAGGTTGTGCTCGCCCGGCGCTACTTTGATGGCGGTTCCGGTGAACTTGGCACTAATCTGATCGAAACCCCTCGCATGTAAACCCTTTTCGGGACAGCTGACATAGAAAGCGCTAACAGGAGGATGATGGGAAGTCTGTTCGGTCAAATATGATATCCTGACGGTAGGTCCAGTGGGATTTGCTGGCATCTGGGAAACGGAGACGGAGGATGCAGTTCGCGGGTCAGCGCCATTGGCTTTGGATGACTTTATGGAAGAGGAGCTACTGGCATTGCCACTAGTAGATGTCTGTAAGCTCTTTGTATCAATCCGCGGCGCATTATCTTCAGCTTCCCAGTTACATCGGAAGAACTCGCCGAGGCAAGAGTTATACGGTTTGCATGGCTTTCCCTTGACATATTTTAAATCCTTGGTAAACCAGAAGCGCAATACTTCTAGCATACGATCTAGTGGTTCGTCCGAGGTACCTATCGCGGCAAAGGAGGTAGGGTTGTCGAGGTAATTCCAATATTCGAGGTTCGGGGTCGGTTCGAGGAGTTGAGATGGAAGGGAGAAGCGCACGGCGGCAAGATCCGCTACACCCATGAATCTAGGACACCAATAAATGTTAACAAAGGTATAGTGATGACAGAGGATAGCTACAGTAGCGAATCCTAGAAAAAAAAAGGTGATGTTGCGATTTACTCCAAAATCCTAAAATAACTCCGATTCCGGACGTAGACCGAGGGTGGCGGTGAGATGTCGCCATCATCGTGTTATGATTGTAGAGAGGATATGAAGTAACAGTTTACTTACTTTCGTAGTATAGAGATAAAAGTCTTGAGTTTTGATCCGTCATTTTGAGGAACGTCTTCGTCGCCGTAGGCGTTTGATGGAGGGGTTGAAGACATGATGACGACGATGATGTTTTTCTAGGGATGACCCTAAACGATTCCCCCCTTCGATTCGAATCGTAGAATGTTATCGACAATTAAGAAAGATAAAATAAAAGAGCCCCTGAAGCGGTTAAGCTACCCCAAGCTGGGATGACCCGCTCGCAGTTGGCTTTCTTTTTTTATTGATGTGGTTGAAGATGAAGAGGTAGCTATTCGGATAGTAAGTTGTAGATGACGAGGAGATGGTTGGCTGGTTAGGTTAGCAGGTTAGGTAGGTTGGTTTAGGTGGTTTTGGATTTTTGGTGTTGTTTCCCACCCCAGCTGTAGGTAGGTAATAATTAAAGCCTGGCCTAAGTCCTCTAGGTAAAAGTGTAATAATCAGTGTAGTAACCAGTCGAAGGAGAGTGGAGGGACCTGAACTCTAAGGTGGGTAGGCTGTCTTCTAGCAGGTAGGCACGTCGCATTCGAATGAATAAAATGTGTCTAGGTGCCCAGGTGGGTGACGTTAGTGCGATCGATAAGGGGTACAAGGGGTACAATATGCCGGTACCTGCCTGGATAACCTGGATAACACGGATAGATAGCAAATAGATAACAGATGACCAACCACACAGCTGCCACGCTACTGCATCTCATGTAAAAGCACTATAATCCTTATGCATAGCCTAGCATAGCATAGCCCACTTTGTAACCATCATGTAGTAATTTGGAGTTAGGTATCGTATGTGCCCTACGAATGTACATATATCTCCAAAGCTTAAAAGCTATTTTGATAAAGTTTGGTGCCAGGGTCCTAGGTACCTTGCGTGCTTTGTCTCACAAGGCGAAATTCGCATTTATTCAGGTTCCACCGTTTTGTGATTGGAGATTACGGACTACTTATAAATTCTCGGTTCCTATTTCAGCTAAATGTGATATCACTTTTTTTCATTCTATTTTCAACAACCATCAGAACTATTACTCTTTTCACTATGGCTTGAAGTTAACCAAACCATCAAATTCGAGCTTGCTTATTATCCGAGTTTGCACGCGACATGCATGCTTGCTACTGACACCATATCTCTACAGCACTTAATAGAAAAAGATAAAGCGTGCCGCTAATGTCTCATGCGGATCGATATACTTCAAGTATACATGTACAACTCTAGCGGCCCATGAACCAATCATTTGACCACGAGTTTCAAATACTGCAAATCCATTGCTTAAGATTATCACCGTACAATCAATGTCAACCAACTTCGGCATCTAGTCTCCGAGTCGGTGGTCTTTACTTTGAGTATCTATTGAATTCCATCGGGAGAGAACGGGAACGTGGCCTCGGTCGAGTACGGTCTCAAAAGGCCAACGAGTCTTATTCAAATTACGTCATTGGCCCTTTACCTACGCGACCTCCAGATAAGATATGTACAGTTAGAATAAACTCATTCTCAAAAGTGCTTCTATTTCGTCAGAGTCTTAGGAACTCTTCAGGGTATCATACTATTGGATAATTATTAAGATATATAAATGCATGAAATTTCTCTAGGTACCTAGGCAGTTAATATCTCGTCGATATTAGAAGACAACTAGGGGATATCCAAGCTGAGTGCCCCTGAGATGGCTAGAAGTTTAGTGGACAATCCCCCTGAACTTAGACGTTAAGAAAGGCACTCGAAAGGCCTCGATTACAAGTTTGCAGGCACTAGAGACTGGAGCGTTGGCTAAATAGAGGATCAGGTTCAATTCCTATTAAATCACCGCTTTCCACTTTTCTTCACTTGGAGCATCCTCATTGCTATGTACATAATGTATAACTGCCGTCTCCATCCTGATTCCGTCGTCCTTTCGCAGCTCTCAATCCTGTTGAAGATCCAGTTGGACGTCACTAAGAAACTCGCGATGCCTCCCAGTCATATCCACCACGACAGTCCTAAAATGAGCCGAGTGTGATGAACTCGGTTCGTTATGGGACTTCGGGTCCTATATCGAGCGGCTTTGTCCAGCTAGTTAAGATATTGTATCCTAGTAGAAATAACGAGAGAGTCGGCATTAAACTGGCGCGTCGTGAGAATACTATCCGGACGAAATCAATAGGGAAAGAGAGTCCCTGACACCTTGATCTATAATCCGTTAGGCTTCTTGTAAACTTATGTGTAGATGACCGAGATGTAATACCGTAACCGAATAGCAGGAAATCATCCGCCAAGCCAATCGCCCACAAACCGTACCGAAAAGTAGGAAACCACCTCCTAAGCCAATTGCCCCGAAGGTTGAAGAATGAGATGAATGATAGGCGAAATATGGATTTAGACGCCGGCCTAGAGTCCGGGCGTTGGGGTGTTTCTTGAGGATGTCAGGAGGGCGAGTTATCCACTGCATGAGTCGGTTCGATGGCGGGCTCCTCCTGATTAGAAGGGTCCAGTGAGTTCTCGGGATGCACGCCGACAGACCTAGGGAATCTCGACGGGGTGGGCTTCCGTAGTGCTCTGGCGACTCTATGTATCACTGATCATGGGGAGAAAGGATGTCCTTATTCTGTCGGTTTGTCAGGTGTCCTAAAAGGTGCGGGGTTTGAGGCAGCGATGGAAATCCCTTCTCCTGGCACGGAAGGGAGGGAAGAATGAGATCAAAGCTCGCTAAAGGTCACCGTGAAATGGCATCGAAAGGGCATCGAGTGTCCATTGTGTGAAGTAGAGAGTGATGAAAGATGTTGTGAAGAGTTTGAGGTTGAGTTGAGTCTTGTTGAGACGCGGGGGATTGGGCCGGTTTATATATACGGCCACACACGGGTTGCTCCTTTCCATTGAGTCAGTTATGTACCTGAAAGAGAAGGTAATGACCAGACTTTGACTTTTCCCCTGGCGAGAAGGTTTATGATGGTGAAATGTTTATTGACAATAGTCTGATTTGGGCGTATTGAAATTTCCCCTTTTCTCTAGCAACCCGCTACAAATCGTGGAAGGCACATGTATTAAACACCGTAGGTAGACATTATCGCGTCGGTATACCTTTGAAGTGTAGATATATCATTCTTATTGGGAGTAAAATGCTAAGAGTAATCTCTCTAGACTACCTGTGTGGTTATGACTATCTTCGTTCAAATAATAGGGTTAATAGTTAGCAATACTTATAGGAACCAAAGGCACTCAACGTGACAATGCCAGAGTTGAACCTGTTAGTTTCTATATTAGATTTGCGATTTGCACAAATAGTGCATTAGTCTACGTAGTTTACAAAAAGGACGAACTTGCCCAAATGAATATATTATCGTCATAACTTGCTCGTTGAGCCCTAGTAAGTTTCCTCATGTATTGAGTTGTATGCAACGGGATGCGACGATAGGCAGAAGGAATGTGATGAGATTCTCACATTAATGTGAGTGTGGGAAGTGCGAATTAAGTCTTGTCAAGGCCTTTCTTGCTTTCACAGTCCTAAGATAGAAGGAGCGCGCAAATAATGACGTTGGTTGGAATAGTAAGGCAGCAGGCGAAGGTGAACCCGTAAGTTAGAGTCTCTTCATTCATCGCGTATATTGTGGTGGTAATGTTCGGATTTTGGCGAGATAATGATTGGTGGGCAGAGCTTATAGGATTTCTTTCTGAATTGACTTAATCGCCCGACTGAATGGCCTTCTAATGAATCAATTTAGCGTCGTCAACCTCTGGGATAGACTACGAGTGGATGAGAAATCCGAGTAATATTCAGATACTAGCCTAGGCATTTACTTTGGGATGGCGAATGACGAATTCCCTGAGTTGCCTGGGATTCAATCATTGTTTGCTTTTTGTTTTGTATCACCCAAACCCCCAGCCCCTCTGGGCTGTGCCATGCGGGAGATCGTCAGATTGTGGACGAACAGCTAATTCGTCGCCACCAGTTCAGTGAGTGCGGGGCTAATCATATCGGATCAGGCATCCGAAGGGTATCCAATTGCGAGGTATGCCTTTAATTCCTTGTAGTGTGAGGTCTTTAAAACTGCTATTCGCAGCCTTCTCGTATATCTGCTGTATGAAGGGTGGCAATTGAGTGCGATATTAAGATGCTTTTTAGGAAATGGGATACTCAATATATGGTATGCTGGATGGATGCCAATTAGGGCTGCGTGTGTTGCAACATCCACTGACCCTTCCTTCAAGTCGGATGCTATCTTATCACGTACATACGCCCAATCCGAGGCCGGTTGTGGAACGACCCTTAGAACCCACTACCATATGATGCGCAGATGAAAGTTGTTACGTTGAAGGTATGCAGCTGTTCGTGTGCGATGTTAATTAGTATGGTCAGCTTCCAATAAGAACACATTGGTCAATCGATTGATGAGTATAAGGCTGATTAACCGCAATCCGGTGAAGCAGGATCCCTGCATATTCGCTTCCATGAACTGGGTGCCTGGGAGGTCACGAGTGACACATATTTAAGTTAAAGCAGGCGGCTGTCCGAACGCCTGCACGTACGACGACCTTCGGTGGATATAGGGTATGTATATGCGCGTCCCTCATCTGCAATGACGCAGTGAATTCGGGGGGCTCTGTTCTATTCGGCTGTCTGGGCGACCAGTCCCGGTGCAATGCTACCGTGCTGATGTGGTGTCGATGCGGAGCCGATGCGGTACAAGTGAGCTTCTGCCAATGATCGCAAGCCAAGATCCGGGTCACCAGAACAAGCATGCATTAGAGCACTATAGTGCTCTGCATAATATCGTGTTGAGCCGCATCACTGACTCAATTCCCGCCCGTATGTTAGAACATGCGAATTAGAACTAATTGCCGCGGCTTGAAAATGTCTGCCACGGAACTTCTACCGTTTCCCATCGCCAGCCGTGTAAGATAAACCTCTCCTTAATTTGGGTCCGGGCTCGTACGAATCTTGTCACATGACATATTCTGAGGGTATTCGAAACATGGCCTAGTCTTAGTGACAAGTACTCTCGCAAGGCTTTTGATGTCGCAAAACGATGGGTAGATCTGGATATGAGACTACAAACATATGGTCAGCTGAAGATCCCGAAACACCATACTCAATCTGTTCCGCAGAGACACCAGAAATCGAGGAAGATCATCCGTTATTTCCCTTAAAGGATTTGTTCCTGCAGGTGGTCATGTCGGCTTATCAAGCGCGGGGGCGTCAGCGGGATGAGAGTGTCCAAGCATTCGACAACATAGAACCATCCATTGAGCCTATTGACAACGATCATGACGAAGATGAGCGCCCACGCAAACGTGGTCGCTTTTTAGACAGCACTTCAAGTACCACATCGGAAAAACAGACCCAGAGGACTCTTAATAAGCGGCGAGCGCAAGACCGCCGATTATGGCTTGCCTGTCCATATGCGAAAAAGGACCCAGTCCAATATCGCGATTGTTATAGATATTTCCTGGGTAGGATTCGTGATGTTAAGCAACATCTGACGCGTTGCCATCGCAAGCCGATATATTGCCCAATCTGTAATGAACTTTTTAGTGGCGAAGAGGAGAGGGATTCCCACATAAGACAGAGCACCTGTAAACCTCGCCCTTCTATCATAATAGAAGGCGTCTCAGAAAAGCAGAAAAAGGAACTTAGCCAGAGAGTATCCTCTAAAATGCCAGAGGAACAACAGTGGTTCACTGTCTTCGACACCCTCTTTTCACCACATCCTCGACCGAGAACACCGTATCGCGATAAAGAGCTCTCCGACGACTTATGCGTTTTTCATGACTTCATGACGGCCAGAGGACCAACGCTTTTAGCTGAGTTTCTGGAAGCAAGAGGAGTGACCACTGCAAACCTTCCTCACGAGGAGGGTGACTTATCGACATTTAAGAAAGAGGTACTTGCAGAGGCGCTGCAGCGAATCATTGATCAATGGGCCAGCGATAGTGCGACTATTGGACGAGTCAGCGCTCCTCATAGTCTACGGTCGTCACCAACTATTGACTCGGGAATTGCGATGCAATCTGGTTATTCGCAAACAAGCGAAGAACAGAAACCCGATAATGCGCCTAGAGCGGGCCTCCCTCCCCTTATTACGGGTAACAAAAGGAGCGAGGAAAATGAGAACCGATATACAGTCGCTTTCATCGATCGGGGAGGAAATCCGAGGAAGGAGGAGGGCACGGTCCAAGCCGAAGACGGATCTGGGGACAGTTTTCAATCTATGATGGACGCCAGCGCGACTTCGTCGAGGGATATCACCATGAATTCCAATCAGGACCACGCGTTAGGCGCCTCTGATGCTTTAACCATGTCTCAATTCGCAGCGCTATCGGAGTATGGCGAATCTTCCATTTTCAATGCGCTGACCGAAGCTTCGGATTCGTTCGACCATTTAAAATGGCCGCCTTGAAATATTGATACTAGCTTCGTTTAGCTCATAGTACCGTGTGCTATTAGGAGAGTCATGGATGTCTTGCGAGTTGGCGTATCTCGGCTGAAAGACGCGACCGTCGCAGCACCTGAGGGAATGTCAACACACGCTTTGACATCAGTCTCGCCTCTATCTGGGTGGTCGACTGCCCCTAGAGTTTTGCTTCGGTTGGAAACGTGTTGCGAAGAAGCTCATACGTGCATCTTTTCCGCGGACTAGATCAACTAATATGTTGATATCGCAACTTCGTCCAAGGTTGATCGACAAACGGCGCGTAACATTGAATATCACTTCACGGGGAGGACCTGTGCACATCGACTAGGACTTGAATGCGGTAATATATCGCGATAGCCTCATCTTATATCCTTATTCTGATGTGTCAGACGCGACAGACATATAGTAACAATGTCGCGCTGACACGAAATCTTGGGGACAACCATAGTTGGAAAAATGGTGCTAAAAGTCTGGAAAAGAACCTAAAGCGCTGGGGTACACGGCCTAAAATTAGAACATCGATGGGAAATAAAAGTATTGCATAATCATTGAGCATAACTATATTGGCGGGTGTATAAAATAATGAAATGACGCGTGTGGCTTAAATTGAGCTTCATTAGCTCAACTAATTTAATTCATAGTTATCATTTCGCACTGGAGGGGGCGTCGTCTTAAACCTTCTCCCCAATTCAACATCTCTCTCGAGAATGACTCCTTGGAGGACCATGATGCGATATTGAAGACAACACGAACAATACATCTTTGAAGATACCGAAGATCAGGAGATCTAAGCCATCCGTTGTTACGTTTGTCTCCACTAGAATCTGAGAACCAACATCCAATGACATTTGGCGCTGAAAGGGATCGACCTAACACGACCCTGCTTGATTCTGAATACGAAACGAGTTGCCGCGGAAACTTTTATGCGATGATAAATATGGAATGACAGCTCACTAATCCTATTCAGCTTACGATGTGATCTTTTGACTTAGATTTTATATACTGTTCTATTTGTTTTCTTTTTCTTACTCCCAGCTTTACCTACATTCGCTTGAAATGGCAAAGTTCGGACTTCGGTACTGGCTACCAACTCTTTTAGCGATCGTTGGGTTGGTTGCCTCATCAAATGCGCCGAGAGGGGCCTGGCCGAACGGGGCTTTCGTCACCTCCGGCCGGTGGATTCAAGATGCCTCCGGCTCAACCGTTACGTATGTCGGCGTAAACTGGCCGGGGTCGCTTGATGTTATGATCCCGGAAGGCCTACAATACCAGTCAATTGAATCAATCGTTTCTCGAATTAAAAGCCTAGGCATGAACGCAGTCCGGCTCACATATGCGACCGAAATGATAGATCAATACTACGACAATGGACAGACCGATATCCCGATCCAGAAAGCCCTTAGCGATGCCTTGGGTCAAGATGGCGGATCATCAGTGTATAATAAAATTATTACCAAAAACCCATCGTTCAATTCGAATACGACGAGATTACAGGTCTGTTGATTTTTTCCGATATGCGCGCATCGGATGTTTCGGGGCTAATGAACATGCAAAAGGTGTTTAATGCTGTCGCTGCCGAATGCGCGAAGCAGGAAATATACGTTCATTTAGATAACCACATCTCACAATCGGGTTGGTGTTGCAGCCCTCTTGACGGGAACGCCTGGTGGGGAGATAAATTCTTCGATGTTGGAAATTGGACCCGGGGCTTGTCTTTCATGGCAACACATGTCCGTCGACCTGCACTTTACTTGCGGTGAGATATATTACTAACTCCGAATAGGGCAAATCATGGACAAATTTCATGTCAATGTCGCTGCGAAATGAGCTTCGGTCGCCGTTGAGCAATTTCACATTCGCTGCCGAAACTTACAATTGGGAAGACTGGTATAAGTATATCAGACAGGGTGCAGACGCCATTCACAATGCGAACGCAGATGTCTTGATATTCCTCTCTGGCATCAGCTCCGACCAGGATATCAGCGCGGTAGTAAATGGGACTGCTCTCACACCCGGATCCGCCACGTTTAATCGAGACGATTTCTCTGGTTATGGGAATAAGTTGGTCCTCGAATTGCACGCATACGACAACATTCTTGGACCCGGCCCCAGCGATTGTAACGCAGTGAAGGATAAGTTGTCTAACGCGGGGTTCAAGGCATTGACGGACGATGCCCAGAACAAATTTCCAGTACTCTTGACCGAATTTGGCTTGGTACAGAATGGATCGGCGGCGCAAGATCCGTACGTCTCCTGCTTGCTGGATTACGCATCTTCTGAGAATGCCGGTTGGATGATTTGGCAATTAGGTGGAAGCTATTATATCCGTGAGGGAACTCAGGATTACGATGAAACTTGGTAAGTCTTAGGTCATTCCTTTCAATGAATTGCGACACCCGCGCACATTATGTGCGGAAGAATCACCCGGAAACGTACCTAACCTAGGTACTAATGAATATTTCTTGAAGGGGCTTATTGAACCATGATTGGTCGGATTTAAGAGCCACGGATTTCGTCAGCAACTCCTTAACTCCGTCGGCGAAGGCAACATTTGATATTAAGGATACACAAGACGACAAATCAGAGGCCAGTAGTATGAAGCCTATACTTGGTTCAGGTCTGTTCGGGTCATCGCTACCAGCTTATGTCGCAACATCTGTTCTGTGTGGAGTGATTATGTTCTACTAAAGTGGTCTTTGATTTAGAAATATAGAGCTACAATGTACCAGTTATTGAAAGAGATGATGAAAGGAATTGTTCGAGAATCTGAAATCCAAACCGCAAGTTCAGTATTAATTCATAACTCTTGGTGGTATTTCCATACCTTGGGTAGGTATTCCCCGTCCTCTTATTTTCCCCTCCTCAGCTTCTTGGGTATAATAGACAATATTCTAGGTATTACCACAACTTCAACGCCCGATAGGACTACCTCACCGCACATACGATCCTTCTTATCCATCGAGTTCGAATAATGTCCTCAGCTGAGCATCCTCGTATCCGGCATAAAGAGCCAATTGCAGCATAATACGCGACTTCTGCGGGTTTAGAAGTCCACCTCCATACACAAATTCAATATCACCCTCCGGCTCAACGTACCCATCCATCGACCGTCGCGAGTAGACTACAGCAGTGCCGTTATTCTTTATGACCTCGTCGATCGCAGCATCTCCCTCCGTAGTCCAACCCCCAGCTCCCATACCAGCCAACACGAGCCCTTTCGCCCCGCTCGCGACCGCAGCCGTCGCTAGAGCCGGATTGAGCGCCTGGTGTCCGAAAAGAATATCAACCTGCGGCAGACTCGTCGCATTCGTAACATCGAAATACGGTTTTTTCCACGGCAACGCCGGCGCGAAATAAAACTTCGGCTTGATATTAATGAAGAAGCCCAAATATCCCTGCTCAACTGCTTTAAACGTATCCAACGAATTGGCATTGGTCTTGGTAGTATAAAACGCGGTTCCGATCCGATCATTCAACACAATCATCGTGCCCCGACCCCGCGCATCCGGGTCCGCGGCAAGGGTCACGGCTTCGAGGAGATTAATTGGACCATCGGCGCTGATGGCTGTTGCGGGGCGCATGGCGCCTACGAAAACAACGGGTTTTTCGGAGCGGATTACTAAATCAACGAAGAATGCGGATTCTTCTAATGTGTCGGTGCCGTGTGTTATGACCGCGCCTTGACATAGTGGATCATCGAGAGCGGCTTGCACGCGTTGCGCGAGGTTGAGGAGGACGGCCGGAGTCACGGCTTCGGACCCCACGTTTGAGACTTGTACGCCGCGCACGTTGGACACGTTCCAGAGCTCCGGTACTGCGTCGATGAGAACGTCGACGCCGAGAGCGCCGGCTTGGTACCCTGTTGTTTGGTCGCTGGAGCTTGCGCTCCCGGCGATGGTGCCGCCTGTTGCGAAGATGGTTACATTTGGTAGGCTTGCGTTAAACGGTCTGTCTTCGCGCAGTGAGAGGCGGAATCCCGCGGGAAGGGGGAGGGGAGATCCCAGAGCTAGGGATGCTGTCGCGGCTAAAGCCAGAAACTTGGATGATACCATCATGACCGGTTGCATGGGCTTAGGTTCACTTACTGCCAAGAAAAGGCGGAATGAGAAATACGCCTCCTTTATGTAGAGCCGCATACTAGGGATTGGGTACCTACCTCTTATCTGCACGACTATGTGATGCGAGATATAAATGAAATTTGCGATGCCGGGTCGGCACGCATATACGACACTTACATGCACACCCCGTGTCTTGGCCCTGCATCTCGGTAACGACCTTCCTACCTTAGGTGGGTATCATTATCACTTTATAATCATTGGCGTATTAGGGCCTTCGAGCGACTTAAAGAGAAACCCAGGGAAGAGTCGAGAATCAAGTAATAGTGGTTTTCTTATCTTGAAAGAGCTTGAGATTGCCAAGAGATCAAGGTCTTCGTAGGCGACGCTATACCATCTACTTCCTAGTTCATCCGGCGGTTTCCGATTTTCAGATAAGCAGTCGGAGGGATACTGATGTAACCCTACGATATCTCGCTGCATGGGGATACATAACGCTGAATTACCCCTTGCTGGAGAGTATCTTAATTCGCATTACGTTGTCGCGTGGATATTCGCACGATACACTACCGAATAACAATGGCCCTAAAGATATCTACATCAACGAATCTCCAGAATGGAGCCAACCTATTTTATCAAGAACTCTAAGGTGCGCAACCAATCCAACAAGTTTACTGGGTAGGTAGCTAGGTATATAAGTACCTAGGTCACGGTGACATGCTATACAGGTTTACTACCATAAATCTACCATACTCCATGCGCTTTTATGCTGTTTATCTACCTAGTATAACTCGACGCTCGCGACAAGTCATGATAGTATAGTAAATAGACTGTCTAGCACATCTATGAACCAAAAAGAATGGACAACGTCGACGGACCAAGGTACGGATTCACTTAAAACAATTAGAAAAGAACAGCATCGTTATTATCATTAGATACGTTGCTTCGCTTCTTTTCGTGTTGTTTTTTTACGGATATCTCGCTGTTCATCAGCAATTTGTATAGAAGAACTTTGTTTCTCAGCCTAACCCCCCTTTTTTAGTATTTATATTCGACTGAATCTACCATGATATCATCATCAGGAATTACTATTAACGAACTATTTAAATCACCAAAACCCAACAGTTTGAAGAAACTGTTAAGGAATTTTTACGTACGCAATTATACTTTTTCATAGTAGACAATGGCGGAGCAAATAGATATAGACGCTGTACAAAGATACCATCAGCAGTATCTAGATGAAAGAGGAGGTGGAACGCAGAGAGGTGGCGTGTCGGCCCAGATGGATGGATTGGCCCAAAAGAATCTATCGAACCAGAGGATTCGAGAGCTCGAGATCGAGAACGCTAGACTTGACGCTGCCGTGGCGAGAGAAATCGAGTTTAGAGAAAGACTTCGACCGTATGGGCCCGGCTTGAGTATGGAAGATGCTCAGGAGGTAAGTCGTTAGAAACGGAGCAAGAAGGCAAAGCTAACATCTTTTAGTATTATGGGAATCTCATTTCAAACATCGGGTTGTTCGTCGCGAAATGGGCAATACCACTCATTAACAACCCCGACATCCAAGCTCGCTTCCACGCGGCCATTGCGACGAACCCTCAGCTTATAAAAGAGTTCCTTGATTATCTTAGGACTCAGCAGGACCTTCACCGCGCAGCTCTCGAGGTTCCACACATAGACCAGGATATTTTGGCGGCATTGATCACGAGATTTATCCATACCAATGTGTTGGGTTCAGACTCACTAGCCGGTATTATACCTCGGACACTAGTTAAGGCGCTGGACCATTTTCAAAATGTAATGAGCAAGTGTCCTAGTGATACTGGGCTAGCAGATAATGTACCCGTTGTTTCCTGGCGCGCACATGCGCAGAATTCTGTAATAGAACACCCAGAGTATAGCGAGCAACGGAGCTTAACCATGACTGTCCTCACGACGCATCTAGCAGGAATACTTCAATTCCTCAATATATATGAAGAAGGGGAATTCCTAGCCGATATAACAGAGCAAATCATTGGACCGGCTTTCGAGCTTCAGGAGAAGTTTCTCATATCGACTGAAAACATCTTCCATTTCGAGCATCAACAGCATAGTCCTTTTGGGCAGTGGTTTAATGGTAGTCGGGAACAGCTAGAAGATCTGAAATGCATAGATTCCGGTGTATTTCGAGGTAGGTTCGACGTCGGAAGTCTTTCACCTGAGCCAACCATCGAAGAACTCCAACAGCTTATATGGCTTATATGCAGTATACATCCGGCCCTGATCGGACAATCAATTTACGAGGGTCTGGAAGACCAAGTCATCATCGCTATGCAGCGGGTGTTGATCCATTTGTCACGCAATCATAGGCAGCCCACTGGAGGCACCTTCCTTGCTGTGATCCTGAAGGAGATGGATCCTGATGGTAGTCGAGGCCTATCCGTCGTTCTCGGAGGTTGATTCTGCTCTTTTATGCAGTTCTTCTCCTAAATTAAGTAGAGAACAATATTTTGTATTAATAATCCACTGGACCAATGAATAAACGAAGGTTCTACTATAAATGCTCCCGGTCATTTTATGTGACTGTTTAAGAAAGTTAACCCTAATATCATAATTAGCCCATGTTTAATTTGAGAATTGAACACCCAGAGCCTAAGGCCAAATGTCCTCACTCGAAATGCCTTAGGTGTCTACTTAAGTACCTACCTATCTAGGTAGGTAGGTATGTAGGTAAGCTACTAGTATGAACTCGCCTCATCTATCGTTAATCATACTATAAGGTATTATTTGGAAAAGAAGTAACCTCGAGGTTCTAGGTAGACTTCACTAGATGCCTATCGGATACCTACCTGAGTCCTTAGATTTTTTAGCGGTAGGTAGTCATATGGAAGAGAAATATATAAGCGTACTGTTCTAATCCAAAGCCGAGTTCAAGGTTATCCAGTTATCATACCTAAGAAACGCGAAGTCCCTTCATCACCCATTCTCAATTATCAGCTTAAATTTCAACAACTTTACAAAATGTCTCGCTACCAAACATGTTCTGTATGCTTTCAAACAAAATGGTGGAGCCAGTTTTTACGACATCGCCGTGCGCTAACAAAGAATTGTAATCATCCTTCTTCTTTATGCCTCGATTGCATTATTTTACATGTGAAGTCTCAGGCTCAGGATGCTACAATAAGTCAAGTCGTATGTCCTGAGTGCGAGGAAAAGCTAGAACACGACGAGATACGACGTTTCATCGACAGCGAGTTATTTGATCGGTAAGTTATGTCGGAATTGACAAATACCACTGTGCTTCTTGTAATGCCCCTGAAACTTGTAAATAACATCAATCTAGGTATCGGAGACGTGAAATAGAACGCAATTTTTCTAAGACCGACGGCTTTGTTTGGTGTCCTCTCGGTTGCGAGACGTACCTGATCCATCCTCCAGGGGCTAGCCAGCCCTACGTTATTTGCCCTAGAGATAACCGCGCGTTTTGTTTCCGTCACAAAGTCGCCTGGCATAGTGACCACACGTGCGAGGAATATGACGCTTTCCTAGCCGAACCTCAAGGTTTCCGAAGAAATTTGATGCTGCACGGATTTTCTGGGGTTGCACAGTCGTGTGCAAATTATTTGGGCCTGTTCGGAATAGATAGAGGGGCCGAAGAAGCACGGCGACATCGGGAGCGACTCGAAGAAGAAGAAGCAGCAACTAGAAGGGTCTTACCGACGTTAACTCGACGCTGCCCAGGGTGCCAGGCACCCATCCAAAAAAATGGCGGCTGGTAAGTCGATTCCTTAAGCACGGCTCAAGATTTAAAGTAGATGCACAGAAATACTAACGAAAATCTTATAGTGATCACATGAAATGTATGGCTTACTTGTACGTTGATGACATTAGGATAACATGCTAACATAAATTATTATAGGTTCTCAGTGCGGCCGCGGCTTTAATTGGCGTTAAGTGTTTGGCCTGGAAGCCTGGTAATGGGGTGGCCTGGTAGTAGTCGCTTTTCGTGGACGCAATTTCTAAAACAGAGCATGTAATGGAGTATTAATGGCTAGCCGAAGGGGAGTTTCGCATTTCGAAAAGACGGTGCGAGGGGATCAAGATATCTACGTACATTGACTGGGTTGAAGTTCAACCACTCTAAAATCATAAAACCCCTTTAATATCTGGCTCGACCAGGCTTCGTGTGAAGATTCATTATGCCTACCTAGGTACCTAGGGAAGGCAATATACATGATGGTAACTATGATCTCCACGATCGATGCTTCTAGGTAGCTGATGTCGAGGATCACGTCAGTGTCAAGCGTGCTACCCTACCCTGTTCTCCAGACGCCCAACATACGGGCCCCTTAACGCATTCCACACTATCAAAGCTTCCATTATCAAACACATGCCATTTCCGTCCTCCATCAAGAGTTAGGTCAGACCCAGTTGGTCCTACCGCAAGCGCGATGTTATAAAGGCCAGGAACCCAAGTAGATCCAGAGCGGTAACCTCCAGGAAATGAAGTTGAAGGGATCCAAGTTTTGCCCCCATCGTTCGACCACGCGGCGTTATCGATGACACCCGTAGGGAACGAGTAGTTTCCACCAACAGCGATGCCATTCTTCGCATCACGGAATTGCACTGAGAAGACACCAGAACCATCACCACCGGCGATAGAAGTATTAGAAACATCCCAATGGTGCCCATCAGCGCTCCTGAAAACACGACCAGGCTCAACACCGCCCGAACCAATATACCAGCGTCCAGCCGTCGTAGTAAGACACGTTCCGCTCGCAGCGAACCCAGATTCACCCTCGCGCGCCGGCGGCATATCTCCAGAATCCACGATATCCCAACTCGCGCCTCCATCGTGTGTCTCAATAAGTCGGACCTTCCCGTCCACGGGATCACTCATCGCCATGCCATGTCTCGGGCTCTCAAACGCGATGCAATCATAAAACGCGGTCGGTTCCTCATTCGTAAACGTCTGTTCCCACGACGCGCCACCATCACTCGTGAGGTAGACACGCGAGCTATTGCCCTCGCCGATGGAAAGTATCACAGCTCTATCCGCAGACCAAGCCTCTACATCCCGGAACTCAAGCGTCGCATCTTCATCCGATAACGGCGGGCCAACGGATGCCCACGTGCGTCCGCCGTCAACAGTACGCAAGACAGTCCCGCTAGTACCCGCGACCCAAGCAATCCTATCCGACACAGGCGCCAGCCCGCGGAAACGCGCGTCGCTTTCCGTGGACAGTAACTTCCACGTCGGTGTTACCAAGCCATTGACTAAAGCTCCGGCGCCTAGCACGAGCGACCACAGAAGATGTGTCATGATAGCCTCGTGACGAATAAGTAAATAATTGACGTGAGGAGGCGGGAAAGAAAGCTCGTCCCTTTTAAATCCCTTCGCGATCTTATTTTAGTGCGTCCCTGGCATTCCATACGGATCCCTGCGATTCAATCCCTTCTTGCCGGATTGGGCAGGCCGATACTACCATATCATATCTTCTATCGCTCAACGCTAGCTTTTATCGTGATGGGGGGTTATTGTGTAATAGCTAAGGATTCAGATTTCTTCATTACGGTTTGAATAATTAGGTATCTAGGTAGGCAAGAAACTAGGATAGCCCTAGAAGTTGAAAATTCACTCACTGACTTGCGGAAGAGGATGTAAATATCGTGCTTGTATTTACTATATGAAGAAGGTTCATTTATATCATTAAATCATATAAAACATCGCTGTATGTAGATTTCTCACCTTTCATATCTACTAGTTCATGTATCTCCCCTTCCTGCTCTCATATGGGAAATACATGGATGTAGATGAATGGCCCTTTGGTGATCGTGGCCCACCACCACCATGTCGCCGTTGCGCATTGCCGTCTGGATGAGGGAGAGTGGTATTGGCGAACGCACTTCTAGAAAGCAGTGGTTTAGAACCGGTCCTGATACGCGGGGTTGGAACTCTGCGATCGGAAATACGCTCGATGGGCGGAGGTGAGGGGGTAGATACAAGATAGAGCATAGGGTTAACGGGCTCAACAGGCGGAGGTGAAGGGGTGGATACGAGGTAGAGCATAGGATCAACGGGCTCGACGGGCGGAGAGCTTGGTACGAGGTAGAGGAAAGGATCAACGGGTTCAACGGGCTCAGGGCTTGATACAAGGTAGAGCATGGGATCAATGGGCTCGGTTGGGCTTCTCATTTGTGTGATCGTCTGTGCCGTTGCTACTCCAGTAGTTACTTCTCGAGGGACCTCGTCGGTGTCTAGCGATGACGCAACTGTAAAGTCTGTGGAGTTTGACCCGAGAGAAGAGTATGGACTGTAGGAATGCCTACCATTGAGTGTAGTAGGTTGTAGGCTATTATTTCCACCTTTGGCGCTTGTCTGGGCTGCACGATGCTTAGTAGGAGGCTTATACTGAGATTGAAATACAAGTTCCAACCTTGCCGGGTCAAATTCATGTGGTATAGCTTCTGTACATGACCATCTGGACCTTAAATATCCATCATAATCTCTATGCTCGGAATTTCTTTTCGGTAGAATCCTTGCAGGTGGCATGGACGCACGTATGGGCGCTGCATAGGTAGGCGATGAGTTTGAGCTGCTAGGAAAATCCTCATAGGTCCCATATCTCTGCCATCTTCTTGTTGTGGCCGTGGGGTCCTCAGGCAAACGGTTTCTCATCTTGGACTTTTGACGGATAAAGACACTCGACGATTTCATGTTGGCTTCGGGATACGCGAAGGTGCACCCACCTGACGGCGTCCTCGCGAGAGGGCTCGATAAAGCGTTGGCTTATTATAGAACAGTAGATTCTTTGACTTATTAGACTTCATTGAATTGGTGTTAAACAATCTACTTTTAGCGATAATAAAGAAGCGCGCGAGAAGGAAGCCTGCCTTTGTGCCTTGTTATGGCGACTCCGCTCATTGAAGTCTTGAAGCATCGCTCGAATACTGCAATTGGCCATTTCATTGGCACTCGCTGAGCCTATTGAACCGTGATGAATAGTATTGTATGCCGTTGATGTGAATTACTTCCGCTACAAAGAACGCCTGGTTAATAACGTATCAAAGCATGCATTGTTGTTAGAGGGTGTATTCTGGTGAATTTCGAAAGGGAGTTGTTTGGTACCTGGCATGCTTGCGGCACCCCTGAGTCGGTAAGGCCTAGGCCTAAGAAGCGGTATGTATGGGGAAGAATATTGGTGTAACACTTAGAACATCTAATTTTAGTATATTTTTCAATTTTACAGGGCTCATATTTCGTGCTTTTTTCTCATCTATTGGTACCTACCTACCTGACGGCGCGGACCGAGTACATTTGACTTAAAACATACAGCAGATAGTCAACTTTTAGATCGTTAGATCCCAGCTTATTGGAATATTCGTCATCAACTTACGACACTAGCGATTGTGGAGATTGACCTAGATCAATAACTTGGCAGATTCGCTGATAGCCCTCTATTTTATGCAGGTCCTGTAAACTCTTTTTTATTTTGGGTCTCAACTAGAAAATCTGGGCTGGTAATTGCAATTTTTTTTTTCATAACCCTTCGAAAACATCGTTCCGTATGTGGATGTTTTAAGTCATAAAATAAAAGCTTACGACGCTGTGGACTTTGAACCACAATTTACAGAGGGCGTAACTAGTGTGAGTGAGTGTTCATGCCAGCGTGTACGTCCGAGGGAGGAGGTCTAGGCCGGGCGCTAGGGATCTCTACACGGCTACGTGCTGCGATGTGACGATGCCGCTTGTACCGACGGCAATCGTCCGCCTAATGCGGAACAACTTTATTGGGACGTCAAGAGCGTAATATGCCATTTTGGGATCGTTTTGGAGTTTTCGCGGGTGACAAGGCATAATCGGAAGGTTATTGCGCATTGAAATCAAGAACTCTTGGGTCGAATTTGGGTCGAATTCGGGTGGAACTTCTTAGCTTAGAGAGAGGACATACTCTCACAATGCGGAATTATCGATGGTTTCGTGTAGAATGAGATTGATACGAGGAAATTGGCCGGAGTGAGAATCGGGACCCGAGTCTTTGGAAATAAACCAATTAAGACGGTTGAAAATGGATGCAAGTTATGTATCATATGCGGGATAAGTCGTACAACAGCTGCGCTACGGCGTTGTAACCAGAGTGCTATTTACATCTCACTGGTACGGTAGCAGGCGTGAGCGTTCGCCAGTAAAAGCTGTTAGGTAGCGGCCCTCTTTTTCTCTCACACCGAAATTTTGGCACAATTTTTTTTCTCGTATGTTGAGAGAACAAAGGCTATCATCATGCTACACATAGCATTCCCGCATTAATCCCCCGCGTCATCGACGGGATGACCGGAAGTCCTCGTGTTCTGAGATAAGGCGAGGACTGTACTGATGTATGTAATTCATGTAGGTCATGGCCGGACCGACTGTTGTAGATTGGTAGATTAAAGGGTTAGTGAGCCTCAATGGGGAGAAACCCCACGAAGGTCGTAAGCGACCCCGCCGCAGCGACGGACTATGGATCTATCTCCTCAGGATTTCCGGGACCGTTGCATGTTAGGCGAGGGGACTAAAAAGTGCATTAAGCATCAGAATAAAGTCTCCTAACAAGATAAACTAGCGGAGAACAGGTAGACCGATCTATGAAGTCATCCCGTACGAGGGACCTGGTTAGAAGGCCTTAGTTTGGTGATTGTTCGACCGGCTCGTCGGCCTGCTGACCATTGCCTACTTCCTGGGCGCCGAGGGCTGACTCAATGTGCCGCGTTCCAGCGATGATCCGCACCGGAACAGGTGAATAACTTCGAAAGTGGAGTTAGCGTCCGCTTTCTTTGTTGCTGAGGATACAACATCAGAATTTCTAGTGACGATATTTGGCGACGAAAAGTTGCAGTCGGCCATTCGCGGTCAATGATGGTTTTCTTTCGATTTACACTAGCGGACGATGCGCCGCTCGATGGATACCTGGATACCCAAGTACATATCCCGGTCCCGGTCAGGTTACACTTCGATCTTGTTACCTACATCAGCGTCAATGTAGGTAAAGTTGCTATTAGCGAGCTCGGACGTCATTCTGTTGTAACCAGTAGCGTACGAATTCACACCTACCTTGTAAGCGATGCGAATTGATTTGGGCATACGAAGTACCTTCTTAGGTATCCGATATTCCTTACTTTCATGAATGCTCTAGGCAATGTAAGTATCTCGCAATGCATTTCCCACGTATGTAAGACGTGGTGGCGTCGTTCGGATAACGGCTAGCTTTCGGCATATTTTTAGTCTCGGATCTAAAAACTAGGCGATTTGGTCTCAAAGCCAAGTTTCTCATTAATAAAACTGGCAGACTGGGAACGATAGCATCCGGTGTTAGTGCCAGTTAGTTAGGCTGCGTGGCTAACAGTTGGTAGCTGGTGTCGGTCACGAGAGAACTACCTAACTTGGTCGATTCACGAACGGGCTGATAGTTAGACTAGAAAGTCGGCGACCTATTCTCTTCACGTCATAACGTACCATCTCCTCGGCTCACTCGTGGTTCTGATGGTTAGCATGGGTAGCGTCGATAGCGTCGCTGACAAGAGTGAACAAGGTCATTGTTAACATACCCCGCAGCGGCAGCACTGCATCTGCATCGTGTGATAATCGGAACTAGGTAGTGTAAGGTAAGCTAGACAGGCATCTAGGTAGACATGTAGGTAAGCTTGTTCGGGCCAGTCGGCAGCGCTGAGTTCTCGTCAAAGTAGTAGCTAAAGTAGCTACACTAAGGATAACTCGAATCCCGAAAGACGTAAACGGCATTGTCTGACGCAAAGAATCGATGGTGGAAGAGAAAACAAAAGACCCATAGTGCCATTCATAGGTCCCATAGTCCCATATACTTAGTTCTAACTGCTGTGTTCCCCGCTCCAAGTCGTACAATAAAGAGGGCGGTGATCGTCGAGCGCTAGACCCAACGTAGCATGTGGCTTTGTATTTCTTGCCAGCACAGCGATGCGCCAGAAATGCGTGGTGACGCCCGGGTAGCCCCCAATCTCGTATTTGACAGCTCTTGCAGCTTTCTGCGCAATGCTACCTACACTACCTCCTGTATGCGCTCCGCTAGGCGCTCGATGGTACACATACTAAAATATGTAGGCTTATGTATGTTTATGTATGTTAGGCACCATCCTTGCCAGGTCAGGGGTTCAGCTCCCAGCCTCATTTGGCACAAGTGTGAAGCCCATCATAACCGCTCTGGGGGTTTCCTAACCTCAATTGTTCTAGGATGGCTTGTCCTGTTCCCACAAGTTCCTGCGAATCAACATCTAGAAGCTATGACGTTTCCTAGGATCTTTCAAGGCGGAACATTGCCTTTGAGAGTAGCTACTAAAAAGCAGACCATAAAGAGATCGGCGTCTTTGTAGTGAGATAACGATCGTCAATTGTTTTTTGGACCTCTACGAATCCTCGTCTTACATTTAAGGGACATTGTCCCATCCCTAAAATCCAATGACGATGGATAGGGAATTCGACATACCTCAGTGCCCTTAATAATAGATCTGAGCCCAATCGCTCGTCATCCGCGTGGAGATTCTTCGTCGACCCTTCACGCCTACCATATATAATATATTAATAATAGTAATCAACACCTTCAAGGGCAACAACTGATCGGCGCCATGCGATTTTCCCTTGCCTCAAATGCCCTTTGCGGCGCTGTCGCCGTGTCCGCCTTGTCCGTTCCCCGGGCCGTTGACAAGCGGGTAACTCTCGTCGACCTCAAACAATTCGGCAGCTTCCCGACTATCACACCTGAACAGGCCCATGCCGAGGCCGAACCTTTAAGCAGCATCCTGGGTGATGGACCCCAGTTTGACAAGATTGGACAGTCCACCGACAGCGATACCAAGGAATCACCTGCCGCCGGAGAGGAGAAGGCCACTGCTGCAGCTGACGGTACCTGTGATCGCAACAACCCGGCCGTTCGTTACGAGTGGAGGAATTATGCGGCGGACGACAAGAAGGCCTTCGTCAACGCCATTAAGTGTCTGATGGGTAAACCCTCTACCGGTGGATTCCAAGGATCGCAAAGCCGTTATGAGGATATCGTATCGGTACATCAGCAACTTACTCCCACCATTCACCAGCGTGCCGTGTTCTTGCCATGGCACCGATACTACGTCTCCGTATTCGAGTCGGTTATGCGCGAGGAGTGTGGTTTCGACAGAGCTTTCCCGTGGTGGGATGAGACTCTTGACTCCGGAAAATACGCTCAGTCGGAATTGTTCACCGATGCATACTTCGGACCTCTCCCCGGAAAGACGTCCGACGGCCAAGGTACCTGCATAACATCAGGTGTAAGTTTTCCCGATTACTTTACTCGTTGGATGCAGATTTACTAATTGTGCGACTAGACTTTTGGAGGTCTTACTCTTCACATTGGCCCCGGCAGCGGATTCACAGACCACTGTCTCGCACGAGCTGTCGATGAGAGCTTGACGGGCACCGTCTCCACTCAATTCGTTCAGGACTGTAACTCGCGCACTTCCTACGATGACATGCGAGGTTGCCAGGAACTTGGGTATGTTTTTCCATCTTTCATTATCACCACAGCAAATTACTAACAGATATACCAGACCTCACGCTTATGGCCACAACGGAATTGGCGCAGTTATGGCCGAAGTTCAGGCTTCTCCCGGTGACCCCATTTTCTTCATGCACCACCTTTTCGTCGACCACTCATTCCGCATCTGGCAAAACGCCGATGCTTCGCGCACCACCACTATCAATGGCTGCGCCGATGCCAACAACCCTTGCACGCCGATCACGATGGACTACGTTCTAAGTTCCAACGGACTGCGACCGAATACCACCATCAGTGCCGTCATGGACACTCTTGGTGGCGATCTATGCTACCGCTACGACTACTAGTCCCTTTTCGACATTATATCATTATTTTTTAATTACGGTCGCTTATACACTTTAGATAACATGACGACTCATTTTATATCGTATTTATTTTCATGATGACCTGGCGTTAGACGGATGGCGGGCCTATTGTGTGATATGACAGCGAACGAGCAAAAAAAGTTGCATCGGGTCGCCCATATGGTGATATCTTCATAGAAAAAAAAGGAGGCCCACTAAATCCTTACCTAGTAATTTTTATTATACCCAGCAGATTCGATGTTTAGTATACTCTAGTATATAGAAACGATATCTGTATGTATATTCAAATAAAAAGAATCTAGCAATGTTAAACAAATTCTCCACGATGTCTTAAACATGGATCGCCACTGCATTGAAGCGACGCCTTGAATACGACCGACTTACATGTATCTTTTAGGACTTCCGGGTAATGGGTTTCGCCCTGCTGCACCTTGGCCTCCTACTGCGACACACCTACCCACCATTATACATAGAGTACACACCATGATAAAGACACGTGCGTGCCGCGCACTTAATCTAAAACATATTCCATATATATTAGACAAAAGCCGAGATCATTTTCCTGTTCCTATTTTCATCAATATTCAATATTCTGGGTGTCAGTTCGTATTTGGACATTTGATATGAAAGCCCGCGCCAGCCCTACCGGGGGGCGGCGTCCTCTACCAAAAATATAACCGGTTCGGTAAACCCCTTATCGTGGGCCACAATAAGGAATGTTCTGTTACCTACTTTCGGAGGGTTTTACGATCGTACACATTCCTTCTTATCTCTATCTGCAAACCCCTTTTCGGTCAAGAGACTCAGCCTCTTTGTTCTCCATATAATTAAAATGAAGATATCGGAATATTACGTACACCACAAACGCCGACATGGTTGAGTAAGCGGGGCATTAATCGCACGGCACAGCCACTGCCCTCTCATACCCCTTTATTATGCCTTTTTTATGAATCATCATTCTCAGTTCACTCGTATATTGAGATTAGAAAGTAGACTTTCAAAATCCTGTTGAAATTCTGTTGGATATTCTACATACTAAGTGACTAACTAGGAATCATACAGATAGCAAAATATAATTCACACAGTGCAAACGCTAATAATACATATCTTACGTCTTTTACGTTGAGCGTTTGATACTGAAAACAGGCCTCACCGTCCATTTACCTGCCGTAAAGATCAAGCGTCCTTCTTCAGCAAGACGAGCCGGATCGACCAAAATATCGACGCCAATTTTCGTGGTGTAAAGGTTGAATACCCGGAAAATTACATAGATCGAGTCATCTGTGGATAGCCTCTTCATCTTCTTATATTGCGCATCCGACATGTAAAACGGGGTATCCTTAGATCCCGGCGTCGTCTTCACTTCAATATAGTATTTCGGATGGCGGCCCCGCCATTGGGGCCCAAGGTGTTTCCGGTTTATAAAAACCTCGGTCAGTGTTCCATGGCTGTCTTCGTACTCCAAGTCCGATGTCTCGTTGTCCGAACAGCTATCCATGTTTGCATAGTCCGCGTGAGCGGTCACATACATTCGGATCGTGGTTGTCCAATTGGCTCTGGTGAAACCTCTTAGGGCCGGACTCATTGCGCGTAGAAGTTCGAAAACCTGGATGCGTTTATTAGTGGCTTCTTCAATTAGGAGATCCCATACAACATACAAATAGTTCACCCGCAGCTCCGACTTTCTTGTCGCGCTCAATGGAGTGAAACGCGTCCGTTCCAAATAGGCCACGCTCGCTAAACGTTCTCGGCTCGGTACCGTCCAACGCCTCCCTAAGTCCGCAAAGGTCGATGGTGTCGGTAAGGGCGCGATTCCTCTTCCCTGCTGATATCACATGCGATAAAAGTGCGATATATTCTTGTGCCTGTTCTTCGAGGATGCGTGCAGAAGCGTGTTCGGGGAACGGCTCGGGGGACAAATTCTCCCGTGCGAAAGGAGAGCGACTTTGAGTCCTACTTAGACCAGGACTGGGAATACCATAGGACCTAGGATATGTGGCTGGCGTCTCCGACGCGTCTAATCTAAGATGCTCGATATCGAAAATAGGTGTTCTTGGTTCCGACGGAGGCGTAGCTGCTCTTGGAGTAGATGGGCTCACGGCTGTGGGAGTGGTTGCGAGCGTAGGGCTGGATATTTCGGGGAGTGTATCCTCGTGTACCTGCTCGGGAATAGAGACTTCGATGATTCCTTGTTGGTCGAGACATCTATTTACCTGTGACACCTTACCGTACAAGATGCTCTGAACGAGTTTGGATACACTAGGATTGATTTGTCCGTGCTGGTCTGCCGCAGGATCCGTCATTATCCACTTCGCAAGGCAGTCCGGAAGCACAGAGAGGTATGAGTCGTCCCGTCGTTGTTCGTCATATGGTAGGTAGATGTACAACCCATCGCTGTCGTCTATATGGATCTCGCCTCTGTCAACCTTGTGGCTAACTGTTTGTCCATCAATCGAGACTGAAAACGTAGTCGAAATCCCTTGCGTTTCCCAAGTGCCTAAACCACGGAGCAAGTCGTAAAATTCTTGCCCATCTCCTTGAATTCGGGGGCTCTTGAAATGTGTTGCAATGCTACGAATGTTTTGTTAGTCAAGGTACAGGACTGGACGCCCGTGGGAATAAGTAACGTACCGTAATAGCCCATAGGCCTTTTTGCTGACGTCTTGAGTTGGGTCGGAAATGGGTATTTTGACGCCCGAGTCCAAGTCCGAGGATTCTTTGACCATCCACGACAAGTACCGATCTTCGAGACCTGCCCACTTTATGAGAGCACCTAAATGGCAGATCTCGTTCTTGGTGAAATCCAGAAGCTTCATTTTACCACCAAACATGTCATGAAGACGGTCGCGGTCAACGATAGCGAACTCCACATCCGACGAATTGAGCGTTACCTGGCCGTTACAGTTTCGGATCGGGAGGATAGGTTTTTGTAGTAGATCCTCTGCCGGCTTGTTCAGGGGAGCGAGCTCGAGCTGTGAGTTGAGCGTCCAAAAGAGATCCTTGATTTGGTCCACGCTGGCTTCTTCCACATTTAGTCGTAACAACTCGTTATAGACAACGGCACCATCAAGCCTTTGGACGCCAAGCTTCTCGACAAAAAACTTCTCCATTTCGGCGTCATAGATTGTGCTCAAGTTGATTTTACCACGAATCGATGTTGGGGCAGACCACAGGCACTCAGATGGCTTAAACCACTTCTGGTTGCCAATATCTGCATAGATCAAAGCATCCTCCTCAAACATCTCCCTAGCAAAAATGATTAGCCTCATTAGAAGTCTTTCGATTACTTTACTAGCTTACTTTATTTGCTCAGAAGCAGTGCCAGAGATCTTCGTACCCCTCAAATATTCGTATAAACTCTTAATTTCGGCGACAGGCCAATTATTCGTCTTGCATTCTTGAACCGCTTCCGCAACATTTTTCCATGTGCATTTTGGAAGCTGCAAAATTTCGCTGAAGAACTTCTTGAGGATGGGTAAATCGAAGGTGGGACTTGGAAACGCCGCAAGGTATAATGAGTAGATTGGGGGTGTGGTTCTCATACAAACCGGGCCATCAAGTAAAATATATTCTGACGAGTCCCAAGTAGACGGAGGAGAGCCATCACACTGTGGTAAATATATGGCATAATTTTCCCTAAAATATTCCCTAAGTGAATGGTGAGTACAGCACAACCAAAATCAAACTCGAGCATAAGAGTAGAAATAGTGTTTACGTACCGTATTTTCGCTAGTCTGCTTTCTCTTATAGCGTTATCTGAGTGGGTGCATTCCGAATGAAGACGAATATATAAGTTTGGAACACGAGAGGGGTCAACTAGATTGGACGGAAAACTGTCATTTTCCTCCATGCAGTTAAGCATATCGAAGTAGAAGTCTAGGTTGGCGTCGGCCTTCACCCCAATATCTTTCAGGAAGTCCCATCGAAAAAGTTGATCAGGGTCATTACTGATCTGAAGAAAAGGGAATAGCTCCCCATACCTAATATATTCGTCATGCTTTTCGAGCAATGCGGTCGTTGGGAGGTATGTGTCCCATAGAGCGATCATTTGACCACCCCGGCATGGCACCTTGATCAACCCCACGCCATTCCTCGTCCCCGGTGTCAGACGCGATTTTTCTGAATCCCAACAATATCTAAGGAAACCTAAAAAGTCTGAAGGGAGTGATTGTGAGACGAATTGCAATTCACCCGACAGTGTCGAGCCATCCCGACTGACAAGTCTCGGATACAAGCGGACGCATAAACACTCTTGTAGCCATTGTTCCCATGTTAAGTCATGATTGTCGGATTTATCGGGATTATTTTCGAAGTAACTTCTGTGCAAAAAGTGTATATTCCGCCACGATGGGCGTTTATCGGGTTCAACTTTGGCGACTAAATTCGAAAGACCATATGGATTCGTGTCTATAAGGTAGAACGTGTTCTGCGAGAGCGAATATAATTCTCCGTCGGCATTGCATAAACCCAATCTGGAGTATGTGCTGGCGGGGTGACTGCTGGTATGCGTAAGATAAAGGAATTTGAGGTGAGTGAGCGAAGTCGTGTGATTTATCCCAAGGTAGCCTGTAGATTGATATCTTTGTAAAATGGAACTGCGGACATCGTGAATTAGGAAGTGTTTCACTCCCAAGTGAAAGAACAACTCTTTTCTCTCTGGCACTCGCGCCGCGGCAGGCTTAACCAGACGCGCTCCAAGATCCGCAGGGATCGGCAGGCCACCACGAGTAGTCGCGAAATATGTAGCAACTCCGTTCGGACTCACCCATGTTTCATCAAGAAGAGGAATGAGTTGTAGCTCTTTTACCTCTGCTACTATGTCGCTCCAGCCGTTTTCGAAGGGAAGGCTTAGAAGCTCAGCAGCACGAACATGCCAGGCATTGTCAGTCTCAGAACGCATTCTAGATACAGGACTCAACAAATCCCACCTGACTCTTTCAATCAAATCCTCGAAATACATAGAAGAAAGTCCATAAGACTCTAAAATATCAAGATTTTCATCCGAATAATAAGGTGAGATATAACACGCTTCGTCCCCCGGTAAATCGTCAAATAAGGGGTTCCCGTGGTGATCGCACTCGTCAGGGTCAAGTCGGTTGGCTTCGCTTATTCTTCTTAAATCAGAAGAGTTGCGTAAATATAGCATTTCTTCGTTTTGAATGCGATCCTTGATCTTATCTACGAGTCTTTGCCAGAACGAATCCCATGGATAGCCCGACAGCGTTGGTAGATACCTCATCCACTCATACCTCAAAGTCTGGTGTTGGCAAAATTCTCTCATCGCAACAATAAAAGAATCTGCAACCGAATCTAATAGACGAATGTTCCGGGGCGAGGAAGCTACGATGTCTTCTCGGTTTGCTTGGGTGACGAAGTCGCTATGTATCAAAAACTAGGATTGATCCAATAGTTAGTTCATAATTCATTTCATTCGGTTGACATGAATCTTACGTTAAAACCGACCCGACGTACGGGAAGGAATGCGAATACTTCTTGTGGCTCGATAAGTGGTTCATCGCTATCCGTAAGAGGAAATGTGAGGACGACTGGGGCGTTGCTATAAGCCCTCGTCGCTTCTTCCTGAGCTGTGTATTCCCTGTTTTCATTCCCCGGTAGGTTACGTGCCAGGGATTCAACAACGTGGTATTTCTGTCTCGTATATGTCGTTTGCCCATTTTCGATATGCGCTTTTTCGAGCAAGCGATGACTGCCTTGGAGAGTGTTTCTTGCCGAGAGGAATGATGATATAACGCTTCCATCTTCGTTGTGAATGCGTACGTTGATTCGCTTTAGATTCTTTACAAACAACAGCATAGCAGGCTGAAGCTCGTTTAATTGCTGTAGAATGCTTTGTCGTTGCGTCGTTCCTTCCCCATCAGCATCGTCGCCATGCAAAAATAATGTCATTCTCGTCAAGGGCGCCGTTAGTTGTTCTGTTGGTTCCTGCCACACTGGGGTGATCATCCCTATCCCGGAGTCCCCCTTTCGGTGTGTGAAAGTGAAAGAATAATAACCAGATTGGATATGGACCTTCCAGGCGACTTTGAAGACAGACTTAAAGCCAATGCCTTTCTCGCCGACGTAATCTTGAGCTCCCGTCTTTGAACTTTTCCCGATGTTGCATATTGCTCGTATATTACTCTCGTTGAATCCATCTTCATTGCAATCAATGACGATGCTGTCCCTGAAAACATCGAATGATACATATGGTTCGGCCCCAGAAGCTATCGCCTGTTGGAAGTGATTATCGTTTGCGTTCTGCAATAGCTCGAATATGAATCTAACATCCTTAGAATATAGATTTTTCGCTAATCTATAAAAACCGTGTTAATGACCCCAGGAATTCGTTTTTCTTAGGAAGGAAGTCATACGTTATGACACTTAAACCTAGCATCTCCTCTATTATGAGGAATGCTTCTTGAACGTCACGACGAGTTTCAGCATCCATGCGGGAGTAGACCTCCTCCCTTAGGTAGCCATATTTCTTGGCGATCTTTTGCACGAACCTGCGTGCATTATCGGCCATTTTGATCGTGTGCTTATAAGACAAATAAATTGACAACCTCTTGGTGCGAGCTCATGTTTCTAATCGTTAAATCATGATGCCGAGTTTCATGGTCTTTTAATAATACACGATTATATATGGGAAGGCTGGCGGTTGAATTGACACCTAGGTACTCCCTGTCGGCCCCTGTCGTGAAGTTATATCAGAGGCGCGCGTCTATACCAATCGGATGAGGGATGTGCAGGCGTAGGATGCGGGCCGACGCCATGACGAACCACTGGGGTCTTCCGATGTTTCATTTTACATGGTATTCGAGAATGGAAGAAATGACCTGTCTCTTTCATAACCGCGGGGAGGGTTGAATTGTTGGTGACAGGTTTCAGAAAAATCCTTCCAGAGACTTGAATTGGCAATCAAGACTCGATCCTGCACTTGATTTTTACATTTTGGGTCCCCGAAAGGTTAGGAGATATTCGCTGCGCCACACATGCCAAGTCAATCTACGCGCGCCGTCCCATGTTGTGATCCCTACGAGCTGAAAACATTCGAAGGCGATGGTTTACCCTTTCAATGTGTACTTTGACTTACTAATTATTCTGTATATTGTCTTAGGTATATTTAGATGCTACGATACACACCACTCGTATGATGCAGCATTTGCTATTTTGTCGAAATGAGTCGGTGGTGTTAATCGCAGCCATTGTTTATTAATCTCGGTGATTATACTATAATGGGATTCTTGAGTTTAAAAATAACCAAATATGCTGACAAGGGAAATGGCTTTCGGCTATAGAGTGTAACAATCCTCAATTGTCAAGGGCATTGGATGCGTTATTGAGCAGGTACCTAGTTTGATGTTGTATTTTCTACGTTCTAATTTGGCGGTTGGAGGGCGTCAATTTTCATTTTTAATCTTTTGTACGCACTATCAATTAATCCAATGGGAAGGTGTCATGGAGTCTCGGGCTGTTAACTTTAAGCTTTGAAAAATATATGTGCACCTAGGTAACTAAGTTTACTAATCACATAGATAAGAGACCTTAGAGACTTAGACATTTAACACTCCATTTAAAGATTCAACTTAAAATCTCAATTATGAATTGTAGTATATTCTCTACGCTGACTATCGCAATGGCTCACGGTCGAATAAAGCACACGAAACGTCTGCAGACCAATTGCGAATATGATATGAAATGATAACTTATAAACACCAAAATAAACTCAACATTCAATTAATACCTGATAATTAAGATTATTCGCGATACGGACGTTTTGGTCCGAATCTGGATTTCACTCGATTGGATGGAAATGTGGATGATGATTGGTGGTTTAGAATTGGGTTCGACGGTTAGACGGAAAGAGACCGGACGGATGGGCTTGACCATAACAGGATTAGACTATCTGCATCCTCTAGGTGCCTTGGAACTCTATGCATCATGTAAGTCGGCTTGCTCTACCGAAATATTCATGAGAAGGCCCGTGGATGGTAACTTCGAGAAACGCCGATACCACAAGAAAAATGGTGTTGTGGGGAAAATATACGGCGATATTATTTTGCGATCAATCTAGAAATGTCTCGAGACGGTGTCGAGATAAGATCATGCAATCTGATTGTGTGTCGATATTCTAGCATCGATTGATATCACATGTAAGGAAGAATATGAAAAAGTCTAGATTATATATACGCATGGATTGAATGATGCGCTATTGAGATATTTATCTAGTCTTTGGAGCGTAGCACGAGGAAATCACCTTGGGATTGGAATGGGAAACTTCATTAAACTGTGACTTGTAAAACGTCCTATTTCCCTTCTTCTGCAGCAATATGAAAGTATATGACGCAGCTTAAAAAACCACGTTCTCTACATATAATATTTAGGTACTGTACGTGAACTGGTAGGTAACACTAAGTTCAGCCTGACAGGAGATACCCGATGATCCCCGCAGAGGTCCCACTAAAGAAGGACGAGGAATTACGTAGTTGGCCAAGAGGGTGACGGACCAAACCTTCCCTCCAGCTTTGGAGATCATGGATCCCCGGGCTAGTTCTGGCCCGGCGGGGCTAGGTATCCTGGGTTACTTTTAAAGAACCTTCGTGAGGGATTTCGCTGCTCTTGCATCTCGATTGCATCAAACTTAAGCTTGTTACCCAATCAGAAGCTGCGAATGAGGTTGTAAATGATTACATCTTTATGTTGTATGTTTTAAGTAGGTACCTATCCGCCTTCCCATAGTGTTCATCTACATAATCGTATGCATCCATACATGTACATGTATTTCAAGGACCCCGCCTGAAATAAATCACCTACAGTACAGTACAGCCATATCCATGTGTTACTTGCTAATTGCCCCTCCATTTCTTCTCCTTAATAACTCTTCATCCTATCATAAAAAATAAACTGACTGACTGACGGTCCCGTCATTTATCAATCAATCACACATTAAATAAAACGCCACTTTTCATTTGAACGAATCATACCTATTTATCACAGCTCGTGCTACATTTCTCCTGCGTTGCATTGCCTCTCACTTAGAATTCCCATAGGTGCCATTCTACATTACCGCGGCTAGACTTCACAAACACCTCTACTTACATCTACAAAGCTTCCCGTCGCCCGTCATAGACTCCCATACTTAGTATCGGATTCTAGATTTTCCTCGTACTTGCTTCCATTGCAACTAGCGAGCTTTCGATACCTAGTCCCTAGACCACTAAGGTCTACCAACATGTCTCCGACCGACGAGAGCGAATCTTCCTCCACCAGCGACCGCCGGTTGCTCCTAATCTCGAACCGACTTCCCATCACGATAAAACGGAAAGATGAAGGGAGCTACGACTTTTCCATGTCTTCGGGCGGTCTAGTAACGGGGTTGAGCGGATTAAGCAAGACAACAAGCTTCCAATGGTATGGTTGGCCTGGCCTGGAAGTTCCCGAAGCCGAGATACCTGTTGTCAAGCAACAGCTAAAAGAACAATACAACGCACACCCCATCTTTGTCGATGACGAGCTTGCGGATAGACATTACAATGGGTTTTCTAGTACGTATTTATTCCTGCATATATGAAATTTCTTGTGACTAATGCGGTTTCTACTTCACAGATTCTATCCTATGGCCGTTATTCCACTATCACCCCGGCGAGATTACCTTCGACGAGAATGCTTGGGCGGCGTACAAGGAGGTCAACAGACTTTTCGCTAAAACAGTTCTGAAAGATGTTCAAGATGGAGATTTGATCTGGGTACATGACTACCACCTAATGCTTCTACCCGAAATGCTGCGCAACGAACTAGGCGATCGAAAGGATATTAAAATCGGGTTCTTCCTCCACACCCCATTCCCTAGCAGCGAAATCTACCGAATCCTCCCCGTTCGCGAAGCCTTGCTCGAAGGTCTCTTACAATGCGACCTCATCGGTTTCCACACTTACGACTACGCTCGTCACTTCCTTAGCTCTTGCTCACGCATTCTAGAGGCACCTACCACACCCAACGGCGTTGAATACAAAGAGAAGTTTGTGACGGTGGGGGCGTTCCCTATCGGAATAGACCCGGATAAATTCGTTGAAGGTCTGAAGAAACCCAAGGTACAGGAGCGGATCGCCGCTCTATCTCGCAAATTCGAGGGCGTAAAGTTGATCGTGGGTGTCGACCGTCTCGATTACATCAAAGGTGTCCCGCAGAAGCTGCACGCGCTTGAGGTATTCCTGACAGAACACCCTGAATGGATTGGCAAGATTGTGCTAGTCCAGGTAGCCGTACCCTCGCGACAAGACGTCGAAGAATACCAGAACCTCAGAGCGGTCGTCAATGAACTCGTGGGAAGAATTAATGGTAGATTCGGTACGGTCGAATTCATGCCAATTCACTTCTTGCATCAGAGTGTTCAATTCGACGAGCTTTGCGCCTTATACGCGGTTTCCGATGTCTGTCTCGTCAGCTCCACGCGAGATGGAATGAACCTTGTCTCGTACGAATACATCGCTACCCAGCAGAACCGTCACGGTGTCATGATCCTCTCCGAATTTACAGGTGCCGCGCAGTCGCTCAACGGTAGTTTGATAGTGAACCCCTGGAACACCGAGGAACTTGCGAACGCGATCCACGATGCAGTCACCATGTCCCCCGAGATGCGCGAAGCCAATTTCCGTAAACTGGAGAGATACGTCTTCAAATACACGTCGGCATGGTGGGGCCAGAGCTTCGTCAACGAGTTGACTAAAGTGAGTAGCGCACATAGTCACGGAGTCGATCGTAAAGCCGGCCCAGACGGGCGACCGGTGCTGAGTAACGACGTTGGTCGGGCATTATCGGGTGTCTTTGAGAGCGTGAAGGCGGCTACTAGTGCGGCTGCCCCGTCTGGAAGTGCCCTAGGCTTGCTGAAGTAAGGGATAATGGATCTGTTAAGAGGTTGGGGAATTATACCTAGCACGAATAATGGAATGATGAACTAAACGAGAAAATCTAAAAGCATATGATTAAGACGAGGTCTAGGTTGGAGTTAGGGATTTGGTAGATATCGGCTTGGGAGCCTGGGATTCGTAGATGCGTGCATATTGTTATGGAGTTAATATAATCGATATAGTACATGAGTGAGAAAGAAATTTTACTGCGTTGATCTAATGAAGGTTGGACTATCGTAGTGCGGCGATGAGGGTAAATATTCTGACAGATTTTATAGGTACCTGAAATATAAGAAATAACGCTGGAGCATAGTGAATAATAGCGACCTGGAATAGCTAGTGACACGCTATCACGTGGCGGCTTAGGGGGTGACATATAGCGCTCCTAGGGAAGTTAATAATAGTTCTAATCTCCCAACTTCAATCATTTCTCTCGTTCATCGTCTTCCTCTGTTCATTTTGAAACTACTATCAGATGTCAGAGTAGCGCACCTATTATATCGAGTCCAACGAGCGATTAATATTACTCGAGTTTTGACGTTGTCGGAATTGATCCGATATTATTGATCTCATCCCTTCGCTGCCGTAACCGTGTAGATTGAGAACGACCATCTCATTGTTCGCGCAAGCAAGGTCGATATTAGCTAGTCATGTTGAGAATGCCATGGATATATAGGACAATGGCGAGATCCAATACGAAATTCAAGATAAGAAGAGAGAGTCAGTATTCTGACTTGGTTATCGGAGTTGTTGCCGAAAGACACGGCCATATCGCTCGCAGAATCAAGATAGAGAGCACTATGAATTAGACCTGCTGACCTACCGGTTTCCCAAAGATGCTATCTAGTTCGAATACTACGAAGGTCTGACTTTGAAACACATAGGTCGTTAGAAGAACGCCGGGGAGATTAACCCATGAATCAATTGGTCCTAATAGGAACATGAACTCGGAAAATATGTCCGATATGATTATCGGAGTATAGCCGACGGAAACTGCTACTTGAATTCTCTCCGTCGGAGGCTTTCCGATGCTGAAAATTTATATTTCGCACTAGAACGCCACGGCTCATATCGGCTAACTTCCGAAGATTCGTTACAATGGCACTGAGCGTCCACCTAGTCGGATTCCCATTAACTGGGAAAGGTGCTTCATGACACTCGTAATAACATTCAGGGTTCTTCTAATCGTCGCTAATGCGACTCATTCTGATATACAGATACTCATCTAGAAAGCCTATAATAGCATCGGCATACTTCCGCAATTCCTTACTTCTTTGCGTTGGCGGCTGTCGGAGTAGAGCCGAAAATATCGAAACTGTTACACGAGATCAGCCAATGTGCTCGTCGGATGCAGCCGAGATTTCCTTTATTTAGGAAGATCTTACCATCGGAGCAGAGCCGATACGGGATTGGAAAATTCACTACGGATCTTTCTATTGACCAACACCTCGCCGGGAACAAAATCCACGCCCACAAGGCAGTCAACTAGAATGCTCCGAAGGGCGACATACGCCGTAAGTGCTAACGGAGGCCTCGCTATTAGAGGCGACACGAGCTAACTGTTTGCGATAACGTTGCGCGAACCGATCGATGCGCCATAATAGGGCGTAGTGAGGGCCTGGAAATGATACCCGAGTTTTCCGAATGCTATCTCCCCGGGCGCGAGTGTCGGAGATCGAGCCATGAGGGTTGGAGGACGGCGCGCCACTAGGCTCTTAAACCGATACAGCGCCCTCCAAGTCGCCGCATGAGTTTTGTTTGCGTTGAGCTCGGCATTGCCAGCGGTTTGGTCTTGTCTATTCTCACCTCCAATGGAGCTCTCTTCGGCGTTAATGTGACGGGCGGGCTATCGGCTTTAGGATTCCTGACGGCCGTCGGTATGATACCCTCAACCTAACAAGGTTGATCCAAGTTTGCTTTATATGAAATACGGAAGTCATTACTAGAGCCATGGTCGCCTCAATTAGTAAGACGGATACCTTCATTAGCCGATGGCCGTGCCAACGCGGTGAGAAGACACCGGAAGGACTTCCGCTCATTTCCAGAGTTGACATTTTGCCAACAACCAAAGACTCCAAGAACATCTCATTCGACAGATATAATTTGTTAGATAGATTTCGAGGTGGAAGACATCTCCCATTATAGGATCCATCAGTATAGACATGGCCATTCAGGGGCAATTGATTACCTAACCTACCTGAAATCTTGAGGTAATGAAGCCAAAATTACCCAATGAAATGGCTTCATTAGTCACAACCCTAGCCCTAACCTCAAGCCAGCAATTTGCCTAATATCTAGTGTCATAACGGGCTATGATGACATAAAATAAAACAGACATCACTCAAGGAGAGCACCACTATTCAGAAAAGACCAAAAATTTCAAAAATATGCACTGACCGCGAATCGAACGCGGGGCCCATCGATGGCAACGATGGATTTTACCACTAAACCACCAGTGCCTTCTTGTAGCCTTGAGAAACGGATGTTAAAGATTGATATCTTGTTAGCTTATTATAATATATCAATCTCACCTCGCGTATAACCTTCCCCATATCCTTTAAGACTAAAGAGGAAAAGCGGATGAAAACAAATCTAGTAGAAACGTCTGGACCTTGACCCCAGTGTTCGGAACAGGAGCACTATTAAGTATCTCAGCAATATACAAATTCGCACGAAATTTATTAGGCCCCATTTGCGGGTTACCGCCAAGCTGAGGTGTTAGAAAATTCCTCAGTGTTAATAGGATAACTATAGAAAAAATGACTAAATATCGAATTAATATCATCAAATAGTTACTAAGCCCTCTCCCATCGCGAAATACGTCGCTTAAAAGCCTAAAGCGTTCGTAATACGTACCTAATGCTAGGTATGATACCATTGTAAAAGCAGCTGAAATGTATCGCCTATACTAGCTACATGCTGATAGTCCTTCGTATTTCGTGATAATTAATCATAGGCTATTGAACTCTTGACAGAAATCAACTAAATAGAGCCCAAAAGGAAAGGGAACCACTGACAATTGGCAAATCATATGCATGAAGATTCGCCTATACTGACGATGTCGCACATGATTAGTCAGACGATCATATACTACACCTATACCTGCCATCACGGAATTTTCTGACTCAGAGACAGATGTGCTTCTCTCGGTAACTGCATTCAAGAGGACTAGAGGAACTACCTATGAGGCTCGGCGATGGGTTCGGGAGCCGAATACCAAACCTTCTCAGACACATGCAACCCTCCCTGTCGGATATTGGGGATGAGAAAGCCAGCAAGCATGATAATAGAATACATATTGATGCGCGGAGTAATGAAATTTGAATATATTCCCTTTCAGGACTTCCTCTTAACGGATTTTTCTGACAGAAGTTGATTTCTAATATAGGGATACAGTGTATGTATAGGGTGTTGACTCCTGCCGGATCCTTTCATCGTCTCCAACAAACATTGTCGTGGGGACTGCAGGTTTATTTGCTTCATACCTACTTAGGCTGACGTTACACGAGGCCCTAGACTGCTCGAAATTTGCATAGCCATTCGGGGAAAACTGTGTGCGTGATTAGTTGATAGAAATGGCAACGTAGATGTATACATAAGGCTGGTCTCCTCTGAGACTTATACATAATTTTTCTTTCCCTGGACTACATGGCAGCTACTTGTAGTCACTTCTTTGTTCAAAATTTTCACTAGAGTATAATCTTAATAAAGCCTCTCTAGATACCCAGGAAGATACCTAATACTAGACCATGTTCTCCGTTACGTCAAGAAAGACCCCCCTTCCACCATCTCATTCTGCCGTAGTCGTCAGGTCTCTCCTCAACGTCACGCCAGAAGAACGAGAGGAGATTCTCAAAGATGTCGAATATAATGTCTTTGCTTTCCCCGCGGGACTTATTACCTGCGACTACCTTTCGGACTCTGGTGCTTCGGCGATGACGGACGTCCAATGGGCAGCTTGTGAGATATGACTCATGTTGACCTTTTTGGAGATAACTTTTGCTGACGGAAGATGCGATAGTGATGAGGGGTGATGAAAGTTATGGCCGCAATTGGGGGTATTATTGCCTTCTGGAAGCTTTCCGAGATACTTTCGAGAGAGGGGATAATCAAGACCGAGCATTTCAGAGTATACTAACAGGAACGGCTGACAGCAAGTTCTACCGCTCTAAACTCCTCGTACCATACGAGGATGGGTTCGTGAATGGTGGATCTCACCAGCTTGAACGGCCCAATTTTTTCATTGTCCCACAGGGTCGCTGTGCTGAAGCCCTACTATTTTCCACTTTAGGGGGTGTGCTTGCAGGGGAATCTCAGACGAAAGGATCTAACCGAGTAATCATAAGCAACGGCTTTTTCGACACAACTGGCGCTAATGCTACTGTGGCTGGATTCGAACTACAAACTTTCACCCAACCCGGGCTCAGTGACCCATTTCCTCAGGGGCTCATCGGAAAGTCCAACAAGTTCAAGGGAAACTTAGACATAACTGCTACCGAGAACTTCTTGGATGAGAACCCAGGACGAGTGTCTCTAATAGTGATGACCATCACAAATAATTGGGCTGCTGCACAACCTGTTTCAATGGCCAATATCCGAGATGCTTCTTTGTTGGCCAAGCGAAATGAAATACCCTTCTTTTTCGACGCGTGTCGATTCGCGGAGAATGCTATGTTCGTCCGCGATTGTGAGACAGGGTACTCCGATAAAACAATCCCTGAGATTGTGAAGGAGATGTTCTCTTATGTTGACGGGTTCACCATAAGTCTGAAGAAAGATGGCTTGTCGAATATGGGTGGTGTCCTATGTTTCCGCGATAAGGGGCTATTGGCGCGGAAGTATGAAGGTATCGGGCTTCAATTGAAGGAGCGTCAGATACTTCTGTACAGAAACGACTCTTACGACGCAAGTAAGCATTGGGACTCCTAACAACGTATATAGAAGTGGTGAAAAACTAACCTTGGTCCTAGTGAGCGGTCGTGACCTTATGGCAGCAGCAGCAGGTCTCTATGAAGGTACCAAGGAGTATTATCTGCGCAACCGCATATCCCAAGTTCAATCCTTCGCACAGAAACTCCTAGCGAATGGAATTTCCGTTCTATCACCCCCGGGAGGCCACGCTGTCTATCTTGATATGGACGAGTTCTTCTACGGTTGTGACAGGAAGTTAGATGGCTTCGCCTCCGTTGGATTTACTCTAGAATTGATCAAAGACTACGGCATTCGTGCAGCGGAAGTAGGTCCCTTTGGTTGGGAATGGGATAAGAAGTCACCAGAAGAACGGAAGAAGATCCCTAACCTTGTTCGTTTCGCCGTGCCACGCCAGGTATCCTCAGATCAGCATATCGACTATACGGTCGCTGCGATAAAGGAGTTGTACAACCGGAGGCATACGATACCTAACGTAGAGATTTCAAGAGGCAAGAACATGCGACTCCGACACTTCCAATGCGGATTGAAACCAGTCCCAGTTGAAAGCGGTATCAATGGGACATACTACAGCGAAGCTAAGCGCCAGATATCACATCTTTCTCGAGCTACTGGGCAAGACGAAACAGCCAAAGAGCAGTTACTCGATGCGCTACGGTTATCGATGGGCACCTGGGGTCAATATTCAATACCCGAGGAACCAGGCGTATCGGGATGGTTGTCCAACGTCAGCAACGATGGCGCTCCTTTCGAATACTCAGTACAGATAGACCAAAGGACCGGCAAAGCACAGCTACGATTCCTAGTTGAAGCCCAGCCAGAAGGAAACACCCTAACGCAGCTTCGGCAGAGCACAATGTACCTAAACGCGGATGTCGCACAACATTACGGCACAACCGTCTCCCTCAGCCGCTTTGGTCTTATATATGATTTATTTATCCCCTCTAACCCAGAAGGAAAATTCGTCGCATGGCACAGTTGCGCGCTCGCAAAGGGTGGTCCGGATTGGAAGATTTATCTCAACCCAGCTGCATCCGGACAAGACGAAGCTTTATCTGTGACCCGAAAAGCGTTCAAACGTCTCGGCCTGGAAAGCTCGTGGGACTTACTGGAAAGAATTATGACGCCTAATGACTCTATCAGATACTTCTCGCTCGATCTATCGGACGATGAAGATGCTCGCGTCAAAGTGTACGTCGCACATCCCGACGCGAGCGCATCCGAAATTGCGCGGAAGAATATGACTATCTGTCCAGACACGTCTTCATATGAAATCGAGCGGTTCTTTGACGTTATGGCCGGCGGATCGCTGGGACCCTATAACTCGAAGTCGGTACTATCTTGTTTCGCGTTCACAAGTAAAGCACCCAATAAGCCTATCGGAACGGTGCATTTCCCCATAGTATCGCACGTGAAGCATGATGGCGAAGTTCAGGAGCGGGTTGAAAAATATTTAAACGCGATATCTGCGCCTACAGCCTACCGCGAGAAGTACAGAGGAATAGTCGGTGCGGTACAGCGCAGACCTTTGGATCAGGGACGTGGGATACATGCTTGGGTCAGTTTGAAGCAAGATTCTAAGGGTGTGTCTAATACGTTCTACGTATCTCCGGAGTTATTTGGGACTATTAAATCCTAGTCAATACCTAGGGGGCTCGTTATACAGAAGTGGTATTAAGAAACCCTGGGTTATTTCAACATTCATTCACCTACATAAAGTCTAGAACATCAACGACTAGAGTAGAGTAGCATTTCTTAAGTCGTAGTTGGAAGGCCAAGAGAGGGGAGGTGAGAGTGATGCCGTTTTAGCCGTGGAATGAACAGAACGAATCGTCAATATATGGTATCTTGTTCGTGCCCCCCTTTTTACTCCCCACATTGAGATGTATTTAAAAATCCATATAAAAGTAATTCTTGCTGACATTATTTATTGAACCATTATAGAAATGCATTAAGACTAATATTTGAGGCCCCTACCTGGACGCCTTCCTCTCCTCTCATTCATACAATTACGTATCTTTCGACAACGTCGCTCTCAAAGCTAACGGCTGCACACTAACCGCCTCCCCATTCTCATTGACCGTAAACACAAACTGATCTAACGGCATGTCCGCATACACAGCCGTCGTCTGACTAACCCAAGTCCCGCAATTCGTCGAGAACATATCCGCGCTATGATCCTCGAGATCCAGATTCTCTACCACGGCCTTGAAAGCCACTTTCTTCGTCCCATCGTCTGCAGGCTTGGACTCGAGCCCGGCGGGATAGATCCGGATAGCAGGAGCCGTGACGTTGTAATTCAACGTGTATCGCACAGCAACCGGGATCATGTCTGTTCCATTGCTCACCCATTTATCAATCCCGAGACCTGGACGCGAGGGGTCCGTGCTTAGGACCAAGGTGCTGTTTAACCCACTGTCACCGCTATATGTCCCCGCGTACGCAGCCTCGGCTTCTTCGCGGGCCGCTTCCTCGAGCGCGGGGACTAGTACAGCGCCAATCGCGTCTGCGATGTCCCAGTTCGAGTTTCCGGGCCACCCACCGGCGAGCAGTGCCACGATTCCGACGTCGTAGTCTGGAAGCAGTACGAGGAGGGACATGTACACGTTGATGCTACCGGCCTTGCTGTATGCGTCGACTACCCGGCTGCCGTCGGTAAGCGGGATGCGTCGGATACCCCATGGTGAACTGACGCCTTCGTGAATGTCGGAAGTTAGGGCCGTGGGTTTCAGCCACCGCCTCGTCTGCGCCGGTGGGAGGAGGGTGTGCTTGAAGATGGCGCGACCCAGACGCGATAGGTCGCTCACCGAGGAGTACATATTTCCGGTCCTTTCTTGGGGTATTAGCTTTTCTGGCCATGGCTAAGACACCAATGAAGAGACAAGGGACGAGAAGAGCTAGAAATCGGTATGGGATAAGGACTTACGGGCTGGACTCGCCAATACTGAAACTCCAGTCATTCTCATGACCCGCAGGGATGACGCCTATGCTGTCGTCCGGAGGCTTCTGGTAGAACGTGTGATCAAGACCAAGCTTGTTGATGACGTCGCTCTGTAGCATTTGCGCGAAATCCTTTCGGACTATGGCTTCGAGCGCATAGGCTAGGACTTGGTACCCCATATTCGAGTACCCGGCCGTCCATGAGGGCGAGAAGGATGGTGGGACGTTGGCTAGACCGGTGAAGAATTCTAGTCGCGGAGGTTTTGTTAGAACATTCTCATTTATATCCACGTTTTGGCTTCCTCACTTCTTGACTTGGGGTTACACTAGGGGTGACTTACGTTCACGACCACATTTTATCGCCTCTCCACAAGTCGGAGTCTCATTCCTCGGCGCCGGCGGGAACCCCTTCGCTTCTAAGGTGGTTTGGTTATTTTCTTGCGTCAGTTCCCCCTCGATGGCATCTGTCGGTTGGGTATCACGATATTAGTCTTGTATTTCTTCTCATCCGCCAATCTCAACTCACTTCTGGCTCCCCCCCATTCTAGTTTTACTTTCCTTCAAATCACAACAAAATACCAACGGAAAAACTCACAGTCTCTCACGATCCCCGCCATATGGCTCGCCAAGTCCTGCAGGGTAATACTATCCCAATCCACATTCATAATCGGATCATACTGGGCCTTCCCAGCAAGCAGTTCAAGTTCCGGAACCCATTGCGTCACAGGCGTATTCCAATACGTATCACCAGCCTCGATCAGAAAAGTCAAGATCGTAAAGATCTTAGTCACGCTTCCCAACCGGTAAACCGTATCTCCATCAACACTTTTAACACCAGGTGTATCAGAAGTCAGGAGATCCGTCGCAGTATGGTAATGACTCCAGACCGGCGTGTCATCACTATCCGAGGCTGAGAAGACTTGTATCGACCACGACGTCCCGTTCGGATTCGTAGCGGGGTCCGAGCCGCGCGCGTCAAACGTCGCTGTTAGGTTCGCGACTACGGTTTTTATTATATCGGACGTAGCCAGGGCCGTTGGTTTCGGGAAAGCAGCACCTGGGTACGGGCAGTTAGGTATCTTTCCCAAGACCACTTGCACCGCAGTAAGCAGCAGCGCCGCGGTGGGCGAGAGCAGAGGGAATGACTTCATAGCGAGGAAGCTTGCCACGGACAGGGACCAGACAACCAGGGTTCGGGCAAGAAAAAATTTATTTAAAGAAACAGAAACCACAAGAAGAAAAAGTAACCAGATGAGGGACCAGTCTGCTGCCGAACAGATCGCGTCATCAAGAGATAAAAGAGGACCATCCGGGACTTTTCATCTACGACTTGATTTTCTTTTAGAGGCAGGCAGCCACGCAATATGATTGCTACGTAACAAGCCTGGGCTGAGGGGAGGGAACGGACAAGCTTTTTCTTTATTGTGACATTAGGATCTCCCGGGGATCTGCAGGAAACCTGCTTCCTTCTGGGGAGAGCGAATTGTAGGTAATCATTCACCCGAGAGGAGAAAGAGAAAAAAAACGTGGTCTCATGAACCATGGCGCTGCGCATGTTCCCAAATAGGTTGGACTGCGCTTCTCGGGCGAACCGGGTCGGCGGCGGCGGTTACCCACCCCCGCGGAGTATCCTGGCGCCGTATAGTACTGAGACATACTGAGGCATGTGATAGAAGCGCAATGACGAGCGATTGGTTGACGGACTAGGGTCCTATAAACTTAGCTATCTATCAAGTCTATCTATCAATTTCCGGACCGCGGGTTGTGGAGGGCGGAAGTAATAAAAAAGGGGGTGGAAAAGGGGTGAGGGGAGATTGAAAAGAAAATACCTGTTTGAATAGGGAAGTTCAACTATATCGGGACGCCACCAATCTCGCAATAGTGAACTCCGAAAACCCCGTTGAAAGAGGACAAGAAAATAGCTTACAATGAGCTATCATAATCTGATTAACGCTTGTCTCAGCTAGGCAGATACGTCTACGTCGTAGTGATACGACGTTGACCAACAGATTGGTTTTTGGCTGAATTGAAGAGCCGTCCGATCATTTACGATGTTAGGCCAGAAATGACTGCGCAGGAACCCGTAGGAACGCCTTTTTTCATATAATCTTCCGCATGCCGTACCTACGGGATCCCGGCCAAATTACCACCTACTAACCTGGTCTTTCTCGTTTGTTATAGATTAGATACCTGAGTTGGTTAGGAGGATGGGTAGCAACATACCTGGTATTATAGATTGTCCGCGCACAAGAACAAACATTCAAATTGCTTGCGATATTTATCGCCAAGATGTCTCAGAAGCTCTACCGCCCTTCTGCGCATAGCTACGGCATTTGCCCCCACAGCTGTATATATCTAATATAGAAGACATACCTAGGTGTATAGAATGAATATATCTATATACCGCCCCCATGCGATGCTACGTACGTATGCCGTGGTTGTTTTCGTAAGTATGATGACACCGTGCATCATCCTTCATATAAGAAAACCGCCGAGCGAAGCTCCTAGCTGAACCGCAAACTATTTCGACTTCCAACTCCACTCTGTATGGGCCACGTATTGGCTATGTTAATAAAATGAGAGCATCCCACAGCTCAATTTCTGTTCCTCGCAAGTGTGGGTGTACGTACGTATGTATGGATTACCGGTTATAGGAATCGTGGTGCCGATCATTCCACGCTTTCTTCGGACCTGGACGGATGGAAGTTTTTGCTCAAATCGGAAGACTAAATGGAGAAGGTAGGGCAGCGAATAGGATGTGTATGCGGATGGCGGTATCACACTATTGATATGTGCAGCTAAGTGATTTTCCTTATCTAAAATTAAAGAATAAGGGGATGTGTAACAATTAGCGATCGGTCACACGGGAAAGGGCAGTTTCGTCGGCACGTTGCAGTTGGTAAGATGATGTGATGCGGCTCCTGCGCTGTTAATTTGCTATTATCGCGGTGATAATATGTTCTATATTGCTTTACTTGGTACTATTCATGCCCTGGCCGCCAACTCACCTGTAGGACAATGGAATAGCAAATCATCTGACTCAGTAGCGATGCAATTTAGGGAAGGGGAGGGGGTTTGTTGACGTAGTCAATTACTATCTAACCCTACGTGAAAATCAGTAGTACCATATGACGATGAAACAGGTATCTCAACTTAAGCCAAAGCAACTGGTCTCCATAAGAACGAATAAACACCATCCCATCCTCCCTGCCCTAAAACGCCAATGGGGGTATGTATCGTAGGAAGAGCAGGAGCTCGCCCTCAATACTAGTGCTAGCCGTAATCTCATAACTCAAAAAATCAATCGCGCATCGTGTACCCGTTCATTCTATCCGCGATCTTCTCAGTAGGGAGAGTTGACCACCTCGTCCTTGCCAAGCTTGTATCGTCCGCTTTCTCGCGTGCCAACCCGAGCGGAACTACGTCTCGGGGTACCCAGTCGCTGGAAATCGCCGGCAATACTCTCTCTTGTAGGTTTCTTGAGGGACTGCTTGCCCACCATGTTGACCCAGTTCGGCAACGTGACAATAACATTCTGGTCGGTGCCGAATTTGAAATCATCAGCTTTGACGGTGTCTTCGTAACGCTTGATGATATACGGCGTCCTGGATCCGTGCACAACTTTGTCGAGGTTCCAGTCAATGATGTATGGGCCTGTGGCGGTGATGATGGAAGTCTCTTCGCTCGATTTGCTTGTGTTGAAGCGCGCGGGAGTAAACGAGACACCCTTTCCAGTTTCGTGATAGAACTGAGCGACATGCTCCGGAGTTAGAGCAAGACGACGGGGTTGGGGCTTAGAATCCGCAGCGAATGGCTTCTCGAAACCAAGCTTTCCTTCGTTTTTGCCTTTCGTTTGTAACGCATCGATGAGCAACAGGTATGTACGGCAAGTCGCAAGAACCCAGCGACCATCAGCGGAAACATCAAGACCGATAATAGGTTCACCAAGAGCCGGAATGACGGTCTTGGCGTTAATACCTAGACGATCAAAAAGTCGAATATCACCCTTGTTGGAAGCGACCGCAACATATCCCTTCTCCGTAGTAGATACTGCAGAAAAGTCGTTCTTTGAAACGTATTGCTTGAGCTGGGAGTCGACGAGCTTGTTACCAGATAGACGAGGATCGACACGGAAGAGGGCATTGCGAGAAATACCAAGGAAAGTCGGCTCATGGGTCATTTGTGCGAACTTGTTCTCGGGCGCAAAAGTAACAACCGGGATGTCGTCGTGAACATTCCACTCGTCCACAACCTTTCCGTACTCAAGATCCATTCGGTACAGTTTGTTAGGATCGGTGTCATTCTGCAAAATCAAGTTGCGATCCTCGTTATGCAACATGACTTTTTTGGGGACGAAAGAAGCGCCCTTGGGAGTCTCGACCTTGGAAATATTGGTGGTGAATTCCAAGTGGTTCTTGGGTGTGTGCTTGAATACACCGATCTTGGGACCCCGAACAACAAAGGAACGGTCGTGCTTGTAACCGACGGCTAGTGCGGAGTTGGTATAGGTATCTTTCGGCTCGGTCTCAACATCTTCTTGTTCTTCATCGCTGTCGTAATGCTCGCTTTGGGGTGCATCATCCTCCTGCTCCTCCTCGACCTCGGGCTCTTCTTCCTCCTCTTCAATCGGTGCATCATCCATGTTCAAGTCTTCGAACGCATCTAAGACATATTGACGATCTTGTTCTTTGACCTTATTCCACTTCGTTTCGTTGAGCTGTTCCCAAAGTGCTCTCATAAGGCCGTCTTGGAATCTCTCGAGTGTCTTGTTATCCTTGAACCTTAGTAGCCATGAATAGGCAGAACCATCCTCGGTGAACTGGTTGAAGATAAAAGAGAGGAATTCGAAGTTGAACACGGGGTTTATGTCGGCGATGACTGGGATTCCGAGCCATTGTCGGTCTTTGCTAGCGATGTGCAGCCAGTAGTTCCAATTACCAATATCGGAAACCTGAGCGGTGACAGATGTGTCTTGGATGACAAACGCCCCCGAGGCGAAGTCAAAGAAGTGAAGCTCGCCGATTTCCATCGACAGGATCTCCAGCGGTTCGGGTTGGGGTGGGGGCCTAGGTGGCTCGGCCTGTTTGGCAGATTGCCCCGTAGATCCTTCATCTTCTTCGTAGGGCTCAGGTTCCGGTTCCGCAAGTACAGAAGAGGTGGATGGTACGCTGTCGCGCTTGAGACTATCCCGTTTTACTCTATCTCGCTTTGCACTGACATTCGCCTCGGTTTTTAGCTGAAACATAGCGTCCGAGGAGTCGATGGATCGGGCGAGAGTGGGGCTATGGATTGGGCTTGCTTGGGGAATAGGCTGCTCCTCGAAGTCGAATTGTTGGAGGTCGGCGGCGGATGCGGTGGAGTGTGGTTTCCGATACTTGCGCTCGTATTGGCACTGCCTCGCAATGCGCTCGAATGATTCGACTTGTGCGGACTTAGTTGATATATCGCAGACGAACTCGTAAACGTCCCCAACGTCCCCACTCAAATCTTTCCAGGCAAGAACCTTTTGTGAACCTTCCCTACTTTCGACGCGGAAGTGAAGGGCTTCGTCAAGTAGGAAGGTCTTTTCGTCTTTCTCGGCGGCTAGAGCGTTGAGTTCTTCGTCTTCGCCTTCGTCATCTGCTAGTTCGGCTTCACCTTCTTCGTAAACTCGTTGTACGACAAGTTGATATTGGTAATCTTGACCGGTTCGACGGATGCGGGCAGTGGCGTCCTTGAAGATGAGTTCGGAGTATCCTTTGGGGGATAAAGGTCGGACAAGGTAGAGTTGGCCTTGGGGCAGCTCGATCATAGATTCCTGGCTACTGCTGCCAAAGATGAGCTTGCCAACTGTTTTGTGTGACTGTTAGTTGATTGATCACATGTGTCATAGGGTAGTATTAATTTAAATGTATTGGAAATTGTAGGTGTAAATGATAAATGAATTGATTGACGTGGTTCCAAGTTTCATTTGGGGACTGTCTTTAGACGGTAAAAACATGATTCGTGCAGTTGAGAGAGCGCTGTTTTCAGCAAGGCTGTGTGAACGGAGGGGCAACAACATACCATTCTTGAGGACAAACATCTTGTCCAAATACTGACACTTGACTACTTCCAAAATAAAAAGAAGAAAAGGTGGGAAGAATTATTTTTCAGGATGATAGATAGAAAAGGAGGAGAAATAATCTAGCAAGAAACAGGGACCTCGCCGCGGTGCGCGGTCAACGCCAGAATCTTGAAATTTCTTAGGTGTTATTGACAAGATTCAAGATTTAAGAGATGGTGGGAGAGATCAAAAATACTGCGTCATAACAAGACATAAGCAATCATAACTTTGCATTTTGTCTGGGCAACCTAATAAAGGTGGGGACCGCGGGGTGTGGCTCGTGCTTGTGCAACGCCACTTAGGCTTCAATCTAGCTTATCTAATGTTACACCATCGAACCTTAGGTAATAGATTAGGCAGCATTCGGTCTTAATGTAGGGTGTCTTTAAGTGCGATGATTACCTCATCACTACCCCCACCCCCTTTTCTTTTTCCTCTTGCTTTTTCCACTCTCTCTTCGTCATCGTCATCATCATCGTCATTGCCATTCATCCCGTCAACACATACAATCAATCAATCTTTATACATATCCCCAAACGTATTATACCATTTCTCAACCACCTCCCCAGCTAATCCCGCACCAATCGTATCATCTCCTCTCTCCAACTTCTCCGAAACCTCCAGCATAAACTCATCCACCGATAGCGCATTCGGGTTATTCTCTTTCTTATTATCATCAGGATCCTCCCTCTCGCGATGTAAATCCGTAGCCACAGTCGGAGGCGCAACCTCCACCACCCTCACATTCGTATCCTTAAGTTGACTCCTAAGATTCATCGACCAGAAATGCAGCCATGCCTTAGTCCCATTATATACCGGGTTGATGATTGAGAACGGTACGTATCCTAGGATGCTAGATACGTTGATAATAAGAGCATGTTTCTTGGTCTTGAAATGAGGTAATAATCCTACTGCGAGATGCAGTGGCCCGCGTATGTTGATGTTGATTTCGTTGTCGGCTTTCGAGAGGAAGTCCTCCGGTGTCTGCTTCTGTACTTGCAAGGGCCTCTGCACACCTGCGTTATTCACCAAGCAATCCAGTTCTGGATAATCACTGATGATGCGCTTGATGAAAGCCGGGATATCAGATATCGAGCCCGTGTCGAGGACATAATATCCAGCAGCTCCTATTTCCTTTGCAGTGGCTTGAAGCTTGGACTCCGTTCGTCCAGCAATGATGACTTTCTTCCCCTTTGAAATGAAGTACTCCGAAAGTGCTTTGCCAATTCCTCCGCCGCCACCAGTGATGAGAGCACAGTTAAAGTCCAACTTATTGGAGGCCATTGTAGTTATCGGTAGTAGCGCGCATAGGAGAGCGGATAATCCATATTCAGGTATGCTTGCACTTGCACCACAGCTTTTATAACCAGAAATAGGCTTTGTAATACCCCTACGCTTACTCACTCATAACCCACGCCATCATCAGAGCGTCATGAAAACCCTGATGCGTAAGCTATACTGCTGTGTCGAGCACGCCAGTCGGCTATAAGAACTCTCAGTCTTACAGTCATCGGAGATAAGGGATACATACATCGACATCCGCGCAATCATTTACCCTGCTACAAGGTGTAGCAACACGTCGCCTGATTAATAGAGAGGAGCATTAAATCACTTCAACATGTAGCCTTACTCATTACCTAGATACTCCCTTCCGGGCCGACAACTAAAAGCAACCACCAGTTCACCGCAAAAACGCACAATCAACAATGCCACCAGATATCCTCAATAATTCAACACCACATCATCATACCGCCTATGCCTTACAACACCACGTAAATCATCATCCCTATCCGCATACGGCATAAAGAGCCACGCGTTGGAAGTCGTATAGTACCTACGGTCGCTCTCCACAGTAGCCGGCGGTAACTAACGTGCCGACTGCTGCGTAGCGCCACCATTTTTCTTCTTCTCTCTAAGCTCTTTCACCTAGAGACAGAATATAATGAATCAGACTGGGTTAACACTCTGTCTTAAGTAACTTACAAGGCTGCTAATCAAGCTCCCGTCCATCAAGATATTCGTGAAGGATTGCCTATTGGTAAGCATACCCGCCGGAAGCTGCAAGGCTTTCTCGACTCCGGCAGCCAATCGGTCTCGCTGATCTCGGGTGAAACCGGTCCATCTTCGGGGGTCGGCCTCCTTGAGGAGCATCGCTCGCGCTTGTTTCGTTATCTCGTCTCCCATCCCTTGGAGAGAAGGTGCGCGGTTAGTAGTCGGGGTAGGCGCGGGGGTTGGTTGCGTAGGTGGCTTTGGCTGCACGGCTGGCGCTGTTTGGGTATATAACATCGACGACGTAGGTGGGAGGGATGAAGGACCATTGGGAATGCCGTTCGAGTTTCCATTGACGTTGCCATTCAGCTGTTGTACACCATTAGTAACCGCCGGGGCCGGAAGCTGGGGTTCTGGGACCTTTGGCGGAACCCCTCGCTTGCTCTTGTCGCGGCTATTTTGACTCGGAGCGACAATAAACATCGGTACATCATCCGTTGGTGAATAAGCGGCTCCTCCGTTAGTTAAAGACTCGGACTGCAAATCGGTGGCCAATATGCTTCTACCACCATCCGCAGTCACCCGTTTGCGAATTTTGATCTTGAAAAAGCCTTCACCCAGATTCTTTATGACTTTCTTACGACGATCAATCGTTTCTTCGATATCCACCTGAGCCGTTGGGCAAAATAGTAGCGCTTGTCCAGTTTGGAGGGTGACTATGGTGTTAAAAAGCGAATCCTCATCGCCAACGCTTCGTTTTCTAGCGCCAGCTAAATGCTTCTTCAAAACTTCGTACCAACTTGGAGAGAGGAAGCGATGTACAATGGTCACATTCGCTAGATCGATGAGTTGAGGGGATAGTGTCGGTTCTTGTGTTGCTATCAATACTCGGGTACCGGTGTGTCGCTGTTGTCGGATGATAGATAGCAAATCGTTCGTGAGGACCCTAGCCTCCCCCGATTGGTGTAAGAACTAAACATATTAGCCTGTGGTACTCATAGTAGGTCACATATTCATACCTTATGCGCTTCATCCAAGACAACTATGCGTCCGCACTTATTACGATGCTCTAGGAAGATGGACAGGCAGATTGAAAACAGAGTGCAGGCATCTTCGGAGCTGTAAAACGGATCACTTAGATCGACAATCGTCAATGAGCCCGGTTCAAACGCCCATATATTGTCCTTGGCACTTGCGGGGCGAGTAGATTTCGTCGTCGAGGACGGCGCGATGAGACTGTCGAGCAGTTGGAGGCGCATGTTTAGGGGGACTGTTTGGCCTCTAACCCATTCCACCTCGTCGATCCGCTCTCTGAATTTCGAATAGGCGAAACCGGGTCCCTCCATTGCCATCTCTCGGGCAATATTCATGACAACTTCCATATAAAGGGGGGCATCATTAGCTGCGGGGTTCACAGCCATGAGCTTGAGAATCGTTGTAATATCCAGTTGTGTTTCTTCAAGATATAGAGGTAGAACCTTGGGTCTTGGATCACCAGGCTTGAGACCAGGCAGGTTCTTGTACAAGCGCTTCATGGCCCAGATGTTCGAAGGGGATACCAGTACAGTGACAGGAATCCCCGACGAACATAGATAGGCCGCCTCGCATATCTGTGTGGTGGTGTAGTTGGCATAATGATCATAGTGCATGACCATTCCTGCCAGCGGGTTAGGAAGCTTTCCAGCGGCATTGTTTTCCATCAATGCATTCTCCAGAAGACACGAGACAGTATGGCTTTTTCCCGCTCCTTGAGAACCACAGATGAAAGCGGACCAAGGTGTATTCATGTTAGAGAAGACGAGACGCTCCTCTGCCGAGGTATTCTGCTGGGGAAGATCTTGTCTGATTCCGATAAGTCCATACTGAGGAATCAATTCCGATGGAGAGTTCGTCAATAAGGACGGTGCGGTGGTTCCGGGAGTAACTGGAGGTCCACCTAGATACGCAGACGAAGTGTGGATGAATCTGTCAACAGCTGCAGTGAAAATTGGCGCGTTTATAAACGCGTCTGCCTGCTGTCGATAGTCCTCCTCGCGACGTCCAATTCCATCGTCCTCCTCTACCAAGGAGAGAAATTTAGAAAATTTCGACATGTTCACGATATCTCCTCGTTTGGAGGCGACGGGCTTGATGAAGGCAATCAGTCAGGTTGGTGATAAAATAGAATTGCGACTGAAGCGTGCCTTTTCTGGAATTGTTTTTTGGTGTAAAGCCAACAGATATTTTTCCTGGCTCATTGGATTGATATTTCTTGGTATGGCGAACCCGAGAAGAGAACGTGAACGAGGGTGATTAAGTGTTGGAGTGGGAGAGAATTGGCCTAACAACAAATAACCGGAGTAAAAGGCAGAGGCAGCAGTGACCACCATGTCGAATCTTTTTAATCTTTCTTGTGAGTCAACTCGTTGTTTCCCGACAATGTACAGGGACACCTTCTCGACTGTCCCAGAAAATGAAATAAACTCTTTGGACGTATGCGGGTTCGAATTCTTATCAAATCTTATCTCTTGTATTCAATATTATAAGCTCCGACTTTGCAGTTGACATCTGGACCACGCGAGTTAAAACACATAATAAGAATTAATAAGTAAAAATAAGTATTGGGGTTACAAAAAATATCTGTCACCAAGAATTATCGAAATAACAAAAAGACAGGGAAGAAATCAGAATGCTCTGTAACATTCTAATTTTGACACGACGAAAGAAGCTATTTGTACGTCTTCTGGTGAAACCTAGAGACTTGACGTGGCTCAACTCATGCCTCCTATCCTTTCATGGTAAAGAGAGGATAACACGAGTAAGAACCAGTACAAGCTCTAGGTCTGCCCGACGTGTCGTCAGGTAGTTATAAGGTAGATGTACAGAAATGATAATTGAGCCTCAATCTAGATCATTGAAACCATACGGTAGTCGTTTGCGATGGGTGCCACGTTGATCACCCCTCACAAGTCGATGCTGGTTTGTTGTTAGGTAGAATGGTTAGGTATGACGACCTTCTACGTGTACAGCATTTGATCGCCTTTAAATAGCGCACCGAATAAACATATTAACCAATCCAAACGCTCAGCTTCGGTTCGCTTGGGGTTCTCCAAGTCCTGTATCTTCCCGCAGAGCCTCTTACATGCCCCGCGACTCGCTGTTCCCCGACCCCAATACGACCTCATGCTGGAGGCCTAATTCAGAAGTGTACATGTAATCATTAATATGACCTATCACAACACCCATATTTAGGACTTTCTTTTTCTCTCAAAAGTTCACATGCGATCGTAAATATAATACATATAGTCAGATTGCCAAGAACATGGCACTCAAATGCAAGCATACGAAGTAAATCCGGATGAATTGTAAATCTCGGAGGCTAGTTATAGATTATAATCCAATTTTACTATATCAACATGTGGATAACTTATTCTCTTGCGCTGTGACCTACTCACGGACCTTCAACTAGTTCGACGATGCCTGTCTTGCAATCACTTATCATCCAATAATAAAACCGCCTACTAGCTCCTCTCGCACTAGGAAGGATATCGAGATAACTTGAATTGGATACCGAGAAAGTCCCAGAATTGGTCTCAGTATTATGGATCATGCTTCTGAACGTAGGTCAACGAAAGCTATAGAATTCGCACGTTATAGTTTCTTTTCTGCGGAAGAAGGATTCGATTGGTAATAATGTGACAATATCTCAAAAACATTACATTTAGTAAAAAGTTGTCTAGATTCCATCACAATCTTACACAATTATTGACGAATTATCCAACAAAAATCTGTGGTGAGGTTGACATTCGTGGGGGTGATCATCAAAAAGCAGTAAATAACATACAGTATACCTAGCAGGTACCTAAATGTACTAGATCCCAGCAAGCCACAGCGATTACCTCCGGGGGTCTAATCAATTTAATTGGCTCAAAAAGCTTACCGCATTTTATCTATTTTCCTAAAACGGTAAACACCTCTTGGCCTAACCGAATTCTGATTGGCTGCTCATGATGGAATTATTATGTACCTTGGCCATTAACCGATGTATTTCAACTTGTAAGATAGAAGCAACATCTACCATGCATAACGCTCTGACGCCACCTACGTCTGATATCAGATTTCTTCGGCAGTACTCCCAACAGTTTACTGTATTATGTACATGGGACATGCTTTTAAAATCACGTGTAGAAGTTGATAAAAGGGTTAATAACCTGTGCCGTATCCGTGATGTCTATTACTTCCAACACCCTTCGTACTCTCTCTTTTCTATCTCCTTCAGCCGTATCTATTACCGAAACAAAACTGCTACATATCATAAAATAGTTTATTGATTCAACATGGCATCTATTTCCTACGAAAACAGGACTACGGAAGAGATCCTCTGTGACGCCTGTGACGATAACGATCTCTTCACAGTCCAGAAGATCGTCGACGCCGGCCTCCCTATATCACAAGAAACCCTCAACCGAGCAGCATCCACAGCAGCACACTCAGAAGACGCCCAAGTCCTTCGATTTCTCCTCGAAAGAGGCGCCTCAGTAAACGGGAGACAATTACTCCCAGGAGCATGCAACAAGCTCGAAATGCTGCAAGCGATGTACGACTACGGGTGGCACGCCGAGCAAATCAACCAGGATATGAAAGAATATCCCTACATGTACATACCTAATATTTCCTATATCTCGTCACGCTATCGCGTCCGTGCTAACCACGCAAAATATTTAGGCAAATAATCGTCTCCAATGTGCCAATTCTCGAGTGGCTGCTTGAGCACGGGATGGACCCTAATTTGCCAGGGGACCGGCGCACAGACCCGATCCGGGGGCACTTGACGCCCCTCAATGCAGCCGCCTTCCGGGGTCGGTTTACCGAGGATGCGGTGAATAGCTTGAAGCTGCTGGTGAGCCGAGGAGCGGTGTTAGATCCTTTCGTCCTGGAAAATGCTATTGGACTTGATGTGCGTGGTGGTCGGAGATATAGTAGGAAAGTGGTGCAGTGGCTGGTGGGGCATGGTGCTGATGTTAACTATCGCATGCAATCTGGTGCGACGCTGCTGTATGCCGCAGTAGAAGCAGAGAATTTCGAGCTGGTGACTACACTACTTGAACTTGGTGCTGATGCCTCTGAGAGGGATCCACGCAGCGGAATGACGCCGCTAGAGAGAGCACGAGCGCAAGGTTTGGAGGAAATAGGTGACGTGATCGATTACAGTGAAGATCTGATAGGTGGAAAGTCTAGTTATGTTGGCTTGAGCCGCTTGGATATTAAACTTGCCGTTGCTGTATAGAATTACTGGCGTTGGAGAGATCAACTACCTATCTAGGTGAGGTGCCTAGGTGCCTCCTGTCACGAGTTTATGCCTGCATGAGTTACGTCCGGATGAGATACCTACTAGATTATTACTTAATACAGACGCTTTGGTTTGATTAGCTCGTATCTGCCGGTGAACCCCTAATAGCTTCTTCTGAGTACCCAGTCTTTGAAGAGCACGAGCGAGTACGAGCGAATCATGGGTCGCCCTCCCCTTGAGCTATGCCGAAGTGCGTCAGATCTCGCAACGATACTCCTTTTAGAGAGGAGCATTCACATGAAGTATATTACAATAATATTGGAGTCGGAAGCTATGACTATCCTCCGTCTAGGCTATGATGTGAAGTTTGATAGGGTGCACGATACCCCGGATTGCACGGAATCCGCCGAACCACAAAGTCCCTGAGCTTGGCCATGTATCTAAACATAATTGGTTAGTAACCGGCATCTTTGCCCGTAACCGAGTGCCTATCAACTTTTCCTGCGGGGGCTACTCTAGGGCTGTCAAGACCCATGCAGCCGATCCCTCGAGGATCGTCAATAGTAGAATCTAATCCACTTCTAGTCTACTACAGGCTCAGATTGCTGAGGAATATCGATGTGTGTTGGTTCAAGATGCATACTAGCTACGTAAGTTATAACATTTAGTCCTAATACCCACAAAACATCAATAATCCTTTACGCCCATCCCTCGCTGACGATTCTGAACCCCTGTCCGTCCGGCTCGGAATCTTTTGATTCCCCTAACTCCCTTCGTGCTTATAAAACTGGGGGGGGGGGGGAGGGGGGCGGTATTCTTCACCGCCCATGTGTATACCCACCAAGCCCTCAACGTCCTGGCTATAATCTACAGCAATCCTGTTTACTAAGCCTATAGCAAGCCGATAAGAAACATACATACATAGCCGAGCAGGAGACTTCAATTTAAGAAAGAAAAAAAAATGGCCCGAAACACACCAGAAACCCTGGCAGCCCTCCAAAAATTCCTAAGCGAGCAACACCCCAGCATCACGCTCCTCACCCGATCAAGCCCCGAATTCGAGGCCGTGCGCGCGTGCTTCGTCAAGCGAGACAGCGACGTACCGCTCGCCATCGCACGCCCGCGGTCAGCAGCCGACGTACAAGCGCTAGTGCAGTACTGCGTCGCAAATGACGTGGACTTCCTCGTGCGGACTGGTGGTCACGACTGTGCGGGGCGCACGCAGGTTCGCGATGTGCTGACTATTGATATGCGCGACATCAAATACGTAAATGTTGCTGAGGACGAGAAGACTGCTACGATTGGAGGAGGGGTGTTGTTTAGGGATCTTACGAAGGTGCTTGATGCGAAAGGTTTGATTACGCCGATTGGTACTATTCCGACTGTGGGTTATGTTGGATGGGCTACGCTCGGCGGATACGGGCCGTTCTCGACGAGCCATGGGTTGGGGGTTGATCAGATCGTTAGTGCTAAATTGGTTGATGCGAAGGGCGAATTAGTGGATGCAAGTGATGAATTATTGAAGGGTCTACGGGGAGGCGGCGGGATATTTGGGGTTATTGTGGAAATGACTATCAAGGTCTATCCCCTGAAGGAGATGCTCGTATCACTTTTGATTTTCGAATCGAGTGATATAAAGAAGACCTTCGTTGATTATTGCGCTGGATATGAGAAACTGACTGCAGAGCAACCCCTCCCAAGGTCACTTCAACTTCAAATTTTTGGCATTGAACTTCCTAACCTAGGGAAAGTTCTGGCCGTGGCAGCATCATGGGCAGCACCCGATTTTGAAAATGGAAAGATCTGGTTTAACAAGATCGCGGCTTTCGGGAATTGTTTGATGAACAATCCCGAGCCGAAGAAAGTGACGGCTTGGGTTGAGACCAACGAAAACCTCCTTACGTATGGCAGCTATGGTCGAGTATACACACTGAACGTCAAGAGTTACACACAAAAGACTGCTGAGATCCTCGCTAGACACACCCATCGAATCCCAGGTGTCCGCATGGCGCTCTCCCTACACACCCTTAGAGTACCTCTGCCAAACGAGGAATCCATCTTCCCTTCCCGAACAGATCATCATATGTTTGAGCTAGTTGCTACGACCCCCGCGAAGGAGGACGAGATTAAGGGCGAGGAATGGGCTAATGAGATTCTAAAAGATGTCAGGGAGAATGACCCCGAGAATGTTATGGAATCGTCGTATGTAGCGCTCACGGGTACGGATGATGTGGACTTTAAGGTGCTCTACGGGAAGCATTACGACACGTTGGTGGCGCTCAAGAAGAAGTATGATCCGGATAATGTATTCAAATATGCAGTTCCCAGGCTTGTCGCGTAGAGATTGTAGTAGCATTAGAAGGCAATGGGAGTTGGAATATAGAATGCATGTCAATTGATGGAGCAATACCTTGTAGTGGCGCGCTGATCCTTGGTGAATCCCACGCTCCAATATTACGAGTGTCCGGATTATTAGTTCAGTACTTCATAAAAGGCGAAAACCCTGTTGGCCAGATAAATAACAGTTGAAACTGACTTCTATTTCTTTTTCTTTGCGATATGATCGTTTTAATTGCAATTGAACTTTGACGACTGATTCCTATCAGTACTTGGGCAGCCGATAATCCTGGCTGCTGAAGGATCGCAAGAAACGGAAGTATGTGCCTAGAACAATGCGGTCCGCGAGTTACCTGTCCTCGTAAGTCTGGCGCAACTAAGTAAGGGTAAAAATACTTAAATCTGGATTTAACAGACTGGATATAGGAATACGTTGGATAAGATTCGGGCTAGGTTCCATCAGGGACTTTACCCCTTTACCGGTAGGATTCGTATTTAGGGACCGTCAGGAATGGAATGCATCTCGTTGGTGCTGGCTTAGATGGCCATACCCATATAACGAAGGAATTTTGGATTATTTGTAGTAAGAAAAATCTATGCGCAAGTCTAGTAATAGTGATATGATACAATATGGTACAATATACAGGATCTATCATCAACAAAAGGAAGGCTGGCCTGGCAGCTGGTAAGTCATATCGTCGTCCACATCTGCATACTCCATCTTACCCTAGGCGTAGTTATTGGGTAATATCTGTTCCTACTTCTTTTTGCCTTCGTCAAGCTTAACCTCGAGCCTGCCGTCCCAGCTCACGGGTTGTGAAATCCGGTACTTTCCACCCAAAACTAGGTCCTTCGCGACCAATTCCCTCGTACGACCTAAGCTTTCAATCGCAGCGATACGTTCTAAAGTATCCTCAAGGAATTCTCGGAATCCAGGCTCGGCGCATATTTCCTTAAAGGCACGGTGCATCGGTACCGAGCTCGCACGGACTTGGGATTTGCTCGTTATCGTGAAGAGGTTTAATCGGTCGAAATCTCGAATAAAATCGGCTCTGGTCATGATTTCTTGGGCCTTGTGCATCGGGTAGCAAGGTAAAACGTGTCCTGTCTCCGGGTCGTACGTCCTTTCCATCTCCTCTTCCCTGTCCACAAGGGCTAAAGCGAGAACCATAGCAGCTGACTGGTTATTTAGTTAGCAAATGTCCCCTTTGTTGATTATCCCACGAACAGCCGCGTTAGGTTCAATTACTCACAGCCCATTTTTGCTGATCCATCACGTCATCGTCCATTTCTGACCCTAGAATCCAACACTGATTGAGGAACCATGTCTTTTCGATCTCCTTAATGCGATCGCATGTCGCGAGCATGTCGTGGGACTTGGCTACCCGATTCAAAAACGAGAGCCGACCTCCGACCTGATCGTAAACCTGCTCAAGTACGGATTTCTCTACCTCCTCGCGGAAATAACGTTGGCGATATCTCTGTAGCGCTGTTATGGCTTGCGCTTTCGGTAAGTCTCCAATTGACATGACTTCCATTCGGCTAGTGGCTAGCCTCTGCAGCTTTTCGTACACCCAGAAATCATCACTACTAAAGATCATTGTGACGAGGTTCGCAGAAGCCCATTGCTCTGCTCGTTGCTGAAGTAATTCGATCAAATCTTTTCCGTCTTCGTCGTCTCGAATAAGATGAGTCTGGTTGATGATAAGGAGTAAGGGTCTCTTCGTTTTCGCACGGTGTAGCAGCGCCACTTTCTCCAACTTATTCATCGCCCTCTCGATATCTAGCAATGCAGTTGATTCCCTCGGCCCACGTTCACTGAAATATCCGCCAATGTAATCCTCGTGAAATTCATAATCAAGCGCCTTTCCTAATCGAATTCGGAAGATCTCTAAATCGGCATGGGCCTCGAACATAGCACATCCTTCCCCATCTATCTTTCTCATGGCCTCCAACAACATACTACTCTTGCCGCAGCCTTTTTCGCCCATAATTAAATGATAATGGCCTTGATCAGATCCATTGATAATCCTGTCGATCTTAGTCTGTTCGTCCCGTAGGACCCAGTGCTGCGAGTTAGGCGGCGCTGGCGCATCTTTCCCCACGGCGGCTAGAACCAACACAGGATCTCCAGGCTCAAAGGCGTTCTCTATCTTCTTCAATTGTAAGTGCTTGTACAACTTATGGTAAACGTAACCAGCGCCGGCAAACCCTATCGCAAGAACTAATACTGAAGCAATAGTAGTAGCTGCAGCTTCGCCCATCTTAGATAACAAAGAAGGCTTCTCATCTTCGAATCTCGGATAGCCATCCGGGCCAATATGACTTCTCACCGACGTAGTTGTGGAGAAAGTCGATTTGGGTGGGGGCCAAACCAGAACAGGTCGTGTCTGGGTAACATTGAAGCGTCCGTAATATCCGACATATGCTGACGGCCTAAAAGAGCCAATCCAGCCACCTCTTCTTGCTAGCATCTTGGTTCTAGTTTGCTGATCATGAAGCAGGCTCTCGCGCGAAACCGCGAGATGTGCGATTATTATCTAATTGTCTTTATCGGAGAATTTTCTTTTTTTGTTCTGGAAAAGGGTGACGTGACAAAAAGGGAGAAAGAGAGAAAAAGGAGAGATGTCGCGAATTGAAATTACGCAATCCTGTGAGATAAGGATAATTAAAGCCACAAAATGTAACGGAAAACGGTAAATGAAATGTAAACGAAACGACGTTTGTGGCGCATTGTTTTCGATCCGACCCGTCGGGTCCACAGAATCTACTTCCTTGTTTGCAAGGTCATGTGGGAGGTACTTGTATCTAGGCGTGCTAACATATTGCTTGCAATGTACCGTGAGTACAGTGCATTTGTGGAAGGTGGGATGTTTCCTATGTTGGTTTAGCGGCGGTATGCACGGGCGTGATCCAAACAATTAAAGTAACCGCGTACCTTCTTGATTCAATGTGACCAATCATTTTACACCATTACCGGAAGGATGTGGGGCTATAAGAACTGATTCGAAGTTGATATATCCAATTCTACACGCCGTGTTGAATAGAAATCAATATAAAAATTAACAAATGAAAAATAGAAAAAAGAAGGAGGTACATACACTGTCTGGTGATTACCTAAAATGGTAAGGCGCCGATCTGAATTTTGATTGGGTGCTAATCACTGATTTCTCCTACTGATTTCAACACCACCTACAAATTTCGGCGCACATTATCAAATCGTCGCAATTCCACCACCTTTCCCTCTATCATCTACCTTCTTCCCTTCGCCCTCTACCTCGCGCGGCGCACGACGAGTGGTAAATCTCTAGCTTTCCTACTTTCTACCAACCTTTGAACCCCAAGCGGCGTTTAAAGAGCTTTCCTTCTTCACCATCAATCCCTTTCGCGTATTTTTTTTTTGATCCCAAGTCTTGGGTCGGCGAAATACACATCCACGGCGCATCTCTCTCTGAGCTGGTGCAATTATTTTCTTGCATTTTCACAGCTTTTTTTTTTCTCTACGAACGTTCTACCGTTCGCCGTCCCTCTTTCATCTCTTCCTGGTCATCCATCCATCTTGTCTATTCAATATCCATCCTCAAGGCTAAGTGAATTTCAATTTTTCAGTACGTCGTCGCATCTGATGAATTGAATATTTCGCGATCGCCGCAAGTGATAACACTGCGATTCAACCACCTTTATTGTACTTCAAGGTATGTTGCTGAGTCTCCGGTTACACAAGTTAACCGAAATTAACTTTAACCTCGTCGTCGGTTAACATTTTTATTAGTCTGTACATTTCGCCGACTTGATTTTATTGCAAATATTCGAAGATGTCTTTGAATCAGATGCCCGGATTAGGCGATGATACAGCTCGAACCGAATCTTCTGGAGGCGAGAAAGTCCACGGCGCTGCTGGTCCCTCGCGTGCGGGCAACTCAAGCTCTTCGGCGAGTCTCATAGAGTCGGTGATAGACTCGAACCCTTCGGCCATAGTTCCTCAAGGTAAGATTCTCATAACTACCCCTGATACTAACAATAGCTGTTAGCATAACTGTTTGTTACTGGATCAAGGGTTATAACTAACGGTTGAGGTTATAGGGCGACTAGGGCGAGCTAGTGGTTTGCCTCGGCGTAGAGGAATTACTAATTTGCGGGATTTATTAAGTGCTGGTGATGACAAGGACGTGGAGAGCACAGTCGCGGAGATGACCGCTGTATTCCGGAGTGTTAGTGAGGACTCCAGAATCGGCAGCCCTAGACGTAGAGTCGGCGAGTTTAGGGCCAATGGTCCCCAGGCCGCCGATTCTATCGTCAGCGATTCCCGCGCCAGCAGTTCTCACGCCGGCGTTCCTTGTACTGGTGAATCTCACCTCGGCGATTCTTGTGTTGGTAAACGAACTGGCATGACTGACTCCGTCTTCTTTGCGGACATTGCTGTGCTTGAGGAGACAGAGACGGTTGCTGGTAATGAAAGTGCCCTTGATATCAGCACGTTCAACAGACCTCACCAGAATTTGCCGCAACACTTACAGGAATTGTGGCCAAGGCCACTAAAATTATCCCGGCCGGCACGCTCCTATGGAACCACTCCTTTCCCCCCACCTGCTCGTGCTTTGCCTAAGCTACCTACTGTTTCTACTCTAAGGCCTAACCAGGCGGCCGCTGCACAGGACGCGTACCTTCCGCAAAGTGTGAGCCAACCAGTTCTCGCATCCTTCAGCAAAGTACCAAAGCATTCATCAGCCAATACCGCGGAAGTATTCACAGAGCTTGACGAAAAGGCGGAGCCATCCTGCGCGTCAGAGTTGCCCAGACAGTTTAGCAAGGACCCCTCGCAAACCAACGATGAACTTTTCGATTATTTATTTATGAAAGTTTCTGGAGCAGAATCCAACAAATCTATGCTCAGTTTGCACTCAGAGCCCAGACAACTTGACCGACCTCTCCAATCCTTACCTTTCTCCCACGAATTTCCTAATCTTGTACACCCCGAAATCCTAGCCACTTCAGAACAGGCTATTATTGCAGAATCATTTCAACAAGCATCTGATTCATCCTGGGAGAGTATTTACGAAACAACACCCGACGTACGATCCGAGCACCCATCCGAGGAGCTCAAGGATAAGTCCAACATGGCTGACTCTCGTGGCTCTCCCGTTGGCTTCGGTGAGTCCCCTTCAATTAATTTTTCTTGCGACCGTGGACCAACTAGATTTTAGATCGAGGTGCCGCCGCTCGAATTAATTTTGAGCAGACTCTTCATTCTCGTAAGTAGATTATTTTTTCCCCTTCGCCCTCAATTTCTTTCCCTTATGTAAAATTAAGTGGTCGCTCACATTATTTTTGTAGGCCTCCAGTCACTCGCGGACGAGGAATCCAATGATGAGGGTCAGATAGAATCATCCCTAGAAGCACCGTTGGATTTTTCTAACCCGAATGCATATCCAGGCGTCCCTCGCGATGTGATTGAGGCTACAGCGGCTCTTGATCAACTTGCGAACCGAGGAAAGAGACAACCTCGTGGGCACCCCTCGCTCATGGGGCCCCCTCCGGTCATGGTTTTGCCACCTCGTGTTGGGACCCCCGCTGGTATGGTAGAGCAGCACCAAGAGTCTGCTAACGAATCGGCTACTCGTCCCTCGCAGATCCAATCAACCCATCAGGGCACTGTTTCAATCCGCCCTGAGTCGGTAATCGCAGCTAGCACACCAACACGTCCGGTGTCTTACCAAACTATCCGAGAGATGATCCGCCGTGAAATGGCTGAGTTCCAAGCCATGGAGCAGTCTACCGTGCTCATGCGATCTACGGCTGTTGTGGATGCTGCCCGAAACACTTTCGGACGCTCTATCCGTGACGATGCGGGCCTTGCAGCTCACATCCAGTACCAAGTTGCGTTGTACACCCCGGCAATCTCGGCATTTTAGAACAAGGCCGAGATTGAGGCGAACAACCAACCTATAGAAGACCAGATCTTCGTTGCCATCATTGCGCAGATTGAGAAGGAAGCCCAGGAGGAATTAATCCAATTGGCTGACATGGAAGCTGATGATGACCCGTTCCACGAGTCTGATAATGGTCTTCCAATCGCTGGACCCTCAGGCACTTCTCGCGTCTCGGCTCCTCAGCAACCTACTGGTTCTGTTGTCTACCACCCTGCCCCGTCTGCGGCTTCTCACCGATCTAGTTCAATCCCAGGTGTCATTCCTGCAGTTGCTCTGGGTCTTCGAGGACGTGTGACCCGCCGTATCTCTCAGGCAGCCTCTGGATCTGCTAATCAGCGATCTACTCATTTGGTAATTCCCCCGGCGACCCCTCGAAACGCCAACCGTGGACCTTCTCAGCTTGGTACTACCGAAGAGGCGCTCGATGAGGCTGCTATTGCTGCTATCGCTGCTGGAGCCACTACTCTACCCGATCCGCAGCCCGCCCCGCTGGAACTACCTACTCCATCCGCTGGACCTGCCGCACCCTCCGCAACTCCTACTGGTGAGTGGCCCGCGGCTTCTGACACCGTAGTTCGCCCCGCACCTGGTCCTTTCCTGTACGAATCGACCAACATGGAGGAATTCAAGCGTCGCGACGACGAGAAGCGCGAGAAGCGTCGTGAGCGAGAGCGCGACCGTGCTCAGAAGAAGGAGGAGAAGGCCAAGCTCAAGGCCGCTGCCGAGACCACTGCATCCGAGGCGATGTATAACCACAACCACCCGGGCACCCAGAGTGCGGATCGCCGCATCAAGCCCAGCCCTAGCTTTGGTGGCTCTCTTCGCCGCGCTTTTCAGACGGCGTTTAAGTTGAGCGGTGTTAATACTTCGAGCGCTACCTCGGAGAGTCCCGCTCCTAGTGCCGATGACGAGAACGAGACTGAGAGTGGAGAGGGCCAGAGTGGTCAGAGTGGCCAGGGACAGGTCCAGGACCGTAGTCACCACACTCACTAAGCACCTCGATGGTGGAGTTGAAACGTCCTGTTTATGTATACCAGGCGTTGGGGATTTTTCAGAGGGCGCTCTAGGAGCTAAGCCGGTGTTTACGACCCGTTACACGACACATTATGATGCATGATAACGCCTGATGAAGGGGACAGAAAGGGGATTTCACGATTACACGCAGTTTCTTTGTTTCTCGCACTCGCCTATTACGGCTTTCAACTTCTTAGATTGGCCACCGAATTCCAGAATCCGCTCGTCGATTAGCTACCACGACCCCACAGTTGCAGACCGGAATCACCAGGAGGAAAGGATACGGATAACCTTACTGGAGACATGCGGAGCTGTGCGGGAGGCCGCATCTTCCGCCTATAGGTTGGGGATGGCAGCTGGATGGCTTGATGTTTAGGTATTAGGATAGGGTCGGACCCTTTTTTTCCTTATGCCTTTTTAATAGTGCACATGCATCGGGGTTCGCTTTTGCTAGGAGTTGAGGAGATCAGGACGAGGAAAAGCTATTCCGATATAGCAGGAGGAGATACCCCACGGACAGACATCCCCAGAAGTCAATCGATTGTTCTTTATATGCATTGGATGCCTTGGTGACTTGAAGACTATCGTGAATGAACTAGATTGGTGATAATACTGCTTAAATGACTACCTGACTTAGATATCTGATCATACTACGACGCCTTCCTTACCATGGCACCTTAAAACATCCAATATATCATTCCTAAGGGTCTCGGTGGCTCTTGAAAAATATACCGTATAACGGGGAGAATGGCTCCTTCTACTCCGAGTTTAATGCGGCTTTCTTTCCTATCGTTAACACATGGGATTGGAGCTATCGTTTCGGAAGGTGCCAGGCTTCACAGGCCTACCTAGGTAGTCGCAGGTACTAATCGGCCCCTTGTTCCGGCGCCCTTAGCACCTACCCCAACACCCCTAAGATCCCCTATCGGCTAATTTTTAGCGCCTTACCTGTCCTCTGAATTTTTGCGTACTGTGGCACTTATCGTTGGAAGGTGCGGGGCACCTAGAGACCGCACCCAATACGCGAACCTTAGTGGGGCAAGCGCTATCGTAGCGCTTCCTACAGCGGTACCTTAGAGCACAAATTAGCACATAAATTTTCCCCGTTCAGCACCTTTATTTAACCTGAGGGTGTCAAAATAGCGCTATTATTACACTGACCCTTCAAAACTATTCTTCCCTTTCTTTAGGTACCTAGTTCCTACAAAATCTCGTCTCTCTTCAAATCATGGGTTTTATGTATCTAGCTAAGAGGCAATGGCAATTTTTCTTTGTACTAATTACTTGTTTATTACCTTGGTAGGTATATTGGAAATAATGGCAGACCGGTACTTTGAATAGAGAATATTACTGCCTTACACGTATCTTCCAAGAACTGCGCATTATGCCGGAATGGCCCAAGTTGCCCAACGGAGGAGGCCTTGACGAGGAAGTGGAAAGTGCCGTCCTTACCACAAGGCTTGAGTAGAACCAAGAGATCCTTCGAATGCGCGCTATGCAGGAACAGCTTCAAGATGCCATTATTGACCATCTCGGATTACCTAAGACCTCAACGGCTCGTTCTCGGGTCAGGTGGTGAACCCAGACCATTTCCAATGCATACAGGGCAAGAATATCGTGGAAGTAAGGTGTGTCGGGGGTACCTAAGACAGCAACTAATACGCTAACTTTAGTAGACCAGGTGCTATCGTAGCGCGCCCTACAGCAATACAACGCCCTAGAACATGAATTTAATGTTAATACCTAAATTTTCGGCATTCGACGCCGCAAGGGTGTGAAAATGGAGGCGTTATCACATACCTCACCATATTATTCACATGAATATTCCAGCCACTTTGAATCATGTATTGGCGTTCCAAAACCGTCTCTAATACCACTGCAGTATCTTCTAGGAGCCTTCTAGAGCGGCTTCGCGTAGTCCTCGGCGTGGGCACCACGCACCTTAGGTAAGCACCTCTCCTTTTCCTGTGATACTTGAGGGCTAGGGTTGGAGTCGGTGGACTCATGGTAGGGGTTAGGTTTCCCTACCACCATTAATCCTTTGATATGCGAAGCTTAGGCAGCTCCGGACAGGAACCGGTCATCGGAATACAAACCGACGGTCGTGGCATCGGAAATACAGAGTTCTACGATGGTTTCTATGCCTTCTTGGATAACATCGTTGCTGTTTTAATGAACTTCGAGATAGTATTAGGTAAGGTCTTAGGGTAAGTTATCAGTATTACCTAATCTCGCCGGAGCTCTCACCTTGAAAATAAGCATGATTAAGAATGTTGAGACAAGCTGCAAGGTACGGAGAGGAATGCAACAAGACTTCAAATACCCATGTTTATATGTGATTATTATGTGATTACTAGATGAAGTTACATCAATACCATCCAATATTAGGATGGATGGAGGGACGGATTTGGATTTACTCACCATCGCTGTCGTTATCTCAGCGGGGGATCGCGCAACTGTAGGCGTTTATCCAAGCTTCTGATTGGCTAATAAGCTATAGTATCATCGGCTCGGCCCTTGTACATGCCCCGCGATCGACCCCCAACCTCCCTGTAACTTTGCTTATCTTCCAGTTTACACTTCCTTTTCACCCTCTTTCCTCCATCTACCATCAACTATTTCGTAAAGAGGGACGAAATGGAGTATGGAAAAGGCGAGCTACCTCCCTACAGCGCTGTAGCTGCACCTACACTGGACTGGCGCAGGCGCTGGCCCGTACGGCGTTCTCGTGCTGTCAAGTTTATTGCTTTAGCATGTCTTGCGTTTATTGTTTATGCGCAATGGAGACAAATTGAACCTCATCCGAAGCGCGGCTCGACGTCCCAATTGTCAATTGAGAAATTGAATCAAGACCTACGAACGTGTGCCAAGCTCCGCTCAAAGCCTCAAGATCCTATCGGCTTGGGACGAGAGCGTAATGCGCGTTATGTTGATGGACAGAAACCTACTCTTATAAAGAACGCTACTATCTGGGTTGGTGAACCCGTTGAAGGAACAAGTGCTGAGGATGCGCGCGCTGGAAAGGGCTATTCGTGGATCAATGCCGATGTGTTGCTAGAGCACGGTCTCATTAAGGAGGTTCGAAAGGACATTGATATCAGCTCGGTATCGTCCGATACATTCATCTGGAATGCGCAAGGTCGTCAACTCACCAGTGGTATTATCGACATGCACAGTCATGCTGGTGTCGACAGCTTACCGGAACTCCGTGGAAACGACGACACGAATGAATTAAGCGCTGACATAACTCCGTACGTGCGCTCAATAGATGGAATTAATATTTTCGACCATCAAATTCAGGTTATCAAGTCAGGTGGTGTCACGACGAGTTTAGTGCTGCCTGGTTCTGGCAACAATATCGGCGGCGAAGCTTATGTAATTAAGCACGCTGTGGGAAAGCCCGATGGCCGCAACGAGACATCCATAAACGACTTGTTAGCTGACCCGGACCACACCTGGCGATACATCAAGATGGCTTGCGGTGAGAATGCCAAGCGTGTTTACGGTAAAGTTGGGGAGCATGGTCCCTTCAGCCGACTGGGCGAGTCTTGGGAATTCCGACACGCCTTCGAGCAAGCTGCCAAATTGGTTCAAGCTCAGGATGATTGGTGTACCCTGACTGAGTCCGTTGGTGTTGAGCAAATAGACAGCTATTTGCCGCAAGAACTAGAGTGGGAAACCCTAGTAGCCGTGCTGCGCGGACAGGTCCATGTCAATACGCATTGCTACACAGTCCCAGATCTGGAAGCTTTCGTGGATCATACCAACGAGTTCAAGTTCCCCGTCAGAGCTTTCCACCATGCGCATCAGACATATCTCGTACCTGATGTTCTCAAGAGAGCATGGGGCGACACTCCGCCTGCGTCAGCATTATTCGCTGATAACATGTGGTATAAGGCCGAAGCTTACATCGGTTCCGAATATGCCGGCAAGGAATTATACGAAAACGGACTAACCCCCATTTATGTCAGCGACAACCCTGTTCTAAACGCACAACATGTCGTCTTCGAGGCTGCGAAAGCCTTTGGATACGGTTTGCCCTATCACGCTGCTCTGGCTTCGGTTACTACGGCCCCAGCTGAGCGACTCGGTCTAGGACAACGTTTGGGCAAGGTTAAACCTGGATTTGACGCCGATATTGTTCTATGGGATAGTGACCCATTGAGTGTCGGAGCCGCGCCACTTCAAGTTTGGATTGATGGGACCGCACAATTCGATGAACCTGTTGATCTAGGAAAACCGATTACCCCGCCTCCCAGTTCATTCGAAGTTCCTGCTGTTGCTGACGAAGCCGTTCCTACAAGCGACGTTATATTCACCGGAGTATCGAAATCATTCTTATCATCCCAGCTGCGACAAGATTCTATCAGTGATAACTCGACCGTCGCAATTTCTGGTGGTAAAATCACTTGCATAGGGACTTGTGATGCTGAACTCGAAATCGCTTCCAAGTCGGGCACCAAGATCATCTCTCTCCAGAATGGCTACCTGACGAGACCTTTCACTGTATTCGGTTCCCTCCTCGGCCTCAATGCTATTGACGCTGAGTCGGATACTGACAATGGTGGCGACACTGGGGTCTTTAGTCGAGGTGTCGATGGACTCGCACTTGATACCAAGAAACTCCACTACGCGCAAAAATATGGTGTCACGCGAGCTATCTCGGCTCCTAAATATTCAGGACAGGGAACTCACCAGGGTACTAGCGTTGGATTCCGCACAGCAGCGAAACATGCTCTCGAGAAGGGCGCTGTATTTGCTGACGACGTTGCTGTGCATTACACACTGGACCTTAGTTCTAAGAGTGGCAGCTCATCGATATCGAATGCCATCAATGCGCTTCGTCATAAACTCCTGGAAGCTGTGGATTCTAACGCTACGAGTGCTGACCCTTACACCGAGGCGGCATTTTTAGCTAAAGTGGTTGATGGTTCGCTGCCTCTGGCTATCACCGTCCATAGCGCTGATGCGATTGCTGCGGTTCTAAAAGTAAAGGATGTTGTTGATAGCGCTATTACTTCGAATAGAGGAAGCGGTGGCATAAATTTGGTTATTATTGGTGGCGCTGAGTCTTTCCTCGTAGCAGACGAGTTGGCCGCAGCGAATGTAGGTGTGGTGTTAAGCCCTTTGCTATCATACCGAACATCATGGGATCAACATAGGGCCCCAACAGGCGCACCTCTTACGAATGGTACAACCGTCGATGCTTTGGTAGCTGCTGGTGTGCGTGCAGGTGTCGGCATCGAGGAAGACTGGCTTGTACGAGACGTTGGGTTACTAGCGGGTATTGCGCATAAGAATAGCCAAGGTCAGATAGGTGAGAAAGAAGCATTGGATTTGGTCTCGGAAAATGTGTATAAGATCTTGGGATTAAAGGGTAGCGAGGATACGAACGAATTTGTAGTATTTGAGGGTAACCCCTTGGAGATAGGGGCTAGAGTTCGGGCGGTTGGGGGTGGTGTGGGAGAGGAAGTTACTGTATTTGTTTGATACTTTACTGATTGACCTACCAGCCTACGTTTTTTACGTGGCGAAACGTGCTTGTAACTACCTAGGTATATATGACGTTTTGAATTCTGTGTTACCTGAGATCGCTGGCCTAGACCTGCATATTTATGGCGAAATCACTTGACCGTGCACCCCGAGACGCTGTACGCGGGCGTGTACCCCTGAATCTAGGTATACCCTTATGCATTTAATTAGTAGAAAAATGATAGCAATAACTTTTAATATAATCCAGTTCTGCTGACTTGAGTAGGAAACCAAACCTGTCATAATTCATGAATATAAACCTAGCTATCTGGGCAAATTGTTATGAATTACAACTGCACTTCTGTTGTTACGGGGCACCATTTGCGAAAATGGATACGGTCGCATATCCAGTGGCGCTAGAACATGCATAGAGAAAAGATAGGCTACATATATTATGTACTTCCCCCAAACTTCCTCTCATAATTTATTCTAGATTTTGGCATTCACAACAACGGGAAAGTACGTGTTAATGTAAATGACTCATGAGGAATCCGATAACTCATTTTCACAGGGCAGTTGCGATATCTACAGGTAGATACCTAAAGTTATGACCCCGCACTACCTGAAAAGTTAGATATCAATTAGGACTAGCCAATCAAAGCGAGCGACTGTGCCAAATCTGCACCTTGGTAGATATTTAGGTAGGTGCCCGCGTAAGTACCTCCCCAAAACCATTAGTGATTTTTTTTACTGGCCCCAGAGTTTTAAGTGCACACCTTAGCCTTTCGCGTTTTTCTTTTTTTCTCCCACCAGACGCGACCAAGATCGTGAACTTCACGCGCACCAATTTACTAAAGCTCTCCACACCAACAAACAAAACACTACTGTAATATATCGGGGTGTATTTGCCCTTCCGACGGACTTTGAAACTTCTGTTTTCATCGCGATAAAGACTGCATATATCTAAGTAGAGCTGTTGAAGGCTGGATGTTTTGCGCATTGTAGCACGTCGTCATCCCTCTTCATGTTGTATACCAACCACCTCACCAACCACATTGACTACTACCCCTGCGCTATTGTCAACAACATATTCGACTTGAGAGGCCCTTTTCTTCCTCATAAGACATTGTCATAAGTCCTTTATTGGGAACAATGCATTGAATATGGGAAATCAACCAAGCACCGAGGTGAAACAGGACGAGTCGGATGGTGCAGAAGAGGATTTGCAAGAATCGCAACAGTCGCCCTCAACTCCTTCATATCCCCGCGCGAAAGAACCCTCAGCAGTTCCTTGCTCACCAGGCATTGTATACTCAAGTCAAGTGCCTGCGTCTGCGATTCGGCCAATTCCACCCTTCCGACCTAAACCGCAATTACACGAACTACACGAATCCGACCTCAACGTACCTAGCTCGCCTATCCTTCCCCCACTCCCACCGCCTACCATGTCTTCGGCAACGAGGGATAAGAAACTCGAGGTTCCCGAGTCACCTCAGTACAAACAGGAAAACTCGACACCAAGCAACAAATCCAAAAAGTCGAAATCGCGACGATCAAAAAAACGGTCCAGCATATCGCATCCTGAATCTTCCATCAAGTCTAGCGGATCCAATCATGCGCAGAACGGTGTTTCAGAAATAAATGATATAAATAATGTGGATGATATGAATGATAATACCTCTGCGATAGGGGACGTCGATTCACACAAAGGCCCGAAAAGACGTAGAAGGAAGGCAAAGAAAGGCCTGAAGAAAGAACAATGGCCAGCATCTCCTGATTTGGGAAACAACGAGCCCTCGAGCGACCCTGCTGAACAGCCTAGATCGGTCGATATTATAAAAACTCATGATACAGCACAAAATCCATTTCTCAGCTTACGTCCCAAGAGTAATACGACTGTCGACTCTACACCACCCAACGACTCATCGAAGAAACGCAAGGCTACAAATTCGGGGAGCAAGAGTAGGAAGAAGTCTAAGCGTAACAGTGGAGGCAACATGTTGATCAATGGGACACCTTTCAGCAGCCTTGCCGAAAGTCTTTATGCTGGCCGCAAGAATGGAGATCGAATTGAGTCTAGCGACAATGAATCCGCCAACGAAAATGCTCAGGCAACCTCTCCGAGTTATCCTCAATCACGCCAGGATTTAGTTGAGTCGATTCCAAATACGAACACCGATGTAGCAGACCCTAACGTGGTGTCTGATGATGAGATGGAAGTAGACCCAATTCGGGATCGTTCTATATCGCATAATGAAGATCAAGACGAACCTGACGATGCCTCATCTAACGGTGGTGGCTCACCATTAAATAAACCCCGGGTAGAGGGTGGGGATAGTGGGGATGACCGGAGTGGAGCATTCGAAGGTAGTGAACAAGAGAATGTCGGTGAGGAGAACGAGGATGGTTCTACTTCCGAAGCCGTGCAAACCCACAACGAAACTGTTAATGACAAGGTAGAGCTTATGGACGGTGCGGAAGGCGATGACGGTAGCAGTTTTGTTTCCCGACCTAAGAGTTCGACACGAAAGCGATTTGTCAAGCCTACATTCTACGAACGTCTATCAGAGGGAGATGCTAACGGGACCATTGACCATGCCTCGTCTTCCCCATCGTCAAAATCGACCAAAAAGAAGCAACCTAAAATTTCGACTATGCTCAGAGGTAACACAGAGGATAGCCCGGCACCCAAGGCATCTACGTCCAAGCGTCGTTCCGTCACAAAGAAAGTTAAAAAGTCTCAGCCAACGAAATTTGTCAAGGGCCAATTCAGTGAAACCGAAATTCGCGACATTACCCGAGCTGTCGAACGATGGCGAGATCATCACAATATGACCCAATTCGAGGTCAATGCTCTCATACAGGGCAATCCTCAGGAGGTCTTGTCTAGCGACTTTTGGGCTCGTGTCATAGCAACTTGCCCTGAGCGTGCGCGGCAAAAGGTTATAAACCTATGTCGACGAAAGTTTCATAACTTCGTTGCTCGAGGCACATGGACCCCGGAACAACACGAAGAACTGACGCAACTATGGGAAGAGCATGGGAATAAATATTCCCTACTCGGCAAACTCATTAATCGACATCCCGAAGACGTCCGAGATCGAGTCCGGAATTACGTTGTGTGCGGTAATTCTCGCCGTGTTGATCCTTGGACTCTGGAGGAGGAAGAACGTCTTCAATCCATCGTCACGGAAGCTCTCGAGTCGATTAAAGAACATCGTCTGAATGGACACATCAACTCAATAGAGGCGGATGAAGATTTAATTGATTGGCAAAGGGTGAGCGAACGCATGGATAGAACACGAAGCCGACTACAATGCATATCAAAATGGAAAAAGATCTCCAATCGACCATCAGAGGCCGGTATAGACGGTAGTGGGACTCTCACAGTCGACCAAATTATCCAGCAAGCCCGGGATGAAGTTGTAGACTTGTCGAATCATGAACGATACAGCATCATCAAAGCCATCCGAGCCTCTAATGTAAATGCGGAGAGCCGTATTCCCTGGGCTAAAGTTCGTACAGAACATCTAGACAACAAGTGGACACGCCCTGTCATTATGTTAGCCTGGTACCGATTGAAGCATCTCGTCCCCGATTGGCATATCATGTCAATTCCCGAAATTATTATGCAATTAATTAGGAGATATAATGAGACTCATGCACTCGAGTTTCCAAGCGACGACGATTACGATCTAGATGCGGAATTTGACGAAATGGTCCGAAAGATCAAAAAGATCCTGAAGGTTCACCGTTCGCAGCCGAAAACGCCTCAAACCGTTATTAAGACTGACGATGATGAAGATGAAGAAAGCCAGGAAGAAGTTGAGAGTGATCAAGAGAGTGAAGCTGCCCATGCGGCGGAAGATGACATCGAAGATGATAGCCAACAAGATGACGAATCCAATGGCCAATCCAAAGACGGGGACGTCTCGATGCGGGATGAGCCAGTTCACGGATCCGATGATAATGTTGATCTAGGTCACAATAACGAAGATGATCTGCCTGACTTCAAACCACGAAAGACCCCCCAAAGTCGCAAGCGCTTCCGGTCTTCATCTAAACACAGAGCGGCCACACCACACAAGATCAAATCACAACGCACCGTTGTCGACGAGTCAAGCGAAGACGAACAAGTTCCAGATGACGAGGCAAGCAGCGATACGAACGCAAGCGAGGTTGAAAGCATACCCGCTCGTTGATAATTGTTATGGCAAATATACGACCTAGTCCATTTCTCTTGTTATCACCCAGGTGCTTCAATTTTGTTCCATAGCTGGTGGGCGGTTGCACACACTATTCGGTCCCATCTTTTGATCCAGCATGCCTGATTGAAAATGCTGTCTTCGACAGGAAGTTGCTTGATCCAGCACAACAGCCAGTTGAACACCAAACCATTCACCATGCACTACACCTATATTGACGCCATTGTTACGATCGTGTTTGCTGGTCTGCGTATCGTATATAGGTTTTTTCTCTAGTAGATTAACCAAGGTTAATGACAATCAAAAATTTCGGCGAATGATGGAGTGAACTTCTGGCGGAAGGCTACGATACCCTTTTTGTTTTCATGTCTTAGTTGCCTATGACCATGTGCTTGACAGGGGAAATGACGGGGGCTTGTTGGCGGATGCGAATGATTCATGGCTTCCATTAACTTTGTAAACAGCTCCTATATACCTGTTTTGGTCCAGGGCAAATATGAAGATATCAGTCCGACGTACCTACTCCCAACTACGCCCAATACCAGTGAAGACCCCAGAATACAGACTAGCCATTCGGAGATACCAGTTGCTTAGAAATACAGGTTGTAGGTACAAAAAATACCCGCGCCTCTTACGGTCTCAATGTATCGGATTAAGATCACACGGGATAGTTTTGAGGCTCTCCATATATATATTTTTGTGGTCGTTTAGGAGATAGGAGATAACCGACGTTATAAGCGGCGATGTGGGCCAATGAGATATCCGCCCGATATTCCCTCGATCAATCGTTTGAAGCTACCCCAGTAAAGCAGGGATGTGATGCCAACATACTTAGATACTTATGAGGTGTAGCTATGTCATTCCAGCGGGGAGCAATACCACCATACATGATAGAAGTCTGTTTCATTCCCAAGGCGTTGTGTATGGGCGTGCAGTCTTCCCCAGCCGTCGTCTATTGGTCAACATGCTTTATCTCCATAGCTACAATGATACGATCCAGGCCGGCACATGCCAAGATCTTTCATTAATAATATCATTTTCGGAGCAAGTCCGAACTTTAACTACACGAAACGTGCAGAACAGAGAGGAGCTTAAATGAGAATATGGCATATAAATACTCGCGATCCCTCCTATTCAGCCACCGTAAACCGTTTTCACCCGTGGGATCGAGGGCGTATGGCCAACTTTCAACTATTCCCAACCCAAGCCTTCACCTAAACCTAATATTTTCCCCTTGTCATCCTAAAATCTTTCGCAAATATCACGCTTTCGCAACCTCTCGAATATCAGGGCCAATATCCTTACCCAAAAATATTATCCGATCTAATCACTCCGGCCTCATGTCTAGCAAGAACTTGACGTTCCACCTCGCAGAACGCCCCACGGGAAACATCGTTCCAGGGCGCACGTTCAAGCTTGTTGAAACAGACGCGCCGACAGCCGATAAGCTGAAAGATGGGGAGATCTTGGTCGAGGTCATCTACTTATCGCTCGACCCTGCTTTGCGCATCTGGTTGCATGGTCAGACATCCCCTCCTCCCTCCGCCCCCTAGCCACTCATCACTATAAAATCGCGTGTCATTTTAGGTACTCTTTCTAACACCAAGACTCGCTAGATTTCCGATCATACATACCAGCTCTCAAAATAGATGAGAAGATCCGCGGTTCTGCGATAACTAGGGTTCTCGCAAGCAAGAGTCCCAAAGCCAAGCAGGGCGACCTAGTCTTCGCACATAGCGGGTGGACGGAGTACGCCATCGTGGATGAAAATAATTTCTTTCCTATTGATCTACCCCAAGGCGCACAGCTCACGGACTTCCTCGGCGCCATAGGTGAACCATCCCCCCCCCCCCCCCTCATAAGTACCCCCACTAACACCCCCCAGGCGTCACTGGCCTAACAGCCTACTTCGGCCTCGAAAAAGTCGGAAACCCCCAACCAGGCGAAACAGTAGTCGTTTCCGGCGCTGCAGGCGCAACAGGCATCATCGTCGGCCAAATCGCTAAGATACGCGGCTCCAGGGTCATCGGTATCGCGGGGTCGGATGAGAAATGCGATATCCTGACTAAGGAATTGGGATTCAATGTTGCGCTGAATTATAAAAAGGCGTCATTTAGGGAGGAGTTTGAGAGGGCTACGCCGGGGCTGGTGGATCTTTATTGGGATAATGTTGGGGGTGAGAGTAAGTTGTGCCTGTCCCCGTGGGAGGATTCAGCTGCTAATGGGGTGGTTACAGTACTAGAATTAGCCCTCGAGCGCGCGGCGAAAAGAGCGCGGTTTGTTATGTGTGGTGGGACGAGTGAGTACAATAGCCTCGGCGGAGAAGCTAAGCCCGGTGTAAGGAACTTACTTCAAGTTGTTATAAATCGGATCCGCATGGAGGGCTTTATTGCTTTTGACTACGTGGATGAGTATCCGCAGGCGAGAGTGGAGTTGGGGAAGTGGCTTGCTGAGGGTAAGATTAAGCGGAAGGAGACTATCTTAAAGGGGGGCTTGAAGGTGGCGGAGACGGGGATAGGGGATTTGTTTGCTGGGAAGAATGTTGGGAAAATGATTGTTGAGGTTAAACCGCTTGAGTAGGTGAAGAGTCGATGGAATTTGTGGTGTTTATATGTGGGTTCTAGTGGTTTTCGCCCTGGGCGAAAAAAAAATAAGGGGTATGAAGAGGATGTTCTAGTAGGGAAATATCTGCACACGAGCACAACAGGTATATCGCTGTACGAGAAGTGTCTACTTAAGGGTTGAATCACAATTCGGCGAGCTCTGTTCAATTTCTACGGATGTATTGATCATTTTATGCATACCTACTGAATACTGAAAAGACTAGAACTTGAAAGGGGATCTGACCGGTATCTTACCGCACATTCCATGGGACTCTGATTGACCTTGTGTGAAGGCTTCGAAGAGGCATTTATTGCGTTTAAGTACCCACTTCCCTTCAATAAGGATTTCGATCAATCAATGAAATAGTAGCTAAATAATCAAATACATGTGATGGATCTATGCTTCGTGCAGCGAAGTATAACATAACCCATGCGTCTTCGGATAAACACCTACGTTCTAGTTTGGGCAGGTCGGCAGCACGTCCCGACGTAGCGATCTGCCGAGCCAGTATATATAGAGCTTCCACTACGGTATAGAAACAACCCGAGCGGTGGGCTAAGCTCACCCAGTCATAGGAGACCTTATTATGAATGCGATATTGACTAGTGTGGGAGGCCCGAATCGAGATAGGTACGTAAACAGCTATGAGGCTATTTATATCTAGGTGCAGAGGCATCATATAAGCTCTGGCCGTGGTGGAAATTTTTGGAGAAGAATTTTCGTAGCCATTCCCGCCTCGTTGTCGCTATCATGAAGATTCGAAGCTCCCTGGCCGCGGTTGCGGCGGCATCGATTGCGCTTTTCGAAGTCGCACAGGCGCACTGCTACATATATGTGAGTAGAAAGGTTCAACTGGACCCTATAAATAACATGCGCTCTTTGAATTCAGTACCCAGGTAGTACTATACTAATCTTGTAGTCCGTCTACGTCAACGGCGTTGATAGCGGTACTTTCTCCGGAATCCGCACGCCCGCATACAACGGACCACCGCCTTACGGGTTTGCCAATGGCCCAGTCAAGGATCTAGATTCTATTGACATGCGATGCAATGTGCTTGGCGACCAACAAGTCTCGCACACGATTCAGGTCAAGCCTGGCGACAACGTGACAAGTTAGTGGAATCCACGCTGTAACCGTTATAAGCCAACCCCTGACATCATTGTGTATAGTGGAATGGCATCACGAGGCGCGCACCGCCACGGACGACATCATTGCGTCCTCGCATCACGGCCCGGCAATGGTCTACCTAAGCCCAGACCCGCCGACCGATAACTCGTTCGTTAAGATATGGGAAGAAGGAAAATTCGCCGAAGGAGAAGGCCCGCGTGCACCGGGTAAGTGGGCTACTACAGCGGATATTGCCGCCAATGGTGGTAGGATGAACGTGAGGATTCCTAAGGGGCTCAAGGCCGGCTTGTAAGAACCCACAATATTTTCTCGGGGGAGCCTTATTCTAATCGTATCATAGCTATCTCATCCGGGCCGAGATGATCGGACTCCACGAAGCCGACGCTAGCTACCAGAAGAACCCAATTCGCGGCGCGCAGTTCTACCCTAACTGTGTTCAAGTCGAGGTCCTTGGCGATGGAGACGTGGAACTACCCGAGGGTGTGAGCTTCCCAGGAGCATACAAGTGGGATGATCCTGGTGTTGTCTACGATGTAGGTCTACTAGAAGTCCTTTTTACACTCTTAGCTAATAAGTCTCGTAGGTCTACTGTTCAACTAAAACCACCACCACCGCGCCCTGCACTACAACATACCAAATCCCTGGGCCTACGGTGTGGTCCGGTGCATGGCCCGACACACCGTCCGTTGAAGTTGGAGCTATGACGGGCGCTACGAAGGTTACGAGTTGGGACACGTGGATCGTGAAATCCGTTATTACATCAGCATCGGCTGGACAAGTCGTGGGGACGTCGACTTATGAGGCTAAGTGGTCATCTACCTACCACGCACCAACACCAACTGCGTAATTGAGACGAAGTCCATGGGTTATATTGGTAGATAGACATTATGTATTATGTGGGTGATAGTAAGTAGGGGTATAATATCACTAAGTGATTATCCTCTGCATAGTAGGGTGTCGATAAGCACCCAGTACCGGTACCCTATTTTCCCTGCGTCTACGTGACCGACGATTTGGTCTAGGTTATGGGAGCCCAAGAATCGCAGTATCCCGATCCCGTAAAACAAAAGTAGATGGCCAACCTGTGGCTTTATCCAGAGTAGTGGTGAAACGAGCGTTAATCCCGTTTTCCTCGAGCGCATTATTTATATGTATTTTCGCTCTATAGCTACAATGGAGAAGCATCTGTCGCGCATGGTCACCAGGTCTACCTGGGGAATCTGACACTTCCATAAATCCGAACACATTACTGGATGCCGTTTCAATATCCTTCGTACCTGTGCTCGAGAGGTAATAGTGCAAATACTGCCGTGGAAGGACAAACCACATTTGCTTCAACGATCTCATGGCCCCGAACACCTTGAGATCCTATCCCCAGGCCTTTTGATTACTGTGCGAGATGTTGTACGCGAAAAATCCAGTGGTCTCCAGGCAACATTCTTTCTTGATGGATAGGGTTATGCAAGAAACGTAACCAGTCGTCATGAAACGAATTCCGGCCAGGATGGTTGAAAGTACGGAGGTTGTCAAAACAGAAAATATCGCGTTCAAGATCTGCGTAGATGATCGCCGACGATACCGTTTTTTGCTTTCTCCGTTGGCGCGTTTGAAGGCCATCATCATAACTCTCCATCTCCGTCGTAAACCGCACCGCACCTGTAAACCTGATCCTGGTTTGCCGGTGGATTAAATCAGGTCCGGTATACCCTTCCTCTATTAAGTTGTCAACGATGCGATCGGTTGGATAATCGAGTGCCGTATATACATGGCGGCCATTCTCCACCGAGAAGAAGTGTCTGAAAAGTCTACGATCGAGTCGGTAAAAGCCCCAAATGATCAGCTGAAGCTCTACGGGCAACTTAGTAAAGTATCGAAAGTTGGTGGGCGCTCGTGTGTATTCTCGTGCGGACCTTCGGTCATTTTCCCGACAATTCTGCGCATGGAAGTGTATTGGGTGCTTGAAGGTACAACCCCCTTTCCCTGGGGCTTAAAACGGGGCGGGTGGTTCTGGTAAAAGAATCGATCCTATCGTGTTGCAGGTGCGCAGGTACTTTCTATGAAGGAGCCCGCTGTGTTGGTATAACAATGACCCATATACGGAGCGAGTAACGCTAAAGATAACCTATCGGAGTTGTGAGTGTAGGGATTTAGTTCCTCATGAGGTTACCTGAAGAAAGGACGGGGCTTGGGAGAAAAAGCTGCCAAGTGTTTACCTAGGTATTTGACACACCACTCTTCTATGGCGTTGCTCCGGTGCCAATCTCAATATATAGGTATGTATTGCTATCTTGTTGCCCGGACATATGATTTTCGTTTCTAGGATGCCTAGAGCTGTGGGGCGGAGAAAGTTATTGCCTAAGGACGTTAAGGACTTTGAGGACATTGGACGTTCACTAGAGCGCAAACAGGTAGATATGAGAGTATGATGGCACAGGGTCGATCACCCTATACCTTTCGTATTGACACCGCGTGAATGACGGTGAGAGTTAAATACTCCTTAAAAAATATGTACCCTAGGTAAGCAACAACTATGCTCCAATACGGCGTGATGGAAAGCAATATGCAATATGAAGTTAACGCCGCCAGTGGGACTCCATTTAGAAAAAGCGATTGTTAAAAGTGATCAAGCCCAACCGTCCCCAGATAAGCCAGGTAAAAAACCGAAATGCCCCAGTCCAAACCGTATCTCTCTCTCGAGGAAACGCCGTGGTATCAAAAAGACAGACCAGACAGGTGAATGAATGCCCCCCCAGCTTGCCGCCAAGTTTCCAGGTTACGCCGAGAGGAGGGTGCGCGCGCGGATAGCCTAGAAGCTACAGGAGATGGATCCCCGATCCTGATTCCGTACGATCATGCTATCCATCTGACGTCCTGATACTACTCGTCGCACCCAGTTCGCATTATTTCCTGTCGACCTTCCCCCCGAAAGCGCCGCCGCCGCCACCGCCCTCACCATCCCCGACCGCCAAACGACTATGGTATAATTTCGCGATTTATTCGATATAACATGAAACCAGAGCTATGAGTATGGGTATATATGTAAGATAGCATCAATGACCAAAATGAGCGGCAGAAAAGCACGCATGAAACAAGAAAGAAATCCGTGAAATAAAAAGAAGATATTTTGGGTGGTTGAGGCCTAGGGTGTGGGGACTTGCCCCTAGATTTTGAGAACTAGGCAGGTTTTCGAGTTGGCGAGTACGGTGAGTGGGAAAGTATGGAGAGATGGTGTTGGTTGGGTGCTTAAGCACAAGAGAAGTCGAGGCCCATGCTTCTTGCGACGCCTTGCCAATCCCATACGCGTGTCCAATCGCCCCGCTCCATGAGCCGCCAGACTTCCTCGAGTACTTCGCCGACACGATCACAATTCCGAAGACCAGTATACCCTCTTACTGTCCGGACTGCAGCTCGGACCTTTTCCCGTTGGGCGGGGGCGAAACATGCGCAGCCGATGACTAGACAAGGTACGAGGAGTAGAGTCTGTACGGGATCGCTAGGCTTAAACGAATCGAGAATTGCCAACGATTCATCGACGGCAAGAGTTATTCGGTGGTCGTGGTGGGGAGGGTATCGAATCGGAGGCGGTGATTCGGCGCGGGGAGGTGTCGTATGGCTACTCGTGGGTCGCTCGGATGAGGGCGGGGTACGGGCTGAGTGAGGTTGCGAGGTCGGTGATAAGGGTATGATGCTCGGCGGCTGACCGAATAGTGTAGAGGGCGAGTTGGAAGATGGTGGGTAGATTGTCCTGAATAAGTACACCCACATCATCTGCTTGTATAGAAGCCCTACACGATCCCGACTGTCTCCTGGCGGCCAATGTGGGGTCCACTCTCGAATGGCCGAATCGATCTCAGCAGCTCGGTATAGAGAAGTGTAGTCGACCACTGGGTCTATCTCGGCGGCCATATTCGCTCTAATGGCGTTCCGGATGGTTGTAATCTGCGCAAGGTAGTGAAACAAGCCATCGGCGACCCCGATCAAACGTGCAGGCTGAATTTCCAGCCAAGGCTCCCAGTCCTCGGTCGCCAAGCGTGGGGTATGCAAATCGGGATACCGTATGAGTTCGTCGGCGAAAACGCGATACTGAAAGAATTCGGTGATGAATATCAAGAAGGCATTATCTGGGGGTGGCGTTTGTTGAATGAGGTTCTTGTAGGCCTGAAGGTGAACACGATGCTCGCCATTCGGGTTTCCCTCCGCGAGAGTTTGTAGTAATAGGCAAAGCATTTGTCCGTATCGAGGAGATAGATTTGTCTTATTTTTCGGGTCGTTCTCATTGCCCACTGGTTCGCACAACTTCTCCATGGCCGCGTTGTGGTGGAATTGTGATCTAGTTAGCAGCGAAGTTAGGGTTATCTTCGGGTTGGAACCAAGAATCTTCAGCCCGTAAGGGGTGTCATAGTCGATATGCCTGCTAGCGACGGAGAGGATAGAATGCATGAGCCCTCGATGTTCCACGGCCATCTGAAGTAACATATCCTTGAATGCGTTCTTGTGTTGTCCTTCAACCGTGAGCACGCCACTCAAATGGCTGATATAATGGTTGAGGAAGACCATATCCTCGGGCGTCTCGACTCCTTGAAATATTGGTTGAAGTGTGATGTGTGGCAGACTATGCCGTTTCTGTCGCTCTACACCGAATGTTAGAGGATGAGCGTACACCCAAGTGTTTGTTGTCAATACCTTCTTCGGCCTTCTCCTTTCCACTCTTCCAAATCGTCTTCTCGTGGTACCCTTCACAGACCACAGCATTTTTCTCGCAATTTAAACCTATACGTGTTAGGCACGAGGGACATATAGGCGTAACACCAACTTACATCGCGGCTTTGCTTCGTCGCATTTCTTTTTCCTCTTACGGCATGTAATACACCCGGTCTTGGAGCGACCTTTCGCTATCTTATTCGTTGCCACTTGGGGCGTGAGGGGGTGTTTCCGGGGGCGTCCTCTTGGTCTCTTCAACTTTGCCTGTGGTACCGGCGCATTGTTCGGCTCTGGCATTGGCGTGCGGGGAGCCTCCTTCACCTCGTCCATCTGGAATCCATCGTCTTCGAGGGGTTCTAGTTTAGGAACCGTCAATACATCGTCAGAATTTCTCTCCCATGACAGATCGTGCTCGGCTTCGTCGTCTAGCTCGGGGTCATCGCTGTAGCTGGTACTCCAGGATTCTGCGCTTGAAGACGTGGCAGAATGAATCATGGTCGGCACGGAAGATGCGGCTACGCCCACAGGTGGGATTTCGAGTTCAGTGCTGATAGGAGACAACTGGCCGGTATCCATTCGATTGGCCTGGATGGGATTCGCCCATAGAGGCGATGTCGGCATTACGACGGACGAGGTCCCTTCGGAGGCCATACTGTGACTATCTGACCAAGGCATATCTCCATCGTCCGATACTAGAGCCAACGGGCAGTCCATAGCTCGTGGGAAAAGTATATCATTCCCACGAGTAATTTAACCAGAAGACAGCTTCTGCCTGCGGGATGAGAGCACAGCACACCGAATCTTATGTTTCATATGAAAGGGAAATAAAAATTTAAAAAAAACGAGCCGGGGTGGCAATTTACCACCGAAGATCAGGTCCTGTTGTATAAGGTCATAGGCCCATCCAGCTAAGGACAATCCTGCAGAAAAGTATGGAGAGGTGTCAAGCTGGTCGCAACCGAGACGACGGCACTGATTGGTCTCCTCAAAGGGAAAGCCTTGCTGCAGTCGTCGGCAAAAGGCAAACGGGCGGGCAATCGAGACGACCCGGCGTCTGATTGAGCTGCAGCGATGAGTGGCACTTCTGTAGAGAAGCGAGGAAACAGATGGAGGGGTCGGGCTTGGGCAGCGGAGGTGGAGTGTAGGTCTTATTTGGACCGTGGATGTGATACCGTGGGGCGGCTAGCGGAAAACGAAGATACGTGGGCGGGAGATGCACATCAGCGTACCGTAGTAGGTAGAGTAGGGGTAGGACTAATAGGCCAGGGTTGGATGGGTAGACGGCGAAGGCCCGAAGACGCACTGAGCTTTCTCCACCCCCATTCCGGGCCCTTGTACGCCTTTGGGGGGGAAGTGAGAGCGAGAGAGGGAGATGAGAAGAGGAGAAACAGGTAGAGCTAGCGTATGGGGATGGAAACTTGTGGGCCGTCGAACGTGAGAATAGAGCGCAGTAAGCAACAGTTAGGTAGGCAGAGTTGGGAGTTGTACTATGACGGACAAATGACACAGGGAGGATACCAACTCATTCCCATCGTTCACTCACGGCGGCCGGGCCTACATGGCTGCTTCACGTGTGTGAGGATATGTGAGAGAGACCCTGTTGTGTACCACAGCGACACGGCAGCCCAAGGAATTCCACGGTGAAGCACCAGAAAAAGCCTGGTATTAGTGAACGAGATGGCTGCAATGGATATGGCGATGTGAATGCAAGCAGGATGGGGTTACATGAGCTTGGCGCCTCTCGGACCCCTGTTGCCCATCGTAGGACCCCCAGTACACTGCTCCCACCACTATGTGGTCCCAGCATGCACATGCAGCTTTAGCGGGACCCTGCGAGACCAGGAGGTACTTGGTGATACTTGGAATGATATGGTTTGGTGGACTAGCTCTTAGAGGCGTTCCCGCAAGCCTCTCAATCTGGAAAGGAGTCGCTCATGCGATGCGGTTTGTCGAAATTAGTCGGTACAAGATCCAGCTTATCATCATCATTACCTATCCATCTCAGGGTGGCCGCAGCCTCAAAGTAGGTATTTATGAGGTATGTAGTATGCGACACGGATCGCCTAGCGAACTGTGCGAAGCAGGGCGAGGGATGAGGGATGATTGGGGGGGGGCAATAGAAAAATGCCTACCTACATAAAAGACGGGCGTTAGACCGAGAATTGGCTAGCTGATCTCTGTTAACGGACCGGGCCCGAAGGAAGCCTATCTCACTAAACCCGCCCGCATAGATTCGCTGCTGGATGACGGAATATAAGCCAAGAAAGATTCGACAGCGCCCACAGTTCATCTGAACGTTTATCATCCTACCCCTTGGATGCAAAATGATATATGTACATATAAAAAATTCTTATAGATTACCTCATGCTGGCGACTCTTCGCATTTGCCGTCGCAAGGACAATTAAGGCTTTTTAGAGAATGACGAAAAGAACGATATCATCAGTGTCGCATCCACTCTACTATTTCGTTTCTGCTGTTTCGTTAGGGGTTCTATTAGCGAGTGAATGAGGGGAGATTTGCGCTGAACAGAAACCAACAACTTTGATTGTCAATTTCGGACTTTCTCGTCTCAATGACCAATTGACGGTTAGTTGAACACATACATATTCTCTCCTTTTCTTTGCAGGAATTAAGCTCCAATATTTTCAATATTTCTTTGGAAATCGATAGCTACCTATGTTGAAGCGGCTGTTAAGGATTCAAATCCTTGCGATGGCTTGACGAGGGCAGGTAGATTCCGGAAGGGATTATGCTCGCCTCTGGATAATAAGCATTGTGTTCTGTAAAAAGTTGGGATCGGGGGGTAAAGATTGGGAAGAAAAATCATAGGTTGGGAAGATGGGAAAAGATGGGAAGATGAATCTGATTTGACCGGGCTCGACGGATGGAGCGTCCGACCCTAGACTGTGGCGTCCTTTGCTTTTGCTGCCGCTGTCGTGCATTTCGTGAACTCTTGAGTTTATTTAGCGACATGCGTCTACGTACATCGCCGTCTGCGTGCCCCCATTCGATCATTCGACCACCCGGGAAGGGGGGGCACAGACCGTAACGGCCACATAGCCTCTCAGGGTACTCTCCCTTTCCAGCCCAGGTGAAATACCTCCCTGGGTCGATCACCCTCAACCCGACATACAACCCTAGCCTCTGATAAGTCTGGGGATACTGTTGTGTCACCCGAGATGTCATATTGTAACTGGCTACTGATATCAGCTTGCAGCTGATCCGAACCCCGAAATATCTATGTTGGGTTATGTTCGCAGCAAAGCCCACCAGGTTCTAAGGTGACTCGGCCCGAGACGGCACGGTAAGATACAAGGAGAGATTGAGCCTCAATATCGAGGTTAGTTTGTTCAGGAGTTGGAAATTCTAATTGTTCCTAGTGTAAGGGGAAAGAAGAAGAATCTACCAGATCGAATAAGTACCTAAAGTACCTAAGGCAGGTAGCTGATGGCTTTGTCGGGGTTTTAATAAAAGTACAGGGCCTCGGCGGCGTTGGCCGCTCACAACCCCTGATACCCCTGACGCGACGAATAGGAACGCAGCAAATTGCTTTTCTTTTGTTAAAAAAAATTACGCGATGCTCTCTTTTCTAGGAATGTCGACAAGGAAACTTAAACACGGTAACTATATCGCGAGATTTTAACGACCATCCTTGTTCATGTTCCAGGGATTCAGCAACCCCCCCTAGCAGGAAGTAGGATCCGAATCGCAGATCTACCATTCTACGTTTTGTTACAACTCATAAAGTGATAGGTAAGCAGATGAACGAAATACCAGGTAACGACCTTTAACTTCGAGGGATATGTGTGGTGTACAATTTTCTAGAATAATTTATTCTGGACTCTTATGGGTGTTCTGTTTGCGCTGGCAAACTCGTAGGTACCTAAGTAAGCACTGCTCACACTGTTTTCCAGCCTGAGTGTCATCACTAAGCGCATCTCAAATCCCTCATAAAATAACAAATTGTAGTAAGTTGCTAACCCAGAACGTACAGTGTGCAGCGTGTAGATCCTGCAGGTAACAATCCACTCTGATTTGTCGTCCGTGCTTATAAACTGATGGCACCCGGGGTTGTAAACCAATCATATTACGGGGAGAATTAATGAAAGACTAATTAAGACATTATGAAATCCGAATATCGTCCCATAACGTCGTCATAGGAAGAATAATGGCTGTCCCAACCTACTCTGCCTATACTTCGGCAGCTAGCTTTGCATGAGAGACTGGTGCGCTATCGTCTCTGGGGGTAGTCGTTCTTTTGCAGGGTCTAAAATTACTCCGCATAACAATACAGACCTATACATATATGCGGTCAAGATGTTACAATAACGAAAGGGGTACCTAGGTACAGTAAAGTACCTAACTCATACATGTTTCTAGTCGTATCCCGAGATGACCCCCACGAGTTCATTAACTGTTTCCAGGTATGTTGGGTACTTTATTTGGGGGAACCGACAATTTACTATGGTCGTCCACTGTTCCCCAGAATTTCACAACTTGGGACGGCAGTCCCTTTTGGGCGTCGGAAAGTTGCCGGCCTTGCAGACCTGCTCTTCCTGCCTAGATCGATGCCCCGGGGGTTACTTTAAAGGCATGTGTAACAATCTCTTAAGGAGGAATGAGGCTTGAATAGTCAAGTTACATTGGGTTACCAATCTTTCCCGACGTGTGGTGTCCTCAACACTTCCATAAACGTAGGATCGCTGGCACGCATGGGGTACTTAGACGCGCCTCATACGAATAGGGACACGCGGCGCAGTCCTGTACGACGCGGGCAGAGCAAATAGCCAGTGAACCCAACCTACTGCCGCACAGTTTTAGGGGCTCATAACGAGGTCATCGTACATTGTCGCTAATCTTTTTTCGCTGCACTGTGTCATCATATTCACTAGTTGCGACAACAACGTCGTCCAATATGATAGCGGGAGACGCACCTACGCGGTAGATAGAGGCTGCGAAAAGGGGGGCAAGAGTGAATGCACACGGAGAGTAGGAGTATTTCGGGCTAGACCACTAGCATGCACGCTTCAGACGAGCGTCGCATGCAGATGCCAAAAAGCGTGCCTCCGGCTTGCCCCGAAGAAGGATGTCTCTGGATTCCGGGGTTAGGATCTTGTCATAATTCAACGACTTCTTGGCGATCAAGACTTATGATAACCGAGCGCATATCAGGCGTCGCAGGTACATTATGAAACTCACCGAAAAACCGAATAAGGTCATTATTTTTAAAAAGAGATAGACGTACAAACAAAGGGGATCAGTATTTTACAGCAAACATACTGTATAATTTTCACCTTCAGGCTTCGAGATGAGGACATTTCTAGCCAAATTCGTCCAGATGCAGAACTGTCAACTAGCAGGGGGGAGCCGGCGCGAACGTAACGTCGGCTACTTAAACCGTACAGGATACGCAGATCACCTACATTGCCTATTAGGCCGTAAGGTGTACTCCGTATAGCTGTATGTAAGTACTAATTCGCTCCAGAGTAAACCGAAGCGCGCGGGATGGGCGAGGACTCAAAGATAGGGGTCCATCCTGGTAGAATTTTCCAGGCATGTTGGCATGTATGTTTGCTGCAGTTCCATTCCAAGTTCCCCTCTTGTGAGTACATACTATGCGAGGACCCATTGAGCTGCATTCGCATATCTTGCGCGAGCCGTTAATCAATCGGTCGAACAGCTTTGTATCGGCTAGGGTCAGCAACAAATCCCTGCTTAGTATTGATCCCGCTTTAAAAACTCCACGCACCCCCTATTGCTCGATGAGGCTAACTCGAGAGGAGGCTTTTACCTTATTGATGGTACTTAATGATACATCGACCAAGAATCATTCATTCCTTCTCTTTGAAAAGTTGCTATGTTACTCCTTGTTTCACGATGCAGACCGCGAAAACTCCGTGGTGAATATTGATCTATACCTAGGTACTAACATATTGAACGTCTGAGTTGACAAAGCATACTCATGTCCTGACTTTTCCCCCGGCTACGAATATCTGAGGCTCACGAGTTTATCACTGCTAGAATAAATATGGTTATTTTAATGAGTGCTCATAAAAAGACCCATAATGGAGGTTAGCACCGGTCGACGCCATTCGGATCCACAGAATCGTGGGTTTTATATGGATGACAGGTTGATGGCTCCTCCGGCTAGGCTGCTTGGCATCAAGATTGATTATCCCTTTACTAGCAGTAGTTATACGCGCAAGTCAAAAAAGGGACTGGAATACACGGCGTGACTGTTGATCATTCACTTTTGCGAATTATCCTTAGATAAAGCGTCCCTCAGCACTGCAAATAGAATTCACACCTCACCGGATCGGCATCTAGTACACGGGATGTGGTTCAAAGACAGTATTCTCTGCCCGGATTTCTCTACCTGATTTCCATGGTAGCGGGTCGATATTCGCCCATCATCGTGATTAATCATGGCTTGTCAGAAACGCGAAACACCACTTTGAAACCCCATATCTACTCCATATCTACCGGTCGAGCGGACATACTAGCAAATAATAATCCAGCTATACCGCCTGATCTATTTCGCTAGGTTAAATTTAGCCCTAGAGATTCGAAGCTAGATTTCCAACCAAAAAATTAGCTTCATCGATTAACATATCTTTTCCACGAGACTAAACATGAAAGCTCATGTAGTGCTCATCGCGATGAGCCGGTCTTACAGTGACCCCTCGTTTCATGCGTTAGGAAGAGTCGCGTGAAAGGACGGGCCCGGAAAGTCGGTGACGGAGATACATAGGGAAATGAGCAAATCGCTAGGTGTACCGCCAGCCCCTGACAAAACATTAGGTGCAAAAGTACCAGCGCCTTATCCGGCTGCTACTTGGACAGACAGGCGACTTCGCGTAGCAAATATACCGTAAGATCTAGTCGTCTTTGGTATTTGAAGGAGATCGGGATTGGGCAGCTTTCATAACACCCGCGGATGGGCGACTTTTCCGTGCACCCAACACAACTAGATCGCGGAAGCCGTCCAGTTGGCTAACAATACGGTGCTATGAGGGTACATCAACAAAAAGGAGTTCGGCTCGTCTGCCCGGAAGATGGTACTCGGGGGACCCAACCAACGTACGCATCACTACTACCCCGAATAGTCTCCTCATTGTTGTAGTTGTATTCCCGCGTGTCTAGCCCTACAAGCTACCAATACGAGTCATCGGACACGAGAACATAATCGTAGCGGAGCCCTCGCCGAGAGGCATCGGACTAGTCCAGGCCGGCGTCTGACAGCCATGGCAGATCTCCCGTCCAGATCGCTAGACTGCAGATTTTCTTCGGCGCTATCACAAGTCTTGCATCTTGGCTAATCCGAGTCTTACCCCTCTAACACCTAAGGCTGGAGATGCCAGACTGGGTAGTTCGATGCCCAAGATCTATCCTCTTCGATAATTAGATGCGACTTAGTCTTTACTGAGTTCCAAGTTCGTACGATTATGACGGCATGACTTACTCGCAGCTCTCCGCATCTTAGACTATACTTCTCGCAAGCCGTTGCTTGATGTATAGTTGGTCACATGGTCTCTCTTCCCCGACCGTTTCTTCACCGCTTCGCGATCATGTCTTGTCATCAGCTACTAAGGCAGAGACACATCGCGATCCGGCGGGTTTGGTTGATGCCCATCGACGATTTAGTTAATTAAACTAACAATGCCCAAGTTGGTTCTCCAACCCGTATCGACGGGCGTAAGCCTACAATAAGTCAATGATTTCAACCAAAGAAAACGACGGATTTGCAACGTGGTCGAGCAGGACTGGAGTCATTCTAATGTCAGGAACAATTATTTAATATTGACGCTAGCTCTGCGAGTTTGCTGTCAAGTGGCGAATAGTATCATCCAGCTACCCGGAAGGAAATCTAACGTGTAACCTTTCCGTCAACTACCTCGATCTAGTAACGGGCAATAATTCAGTGGCCGCTCTTGGGAACCGTGCAACCTGTCAGAAAAATTTGCCCTATCAAAGTATACCCCCATTCCGTGTGTAACCGTCCAAAAGCGGCTTCGATGCTTTACTAAATGGCTTCGTTGGGCTTCGGTGCAATGGTAGCCTTGCTTATCCGAAGCAGACAATCTCGGGACATATCTCATTCATAGGAACTGTCAAATAGGAATTACTGGATAGGCCATGTTTCGCGAACGAGAGGGGAGCGGGGATGTAAGATTTGATTCGCGGGCGTTTTGTGAATAGTTCCGCTAGATTGGGCTATGGTGACCCAATTGTGTCGGCATTCTGGTTTCTAGCAAGGCTGGAGCCCCAATGTGCTCGCAGTGATGTTCGGCAGACAAAAATTCTAAGAACCTGGACGAGGTAGTTACTTAGTCAAGGAGGCGTCTATGTGGTAACACTGCCTCGAATGTAATGGTCCCTTGGGTGAGCCAAACGTGATGAGTTACATACCCTAAGGCAGCTGTTTTCAGACATATCACATTTCCAAAGGGCAAAAAAAATTGCTAGTCGTGTGCAGACTAAGAAAAGGCAAGTGTTCCCGTGTGTAGTTTTGGTTCTAGGGAGGGGAAATAGTAGCGGTGATGGGGAGAGCTGAACAGCAACGGAACGCGCCTAAAGCATGGGATGCCTCCGCACCAATAATCTATTTCAGTATATTCAGGGCATATTAGCTGTGACATATTGTTGGAGGTATCTCCAAATATGAATGGAATTTCCTCCCACGTCTCCGCAGAGCCCTACCTACTCCTACTTCTGAAGCAAACCCCCATGGACGGCGATCTGCTGCACAGAACCCTAATAGCCCACGCCGTGCCGAAACATGAAATTCCCAGGAAAAAAGATGATCGTTTCCGCTTTTCTTCCAGATAAGACCCAGTGGTAATGTTGGAGAGAGCTCGCGGCATGTAGGGTTACATCCCGACGCATATGTATGCATGCGTCAAGCTGTAAATCGCAACGCAGGCAGAGAGATGAGAGGTAAGGAAAGGCTCTTAAAGGGTCGCCTGTATAGCAATAGTACCTACAAGCTCGCTGTGCCCCCACCGGCTAATGATCCAGCAGTAAGGTTCGAGACGGGATGAAAGATGCAGATGATGACGACGCTGCCAGCACGCCAGTTGTGCAAATACTCAGCTGCCGCCTCCGCCAACACGTTTTACTTGCCAACCGCTTAGGTTTTTCCAGCCGAGGTCCTTTCTCAGCGAGTCCCCAAATTATCAACTGACGGTGAATCCCACACTCTAACCGAGCGAACTGGAGGAGACCGATGTGCTCCTCCACAGTTTTTTTTCCTCCTTCCTCCGCGTCGTTGTATCCGGGGCCGCTACATGGAGGTTCATCATGCGATTCGCTGACAGAATCTATTATCCTCTGGCTCATTGAAACTGGACTAGTAGTATGAATGCCGCTATCACTTACCTGAGGCGAATGACGCCAAGGGAAATTCTATTAAGCATAAATGAACGTCACTATTCAAGCGAACCGGAAGCTTTCGGGCTCTTTCGGCATCTTAGGAAGATGTGTTAATCTGATTACATCATATCCTGATATGTCAAAAAATTGTCATCGATTTCCGTGCCAAGTGACACTGCTGTACTACCGTAACAACGCTCTGTATAGACTTAATAGTATGTCACAGCGTGTCATGTTGTACGACCAGTAGTGTTACAAGTATAAGCAAGGTGCTTATTAACTTGCTTGTGTAAGAAGCTATATCCAATGAAAGGTTAGGGGTCAACATGAAGACGGTATGACATTATAGAATAATGTAAATGATTCAATACTCTATCTACCTTGGTAAGATTTCAACCCGGATTGGCTTTTTAGAACAATAAGCCAAGACAAAACTTATATGATAATTAGCAGTATTGACGAATATTGGCCAGGTAATGTATGTTGACGTATAGAACCCCCTTATTCTATCCCCTTATAGAACTAAATTGCAAAGAGTTTAGTCTCCTAAATAGTTACACAGAAACGATTTAATTTTCTAGCAGCTGCTTACATATCCTTATATGACTGATGTCGTATTATAACCAATGGTCCTGACCCCCAAGTACATAGGGTAATTGCTTATCTCATGTAAACTATGGTGTCTGTTAGCCTATCCAGATGCGTTTTGACGGACAGAATCCTCTCTAATTGTACGAGTTCTTAAACATCTCGTTAAGTTAGGTGGCTAGTATTAAGATATCGTTTCTAAATAAACTCTTAGGCTTTTATATGCGGCGTGATGTTGATTCTTTTATGTCTTTTGTGGTTATTAAACTTCGTTACACACCTAGAGCTAGCTACTTTACCTAGGTAATTATTATTCCAATGTTTTACAACAAGAATCGGATGTCACTGAATACCGATATGAAACTTGCTGACATATTTCTACATTGACCATATATTTTTAGACAGTTTCTATATTGTGTGTGTTTAAGATTATTAGTATTATAAGGTTCGTCACACAATAACAGCCCATATAGCCAGCGAGGTCGCCACTGTAAATGATAGCAAGTCTGTACATCCATAACCTTATTAAATTGGAATTATAAATGTTTAATTACTATTACTATGTATAATTCATGTTTATACGGCTCTATGTATATAGCGCCCGAACCACCCCTTTATCAGTTGAGTCTAAGCCCATCTTGACCGAAATTTGGGGCATATCTTTGCCCTACAGTACGGGCCAACTTCTTCCCCGACGTCGTCTTGTTAAAACCTGCGTAGTCACCTAGCGACGGTGGTAAGTCCGCCACCGCGGTACCCCACGAGCTCTCATTCTTACCGAGCGTAAGGACAAGTTCCTTGCCCTCGGTGAAAAAACTGTGATCAACCCAATTCTTGGTATACGTCTCACCATTTAACGTCGCACTTTGGATGTAAATGCTGTCATACGTGGGGTCGAAGTTGACGTTGCGGATCGTTGCAGTTTTCCCGGTTTGAGGGTTCGTGATGTTGATAGACTCGAAGAAAGGAGGAACTATTAGGTACACATTCTGCCCAGGGTTCGGGAATAGACCCATCATCGAAAAAGCGACGAAGGACCCCATGGCGCCACTATCGTCATTGCCCGGGAGACCCTCAGGAGTTGTGTCGAAGTATCGGGGGATGTAGAAGTGCGCACGCTTTGCTGACAAAGCGGGTCGGCCGGCATAGTGATATTGGAACACGGTAAGGAACGCGGGCTCGTTTCCAATGTATGTAATGTTACTGTCATGCAAGAAATCGAGACGGCGAACGAACTCGTCCGGGCCACCGTAGAGGCTTATCAGGTCGCCCTGGTTGTGCGGTACGAAGAAGCCGTATTCCCAGATACTGGACTCAAACGTCTCCTTTGCTGTGTTCTGGAGTGAGCAGGCCGTCCCTGAAGTGTCGATGTTGCTGCACAATAGAGGGTCTTGATGATCCCATGTCGCATTCAAGAATTTCGGTTGAAAGAACCCAGTGAATCCCGTATCAGTGCCATCGGAGAACTTTGACGTCTGATCGGACTTGTATCTGAACACTGTGATTAGTAAGCAATTCTGGTACGGTTTCCTCTCGACTTACAGATTCCTCCAATTCTCACTTGACTGGAGGTACTTCTGTGTATCCGCCGTATTATTTCTCAACTGGCTCACTTGCGATATAGTGAAGTCATTGTAGCTGTATTCCAGAGTACGCGAAACGCTACGCGTCATAGTACCGAATCCCTTGTAGTCTAGATCTTGAACTGGGATGTAGCCGAGAGCTTTCCAGCTGTCAAGGCCACCCCGTCCGTTGCTGGACCAGTCAAAGGGCTCAACTTCTGCATCCTTTACGATCGCTTCGTAGCCCGTATCCCACTGTATCGTGTCAGTAATGATTTAATGAGACTACATTCTGGCATACTCACATCAATCCCAGCCGTGATGCCTTTTAGGAAACCATCCGCCAAAATTACATCGGCGTTAGAGCCACCCTTGAGAACCGTCAGTTAAGTTCAGAATACATGGTTTAGAGGTTCATACCTGTGTGTAACCTTTTGAAAAAGTCATCCGACAATCAGGTAACCAACCCTCATACCTGTAGGTGTCGATCAGGGATCTGATCATTTGTGCTACGGCGTCGGGATCGGTTAGAGTGAGGAACGGGATCTGACTTCGAAAACTATCCCAGAGGCTGTGCATGGTCAATAACGAGTTTCGCGAACCGGTTCTTCGTTAGCTTACCAATAGAATGAGTCAAAGTACGGCTCGCCGGTGTTGAAGAGGGGGTTTTCCCCTGTGTAGTTTTGGGGATTCACCATTGTTCTTAGTCGGCGGGTTAGCGGGTTATTCCTCACTCGCATTCTAACGACGCTTAGCCTTACCTGTAAATTCCGCTGTAGAAGTTAATGAGATAAGAGTCATCTACTCCACCCGCAGAAACAGTGATGGGGCTGAGTTTTTCCTTCCAAGCGTCAACGGCTGTTTGTTCGGTTTTGTTGAAGTTGTAGTCCGGTATCTCAGCTTCAGCATTGGAACATGCTTGATCAGTGCTTATGAAACTCAAGCCCACACGAGCGAGTACTGGCTCATCACCAGACTCAAATCGGACGAATGCCCCTCCGGGAAGAGGGTACCCATTAATCGATCTAGAGATGGTCAGATTCTTGGCATCCGTAGTAGCCCTACTGTTAACAAAGATGCCGTTGTCAAAAATCTGACGACCTGAAAAGTCTGTGCAGAAGTAAATGACGCTGTCTCGGAGTTAGTTGTTTTCATATACTCATAATTATGAATACTTACTATTCTCCTTGGCTGAAACTTGATTGAAAGCGACCGCTCCCCGTAATTCTCCCAGTCGCCTCATCAACAGAAACAGTTCCATTATCTTGACGCGAATCAGAGAGATCCGTCAAGTCCTGCAAAATGAGAGGATGCGACACATTTCCATCTGCAGCCGGAAAAGTGAATTGAAATAGTGCAGCATGTTGAGAGGCAGTCATAGTGGTTTTGACGCCGGAGTTAAGTGTAACCTCAAAATACCCTGGTCGCGCCACAACGCTGCTGTCGTTAAATCCACCATGGTTGGCACGGGTTTTCTTGGGATAATCACACTGGTCGATATCATCACTTGGGCAACTCGCATATGGAAAAAGCGGGAAATTGCCTAGAGATGGTGAACCTCCTGTACCCGAGTCGTGCATCGCCGAAAACCCGGAGATAGGAGTATTATCCAGCGTGAAACCACCTTGATTACTTCCGCTAGTAGTGTCGGCTACGGCTTTCGCCATGCCATACGGAAGTGTGGCTCCTGGGAAGATATTCCCTCCATTCCGACTCCCGATCAGTTGATCAACGTACGAGAGAGGGTCAAAATCCGCGGCGTTGCTTCCAAGGATCGTCGCCGCGATGGTGAGAGCGATCGAACATAGACGCAAATTAAATGAATACATTGCGACTAAATTTCTTGCCAAAGCAAGAAATGGCGATGAAGAACAAACGAATGTAGATTTGAGGTATGTGTCCTATATCATAGTCTCTTATGGGTGGTGGAGCAATAATCAATACATACAATACATTCCTCGACTGGATGCTGCACGAGGAAACATAATAGTATTCAAAGACAAGAATTCAACCACTAAGATAAGAGGATAAACTCAATTGTCTTCAAATAACTTCAAGAAAGAGCGAAAGAGGAAGAGAGATAGTTAGAAAAAAAAAGATAGAAGGAGAGACATGTCTTAGGCTTGTTGGGTGGTCGTGACCAACTCGCGTGAATCTCGTCTTAACAAAGAAGACCGGTCATATCAAAATAACCTTCCATTCCTGGCGATCCGATGTATTTTTTTTTCTCTCGCTATGCCACTGCATCATGCAAGCTGCGGCAAGACCCAGATAGAACAGGAAACAGGACAGGCTTCCTTAGAAGTGACCGGAGCAGGTGTCCCAATCATCGTCCCACTGTTACATCGAGTAATCTCCTCGAAATACGCGCCGCGTAGTCCTATCTCCATACTCTCGGAAACGCGGGGTATCGAATCCTGCAAACATTTCGCAATAGAAAAAAGAAAAGGGGACGAGCGTATCTACCTAGATAGGTAGGAATCAAGGAATGTAGTTAGATAAGTTGGAAATGTTGTTTGCCTGACGAATGAACCCATGCTTGTCGCTCGTGCTCTGGTCTAGATAATATCCAGGGTTCTATTAGGAGGAGTTAGTGTTAAGCGAATAGCAAACTGCAGAAGGTAGATAAGCTTGAATAGCCGGGCCGATCGCGACCAGAGATTGGAAGGCTTAGGGCTTGTCGTAGGGGTCGTAGGGTATCCTGTATCTTGTACAGGGGGTTCGGATATTTCGTGCTTGTTCCTGCATATTAGATATTCCTAGCGCTAATGAAAGATGAGGAAGGTTAACAGCGAGTCCGACAGAGTCCGACAATAGTATTACAACGTAGTACCTAACTTAAAATAATGAAATTATGGTCGAGTTAGGTATTGTTGCGCATGCGGCTCGTACCGTATGTTCACTGCTTCGTTACATCTTGGCCATAAACCCCAATAGCGAGCGCGTGGGAATCGCGACGTTTAAAATAATTCCACTGAAGATTTGGGGAAATTAGCTCAGTAAAGGGCCTACCAGTAGCATCTTAGGGAGCAACAAGGGTTACATTATTGTATCGATAGTAGATCCCCCACTATATCTACGCAGCATGCCGTCTTGGCTCACTGTTGATCGGCAGCTTTCCGAGCCTGTTATTGAACCCGAAAACACCAGAATATCTTAGATTAATAGCTTAAAGACAACGATAAAACCAAGATTTAGGTAGTAGTTATCAGATTCATAAATTCGTTAAATATAAGTTGTCCATATATCATTGATGGGGAATTACTGAGATATATGTAGTAGGTGGTTGGTGTGGTACTTACGACGGCCCCCAACTAAGTGGCTACCGCTCGACAGTGACGATCAATCATAAGGCACGGTTATGTCGCTGGCTAGTCCGAATCACGATGCATAAATTTATTCATTCCCTTTCATGGTTAGGCCTTCATCGCCTCCAAAACTTGCATCCATACCAAAGCACCTCTATCCCCTACGATCGTCTAAACAGCCTGATATCCACGGCGTTAATTTACATAGATCAATGATCCCCTTCTACTCACTTCTATCATTTTAGCCACCTCATACTCCCGCGGATGCATCAGTCATTAGGCCGCCTCTATCGTATCCTTGTTATCATTAGGTCTGATACCACCTACGTCAGAGGCGCCAGCGCTATGTCTAAGTAGGCACAATTTCATTACGGGTTTGATTGCTGGCTTAAAGGGAAATCCGGTCGATTCCAATCAAATGTATCCAGAAGGTCGAAGTTGAAATCTACTTGGGTCGAGAAGTCCCACTCGAAAACCGCCGGCGGCTCATACACGCTTGATGCTGCATTCAACGTTTGGTCGAGGACACGCTGTATGACCGATTTAGCGTCGCTACACAAATCACCATTCGGTCCCGAAGGGGAAACCCAGTGCAAGTATGCGACAAGCAGACTAAGCTTCTGGATAATGTTAGACCGAGTAATACGAGGGTCTCTATGAGGTTTGATGTGGAGTGTCGGCTTCAGAAGTTCCAAGCATAGGATACCGCCGGCAGGAACAGCGTACGCCATAACCTTGGTATGTTTGTTAGGTCAAAGGCTTCGTCTCAATCCACAGGTTGGAGTACTCACTAGCCATTCGCAATCGTTCCTAAAGGCTGCTAGCCTATCCAAGTTAAGGTAACCTATTCGATGTTAACGTCCGCTACAAAGGCTCTAGATGAGGATCCAAAGTATCGCAACATACTAGAAACTCGTTAGCACACGTGCAATAGAGGAGAAAAAGAATCCAATAACGTACCAAGGTAAAGTTAGTGTAACCAAGTCATAACTGGTTCCCAACAGATCGCCCTTGTCCTCATGACCACTTCGAACCAAGAGCCTTTCAATGAAAAACATATTCTGTAAGTGTTCCAGTTTCACAAATAGCCTTGAAGACATCGTTTCTGACGGAACCTCATAGTTCTCGAGATCCCGCAAGTCAAAGTGTAAGCAAGCGGGGAACTCCGTCACCGTTTGTAGCTCCCGTGCTCGAAGTTGGCTGCATTATTTAGTCAGATGCAATTAATTCGAAGCGTACCGACTTTCACATATGTTTATCCACTTACAGTAGAGTCTCAATAGACGCAGTTTGGTTACAACCCAGAGCGATTTCAAAAATCTCTTCCCGAATTGAAGCAAGAATCGACCGTGCACGTATACGAGTAGAAGTATGCAATTTTCCATCAGTATTCCAACCTTTTTCGTCGAGACGTCCGATAGCTTTCATAAAAGTCTCGTGGTCGGAAAATAATTCGTCGTCGCTAATATCGAGGGGTAAAGGGGTTGACGAGTATCGAGATACAAGAAGGGGAGGCCGTCCGGTGAAAGAAACGACCACCATGGCCATCACAAACAAGTGATGAAATAGCCTCTTCTTTATCTCAAGCGACATAGACATCTGACGTTGGTCCGTTTCTTCGAGGGCGTGGAACCCAAGGAAAGTCAATAGCGAGACTGCCTCCGCGTGTGACCTCCACACGACCAAACCTAGGCAGAGAATCCTTCGTCAATAAGGGCTTATTTAAACATTCGATTATATCGGACCCGATAAAGAGGAAACTTAACGCTGGACAAATTGATGCGAAAGACTTACTAGCATCGCCAAGAGACATGGAATCGATAGCAGTGCGCCTCTGTGTCAGGTAAAGCATCAAAGCATTCCCGGCGGAGAACTCTTTACACAATTCAGTGCAAAGGCGTAGATTCTCCCTCATTATGCTAAAATTCCGATCAAATTCGGCGGTCCGTTTCCCTCTCCACCACGCAGCAGCATCCGAGCTCGGAACAAACACCCAAAATATGGATAACACCCCTATGAGCTCCCATCGCGTATTTTCACCCATGAATTGGTTAACCCACCGCTCAGGATTCGGTTCATCATCGGAGACGGGTCGAGCAGTATTTGCGCAAAGTATCCGAGCTAATTCTTCTAGTTGAGCCGTTGACCTGTGCTGTGCCGTGAAGTAGTGGCCAAACGTCTGATAGAAAGATTTCACCATTCGCAACGCGACAGGACGTACCCAGCCATCGCTCCCGTGCTTGAAGTAGAGTTTGGAGCCTTGGTCTGGATCGGGTATTGTGCGAAGCACCGCAAGACATATCTCACGTATCCGAGGGGGCATAATCTTCTCCGGGACTTTGATGGGGTCGCGTGGCGCAACACTCTCATGTTGTGGAGGAGTAGCGCTTCCCACCCCTTGAAGAAGCGACAGGCTATTCTCGGTATCCTCGTAAATGTTACAGTAACTCGTTGGGCCAAGGTAGCCGGGTCGTGCAAGGCCTAGGACCTGTACTTCGGGTCTCGCTACCGGAGCATTTTGGACTGGCCGAGGAGTCCCGCTCCGAGCTCCCGATGCGGCAGAAGATACTGGAGACGGCAACGGACTTTTGTACTCCGGTGGCTTAGAGTTACCATCCGAAACGATATACACACAATCCGCTTCTTGTTTTCTCTTTTTACACCGACTGCATACGGGCTGTGTATGGTCGCAGGCTAATTTGCGCTTGCGGCATGGCTTGATTTCGTAATCAATAATTGCGCAAATCGCTTGAAAGGGGTAAATGATTGGCGCTACTTACATCGCATGCCTGAGGCCGACCATTTCGGCGAAGGAGTAATGGCGCATACGCATGGTCCTCCATTGATAGGTGTGACGAATGAAAAGCAAAGCAAGCAGACGCAATTCAATCACAATCTGCAGAACCGAAGCCGCCAATCGAAAACTTTTCGACTCCGATATAAGCTGATCTGAAGACGGGTTGAAAGTTGCTGAACAAAGACGCTTCGGCTTCGGCTTACAGCTATAATAGAAGAAGAATCGTCAGCTGGCCCCCACCAGGCCAACGCCGATTCGCTGGAATTCCTTGGCATAGCCCTATTTGTATGAAGCTCGGCTTAGCCATCAAGGTTCTTAGTTTGGTCTTGGTAAGTTCTAGGCTTAATTCGGAATTCGGTGCTCGGTGCTGTGCGTGAAGAAGCTGCAAGGCTCGCATAGAGCTGCGCAGGACGGCATGGATGCATGATTATATAAAGCGGTAACTGAATGACGAGATGGCTATAGATGACTCACACGGTGTAATTATAACAGATTGAATTATTAACGAGGTCAGCTACCTGTTATTAGGGAGTGTGTTGTATAACTTAATATAAGAGTTTCTCGACCTTCCAACAACGGCTTATACACCCCACATTGACTTACATCTTAGCCGTAAGGAACTCATTGAAGCCAACAATCATACCACCGAGTTAATTATATTCGTGCCGAGTCCAGAGTGTATCAGAATGTCTCAGCAATCCCCGTACTCGTCCCCGGTCGAAGAGCCGAGGCGATCGTCGTTTGCTTCCGAGAAGACTTTAGTAGAGACTCCATATCGGGACAACTCCGAGAAGAACAACAATGGTAAGTACAATGTTGTTTTATTGTATCTATTATCAGAACTTCAGTTCAATGGTTTGCTAACTCCTATCTTACAGGCCGAAAGTCATCGACCGGTACATATTCCAGTCAATCTAGCGGTAGTTCATCCTCAGGCATAATGGATAAGGCTGTTCAGAAGATCAAGTCGAAGCTGAAGGATAGAGATTCAACTCCCAAGCCTAAGCGTCGTCCAGTTCGCAGTTCGTACCCAGATACGGCTTATATGTGGCGAGCACTAGCAGGTAAGGAACATCTCCTTTTTGGCATGAATGCAAACAAAACATAGGAACTAATAACATTACAGAATCGAAGATTTAGATTTTCCTTTATGCATTTTCCCCTTTGAACAACGAGTGGTGTTACGCATGTCGACTCGAACTCTCGACGATACCCCATATATATAAGTTACCTACCAAGGTACTTACCTAACTACGCGAAGTTGGTGTCTTTCAATGACACTTTGAGGGGTGGAATGGGTCATATGGGGTTGGCTAAGGATGGGGACACTTGGTATTAGAAAATGGCGGTTCAGAATGATTTCAATAGGCGTTAGGTTTACTATTGGGAAGATAGGGATTGAAATATGAGGATACCCGAATGAATTATAATTTGATACACAAGCACTTTGGTTATTCTGTCTCTGAAGAGATATGGTCACGCTATGGTTGGGTTCACAGGTCCAAGATTGAAATACAAACAAATACTTCTTTAATTGGTACCTTTCATATTAGAGTTATTCAACAAGCCTAAAGCAATGCTATCTAATTTATAACGCATTTGAATCAAGCATCATAGCTAGTACGACTATTATAACATATGTACAGTTCATATGACATATGAGATGCATCCAAAAAGTACCTACATGATATTGGTACACAGGTGGTTCAGTGCTCAACTCGGGCCGCGATCGAGATGATCTGAACATGTACGGCAAATGACTTATACGTTGATCTAAAGCTCTTATTAAGGTTCTATTAATAGACTATATCGAGTTTCGATAACCGATTGCTGTATCCTGATCGATGTTAGGGACTGGGCTAATCAGACCTGACCGAACCGATAACTTAGTCATGACTTCCCGGGGCGGCTCTAGAAAAGCCTTACATGTGGAACTTGTAAAATTAAAGCAGCTTAATATTATGTGGATTATTACTATCATCATTGAGGCTATGTTGTTTTATGATAGTATGACCCGTGGTTGAAGCGATATTCAAGTAATTCTTGTTTTGGATCGGATCTAAATGTTAGACTGTAAACGGACCTGTTATAGCGACTCAGGATAGAGACTCCGCAACGGCGTCTAAACTTGCGATAGTTATATTTAGATGATTATTATCCATCAAATTCGTAGAGGCTGACAAAGCTAATTTGGAATCGGGAATTGTTATTAGGAAGGGACGGGACCCGGTGGTTCGGGGCCGGCACGGAATAGCATTTCTGTTAGTTGACGGAAGTATCAACCCCGCCGAGGCTATTCGTCCTACCATCCAGATGCGGCCGATCGAAAAACTCAAAATCATACCGGTTTCCACAGTGGATCTAACTCAAAGTGTTCGTCATCATACCTGACGGGCGTAGCATAAACCTTCTCAACATTAGAAAACCCACAGTTTAACAGTCGCGGCCCGCGGAAGAATACCAATTTGCCTCGATTGGTCCAACACAATGGTAGCCGGTGAAGAACTTTATTATTACTAGTTAGGGAGGTAACCAGACAGAAGTGGAGTTTCCTTCCTGCTGAGTTGGTAATTGCTCGTTAGCAATCCCAGATAGGCAATTTACTTAACCCCCTGATGCGATGGGAGTCTCGACCTTTGCAGTAGCCGGGAACAACCGAAAATATTACCATATATTTACATGATGAATATTCAGAAACCGGCGACAGTAACCACGTGGACGAGGGGTGATTTACCAAATTCGGTGGTGAAATGAGGCCATTCGTAGACGCCACCACGTCCATGGGTTGTCTCGAAGTTTACTCGAATCTATCGAGAAATGATTGCTCGATAAAAATTCATGGTGAATATTTAGTGCGGTCCACATTGTCCATCCAGTTGGGGCGCCATCGACGTAACACAGTCGTCAAGACAAGAGATCTGCGATTAAAAAATCTGCGATAAATCATTTCTTGGGGGGCGTGTGCATAATAATTAATGCTTATTAGAGAATTAAAAAAAACAAGGAATTGAAACTGAAACAATCGATAATCTTCATCGATACCTTTTTCATGGTTCGGAAATAGGATCATAAGCATAAACTTGTGCATATGTCATGTAGGAAGGATGTATGTACGTACATACCGACAGAACAATGCAAAGAAAAAGCATGAGTGTGATGTGTCACGCATCCGCAGCTGCTTCTCTTGTTTAAATCCAATTTTCTCGATGCAAGTCGGCTAGGTCCGATATCATGGATAAATCATAAATCATGGCCAAATCGAGTAAAGTGTCCCCTTACAGTCGAGCTAATGCAAGTCATAGCCTCTTCTAAAGTCTCATTAGCAAATCAGATGGCACCGATAACAACCATTGACCAATTCAGGGTCCCGCCCTTTTTTCTCTCTCTTCTCTCTCTTTCCTGTATTCCTTTTTTTACTCAACATACCCTCTTGCTATCGTCACCCACACCCACTTTAAACCACTTTCCCGTCTTTGCCTTATCTATCTAAATCCACATTCCCGTGATGTTCTCGACCTATCTTTCTAGTCTATCCAGTCTATCTAACCGGCTACGCCATCCTGAATCAGGACAGGGCGTAGCACAGTCCGAATCTTCCTCCTTTCCCCCAGTGATTTGGTAATTTAGTAACAACCCCCCTGATAGCCTCGAGAGATAACGGCACTGCGGCATTCACCCACTCACCATTCATAACCCCACAGACAGTTCACCGCCCACGAGACCGGACGAGACCGTACTAGAGTCAGGTCGGGCTGAAGGTGGACGTTGGTAATTGCGGTATCGCTGCTGACCGGGACTTTAGTTCTGAGTAGAACCCGAAAAAAAGGGAAATCCACACGGATCGAGCGTGACTGCTTACTCGATCGTATCCATCTTCCCGTTTGCCGTTCGCTGTTCCCTCTTCGCTACTTTTCCCTTATTTTCTCGGCTTTGTTCTTTCTTCTCGTCATATATCCGTACAATCGCACGTAAGTGATACGCTACCACATTCAGTAGGTTTCGTCTCTTGTCTGCCTATCTTTTTTCACCCTCATTCCAGTCACCACCACTACTTGCATACCAATACACACTGCTGAGTTGTGATAACACTCCCTCAGTCGCATTGTTTGTACATTGTTTCCCTCTTATCTTGACCTTCTTTGTCTTATCGTTACACACCCAATCATTTTTAAGGGGATTGCGATAAGCAGGGTCTTTTTTTTTGTTCTCGACGCCCTTCTATCACTTTGTTCTTGGTCCACCGAGCCCACCACTTCAACCTGCTAGCAGATTAGCTTGCCTTTCATCTTCAGGTACCGGTCAGCAACAAAAGACCACCCTTACATAATGACCGTCGCTTCTAGACCAACCGCCGGCCCGGTAACCGTGCTCGTTTCCACGAGGGCGGTACTCACCTTGCCGGACGACAGCCTTTTGCTCAGTCCGGCTACTATATCCATCTCATCAACCAATGGCAAGATAGTAGACATTGTACCTGCAGTCTTGCCTAAGACGTCATTCCCTCCATCAGCCACATATATCAACTATGGCTCGAAACTCATAATTCCCGGCCTTGTAGATGCCCACGTGCACCTGAACGAGCCGGGCCGAACAGAATGGGAAGGCTTCAGTACCGGCACTCGAGCGGCTGCTTCCGGCGGCGTGACTACCGTCATTGATATGCCCCTCAATGCCATCCCACCTACTACGACACTAGCAGGCTTCAAGGAGAAATTGGCTGCCAGCGAAGGCCAATGCTGGGTCGACGTAGGATTTTACGGCGGTGTTATTCCCGGAAACGCAGATGAGCTTCTCCCACTGGTAGAAGCAGGTGTCCGTGGCTTTAAGGGCTTCTTGATCGAGTCGGGTGTAAGTTTGACTTCTTGGAAAGTAAATCCTATACGTGTGGATTGTTGACTGGTAAATTACAGGTCGAGGAGTTCCCAGCTATCTCGCCCGGCGACATTGCACTTGCAATGAAGACATTGAACGGATCACCAACAACCCTCATGTTCCATGCCGAGATGATTCCTCCGATCTCCGATTCCGTCGGTGACGCAGTGCAAGCATCTGAGCCTCCCCTAGCACCTCATGGTGATCTAAAATCGTACCAGACATTCCTCGAGTCGCGACCTCCTTCATTCGAAACGTATGCGATCGATGCGATCGTCTCGTTGGCGCACCTAGCCCCTGGCCTACACCTTCACATCGTACATTTGTCAGCGACGCAGGCGATCCCGATCTTGAAGGCTGCACGCAAATCTGGCGTGGATATCACAGCCGAGACTTGCTTCCACTACTTAGGCCTTGCGGCTGAAGGAGTCCAGGACGGCGATTGCAGATACAAGTGCTGTCCACCAATTCGGGAGCAATTGAACCAAGACGGACTTTGGGAAGAATTGATAGCGCCCGACTCGTGCATTAAGACAGTCGTTTCGGATCATTCTCCTTGCACACCGGAGCTTAAGCTACTGCCACCTCATCTCCAAACAGTCGAAGCCCCGCATATGCACCATTCCGATTCGGGTATTGATATGACGGCTGATCTGGCACAAGTTACCGAGGCCGCGGTAGAGGGCACCCAGGCGGCAAAAGAAGTAGGGGACTTCTTCGCTGCCTGGGGTGGTATCTCGTCTGTCGGTCTTGGCTTGCCTATTCTCTTCACCGCAGCCAAGAAGCGCACGAAGGCTGGGAACAAAGCCCCTGGTATTGTCGATATTGTCCGCCTTTGCTGTGCTGCTACGGCTAAGCAAGTTGGTCTATCGCATCGTAAGGGCGCTCTTAAAGTCGGTATGGACGCTGACATTTGCGTTTTTGACGATGCCGAGGAATGGATCCTTCACTCGGGTGCTATGCATTGGAAGAACCGATGCTCGCCCTGGGAAGGCCAACGCTTCTCGGGACACGTAAAAGAGACATGGCTTCGAGGACGGAAGGTCTTCGAATACGGAGGTAAGAACGGTGGGTTCGTAAGCGGAAAACCTGTTGGTGAAGCCATTGTTGAGAAGAGGTTCGCTTGAAACCTCTAATACTGTCATGTCTAATCCCGATCGGAAGTGGGATTGTCGACGGAATCAGCATCCTACGAAAAAAGATGGAAAGCAGACATTACCGGGGCTATTGAGATGATTATGGAAGATGATGATGAGCTTTTCGTCGCGATGACTTGATGATACTTTTACTGACTTTATGGCCTGCGAGTGAGTTAAGATGGAGTTTGAGGCGTTTCCTTACGGGATACAGGAATTATTAGGCCAGGTAGCTTAGAATGTTTAGAGATATTTCCGAAGATGTTTAATTGATTGCTTTTACGATACGAATTACTTTTGTTGATGAGTTGTTTTGTCTTTGAATACCGATGGTCGCACGTTGTAATCACGTAGATTGACGTGCTTTATGGGGTTGTTCCCGTTTTATTAGGTAAAGACAGCTCTCCGCGCGGAGAACCCTACAATGTTATCCAATACTTGTTTACGGAGGACCGCCGGATGGAGCCCGCTTAGATAATTATGTGTGTAGGTATTATGTGATATAAATGTTTTACTTGGAGTCATTAGTGATGCGTATATGTAAGGGTGGAAAGGATTTTGAGGTTGGCTTTTAGTTAGGGTGGATATTGAGGCGATATTACTATCGTCACGTTTTGTTTACCTACCCCCCAAGGTACTTATGCCAGCTATCAGTTGAGGCCTGTAGGGCTTAGCATGGATAAGAGCTACGATATTTTTAAGATAAATAGTAAGAACATTTGGAAATGGTATTTTAAATAAAATAAAAAGGTTAAATGAGACAGTTAGGAGAAGATGTGATTGATATCTACGCCGCATGTTGGTTCCAAGGTTCTACATATTAACTTCGATGAATGATTTCGTAATACTCCTACTGTGTTCGTCGCTGTGTTCATGTATATTCGCCAACAAATATCAAAATTCACCGGTCGTATCGTTGAGTTGTACGAACTGAAACATCCCATCCTTCATTACTATGTCTTCCCCCAACGGCATTCCGATTCCGTTCGTCTCCGCCAATCAAGCCCTTTCGGATAGCTTCCGACTGCGATATTGGTTTTTCTTTTTCTCGGATGATTTTCTACGAAGACATCCATGGATGTTTGCGTCGCACAACATGTTAGTGATAAGCTTAATGGAGAAATGAAGCTTAACTTTTAAGTTGAAGCAAACTAAGATAGACGGATAGGTGAGTTGCCTCGGCTAGGGAAGGAAGACATACTGGTAGATATTGCCTTTGTGTAAAAAGAGACACTATACTACTTTCGGTAACACCCCGAGAATACCTGGGCTATGTACCTAGGTACCTTGGTCGCTTGGTTGATAAACCCCACCTTCACACCTCAAATTTCTCGTCGCGAACTTCCAACTAAAGAAACCAATTCGGAGTACATAATCAATCTACCCTCGGGGATTAGCATTATGTTGGACAATACCTTTTCCTGGTCTAGTCGGAATTAAGGAATTGAGCGTGATGCTCACATCTTTATTACCTGGTTCACCTTCAATATTTTGATACTGGGATATCCCATCCGATAAATCAATTGCCTACTGGAAGAGAAGTGTTGGGTGCTATATGTTCCCGCCTCAGTACCCGGAACCGACAAGATCGCCAAGTGGTACTCCCTTATTTTATTTGATTTGATTTGATTTATTTCCTCATCTCCTGCCCGTTGCAGAATAATTGCCATGGTTACTCCATTTTGTATGGGTGTATATACACTCATCATTAACTAATCCATTTGTCAATTCTTTCAACGCTAGAGTGCCGAGATGGCCCAGCTCGTCTATTCTTGCTGCCAAGTTCGGTCATCATAGGCATTGACATTTCCATGGTTCTGACCACAACAGCCGTGCGCTCATCTCTCTCGGATCTCACTCATGATGGGGGGATTGGGCTGACTGGCTGACTGGTCAGAACCGAATGGCAAGCCAAGTGCAAACATCCTTGACCCCTTCGTCAGCGGCTGGTACAAGAAGATAGGCGTCGACAAATGCTTACCTAGCACCATGCATGCAATGCAAATCCCCAGCTTTGTGGCTTGCGGCTTTGTGGAACGTGAGCCTAGACCGACTTTCGATTTCCTACAGCCTACAAGGGTTGCCAGGTATTCCTTTAGGTGCGCAAGCGAGGCGGAACGCTTCGTTTCCGAACACGACCATACTAGATCTGGACCATTTTACTTCTCACAAGCTACACTTTCTTCTCTCTTCTACTGTTACCGAGGTGTTCATTTTTCTCTCTTCTAGGCTATTCCCAGATGCTACCCCAAGTTCGCGATCCATGGATATTACATCCCCTGATCATTTTACATATCTACGCGATCATGATCATATAAAAATAAAATAATAATGAATTCTAGGTAATAATGAATTCTAGGCTTGGGTTCGCTTAAGTAAAAGTGACTCCGCAAGGCGGGACTGGACCGCTGTCAACTAATGGATGTCGAAACGAAACGCCATGCAAGACTATCTAGTGGACCACCCAGCCCAACCAGGCGCTCGGATTGGGCTGGAGCTGAATTAGTAGGTAGTATTGGGCAAATACCACCTATACTGACCTAGACCTTGGCTTTCCCATTTCCATTCTCTTTCTTTCTCTCTCCAAATCCTAACATGGAAATATCTACTTAGTGTGTATCGGTTAGCTACCGATCCGTGTCAAGTTCATCCTCGCTTAGAGTCTTTTCTTAGTTCTTTACTCTTTCATTTGCTATCTACATCCAATATATCGCTTACCGCAGGGTATGGTATCCGTCTACCTTTGAAGTCGGAGGGTACAACAAGCGGGTCGAAAGTTTACCCCTTTATTCCCCAAGTCTCTCGCAGCCGAGATACCTATCCGGGTATCTACTGACAATGAAAACATCGAACCCTTAAGAAGAAAAAAACATTCATAGCATACATAGTATTACCCGCTACTATGTAAGGAGTATCGGTAGAATTACTGTCTAGAGCCCGCCGGGAACCAACTTGATCTAGTAAGTCGCATATGACCCCCAGTGGCTCCAGTAGCACTTCGGTTGGAAGACGAGCAGCGCACTACTCTCCCAATTAAGGATCGTGGCAAGGATCCGTCTAACGTGGTTTGCTGGATCGCGTGGGATAACCCCGGTCAGCTTTCTGATGTCGCATCTTACATTACACCACCTTCAGTATTACACCATGTAGCATAGCAGTGCTATTGCTATTTTTTTCTTCTGGGGAATAATGGGGGCGAAAATGCCTTGTTGCGATATTTCGAGCGAATTTTTGTTTTTGTTTCGTTTTGTCCTGTTTCGTTTCAAGGTTTCCTGTTGTCGAACCCGACCGTGACAGTTTGCGATACGATTAGTTACGCTGTTTCCTTCTTCTATCACCACATGCATTAGCGACATGGTTTTGTTATCGCCGATATACATATAACCTTTCGAGTGGAAACTACGAATATTGAAACTGCCTGGTTACCTTACATATAATTTGCAGATGCATTGGCATCGAAGAAAGTTAAATAATTTAGCTAAAGCTTGGGGAATGTCATAACCAGTCGAGTAGACTTCAATCTTGCGCAATCGCATTGTTGTTACCGGATCCAAACCACCGATATCGATCAAACCGAGCTTATTCCTCCTAGTACCAACACATACGTTACAACAATGGCATCATCGAGCGCAGGTACCGTTACTGGTACCACTTCTGCGAACCCCGACGAGCGAAACGGAGAGAAGCCGACTACTATAGATGTCGAAAAATGTGAACCTTTAAGTTCGGTTTCTACCTCAATGGATCTTGCTCGACCGGAACCCGGCCGACGAATGTCATTGTCGGCAGCTGGTCACATATCTTTAGACGATGTCGAGGCCGTTGATATACAAATTCGAAATCTATCGGTCACCGTCGATACTTCGCCTTCGATATGGGATCCTGCGACTTACCCAGATTTATTTGGAAAAATGCTTGGGAAAGGTCCTGGTGGTCCAACAACCAAAACCCTCCTAACTGGCGTCGATGCGGACCTGAAACCGGGGACACTTACAGCTATTCTTGGTGGTAGTGGTTCTGGGAAAACAACGTTATTAAATACAATTGCGGAACGTATGTTTAGTTCGAGATTGTCTCAGGCGGGGGTTACCACTTTCAATGGACAGGAGGGTGTACATTCAGTAAGACACGCATATGTAATGCAACAGGATATATTACTCCCAACTTTAACGGTGCGAGAGACGTTAAGATATTCTGCGAACTTGAGATTACCACCACCGACAACCGAGGAGGAACGAATGCGCATTGTGGAAGAAGTCATCCTTGAACTGGGATTGAAAGATTGCGCGGATACTAGAATCGGTAATAGTCAACATCGCGGGTGTAGTGGTGGTGAAAAACGAAGGACGAGTATTGGCGTACAACTTCTAGCAAATCCATCGATTCTCTTTTTAGACGAGCCGACTACCGGATTGGATGCGACAAGTGCCTATCAACTAGTCAGGACGCTTAAGGCTTTAGCGAATAAGGGGCGAACTATTATAACGACTATTCATCAACCGCGATCTGAAATCTGGGATTTATTTGACAATCTAGTGCTTTTATCTAGGGGGAGCCCCGTATACTCTGGATCTATGAAAGAATGTATCCCTTGGTTTTCAAAACTTGGGTTCGAACTACCTGCGTTTGTTAACCCTGCCGAATACTTGATCGACCAAGCTGCGGTTGATAACCGGACCCCGGAGCTTGAAGAGGAGAGTACTGCGAGAGTTGGGCGACTAAAGGCCGCATGGAATGAGGAGTCGCGAAGACTTTTCAAATCTTCTAGCGATGAAAAGTCTGCTGAGAAGGACAATAAACGCAAGAGGCCGAAGATGACGCAGCATGCAAGTTTCTTCCGTCAAGTACGGGTATTGACGGACCGAACATTCAAAGTCACGTACAGAGATCCGATGGGAATGGCTGGATCTTTAATGGAAGCTATCCTTATGGCTATCATCACCGGGTACATTTTTTACGACCTCGCCCGGGATCAATCCGGAATCCGGTCAAGACAGGGTGCTCTTTATATCTCGGTTGGTCTGCAGGGTTATCTGTTCTTGACGTTTGAGATATATCGATTAACGATGGATATCCCGACTTTCGACCGCGAGAATAGCGAAGGTTGTGTGACCGCCCTACCTTACATATTATCCCGCCGAATCGCGCGCCTCTTCACCGAAGATATACCCGTGCCGTTTTTGTACAGCGTCATATTCTATTTTATGGCCGGCTTCGACCTTAATGTTTCCAAATTCTTCACATTCTTTTCCGTAATCTTACTTAATCATTATACTGCGGTTACTCTTGCGATGAGTTCCGTCGCCGCCGTTAGGAATTTCCCAGGTGCGAGTTTGATCGCCAACCTTGCGTACACGTTGCAGAGCATGGCCTGCGGATATTTCATTCAGAGCAATACAATCCCCGTCTACGTAAGGTGGACCAAGTATATTACGTACACTGTGAGTTGAATGAGCACTTTTGCTGATATCCCCCGCTAACCGTTTGGTAGTATTACGCTTTCGGGGCTCTTTGCAGTAATGAATTCGAAGGCAGCTTCTACGATTGTCCATTGCCAGGCGGCGAATCAAATCCAGGTTGCAAGTCATATACCGGACGATACATCGTGGATAATCTTGGATTTCCTGAAAACTGGGTGGCTCGGCCAATAATAGCGATACTCGGTTTCGTCCTGCTCTTCTTTTTAACCTCTTGGATCGGTCTTGCATTTCTAAAGGTGGAAATGTCAATTGCACGAGCACGGGCCTCCGATACGGATCTTTCTGCTGGAAAAGAGAAGATGACTGCAAGGTCCATTCACGAGGTCCGTGCAATAGATGTTGGCCTTGATGATTTCTCGCTAGCACTTGACAAAAGAACGCCGCTTGGGAAGAAATTACCGACTAAGACTATCCTCAATCCTGTTAACACGACGTTCCATGCTGGCACACTCAATGTTATTATGGGTCCATCTGGTTCGGGAAAAACTAGCTTGCTGAATGCTATGGCGCTGCGTTTGCATAGCACTCTTGGCACTAGGTATAAGCCTTCTGGCAAGCTGACCTTTAACGATGCTGTCCCTTCGGATTCCGTCACACGATCAATTGTGTCTTATGTCTGTCAAGATGACGACGCATTACTTCCGTCTTTGACTGTTCGAGAAACCCTTCGCTTCGCTGCTGGTCTTCGTCTTCCCCCATGGATGAGTAAATCCGAAAAGTACCAACGAGCTGAAGAGGTTCTGGTGAAGATGGGTCTTAAAGATTGTGCCGACAATCTTGTAGGTAACGAACTGGTAAAGGGTATCTCTGGAGGCGAAAAGCGTCGTGTCAGCATCGCTGTCCAAATTCTCACTGATCCCCGGGTCCTATTACTCGATGAACCTACGAGTGGATTGGATGCTTTCACAGCGAGTAGTATTCTGGAAGTGCTCCAGGGTCTTGCGAGAGAAGGGCGTACACTTATTCTCACGATACATCAAGCGAGATCTGACATATTTAACCATTTCGGGAATGTACTGTTGCTTGCCAGAGGTGGCTCCCCTGCTTACGCAGGCCCAGCCAAGGATATGCTACCATATTTTAGCAAGCTTGGATATCAATGTCCCCAACATACTAACCCTGCCGATTTCGCACTTGATCTTATCACGATAGATCTACAGGAGGCGCACAGGGAGGAAGAGAGTCGAGAGAAGGTTCGAAAATTGATCGACTCATGGACTCAGATGACAAAACAATCCTCATCAGGAACACCACAAGCCGCTTCACGACTTTCGGATATCAACGAGACGGAAGAACCGAATACGGAATCAGCAACTGAGAAGGAGACGAGTGTGGATCATGCTTCTGATCACGAGAAGGAAACCGCCGACATCGTACATACCCCAGAGGAGGAAGCCGCCGAGGGAGCTCTCGAAAGGCGTCTTTCCAACCCAGCGCCTCGCCGATCTCTTCATAAGGCAGCTCTAGCGACACCGGCCGAACTTGGTGCGCTCGTGCATAAGCGTGCTTCCTTTGCGACAGCTTTCCCTCTTCTGTTACATCGCGCGATGATCAACCTTCGGCGGCAACCGCCGCTTCTACTAGCACGTTTAATGCAAGTTCTCGGATTGGCAATCATCCTAACACTATTCTTCGCACCAGTACATAATGATTACTACAGTGTTCAGAACCGGGTGGGTTTCGTGCAGGAGATCGGTGCTTTCTACTTCGTGGGTATGCTTCAAAACGTCGCGGTATATCCGGCCGAGCGCGAGGTCTTCTACCGCGAAGATGACGATGCGGTGTATAGTGTCGAGGCCTTCCTATCCACATACACCCTTCTCGAAGTTCCTTTCGAAATCGTGGCTTGTCTGCTCTTCGGCATTCTAGCTGACTTCGCAGTCGGGTTCCCACGCACGGCTGAGATGTACTTCGTGTACGTGTTCTGCTGCTTCGGCATCGTGTCTTGTGGTGAAAGTCTGGGTATTATGTTCAACACGCTGTTCAATCACACCGGGTTCGCTGTTAATATTATTTCGATTCTACTCTCGGTCGCGCAGATAATGGCTGGTATTCTGTCGATTAATATGCCTGAGCTATTCCGCGTGTTCAATTACATCAGTCCGCTGAAATATGCGACGGCGGCGCTAGCACCGTTTACGCTAAGGGGTGTGAAGTTTACGTGTGATGATAGTCAGAGGTTACCGGATGGACACTGTACTATTGAGACGGGTGAGCAGGTGCTGGATTTGTATAAGTTGAATGTGGATCCGGTTGTTAATGTTGGCGCGTTGGCGGCGACTATTGTGGTTTATAGGTTGGTTGCTTGGTTATTGTTGAGGTTGGTTAGAACGAGGTGGAAGAGTGTTGTTGAGAAGACTAGGAAGTCTTGATACCTACCTCCTAAGGACTTGGGTGGTAAAAGGTGCTGGATGATAAAAAGGGTGGCATTTTGCTGTTAGTATTTATGAATTAGCATACGAGCGAGCGATGTGCTTTTGATTAATTCGGATTTGTATATAATTTTAATGATACCTAGAGAGGTGCAGTATATAATTCAAGATTTGATGATATTCACTATTCGTTGTGTTAAAGCGAGATTATGAAACGGTGAAGTTTTTGTATATAAATTATCGGAGCTAATGCCGATAGATGGGATATTTGATTTCCATCGGCCAATTGTCCGATGGGAATTTTACGGATGCATCCGAAACAGCTTAGTTTCCGCGGAACAGATCCGATCCGATTGTAATTATTAAGCTCATCAATCCGCCAAGTTCTTAAGGCAACGGCTCGAAGCTTAAAGCCGATATGAAGTCAATCGTATTCCTTCGTATTCGTTATCCCCTACGGAGATTAACATTCCCATTCTTCGACTTATACGCGTATATACGAAGGTTTGGTGGGATTTTCGGAGTTGCTCCGAAGAAGTTTTCACGGGGATATGGATGTTGATTACTGATGCGATATGTACCCAAGTACAGGAGTTCCGGAGTGAAGGGTTTACTGACGTCAGTGGGGTGCTACAGCGGGGTTAAGCACGCCACACCCCGCTCTTTTATAGGGGAGCATGCTAAAGACAGGGCTTACGTAGGTATGTTAACATCACGGATTTATGAGATAATACACCTTCGATGTGATTCTTTACTGATTTTTATAAGTGTTGATTGATCATAAGAAATAAAAAGGTCAAGGGGTCTTGTTCTGGTATATAAGGCAAGTTGACCGAGACTTGTGGAGAGTAATACGTTCTAAATATCAACAATAAGCTGCTTGCACTCGAATCTTGAACCACGCTCATCATTATAACACCAACAACTCCAGTAATAGCAGAAAGGAAAGGGACACAATGGCACCTAAAGTTCTAGTCGTCTTAACCTCCTACAGCTTCATCGAAAGCGCCAACGCGCCAACTGGTTGGTACCTAGTACGTCCCCACAGACCTTCGCTCACAAAATACGAACCAACACTAACCAATTTCATAGCCCGAATTCGCCCACCCATACGATGTCTTAGCAGAGAAAGGCATCGAAATCATAACCGCTTCACCCAAAGGCGGTGTCGCGCCGCTAGACCCAGGCTCTGTAGAGCGATTCAAGGAAGACCCCTCCTCGGTCAACTTCAAAGCCACAAAATCCGCTTTATGGGAGAACACAGCACCAATCTCCTCATTCCTAGGCAAATCCAGCGAATACGCAGCACTATTCTACCCAGGCGGTCACGGTCCCATGTTCGATCTAGTCTCAGACAAAGACTCCATCGCACTAATCGCCGAGTTCGTCTCCGCTGGCAAGCCCGTCGCCGCGGTATGCCATGGACCGATTGTATTCGCGAATGTGAAGCGTGCGGATGGGAAGGGATTGCTGGAGGGTAAGGAAGCTACGGGGTTTACGAATGAGGAGGAGGAGTTGGCGGCTATGACTAAGCATATGCCGTTTTTGCTCGAGGATAAGTTACGTGAGGTTGGGGCTGTGTTTAGGAAGGCGGAGAAACCGTATGATGCTTTTGTGCTGGTGCAGGATGGGGGCAAATTGATTACCGGGCAGAATCCGGCTAGTGCTAAGGGGGTGGGTGAGGAGATTGTCAAGGCTATTGGGGTTTAGGGGGTTAAAGAGTGGTTGCTGTCTTGATTTGCGCGAGAATGTCATCACAGGATTGGTTGTGTAGGAGTAATGATTGAATGGATAAATGCCGACTACTTAACCTATGATATCCTTTGACCAAAATCCTGCTATGCGTGAGTTCATACTATGTAAATGCTACTTGATTTCCAAGAGTTATAAGACGCTGGTGCGACAGTAACATGATGATTTGATGGGTATATCGGTGACTGCTATCGCTGCATCCAATTCTGGCTTTATAGCCTTGGCTTCTGCGATACGTCCTAGTTTCACTAAACACTCATGGTATCCGTGCAGCGCCCATACGTTCTTACGGTGCTGTAGTGCACGCGGTAGTGTATCATTGATCCCGAGGTCATCAGCATATACGTCAACGGCTTTGTCGTGATGGCCTTGTTCAACGAGCAGCGCTCCGTATGCGTGGCTGGGCGGTTGCATCCATCCCCACGGTTCATCATATGGCAGGTTATAGCTCCTGTCAATAGCCGTGCGCAAATGCGAAAATGCCGAATCGTAATTCCCGCGTCGGTATTCAAGTTCTCCATCCAGCATTGCTTCTGCTACTCCTATGATATCAACACACTTATTGTTAAACACCATGCGAGAAGAAGGAACGAGTTTCGCGGCTTCAGCGAAAAGCTCGCGCTGCTTAGCAGCCTCTTCGACATTTCCCAACGCGGCAAACGCTATCCCTTTGGCGTAGTGTGTTAGTGCATTGGTCGTGCAGTATAACCCTTTGTCCTCGCGAAACGACAAGTCAAGAATATCCTGCCACTTCCCAAAGCGTATAAGTGCATGCACACGCATAGCGAGGAACCCCTCGAGCCAATCTGCCATAGGCGGTGACTCGACGCGCAACAGATCCTCTGGTAGTGTGGCCTCGAGCCGGGTTACAGTATCCAGAGTTTCTTTCGACCGTCCCGCAAACATGCCAGCGTAGATACGGAAGTGTAGGTCGTGCATGCGGTATAACGTGTAAAACTGCAGCGGGTTCTCACGCGCGAAGAAGGCGTCGTCGGCTATGATCGCCTTTTGATTCGACGTCATTGCGTTCACGAAGTCGCCGACTAGAACGTCGATATGCGTTGGCATGTGATCTAAATGCCCGCTATCCGGGACTAACTCCCGTAATGTACCCGCGGCTGGAAGCGCGGCTTCGGGAGTTTGCGACATTTCCATGAGATGGATGTACAAGTGCAAAAGACCCGGATGATGAGACCCGCCAGGCTGCGCCATCGCGCGCTCGAGGATGCTCTTTGCCTCGAGCGTCCGCGCGTTTGGAGCTGGGTTGCCGGTTTTGATGTCCCAGAGTTGCCAGGGGGTTAGGTTCATCAGGGCGTCAACGTAGAGCGTCGCGATGTCTAGGTCATCAGCGAAGTCTTGATACACTTTTCCCATCGCCTCGGCGTAGCCTTGGTTCCATATCGACCAATTCGGATCCGCGGCATTATCATGCGGATACCGATATTTCAGCGCTTCTACCAATGCTTTCTCGACAGGCGATGCATGGTCTAATTTCGTTCTCGCTTCCTGCACAACGCTGTGGGTGCGCTTCATGACTTTATCTAATTCATCCGCATCAAAGAATTCCCAGGGTTTATTGTAATTCGGACCTAGCACGTAAGCCAAGCCCCAGTACGCTAAGACGCAGTTCCCATCGCTGGAGATCGCGCGCTCGAAGCATTTCGCTGCTTCTTCGTGGTTAAAGCCGTAGCTCCAGATCAGCCCTCTATTCGTCCATTCCCGTGCTACGTCGCTGGTTGTGCTTACGGCTCGTCTGTATGAGCCGAGGTTGTAATATTCTTCGGACTGGCTGCCCATTTTGGATGGCTTTAAGATATGTGCTGGGGTTTGAAGGCTGGCATGTTGTGGTTGTAGAGGGGACGATGGTGCCATTCTCGTCTGGCATTTCGCATCGGAGACTATCCGAAAATCTTTGTATGCGGGATTCTTGTGGCCGGTGTTATTGCAATATAGGGTTATATGCGGTTATCCATGGTAAATACCCCTTTTCTTTACTACTTTTCCCATATCGTAAATACGAAAATTGAGGTTGAAAATCAGAGGTAATTGTAGTGCCTAGTATGAAAATCGATGGCTGATTCTAAGTTTAATCGGAATTGTGTTAGGTTAATCCATAATATTTCGGCTCGTGAGCTACGGAGGACCTACTCTACCACGCCTTGGCCCGAATATCAGCTGTCGGCGCAGCTCCGATGCTAATTCGAGTTATGAGCGAAACTCGGCTTTGGATTAAGAGTTGAATTGTTAGATTACGGTTGTTGTAAAGAATGCCCCCGTCACTGAGCTGTGCCGCATTTCTGAGATTAGAGATGCGACAGGTGCGCCCATGATTCGAGAAGCTCGGTTCTTCGCAATCATAGAGAGAAAAAAGGCAATGGAAGCTCCAAAATTGTTTTAATATACCCAAATTTGTGTAAATGTTAAGGTGATGGGCCGTATCAGGTCTGGGTCTTGGAATCAGCTGTAGACACTCCCTAAACAAAGTGAATCTCTAGAATAATAGAAGGATGTAGGTCCCTGCACCCTGTAGCTAGGTACCTAGGTGTATGTAGTTAGGGCACAGACCGGAATTAATCTTGGCATATTATAGAGCTAATACATCTTCGCTGTCTTCTGCCTAAGGTAACTGGTACATAATACCGTTGGTTCAAGCTGCAATAAGCGTTGATTACCTTCCTACCTAGGTAGACAATAATCGCGTTATACTGATCAATTTTTTTTAGCCTCGTTAATTGATAAGTTCTAGTGTATAGTAGCTGGAATATTTGTAAGGCAACAGGGGTACACTGGCTGCCTGTTACTCCACCATTTCTTGGATCTAGTCAACTTCATTCTTCCTTCAAATCTCCAACATTAACAACTCTTCAGGCCTTGAATATTAATGCGAAGATGTCTACAGAGCGCGGGACGTTTCTAGGCCTACCTCCCGACGTAAGGCAACGAATTTATCTTCATGTCGGGGTCAGCGCAGGGAGGCCTATTTACATTATGCCCCGAGGGCCGAGGACTCTCCCCTCACGCCGTTATTTCACGAGAAAATTATTATACCTTTGTAAATTAATCCACTCGGAGATCATATATTTTATCTGCTCGCGGAATAGACTCATTGTCCATGAGAAAGCCATGGAATTTGGTCTGAGGTTTCTCCGAAGACTCCCACCACGAACCTGCTACGAATTATCGCATCTTCACGTCCAACTATATTCACGTTCTATCCGGGGTCCCATCGAGAACCCGAAACCCAACGACGAACAGATTATGATGTGGCAGGAAGCTGCCACGCATGTCCTATCCCACACGAAACCACAAAAACTAAGGTTACGTCTGGTGTGTGATACGGGCGAGGACAAGGAACTAACGTCTGCAATCCTTAAGCCCCTACTGGATTTTCCAGGAATCCTCGGAGAGTTCGAAGTTCGAATACATTCTAGGAGAAATACCCAATTTTGTATTCTAGCTCGGGAGATCTACACCCAAGTCATGTGTCCCGACGTAGTTCGACCCTTCAACTTTACGAAGCTACCGCCAGAGGTTAGGCGAAACATATTGACATATACCGACCTAGTCGCGCCCAGTTGTCAGGTTCAATGGAGCGCATCAGCAGGGTTCTATATCGACTTTTCCCAGAACTACTGTGAAAATGGGCGAGAAATCGAGCAACTCTTATATGGCTGTCAATTCCGACGCTGTAAAGTGCGGAATGACTATGCTAACACGCCATCCCCTTGTTCCTTCGATCACAGCGGGTATTCACCGCATTGCAGGTGCTGGATGCCGCCGCAGTCCCTCATGTTCGTCAGTCGACAGATGTATGAGGAGGCGAGCGATGTTTTCTACTCGTGTAATCGCATCGTCGCCCTTCCATATGGGTCCTGCTTTGAGCCTGACCTATATACGTTACCTCTTTCACCACGCCTAGATATATCGGTGTTTATAACTAGATTCATGTGGCCGGAAATACTATGTCGGCTGCGCTATCTTGAGATCCTATTCCCGCCATTGGGCGAAAATCTTACCGTCGAAGAACCGATTCCGGCATATTCAGATTGGATTTCGGCAGTTGACCATCTGAAAAAATATGCCAACTTTGATGGTCTAACAATTGTAGCTCATATCAGATTCCCTAACCATATGGAAAAACTTCGAAAAAGCGCCAATTGGTTCGAAAGCGGTACTGTAGATATCATCAATGCGCATGCCAACCTGTTAGCACCGCTACGCGCTTTGCGGCAGATGAGTCGCTTCTTCGTTCGTCTGGAGCATCCATATCGTTGGACAGGCGCAACATACGGGAGCCTGATACACTGCCAGAAGTTGCCACGACGCCGCTGTACGAGCTGCCAGTATGACGACTTGGAGGTATGGTTGGAAAAATTTGTTATGGGGGGTGAGTATGATAGCGCTGCGGTGGGAAAGGCTGAAGATGTACCAAGCGAATGGGTAGCTAATGACTGGTCTATCCGGGAAGAGAATATCAATATCGACGAATGGACTGAAGAGTAAAAATCTATATTTCCAATAAATAAATTCGTTTTCTGATTCCATAGTAATCACCCTACTTACTGCTATATGATATTGTGGGGTCCAAGTTTTTCCACTTCATCTGGACTCTTGACCCCTTTCGATTGACCCACCGTTTCCCCTCCCATCGACAGCGTTAGGATACCTGCGTACTTTTGAAAGAAGTGATAATTACGCTGCCGAGATTGAAGTTCCATGGATCCCAAACAGTGATTTAAGTGATTCGCGATCTCATGGGTCGTATCTCAGTATTTTGATGGCGATCAGAGGCCAAGCGACGCTGCGCCACGATACCGCCTTCTCTGTTACCACAGCCGCTCCAGCTATCGCCACACACGTGTGCCTTCTAGGCATAATTTCAAGGCAGCAGTGAGCCTGAAGGCGCTATGCTGATGTTGTTTGCCAGGTGTTTTGCAAGCTTTAACACAAACATATAATAGGAGAGTGATCATAAATATCCTAGACATCACCGCGATGACTTCCTAAGTTGCTATCCATAATCAAGTTCAATCGTCATACATACCTTTGCGCACATTCAGGAAGATGCAAGTAGATCCGGCTACATTAGGCAACAGGTGGCTCTGCTACAGGGAAACTGTTGTTGCTCATTATGATGACTTGATCAATGACGAAGACTACTACGGCCATTTACTCAGACACTTAGCCGGCGAGGTTCACGAAGACGATATAGATAATTGTACAAAACACGATGGGACGTTGGAGAAATGGGATGGATTCGCGCATACAGTCCAATCATTCGTTAGGGAGATGGGTCCCGTTGAAGGTAAGGAAACTATCACGAACTAGTACACAGCGGGAGAACTTATCTAATCATACCTAATCATTCAGACAAAACGCCGTTCAATCTTCTTTTCAAGGCTTACCGGGATGGCAGGGTAGACGATGTGATAGCGCAACATGATAAGTTCGACGAGAAACAGGCGGGATATGTGCGCAGACTACTGGCGATACGCTCTCTACTAGACAGACGAGCAGATGTCTTACGCTTCGCCCTTGAAAAAGCGGGATTTGAATACACGCAGAAGTTCATCGACGAAGCTTACGAGGTAGATAAGGAGAAAGACCCAAAAACATACGCAGCACTTGAGGAGTCAGAATTCCGCCGTATTCATCCGCGGAAAGACCCACCCTGGGTGGTTTTTGATGTCGGCGGCCGTTTACCTGTGGATTGGTGACTGCCCCGGTATACATGTATTGTGGGAGGTTCCCGTGTGCGCAGCTTAACAATTGAGGGAGGGTTGATTGACTAATGGGTTACCACCCCCGCCCCTGTTACACTGTTTACTGAATACCATTTCTATTTTGATGTTTTCTCCTTTGGTTTGATCGTGTTGCGTAACCCTAATGGGAGATATTCACATTATTTAAACGCATCTTGTTGCCGAGCAGAATACGTACGTACCTTAGGAGGTATCTAGCCCCCCCCCCCCCCCCCTTCGTCGTTTATATAATTACATCGAACATCTGCACAGTAGTGAGTTGCCCCTCTACACCTTTTTTTTTTTTTTCCTTCGTCGAGAACGAGAACCTTCCCCATGACAAGATCTCTTCACTATACTTTTATCTAACACTCACGAAGGCTACAACAACCATCGCTAGATACTTTCGTGCGAACTTTCAATACACAATTGAGACGCATTTAACCTCCTGCTTAGGATCCGATTAGGTGCTGAAATTGGTAAGTCGTAATGGGGTAAATAAAGGACCACGGCATCCATCTGCTAATACAACTATTTATTAGGAAACCTACATACTCTCTTATTGTCATTGCATTTATCCTTCATCATGTCGAGCACTATCCATGCGGAGGATGCTGAGTCTCCACCGCTATCAGACATACAAAACGAGGCCAGAGGAAGATCCAACAACATTACCGAGAGTTACAATACGCTACGTGATATCCTTTTTCGCCATTAAAACACCATCAGGAAGCGCTGGGCGAAGAAAACAAAGTCGCTACGAGTCAGAATCCTTCTAGATGTCTGGCCAGGCATGGCATTAGTACACGGTCCTGACATGGAAGCCTTGCGGAAGCGAAAAACTCCTGATATACATTACAGGGAATACTTCCTATGGCCACACATCAACATTGAAGATCTCTCGCAACCAAACATACTCCCCCTACTATTGAATTCACGCAGTCGCAACTACCCATCTGAGTTCTCGGGCGCAGACGAGGCCGCCTTTCAACTAGGACGAGATTTTTCCGTTATAGTGCCTATATATCTTGAGGGATATACCATGATAATGAATGCGCCGGCAAATATCGAAGATTACGGCAAATTAATACCATCGTCTAAATATTCTCAGGCATTCAGTTGGTTCTGCACCAGCCAGCAATATTCGGTGGGCGAGGGACTCCTCGTCCTTGAGATACAGGAGCGACTTCTGGGCTTTCTCGTAGATTGCTCAAAGAGTATTCTTCACGACATACCAGCAGAAATTTTAATAAGCGACACCTTCCCTGTTCAAGCAAACCCCGGACCCCCGTCGAATGGTGGGCTCAACAGCTTGTCTATAATGGCAGCGGAAGCTCCATATAGGGTTCCTGCCAACCTCGACCTCGCCCGACTCGAGTCGCTTCTCGAGGCCAGAGTATGTAATTTCTCAAGTTATTTATTACACCCTTTAGCCTGCTCTCAATGTATGAGCATTCACTCCCAAAACATGTTTTCCATTGCTGACATTCGATATTGTAGATGTCCGCCGCAGAAGATCACCTCTGGGCATTGAGAGAGGACCCCAATTACTTCTCCGAGAATATTTTTGATGAAAAAGAGCATCAAGAAGAAGTTATAAAAGACTCGAATGGCGAAACACACCCTGAAATTAAGCCAGGGTGCGATTCTATCTTCTGGGTCCGTGTTATAACTGGCGTATTACTGGCGGCCTTGATTAACCTTGAAGTCTTCTCCGAGCTTCACCGACAAGCGAGAAATCTACGGGACCTACAGAAGAAGCACGAACACGAGATGGAGGTTGGAAAAGATTTACCCCAGGAGTATTTGCTGGCCTTGCTCCAATTTCGCTGGTACGCCACGCAGGTAACCCAAGGCCCGGTAAAGAAACTAAGTGGCGAATTTCCTGCATCGCCACAGTTACGGAAATATCATGTTCGTCATCCTTCGGAGAAAAACGCTGAGATGAAAGCTGACATCAAACTCAACGATATTGAATCAAAATTACTTGGGCTACTACGTACGTTGTGGCCTGATTACTACTCTTCACTAATAATGGGTATTGCCCCATTGTTCTTAAATGAACTTGAAAGGCTCATAGGGGCCGAAAAGCCTACGTCAGAACTCATATCTAGACACAACGCTGCAATCATTGGAGACATCAACATCCTAACGCAATGTGTTGATCAAGTGAACATGTACCTCCCGTGGGCAAGGACCTTCGACTACGAACTAAGGAAACATGAAACGGACGTTAGAAAGGCATATTCCGATGGAATAAAACGATGGGGTGGCATAGTAGCTCCTTTTTCCGGCGAAAACCTCAGCAAGCTAACTAAGTTGTGCAATCCCTCAGACCGAAGGTTTTACTACTCGATAGAAGGACGGAGAACTAAAGATAACGTTGAAATGCTGCAAAAAGCCGAAGATAACCTCGCCAAACTTTGGGGGGTGGTTGATCAGCTTATTCATGACAACTGCCCAAATCTTCACGGAACTAAGATAGAACAGTTTCTGTCCCAAATCCACAACGTACGCCGCATCCCTGAGTGGATTGATCGAAAGTCTGACATAATTCAAAAGCCAGAGAAGGAAGCACCCAGCACTAACGAGGGTTCCCAGTACGGCCCATCGTCGACAATCTATATCGGGGTCCCGGCCGAGTCAGCCGATAAGCTGGAGCACAAGAAACCTACGACCAAGACCAAAGGGGTACCAAACCCGACCCAGCCCAGCACCAACGGAGATACCGAAGAGGAAGGAGGGGACGTCATAGAAGCCTCTATATCCCTAGACCCTAAGTCATTAAGGGTATTCGGGATTATGCTCTCCGATCCGGCGGAAACTTCGAACCCAGGGGAAATTGCATGGAAAGATCTTTTACATGCAATGACGGCGACGGAACTCTTTGAGGTACAGAAACTAACAGGCTCAATTTGGGAATTCCGAAGAACGGATGGCCCTAGAAAGATTTTGCTTCACAAACCACATCCAAGACCCAAGATTCCAATCACGATAGCCAAGATTTTCGCGGCCAGATTCCAGAAAATGTTTGGGCGGACTAAGGAGACCTTTGTGCTGAAAGAAAAGAAAGTATAATGATATTTTCACGTTCGGTGAGGACATGAACAGCTATGCAGCTAGTATAGAGACAATTCAAACAACCCTCTTCTCGCTTAATAAACGACGAAAGGATAACACTGATGAGTATACATGTCCTCCTTCCCTACCTCTTACGTTAATGCTCCACCGTACCTGCTTCTCCCTACTATTAAGTAGCTAAGTCGCCGATTATTACCTCCCTATACATGTCCAGAATGCTATGATAACATCAAGGTTTCCTCCTCCGTACTCTCAGTGTAGCAGACATGGGCGGTGCGATATGTCCAAAGAACCATTGATTAGCCGGACGCTTGGGGATCGGCTCAATATCATACAAGAAGGCGATATGTCCCAGTGCGATCTTAAGTTGATTTGTAGCGAAGAACCTCCCTGGACTAGATGAACCCTACATGTCAGCCCCTTGCAATACCTTAACAAGAATTGCTATCTGGTAATAGGAAACTTACCAAGAATGCGACCCATGGCTAAACCCCAAGAACGTCTCGCTGGTACTAACCAACTTCTGCGGCCCTTTCTTTTTTGCATCGCCCGGGCTGCTTCTCGCGAAGCGAAAGGCGTTGTATTTATTCGCGTCTGGGTAGATGTCCTCATCGTGGTGAATACTGTACCCCGAGACACCGACCTTGGTTCCACACGGAATGTGTGAACCATCCGGCAAGGTAACACCCTCTAGTGCGACGACCATCTTCATGATCCCGCGCTCGATGAACCCGTTTAGACGCAGGCTCTCGCGTAGCGCGGAGTCGACGTGTGTCATTCGGGCTATGCTGGCCTTGGACCATGTATCGCCCGATGTCGTTTCTTGAGCTACTTCCTTGCGCATATATGCGATGGAGGTTGTGCACTCGGGCGATGACGCAATGTCGAAGAGTGTATTGGTAAGGGTTATGACGGAGGATTGGATTGCGGCGAAGGCGAGTACGGAGAATCGGCAGGCTATGACGCGGGGGTCAAGTTCTAGGGGGTTGATGGTTGGTTTTGTGAGGGCGTGGCCGATTGCCCATTGGATGTAATCGTTCTGATTATTGAGGAAGGTTAGTTGAGTTGTGTACGTGTGGGGGGAATAGGAGAATAGGGGGTGGGGCACACCGGAGAGGCAGATTTATCATGTGGGCTGGGATTCCTCAGACGCTCAAGTCGTTCGTGAATGATGGGTTTGAGGTATCTACTACATCGATAGTATAATAGACGGTCGTAAAGAGTGAATATAGGTCCGACTACTCTGCGAAAGCGTAAGACTACTAGTTCAATAGGGATACGTGGGGTATAGTGAGAACTTACGGCTTGAGGAAACCCGGGAACAGGCCTATTGCTGCTGCAGCTAGGGCCACCTTTCGAATAAATTGGCTACAAATTTTTAAGAAGGCCTGGTTTCGACACAAGGGTAACCCCATGAACACCCTAATAGAGAGCCGAGCGAGGAGCGTGAGCATCGTATCATATACTTTTACTTCACGCCATTGCTCCGTATCGGTGCCCCATATATCTTCCAGACATGAGCTTGCTTCATCGACAACATCGTTGACGAAAGTTTTTAATTTCTTCGTTAGTTGGTGTTGGATAATTTCGGGGTGAACCGGGGCATCGACGAGGTTGGCGTGGAAAAATGCGTATTCCGCTTCAAGAAACTGCCGGTTGACCTTTTCTTGGCTTAGTACTGAGTCCGGCTGTTCTATAAGCCATCGTATCTGGGAATTTGGTAAAATGACTTGAGGACCGTTAATATAGTAGGGGAGTACGTAAATTTGATTCGTTTTGGAGTACTGCCAAAACATTGCGTTAGATTGTCTCAAGACCCGAAGGCAGGTAAACAGTAGTTTGGTGTCTTGCCTTGTTATAACCTTCGTCAAGTAGGCCTCTTAAGTTACCGATACTAACGAAGTTTGCTTGAACTCGAGCATAAGGTCCACCCTGCTCTTTGGTCCCTGCCCAAGGAAGGGTAGGGGGTAGCGAGGCATTTGAGTATAGACGAATGATGATATTAGTCAGAGTAATGAGGACTAGGAGCAGTATAACCAATAAGATGGCGGTAGCAATGTAACCCGAGCTTGACATCGTTGATTATCAAGGTAAAGCACAGCTAAAACCATACAACCTTAGAAGCTTTTTCGGGAGGAGCTCGATACTCCAAGTTGTGCTCCCCATTCTCTATCAAGAAGTCGAGATACCCACCTTTATAGCCATAAACCCACCGATCTCAATACTAAAAGAAAGGATTAGAATTGATATATTGAAGAGTCGAAATCACTTAGGTGCCTAACATGGGCTATGGTGTCGGTTCATTTCCAAGACATAAGAGCCCTCTCCCATAGAGTGGATTAAACTTGACCCCGAGTTACCTATGGTGCCCAGCATGTACATTCTGATTTACGGAGTTAGAACCTTGAGCGAGAAAGCTAGGATTTTGGAGAACCAATATACCTAGCTACGAATTAATTGGACACCTGGGCATTGAGAATTTGCTAGTTGTCTTTGAAATCTCGGGAAGGACTCGAATACGATATCAATTTTTCTACGAAGATATTTCCAAATATGGTAACATACTACCTCAAAGGCTTAGGGTCATTAGACAGTACTATCTGCCTAATAGTCTTGAGGAAAGCCAGTAACGTTACCATACAGGCCAGGTGACATTGTGATTGGTTTAGAGAAGAAATGTAATTTTCATTATTTTCTCTTTAGGGATTAGGGAGGATGATAGTCATCATCATGACACTGATAATGATCCTGGGACCGGTTTGTATTCACAAGAAAAGGGTGTGTAGATCCTCGGGGCCAGTATTCAACTTAATCGGATCAGCAGAGATCCAATAATGAAAGGCCAGCAATGAGCCATGAAATACATGCCCTATGATAGGTATTCATCTAATGTCATCGTCACCAAGTCCCCTAAGATGGATCCTTTGGATACGCTCCTAGGCAAAGCTGACACTAACGTGGGGTATTTTTAAACGCCCCAACGGCTAATTCTCGTCTATCCACTTTTCAAACACTATTGAATAACGTTAAAGACTTTTCTAGAAGCGATAGAAATGCCAACAAGACATGTCTTTCTACCTTCAAGACCAGCAAGCTAAGGGATCATTTTTTACTGTACAGAGTACTTCGGGATCAAGAAAGGCGTCGTTACAGTACCTAGATGGGTATGATTTCTCTGACCAGGTACCAGGTTGTTGGATCTAATCGCTAGGATATGAGATCTAAGGGCCCACAAGGCTTATAGCGTATGTAGGGACTAGGGGATCCATGTCTCTTGATCGGTGCTGCTTATTCCAAAACTCCGAAGAGGCTGATGGAAACATTCAATATTGCTTCCTCTTGAGAGCGGAATTGTCCTTGGCTGTTACCCGATTGGCAAGGAAGCTTGAGAATCCAAGTCCTACGTATTATATGTTTGTGACAAGTCGTAACTGGTGGCGGAACGGACGGCATCGGATGGTTCATCAACTCCGAAAGCCTTTAAGCCATCTACCTACCTAGGGCTAGTTGCCCTCATTATATTCGATCCTTCGTTGAAATTACCTACCTGGGTTAGATAGATATGACGGGATGGCTGAAAAAGGAGAGGTGGCTTGCAGATACACGGCAACCCTATAGGAAAGCCAGATCGAACAAGGTTCACCGATGAAGGAATGCTTCGTGGATGTCAATATATTGAGTCAAGGTATACATCATCCCGTGGAACCGGTTTAGAAACGCGGGTCAGCTAAGACCTTCCCGCTCGGGATCTCCCCGCCCCCTGAAGATCAATCTATTCCCCTTTGAACGCAAGCCTTGAATACCTAGGTACCGCCGTCTCTCAGTCCTGAGTCGTTGATACAACCGGAGAACTTTCCGTTTCTATCTCTGCGCTAAGATAAGGCTGGAATATCAAGACCTATGCAACGCTGGTCAATTAATATACCTAAATTACTAACGACGGATAGCAGCAGGGTGCTCGCATACACCTACCTAGATATTTTATAGAAATGAAAGGGTGTTACGAGCTGAGACTGTAATCAACAGGCGTGCAATCGGATTCGAGTGATATCTACGATATATGCAGTTCGTGATATTGCTTTGATATGTGGCAACCCCCCGTTCCAACGTGTCGGGTCTTCATCGTGATGAGGAAAGTTAACAAAGTGCATATAAGTCGGATATGACCGGTCGATATGGAGTGTGATCTCGACCGCCACTCGCTTATTGGGCCGGGCACGGGCACGGGCGTAATGATCCTATCGTTAAAAACCCGCCGGTCATAACTGCATACACAGCGCTCAAGGTCAGCATATCACGATCGCAATCTGCCCACCATGCACTTCTCAACACCCCATCTTACCCTATCCGCCCTCCTAAGCACCATCATAGCAATTACACCTACCACATCTGAACAAACCCAACAACTCGGTCCTCTGCAGGCCGTGGTAGACGTTCTCGAGGCCATCGGAAGCGCACCTCCACCGGAGATCATCTGGACTCCATCTCCGTCGCCGGAATGTGCCGCGATCAACCAAGGAGAACTACAATGCTGCCAAGGCAGTCTAGCTGGCGATTTGCCGCTGATTCAGTTCCTAGCGGCCGTCTACGGGTATAAGCTAAATCCCAATGATGTCAATGGTATCTTATGTAAGTGACAATCTCCCTTCCGGGGGTTTCGTGGTTTACTGATCGCAGATGTTGGTTTAGGTAATGACAATTTAGCAACTTGTCCCGGTGTTAAAGTGTGCTGCCAAGTCACAGCTCTGGTAAGTGTCTAAACTCCGGAGGTTGGTGTTTCATAAAGTCTGACTGCGTTGTAGAACCCTCTTGCGTCCTTATACTGCCAGGACTTCAAATAGTATGGAGATTGGTATTGATCGCTGTCAGCATTGGACTTGGCTAGATGTGAAATCCGGACAATAGTGGGAGATGATATTAACTGGATCTTTGGAGAAGTTTCTTTCATTTTGTCTAAATCTGCATGTTTCTCATAACTGTACATGTTGACACATTGAATGTCACCGCCGTCTATAGTTATGCCTAAATTCACACGTACAACAATATCCACGTAATATTAGTACACTTGTGAGTGGTGATACGAGTCTAAATGGTATTATTTTTGGCGTTTTAGCGTGTTCGTCGCCATTTCTATAAGACCGTCTTTCGCTTCGCTATCTGGAAAAGTGTTGAGAGATGCGACGGCTTGTAGGCAGTAATCCTCTGCCAGCGCTCTCGTTTGTTCGATACCATCGCTTTGGTACACTAATTCGCGTGCCTGTACACAATGTTAGCCAAAATCTCACGGGATCTAGTTGGGATGAATTTACCCTTTGAACGTCGCCCTCCTGCCCGAACTTCCTCCCGACCAATATGCCCAACTCTGGTATCGATTTCCACGCAAATAGTAACGGCGCTGTCGCGAGACCCAATTCTAAATCAGCTCCGGCAGGCTTCCCTAGATCCTTGCCGGACTTCGTATAATCCAACATGTCGTCTACTAACTGAAATGCTAGACCTAAATTCCTGCCGTAAGAGTAGGCAGCATCCACGGTTGTCGCATCCGCTCGGCCTAGTAACGCTGCAGCCCGACATGATTTCGAAATCAAACTTGCTGTCTTAAGGTACGTTTTTTGTATATAGTAGGTAAAGATATCCTCGGACCATTTGGGGTTCCGCTCGTCGCGCGCAGTATTTTTCAACTGCATGAATTCACCTTCTACCAAGTTCGCAATAACAGTCGCTAGAAGCTCGACCACTTCAGCGTTTCGTAACCTCGCTAGAGCGACTGATGCTCTCCCCAAAAGGAAATCCCCCGCCAAAACTGCCATCTTATTCCCAAATTCGTAATTCGCGGACGGCGACCCCCGGCGTGACACAGAATGATCTATGACGTCGTCGTGCAGAAGTGATGCCGTGTGTATTAGTTCTGTGATCTCAGCTAGACGTCGTTGGGATGGAAGGACGTCGCTCTCGGTTGATTCTGGTTGCGATGAGAAATCGGCGTGATGTGAGGAGGGATTGACGTCGGCAAGAATATCGAGTGGGGATATAGAAGAATTTATCGTTGTCGCGGTTTGGTTGTGGGGTGACTCTGGGGCTTTCGGACATATAGAGGTTGCTCTCGACATAAGTAAAACTATTAAGGGCCGTACATGTTTTCCCTCGGCTTGTGTGTAGTATTTTGCGACTCGGTCTAAAGAAGGATGTCCGGAGCCTAAGAGTTGTCGAATATTTCCTGTTAAATGTTTCATTTCCTTTGCGACTATTCGTAGAGGATCGATAGGTAGCTCGGACTTGGTAGCTCGGTTAACTGCGTTAGAAACCATATTCGAGGCAACAGAAACAGCCGCGGCCCATGCTGAAGACCGTCTTGGGCTGTTATGATACCGTGATCTTGATATCGCCCTTTGGCAATCTAAACATGGTGAAAAGACTGAAGGCCGGGCCGCTGTTATGCGCGCTTTGAGGAGCGTTGAAGCTCCAGTTCGAAGCTGCATAGCGTCCGATTTTCCTGGCTTTGGAACTGTTCCAAAAGCCCAATTGGTCTAGGGAAGTCGAGAAGGGGGTGGCCGAAGCATTGGTAGTACAATACTACTATCGGATCTCGAGATCGAGGGATCGAGGATCGGGGTTGGGCCGCAGATGAATAATTTTGAGTTCTGACGCTGACAAAAAGAAATAAAAATAATTATCTCGATATCGTACGGGGCCTTAGTGGGATATCGTGTGGCTCTACCTCGGCAGTCGGCGCTAAGAGTACCGATATGTGGCTGAAGCTGCAGGTACGATCCGATGTACCCAAGAAGCTCTAATTGAATTGTTGCCTTCCTTGTCAGCTGCTTTCTCACTTTCCCACTTACAACAACAATGTTCAATATCTACCACAATTGAATATGGTGCTCCTTACTATGACACCTTCCATAGTGGGGGCGTTAAATCAACTAGACGAAAAAATTATCGAGGACAGAGTAGAAAAAGAAGAGAACCATTCCGAATCCGCAACTAGTAACGAACCGTCATTAAAGGACCCTTTGGTTGGAAAACCCATAAGCCATGGCCAGATTATTGATATATGGAAACGCGCGAATGATGGAAAACATAATGCAATCAAGTTAGAAGATCTTCTTAGGGGTGCGACGGTTTATGTACCCCCTCCACCTCCGAAGCCAGAGCCGGTTCGTCTAACATTTTCTCACATCTATTCATCTTTTAGCCTGGCTAATATTACTATTCACAGACCGATGAGTATAAGGCGCTTATGGCTCGGTTACGTCGCGAAGAAGAAGAGAGATCCTACGAACGAATGCTACAAAAAGCCCCTCCGAAAGAATCCTTCGCTCAAAGATTCCCATCGGCTCCTATGGCACATTCGTTTGCCGAAGTTAATCGACCTACTAAACCATCGGACGTAGGAGACGATATTGAACAAGGTGACATACAAAAACAAATTACACTAGTAATCAATTTCCTGGTTAGCATCTTTGGTTGCGGTGCCGCACTCTGGTTAGCAGCTCGATGGTGGAGTGTTCCAGCACGACTATTCCTGAGTTTAGGTGGTAGCATCGTCGTTGCAATTGCTGAAGTCGCCGTCTACTCCGCTTATACTTGGCGAATGGCAGAAGGAGAAAAGAACCAGAAAAAGAAGAAAGAAATCAAGGAAATTGTTCAAACTTGGGTCATCGGAGAAGACGACAATAGTAAAAAGATCAGCGAGGAGCAACTTATACCGGATGGATCAGAACCTGAGACGAATCTACGCCGAAGGATTAAAGGTCCGACTTGAGTTCTGTAAAAGACAACAAATCAAATCGACTTAAATTCAACTCACATCACATTGGACAGAATTCGTACCGACCAATACCTATTCTTTCAGCACTGCGCACAGTAGGATCTTTTATTAATGTTGGGTGGGCGGCCCCACCTTTGCGCCCCACTTCGACGCGTCCATTGGAGTTCCAACCAATTTACGCGTCTTTCTGTCCTTGTTGGTCAACTATTTCATCTTCTATTTTAAATTACTCCGGAAACCTCAATTTTATAATATCATTTCTCGAGGTTCAGGCGAATTCCAATCTTAGGTTATCATTATCTTCATATCGTCCATTGGGATGCGGTTTTCTTGATTTCTAATACCTTTGAATTTTGATCCAAGAATTGGAGGATCACATTTAACAAACACAATGGAGTCGATGTCTTCGGACGCCCAAACTGGGTCTAGGTATGTATTCATAAGGCAGCGGACTCAACACCTCGCTAACGAAAACTACAACAGGGCTGGAGACAAGTCTCATCGGACGTTAGTGTCTTTGTCATATTTATACCATTCGGATGTAAACTAACCATCACAGTCGAGCGCTGCGAACCTATAGCAAGCGAAGTTCCTCCACCGATGTAGCGGAGCCCAAGCTAAAGAAACGTCGCGTCGACAATGTCGACGCACCCACGATATCAGAACATAAGGCATCGGGAAAGACACCCGAAACAGAGCGTCAACCCGACGAGTCTAAGCCTTCCGCTCCACTTCATCCACAACCCATAAGGAAGGGAACAATCATGAACTATTTCAAAGTTATTCCGTCGACGCCGAATAGCATGCCAAAAACCATATTGAAAATATCATCGTCAGAGCCACCTTCCGAATCTATTGAACCTACAAGCACGCCACCATCATCTCCCCCATTGCCCGACCTGTCGCGAAAGAAACGGCGAAGACTGACTACACGCGTCGTATCTCGAACCACTTCCGAAGATCCGAAGTCAGACAGCATAGTTACAGAGGATAGGGAAGACGAAGAACCAGACGCAGCGGAAAACAGGTCACCGTCACCAGAAGACGAACAAGGTGTTCTATCCGATGCTGGACTGACTACCCTCAACCGACCGATCGCAAAACTCAGGACACGATCGGATGCCGGAAAACGCGGTCAAAACTTGAAAAAGGGCGTCAAATCGGCAACGGCACAAACAACTCTAAGCCTTACAAATGAAGAGAAGGGGTTCACGGAATGTAGAGAATGCAACATGTTGTACAATCCTCTACACAAGCAAGATGCAAAACATCACGCCAAACAACATGCAGCAATGCTTAAGGCGAAATCGAGATCCAATAATAAAGAAACATACGATTAAACATATCCTTATCCCTCGCCTATTGTTGCTTACATTCTATCCTAACATGACGAATTATGAATGACAGTTTCACTGGGCTGACGTTTATAGATGCGGGGATTTACGGAATACTACTAATTTTTTAGGCCCTGAGACCACAATGGTTGTGATTCTAACACATTTTCTACGTGGTGGCGGGGTATCGATCCTATCCACGAGCGTACTCATGAACACCGTGTTTCTGTGGCTTTTCCGGGATAGTCGCGGTATAAGCACAAGTGTTATAATAAGCAGTATATGATTTGGTGTTCAAGCAAAGCTGACGATCTCCGAAGTCGGGAGCAAGCTAGTGAAATACCCATCCAACCGATGTATAGAAAGCAAGTTACACATGTGTCAATTTGCGAGTTGTCGTTCATGTTGTGTACGCAATGTGTCGAACAGACGAGCCCGTTCGGGACCGATCATCATAAGTAAGCGGTTAGGCCAAGGGGTTCAACTAAAGTCATCTTACACTCGAGCATCTCAATATGAACCTCCAGTGGGGGTACATGCAACCAAGCAACTGAAGTCGGCATCACGGCCTTCTAAGTTCAGCCGCAGCACGATCAATGTAACGATTGGCGAATCTCAACGAGTCGTTGATGAAATTCCCCTGGACATACCCCTGGCCTTCATATGCCGGTAAAGCTTGGCGTAAATTGTGTCAGCAATTCCTATCGGCATCCCTCTTTTTTCCAGCCGCCGCACCAATAAAGCGTCATTTATAATAAATGACAATGCGCGTTGTTCCTTGAAATCAAGTCGCGTCTCTCCGCCCCTCCCCACCTTCAATATCGTTGATTAGCTATCCGGATATTGTGGTTTACCAAGTCGCGAAGTGCGGATAACAGGCGAAACAGGCGACCTCGCCTCTCGCTCGCTTTCCATTCGTTTACTACTTGGCCATCAATTGCTTCGACAGAACACGCAAACTGCTTACCAGTATACAACGCGTACAAGTGACGTCGTGGCAGGTTAGTTAAGCAACTTGCCTAACCGAAGAAAAAAAGCGGTCTGCGATTACATTTGACGTTTTCTTCCCATCTGGTCTTCACCTCTACTATTAACAGTCGACTAGAGATTCCGTTAATATTATTACCCTGCCCCTTGTTAGCTTCTATATTGATTAATCATTATTTGGTCTCTTCGATTATTGAATAATCATTGCAGAGATGGACTTTGGTCAGTTGGCCAAGAGCATTAGGCACCAATATGCCCTCAGGATGCCAGCTGCATTCTTACAATTGCTGGGGCTGCCTTTTTTCTCAGTTATGAAACCCAAGCCTGGTAGAAGACGGGTAGAAGGCAATATAATGATAGAGTACTGAAGTCTACCGCGGCAATTCGTTCAACAAACCCCAAGCATCATATGCGGATGGAATATCGGCGCGGCGCTCAGTATCCCGCTCGTCGGGTTCAAGCACAAATTTGCAGTTGAGGAAACATCTCGCGTCCACGTGCTACCCGTGTACCCGCTTGAGAAACACAAGAGGAATTGTATGCGGTGTTCTTGTATGAGGTACGTTAGCCCGGTTTGAAATTCACCCGAATAAAAGCCCATGCACCTTGCAGATAACGTGGATATGCGATATATTGCGTTTATCTCCAAGGAAGAACGAGAGAGGCGGTGTTAGGTAAATGTAAATCTTCGGCCTCGTTTTTTTCATTTACTTAACAGCAGATACTGAGGAAAACCAAGCATTCCAATATATTAGGGTATGCTTGAATTCATCCCTTTCCAACTTATATGACCGATTTCTAACAATATCATAGCATTAGGCGATTATGAGTGTATTCTTGATAAGGCTGGCTCAAGGGCTTCAGTGCGGGGTTCACCGGTGGATGCGGGCCGGCCATGTGGAGCATGTAGCTCCGATATTCCAACACATATACAGCATTGTATACAATATGGTGTAACACATCACGATAGTTACCCTACTTCTTTCAAGGTAAGATACACACCTTGGAACACTAATATGCATGAGCTACCTTAGTCTTCAATACAGAACACGGAATATGCGTCAAGAAAAGCAGCTAGTCGATGTACGATACAAGCGCTGAATTTAACCAGCAATATTCCATCATCTGCCGACTACCTTACATTAGTTCGAGTTTCAAATTGTCCAAGTCCCTCTTCTCACATCGGACCAAATCACGAATTGAGCCCTTTGATAAATACCTCTATACCACGGATGTATATGGCCCCAGTCTGTAGGCAGTGCTCCATAGCAATTAATCGGCCTTGAGTTTACACGCAGTCTAGATCGCAACTTCCCCTGCCTCCATTGTGGAGTCAATAGACGATTACCGAAAGGGGTAAATTCATACATAGCTGACCAATCAGGTTCAAGACAATCTAGGCCAGTCGCTCATTTGTCTGATAATTGACGGTAAATACAGAGGTACCTAGGTAACCTAGGTACGTACATACCTTAATTCCATTGCCTTCACATCCCATGTATCTGGAATTTTCATTCACCAAATCCAGCCTATACATACGCGTACATGTATAATGATTGTAAACATGTGTACCTATGACCTATAGGAAGGCACCTGTTCCTTACATGTGGTCTCATTTATGTAGGCTGACTTACGTAACTTCGATGCAGGTAAACCAAGTCCTCCAGTACCGAACGTTGCCAACAGTCCCTGTAATACCAGACACCTCAATGGATAAGTCATCCGATTTTCTATCCGTGTTGCGACGTTTTTTTCCAACTTTACTCGACTTAATATATCATACAGCAACGTAATAATAATCTTCCTAGTTACTTACATCCGAAATAGAAGCGTTGGGTATCTTCCATTGCGCCCTGCAGGGTCATAGCTATCTATACGTATCCCTCTATTCACGGGATATGTTCTTGGGATTACACCAAGAGGTCGTCTTCGATGTCACGATATTAGGTGCCGCAAAGGTTCCTTTCTGCCATTCATTAAGCCGCTTCATACAATTCCAACCCTAGGTGTTTATTAAACTGCAATTCTAAATCACCTTGGCTCCGCTGCATCATATCGGCTTCCTAATATTGATGAACCACCCATCTACTCCAAGAGCTTCTCCACTCGGATCGCAAGCATCGCTCTATAGCTTTCCACTTCATGTGATGAAAGGTGAGTGCCACTATATGTCCATGAAGTCATATATATGACATTCCGCACCTCGTGATGCAGGTACGGAAACGATTGACTAGTAGTATCGCACGCATTGGGTATTTCATATCATCTTAACTTGTCGCACTTCAAACTAGGATACCGAAGGAGTCATGCGTATCTCCGGGAGGTTGGCAGCCGGAGTGTCCTGGCTTCTTGCTACCGTCTTACCAGACGTTGTGGCTCAGAATCCATATGCCAACTTCACCATCTACCCAGATGCCGGCGAAACCGTGACCTCCCCAAAGTACTATCCCCTTAGGCCTCCTGCTATACCCTTAGCCGTCCGGAGTCCCTACACTAGTGCCTGGTCGACGACTGCTGGGCGTAGCAGCTTGAATAGTCAATTTCCCATTTTCTGGCCTGGTCAAGGATTGGGTTGGGAAGGAATAGTCGTCGTCGATGGCAACTCATACGAATACATGGGCAGTGTCATAAATGACTATCCAGAACTATCATACTTCAACACGACTACACCCCTCGAGGTCAGGTACGACTCTCAGTTCTCCAACTTTACATTCCTAGCCGGACCGGTCATTATTACAGCGAGCTTCTTCTCACCCGTCACACCCAAGGATATTTGCCGGAGCTCTATTCCACTCAGTTATCTGACAACTTCCGTTCAATCAAATGATGGCCATCCACACCACGTGCAATTTTACTCCGATGTCAATGCGCAATGGATAGGACTAGGGAATGAATACGACATCATCAAGGAATTCCACACTGGTCCATTGAACGGCAACGGAACAGGGAACAGTACGGATGTGCCAACTAGCTGGATATTGCGGCCGCGGTTCCCGGCGCTTTTCCAGGAAGCTGGGGAAATCCCGCGATGGGGCAATTTCTCTTTCACCACAAGCCCCGCCAGAACTCAGAATTTCACGTACCAGAGTGGTTCTGCCACGAGTGTTCGGTTTGGCTTTGTCAATAACCGGGTTCTCAATAACGACGCCGGCTCGGTTACCCATGGATTTGGAAACCAAGAACCTGTCTATGCCTTTTCTCATGATATGGGAACTGTAGTAGAAACGTCGGTTCGGTACACTATCGGCTCAATTCAATCGCCCGTTGTGAGATACCTTCATAAGGGTGGTTTATCGAACCTAGCCCCTTGGTGGGAGAAGTGCTATGGAGAGATGCACGACATGATTCGTTTTCATTGGAATGATTTCAATACCGTGGCGGCACTCGGTAACGAATTTGAGACGCAGCTTCGCGCTGATGTCAACAATTTCTACCAAAGCACTGAACCTCCAGTGTATAGCAATCGCACTCCCAGCACTCTTGCGAATGGTTCATATTTTGGTGCGTGGGATGTGCAAAATGGAACCGATCAATACGGACAGCAGTATATCTTCGACCCCACCTCAGCGTACGGATTTCTTGACTCATCCAATGCTACTGGTATTGCCGTTCCTTTTGTTTCGGAAGCGGAGTCTTACTACGCCATTGTAGCACTATCAGCCCGCCAAGTCATGGGAGCATATGCATACGCGGTTCCCCCATCTGTGCCCAATAGCTCGGACGCATCAGCCGCAGATGTCGAACCTCTCATGTTCCAGAAGGAAATCTCAAGTAACGGTAACATGAACACAGTCGATGTGCTTTACCCAGCTGCACCCTTCTTCCTCTACGCAAACCCAACTCTACTGAAGTACATCCTTCAACCGCTCTACGAGCTTCAAGAAGGCGATTTCTACCCAAATACATACTCCACTCACGATATCGGTGCGCATTTCCCTCTCGCAACCGGGCACGTCGAAGGTAATGATGAATACATGCCGGTGGAGAACAGCGGCAATTTCATCCTTATGGCATACGCATACTACAAATTCACCGGCGACTCGGAGTGGCTGACCAACCATTACGAGCTCCTAGCGCAATTCGCGCAGTATCTAATCGACTTTTCCCTGGTCCCCGCCGCGCAACTCAGCACCGACGACTTCGCAGGCGAGCTCGCGAACCAGACCAACCTCGCCATCAAAGGCATCGTCGGTCTACAAGCTATGTCCGCCATCGCACGCGTAGCCGGTAAACCCGACGACGGTGCCGCCTTCGCGACAAAAGCGAGCTCATACTACGAAACCTGGGAAAAATTCGCCATCGACCCGTCCGGGAAGCACACTTTACTCGCATACCAATGGCGCTCGAGTTGGGGTCTTCTGTATAACGTGTACTTCGACAAACTCCTAAACATGGGTTTGGTTGATCCGAAGGTATACGATATGCAATCGAAATGGTACGCCATGGTATCCCAGACCTTTGGCGTACCGCTGGATAATCGACATCATTATACTAAATCCGATTGGGAGATTTGGACGGCGGCTACGTGTTCGCCGACGACGAGACGGTTGTTTATTAATTCACTTGCGTACTGGCTTAATGAGACTTCGACCAATCTGCCTTTTACAGATTTATATGAGGTCGTGGGTACAGGTGAGTATCCGTTGTTGATCGGTCACTTTGCTGCTAGACCGGTTGTTGGTGGACATTTTGCGCTGTTGACTTTGGGGAAGACGGGGCAGTTGTTTAATGCGGTCGGTGGTGATACGACGGGGAGTTTGTTTGAGAAGAATGGTACGGAGCCATTGCCAAACCCGGATAAGCCGGCTCAGCCCGCTTGGTATGCGGGTCCGCCGTTGAAGAAGAGGACTGTGAGGAAGGCGCCTCCGAAGCAAGGGCCTTTGCAACAGGCGGGGAAGGGGAAGTCGAAGCCGGTCTTTTAAGGGGGAAGGGATAGAGGTGCACGTATATGTAGGAGATGGGATGGGAGTGTGCGAGGAGTGATGTTATGAATGAAAAGGCATAAGCGCGATTGAATTCTCAATATTATCATGTCCACATCTCTTTCAATTCCAATTTATTTTCATCTTTCTACCCATGAGTTTGCATTTACATCCGTATTGTGGCGGCAGATATGAGTGGCATTGTTAGACTTAGTGTATCCAACTTGAATCGCCTGCGCGTTAAATGCAAGCATGATTTTACGATACACCACGACTTTTATTCCTAAATATCATCACCACCAAGGCAAAAAGAATAGCAGATAGGGTAAGAAAAAAGCAAAAGAGAAATGCAACTCCGGGGAATTGAACCCCGATCTCGAGCTTGGAAGGCTCGAATGCTGACCATTACACCAAAGTTGCTATATTGTTGCATATTAAAAGTTCCGGAAATCTAGCCTATATACTGTTATTTCATTCAGGCCAATCACAACCGTCCTGCAAGGGGCGGTGGAGACGGGCAGAACATTCAGGTTAATATTTAGTACAGTTGTTGACTAGGTTAGATCCTGCAAAAGATCACGACACCATCACCAAATTTCGAAAAGTCTCAAGTCACAATTTGGTTAGGTCCTTCATAGATTACTTTCTAATAACGCCCTAGAACAATACATTTCTCTCGAGCTCATATGTGTGTTCCTCCCAAGTAGACACCCACCCGCCCTACCTAGACCTTTGCCCAAGGAGTCTAATAGTGTTCATGGCATCTTTCAGCCATTTTCTGAATCCCTGGTCGGGCACGTCTGTTTTACGGTACTGCTCCCATTCCATCTCGCCACTCTCCTCCCGGCTCATCCACCACGACTTGAAGGTTGGGCAGACGACAACCTCAACAGATGCAGAATACGAGTTAGTTAACTGTACCTTGATGGTCGGGCAAAGTGGATCGTTTAGGAGGTTTACGGCGTCGGCGCGTCTTGGGTAATTCATCGGCACATGGACAAGCATTTGGTCAGTCCAGGAGCGCCGAGCCGCATCATAAAGGAAGTCATCAAAATCCCCAACCTTCAACCCGAAATCAGGACTGTCGTAGATTGTCTGTAGGTCTTCAGTAGGTCCAGTTTTGTACTTCCGCAAAAGGAGAAAAAGAAACACCTGCTTTGTCTGGATATGATTAGGGTTCATGCCCAAGACGTCTACCAACATTTTTCCAAAACTATGTGGCAGTTCAGACTCATAATTGTCGATAGTACTGAGCAATCCACTATGCTGAATTTGTAATCTATTCCATCGGCATAAGATGCTTTCCGCAGGTATTTCCCTCCACACGAGGACCTCGGCGTCAAAATTAGTATCTCTAGGAAGACCACACTGAAAGCGGAGATAATTGCATTCAATATAACCTCCCGGATTCAACTTACCAGGGCGAATCAAGAGAATAGCCACGTCCACTTCGTCATGAAAATCAGAGAAAGCGGAGTAAATGGCGTGCTTGAGGTTATTTGTTACCGAGGTGAACGGCGATTTCTTAGAACTACGCAATGGTGAATGTGTAGAAAGAAACTGTGAGCACAATTGAACCGTACTAATGGTCTCAAGTTCCCCTGAAGGATCCAGCCCTGACCGAAAACCACCCTCAACTTCAGTAGGAGAGTCCGAACAGACGACTCCGTAAAAGATGGGCGCCTCAATCGAATGGCGAGAATGTTCACCCACTCCTTTTGCCTTCATGATATGTTTTAGGCAGTACGTAATATTGTCAAAATGGGGTTAAGGCAATATATTGAGTAGCTATAATCTTTTTACGACCTGCTTGCCCTCTCTCCCCCCCTCAAGTCCCTTCGGGAGGAGCTAGTCCTCTTATGCTACCTGACGGCAGTACATAATATTCAGTACAGCTTCCTTTCTTGGATACGAGATTTGCCAAGAGCTGTGTTGGTGCCTTATATGCATTGAAGCGCTTACAGCGCTTACAGCGGACCTATCAACCTTCGTCCATACATGTGTTGGTGATGGCTTCCTATCAGGATGCTACAGGTGTCATAACAAATATAGGGTTCCAAGAAATAATACTTACACCAACACCATCGTCACTTAATGACAATCCCCGAAAACCGTCTTGAAGGGAGTTGACACCACTATTATGGAAACTGCCCGCCATTGTGCGATGGGAGCCGTTGGAATAGAATAAGATCAAGTACGAAATGGAAATATCAAATTTAAGAGGTGAAGGACTAAACACAACCGTATCTAGGTAGTTACAACATCATAGGGTAACTAGCGTAGGAAATACAGAAATATTTCATCGTTATATATTCCTCACTCCTCCATGCCGTACCTAGGAGGGCTGTGATAACGAAATAAAGCCTATCGTGCAACACGACCATATGATGGGAGTTAACAAATAAGTGACGGCTGCTCTGGTGTTTCAAATTAATATCACGCGAGCGTTGACACAACAAGCTGAAAAAAATAATTCAATGTTATATCACTTGTCATGCGTTTGAGCAGGTTTTGTCGCCTGCTTCAAAGAAGTGAAGTACATCGTGTTGGCCCAGAGTACACCCACTAGGCAGATCGTCAGTCACCTCACACTAGACAGGTTGACTGGCATGTTGGACTCATCGCCGTACTTGAAAAGACAAATTATGAATATGACCGCGATGCATATGCTGACGTATAGCAGACGCAATATGGAAGGTGTTGCGACGTATCTAGATACCTAAGCGCGCAAGCTATAGTGTCGTGCGAATTCTAGCTCTCCGGTTGCCTGACGTGCTTGGCGGCAGGCTTTCATATAATCCGCACTCCTTCGCCCATTTACGCAATCCGTAATCATCTGCATTTATCATCCGTTCTTTTTCCCGTGCGCTGCGGTGGCACTCCTCCCGCTGCGACCACCAAGACTTAGGTGTGAGACGAGAACAGGTAGCCTCCTGCTCCTCTTGTGCCTGTATATGCGTAGAAGCCGACGGCACGCGGGCTAACCCTCCTTCTATACGGACTCCACCGGACTGCTCCGTGGGCCCCTCTCTTGCTAACACAGTCAAGTCGTAAGCAGCGCTCTCGAAGCCCTCAATTAACTGCGGACAGTCGTTCTTTAGCTTATCTTCTATATCCCCCATGAGCTTTTCAACGGGGTAGCTGAGCTTCTGGCCAAGTAAGAAGAGAAAAACTTGCTTGATCTGGAAGTGAGCAGGGTTCATGCCTAACTTTACCAACGCTTTCGCAGCCTGTTCTGCCTCAAACTTGGATATGAAATCGTCTGCATCCTCTTCTTTTAAATAATTTCGAACATCCCGCGTCTTCAATTTTGGGTCCAGCGTGCCCAGGGGTGGGAACACTATGAATAGTCCGCTAGTTTGAATTTCTGACAGTGTCCACCGGCACAAGATACTCCTTTCCGGTATCTCTCCCCATATGAGAGTCTCAGTCTTGTATTTATCTTCGCCTTGGAGGCCACACTGACGGCAAAGTTCATTCAACTCCATGTAGCTCCCTGGATTTAACTTCCATGGACAGATAAGGATAATAGCCACGTCTTCGGGCTCGTGATATTGGAATTCGCAGAGAGCTAATTGTAGAGCACGCATAAGATCAGGCGTTGTTGAGATAAACGGCGTTTCTTGTCTACTATAGCAATTTGAATGGTTTATAATGTGTAATTTTAGATCTTTTCTCTGTAGATTTTCGAGCGCTGGTGGTGGATACAATCTCGCACGAAGGCTATTGGAACCCGGGTGGACGGTCCTATAGAGGATGGGCCTTTCGAAGGAGTTTGTTGGGCATTTTTTATAATTATCGTAAAACTTTTCCGTCTCCACGACGCACTTAGTCTTTGTAGATCATGAGATATGTATAGCGAATGCTTACGCTAATTTTAATGTTCGGGCCGACACCAGCGGCACGGCCATTGTCATGACCCAAAGACAAATTTTCAAATTCTGCTCCGAGGTCGTCAACGCCATCAGGGCTTTGAGTGGAGACCGACATCGTGTACCCAAGGTAAGCCAGCCAAGTAACTACTAGTAATGAGATTTTGAGATTTTTAGAAGGTTTGAAAACAAGAAGATAAAACGAAACATGAAAGAAAACTACATAATACCTAGGTATATTGGAGGACTTCCATGATATACTCGTCCGTTCTTCCTCTGTTTGGGTGGGATCAATTTAGCGCAAGGCCTACCTACCTACCTACCTAGCGACCTACCCGGACCAGTAGGTACCTAAGCACCAGGATGTGGTATGAGTTGGCGAAAATCTGCAGTTAGCTCAGAGAATCATTTCGCCAACCTATGCTAGAAGAGAGCACTTGCATACTCATTCAAAACTTCATAGCCTGCCTACGTCCCAATTTAGGGACCCCCACCAACCCTCTCTTCGAATACGGCCAAGTGAAACACCCTTCGTAAGATGGCTGTCTTGTGCTACACCGACAACGACTCGCTCTGCCGCCACCAGATAGTTTTTCCACACCTTATTCGTAGATAGATAGCCACCTATATGTAGGCAATCAATAGGTCACTTTCGTGGCACCTTAGGCTGCTGTTAGGCCCCAGCCTGTGAAGAACTGATTCGGCCCTACCCGAGAACTGTATTGCTGTTAGTTACGTATCATGGTAGGGTAAATGGCCTATAGAAAGGTTAAATGGTTCCATCAGAAGTGAGCTCATAAATGAATGTTCCAGAGAGTAGGAGTGGTCGACGGGCTCGCCTTGCACAACATGACTTCGCCGACGTATTATAATAATTGCTCGGCATAGGTCGTGCGCCCGTCGCAATTCAATCTTCCGAGTTATTCCGTAAATACTTTTTATTATTTTAATTGCCCCATAGAATACATCGCAAATAAGAGCATTCGTAGCCCTATAATTTCGTTGGTCAAATTCCTCCCCGGCACCTGCATTCTAGTCTATTGCCTGTCTTAGAGCAGCGTGGGTAGTATCGTCCGATCTAGGACTTACTCAGCGGCTCACCATCCTTAATCTTCTGTAGTCCGTACTTCTTTAGTCGGATGGCCTGAATGGCGATGAAACCGCTCGTGTCCATGGGCGAGAAGCCCTCGAGGGAATCCATGGAAGCATCTTGCTCGGAGTACAAGTTGGACGAGTCGCTGGAACGTCCAAGTACGTAAGCCTGATCCAGACGTTAGTTACATTCATTATACGGTTTGCGGGTCACGTACATTGCCCCGGTAAGCAGCCATCCTCACTACACCGGATACGTTACGCTGCGAGAAGTCGATCGAGTTTTCGACCTAGACCATAGTTAGCTACCCCGCTCCCCACATGTAGAGTGGTCAAATACACACAAACTCGCGCTCTGGGCTGAAACTGTAGGGAATAGTTAGCATCGTTCCTTTAGGGTATTTGTGCGAAGTAGTTACTTACTACATGCCGTTGTACAGCTGTCGAGACCAGCTGAGAGTGACGAACTGATCACGGAGCTCACGGACCTTAGAGTCCATCACTAGGCCTTCCAAGTCCAAGTGTGCAAGGCGGGCGACTGTTTAATTAGCAATTACATTCAAGACTGAAAAAAATAAGAATTTGATAGTTAGTTACATACTGGTTAGCCCCGGTGTGCTGTAGAAAAAGTTAGCAACTGTCCTCAATTTGCGTTTGGAATAAGATAGGAAGAACACAGTAACCATATCATCTAAAGGGTTGACTGAAATGCGGTGAAACCACTTACTCGTAGCAACCTGTTCATCAAAAGTTAGTGGTTGTTTAGTGAACGGCATATGTTCTTGGGTGGAAATTAACATACCTCGGCTCTTTAGTCCGATGAATCCTACATGGTAATCGCGTTAGTAGCTTGCTCTGAATTTTTGCTCTAAGGCAGGATGTATGGAATTACATACGGTTTTCGACAATCTGTACGATGGTTAGATAAGTTTATATACACGTAAAACGTTTAAAAGCGGTTGAAGTATCTACTCACGTCGATACGGCCGACACCGTGGTCATGGCCAATCTTGTTTAGAAGCTTGAAGAGCTCAACTGAGTCGGTAGCCTGCTCACTGGCTGTGACAACCTTGACGGGAACACTAAATTGTGCATTAGCCTCGATTACAACTAGCTCAAAAGGGAGCCAACAACCATACCCTTTCTCGAAGTGAACAGTGAACTCTTGGGGCTCATTGGGAGCATCAAGAGGGTCAACCGTTCGGGTCCATAGTTCTTTAGGAGGTGTGTGGTCAGGGTCTTCCTAAACACAGGGTATTAATTAAATATTGAAGCCAATAGAGTTGTATATAATACTTACTAGAACACCTGCTTCATATGAGCACTGCGACAATATGTGTTAGCGAATACCCTTTAAGGTGGTGTGGGAACATAGGGGTAACCATGCGGGGCACGGTTCAGGGGCTGAATCAATGTGGGGTAACCCCTCCATCGTAAAATATAGTGGAAAAAGGGATGACCCTCAGAATTTCTTACGTGAACAATGTTCTGCAATTATTTGTTAGCTGATTATTTACAGGAAACTTGAAGGTGATATGCTTACGTCGTCCATACTCCAAGGAGCCTTAGGGGTAGATGAAACCGGAATGTTGTTCTCGGCAGCGAACTTGAGAAGGTCGTTACGGCCCCTAAAAGGTAGGAGTTAACACTTCAATTTCTGGATGCTCTGAGCGGGATGGCTGTAGGGATGGAAAAATTTGGCACATACTGGAATCGCTGGATGAATTCTGGCATTCTCCAGGGAGTGATGATCTTGAGGTTGGGGTTCAACGTCAAGAATGCGAGTTCAAATCGAACTTGACTTAAATTTTGTTAGTATTTACATCGCTAAATCTATATTATCGCATAGAGCTCACTCGTTCTAGCCACATGTTAGTATATACGTAAAATAGCATATAGAATGGGATCTCCTTACGCCCTTTCCAGTACATCCATGGCTGACAAAGTCGCACTTGTATTTTTCGGCGGCACGGACCTGGCTTCTGGCAATAATGGGACGGGCTAGAGCAGTTCCGAGAAGGTATCGGTCCTCGAAGATAGCATTGCACGCAATCGCCTTGAATACGATCTCTTCGACCAATTCACGCTGAAGGTCCTCGCAGACGAAAGCCTCGGCACCCAACTACGTGAAGATGTCAATATCAATAATGGCATATGAACATGAGGGCTAATTACTCACAGCTAAGGCCTTCTTCTCGACAGCGGCGAAGTCTACATTACTCATAAATTAGAGAATTACCACCACAGAAGGCATGAAGGGTGCACGTACCCTCTTCCTGGCCCACATTGGCGAGGAAGCAGACGACTTGGTATCCCTCATTTAAGAGCCACTTGAGAATCTATAACATCATTGATATCAGTATACAATTATCACAATTGCGGCAATTCATTATTCGTCAGTATTATGACGGCGGAGAAAACACCGCTTTTTTGGTGATGAATCGAGTTGATAAGGGATGGAGGGGCTCACGGTGGAGGTATCAAGCCCGCCAGAATAGGCACTAAAAACCATCAGCAGTTGGTCGCGTGGTCATAGCATGAGGAGGGGTATTTTCTTACAGACAAACGCGACCTTTAGACATATTGACGATTGAGAAGATGTATGAAAATATTAAAGATCACGAGTTGCTAAAAAACCTCAAATTGCTGTCCGAGGAAATAAATTAGCTTTAGAGTTTACGATTAGGCTCGTGAGGCACACTTGAAAAAGGAAAATCCTTGACTCACTTTTTTACTTTTTTTTTTTCTTGCCGTTTTCACCGATATTCGGGGTCGATAAGATCGATAAGAGCGATGAGCAATTGACGAATAGCGTCACTTCCCTACTATTTTAGCGGCGCCGGGTCAAGGTTATGGATGAATGCGGAGGCCCGTGGCGGTTCCTTCCATAGTAGTGGCTAAAGCTAAAGCTATTACCCCCCTTACGTCATAGCACTTCCCATACTTAATTGCTTTCCCCCTCACAAATAATTGATCGGAGATAAGAAACTACGGAGATGTTAAGGGGAAATCCGGGAAACAACTCTGTTCCCTTCTAGTAACGATATAATAAGTTCGATTGCTAGAGTCACTACTTACTTATTCATAAGTTAAAAAGTCACCAACAAGCTGCATATACCGTTCTCGGCTCTCCCACATCATCGAGTGACTTGCATCTTCCAGTGTCACCCACTTGACCTTATTAATATTCTTAAAGAATGGCTCTACCACGAAATCCATAACCTCATCATACTTGCCATTGAGCAGCAACGTTTGCGCCACAATGTTAGCTGCTTCCTTCCAGCCCTCCCAATCCTTAAGCGTGCCGACCGTATCGAATTCCGAGTGCCCTTGCCTATACAGAATCGCATAAGAAACAGTGAAAATAACAGGGTGCAAGGGAGCCGCTGCTTGTTTTCCGCGCAGAATGGCATGAGTGGGTGTGTAATAAGAGGATGCAACTCACATAGTACTATACGCCGTAGAATCATCCTTCAAATTCCGAAACGCCCTCTGAATCGGCTCCGGCAGCGGGTCAAGTCTACACACATGCCTCTTAATAAACACCGCCGCCGCATTCTTAAACTCCACACTATCATGATCCCCGGCCTTATCACACGCCTCCAGCGTCAACCGCACATCCTCGGGCAACCCCGCGAGCCGAATCTTACAAGCCTGTTTATACAACGGCATACTCGCCGGCGCACCCGAAAGTACTAACTTCCGTAACCCGCGCGGCTGCTTCGCGGCATACGCGCTGCCGAGCATGCCGCCCCAGCTTTGGCCTAGGATGTGGTATCCCCTGTCGCGTAGATTTAGATGGTCGATTAAATTGTCGAGTTCTCGGATGAAGAGGTCGAATGTCCAGAACGATTCATCGCCGAGTTTCTCTCGGAGGTGTGTTGATCGCCCGCATCCGATTTGGTCGTATAGGACTAAGGGGATGCTGCGCTGCTCGTATAGATCTACGAGTGCTTCTAGGTAGTCGTGTCCGGCGCCTGGACCCCCGTGTAATGCGATGATGGGCGGTGTGCTGGATTCAGAGAGGGATCCGATGATCTTGTACCATGTCTTGCATGGCACACCTGCGCCTGGGGCGTCGAAGGGGAGTTCGCCTTCGGATGTGGGATACGCTGACATGATTCGTAGGGCTAAGTGAGACGGTAGAATGAGGAGTCAGGGGAGAAGTGAGAGGGAATAGTAAGATGATGAAAATGAATGAGGGGAATAAGGCTGATTATCGAGATTGATGGAAAGACAGGTAAGATGCCAATGTCCTACGTATATGCGTTAATTTGTTGGTGAACCTATCAAGTTGGATTTCCGTCTAACTTGTGGTGTCTTCTAACGTGGGTGCTTGATCCGGGGGGTCCGCCAGTGCGGCGTTTAATCCTCCTCGGTATTTAACCCGGGATGGAAACGGTGCAGCGGAGAGACAGATTACAGAGGGGTATTCCCTAATCATGACCTAACGCCCCCCTCTGAGCACCTTTGAATTGTCTAAGGCTATTGGGCAATATTCGAACAAAGGCGGCATTAGGGCATGCAAGGGATGCGTACTGAGACCAGGGTACCCGCTCTTCTGTAGCGGGTGTAGCGTTGCATCGTAGGGCTCTGTGAACCAGGGGTACGTAGGTAAATTTTTATTATTATTTATTTCTTCTTGGATCAAACGTATACGATGTATGTTTCAATGGCTGCCCACGAAGAATGATTGGACAGTATCTAGGACTTCATTCATAAGCCAAGCTTCTATTTCATCGAATTATATTAACTAGCACGACCTCCGCATAAGCAGTGAGCCTGCTCAGGTCCGTCTTACTGTCTCACTCGATATCCTTGTTATGAGCCTTGTTCTTCGAAAACGGACCTGGCCGATAAGTGTAATTCCCAGCGACCAACACCCTCTGTCTCGCCCAGTCGTCTAGACTATTCCATTTTGCACAAGTCGTCATGGCCTCTAGCCTCTGCTCTTTACCGTGCAGCGGGGTTTCTTCGTCTACCCATTCAAACGTGGTTATTGCGGTGTTCGCGTGACACATTAATGCCTGGCGGAGGGCAGTGATACAGTGGTCTAGGTAAGCCGAAGTTAGCGCCCTGTCAGCCCTATACGCCCTATATCTTTCCCCGCTAGGGGGGCGCACGGGCGGAATGTACATACCTGAGTGGGCTTTTCCTAGGTGTCCTAGGTACGGAGAATCGGCGAATTTTGGCTCGTAGTAGTCCCAATGTACGATCATCCGTAGGTTGTTCAAACAGTGCAAGTGGTGGTAGACGCCCATAGACCCAATATAGGCACCACCGTTGACTTGGACTCGGTTTGTCTTGTTGATACCAAGGATATCCAGCTCATCGTCAGATATCCTAAGATTGATGGCTGAAATAATTAGTTACTTGCGCCGAAGAAACTTGCGAAGTCCTCACCATAGAGTAAGTTATCCCAGGCCGCATCAAGTTCATCGGAAGGGTCTTGATCCCATGGATGCTCAGGTTGAAACCATTCTGGCCTTTCCTCGTATTGTAAGACATCTGCTAGTAAGCCTTATCATCTTCTTGTTAGTTATTCCACAAAAACGTCGAGAGTAGAAGAATGGTCGTACTGGGCTCGTCGTGTGATGAAGGTTGCGACGGTCTTGCGGCAAATCTCAACGCAACATCGGCTGTTAATGCTATGGCGATATAAAGTAACAAAACCAATATCACCAATAAGAGGGCGTTTGACCGTAGCCACGTCCGTATAGGTTGACGGCCATTTTTGTGTTCGCTAGAAGAGTCGCAAGAATGTATTACATCCTCTTCCGTAGATTGGCGTAATAGAGGGTCTTGGGAGTCTTCAGAGTGCTTCTCCATCGAGCAAGGCGAGTTGAAGCCGGAGAATGAATATGGTTTACTCGACGAGAGCGGGGAGTGGGAAGAGCTTAGACCTCAAGTGAACAGAAAAAGAACAATCTACCAACAGACAGCGGGGTTTGCCGGGTTGACATAGCACGACAGGATAGTCCTTAATGCTATATGATAGTGATCGCCGATATCAGCACCATTTAGAATCGTAGGTGACCCTCGAGGCTTACATCTGCATTTCCCGGCGCTTTGGCCCTGGCTTATAATCACTTGTGAATACTACGCACAAGGTTGACTTACAAGGATATGCGTATGCAGGACTTTCATGCATCCCTATCTTACGGTGAAACTAGCCCCCAGTTACGTCAATCTGCCTAGAATCAGATCGACGTACGCGAGCGCCTCGGCAGTAATATCTCGGTATATGGGCGATTATGTACTATCCTAGCTTGTGTCTGTGTAGGACCTCCACGAGCATAAGAGCGTGAGCGCCCCCAAACATTCCACCTCGCCCCTCTAAGATCAACCATCTTCAAGTCAAAAGCCTACTAAACATATCACCCAAGTACCTTCGTCACACAACACCACCAAAATGCAGTACAAGACCCTCGTCTTCGCCCTTCTTGGGTTCACTGGCATCGCGTCTTCCATGGTTATTGGTATGTTCCCCCAACCTTACGTAGGCAGCCATGTTCATTGTTATTAACATATACCACTAGGAGACCGAAGCACCAGCCTAGCCACCCCCGAAATTGAGGCAAGAACCCCACCATCTATTATCGCCATCGCCGACGAGGTCGACGAGGCTGACGAACAGGATGCGTAAATATAACGTGTCTTTCAACACGGTACGAACTTTAGGAATGCGCCACGTTCTCCACGGATGGATTTCTTGACGGACTTACGCGTGGGTTGGGGGAGTGCTGGGATTTTATAGCGTGAATGGAGGCTCTATAGGAAGAGATAAGGTTATAATCTAAACAAGTTAATACTCAGATCCCACCAAATACTTGAATTTGTGAATAATCCGAGGACAAATTGTTGCATGAAAACTTACAATATTGGCATCTGTGCCTCATTGTTTTTTACGACTTCGTGATAAATACCGTATTAGTATATCGTAGCTTAGGTAGGCTTCATTAAGATATCGACCAAAAAAAGTGATGGCAAAAAAGATACGCCGCACACATGCGGCACTGAGAAATTAAGCCAGCGGGCCACCATTACATCGTGTGTGCAACCCGGAACATTCTGTTTTAGATTAATACAACCGGCGCTTTTCCATCCAATACCAAGCTCCGCTCAAAAATAGTCCTATTATATAAAAACCCACAGCGCGAACTGACCTCTCCGATCCATACCTTATGTAAGGGGGGATTAGGTAATTAAGTCAGCTTACCGTAGCATCGAACGCGACGCAAAAGTTCCAGGGCCTATGGGTCTGATTGGGCATCTTATACCCTGTCCCTGAAAGTATTCGAAAACCCGTTTAGGCATTCCTCGGAGCATTATCTGACCGCTTTAGACTTTTGAGATAGTGTGCTGACTTACCTGTCTTACGTCGCCCAATGGTTCCTAATTGAATCCTCGGTAGGTAAGTGGTCAATGAGATTGCTGCGTTTCAAATACAAAGTGAATCATGCTATGCGCCAAGAAGGGATAGCTGAAGGGGAAGAAATAGAGATGAGGGTGGGCTGAGTTGTAGAATGTGTTGATGTAAATTTTGAGTTGTCCTATACTATGTTATACTTCCTTAATAGGTCCCTTGAAGTAATGTCGGGCTCGCACGACGTACCAAACGATGCTAAATATGACCACGGCACCATAGACAACAACACTCCAATTGAGTTCCTCTGCTGTCGGGTGGTTTGATTGAGGCCAGAATGACCAGAATAATAAGAAGGTCGTATAGACACAGGCAAACGCATTGTTAATTGTGCCGAATGGTTCGGGTAGCTTCCAGGGACCCCAGACAAGTTGATCGGCGTGGATGGGACTGATATCAACACCTGGCACGTAAGGTTGAAAAGCGCCCGTGCATCGACGCCATAGAAGTAATCCGCACGCGAGAAGGTATGATGAGTATATGGCTGCCAGTAGAAGTGAGAGCAGCGCAGATAGTACTACTGACGATCCAAGCACGATGAGTGAGATCAAGACCGTAATTCCCATAGTAGCCATAATCGCGTAAACAGGAAGCGTATTTTGGTTAAGCTGGTGATGAATATGTTAGCAAAAGCGTATAATTAAAGCGAAATGTTTGCGGTAGTCACTTACCCTAACCAAATACTTGTCAAATGGCAATCCCTTATCCCGCGCAAAAGACCACAGCATGCGCGACGCAGAGGCATATGTGCTAATAGAACTAGCAATTGCCAACACAAGTATGATCCCCGTCATAATACAGGCCCCAGTAGTTGACTTCACGGCGGACTCAAAAATCTGGAGAAACGGATAGAACATAGTATCCGCAGCGGCGATCGCAGTATCTATATCGCTAATGCAGAATAGTAGCGCAATAACCATAGCGAACCCCAAAGCTCCATTGATGAAAATGGTGTAGAGTAGCGCTTGTGGAACAACAACATTGGCTGATCGGACCTCTTCCGACATATGAACCGCACAATCTGCACCCGTAAGAGTACTGGCGACAGTTGGAATTCCGACGAAAAATGCTAGTGCTTGAGTTGGCCATCCGCCGTTATTTGAAAATGTAGTAAAAACCGCGGCTGGCTCATTATGAGGTGCGAAATAAACCAAGGGGATTAACACGCCGAAAAAGCCAGTGAGGTGAAGAATCAAGACTAGACCCTCGAATTTGGCTAGCACACGGCCGGTGGTTGAGTTGATTATTACGGAAAACACCGCTGCAGCCCACATGATCAGGACGGTGTGCCATGGTATCGCGACATAAGTCGGTTTGGCCAGGACCACAAGCCCTTGGATGATGGTCGCTACAGAGTAACTGGTGGTGATAGCGATGACTTGCCAGGCCAGAGTCGTGAGCCAGGCAGTCAGGTAAGACAAAAAGTTGGCGCACCACTCCGGTGCCATCATAGCAACCCAGTGATCTAGGCATCTTAATATTAGCAACGCTTTGCCTATCATATAGTAGACAAAATTTCGTTAATAGAGAACATGAATCTTACATTGCCCACCGGCCGTCGGAGCTGCAGAGGCCAACTCAGCGACAACAGCATAAACGGACGTAACTCCCACCCAGCCGATTAAGAACGCCCAAATAACACCACCAGGACCACCAGTCAGAAACGTTGGAACCGACGTAACCAATATACCTTCCCATGATAGTAGAACCGAACATGAAAGTCCTAAACTCGACATAAAACCGAAGCTACGATTAAGCCGTGGCCTCTTCCCGAGGCGTCTAAGAGTCGCATCGTCATTTGCAGAGCGACGGTTACCGTTAGAAAAATCGGACAAGGTAAAAAGTGTGTCTGAGTTAGTATGTTGAGTGGTGTCGCGAAGCTCGATGGACTCGCCCTTAGACGTGTGGTCCATTTGGGCTCTACAACAGTCAGAATGACAACGGTTGGATGAAGGTGAGGGATTATTGGGATTATTGAAATGGAGGAACAAGTAAAGAATGTTATTAAAGGTAAAGAAGGATGTCGATCTGGGGAAAAGATCGAGAAGCAATCAGCGTCAGCAGTATATTTCTTCGGCGACTCATAGAATACGGCGTTTGCATAGGACTCTAGTACCCCTGTCCCTTTTGCTTTACAGGTCACATCTCCAGGGTACGGCGACCGGGTCGTCCGATCTCGTCCGCATTTTCTCAGCCTCGGATAACCCGTTCGTCAAATCCTAATACTAGGTAGGTTCTGAGGGTAATGCATCATAACCATGGTGAAAATATGAAGACATTGCCTCTACATAGTCGATTTCTAAGTGTTATTTGGGTAGAATTTTGTGAACCGCGATTGTATTGAGTCGGACATTTGCATGGCTGCTTACTTCCCACCAAAAGCTACCCCTGGTATTGGGCGGGCCGAGGTTGCATTGCTTGGGGGTCCTGAGAAGTTATGATTGGAAGGTAGGAAAAAAAGCAAAGAGACCTGTAACAGATCGAACCCAACCACCGAAGGGTCAATCTCACTCATATATAGCCGGGGCTACCGGCACACGACGGCTCAGCACGTACACCAGTCTACTGAACGAAGTGGACTGTCATGCATGAGCTTCGCGAGAAGTTCGACTATTTCCGTGATTTTTACGTCGTTCAATGAGCCGTTAAATGACCATTGGCAATCCGTGGTTATTGGAGGAACGTAAAGCGGGATTTTCGAGCGAGCTCCACACGGGAAGTGCTGAAAAAGCGCTCAGATCGTCAGCTATCTTATATACGCCACCATGGCTGCCCATAGGACGAACCCTGGCAACCTTGACGGATGACCGTTCCTTATGTGACAGTGGCGTTGGTACCCGGATAAGGACCTAAAGGGCTCCTGTTCATTCGTAGCCTGTCAGTAGAATCAGCGACTTCCAGCTGCCAAGTATCAACGCCTGTAGTAAATAATCCAATAGCTGTTATTGTATTAAATCAATTCAATATGATCGCGATCTATGATATATATTAAGCTTTTCAAGATCATAATCCATGAATCAAAGAAGAGAGATTATCTTGTAAATAATCCCATCGTAAATAGGTAGGTGGATAGATTTTCCCTTCCAGGTATGTAGCCATAGCCAAAAACCACATTCGAAAAATCATGCAACGAATGCAAGCAAAACTTACCATTTCCAACGCCGCATTCAATCATGGCGATCCCAAAATAAGTAAAGACCGAACCGACCGACCGACCGTGCCATGCTTCCCAATTCCGATACTTCTTCTAGACTTATACATCCAACATGCTCCTGATCTGTTGCGGGGGTCCGCTCGTAGACAAGCCACTAGCTGTGCTCGAGCTTCTTTCGCTTGTGCCCGGACGTCGAGGTGGATCACTAGTGACCTCAAGACCTCTGCCTCTGCCCGCGGAAGTATCTGCATTTGCTTCGGCATTGGCATTTGGGAATAGCAGGCTGGCGGCCACTTGCACTGTGCGTTCTGACCTTCTTCGATCTGACTTGCCTCCATGAGGCGAGTACGGAGGTGGGGCAGCTGCACCACGAATGCTACTGTGGACACTATTTGTGCGACGCATCTCGTTCATTTCTATCGTGTTATTTCGGTTCTCAGCTGCGGTTTCGGCTTCTTGGGCTCTTCGCTCAGCAAGCCTCTCGATTTCTCTTGCGGTAGGACGTCCACCGCCAACTTCACGAACATTTCGCATGATTCGGTCTCGCATGTTGCCCGCGGACACATCGCCATTAACTCTGCGCCACCAAGCAGGTTTGCGAACCAAACCAAGTTCCTGATCGATAGCCTGTCCTCGCTCCCGACGCTGGCGAATCAATTCACGGTCTTCATTAGGACGTGTGAAACCGCCGAGGATCTGGACAATGAGGATTAGAAGGGTTGGTGCGTAACCTCCAAGATACATGGCTAGTAGATTAGTGCCAACTTTCAGAGGTGATAGATTGAAGTCCCAAGCGCATAGACCTTGGTACGCAACGACGGCCAATGCCAATGGGGTCATGAGCGTGAAGCGGAATGGCATGTATCCCCAAAATCCAATCGCACGGTTAAAGAAACCACGATTGCGCGGCTCGTAGTGTCGGATGGAATGCCAAAGAGATACCATAGTTGTCAACCAGCAAACGAAGAGACAGAATGTTGCCGCCTTGAACCGACCATCTGTAGCAGCCGGTACTGCGTCTTGTAATGTTTGTTCGGGAGATCGCTGGTGTTCGATCGGGGACCAATTTCGTGGAACAATGAGGAAGAAGTTCTGTAGAAAGATAATTCGATTAGCGCATGATCTATGTATAATGGATTCAAGGTGATAAACTTACCATCCATAGCCAAAAGTAAAAGAACAATGGAAGCCAGAATTCGAACATTCCTCGCTTGTCGTTCTGCTTAAGAACGAAAGGGTTCGGGTCGATATATTGGCGCTCCATCCAACTACCCCAATGCCGTACGCCCTCCCAGACTAGTGCCATGATACCCATTTGCATGAGGAACCAGAAGAAAACGTTTAGCACAATGGGAAGTTCCGGTACGCGGTATCTATCGACGTCGATTCCAGTAAAAAGGGCGACGAGAGAAGTGGCGCAGACGAAAATTGCCCAGTACCATTGCCATCTCCTACCAACCGGATAGAATCTCTTTTCGGCTGGAAGATGTAGTTCACCATGTTTCTTCAAATTGACCAATACGAATACCAGAGACAGTGCGAAAACCACGGCAAATGCGATTCCGATTCGCGCTCGGTTGCCGATGTCACCCGTTGCCGAATAGCACGAGGTGCTGTTAAGAAACGTGCCGTTCGCTAGGACGGAGGTCGGAGTGTAAGGCGAGTCCATAAGCACACATGATGAATCGTTGGAAAGTGTGAAATTGGTAGGATAGTAGGTATAATTCCAATGGTTCAACGTTGTCAAATTAAAATGCACGTTATTGATAATTGTATCGGTCGAATTATCGCCTATTGGCAATGCGCGTAAGTTGAGGTGGAACGACATCGTTGCGGTTTGACGGTTTTGGCCGTTATAGAACGGGTCACGCGGGGGTTTTCTTGTCTCTTGTTATTCTCGTTGTATTTGAAGCAATACGAACGGATTGCTTCGTTACAAGATCGTAACGAAATTCAAGACGACATTGGGAGTATCGTTGGACGAACGATACAAACGCGACGACGGAGAGAAGGGAAGAAGGAAAAAAAGAAGACGGTTAGGTGGTGGAGTTGGAGGTAAAAAAGAAGGTTAGAAACGCTAAAAAACAGCCCGGAGCTTCGGATCTCATCGCAATGTTAGTTTACAAAAAGTCGCTCAGCGACCGGGTGATCCCCACAAATATGCAGCCCGATAACTCAAAAGAGTTACGATAAGAGGCTTGTTCTATGCCAATCGACGTCATCCCGAGAAACCGCGCAAAATCCAGCGAGAATACTTAGGTACGTATCTTTTTTGGTGTGGATTTTCGTGTCATTCGCACTTGATCCATGTTCCTTGTTCATTACCCAATTGGGTAGACACCAATAAATCCCGTTACGCAGGGACAAATTGGTTTATTATCTTGAGTCTGTTCTTAAGGCTTCACCACCATCCTCCATATACCTACTTATATACAGACATACGGATATGAACACCCAAGAATATACACCAATCGTCAACTCTTTAGCCTAGAAAAGGAAGCTCATTCCTTCATGTACGAACAAGGGAAAGTATTATGGAGGCCGATCTCATTCCAGACCTCGTCAAGGGTGCCGGGTTACGACCCCAATTTCCAAGACTCTTGGCTTCTTAGCTTTCACGCTATTTTTGTATAAACCGTCTTACCAACTCGTAGATCTTCAAGACACGATCTCCTTTTTTATCTAACACTCGTTTTCTGACCGTTGAACGTTGAATCGTTTCAACCTCCTTTGCTCGGTTTCCCCCTCATGCTTTCGCTGTTGATATTGCTGTTTCACTGACGATAAGTAAACTATGCGGTCGAGCAATGTCCTTCTGTCGGCGTCTGTAATAATCGGGCGGGTGCTTGGCGACTCCTGTCCCAGCTATTCGAATTATGCTCTATCGCGAAACCCTCCTCTAACAACCGGCGCCTACAAGCTCGCGTACCAACGACCGACTCCAGAATGTCGAACTTTCAACTCGAGCGGTGTGGAAGATGCTATTACACGCATGAAGAGTGCTATCAAAGATGAAGAATTATTCCGACTCTTCGAAAATACCTTCCCGAATACCCTCGATACGGCTATAAAATGGCGGGGAGTTGCTGCGAATAATTCGAATGAGGAACTAGCTTTCGTTATCACCGGTGATATCAATGCCATGTGGCTTCGTGACTCGGCGAACCAGATAGCTCCGTATAAGACCGTGTTGAAAAAGTCGACAGATGACATCGCCTCGGTATTCCGTGGCGTCATCAATTTACAGGCTCGATACTTAATCATATCGCCCTACTGCAATGCCTTCCAACCACCACCCGAGTCGGGCATGAAGCCGGACTCGAACGGCGGTATATACTCGGTTACGCCGTCTTACGATCGTGATATAGTTTACACATGTAACTTCGAGCTCGATGATTTCGGTGGCTTCTTACAGCTTTCGCACGATTACTATACTGCAACAGGGGATGTGGATTTCTTTGGCAAATTTCAATGGATCCCGGCAGTGCAGTCCATTCTAAGTGCCTCAGAAGCAATGCGACAACCTACATATGGGCCTGATGGCAAGTGGATCCGCCCTGCATACACATTTCAATCGCAGACAATGTCTGCATCTGGGACTTTAGGTAATAACGGTATGGGAAGTCCCGTAAATGATACGGGTATGGTACGATCTCCCTTCCGACCGAGTGACGATGCGGCCATATTCGACTTCCAAATCCCCGCGAACATGATGCTATCAAGATACCTAGAGTCTACAGCCGAAATTGCGGAACAACTCCCAAACGCCCCTAAGAGTTTGGCGCGAGAAATGAGGGATATGGCTTCCGAGATCAAAGCAGCTATTCAACAATGGGGTATTGTGAAGGCACCGAACGGACGGGAAGTATTCGCGTACGAAGTCGATGGGTTTGGAGGCCAGAATTTAATGGACGATGCGAACGTGCCCTCCCTACTCTCTGCGCCATTCCTAGGATACTTGGATAAGGAGGATCCGATTTATCAGAGCACCCGTGCGTTTATTCTTAGTCGAAGCAACCCCTGGTGGTGCTCTGGCCCATATATCAACGCGATTGGCAGCCCCCACATCCGACCCGGCGCTGCGTGGCCTATGGCAGCTATCATGCGAGTAATGACCACAGACGATGATGCGGAAATCATAGCGGCTGTCAAAGAGGTGCTTAGCACGACCGATGGATATGGTTTAATCCATGAGAGTGTTGACAGCTTTACCCCGAGTAGTTGGACACGCCAATGGTGAACGCCCATCAATCAATGTTGAAAATTAGTATACTAACTCAGACTCATAGGTTTACATGGGCTAATGGTCTTTTTGGTCAAATGATTATGGACCTAGCAGACAGGAAACCACACATTTTGAAAGAGAGCTTCCAACCTTTCTTCATAGAAAAGAATTAGCATTGTTTTAATGATACCATATTGTTATACCCAATCACAAGCCATATTGACTAATTACGCCCCTAACCCCTGTTTTTATACAGCTAACGATTTTTTGAAGTCATTCACCTGTCAAATCACAATAAGATTGGGGCCGTGCAGCCAGGAATTTGACGTCCAGATATCATGGGGACGGCTCAACAATTCAGCAATATAGTAAAACTCTTCCCCGAACCCTATTCCTTGCCACAAGTGTCAAAAGTCTAAGCACGGTTAGCTTTTAAAGATAGTTGCAATATTTTCCTGGCAACACCTTGACATCTATCAGAGGTTCCACTAGCGGCCCGGTCGAAGTAACGCACCAACCCCTATTCTCACTTCATAGGAATATTATTTAGAGACGCTCTGATCTCTACCCTCCTAAACGAAGTAATATTGCTATGCTTTAGCTAAATCCTCAATAGTACAAAGGATACGCACGAACATGGACCTTCTAAGTTATTCCCCTGTTTACAATTACACCCAGAGCCAAATAGTATGACGAGAACATTGTCAATTGTTTGGAGCAAGTATGCTATGCTCATCTGCGCTTCTAGCGAGCAAATAGGCCCGGATTCCAATTATCCTAGACCATCCCTATGCAAAAACCCAACTCCCAATAACCAAAAACTCCAAAGCGCTATGCATGCAATGCCAGTAATCCACAGGATATTCCCCATTCCAAACTCCTAAATAAATCACCCTTTAACTCGGCCGACTAGTCCTAGCATTGCCGTTGGTATGCCCTTCAAAGGGAGTGAGTCGCCCCCCGATCGCGATCTCAAGCGGGTGTAAAGGCCAACTGCTGGGGTTTTCGAGCATGAGCCCGCGTCTCTGTAACTGGAGCGAAAACCCGTAGAGACGGTTGACCTGGACCAAAGAATCCGGTTCCGACTGGGAGACTTGGTCTTTGGTGATGGTTAGTTTGAATGAAAAAAAAAAAAATAAAAGGGTGAGAAAAGGGGGGTTAAAGAAAGGGACGACGACTTACCCCATGCTCGCAGCCACGACATTAACATAAAGTGCGGATCAAGCCAACCACATTCTGAAAGCCCCTGCACGAGATCGCCGAGCTTCGCGGCGTGCAGCCAGTCCTCGAGTTGGTGATGGGCTATGAAATCGGCGAAAACGGACCAGTGTGCTAATTTCCGCTCTAAGTAAACCGAGAAATCTGTAATTGGTTATATGTCAGTAAATCCTTAATCTTGATGTTAAACTTATTTCCGTCTTTAATATTCGCATAGACGTATCGCGTCTTAGTGCCCGAGTATTGTTGTGACATCAGAAGGATCGAAAGAATAGAAGACTTACCAATGGTACCCGGTGGTGGCGGAAGACCTATATTCAACGCGAAATCTTGAATGAAAAATGACGGAGGCATTTGAGGGTAAGGGTCGTCCAGAAACGTCAAAATTGCTATCCGGAACGCGGTTAATCTGCTCAATTCAAGCGCTGGATTTCCTACAGGCACCTGGGAGGGACCCCGGGGAATATACGGTAGCATTCCCTGGGGAATCCCTTGTGGTATTCCTTGGGGGATTCCTTGTGGTGTTACTTGCGGAATCCCCTGTGGTACCCCTTGAGGGATGGGCTGCGGCATCCCCTGGGGGGCCTGGGGAATCACAGGTCCCGTCTGATTCGAGGGCCCCGGCGCCGGTCCCCTGTGAGGGAGAGAGATTGGGACCGGCCCCGGCACCCCTGGAGATGGACCCACCGCCAGGACCTGTTGCGGCATGGGCGGTGGGACGACAGCTGGCGTTAAGCTGACTCTTGGTGGTGGAGTTGTTAATGTGGGCGCCAGTGGAAGTGATGGTAGAGACACCGGCGGAAGCTGTAATACCGGCTGTGATGCTGATTGTAATACCGGTTGTGGTGCTGCCGGTTGTGGTGCTGGCTGTAGTGATAGTTGTGGTACTAGCTGTGGCGATGGCTGCGGCGATGGTATTGGTGACGAGCCGAATAGCGATTTCATAGAGCCCACTGGCGAAGGTGGAGGTATGGGACTGGGAGCCCGAGTCTCACCCTGGGGGGTTTCAGAGATCTTGGGCCAAGTTAAAGACATTGTTGTTGTAAATGTGGTGGTTTTTTTGTTCGATAAGAGAAGACGAAAATTCCAATAGAATTATATGGAAGATATCTGATTCGTGTTTTGTTTCTGAGAAGATGGGAAGAAAGGAGGGAGAGAATATGAGAGGTTTTCGACTTAAATATTCGTACAGAAATTCCTAATCAGTCCCTGCGGTAGCACTTTCAGAATTATTCTCAGGAACCAGAATAATTACCTAGATCTATCGAAGGTAAACATCTGTCACAGTTCCACCCGGATATGCCTATTTGAAGTTTACTTAGGTAAAGTTCTATAGCTAGAAAAACTACGAGTGATAACGTGGTTGGCAGCCTACGATCAACGCAGGAACAGCTTCAATACCTAGGTATCATCTCTATCTACCTAGATAGGTATGTTTAGAGCGTTATACCAGTCTGAACGTTTTAAACTTTTGTTTATTACTTACTTGAGATGTGTTAAGCACGGTTTAGGTAAACTTAGTTTGCTTGATTGTCTGGTTCTACCTAGTTTATTCATATGATTATTTGAGTCAAACATCAATAACAAGAGCTTACTTTCAAAAGTTAGGTATCGACTATTGTTTATTGTTTTCTGATGGGAAAGCAGCTGTATTTCTCTGGTAGCTGTGTTATTGCAGGGGTACACTGGCTCCCCTACCTTTACACCATTGTTGATATTCCAGAAGATTAATTTGATAAAAGAGAATGATGTATTCTGCAACGTAAGGGATATAATACAGGATTTGTCACAAATCTAAAACGATATTAAATTCCACGTCTTGCAACGAAGTAACTCTGACCTGGCTTCGAATAACCTGGGTTTCCAAAAACCGATAGTAATAATTCTTAAAACTACTGAAATAAAGTATTACCTTAGTGACTTGAACCTGTTGCCACTGTCCCTATCCACAACTATAACTACCTGCGAGGCAAGGAGATACCCAAATCCGAGTTCTTTAATTAGACCAAGCCACCGTAACCCAGGAATTCGCTCGCCGCCTTGCGTATTCCCTCTCTGATTTTTTATATGTGCCCGGAGTTCGGCTACATCTACTGCTATAGGGCACTCCCAAGACCGATACTGTGTTTTGGGGTCACCGATAGGGTGGGTACTGTCAAGCGTAGTACCCTCGGTTTGCACGGTGGAGCTAAGAACAGACTCACCCAGCCATTGTGTGGCTTGCTCAGCTGGGATGAGGTCAATGCGACCCTCCCAATCGTCCATATCAGGTACTTTGCCGGAGACATCAACGAAGCGAACGAACTCATCCAGCAGTGCATGGCCGGTTGTTTGAGTAGATGGTAGGAAACGATAGACGTACGACGGCACTCCTAAAGTTGTCGCTGAACGTTCTAGGATGCGCTCACTTACCCACCGAGTGGCGACGTACCCATCAGAGCCATCCGCAGGGGGTTCCCGGATTTTGGCTTCAGTCGTATCGCGAGGTAGCGTGCCCATGGTTGAGATATAATGAATAGGTATTTTCCTCGGCCCTGCCAACTTGACAAGCTCCCGTGTTGGGTGAACATTACTGGGGTGGAGTACGTAGTAGCTGTCCCAGAAGGACTTTGCGGCTCCCATATGTAGGATCACGTCCACTTCGCGCGACAAAGAAATGAACTCGTCCTTTGTAAGCCCAAGAAGCGGCTCCGAGAGGTCGCCATTGTGATATACTACCTTTTCGGAAGGGTTAAGTTCTCGAGGTTTTGGTCCCAACGGCTTATCGCGTACAGCGATGCAATGAATTCGTCCGATCTCTGGGTTATCCACAAGCTGGGGAAGAAGGTATTTCCCTAAAAAGCCCGTTGCACCTGTGATCGCAACAGTGATGGGCTTTATTTTCTCCCCATATCCATTTTCGTGGGGGACAACATTCGCACGATTAAGAAACTGGGGAATGGGTGGTGGCAACGTCTCCTTCTCCCAGTCAATTACGCCGACACCGGAAGATTTCTGTATCTGGCGTGCCATTTTCCCGAGTGTACTAGAACCCAACAGGTCAACAAGACGGATAGCGACATGGAAAGCTCTGTTTATTCGCGATTGCAGCCGGATGGCCAACAGAGAATTTCCGCCCACGAGGAAGAAATCGCTCGAGGGTGTCAAAACGCGATCAATTCCGCGTGCGCTTTGACCCCCAAGGATTTCATGCCATATCGATTTCGTCCGTTCTATAATTTCGACTAGATGCTCGGGATGTTCCTCTAGATTTTCCCGTGCTTCTTGCGATATAATTGGTTTGGTTTGGTTCGGCAGTGGCATATCTGTTAATGCTTTTCGGTCTACTTTCGAGTGTTTGGTAAGTGGAACCCGGTCAAGTGGTATTGCCACGGCAGGTATCATATACTGCGGAACAGAAAGTTGGCTGAGGAGATGCTCTAGGAACGATTCTTTCACTGTGGCACTGGGATCACCGGAGTTCTGCTGTAGAAACGAGGTCGAAAATACGACGTACGCGACAAGGAATTGGTGTTCGCCTTCGCCCTGCAGAGTCACGATAGCTTCTCGAAGTGCACCACCCGCGGCGGCGATTATGTTGTTCTCAATGTCACTTAGCTCAATTCGCAGTCCTCGGATCTTGATCTGTGTACTCCCTTCTATGCGGTTGTGAAACACCATAGCACCGTCGTCTTGTATATGTACGATGTCTCCCGTCCTATACATGCGATTCCAGCCGTTGGTTAAGTATTCGGACGAAGCGAAAGTGTCCGTGACGAAGCGTTGCTCAGTGAGTTCTGGATCATTGAAGTAGCCGAGGGATACTCCGGCCCCACCGATGCACAGTTCTCCGGGCATGCCAACCGGCAATGGGTTTAATTGTTTATCAACGATATATTTGGAATAATTTGGTAGCGCATATCCGCAGGGGATATTATCTCCAGCCTTCGATGAATTGAGATCATCTTCAACAAGGCGGTAATCAACTTCCATTTTGGTTGACGAGATGCTGATTTCAGTTGGGCCATACGAGTTGAATAAACGTAATTGGGAAAGACCGAGATCGGAAAAACCGTATGCTATGGTCTTCGACAGCGGCTCGCCACCTGCGAAAGCGAATCGCCATTGTGAAGACTGTTTGAGGCTCTCGCTACCGTATTCCAGCCACAGAGCATATTCAGACGGGGTGGCTTTAGTATAAGTGATGGAATGCTGGTTAATGAGGCGACAGATCTCAATAGGATCGCCACGCTTACTCCATGAAACTACATATACCATGCCGCCATTTACGAGGCCCGTGTATATCTGATCGGATGAGTGGTTGAATGTAAAGGAACTTTGTTGCAAGACACGTTCTGAGCCCAGCCCCCACTTCTTAGTGTAACCCTCGATCTCATTCCGAAGGCCTGAGTGTGTAACCATAATCCCCTTGGGCGTACCGGTAGACCCGCTTGTGTAAAGGATTGCCGCGATGGATTCCGCGGACGCAGATATTTTCACATGTTTCGATGCACGGCTACTTAGATGGGATAAGTCGATGATCGAGGCACCGGGAACTCCTAATTTTGGTACGTCATCGAGTGTGGTAGAATCGACGATGATAGCGGAAGGCTCGCAGCTGGCAGCTACGGTGGCCAATCGTGAGATAGGGTTGCGTAGGTCCAACGGCACGTACGTTGCGCCAATCCACAGGATGGCTAACATAGAACAAACCCAATCTGAGGCTGCTTGTTGGAAAACGAGTACGCGAGAACCGGGACCCGCTCCTGAATCTTTCACTGCCTCAGCGATAGCTTCAATTCGCCCGATCAAGTCCGAATACGTGAGTTTATTACCCAGGTCGTCCATAATGGCGACATTATCCTTATTCTCACGGGCGACATCTTCGATTCTATGGGGAATGGTTTCAGGCCAGTCACTCTTCAGGGTTGGGCCTATTAGACAGCGGGTATTGAGTCAGCACGATCCGCAGAAGGCGCGAAAACGAGGTTAGTTTGGGGTTACTCACCGTGGCCAACTTCGATAGCGCGGGAAATCTGGGCCTTACCGAAGAGCGGCATTGTTTCTAACGTTAATGAGATATCTCTTGTGAGAGTATCAAGGAGGTGAACGTATGTCTCCAGTAGCAGATTTGTTGCCGTCTCATCGTAGAGACCGCTCTGAGTTCGGATTGTTATCAGTGAATCCGCACCATCTATACCATCTGTTACATCGAGCGTAATGTCATACGCGGTACGCCCCGGATGCCAGTCCTTGACCTCGAATTGACAGTTGCCGAATGGGTGCTTCTCCTGGGCGCCCTGTCGGAAGTCGAAAAAGGCTTGAAAGAGGGGGCTATGTGACGAGGAGCGAGCCACGTTAAGCTCGTTGAGTAGCACGTCAAACGGCAGCCGCGAGTTCTTTAGAGCTGAGTAAGTCGTGTTTCGGGCTTCTGTTATAGTGTCGGCAAAGTTTTGATTTGGCAGTCGTTGGAACGTTAACGCAAGCAGGTTTAAGAAAAATCCAATGCTTCCCATAACGTCGCTATCATGGCGGTTAGCATCGGCAATGCCAATTACTATCTCATCGACTTGGGCGTCAGCATCTACGAAGTCGGCAAGACCGAAGAGCATCATCTTGAATGCGGCTAAGTAAAGGTGGAACGGTGTGCATCTTTGCGCCTTCGTCACGGACTTGACACGTCCTTGGAGCTCTGCTTCAAGCCGGACAGTCATCTGGTTGACATCAAATTTCTTCATGGGTAATCTTGAATTGATCCGCGCCATAGACAGTAATGGCAGAACCAGTGGCTGCTTATCAACTGGGAAAACGCTCCGCCAATACATCAGCTCGTGATCAAATTCTCCTCTCGCAAAAGCTTGCCGCTGTTTCGCTGAGAAATCGGGATACTGCCAAGGAGGCGGACCAATGCCTTGGCCATTATACCCCTTTTCTAGGTCCGAGAGAAGAACTTGGAGGCTAACACCATCCATCAATATATGTGGGTAGCTCACTAGGAGGTAGTGTGATGACGGCCACAGTGTTAAGACGACTATCCGTATTGTATCACCATTTTCTAAGTCAAAAACATGGGCTTTCAGATTGGTGTATTCAGTGACAACTTCGTCAGGAGATTCGATCTTCCTGTGCTCAAGTCGAAGAGGGGAATAACCTATCGGCAGAACTTTTTGGCAACCTTCGTCTGGTTCTGTCTCATGAGGGACGAAGCATGTGCGTAGTGCTTCGTGTCTTGCTATAACGATGCGAAACGCTTTCTCGAGGTCGTCGATGCGCAGATTGCCGGTGACCTGGTAAGACACAGTAATATTGAAAGTTGTCGGGTCATCAAGGAGTAGTCGAAGGAACCAAAATCTTGACTGCCCGAATGAGAGCTGCTCGTTACGTAAAAATCGCCGTGGCTTCGATATCGGACTTGGTTCTGTTGGGGGGTCGGACTCCGCGTCAGAGATAGGGGAGCGCACCGGAGTATCATCAATGTATGAAGCGGATGTTGCTGAGCTAGTATCGTATGATGGGGTTCGGGCTCTTTCCACATTTTGAATGTGATACTTATCCTCATCCCCAACTTGCGGCTGAGGCATAAGGTGGGATGCTTTGGTAGAGTCTGTAGTTGCATTGCGTTCCTTGGATAACTTGTCTAGCGCCTGTTGAGATAATTCTGTTATCGAAGCTCCGCCAACTATCGCGAGAACCGGAATATCGACTTTCAAGTGCTTAAGAAACCAGGATCGTACTTCGACGCCAACGAACGAGTCAATACCGAGTTCAAGGATGGAGCCATCATGATTAATTGGCTGATCGGGAGATATCTGTAACATGATCCGCATCTTTTCTGATAAATGATCTAATATGTAACTTGTAAGCTTAATTATTATTAGGAAATGATTTGGATATATATAGGTACCTTTTATAATACTTAACGCCTCCTCCTCAGACGTCGCATTCGAGAGCTGCACCTCGATCGCAAGGGTCAGCTCTTTGTTTTGATTCCTAGTCTCAGGAGAACCGGTCTGGACGATGCAATGCGAAAGAAAAGGGTTCTCAAGCCATGGTAGTTGACTATTTTGGTCTATCTTATCCTGGTAGATAGTTTGGAGGCCCGTCGTTACGACCGCCTCTGGAATATCATCTTGGTCTTTGCTAGGGTTGGGATAACCGGCTAGGATAGCCTCGGCAAACATCTGATGGAAATCACTTTCAGATATTGGCAGAAAACCAAGCCTAGTGAGTTGGTCTGTAACGGCCTTCCCTGCAGTTTCGACGACTCCAATACCGGCGACCCGTCCGATATCAAGCGCAGTTGCAGCTAGGCCACGTTTCCGTCTTTTCCTAGCAAGCCCATTGAGGTAGCCATTTGCTGCCGCATAATTGGTCTGGCCCGGGTTCCCAACTACACAAACTAGAGATGAGAACAAGATAAAAAAGTCGAGAGGTTCATCATGAAAAACTTGGTCAAGGTTGTTTGAACCAATAATTTTTGGATCGAGACTCCTATTCATCGCTTCAGTAGACATGCCTGAGAACAGACCGTCTTGAAGTACCATTGCTCCGTTCGCTACGCCCGCAATTGGAGGACAGGTAGCCCTGATCTGCGCGATGACGTCGTTGAGGCTGTCGATGCTCGTGATGTCCGTAGTAAAAACTTTGAGTCTTCCTTGGAAAGACTGCAACCAAATCTCATCTACTCGAGGGCTGCGACTTGCCAGACAGATGCATCCTGCTCCTTGGGATAACATCCACTCGCCAAGCGACTGACCAATCTGGCCACTTAGGCCGACGAGTAGGTATGTCTTTTCCCTCGAGAAGAGGTCTCGCGCGTCCAATGGCTGGAGGTGCACTTGGAATGTCCCCCCTACCGGCCAATGGATGACACTCGCTGGCTGGGTTGCAGCTGTTGCTTCTTCTGGCGAAATGATCAACTCTGGAGTTATTGTCGCCGCTCGCAACGTTATTTTAGCATTAGAGACGGCATCTTCTAGTCGAGATAGCAATGCATCCCGATCATGCGACAATGCAGTTACCACCGATTGATGCCGAGTAAGGTCGGATAACATAATGCATTTGTACTCTAAAGGTAAGGCATGAGCGATGTTGTGGCCCAATCCGACTGCGTTTGCGTTGACTTTCCAAGACGTGAGATCGAGAAAATGTGTCACATGGAATCGTTGCAGTAATGCCTTCACAACATGCCTCGGTGTGCGGGCATTCAATTTGATCAGCATTGAATCAGGAATTTGAAGCGTATCGCCACAAGATGTATCACATGTGAAAAAGATGTGGACTCCTTTAGTAGCTGCTCGTCGCGATAAAGCTCCAACGACGGGATGATCTTCAATTGAGCAGTGTACCAGTACGCGATTACCTGGATATAGATCCTCAACTACAGCTGCAGCGATAAGTTCACCAGCAACGGCAAGCAATAAGGAGTTGGTACCGGATGTTTGCATCAAAGTGCTTCGGTCGTCAGCGTCTGTATGATCCGCATCAAATGCGATCGTGCTTGCAATTGGTAATATCTTGTTACAGTTGGTCTCCGAGAGAGCAATGGAAATTTCGCCTGTTTTCTCATCGTTGCCTATGCTAAGGAACAGAAAACCACCTATTCCGACATTGAGTGCCATCAAGCTTGAGCTCGTAACTCGGAGCAAAGTCCCAGTTTCTTCCTGTTTCGGGGGAAGAATTTGTTCAACCAAGCCTGCCGCCGGACGCTCAGGAGATAATTGTGGGATTGACACGTTGGCATCCAACACAGGCACTGTTTTAATAATAGTACGCCTGGAAGCATTCAGCCTCGCATCTTGGGCGGCATTTACTATCAGGCGAGGAATTAGTAGTCGTCCCTCGTCGAGATAAACCTCGAGTTCCTTCGACCATAGTAACGGCTTCTCCTTCGATTCTCGCCATTTACCGAGAACAACTTGCCGCAAAAGATGTTCAGCAATCTGCTTTGGGACGTCACGATTGTTTTCAAGATCTTTTGGTGCGATATCGAAGTTATTAAGATCGACGTGTTTTACCTCATGTCTAATAGCCCTACAGAAGGCAGTACTCGCTGCATGATACGGTTGATCTATGCGACTGCCGACCGTAATCCAAAGTATGGTCTTTGCAAGGTCGAAAAGACGTTGTAGACTGCTCATCTTCTCGGCTGTTATCTCCTTAAAAATTGGGTAGTCAATATCCACCAAATTGATGAATGTGTCCATAGGGTCTAGAGTAAATGATTGAGCTGCGGTGGGTAGGTCATCAAGAATTTCAATGTGTCGGCAAAGGGGGTTAAGATAGTTAGCCACCCCTTCGGCAATTTGCGAACTCTCCAGGGTCCTCGTGCCAAGAATAACAACTCTTTCAATATAGATGGGGGATGGTAACGTAGACAGTGGTTTTCGTAAAAAGTCAATCCTATCATCGGTAGCTTGCGCTGTTATAATGGAGAACGGCCACACTGTCGTCTCAATATCGGGGGATGTGGTATCAACCCCTGAGAACCCGCTATTGCGCAAAATATGGTGAGCTTGGACGTTCTTGGCACTGCCCAGTTGCGGACGCAGCCAGAAATCAGAGAAACAGCCCATGATGGTGTTAAATCGAATCGACGCTTCGTCCGACACCTCCGATAGTATAAGATGCCCTCCAGGTTTTATGAGCTTTCTAGCATTTTCTAGTGTCTTTTCGATTGAAGTCTTGGTGCGGGAGGCATGAGATACGACAACAATATCATACGAAAACAGCCCGAAACCTTGGGATTCAGGTGCCTTTTCCATATCCAAGACCATGGAATATACTTTATCACCATATGTTCTGTAATTATCTGCAGTGCTGGAGGTATTATCTGATGAGTCGATAAGGGTGGAAGATGATATTGTGTCCGCAATGCCCTCGGCGATCGTTTTAGGACTTCCGCCTGGCCCCGCGCCTAGTCAAAGAGTGTCAGCAGTGTCTATTGGGACGATGTACTTGATACCTTACCTATTTTGAGAACTTTGGCATGAGGATAGCGATGTGTAATCTGCTGCAACATACGTGTCAAGAACTTATTGTGACTCGCACACCCGATACCATCTTCGAAAAAAGTAAGAAGCTTTTTCTGGACATGCGCTTCGTTAGGTTTGTGAGATTCGCCACGTAGAAAAGCCGGCATGATCTCGCCAACGGTCGCAAGAAGCTTGATGTCGATATTCTCTCCGTATCTAAACGCGCAAGGCCTTCGATCAGATATCAAATCCTCCAATTAATTATCAAAAGTGTACACATACCTATTAATCAATTCGTTTATATCTTTTTCGCCATCCTCTGACCATGCTTTGTTGATGTGAGGATGTTGGCCACGATATACAGCGGAAAGCACATCGTCCATGTAGTTTCGCAGGCGAGCGTGGTGAGGCTGACCTCTGGCCCATTCTTCGTCGGTTATTTCCGATTTCCATCTCCGAAGATAGTAATAGGCGATCCTCTCGGCGGCGATAGCTACTTCGGATTCGTAGGCGGATGGACGAGCGTCGCCCAATGCCAATGCCCCGTCTGGTGTTGCGACGCCCCATTTCGTGTAGGAGAAGAGATGGCGGTCGTCTAATTTTGATGCTGGGGCGATTGGCTTCATGGTGAGACCTTCGATCTGAACCATTCCGTACTGCCCTCCTTCATCGAGAACGTCGATATTGGCTTTCAGCGACTCGGGTTCTTCATAAAGTCGTGTGGAAACTGGTACTTGACATCCTGAAGTTGGTAGCGAGACGCATACCTCTGGGTTTACTCGAATGCTCTGTATAGAGGTAGGTACGTGCAAAGACCAGAGGCGCCCATCGCCTGGGGCCGAATAAGCTAGTATAGAAGCCTGAAAGGCAACATCTAGCGTCGTCGGATGGATTAGGTATATGTGGGGGTCGGCTTCCGGGTATGAGTATGTGTCTACTAAAACGGAAGATTGATTCAGCTTCCTCTTCAAGGATGACATTGTCTTAAAGGGGCCAGAGTAGTCGTATCCAAGGTCTGAAAGAGAGGTGTAAAATCGCTTCGTGTCGATTGTGGACATGGTGTTAACGTTTAGTGGGGTACATGGTAATGTTTCAATATCTGGTGTTCCAACTGATATCTTAATGGTGCCTTTAGCTGTAAGTTCGAGTTCCTGTTCAGATCCTGTATTGGCTACCAGACAGGTGTAACACGAAAATTGCGCGTCAATGGACTGTCCTTGACTATGACGAACCACCGTTAGTGTGATGAGCGTCTCAACGCCGGAATTCGATATTTCATCGAACACGATTGGCCGTAGAATAGAGAAGTCTTCGAGCTCAAGAAGTTCTATTACCCCGCCAGTCCGTGCCACAAGAATTCTAGCGGCCTCCAAAGCCATGCAAACGAAACCCGCCGCGGGAAAGATGACCTGCCCCTGCAATCGATGGCCTTCTAGCCATGGTATCTCGGATGCTTTAAGTATATTCGTCCAACGTAGATCTTGAGGGGTGGAGTCCGGCGAGAATACACCGAGGAGTTCATGAAAACGTTGTTTTTCCTGGCGCCTCTTTCGAGATCTGCGTGACTCGTGCCAATATGCCCTTGTGTGATTCCACTGATACGATGGTAAACCAACTACCAACTTTGGTCGTATCCGTGGCGAGGGTGTCCCGGCGCTCATGGCTTCATCGTAAGCCCGAAAATCAACAGCGTGTGCTCCCAATTTAGCCCATACAGCGCCTAGAGCATCTGAGAAGGCTTCAATATCGTTCAACCCTCGACTGAGTACGCCGACGTACGGAAGCGACACCGCCGCTGGTAGCCGCGCTTCGGAAAGTGTTTGTGTAACCGGACCCTTGAGTGCCGGATGGGGTCCTACCTCAAGAATCAGGCTAAGTTGGGGGTCATTCGTCACAGCATTATTGACAGCTTCCATAAATCGAACAGTTTTCCTCATATTGTCCACCCAATAAACATCTTCAAGGCCTTCTTGAATCTCCTCCCTTGGTTCCACGCTCGAAAACCATCTACAGGGATTACCACCTCGATCTCGAATGACTTGAATCTCGCAAGTCTGTAAGGAATCGAGATACGGGTCAGAACAGGGTTCCATATGGTGAGAATGATAGGCTGTGTCAACTTTTAACAGCCGCGCAAATTTCTTCTCCTCTTTGAAGACTTTCTCGGCATGAATGATGGCGTCTGCATCGCCTGACAAAGTTACGCTTGCCGAAGAATTGTGGGCAGCGATGGCAAGCCGGCCCCTGAATGCTGATAACTGGATGAGGCCTTGCGCATCTTCTAATGACGTTCCTACTGCTAGCATCGCACCTTTTTGGGTGCAGTTTTTATGAGTATTTCTTGCCAATCGAGCATGTATCCCACGGTAGTACGCAATGCGTATAGCGTCGCGACTAGAGATAGTACCGGAGGCGTAAGCCGCTGCAATTTCACCCGAAGAGTGACCTACGACGGCAGAGAACGTGATGCCGGCCATACGTAAAAGGTCTACGAGTAGGATCTGTACTGCCGTGCATAACGGCTGGGAAAGCTCTGCTTCGAAAACACGCGAGCTATCAGCTCCAGCGATCATTTCGCCATGCAGTCTCCACAGCGGCTTATCGGAGTATGGTAGCGCGTCGAGCGAATCCTGAAGCTCCTGGACTCTCTTGCGGGCAAAGGCTGATGAACGTATCAGTTGGCCGCCCATAGCGGGCCACTGCGCGCCCTGTCCGGTAAATACACCTAGTATATGACGCACAGCTGCAGGGTCAGAAGTGGAGGTAATGCCTAAGCCCGCGCCAGCTACTTGGTCTGCCTCGCTGAGCTTTATATCTATTTTAGCTGTGAGTTGTTCGATCGTCGTAGCAGAGAACGCGACCTTGACGGGGAGTTGGCTTCTGCGTGTTTGTAATGTCCAAGCCAGATTTGAGACGCTAATATCATGGTGAACCTTCAAATGGTTGCGATATGACCTTAATTGGTCTTTGAGAGAGGATGTAGATGCTGCGGAGAAAACGAAAGGGGTAAACTGTAAGTGACCGGCGATGTTCGCGCTATCATCTTCTATTTGTGGTTGGCGGAATTCTTCCAAAATGGCATGAGCATTGCTACCGCCAAATCCTATTGAATCTTGTTAGCTATATGTTCTACAATTCCCTTCAAGCATCATAGTGGCTAGTCACTTTCATGTAGTTATGAAAGCACTCACCAAAACTATTAACGCTCACCCGCCGAGGAACACCGTCAGGAACCCTCGGCCAAGCCTGTTGGCTTGTCGGAATGTGCATGTCTCCGTAGTAAGGCTCGATGGCTGGATTTAGCCGATTTAACAGGAGGTTTGGGAGGATAACCCCTTTCTGGATCATGCCGGAGCCCTTAAGAAGGCCTGCTAAACCCGCAGCACCTTCCGTGTGGCCGATGACGGTCTTAATAGATCCTACATATAAAGGCTCGTCGTGACTCTCCGGCCGCTGGCCAAAACAGGCGCTGATAGCAGCGGCCTCTTTTGGGTCACCCGCTGGCGTGCCGGTTCCATGCGCCTCAAAGAACTGCGGTCGGTCCCAAGGCTCCTTTTCCGGGTTCAGCCCGGCATTCGCATAGGCCCGGCGAATTAGCTCCGCCTGGGCTTCTGAGCTGGGCACCGTGAGGCCGTTTGAGCGGCGTCCATCTTGATTAGCACTTGTCCCGCGAATTATGCATTCTATATGGTCGCCGTCGGCAATGGCATCGCTAAGCCTCTTTAGTACGATAGCAGCGACACCTTCCCCACGACCATAGCCATCCGCATCCGCATCCCACATGCGCGATCGGCCCGAGGGAGAAAGCATTTGCATATTACTTTCCGATATGAAAACTTCTGGTCCTAGGATGACCTGTGTACCACACGCTACCGCCACACGCGATTCTCTGGCGCGCAGTGTCTGTACCCCTTGATGTACTGCGATGAGGCTAGACGAGCAAGCCGTGTCAATGGTCACTGTACACTTCAGAGTCATTATGTGCCATCTTTGGATTCGAATGCGCCCGGATATGAGAAAGACAGGGGGTTATGAGAGTAGAGTACAGGGGGTGTCTGGGAATTTAACGGATGCGATGTTTGATTGTCCGTGTTACTTACTCGAAGGGCCATGCCAGTCATAAAAGTACGATATTCGATTCGAGATTATCGCTCGGTTGGTTCCTGTCGCAGCGTACTTTGGCAAAGAATCCAAGTCCCTCATAAGCATATCGTTGTAGTCAACACCCATAGTGCCCACATAGACCGCTGTGTCGGACACACGCAACGATTCCAGCGTGTGCCCACCAGATTCGAGAGCTTCATAGACTGTTTCCAGTAACAACCGTTGCTGTGGGTCTATGGAGTCGGCTTCATGAGGACTGATATTGAAGAAAGGCGCGTCGAACACGCGTATATCCTGTTGTAGCAAGTATGCTTGTTGGACATTGGTGGTGCCATGATGGCCACCATTAGCATGGTAAAAGCTCCTCGTGTCGAACCGATCTGGTGGGATATCTTGACACACATCGCGAGGATTCTCGAGGAGCTCCCATAAAGCTGCGGGTGAGTTCGTACCCCCAGGGAAACGGCAGCCACTGCCTACAATGGCTATAGGCTCTGGTGAATTAGAGGAAGCCATCGCGTGTAAGCCCCCATTCGAATTGCTTTGGTTAGAGCACCAAGTAAGAGCGAAGTCTGTAGGAATAAGATATGCACTCAGAGACTTGGATACCTAGTTGAATGTTCCCTAGATGTAATGGAGAGTACCGATACGTACCCAGTACAAACGACCGGAGTGAGCATGGATCCCACTCGTTAAGATCCGGCATATGGTAGCTTCGGTCGGCTTGGCTCCGACTCGCCGGCCCATGCTAGCTATTCCTGACGAAGGTATATACATAACCGGCGCTAGGTAGATCTTTGCCGATAGATACGCCACACATCTGTGGGTCTGGGTAGGACTCTATGGCTTGAAGATTCATACCTAACTAGGAATCTAGATAGGTGGCTGAGGGCCAAGAAGGTGACGCCTATGGAAGCTTGCATCAGGCAGTTGGCAAAAGGTTGACCTAAATTCGGACCGAACAGTAGTAATCGAAAACTTGGAAGCTATTAGATTCTCTGACAATAAATTGCACGCGGCATGGCAGTGTAATACAGCTTGGTAGGTCAGTCCGGGTTGACAGTGTTGTAGTAGTCCTTGTGCAACACACCTGCTTGGCACTTTATCGCCAATGCAACGCACCACCGTCGCGGAATGCACCTAGGTACCTAGGTAGTGGGGCTTGATACCACCTGGTTAGGTAGGTACTCATGCTCACGGTTACACTTGTCGGCGAACGATGTCGATAAAGGTCAAAGTGTTTGTCTCAACGTACGGGGCAACGGCACCGTATAGATGAGGCATACTCGACAAGAGAATGCATGAGAAGCAAAAATAGTCACACTGCCTACCTAGCCTGGGCATATCGTTGGTAAGTATCATATTGTGAATGAATAGCGGCGGCTAGGGCAGCATCAATCCTGTGCATAGCCGGCATTTAAGATGGGACAGGGTAGGAGTCACTCCTAATAGACTTCAATTCCCAGATCAAGCTTGATACGCATGACGATGTCGATACCTCTGCGTCAGGTAGCTATTGTTGCACAAGATGTCGGGCGTCCTGCGATAAAACTTGATGCCCCAGTGCCGTCCTTATCACCCGACATGATATTGGTGAAGACGGCCGCTGTGGCAGTTAACCCAGTCGATACTAAGTTGCTCGACTACAGCGCAACTTCTGGAGCTGTTATCGGACATGATTTTGCGGGTACGATTGTAGCGTTGGGTGCCGACGCGGAGGCAGCTGGGCGCCTAGCGCTCGGCGACCGTGTCGCGGGTCTCGTTCATGGTATGAACAAACTACAACCCGAAATTGGGGCATTCGCGGAGTACGTCGGCGCGCATGCCGACTTAGTCTTGAAGATTCCGGACCACATGAGCTTCGAGGATGCGGCAAGCTTAGGCGTTGGTGTCGCGACGGCGGCTCTAGCTATCTTTGGCGAGCTAGGAATTCCTATGCCGATTGTTCCTGTAGAAAAGCCAGAGCTTACTGAACATGAGGAGGACCCGAGGCAATACGTCCTAGTAGCAGGAGGGAGCACCGCGAGCGGCACACGGGCTATTCAATTGTTAAAGCAGTATGTTAAACCACCAAATCAATAAAAAATTCCCAACATGACCTAAAAACAACCAAGTCCCGTGAAGATGAAGCTGATTGAGAACATATATCTATCAGCGCCGGATTCAGTCCCATAGCAACATGCTCGCCAGCGAACTTCGAATTGGCCCTTCGTTTTGGCGCCGACAAGATTTTTGATTATCATAGCCCTACATGCGCCGCCGACATTCGCGCGTACACCCGAAATGAGCTAGCAAGCGCTCTCGATTGTGTTACTCAAGCCGATACTACACAGCTATGTTACGCTGCTATAGGTCGAGCTGGTGGACGATATGTCTCCCTCGATCCCTTTCAAAAGGCTGTAGTCCGCACTAGGCCACTAACTATCGACCCTTCATGGGTCTTAGCTTTAACGATATTCGGTCGTGAGGTAGCCCTGGAGGGTGATTATGGCCGAGAGGCTCGTCCTCAAGATCGCCAGCTAGGAAAGCAGGTATTTGCTATTGTTCAAGATCTTCTAGACCGAGGCCTTATCGACACGCACCCCATTAAGCTTATGCCTGGAGGATGGGAAGGGGTTATAGAGGGAGTTGAGATGCTGCAGACACAGAACCCTTCTGGATATAAATTGGTCTATTCAATACCATGATCGTATGTTTAACCACCATAGATCCCATCGCCAAATGTGATTTCGTAGCTTAGTCATCTTAAAATCGTGTTAACGTGGATGATGTGAGATCTCTAATCGAAAGGACCCTGGGGAAAACATAGCGCGTTTGTGATGAATCTGAGCTATTCAGATACCCAGGTATCCACATAGATCGAGAAAAGGGGTCGTAAAATGCGGGTCAGATAGGTGGAGCTATTAAATATTAACCGTAAATATTAATGATACTGCCTGTTGTGTAATTACGTAGCTAGGTAGTATGTTGATGAAATTATGAAGTTATTTCCGGGATTTCAGGATAGGATAGTGTTAGATGAGAGATCTACACAACCGATTTTTTCTGGGGCCCTGTTTGACCCCGAAAAGCTGAAAGGTATCACAAGGAAATAATAGGATCTGAGTCGCACAGCATAAGAGGATAAGAACAGGCACGGGCCATTACGAATACACCATCTTGGCGATCACCTACGATAGGAGGTACCTGGTAAACAAGCAGACAAGTAGGCAGATAACATTAAATGAACTATCAAAAGCAAGACAGGCCTGCACATGCATCGTGCAATGATACCCGTCCACATGTAGCTACATATGTACTTTCTGACTGTTGACAAAGAGCCAAAAGACATCCAGTAAAACTACATAGCCCCCAGCCAGCGAAGGTAGGGATGTACTCAGAGGCCTGCCATAGGTACTTTGGTACCCAATGAAAGGAACCAACAAGGCAAGTAAATTTATATCCAACCAACACAATAAAGAAGGCCTCTTTTTCCTCCCTGATCTCATTGACATTTTCAATCCTCAACATCCGACATAGGACGCTGTCGGCAATAATCCAGTGCATCACATCCGCATAACTAAGTACCTCTGAGGGGTCACAATCTTCACAATGGGTCTCTCCGCGCAAACGGAGATCGCGGCGCCACCAGAGGTCGTCCGATCAGTGGTATTTTTTATCAAGAAAACCATATGGAGTATTAAAATCTAATGAATAGATAATAGTTCCTCGATTTCCAGCAACACAAGGAATTCCATCACATTTTTACCATCAAATCCCTAGACCCCTCCATTCAGCCGGTCAACCTCAAGCCCGGCGATAAGCTCGATGTTGATATCAAGGGCTACCCCTTCAAATTCCAATTTCAACCTACAATCATAGTAAGTAACAGTAGATTCGAGGCATCTCGAGAGCCTGTTAACCGTTGACGTATTAGGAAAACTCTCCCGGCACATTCCAATGGCTTGGAAGCGTCCCTCTTCTACTAGGTGGAAAGCATGAGTTTTACTTCTCCCAAAGTCAAGAAACGCCTGGGGGAACCACGCTTATCCAAAAGGAAGATTTCACAGGGCTTCTTGCTTTTCTGACAGGCCCGAAATGGAGTTTCGGGAAAACTAGTATTCACAATTTCGAGACGCTCAATAAGGACTTGAAGACAGCTGCTGAGGCGGCCGCAAACAAGCCTTAGAGTGGGCTTGAAGTGTACGTTCGGTCGAGCCAGGAAATCCTCAATTTGCCTTCATCTGTAATTACCTACAAGTAGCTTATTAGCGCCAGCCTTTTGTGAACAATCTCAATATCGCCATATTTTTCCTCCGCTTTCTATGTTGTAGCTCACTCCTGCCTCCCTGCAGGCAGGCAACCGGATGTCGGTTCAATGCCACGTACCTACCTACCTACCTATAGGCACCTAAAGTAAGCACGGTGCTTCATTGGTGCAAATTCAACCAAGCATAAATCGAGAACGAAAGTTGTACGTGCTGTAGGTAGGTACAAGCGCTGCAGCTACTAAGTATAGCACACTGGGTATTTCGTTACAAACAGAGTAGTACTGGCGTACCTACCTAGGTAGGCCTAGATGATATGATCTGCAATTGGAGTTACATGTACCTATAGACCTATATACCTAGACTGGGCGTTGTGCTTGTGTGCTATTGGTCGCATGTTGTGTCACCGGATTTTCAGTGTAGAAATTTCGAGTTCCAAGGTTCTGCTCGCAATTTGTAACGATTTTGGGAACACCGACATCAGCGGAGAGTTTCAATGCAATAGCGTTGCAGTCTTGGTATTTGCACTTTGATTTGTTACATCTTTGGGGTACGTAGGTAGGTCTCTCATATCAATTTGGGGTTGATTGAACGAGGCCGCGCTTCAGACTGTCGAATTATCTTGGTACCAAGGTCAATCTGATGTGACGGTGATCCTTCCGGTGTAACGCGTAGATCTGGAGTCCTGCATGCAGGCTTACGGGGAGCTTTTCTGCGTAACATTCCCGCTCCCGTCCCACTTGCATGTGGAACCCTAACCTACCTACCTACTCCTCTAGTCCTTGGCTTGGGTCTAGATATACCAAGTTTCATCTCCACGGACGGCATATTTGTGATGGTAAAAGGCTGTATGGTGAGTTAGTATGACTGGCGCTCATACAATCCCCGACACGCCGAGACATGCTGACCACCATGTTAATCTTGATGGCTTGACAGTTTATAGTGTGCTATAATTGATACCTTGGGTAGATACCCAACGCAATAGGGTGGCGGTGTCTTTACCAGCATCACCTTCTAACGGTAATTCTATGCCGAAAGGTGCACATTGCTCTCTACTAAGTGCGATGACGGAATGACAACATCTACATGAGTTAATTACCTAGGTACAGAATATTAGAATACTGGTTTTTTGATCTTCGTTCGGGCCAACTCTTTTCAAAAATCGTCTACAAACGTTCTGATCAGACCACTTCCCAATATCACCCCCAAACATGTCATCTGGTTCCTTTGAGATCCCCCCTGGATCGGAGAAGGATAATCTCGGTCCTAGATTTCGAAGCTATGTCATCTTCTTGATTTCCCTAACAATAGCCTCGATCTGTCTAAGGTTATGGTCCCGAGCGCTTCTAAGATCGCCAGATAGCCACAAAGGGCGCTTCTGGTGGGATGACTGGGTAGCTGTCATCTCTGTGGTGCGTTCACCCTATTCAAATTAGTTCCATGGTCACTTCGCTTACTTTCAACAACCTCTTAGTTTCTTATACTTGCCCAATTAATATTGTCTCTCGTCTTAGTCGGCTTGGGCGTCGGACACCACGTCTGGTTTGTATCGTCGGAAAACATCACAACCATCCTGAAGCTGCTTCTGGTTACATACCTCGTATACGGCTTCGCTCTAACGGCGACCAAAGCATCCGCACTTCTATTCTTCAGTCGAATCTTCCCGAGCTTCGCGACACCGTGGTGGTGGAATACAGCATTATGGATAACCCACGCGGCTAACATCGCATGGCTTATTGCTTACACCATCGTGGAAGCTCTACAATGCCGACCTATTTCCAGGTTTTGGGATACAAATGTGGATGGCACTTGCTTAAGCCAAAGCAATATATATATCGGGGCCTCTATTCCTAGCGTTATACTCGATATCACCATTCTTCTATTGCCGGTACCTCGTCTTTGGGGTCTGCATACTACTCGAACCCGCAAAGTTGGTCTCTTTGTCGTCTTCGCCCTAGGATATGGGTAAGTTTGATTCTATATTTGCGAAGTCAAACTATCTGAATGGAACGCCTTCTAACTGTCCTCTAGCGTTGTGGTAGTTTCCGTTGGGCGCCTGGTGGTTGCTCTCGTGTTTCATCATAAAATAGACGAAGACGTGACCTGTAAGAATTATGCCCCATTCCCGGTCATCGCTATCCCACTCCTAAACTTTTACAACAACTATAAAGAATGAAATTTAACACTGTTCGCTCCATAGATAACGGTATATCGTCTTTTTGGTGGGGTATTTTAGAGGCCCCAATCACCTTATTCGGCGTCTGCGTCCCAGCCATGGTGCCGCTAGGACGTCGCGTACAGAGTATGATTTTCGAGCCAGTGGTAAGTAAGGTACAGACAACTCTAGGCTCTAGCCGCACGTTTGGGAGCAGGTCGAGGAACCTGACCCTAGATGGTTCAACTCAATACTCGGAAAGAAGCGTTAGGAAGAGTGGGCCATACGTCCCGATAGAGCCGAGCGGTGCAGACTCCGTCGATCTCAGGGACCAGAGCAAATTTCTGCACCTCCGTGAGGCGGATAAACTTCACACTTCACGAGTACAAGTCTGGGGTGGCGGCGCAACTGAAAATAATAACATTCAACTACAGTCGATTCGAGTGGAAAATGATTTCACTCTAAGCCACATGTAACGAAAAACAGCGCACGGCGATGCGCTCGGAACGTTTTATGTCAGGGGCAAGATGGCCTTTAGCGGCGTGTAAATATGAAATTCAAATTTTAAAAATCATAATTCAACCTTTGGTGACATTGTAAAACTGAAATCCTGAGCCAAACATAAAATATTCGTACCATATACAGTACTTTAAAGCAGTTCATTAACTCTACTTCAACAACAGACGACAAACCACAAAATACACTACACCTTGCCAAGAGAAAACTGATTGCGAAAACGTTTCACCAAGAGCTGACCGACAGTTGCGTCGTCCGGTTCTTGGGGGTCGAGCGGGTTAGTCGCTCCCGCATCGCCATGCCAAAACGTAGCACATGACAACCTTTCTGCTTCGGCTTTGTTGATAACACGGTGTCTCGCGCTCTTATATACATCACCTGACCATCTTTGTACTATATCGCCGCAGTTAATGATAAACACATCTTCCCTCGATGGCACCGGAAGCCATGCCTCTTGTTCCTCATGCCAAACTTCCAAGCCTTCTCGGTCAGGTTGCTGGAGCAGAGCGGTTATGCCGCCGAAGTCTGTGTGAGCGCCGACACCAAATTGACTGGGGAGTGTTGCGCTTGCGGGCGGGTACCGGATCATCTTCATCATGACCATGGGTCTCTGGGCGAATTTATTTAGTACACTTGGTGGATGTCCAAGACCCTGAAGTAGGATCTCCCAGATTGTTCTTCCTAGCTGCTCTGTCTTGTTGTAATACTCCCAGACCGGATCACGAAAGTCTTCATTTGGCAAATCAGGCCAGACGTTAGGACCGTAAAATCCCGGGAGCTCAACGACTGAGTCTTCACGGCCGACGTAAAAGGCCCAGGAACAGTTAGCGAAGAAAGATTTATAAGATTGAATTTATTCACCTCTTTTGAGTCAGGAAGAGCATCGCCATCTCGAATTGACATTCCAGAAGCCTCATATCCACGACGGCATGGGTTTTGTAGAAATGAGAGTTTGATTTTCTCTTCTTCAGGCAATTTGAAGAATTTGTCGATACTTTTAAGCAAGCTCTGTTGAGCTCCTAGAGGCACACCATGACCTTTGACTTGAAGGAATCCATATTGACGACAGGCATCGCAAACCTGTGCTATAACCCTTTCCTTGTCTCCTGGAGAACCTGGCCTGGTATAGCCGGTCAGGTCAACAAGTGGCAGTACCAGATTATTGGTGGACATATTGATCTGCAATACGTTTAAGATGCGAGGTAGATCGCCTAAAAGGTATAGAGAAAGTTGATTCTCGGACTATTATATACCTACCTACCTAGGTAGTTACCTAGGTAGGTACTCATCACACGACTGTCGTTTTATTTATTGGTATATACTTGGGTATGTATATTTATGAGGACGCCTCATTGATGCAGCATACGTGTACTTGTATCTTTTAGTTACTCCGACGTATATGTACATCCAATCCTACCTAGGTACGTACCTAAGCGAGACATCAGTCATCGCCCCCTTCATCCCTATAATAGAAAACACAGAGTCCTAGACACCCAGGTTGGTAGTGTACCTTCCTAGCTGCATTAGGTACCTACCTGGTCAGGTTCACGATATATTAACCACCTTCATTCGCATATCTGTGTTCTTAGAGCCTGCTAAGTCGCCAAGTATTTTAGTTTATACCATCCACGATGCACGTTATAATCATCGGAGCAGGCCTCGGAGGGCTTAGCCTAGCTCAGTGTCTCCGAAAGCAAGGTATCTCATTTGAGATCTTCGAGCGCGACGTTACTCCAAAAGCTCGTTTCCAGGGGTGGGCTATCGCTCTTTATGGGTAAGTAGGATATCGCCACTACCCACCTAGGCTGTTATAGAATAGTCTGATTATACCATCGCGCTAATACATACGAATTAGCTCGACCGTGGAGGACCTTGCCTCATCTTTTCCGTCTGATGTGCCTGACCTGAGAGAGTCTACGAACCATCTGCAGCCGCTGAGTATTCCCGCTCAGCTCTGCATGTACGCCCCCGACAAAGACGGCCGTATTGGCGTCGAGGTATGTGGCTTGTTACGTCGCGCGTAGGAACAAAAATGCTAACAGGAGCCATCTTGAAATCAATAGGACTCGTCTGAGATCCCATTGATCCGCGCAGAGCGCCTAAGGTTGAGAAACTGGCTTGCAACCAATCTCTCCATTCAATGGGGGAAACGTCTTACACGCATCGAACAAGGCGATGATGGGGTTTCGGTTTATTTCGAAGACGGCACAAGTGCCAAAGGGGACATTGTAGTTGGTGCCGATGGCGTTAAGAGTGTTGGTGGGTCTTGCCCCTTCAACTTATATGCTTCTATGGCATGTGCGCTGACTTGAAAAGTGAGAGAATATTTGTTAGAAAAGCCCAACAGTGATCTCCTGAGTCTAGTCCCCCTCGCCGCCATTGTCGGGCAGCTGGAGCTATCCGGGGACGCCTTCAAAAGGCAGCTTGAGCTTGGACACAGCGGGTACTTGGTGAGAAGCCAGGAATTGGGCTTCTTCAACTTCTGCGGTCTGCATGAAACAAACCCCGATGGGGTCTCCGGCAAGCATTACTGGATGTGGATGACACCCGATCCCAATGTTGCCGAGCCCGATCATTGGCTTCAAAATGCCAGCCAGCAGGAGAAACTAGACCATGTGCTGAAGTCAGTGGCTCCTCTCCCGCCCCAGTTTCGTGAGATTTTTGAGCAAACTCCCGCGAGTGGAATTACTGAGAAGCCTTATATCTGGCGCGACCTTCAACTAGAACAATCTAGCTTGCCGGCTGGTCGCGTCGTGCTTTTGGGCGATGCTGCTCATGCTATGACTCCTTTCAGGGGCGAAGGCGGCTTCCATGCATTTATCGACGCGTTAAAATTGTCTAAGGTGCTGGGTCAACTCAATGCTAGTGAGGTAGGCAATGGGGTGGAGGGAATCAAGACTGCTATTGCCGAGTACAATTCCGAGATGCTCCAGAGATGCTGGGTAGCAGTGCAAGACTCGAGGAATATGCAGGTTGGAAAACAGCCCGGGAAAGCAGGTGCGAAGCCGTGGAGAGGGGCAAGGCCACTACCAAAAGAGAATATCGTGTTGCAGCCTATGGCTTGATGGTTGGTGAAATAGTAACTACCTTAGATATCGGTATAGGGTATCTTAACAATGATCATATAATTACCATCTTACGCATTACCAGATGTTATAAGGGCTCTATACGACCTTCTAAATAAGTTGTTTTGAAAGCGACAGTGAGGTTGAAGATACCTTAGCAGCTAAGCGTTTGGTATGGTGGGGGTCGTGAGGGGGTGGCGTCGGATAGCGTGGGGGGATGGGGTCCGGGCACGCATCATTTACAATTAAATCTGCTTTTGCCTGTAAAGATACCGTCTCAGATTCTACATCACATAGTTATCCCCTAGTACCTAATATCTTTTCTCATCCTCACTGTTAAATAAGAAACGATACCAATGCTACACCCCCGAGCGACCGAATATCGAGCCCCCCCGGACGAAAGCCATAAATCGAATACTCCCGTCCCCGTGAACGATCCGCTCCCATTTCCGATGTACTACTATTTGGTTATAAAGAAACACGTTATTAGCGACGAGGCTGGGCGATACCGTGCTTCTTGATGAACTCTTTTTGGTCATCTTCGTTCGCCAGGCTTTTAAATTCGTCGATAAGAGGTGAATCGCGGTACAGTTTATAAACAGTCGTAGGGGTCCGGTACGCATAGCCTGTCCACTGTCCGTTCACCAATCGCTTGGTCGGCTTGTCTTTCTTCTCTTTTGGCGGGGAAGGACTCCTCGTGGTATTTCCACCCCGTTCATACATCTCTTCATCATCACTTGAGCTTTCATAGTTATCGGTGTAGTCCTCATTCGCGTCCTTGTCGTTTCCATCGGAGAGCCCCTTTTCTTCTACCTTAGCGCACTGGCTATCCTGCGCAAGTGCGGTGCCACCTTGGCCGTGCCTGTCGTCATCGTCGCCGGGAGCTTGTCTTTAGATCAGCTTAGGCATGACAATATGCGGGGGTTGACACGGTGCGTTAGGTAAACAAGAGGTAGACGACGGAGGCGATCGTGTTGATGCGTATGATGGTAGGTTAGATGTAGGAGCTCAGAGGGATTGAAAACGACTGAAATGATCGCTGTAGGGATCCTTTGTGTGGCAACGGAAGAACCTAGACTCACCGATACGACCGTCGGCCTTACTCGTACTCTGAGATGCCATGTTGGGCTCGACTGAAAGTCGTATTTATCGAAATCTACATAAATCTACATAGGAAAAAGAGATGCCAATGTCCTAGGCAGCTATTTAATGAAGGTGTACCTAGGTAGGCTATGATCCAACGGTTCAAATCAGGTTTGTCATCAGTGAACAGATGATCGACACTAACGCCGAGTTACGCTTTACCTGCTCAGTCATACGCGAGCACCAACAGGCAGCCACAAGTACCTACCTAAGGTAATACAAATTGAGAAGGATATTTCATCTATTAACACTTAGGTAGCTAATACCTAGAAATATGAGTCAGCATTACCCTTTAGATTTCGTAAAATTCAAGAATTAGGTAGATGTGCTGTTGATATCCCGCTCCTTTTAAGTATGTATATCCACGAATTAAACCCTATCAGGATTTGAGCGATTGAGCTTAGGTGTGCCTAATGAGAAAGACTTCCAGACGCGATATTTAGCCCTTTATATGATACTGTTGACAGATACCTAGCTTGTTCATAACACCGGTCCACTAAACACAGTGAAGCATCAAAAGGCTTCAGCGGCTTAACAATACCTATCTAAGTACATGCGCATGTCTACCCAACACCGAGCTGAATCGAGTCCTAAATAATGCGGAACGTCCCGTGCTAATATATCATTCGATGTTCAAGTAGAAAAGCCCCCTACCTCGATACATTATGCAGTCACTGTTCCTTATATCCAATTTCAGGTGAATTAAGGTACCCAATGAGTTACTTTAGGAGTCGAAATCGTCCTACAGATCAACTTGGAGATGCCAATATTACGACGCAATCGCATCGGCCCAACCGTGGCGAAGCTTGATATCCCAGCCTCAGGTGCGAGATACATTATTTGTTCAGGTAGAGTTCCCAACGAGTGTAGTTCATTTGGTATTCTTACTAACACCCATGTATATAACCACAAGTTCATTGTTTCGTTTCCTCTCCCCTTTATAAATCCCTCTCGCCTTATACTCATACCTAATTTCTATAACTGCTATTTTCCACGAAAACCGCGTGCTCTTAGCATTTAGATGATAATAGACGATCAGTTCAGGGCCGCTCTCCAGACCTATTACTTAGCTATTCAATCGGATATGGATCTGACTGCCGTGATGACAGACGAGACGTCATTCAACGGCGCCGAGATACTTAAGCCTTGGGACGAATTGCGACTTAATTTTGAAGAATGTAAGAATCAATCCCTAGCACATATGCCAATGCTCGAGAAATTGCGAAAATTAGCAAATGGAATTCAAGAAATCACGGAATTATTTTTCAAAGAAGCTGGTCGCTTTGACTGCATACGTGCCGCTCTTGACGAAATATTGAACGGACATGGAGGCATAATCCCAATGTTAGAATATCTCAGTGCAGTCGAATTAATCAACCTGGATGGAGAGAAAGATTCGGACATAGAAGTCGAAGTACAGGCGATAAATTTGGTCGTAACGGTGGGCAAATCATTGCAAAACCGAGGCCCACTAGAGCCCCTAGAATACAGGATTATCCTTCGTGAGATCGTCGATTCGGCAATTTTTGAACTTCTCAATACGTTTCGTATTAACCCCATACCAAACGAGATACTGGCCGAGGCCGACGTTGCCACTCATTTCAACTTATACAGTGACCTGTGTCAGCGTATACTATCCAAAAGCATCAGCTTAAGACCGGAAATACGGGCTGCCGCTGAGCCCAATTCCGAGAGGTCCACGGGTGGCTTCCAATATTCAAACAGCCTCGACTACAAGACTGACCAACTTCGAATCCTTGAAATACTCCCTGGTGTTAGGGATGACCGTATTATTTGTCGTCTGGTCAAGTGTGACTTGCGCGACGGAATTCCAGAAGCTCTATCGTACGTTTGGGGTAAAGATATGTCGCAAACTTCTATTCAAGTTGATGGGCAAGATTTTCATGTCACAAAGAATCTGTATGAAATACTTCGAAACATACGGTATTCAGACCGTATCAGGGCTATCTGGATTGATGCAGTATGCATTAATCAATCAGATGCCCAAGAGAAGACACACCAAGTTCGCATGATGGGGGATATCTACTCCAAGGCTGAAAACACCATCATTTGGCTAGGTGATGACAATGATGCAAATGAATGTGCCTTCGACATGGCCTCATGGTGTCCCCCATTCCCTGATGGAGCTAAGGGCCTTACGATAAACGAATACGATCTCATTGCAATTTTAAGGGAAGCTAAAAAATATTCGTTTGAAGAAGGAGAGTGGAGCAAACGACAATGGATTCTTTACGCCATGCTCCGTCGTTGCTTCGCTCGAATTGTTTTTCGGGACTGGTGGGAGAGGGTATGGACGCTTCAAGAAGCCGCCCTTCCGCCAAAGGCGCCCCTTTTTTTCTTTCAGGGCCATAACTTCTCGTTCGATGAACTGGTGGACGCTCAAAACCTCATACATAAGTTGGACCCGTTGGTGGAAAAGCAATTAGGTAATATGTGCAATGTGGTAGGGAACGGTGAGTATACTCGCTCAGCCATCAATGGAATTATCTTGCTGACCCAACCGCAGAGGTAGAGAAAATTATATTGGCGCTTGGAAAAGTGCCGGGCGAATCTTTGGCTCGTAGCAGATTATTGCTTATTTACCGACATGGCCTAGAGCGTCTAGAGAAAACTCGTAAACCTTTATTCAAAACACTCCCCAGTTTACTCCTTCACACATGCATTTGCCAGGCTACAGAACCCAAAGATAAAATTTTCGCACTGGCCTCGCTGCTCTCCAAGCCCCTTGGCAAACTCATACAGATTGATTACAGCGAAGAGTGTGAGGAGACATTCAAGCGCGCAACGGCTCGATCCATTAATGGATATGGACTCGGTTTAACGAGCAGTTTTAATTTCCTCTTTGAGTCGAGCCTGCGTGAAGGCAAAACACCTACCGGCCCCTCTTGGGTTCTCGATTTCACCTATTCCGACGCTCAGTTTTCCAGGAGCAATTCACCAAGAGACTGGATAGATGGTGTAACACCAAACACATTCATGTACGATCATGGTCCTCCTAAAGTTAGGAAGGCGCCGTTTGGAAGAATCTACGCCACTCCTAAATCTCTATTCTGTGCGGGATGCCGCATAGATGAAGTCTGTCACATCGGCAAAGTCGCAAATCCACACGATTTTCCGTTGCCATCTGACATATCCGAACTATTTTCAAAAGAAGGGTATCCGCTGAATATATTTAAACTCCCTTATGCCATATATATGGCACGCGGCAAACTATTAGGACAAGTTGATTTCCAGAATCCCATAGACATCATACAAGCGGACGACGAAGAAACCCTTGACAAACTCAAGTTCTATATGGAACTTCTCTCTCCTAAGTTCGAACGTCCCTTGCTAAAAGGCACAACGATGGCCGATCTCGGGTTTTTAAACTATGAACTCGCCGACCAACTATGTTTTATCACGAAAGAGGGGCTCGTCGGTCTATCTACAGCCCCCATTGAACCGGGCGATTCTCTCTGCTATATAGACACTGCCCGGGTATATATTATCCTTAGGGATGTGAAAGATGAGAATGGCAGCCCAAGAACGCGAAGGATTGTTTCTCGCGCGGCTATAAGTTATGGGTTTGACATGGTGAAATTGATCAACTCTAAAGAAAGATGCGCCTTTCAGATTGTTTAACAGAGCGAGGTTACCGTGCTAGGAACCGAGCTTTTCTAAGTAACTGGCGTATTATCTCAAAATATAGCAGTAAGGCGGAATGAGAAGTTCTTGTGTTTTCACATGTTTATTTCAAAGCTAGCTTCAACCATTGGGCCTGAGAAATCGGAGGAAAGGCCCGAAACTGACGGATTTTCTTCTGTCTAGTTACACCAGGCGAAGTGAGGGCGATCAGCTGAAGTGTTCAAATGACAGTTAAATCATAAAAAAAGTGAGCAAAACCTTAATGCTAAGACGAATGATCGTTACTTACACGCTGTCATCTAAGCACCTAAGCGCCCGTCGTATCTCAAATTAGCACGTGAAGTATAACTACAGCAGCCTGCCAAAAGAGTACTTCGCTAAGCGATATCTAACTTCCACTTATAAGGCAGGTAGTATACAGTTAAACGAAGTCCCTTTTTGATAGAGGCTAAGTCAATATATTCATTTTACAGCTATTTAAAAGCCCCGACCCAAATGACATTTTCACTAAACCGCGAATGATAGGGTATGTGTTGCTCTCACAAGTAACTCAGTCGTACCTGGTTATAGACTCGAGTAAATTGTGAGATTTAACATTGAGTCAAGTCCTGAGAGTTTTGTTAAAGTATATAGGTAAATTCATAGATTATGCTTTCCCCCTTAATTTACTCCGACGCCTAACCAACAACGAAACAGAAGACGTTTAAATCTCAACTACTACGATGACCTCTTAGGCACCGCGAATTTCTCTAAAGGAGAGTGCGACAAGTGACTGCCGCATAACCCATTCATGCGAGTATTAACCTAGGCATGAGTCCTCACTTTGCCTCTAGAATGAGTGCAGGTCTATACCCAGGTAGGTATTTTATCGTTAAGGTATTGATGTAGATTTACAATAAGCAAAGAGTTGGCTTTAACATTTACCATATCAAAGTGATAATATTCTTAAACTAAACCTACGCAATATTTAAAGGTTAAGTACATTATCAATTAACTATCTAACTTCGCCGGCTTCACTTATTCCGCATCACCACCAGCCTTCCCTCCAGCGGCGCAAACTTTAAACCTCCGGAGAGCCGCCGGCCGCAACCCCCTCGAGTCGCATCGAGAAACCGGTTACGGGCACAATAATAACGAACGAGGTAACCTATCAAAGATCGGTACCGATCTACTTGCATGCTAGGTACCAACCTACCTCGCATATATGTACAGGACGTAATACGTGGGAAAAGTAAAAAGAAGAAATCGAAAAATAGAAATAGAACAGCACATCGAACAACACAACAACACAAAAAAAATACGCCGCGCCAAACGGAGCAGGCGAGATGTCTCGCGGCGTCCCTATCTACGTAGAATTAATGTGGACAATAAAAATCGGACTCGGCCGAAGACCCCGAAGGTCGCATGGGATCCGACCCTAGCTTACTTATAACAAGAGGGGAAAAGAAAAAAAGCAAAAGTTAAGAGGAATATCAAGAAAAATAATATTAAAACACGTAATATACATACCTACATAATAAGGCAGACCAGAGATGAAAAAAAAAATTGCTGACGGGAAGGTGTGTGATGGGGCCATGGTAACGATCGCATTGGTCGCCGATCAGGATGGAATGCATTTGCATGCCGACCAACGCTAATTTGTGTGTACCACGCCACACCTATAGAAACCAGTTGCAAAATATGGAATGGGGTGATTGATACGTGAGTATTATACTATCATCAACAGGAGGGCTAGATCCAGATCGCACCGCAGTATGTAGTAATCTATGAAATACAGGGGTGAAGCCTACATAATACAGCCTACCTACGCCCCTGTCTAGGGTTATAGCTTAAAGCAGCTTGTCTAGCTTGTGAACGAGAACAGGATGGATAGTAATACCAATCAATATTTTCCTAGACTTGCAGCAGCTTTGTGTGCGCCCGCGGGGGTCCCACCATACGCTTTCGTCGAAGGGGGGATGAAAGACATATATATGTCGTATAAGGAGATAGATGGTTACGTAGTAGTAATTAGAAGCAGAACATCGTCATATGCGAGCAATATCGAACTTGATGCGGTGCGGTACGGCTACGGCATATAATGCGGTTCGGTTCGTTGGGCGATTATATGTAACGGTGGAACTTAACCTCGAACTCGAACTCGCACTCGCACGTCGCGCGGAATTACTACTTACATCATTCAGGCACGCGTCAGGCCTAAGTCCGGGTCGCGGGATGAGGGTTACAATGGTCAAACTTGCAGACCTAAAAAGGGGGGGTAGATGGGTAGATGAGGCACACACATAAAATCGGGATGGTTGCTTTTTTGAGTCATCCCCAAGTGGCGGTCAAGGGGAAAAAAGGGGTACGAAATCTATTATAACCCGGCTTCGACGGACGTTCTCTTAGAACTTTATTATAACAGTGAGACTTAGACTTCCTTAGCTTCAACGGTGACATGAATCAATGCCAAGGGGGAGTGGAGTAAAGAAATATGGAGGATTTAAATATGAAGCTTACACCTAGGTAGGCACAATTGTAGGTGCTTGCGTGGTTGGTGACGATGGTGATTGTGATGATAGTGGGGAAAAAGAGGCGTTTTTTGTCACCTGAAAACAACTGGATAGGAATGATCAGGACAAGGATAAGCAATGACTTCAGACAGAGACCTAAGTAATATATGTAGGTACTTATGTAGCCGCTGATAACCGGGGCGGATAAAGTGGGTGAAGGCAAACTATTGTATGTGCGGATGTCTTTATTTCTTTTTTTAATAAGAATTGAATTTAGCTACGGCACCTACGGATGTATTGTGCCTTGCATCCTGCAGGTTGGATTGTTAAAAAGGATGGTATGTAACTCAAGACCGTCCGTAGTTTAATGGGTAGGGCAAGGAAGAGTAAGGTACGCGCTTAATACCTTACATGTAAGTAGGTACCTCGTAGCGGGTATAGATGCGAACATGTGGCTAATGAACGGCGTGTAATCGATGTAAGAAATACCTACCATGCACGTATAATAACTTACCCAGATATTCCCTCCCATATGCTGTCATCATGGATGGATGGGTTCGAAGTCGGTCCCTGTGCCTTGTGACTCTGGAACGACCCGGATCGCTGGGGCATTACAAACATAGTAAATAAATCGATCCAGGAGTAATTCACCTTCCGTCCACATGCTCATCTTTAACAAATCTTAGTCGACGAGAGTAATTGTACGGAAGGAATGAAGGGGCGTGATGTCCGTCCGCGTCACATCTTGATCCTTCTTAATCTGTATCTGCCTCACTATTTATGTGGTGCCGATGCCTTGTCTGTCCTTTGCGATACAAAAAGGCTAGCATATACAATAAAGTAGTTGTAGATAGTGTTTGCGTCTCAGCCCTGTACCTTGGCAGGGTCCCTAGGATCGATGGATTCGCCCGCCAGGTATGGAAGTACTATTATGTACCTGTCTGTGCTGCGGAATCCGGATGGGCTGACTTTTCCAATTCTCTGCTTACGCACGACACGGTGCCCGGTGATAACGGACGGCCTAGACCTTGAATGTCTGGACTGGATAGTCATCTGATAACCAGCCCTGCTTGAGTTAATTATGCTCCTGCAATTATCCCAACCAGGCAACCAATCCAGGCAGAAAACGGGAAGTAATCAGCAATAGTCGAGATAATTAACACCAGGTAATATAGCCCCCTGGCTGCAACAGTTGAATCGGGATTAGTAGCAGGTGAGGTATGACGCGCCACCTGCATCTGGCAACAACTTACATGTATCCCGTCTCCTGGTAGGGCATATCGATAAGCGACAGTGTTGCGTCAGATCATCGCTTTCAAGGCGGGGGAGGGGAAAAAAAGAGACCAGGGCGGGACGGTAGAAAGAGGGGTTGATTAATAGAGGAAAAGACCGGCTGGCCGGGGCGTCAGGGGCCTTGGCTTTGGTGCTTATTGTCACCTTCAACCCTTAACCAAATAACTCAAAGAATAATTCAAGGATGTTGACTGCAAGTCTCTCATATCTTAAATGTGTCCGAATAGGTAAATGCCTATCTTCATCTTTCGTATTAGTATCTGCGCGTCTCGATTTTCATTCTCATTTTTATTTTTCGAAATGAGCCCGCCATATATTTTCAAATTTTTTGTGTTTCTGGGAATCGTGGTGGTGTATACATGAAACACCAAAGAAGGCTGACGAGTGAATGGCTCGGGTGTAGCGCCAACGAATATGCCCGAATGATTTCAAGGCACGCCTCGGCATTTGGGGGTAAGGAGCCGAATTGGGATAAGAGTTTTCGTCCCGGACGACTATTCCAATTTCGGTGAATAGGAATAACCGCTAATTAGCAGTTGGGAACATCTTACACGTCTTACAATTAGAGGCAGACAGGGCGAAATGTGTGTTTCTTTATGTATGACTAATGCAGATAATACTACTGCATACGTGGTAGCCAGGTGGTGGATCATCAGGTACAAAACCACGATAATGGATTATGGGGATACCGTACATACGTTGTACACATGTCCTGTATTGCGTAGGGCAGGCGGTGAAAGTGTGATGGCATATTCGCGTATCTCGTAGTGGGAAGGCTTTAGGACTCTAGGGCTTGGTCCGAGTTCTGACGGGTGCATAAAATACGCCTGTAGGCAGGCAGGTAGGCAGGCAGGTAAGGGAGTGTTAAAAAAAGGCCCCGAGAGAAGCGAGAATCAAGTGGAGAAAAGCTGATGGTGTGTGGAAGGATGGATGGGGTGGTGTATGTGTACAGTATTGTACGGGGTACGGTAGTCCGTATTTGTTGTAGTAAAAGTCAGCTGAATTGCTTACCTGTGTATTATTTATGGCCATAGGATCCGGATGCGATGAACTGGCAGGAATGCGGCGAAACCAGAAAGATCTCCGGGAATCCGAGGGCATCTCGACACGATATTCCGGTATAAGGACAACCCTTGACGGGATGCGATGCTCCCCTGAGGGTGCTTATGTAGGCACACAAGTAGGCACATGATAAAAATAATGTAATCGAGGCTCGAGGATACATATTGACCGAGTCAATGCGCCCGTCGTTCGTTGGATGGACATCTCCCCCGGCAATAAAAACTGGAGGATGGTCGTCGAACGTACATACTGGATAGGCAGGCGTTGCGTCAGAGAGGGTCGACATGACGCAGATCGCAGCCCGATGAAGCCTAGTCTAAGGCAGGCTTCTCCTCAGGGTTGCATAGATTTGACGGACGAACAAGAGATCGTTTTCAGAAACACACATTATTAAAACAATGCATCTTCCCTTGACTGATTAGATTGCGTTCAGTGGAAGAAGGCGAACTATCCATCCGTAGCGCCGATACGTTGGGCGAAAAAGAGCATTGATGCTTTCGTGAGACTTGGGACGTACGTAAGGTACCAGGGAAAAAAAGGAAAAAAAGTGGTCGGCGGAAAAAAAGGCCCAGTGCTAACTTCGTCGGTTCGAACGAACACGTACACGTACATGTATGTATCGTACTATATATCTGTACTATACTCGGGTGGTTCTAAACAAGCTTACTTTTGAGCTCAGTGTACCTGAGTTTTTGTTGGAACAGGGGGGAGGGCATATAAAGTAAAACATTACCAACGCGGAATTTCGGAGTTTAATAGGTAAGTTCAAGCTCGTAAGAGGAATTAAGAAACTTTGGTATTTGTTGTCAATGTTGTCAATGTTGCCTATTTTATCATGATACAAGTAAGAGGGCCCAGACAATTCGTTTCGTCGTACATAAGGGAACCGGAAAAGAAGCGCGCTTGTCACCAGTTGTACTCATTGTAACTTGGTGATACCCAATCCAGGAGAACGGAAAGACAGGATCCAATCCGTAAGAAGGTAGGTAAGCAGTCAGACCGTGTGGCACGACAGATGACCACGCCGCCACGGAGGTGACGAATGTTCGGGACGTTCAGGGACGAGAAAAAAAGGGACCATTCTTTCTTTTCTTTTTTTTTGTCTTAATTGTCTTAATATTCTATTCCTTGTGATGATGCTGGTGTCGATGAGGTGCATGCGGCTAGTGGTGTTAGAGTGGTTATAGTGTATGGTGGTCGTAGTAGTTTGTATTGATTAGAGTGGAACTGGAGACAGATCTTCCTCATGCCTTGAGGAGCTGAGGAGCTGAGGCGCTGGAGGGCGCTTACAACCAAGACTTTTATACTAGTCTGTGCAGCTAACTAACGCCTAGTTTCGAGATGGTCGCGATCCATGATGTATGTGTATATGTAGGCTGAGAAATAGTAGTATGTAGATGAGTTGTAGATGGTTGGATGTATGTGGTATGTAAGGTATTATGTCTGTGATGGCGGCTAGTTGTGGGGTCGGGGAAGGATAAGATGCGATCCATGGGTGGATGGATAGATGGATCAAAACTGGATGCACACGTTTAAGTTAGTCTAATCGTTTTAGTCTTTTAGTTTAGTCGCTTGAGTATGTACTATGTAGTTTCCAACTTGGAAGTGTACAAAATGGAATGTATTATGCAAGAAGAACAATCGACCTGGAATCGACAACTTTTTGATCCCATGATCCCTTCCTCCATCGCACCCGAGTCCGGGGGGTGATTTCCAAGGTTCTCTGGAACATATGAATACGCTAAAGTAAGTACCAATTGGATCGTGGCGTGGTTTTTTATAGAATGTGCGAACCCCTGTCAGCCTATCGCTACTTAGCTACGTACCTAAGTATCCATGTACATACATCCATACATCCATACATCTGTACCTGGCTGCCCTTGGCAAGTCCTGTCCTTGCCCTGACCTTAATATGTATGCCAGCAACTAGACTTCCCAGCCTTCCTTAGCTCCCTAGTGCGAGGGGACGGAAAGAGGAACGAGGGGAAAGAAGACGGGCGGGTACCCCTACCGCTTAGGTACATACGTACATACATACAACCTATGCATGTACATTTGAACCCATATGCATCCATACCCCCCTTACCCCTGTAAGGTTCGTTATGCAGGGAAGCTGCCCTGCCCTGTAACAAGTAAAAGGTAGAAAGATGTAGCAAGTAGCAAGTAGCAGCGACCCCAACCCCTCGCCCTCGCACCAACAGTGGAATAAACTCACACGCAAAAACCCCTCCGTCCGTTGCTGTTGCAGTTGCTGTTCTGCCCCTCTTTTTTTGGCTATCCCACCAACGCAAGGTAGCGCTGAGAAAAGGAAAACTCGTTCACATTCTTTTTTTCTGTCTTTTCCCTTCTGATATGACATCTGTGCGGTGGGAATCCTCCACGAACAAAGTCCGCAGCCCTCTTCTTCTTTGTTCAAGACCGAGTCGGCTTTCCCCTCTTGTTACCTTCGCCACCTCGCTTATCTCTTTCTCTTAATTTATTCGTTAGGATTATATGTTCCATTTTCCAAAACATCCATCTCTTCTCTTGGTGCCATCTGAGAAACCCGACATGAGAGAATAGCACGGACCAAATAAACGGATGGGAACAAAGACAAAAAAACGGCGAATTCAATTCAACTCAACTCTACATAGGTACACGTTACAGCTGAAAAAAGACAAAAAAAAAAAAAAGCTGCTTGTCTTTCGATGACCTCACTAGCGTGCCGTTCTTATCAAGTTGATGGCTATTCTTACGCTTTCAACGGCTTCTAACGAATTAACGGCTGCGATAATCACCACATCAGATATCCACTCCTGTACGTCTGGTCCGTCCATCTATCCACTTTACCAGGCACACACACACGCATACACTTCGTATAGCTCTTCATTCGTGCATATTTTCATACTGCCAAGCCTTCTTTCCCCCCCAAAGTGTCAACTTGTCCCTGTCAAAGGAGTTGGGTGGCCTAGGTCTCTTTAGGTCTCTCAGGTCTCTTGCGACAAAGTACTTTCTTACCTTGCAATACAAAACAATATGACAGCATTGCAGACAATATTACCGTATGACAAAACAATTCATAGCGGGAATATAGCGCTTCGTAACAGAGGACATAGTTAGGGGTTACCTACACACATACAAGCCTAATACATCCATTCCTCTTTTTTATCATCATTAATATTATTATTCTCTACATACACACACGCGAGCGCACACAAAATACATCTTAATACATATTGCCTAACTACCAGACTACCTAACCTAACTATTACTGCCTACTACCAAAAACAACTAAATACACTACTTACGCATACATGTGTCTTTCCCGGCTTCGACTAGGGATCCCCATCTAACTGGGCTATAACCCATCACAAGTCATCATTGACAAGCCGACCATCCCAACCCTCCCTCTTCTTTACCTACCTACCTATCTCATCATCTTGCTTCATTAACCCCTCCAATATTTTCTCCCCCCGTCCTAGATCCCTTCTCTCCTCGCCTCATCCCTTCTTGCCACTTGCCAACCTATTTTTCCCTCTCCCCTTTTCGCAATAATATTCTCACCATTTTAACAAATCATCATTTTAATGATTTTTACCTAAATTCAGGGATATTACTACGAATTAACTCGGTTGGTTCTCGACTCGGAGACCCGCATGAATTATTTTCTAAAAAATATTTGGCCCTCAATCGTTTGCTTTCAGCTTGATCGACCCCAACTCCCGCTTCTGGATCCAACCTCCTCGGTGGTTGGTTAGTTCCTGGCCTAGACTCCCTCGGGTACTCTCCTCTCACTCGCCGTTCGGGATGAATGCGCTCTCGGTCCAAGCACGATAACTGGTTAGAAAAACGTAGAAGGTTTGCATCATCCTTCCTGACTGATGTTATTTCTCTCGCATTCAACCTGACGATATTATTCGAATACCTCTACCCCTTGTTACCGGTCGCGACCATCAAAGGACGGACATTTGTCACTACTGGGTCTATCCCATCTTACACCCATCTGTCTCAGTTTCAGCCGCTGCCCGCTCGACCTGACTCGAACGAATCCAACTCCCCACCGAGAATTCCCGGAAGCTGGAAACACCCCCATCCATAGAAAAAAAAACAATCCCCATTCTCATATTCTCAATAACCTGTTGGTCTTCCAAGGAAAAAAAAAAAGTCTACGAATGAATTATATCGACCTTTCATCATCATTCCCTTTCTCCCCTCCCCCTTCCTTCGCTAAATATCCCTCCTTTGTGCTTCTTCCGTCATTTTAGTCTATCGCAACCAACTCCCGCCGCTTCCGTCACCTATCCCTAAGGGCATTGCTTTGCATTCCTAAGCCCGACGAAGTTAACCATTCTAGAAACAATCTGGAAATTACCGATTCGTTCGCTAAGGTCCGGCGATTATCTTCCGTGACTCCCCCGCCCGTGCGGATATTTGAAACTACCATGGCGGCGACTTTTCGGCCTGTCAATACCCCCATGGCGATCGATGTGAAGAAAGATGATGGGGTCGCGCGGTCGCCCACCACTCCTACCCCGACGAAGGCCACCTTTGGCCAACGACCATTACCAACATCCCCATTCCCACAAGCGGTCCAAATTCCCGAGAGTATCGAAGAAAAGCAAACACCGAAGCAGACCCCCAAACAAATTCCCAAGCGAGAAAATTCGCAACATTCAAGAAAATCTCGAGGAGGTTCAGAAGACGTTGATATGGATGATTCGGATGGAGAGACTCACGGCGATGATGGATCAGATGATGATAGCGTAAATGGGGATGGATCGAAGTCAAATAAGAAAAAGAAATCGCAACGTTTTTACTGCACGGACTATCCGCCCTGTAATCTGAGTTTTACGAGAAGCGAACATTTGGCAAGACATATACGGTACTGCTCAACGTCCCTTATCGTTTGGTGAATGGTTATTGATACTAATAATACTAGGAAACATACCGGAGAACGCCCGTTCCAATGTCATTGCTCAAGACGATTTTCGCGACTGGACAATTTGCGACAGCACGCACAGACCGTGCATGTTAACGAAGACATTCCGATCGATTCTCTCGCAGCTACAGGTACAAGATTCCAAAGACAGATCCGAACCGATCGAGTGCGCCAACCCGGAAGGGCACGGGCTTCTACAGCGGGAAGCATGGGTACTCCAACTCGTGGCCATGCGAAATCCCTGTCTACTTCAAGCATTAGCTCTGTTGGTTCCAACTTCAGCACTCGTGAGGATGTACGCCGGCGCCCGCCTCCCTTAGTTATGGCAGATCCGAGGTCTCGGCTTTCTATCGAGACATATCACCATACCCCCCCTGAAAATGCATATTCGTACCGGCCGCCATCTCCAAGTGACTTTAGCACACCCACGTCCGCAACCTTCTCAACTGGCCAGAATAGTCCTAGATGGGGATCCGCTATCGCATCGCCGAGTTCTTCGCACCAACGTCCGCAAAGCATGTATGCGGCAGGCCACCGAACCCCAGGCAGACGGTTGAGCGTTCCCTCTGGCGGTGGAATACCTTTTCAGTCTCCCCATGGAGCCACCTTAGGTCGACCTCTCTTTGGTCAGGGGCCGGTTAATACTTCAAATCCTGGTGCCTTCTCGCCATCCAGTAGCGTAATAGGATCACCGACGTCCTCTGTATTTTCTTCCAGGCGCGAATCCACATCACAGACCGAGGATTGGCGCCGTCGCACATGGCATCCTGACTCAACCAATTTCAGTAGCAGCCGCTTAAGCAATATGATGACTCCGTCCCAATTGCAGAGTCCAACAGCAACCCCTTTACCTTTGGCTACCCCGCAACAGCAGCCAACTACACTTCGACTCCCTGGAATAGAGTCGTTCGGTCCTATTCCGCACCGTCCTGCATCACCCCCGAGGCGAAATCCCTCTCCCATGATCGTTGATTCCGAAGTTTCTCACCCGCCAGCGCTGCTTCCTGCTGCTCATTCTGGAGACTCGGATGAAAGGCGCAATACTGCCAACTGGGACATGGGTTTGCATCGAGGCTTGACTCGACTTGATATTACTTCTAACAACCCACCGCCCCAGGAGACTACCAGTGCTTGGACTCGTGAAGTACATCAACCCGTTGAGGCCGAGCCAGAACGAATGAGAATCAACCCTCCGACTGTACGATTCAATGAACCCATCGTTGTCGAAAGCCGGCCACCCGGCCCAGCAAGTCTTCCAAGGACGTTCCACCAACACACGATGTCAGCGCCGTCGACTTCGAGGGAAGGGAAACGACGAGGATGGTATAATGGCCCTGTAACTGTGCATGCCGATGCGCCTCCCGAGAAGATGGCGCGGGTAGAACGCATGGTACACCCAAACATTAACGAGTTCCCCGGGTTCCCGGTGAGAGAGAATGTTGTGAACCCCCCGCCGAGAGATAACAATCCAGGGGAGCGAGACAACATGCTCCGCTTACAGGCTTTAGTAGCGGTCGCTACAAGTGAAGGAAACGCGACAACCGCATATTAAACCACGGGCTAATCAAGCCCGCGATATCCACAGCACTCCCGATATTACTTCATATCGATACCACAACTACATCATCTACCTACACAACGCCTGCCTATTACGAAACTTAGTACACACAAATCGCTATGATACACTACCCATAGCGGACTCACGAGACTTACGATTTCCCTTATTTTATCTAGAAGAGCATATATGCATGATATACGATCGTTAATCGGCTTACGAATATACCATCTCCTACTTATGTTTCTGCATCTACCATTGGCTTGGATTATACTATGGTGGCACGGTCGGCGTCACGGGTGGAGGAGTTGTTTACGATCAGAGGGAAGATGGGGTGTCTCCATTTTTCATTTGGTCACATACCGTCCCCGCCCTATGAAACGAATTTCCCTCGGATATCCCCTCGCTCTTATTGCGTCTTAGGTGGGCTGGCCTCTATTGATTTACACAAGATTTGGGCTGTAGCGATGTTTTATGTTTCCATTTTCCTAGCTGATGATTCACGACATGATCCAGATACCCATTCATTTTAAGATGAGGGTAATCGCAAGACGGGGGAACTAATGTTTGGTCTTTTGCATATCTTTTTGGGTGGCAGCGAGCATGAAGCTTCTCTTAGGAGCTTCGCAGTCTGTTGCCCCACCAATTAGACAAGAGCAGAGACTTTTAATTTTTATTCATGGGTTGCAAGACGTCTGGAAAGCCGCGTATCGTGGGATTGATACCCAAAGTTTTTGAAGGATATAACTGGTCTTGTCTTTTCCCTTCATTTTCATTCTAGTACATGCTTTCGAATATACTCGTATGATGGCGACGACACCATGGGGGTTGAGGACTTGCGGCTTACATACCTAGATAATCGCAGCTCTCGTTTAAAATCTTACAATGATCTAGCTGAATATGATGAAAGGTTTCAATCAGGGCATGGTCATTAGTGAACACGACGTACTACGCCAATTGCGCAGATACAGTTGGACAACTCCCAGTGTCTTGCGACTTAATTCTAATTATTATCTACCTATATTCCTATAATTTTCCACTTTACGTCTATCCTTTTCACCTATCTTATTAACCCTTTAAGCCGTTGGAAGATATGGTTATGAGGCTTTCCACCAACGACGAAGAAAGATACAGTAGCCGTTATTGCTGACACGATGGCAAACACGAGGTTCATATTACCGTAGCCAACACCATCACGAAGGGCACCAGCGACCACAGGGCCCACAGTCAGCCCCGCGCAAAAGAAAAGCGAATTAAAGCCGTATAGCTGAGCGTATGGGCCGTTCGCACCGAAGAAGCCTGGATTGGCCTTTTCAAATTTTTGGACTACATCGCTCGCTTCGACTACACTGGGCGATCCGATGATGGCGAGGCCTACGCCGTTGAGTGCTAGTAGAGCGCAGTATAGCACCACGTTGTTCTTTCCGGAAATGAGATGGTCCGATGGTAGGCGCAAGAGAATCAGGGTGGGAACTAGGTAGCCGAAGCCGAGGACTGCTGCGGGCTTCGTGCCGTATCGATCTACCGCCCACCCTGCGACGGGTCCGAGGATGAGATACGGAATGTCTAGAGCGATGAATAGAAGACCAGCTTGGAGTGATGTGAAACCGAAGAGACTTTGCGCTTCGGTCGGGATTGTGGCGTCGAACATGGCGAGTAATGCTGCTTGAACGAAGGCTAGAGTGAGGCCGACGAGGAGCCTGGGACTTCGGAAACATATTAGGACGGGTAGAGCTCGGATGATGCGGTTTGGTTCATGGCGGATCTTGTAGAAATCCTCGTCATCTTGGCGTTTCTTATTAGGTAATAATGAGTCCGTCTCGACAGGACCTTCTTCTCTCCCACCATCATCATCATCTCCTCTCTCCACTCCATTCCCCTCATCCCGTCTTTCTGGTGCGACACCAACACCGTACTTCGCCGCAGTCTTCTTTTCCACGACCAAAAGTCGCATCACGAAATCCAATCCCAACACTCCAGCGGCAACACCAAAAACCCCGCCGTATCCGGTCTTCTCATACAGCACGCCCCCAATCACCGGTGCCATCAACTCACCCACCGAAATAAATGAAAATATAGATCCAACCACTTTCCCCAAATTCTGGGGTCCGACGGTATCCAATACCATCGCAAGCCCAATAGTCCAAACCACAGCCGCACTCACACCCTGCAACACGCGCGCGACAAATAACACCGCTACACTCCGGCCAAACGCTAGCATCACGGTCGCAGCCATCAACGCAGCCAATCCGCTCAAAAACGGTGTCTGCCTCGATGAACTGCGGTCTGCGATCCAACCCGCGGGTACGGAGGATATGACGGACGCACCGGCGTATGCGGCGAGCAGGTTGGAGACGTAGGATTGGATTTCTGTGGAGGGGATTGAAAGACGGTTGTGTAGCATGAAGGGCAGGACGGGCACGATTAGGCCGTAGAGGAAGAGGTCGGTGAAAAGACCGATTGCGACGGTGGTGAGGTTGAAGAGCGTGTTGGAGCGTTGGGAGAGGAGGAGGGGTGGTTTGGAGGGCATGGTGGTTTATTCTTGGTAATAGTAGATGTTTGAAATAAAGACAGTAATATGAAAATTGAGTTATATACTTTATCTTATTTTTTACATTCTTTTTAATGAGATGTAGTTGTAGAGAGAAAATTGAGCCTCGATGCTTGGGTGTTATTCGTTTTGCTTGTTCCTGCAGATCGATGACCTCATAACTTGTGTGATAGCCACTTATAGTAGCTAATGGAATGGTATGGGTCGTCATAGTAGGATCTTACTATCTGATGAAGTTTTAGTCAAATATTTACTTATTATGATGTTTTAAAAGTGAAGTTTTTTCTAAGTGTTCGACTTGAGATTCAGTTTGGCCCAAGTCGACGGGTCTTGGCAACGTCGGAGGTCCACGATGCGAATACGGAAATCTATGACTCGGCATTAAACTAAGCATACAGTGGTTATTTTCTATCTAATTTAGAAAGCAGTTAACAGTATATTTGAAATGATTATCATAACCCTTTATGAGTTGGATTGCGGTGGTTGCGGGCTGAGTCCTACTTAGGTATGTGACGGTGCCAACGAGGTCTTCACCAACAACCAATAGCAGACAGTCGCATCGTAGCATGTCCACCACCTTCTGCATAGAAGCCCTATAGAACATTAGCTAATACGATAAGCCTCAATTGGCGTGGTATCTTCTGCTTGGAACTCCCCTTATTTTGCTATACCCCTGTAAGCTCAGCTCGCAATTCACCCTGAAAAAGGTCTAGTCTAAATCACGACCTCTTCAGCACGACGCAATGTAACTATAGATAGGATCACCTAATAGAATGTGCCGAGTTTGAATATGCTCTAATGACCATGCGCCTGTGGGTATGATAGACTAACGAAGCATTCACGTCATGCAATCTAATATTTTCTAACCAATTCACCTTGTGGATAGGAGGTGAAGAGCAGCTCAGTTCGCAATATGGCACCAATGCAGGAATCCAATATGGTGCCAGGGGATATGAATGTCGAAGGCCAAGATATTGTTCTTACTCTCGACTGTTCCAAGAAAACCTGCAAAAAACGTGATAGTCAAGTATAAAAGAGCGATGAATCCCTTCTTTCTAGACGAGTCTATCTGCAACCATTCACTCATTCGTATACACTCGTTCTTACTTCTTCGGAAGGCCAGTTTTCATCATGTACTTCAAATCTGCCATCGTTGGCACCCTAATACCGCTTCTCGGGGCGACTACCACCTACGGCGCACCTACTTCGACTTGTAGCAACTCGTCAATCGAAATCCCACCTGCATCGAACCAGCCCACGGGGAATCCGTCAGGGTGTAATCATACCACGCACTTCTTCCCACAGAAGCTCTACCATACAGGGAATAGCTCTTCCAACAAAACATTCCTCCAGCAATACCAGCTTATCACCGACTTCTACCGCCCAGGGGGGCCAATCCTGTTCTATCAAGGAGCGGAGACTGCGGCCTTCATTTGTGCTGAGCAAATTTCAATCTTCGACTTCGCGAAGACGCTTGGTGCTCTCGTGGTATCCATCGAACACCGATACTTTGGAATAAGCATACCATACGGACTCAAGTGGGAAGAGAATCCAGTTGTGGGTACCGCCCGAATCCTCAATCACCTTCACAATAGTTGCTAACTTTGAGCGTCTGAAGTGGCCAACTGAGTCCCTCGATCCTCTTACAATCGAAAACGTCTCCCTCGATACGATTTCTCTACTTCGTTGGGTCAAGAAGACTGTCCCTGGTGCTGAGGATAGTAAGGCCATTCTCTTCGGTGGTAAGACCCCAGTTGATTCATATCTAATGGTGATATACCCCTCACTGATGGTGTTGAAGGGTCGTACGCGGGATTCTTGACTGTTCATAACAAGAATACCTACTCGGATTTCTTCGGTGCGCTTGCATCGTCTCCACCGATTATTGGACAAGTCAGCGACCCGAATGATCCTCTCATTAACGGCATCGGAAACCAGGTAAGCATCTTGCGTTGGAATGAACAAGGAGACTACCTGCCTGTTCTATGCTAACAGCAATTTATAGGCCAGCAGCATCTACGGCCAACTATCCGCAGAGGGTGCCTTTCGGATCCAGAAGTCATTTGATGGCGTTCGTCGTCGCATTGCTCAAAGTAAGTCTACACTCGAGAACTATTTGAGTAACACTAACGTGACTCAAAGACGATATATCCGACATGAAAGAAAAATATAACCTCTGCACGGCACCCCGCACTCTTGCAAATGCTACGTATGTCTTAGAGGGCTTCCTCAACGCCTTTAGCTTCATAGCGGAATTCAACTGGCCACCCGCGGTGTTTGACCCGAGCATCACCATCGCGTACCCCGCCGAGGCCGCAATCAACGAGATCGCGGCCCTCGAAGCACCCTTCGAAGATTCGGAGCCTATCCGCATCGGCGTGAAATACTGGGGCCAAGCCAACGGCGCCAAATGCCTTGACTGGGAGACCACAATCCGCGGCGACGGCAGTGTGCCGTACTCCTGGATCCGATGCCATTACCTCAAGCACCCGGACGCGTTTACGTCGGAGGGCAGTATCTTCGGCTACCTACCCCCGGATAAGAGTGCCAAGAACGCCCTGGACGCGCGCTGCCAGTCCGACTTCAGCATCGACGCGACGGATGGCGGACTCGCGCATCAGCAGAAGCTCAAGACTAGTTTAGAGGATGTGGTTAACGGCCAGCGTCTGGTTGTTAGTACGGGCGAGTATGATAGTGCGACGGGCGCTACGTTCCCCCGTTGGGCGCCGGGCCCGGCGTTTAATGATACGAAACCTTTCTTCGTCTCGAGGGCTGCGCATATTGCGGATTTGTTGAGGGAGACAAAGTTCGATCGTGAGGGTGTGAAGGATGCGAGACGGGCCGAGTTGGAGGTTATTAAGGGGTGGCTGGGGTCTGAGGCGTAAGAGATAGAGCGGTGAGGGAGGAAGTGTGATGGTGGCGTTTTTGAAAGTGCTGCTGTGTAATACTGGAGTTGCATTCGTTACCGTATGTATCTGTGGGTAGTTCTGATTTAGGGGTTTGTATAATACATTTCACTTCTCTAGAATCGTTATGGCGTCCACCTTCTTTCATCGCCGTTTTCCTCTTCGTCCTTATCTTCCGATGCCGTGTGCCGGCCTAGTCCATCTTCATCCATGGCGGAAGAGTCTCATATTGCTCGAATTCAGCAGGGATATCGATGACGGCCGACCGCATAAATATATGCATGCTGCCGCTCCAGTTCCACTCCAAGCCCTCGATGCAGCCACCCTTGATGCTGACAGTGTTGCGGGGCTTCCCGTCCGCGCTGATGATGCGGTGGAACATACGTGATCCACACTCGGAACAGAAGTAACACTCCATGCTTCGTCCCTTTTCAGTCTGCCGATGAAAGACTTTCATACGACCCGCTAGGTCGGGAGAGAGGGGTAGTAGTCCGTCAGACGTGTATATGGCGGATGTCCCGAAAGCTGACGATGTCTGCTTTTGGCACTCCGTGCAGTGACAATAAAACAGAATTTTCGGTTTTGCTGTTGGCGTCGGAAACGAGGCGTTGCCACATTGACACCGCACCGCCAGTGGCTTGGCCTCGGTATCGGTTTCGGTCCCGTGTCCAGCCATTGTCTCTCTTCTAATAGGCGCTGAAGATCTCAATCTACTATGTGGTCGTACCTAGTTTTTTTCGTACCTGGGAAAGTGAGGTCTTTCACGAGCTTGCGAAACGTCTATGAACCTTTGATCGGGCACGAAAGAGGGGTCAGTGCACATAGATATAGTAGCTTGCCGTCGTAGACTAACCATTATTTACCCATCTCCAACTGGAGAAGCCTCGGCAGTTGATCAACACGATGTCCGCCGATCCCAAAAAGCCACCGAAAGCCACCAATTTCACTTCTCCGCACTGGAACTCCTTCGTACACCATGTTGAACATAGTCTCGTCAACTACTTCAATTGATTTCGTATTACTATTATGTAAGTTTTGATCGCTATTAATGCTTCGCTCATACACGACATGCAACATTCCTCAATAGATACAACCCAATGCGATTGATGCCCCATGAATTATCATAGCACAAGAATATACATGAACCCGCCAAAGGCCGCGATTATCATCCAAATCATTCCACCAACCACAAATTGCGTTCCCCTGAACGGCGCGGCACCATTCGGTTCATCGGGTGGACAGCTTATAACCGGGTGAAGAGCGGAACATGCCCTAGACGTCATGACAGCTTCGAGACTCGACACGGCCGATGCGTCTGGCCTGGGTCCACAGGTGGTTGAATTTTGTCTTCCGAGGCGGGATGGCTCGAGGACCGCGCACTTATCATGGCTGTCGTATTTGTCCGGACGTGGCGTATCTAGGATCCCTGTCACGTTCCAGCTGAAGTAGCCTTCTAGTATACTGGAACAACTCGGATCGTCTTCCGCCGCAACGGCATTGAAATCGGGTTGCTTCCCGCCTTTCTTGGTGGAGAACTCGATACCATTGCCTTGGTTGAAGAATTGTGTTTTATCGGCCACCGATTCATTGTTCGTGCAGTTACCCGAGCTCACGGTCCAGAGCAGATACCACTGTGCATCGTCGGCATCGCCGTCGCCAAGATCGACCGTATAGCTCCACGGGTAGTAAGGATCGCTCGTGTTAGCCCAATTAATCCATCTCAGATCTAAAATTCCATCGGAACCGGGGGCACTCTTGTTGGGGCTCATTTCAAAAATGGTATAATCGAAGTTTATATCAAGTGGCGCGGCGAGCTGCGAGCCCTTGATGGCGAAAATAATGGGGAAAAATCGCGAAGGCGCATATGTTTCGTTGCGCGGAAATATCAGGTGCGCTTCCACCGTCGCTGGAAATTCGATTGCTTGCGCCGCTGCCCAACATCGCGATATTAAGCCTAGAACAGCGCACACTGTCAGAAGACGTCGCGATTGATAACGAGAGTCGAACATGATTAAATAATAAGAACTATAACTAAACGAATGTATGTTCCATCAGCGACAACCGAAAAAAGTATACGGAAGGGAAGTTGTCCATATTTTTATTTTATTTTTTTCAAAAGGGGAAACTCCATAGACTTCAGCTCAACGAGCACGTTGTCATTCCGACCAATAGAATACCCTAGGATCTTGGCTTCGCCCTGGTATTGTTCCATGACAGGGGGCTTTCATCCCAATTGAAGCAGACCCCATGATCAGATCTGGGTATTTATAACGTTCTAGGCCTAGACAGATTCCAACGCCGTATGATTATCTCGTTCTTCTATAGCCACAACCATCCATGGTTACATCATAGGCGAGGCAGGAACTAAAACCGAACGATCGCGAACTAGGTAACAAAACGCGATACGAGCCACATTTGCCCTGCTAATGACTATATCAGCTACTTTATTAAGCTGACGCTATGACAGCCTTATAAGGCCCACCCTAAGAGGTTATAAACCCGACAGTTTAGAAGCGTTTTTAGACTAGTGATGTGGCAAAGCACCAGCGCTGATGACTCAATAAGAGTATACGGGGTGGTATAGTCAGATCAAATACAGCACTAGCATTTCATTGGTTAGTTTATTATTATAGATATTGTCCATACGAAAGCCAAGGCTAACTTTATTATTTGACACTCGAATGCTTAGAGTCGTTGTGCGACACACGATCATAGAACTACCTAACCTAGGTAAATTCCCGTCTACCTAGGTGACCGTTAAACTATGATGTGTGGGAACTGTATATGAGTATCTAGGTAGATGAATGAAATAGTCGATTGCTCTAGTTTGCTATGCTAAGTCTTCGTGCAGCCGTAACAAGGGTAGGTTCACGGTCCCCGAGGAACCCGAACCGCACCCCCTCGACCACTTCAAAATTGGCCCTTAAGAATCAATCGAATGCCACAAAGATACCCAAATATCGCTTCGGGTCTTCATTTAAAACAAGTCTGTAAGCCAAGACTTCCATCCTAAAATCGAGCCACTTCTGGAGTGAACCACTCGACTGGTAACGAACCGGCCGAGAGAAGCCGCGAGCCCATCAAGCCACCTAGGCACAACTTAGGGGAGGCTGCTTCATGATCTCATGTCGCATTCGTTTGACCTGAAATCAAATAGAGAATAGATGTAGTAGAGACATGGTGATACTCGGTATATATAAATCAGACGTTGTAGATCTATCTCGAGTTACCTTTTTGAGACAGCGATAGTCACACTGTACCTCTATTAGCGAACGTATCACGGAGACGGATCAGGACAAAGCCACGTACTGCAGCTAGAATTCATAGATACCAGCAGTGCACCTGTGTGTGCAGGATCGGATTTTGTGATCGTGAACGTGGATGATTCTGAGAGGTGTCAGGAACCATCCGGGTCGGTTCCTATCTTTGAGGAGTTATTTGGGAAACGGATATGTTTTCGAGATTTGATGAACTAGTGTGGAGAATAGGGGTCGCAACTGGACAATATAGATAACGGACATCGAGATTCTTATAGACGGCTCCAATCGGATTCAGGGGTATCCATTTTACGCGGAGTTCTCTTCGAAAAGAAGATCGTATGTCATCCCGTGTGCAAGATAGATGGAAGAGAATTAAATAATCGATATTAAGTGTTTATGACGGTGTAAGTTGTAAGAAGAAAACCTCTTTATCAGGTGAGATGATCTCCTTTTCGCTCTATCCATTTCCACTAATAATAAACTGACGATAATGTTGTTCAACCCCAGCAAGCCTTCCCATCTAGGTACGTGGGACAGGCGCGGCGTAGAGGCCGACCAGTAGAACAGCAATTAAGAATGCTCCTACCTGTGATACTGGAATAAAGATAACACTTTTGGGTGCTATATATCATGTATATTAAAGACAGACATGGTCACTTTCTTAATGTCGAGATGAGAACAACCCATTCTACCTGTCCATTTGCTTTCACTTCAGTTGAGTTTCACTAAGTACACTTTTGTGACGAGTTCACGATGGCTCCAAACATTGGGAACCCTCCGCACGGTTTCTTGATGCCTCCTGGCACAGTTCGGCTTATTAGCGGTTAGTACTTCGCGACTCAACGGCAAACTATCAATGTGTTACTAATGTGCTACAGAAAATGGGGAGTTTGAGAAGACAGAGATATTGCTACAGCCGACACCAACAGATGACCCCAATGATCCCTTGGTATGTATCGTCTGATATGTTATCTAATTTAAACTAGAATGGATCGCTAAGAGTTGCATGCAGAATTGGACTATTATTCGAAAGGCTATGAACTTCATCCCGATTCTAGCCCACATGGTAGTCATGTTCACACAGTGAGACTCCCGGTAATACGTAGAACTCACATCCGTTGCTAAAACTCGTTTAGGTTCTGTATACCTTTTGTGTTCTGGACACTATGGCTCCGTGACTTTCAATGTACCTACACCCAACTCAACACCTCCGCAGCATTTATGCATACTGGTGCAGCTCTCGGTGGTATTTTCCTGATACCTATGGCCATCAAATATGGACGCCGCCCTGTTTATATCGGGTCGCTTACTGTGATGACTGCAATGGTCGTCTGGCAAGCTTGCATGAAGCGCGTTACCGAATTATACATCACATCCTTGATAGTAGGATTAGCTGGTTCTACGAATGAGACTCTGGCCCAAATGAGTGTAAGTACCCCGTAACAACCTCCCCAAGAGTATAATGTAGTACTAACCCTCTAGATTGCCGATTTGTTCTTCGTCCATCAGCGCAGCACCGCCAATGGACTTTTCTTGGCAATGATTATGATCGGTGTAAGCCCCCTATTACTATGAGAAAATAAGAACATCTACTTAACATATACAGTCTTATCTCACTCCCATACCTGCCGGATACATGGCCAATAATGGCAATTGGCGTCAATGCTTCTGGATTTTATTCGGATTCGAGGCAGCATTGTGGATCTACTTCATTCTGTTCTACGAGGAAAGCAAGTACATACCGCGTATAGAAGCCCAGGCCTCTATCATTCGGACATCTGCCGATGACTTGGCATCAAAGTCTAGCAGCAACGATGAGAAACATATAGCCTCACATTCGGAGTCTTCAGACACAGAAACCGCTCGGGTTAACCCTAGTATCCCTCCTCTCACGTGGAGGCAACGGCTTCGCTTCATCACGAAAACGGACGACGACTTAATAAAGACCGCATATATCCCCGTTGTCGTGGTTTTCCGATTCCCTGTCATTATGTACACAGCACTTCAATACGGCTTCTGCCTATGCTGGGTTGCGCTTATATCATCTACGGTCTCGATTGTATACACACATCCTCCCTACAATTTCACGACTTCGGGAATTGCTACCATGAACCTTGGACCATTTGTTGGAGCTATACTTGGATCTCTTTACGGCGGCTTACTTTCCGATCGATCTATATTGTGGCTTGCCCGACGCAACTATGGATACTACGAACCCGAGATGCGATTGCAGCTTGTTCATCTCCCTGCTATTTGTATTAGCGGCGGTCTTTTGATGTTTGGGTTGACTACAAGTAAGGTGAGTCTTAGTAGAAGCCCTAACCCACTCATTGCATGATATTTATTGGGGGTTGACGCTGATAACAATAGGGCATGCATTGGATATACCCTAGCATCGGGGGTACACTTTTCGGCTTTGGCTTCGTAGGTATCTGCGACCTTGCTCTCACCGTCTTGATCGATAGTTATAGAACTGTAAGCTGGACGGTATACCTCTATTTCAATCCCGCATCTTGCTAACATAGTGCTAGGTTACCGGCGAAGCCTTCGTCGGAGTGGCACTCATCCGCAGCTGCCTAGGCATCGCCATATACTTCGCAAATGGCCCCTGGATGTCGGCTCAGAACCTCCAAGGCCGTTTTATTGTAATTTGCGCTGCGTCGTTGGTCATCGCGTGCCTACATATACCGTTCATCATTTGGGGGAAGAAGATGCGGGAGAAGACGGCACCTTTGTACAACAAGATGTCTGACACAAAAGGAACTTCTCGTATGTAGACATAAACATGGGTATTTCGGATAGACCTAGATGGACCTAGATGGAATTTTTATTTCGTTGTGGTTATGGCGAGCAGCATTGGACACTAAAGGAACATATAGAGTCAACGGCTTGGTAGATAGGTAGTGATACTCTCGTTTTCAACACTCTTTAGCATCCTTAACACTATCCTCAGTTCCATTATATCATCGTGATACTGTTTTTAGAATATCTGAGTACTCATTTGCCAAAACCTCCACTGATTATTGGTACCCGAGTAAACTTCCCTTCAAGATCCTAGCTAGAGCACGTTTCAAGTGGACTCCAGTAAAGTGCCAAGAACTTGATTTTCTTGTCAGCCCAGTTACTTCGTAAGTCATCTATTTACCCGTTCCAAATATGGCGAAACCAAAGTCCGATTGTCGTTCCTGAACTAGCTCCGGGAGACAGTCTCCCGGCTAAAGGCCAATGTAACTTTAGATCATATCTCTACAAGGGGTGAAATTTGACCCCTCAACGCCGAGCCGGGGCATTGGAACCTTTAAAGGTGCTAGTAAACAGCTGTTTTCATGCTCTAGTGCGTGGTAATTCCGGAAATGTTGCCAAGTGGTACCCCACAATATGGTCTGGAAGTCGACCTTGAGGCGAGATGTTGCATTACTACTTTAAGTATTACAACTTAGTATTTTACCAGATTCCGGACGACCTAGCCGTCTTTGCCTACAAAGTGTATATAACTTGGTAGCTGTCAAAAATTTATCAGAATTTAATGTATTTTTCGACCCTTCTTTGCTAGAAAGTAACTGCTCATCGCGTACAAGATGTTATTCGAATCTGTAATCACGACTTTGGCGTTCGCGCTTTGCGCTTCTGGAAGAGCCGTACCAAACCCTGTTGAGGTTTTCAAGCGAGCACACACTGCTGGTACTGTTATCAACAAGTGCTCCAAACCAGGCGTCCTCGCATTGGCCTATGATGATGGCCCGTACCAATACACTTCCTCGCTTGTGGACACCCTTGACAAGGCGGGTGTGAAGGGTACCTTTTTCTACACGGGTACTCTATATGGTACGAATACCTCCATGATATATACAGACATATGCTGATAGGATCAGGCTGCATCTACAACCAAAAGGCTGCGGTTAAGAAGGCATACGATTCTGGACACCAGGTTGCATCTCACACATGGTAGGACAGCCAATTATACCGTCTAAAGTGGACTAGGTTGACTAACGCGCGCGAAGGACGCACCCTCACATGGGAAGCATGGGCGCTGCTCAAATCCAGAGCGAGATGGAGAAGGTCGAGCAAGCATTCGTCAACATCTTCGGCAAGAAACCGCAATACATGCGTCCGCCTTACCTCGAGACCGGCGGTCAATTCCTGAGCGTCATGAAGCAGATGAACTACACCGTCATCACCGACGACGTCGATGCTGGCGACTGGAACAACCAATCTCCGCAGCAGAGCGAGTCCAAGTTCTCCCAGGCCGGAGCTAGCGGCAATGGACACATTCCCCTGATGCACGAGACGTACCAGGGCACCGTTACGACTTTGACGAATTGGTTGATTGATTGGGCTAAGACTAACAACTTGAAGATTGTTACTGTTGGTATGTATTCCTCGAAAAGATGTTTTTGGTCGAGATGGTGACTGATTTTATGTTAGCCGAATGCCTTGATGATGCCAACGGCGCTTACAAGGAGGGAACTTTCGAGGGCAATGGACAGACTGCTTGCTAAGGGGTTTTTATCCAAAATAACTGGCAAAATTAGGATACTCAACGCTTCCGTGCTAAGAACTTAATTCGATTCGAGACTGTACATATTTAGCCACGTATACATAGTGATATTCAAAATTGTCATAACGACATACCTTATTGCGAATCATAAATACTTTCGGATGATTTCAAAAAGACGATTATCAACGCTACTTTAAGCGAAGGAATTCACTAGAGTGAGAATTGGGATGGCCTCCTGTCGACAGATACCCTGTACGTTTTGGATCGGATTTACAACCCTCCAAAAGGCCTATAAATCCGACTAACGTAAGCCTGGATTTTCTCTTCGCTATCAAATCCGACGCAACATTCGTCATCATCTAGAAAAATATATCCCTAAATGAGTCAGCTACGAATTCAGCTTCGTTTCAAAATGCTGCCTAGAACGTGTACCTAAGGCTGAGCTGCTAACTCTATGAAGACCTAGCATCATAAGTTACAGGGGGTAGCCTTTACATGAGGAATTATATATAATGATGTGTCCATCAGGGAATCCATTTCTTAGTCCATATTCAAATAAATGTGATGCAAACAATTTGCCGACCCTAGGTACTGCACCGGGTTCAACTAAGCCAAAAATCTTAACTTCAACAATCTCTTATTTCTTGATTATTGAGTGCATCAACTATGTCTCAGCTCAGTCAACTATTCCCGCCGTGCCCCAAGTTCACAGATAAAGACATTCCGGACCAAAGCGGGAGGGTTTTTATCGTGACGGGAGGTGCATCAGGGGTTGGGTTTGAAGTGTCGAGAATCTTGTATGAGAAGAACGCGACCGTCTACATCGCAACGAGAACTGCGTCCAAAATCGAAGCTGCTATAGGAAGAATCAAGGAACAGTACCAAACCAGTCATGGAAAGCTAGAAGCGTTGATACTCGATTTAGAGGATCTTGCTACTATCAAGCCCGCGGTAGAGAACTTCATGTCCAAAGAGCAGAGGCTTGATGTGTTGTTTAACAATGCTGGAGTTATGGGAACGAACCCGGATGAGAGATCCGTACAGGTGAAGAAATCTATTTTCATTTGCTACGCATGATTCGTTAATAATTTTCGTTAGGGCTATGAGTTGCACATGGGGACAAACGCGCTTGGACCGTTCCTACTAACCAGGCTTCTTGAACCAATCCTCCTTAATACTGCAGCGCATCAAAATTCCTCGGCCGGTAGTATACGGGTGGTCTGGGTTAGTTCCATGTTGGATATAGGGACTCCAAAGGGTGGAGTGGTGTGGGATCTAGAAACAGACGAGCTAACAATCCACCCGGACATGATGTCGAATTATATGCAATCCAAAGCTGGGATTACCTTCCTCGGCCATGAATATGCGAAGAGATTTGGTAAAAAGGGGATCATCTCAACGGTAAAATTCCACCTAATATCATGAGAGGACTGTTGACGCTAACGGCTTGAGGATAGTCTTTGCATCCCGGTATGATGAAGACTGAACTTCAAAGACATATGCCAGCACCAGTACGTGCTGTTATGGTATGACAACGGCTCAAACTTAGTATTCATTCCCACTTATTGATCTTCTAACTTCCTATCAGGGCACGGTCTTTAAAGGGCCTATATATGGCGCGTATACTGAGTTATATGCTGGATTCTCGTCGGATATTACGAGTAGAGAGAATGGCAGATACATCATTCCTTGGGGTCGTCTAGGATCGGTACCGGAACATATGATGGAAGGTTTGAGATCTGAGGAGGAAGAGGGCACTGGCTCGTCTGAGAAGTTTTGGAATTGGTGCGAAAACAACACAAGGGCGTACCGATTGATGAGTTAAATTATTTAGCATGAATCTTGTGTTGAGAATAGGGGGAAGATGTACCCAAGTATATGCACGGAGGTGCGGGGTTAGATAAGAAATAACCTATTATGTAAGCTGCGAGGCGCATCCTAATGCAAGCCACAGTACATCTGTAGCTATACCATAAACAGTAAAGACTATTGATGATCAGTGGAGACTCACTAAATTTCCCTCTTTTTCTTTTTTTCCCCCTTCCGGTTGGGCAGCCTGGCAGCGCGCAATCCTAAAAAAAATCCACATCCACTCATCGTACACGCCGCATTTCTCTTCTCACGAAGATTCCCCGGACATCCGCCGACAACTTGCCGTCGTTAGTCCTTGTCCGAGACGCCTCTTTCAATTCGGAAACGCTGACGATCTTAGATGGCATCATACCCAGAACCAACCGGAGCCGACGAGCCCACTTCAACATCTGCATCACCACCTCAATCCGCACCCGCGCCTCCATCAACAACAACACCGTCGCCTCATCAACATCATCAACAACTACCAGCACCACCTACACCACAAGGATACGATGCCCTCCCTCACTTACCTGCCACCACCGTCGCGCATCATGGCCTGCAGGTGCTGCAAGCTGCATCTGCATCTGCCATCGCTGCGAATGGAGAAGCAGCCAACTTAGCTCAACATTACGCGCAATCTGCGACTCTTCAAATGGAAGATCCCCTTAACCCTCCGCATCTTGACACTCCCTTGATTGGCCCTCCAACCACTATGGCGCATCAAAAAGTCACTCGTCTAAGACGCGCTTGCGACATGTGCAGTCAGCGCAAAGTCAAGGTATGTGACCACCCATTATTCCCTACGCGCTTTCTTTAAGCACTTCACGAAAGAATCTAACAATGTTCAAATAATCAGTGCGACGAATCCGGTCCGCCTTGTAAACCATGTTCCGATCTCCAGGTCGAGTGTACCTTTAATAGAGCCATGAAACGACGTGGTCCCCCGAATAAACATGCCGAAGCTGCAAGAGCCGCGAAGCGATCTCGTCACACCGACGACGAAGTATCCCCAGCTCCTCACCATGCCGCGGAGACATTGGTTTCTATCGCTGCTCACAATCCAACAGGCGCATTAGACGCCGAAACTATTGCGCCGTGGCCCATATTGGAATTACTAGTTGACGACTTCTTCACTTACATTCACCCGTTAATGCCCTTCCCGCACGAACCGACCTTTCGCGCTGCATTTACCAGTCGTATGGATAGAAATAGTACTGAGTTTCTAGCATTACTTGCAAGCATGATAGGCGCGCTTGTCGCCTCGTTTCCACGAAGCGCAAGATCGCATCTCAAGGCCCAGCGTAGCACGAGCCTGTTTCCCTCGGCAGTTACCATGGTCAACCACTGCCGTTCTATCGCATTAGAAGCTCGAGGCCCTCGCTTCACGTTGAAGGAGGAAATGACTATCGACGATGCGGCAACTAGCTATTTCCTAGCGATTGCTGCTGACTATACCATGCAGTGGAAGCTTTGCAAACGTTTCTTTGCCGAAACGATGACATTCTGCAAGGAACTCAGTAATCATCGCCAAGGAAGCGCATCTTCAAGAGAACATGCACAGACCCTTAATGAAACATCCAATGAGGTCATTGATCATGTTAAGGATCAAATCGGCAAACGTATCTTTTGGGTTATGGTTGCGAGCGTGAGGTAATATCCCCTTCTTATCTTCTATTATTTCATGAATCTAAGCTAACCCGAACAAAGAACAATGACCCAATTGGGCGGATCTATTAATGAAATACCCTTACCTCCACCCACTTCCCAAGAACCATATCCAGAGCAACCAGTCGAAGTTGATGATGCATATATATTCCCTGAACAAATACTCGCCCAGCCGGAAGGTACTCTTTCTCTACTTGCAGGATTTAATCGGAATATTCGCATTTATATGACTATGAACGAACTAGTTGGCGTGGACATGTGCTATGGAATCAATTTCTTCGATTGGACTGCGCAGAAAAACATTCTAAGCAATGGCCTGGCAAGTGCCAAGCAGTCCGCCGAAGATCTACCTCCGGAGCTTCAGGTCAAGGCTGATAACCTACAGCAGCTTCAAAATCATAACATGGGTCTTGATGACTCGAATTTGGAGTATTACCCACCTGCTCTCCCCACTACGCAACCCGCAAATGATCTGCGACGCGCATTTGCCGAACAGCCCCTGCGCCGACGCCATCTCCAATTTGAAATACAGAAAGCAAATATCCAACTATCCCAGCTTGCTACACGATCATATTTCGTCGAACGATACCTTAACCTCCGCGATGCACACTTGGCGGATCCTAATTTCGCAGATAGATCAAAGGATGACAAAGACGATCGTGATGCGATGATGGAAAATGAGTGGGAATTCATTGTGCAAAGTCTCGTTACGGTCCTCGCATCCATTAACCAGCGTAACATGGAACCTAATGGTAGCTCATTCATCAACAAGATCCGACAGGTGGCCAGTACACTTTTAAATACTACCACGGAACGCAAGGAACAAGCAGCGGCCAAAGCGGAAGAATATCTCAGCGGGTTCTTAGATATTCTTATGAAGCTGGAGAAAATTGGAGCGGCTCCTAGAGCCGAGACTATGACATCTCAAGACGAGGAAGAAGAACTTCGGGGTTGGTCTAGTCTTAGAGACTATCAACTCCAGTTCACTGCGAGTGGTGGATTTCCCGGGGACGGCTATTAGAGATATGATTCCGACCCGGGAGGCTATCCACTCAACGTTTTTTCCTATTCACACACTACCAGGGCCCTAGTGGCATGGTTAACACCGCATTCCCCCATTCATATGTCTCAATGACATATTCATGCCCCTTGCGGAATAACGAGGCACTCACGGTCAACTGGTACGCGGGCGACTCTTGCGAGTTGCTAGGACAAAGTATGCAGATTCAAACGTGTCTATACAGTGGAAGGGAAGGAGTCAATCAACGAAAATAAACCGGCTTGGTTTTATTCCTAGGCTCAGCGAATTGTGTAAATATATAATCATCACCGATCTTGTGCATTCATTATTAATGTAGGTTTAGATGGTATACGATGAAGGCATGAGGCCGGTGTGTTACACTTAATATGATACGCGATCATGCGATTACTTCATTGCTCTTTAACTCTTCCACATGCAAGCGATAGTATTGTGATACTTGAAATTTTGTTCAATGATTCGAATCGTTCCGATGATGTTATTCCAGGCGGTTTCGGACGGCTTCATTTCCGGCCCGCTCTACCTACCTAGCTAGAATTTAGGGATGTAGGAGTCTATGATTTGAATTGGAATACGATGAGTTGGAAGAATTGACTGCTTATTGTGCTACCTCAAAGTATTCTTATCGTCATAGACATCTAAGACAATTGCGCGTTCGAGCTCGCCGAGCTAACTCTTAGTCTCTACGTCACCATCCGGTGCATAAAGCAATTCTCAGAATTAGGTGTTACGGTTACTTGTCTATGCCGTCATTTGGAGCTAGGGGTTTTACGCGTCTCTGATATTATACATGTGGTATAAATACCGAACATTGCTTTGTTCTTCGAGTGGAAATGTTATGTTAGGTATAGAAGAAATTCGCCAAACCAGCCACAAGCATATCTACAAGATCTTACTAAAATAATACCGCGAAAATGCCTTACCCAGACGAATTCGAAGGATTTATGATCAATGAGCTGGGGAACTATAAGGATTTCAAGAAACAAACCGTACGTCCGCGACCCTACCCATCTTTACCGACCTACCTAATGCCTGGTTCTACAGTTCAAACCCAAAGTCTTCGGCGACAACGACATCGATATCAAAATCGAGTGCTGTGGTGTATGCGGATCGGATGTGCATACCGTAACTGGTGGATGGGGTGATGCCCCGACGCCACTGTGTGTTGGCCATGAAGTCGTGGGTAAAGCCGTAAAAGTAGGATCGAAAGTGAAAGATGTTAAGATTGGGGATAGAGTAGGCGTGGGTGCGCAGGTTTGGTCTTGTTTGAAGTGCGAACAGTGTAAAGGCGATAATGAAAATTATTGCCCCAACCTGGTCGGTGAGTAGAATCGCTTATCTACATCTTGGGAAATTGAAGATGAATAGAAGTTAACGAGATGACAGATACTTACGGTGCTCCCTACCCAAAAGAAGCCGATCCTAACGAGACGATTAGTCAAGGTGGTTATGCCTCACATATCAGAGCGCATGAGTACTTCGTCTTCCCGATCCCTGACGCGATACCCTCGCATCTCGCAGCGCCTATGCTCTGTGCCGGACTAACCGTGTGGTCGCCCCTCGTACGCGCAGGCGTCGGCCCGGGGAAAAAAGTAGCAATTGTCGGGCTCGGGGGGTTAGGCCACTTCGCAGTTCTCTGGGCCTCGGCTCTCGGCGCCGAAGTCACTGTAATCTCACACTCGCCGGACAAAAACCAAGACGCAACCAAACTAGGCGCGAAGCATTTCGTCTCTAGTGCTTCCAAAAACTGGGCTAAGCCGTTGACGTTTAAATTTGATTTCGTGCTTAACACGGCGGATATGACGAATGAATTCGATATTGATGAGTACCTCTCGACTCTGAAAGTCGGGTGTCGGTTCCACCAAGTTGGGATCCCGGACCAGCCGTTGAAGAATGTGAGTCCGAAACAGTTCATGGCGAATGGGTCGAGTATTGGAGGGAGTCATATCGGGTCGCGCCCGGAGTGTTTGGATATGTTGAAGTTGGCCGCGGAGAAGAAGTTGTTTCCTATGGTGGAGACTTTGCCGGTTGGAGAGAAGGGGTGTGCTGAGGCTGTGGAGAGGGTGAAGAAGAATGAAGTGCATTATCGGTTTACACTTGTGGATTATGATAAGGCTTTTGGTGGTTGATGTGGGACGTAAGGTGTTACCTAGGTGGTTTTGATGTGGGATACTGTCGTATGTTAAGTACTTGGAAGGATCATAATGAAATAGTTAAATGTGTTGATCAATGATTAGGGCGAAACTGTTCTATAAATCTTCACCCACAACAGTTCATCCTGAATCAGATAGGAGTTTCGGACCTATCCGATTCTACGTCTATCTAAAACGTGGCGGGCTCACATGGTCAGAGATGACGATGGTGGCTTTCGGCAAGTATCCGATGAGGAATTCCGAATGATTATATTGTAATGAGTTGGGCCTTATTGGGGGCGGCATATCCGATTTATTTATGATATTATAAGTTAACAAAAGCAAAAGAATAAAACTATGTTGGTTTATTTATTAGATTTGATCGTTCTGATCGTCTAATTGTGATAGCTAGAAGATAGTTGCTGTTGTTGATAGATCCGGATCTTCGGTGGGGACCGAATGGATTACCTAAAAGAGAAGTATCTTTCTTAAAGCAAGTCGAGGCATATCTGATGAGGCTGAGTAGAGAAACTTGTGGCGGTGCGATAATGTTTCAGGAATCCTAGACGTCCTAGCGTCTTCTTAGCGTGGACAGGGATCAGAGTCAAAATTGTAGGGGTATCCTCTAAAGAAAGAAAATAATGATGCACCAAATGCACCAATGCACCAATTTCAATCCACCGATTTGCCTACTACGCTACTACTCACTACCACCACTACCACTCTTATTACTCTCTACTATTATTCTCTTTACACTACCGTTGGTTTGTCAGACCTCACCAAAGAGTGTTGTAACTTGTTGTTAATAATCTACCCTACACTACGAAATACATAACACTCACTACCTTACCTAAGTACAGTACCTAAGCCAAAGAGGAGTGAGGCAGTGAGAAAGTAGAGAAGTTTAGTCGTTCGCTCACACGACCAACTTCCTTCCATTTGATTTTTTTTCCAATTTTCCCAATCCTTATTATTATTATTACTATTGTATTTATTTTTCTTTCTTTCGACACGTTCGGTCATTACCAACAACATCGAAGATCGACATAAAAAAGGTCGCAGTCGCAAGTTGGTCCATTCACCTGGTAGTACCTTTATCCCGGCCCCAGTTACCGCCCCGACGATAAATTTAAACAAGGGATAATTTCGGGCTCTTATTTCTCTTAATACAGAAAAGGCGCGTGGCTTGGGAGACCGAACGAGCGAATTCATAGTATTGATTAACGCCAAAAGAAGGGTTCCACCTTTAAGTCAGCCTCTTGTTACCTGCTACTACTGTAAGTCTCTGCCAGGGATCGTGAAGAAAGGGGAGACAGGTTCGAGAAAAAAAATAATATTCTACGAAAAAAACAACCTGTCCCATTGTACATCATCACACTACAACACTACACCGTCATCGATGCTTACCAATTGTAACAACCACAGCACCAACAAATTATTTCCCTTCAGGTCGAGATCGATAATTACTACTACCGATATTATTCTAACCCCGAGTATTTGGTTCGTTTGTTCGAGGAACCTCTAATCTCACGCGACAATCCCGGATTCCTGTTGCCTATTTCCTCGCATCATAGCTACCATTGAAGGGGGAAGGATACACATCAAATCACAACAATAATATGTCGTCGGGATTGACGAGGCGCCGCGGAGCTGGTGGTGGCGGTGGTACTGCTACTCCTACCGACGAGGCTAATGGAATCAATCGGTCCAACTCTTCCCAGAATGTACGCGATAGCGCCCCCGAAACGAGTTACGAGAATAGCGAGAATGGCCACAAGATTGCATTCGACCCGCGCGATATTAGCGAAAGCGCAGAAAGGAGCAAGCAACCAAAGTTGACATTGATGGAGGAGATCATATTGCTAGGACTTAAGGACAAGCAGGTATGTGATGATGAATACGAGGTTCTTCCAAATACTACCTTCATATTACCCGTCCGCATATCCCCGAAACAACAACACCGCGAATACAAAAGATAGACCGACTCATGGGAAGACAAAATTCTAATGGCGACACAAAATTAGGGCTACCTCTCGTTTTGGAACGATAACATCAGTTACGCGCTACGTGGTTGTATCGTCCTCGAATTGGCATTCCGCGGTCGTATCAGCATGCAAAAGGATCCTTCTCGACGGCGATTTCCCCTAGCGGATCGGACAATTGAGGTTATCGATGATACACTTACGGGCGAGGTACTACTAGACGAAGCATTGAAAATGATGAAGCAAAGCGAGAAAATGAGCGTTAGTGCCTGGATTGATTTGATGAGCGGTATGCCACTACCTACGAACTTCTAACCCTGCGGAACATATTATCCCGGCTTACTGACCGCGACTCCGTGTCAATAGGTGAAACCTGGAACCTCATGAAAATTGGTTACCAACTCAAGCAAGTCCGAGAGCGTCTATGTAAAGGCCTCGTCGACAAGGGTATCCTCCGCACCGAGAAACGTAACTTCTTATTGTTCGACATGGCTACCCACCCGGTCGCCGATGGTGGCGCCAAAGACGAAATCCGACGGCGCGTTAGAAACGTATTGACCCAGCGTACTGTCGTCCTACCCGCCTCCCAGTTTCTTCCCGAGAACCTCGAGTTCCGCTACATCCGAACTATCTCCATGGTGTGCGCCGCGTATGCTGCTAACGTCCTGGAAAACGCCTTGAGCACGCTAGGCCACGAGGCTCGGGAACGCGCCTTCACACAGACGGACGAGTTACTCGCTGAATACTCCCAGTGGCCTTTCGGGAAGAAGGCGAGCTCTACTGGTATTGGTGCCAACTTGGCGCAAGTTATATCCGAGGTAAGCTTTTTTATCCATGCATTCTTAGTAATAGTTTGCTTGAATTGTAGCGTACTAATTATGATGGCTTGCAGGAGGTCAACACTGCTAAGGACAAGGAGCTTCAACTCGAAGTTGTTGCTGCGTGTCTAAGCGTCTTTACCCGTCTCGATTCACTTCTATAAACTTGAAATTCAACCAAGACCCCTTATTTGTACGAACCTCGATAGAGCTGGCATCCAATCAAATCGACCTTATGACCTAGCTACTCTTTCTTCCTTCACACTTGACTTCCTATTACGACAAACCCGAATTCCATCCGACATTTCCCCGATCATGTTGAAACGAACGAGAGCGTTGGTACTGGATTATAAAAGGGGGTTTGAGATATAGGAACATGTTCCCATGGGGTTCATCTCACGGGACAATTTAAGCAGCGGAATGACGAGAAGAGTATATGTGGCGCTCGGATGTGCTACTATTGCTACCAATTACTTCTTTCTGGGGATTCAGACGGGAATCTTATGAGAAAGGGGGGAGAGAGAAAAAGGAGATATAGGAGAAGAGGAGAGTAGAGGTGTGTAGAAGCGAACGGAACGAAACGAAACTTACGGTACCAACAGGCAAGGAAAGGTTCCCACATCATGTCATTTCTCGACCGTGTTGTAATAGTCTAAAAATCATGGATTCTTTTTTTTCTCTTGCTTTTTTTTTGGTGTTGTCCCTCGCGCATGATAGATACCTTGTTACTTAACTCTCCCTTCGCGATTCGCGATATGGATGGTGATTTATATATTTGTATGACTTGTTATGTTTCCGTCACGCAATAGGGATTGGTGGTGTTTTTGTTATTTTACTGTATTATGTCGCATAGCGCTTTAGCTGCTCTTCCTTGGCTATTTGGCATTTCATTTCTTCATTCTTCATTTCTTAATGCCTTCACCCCCCTCCACCAAGTTACTCCATCAATCTTCTCCTATTTCCCCCTCCTCACCCTCTCCTTCCAACCCCCCTTCTCCAACAACCAAATCGCCTCCATAGCAAGCGCCCTCGCACTCCGATGTCCCGTCCCCTCCTCCGTACCAGCTTCTTCATACAAACTCCGCATCACAGCGCCTTCTTCCACATCGCCCCAAATACCTTTCGCCACATCATCCGCCGGGCCGCCAAACTCTCCAATACCAAGTCGGTATAAAACTCGACCTAGGGTCTGGTATGCCATACACCGCTGTCCGGGAACCGCACTCCGACATAACCGCGCCAATTCTTTAATCGTATACCCGGCGGCCTCGGGGGCTTCGCCATGGTGGTGCAAACCCTTGGTTACGGGTACAGCGCGCGAGATCTTGGGCGGGAGGAGCATGCCTCGGAAATCGAAACGGAGGGAGGAGATCGCGAGATAGGATTGCGAGGGGTGGTATGGGGAATCGTAGTCTGCGGGTGAGTTTGGGGTTGGGATGGGCGCCATCCAGGCTAGTTTTGACGGGTCGGAGGGGAGGTGTGGGAAGAATTTGTTGTGTAGGTTTTCGAGGAAGTTCGGGTCGTGCGGGTCGAGGTCTGCGGGTTGTGCGGGTTGGGGCCAGTGCGGTTTTGAGGGGGGGATGTCGGAGGTGGTATTGTTGTCGGCGGTGGTGGTTGTGGTGGTAGGTTGCGGAAGACTAGGTTTAGGCTTGGGTATCGTGGTTGCTTCTTCCTCGTCTTCGTCTGCTACTGATGCCCAGCGCACGCGTTTGGAATTGTTGGTTGTTGGGTTTGCTTCTTTTTGCTCGGTAGGTTTAACGTCGGGTTTGTTATTGAGTGGCGATGCAGACGTGTCCTCGATCCGTATTTCGGGAGTGTTCTGGACGGGTTGTATGTTGCTAGAGGGGGCGGCGGGATCTTGCGATGAGGAGTTCGGTGTATCGAAGATAGCGTTGTTCATAGTGTCGTCTAAGTTGGCACGTTTGAGGAGTCTTTCTAGTAGAGACGAATCCAAACCACTAAAAAGCTCTTGTCGCGCTGTTTCTATTTCCTCGGGGGACATAGACGCTAGTCTTTCGTTGTTCTCTTGATCTATTCTTTGCTTTTCATCCAATCTGGAATCAGCTGTAGACGGTATCGTTCGCCATGCATCTTGATCGGCATTCGGAATAGATTCATTGGCTGCAGGCGTTTTCGGGTTTTCATTATCAAGCTTCGCATTCTGTCGCTTCTGTTTGAAAGCCGATATGCGTGTGCGCTTCTTGTGCTCTGGGAAACCGGTCGTGGTGGACTTGACCTGAGGGAAACTCGGAGCCTTGGGCGCAGCCACCTCTTTCTCTTGAATATCCGTGATTAAGAAATCCATAATTGTTGTGCAGGGTGGCGGTTTCACCGATCGAAGGCTCGAATTACGCAGGTTATTGTTCGGATCCGTCAGCGAGGAGAGTGGTGTTTTTGTTGTGAATTATTGATTGATTAGTATTGATTCTTGCCGATGAATTGGATATAGAAAGATTAAAATGGAACTTTTCTGAAAGCTGACGTAACAGCCACTAGGTCCCTCTAAGTGGATCCATCTAGCCGTAGCTGATACGCTGATAAGGCGACGCTAGCGCGGCTATATTCTATTTGTAACCTTATTCTAGAAAACTTAAGCGCGCATCTTCGCTTGTCAAACCAATAAAACCTCATCGGCCCGCGTCTCAGCACAGCGGGAATTGAGATCCATTGGAAAGCGGTACGTACTGGCAAGGTACGGAACTTAAAATCCATCACATGTACCGGTACTCAATTAATCACGACTACGTACCTAAGTACTTAGGTACCTAGTATACGTAACGTCAGGTAGGAATTACATATCACAATTCAGAATTGCTACGTATGTAATGTGCATCTTATACATAAGTAGTTTAGAAGCCATGTCAATTCATTCATATTTTGATTCATCTAGAATTAACAAAACTTAATCACATTAAGCTAGGATATTAGAAGTGAATATAGCTTAGATAGTTAATGAATCGACGTATTTGACAAAACGTACAAATGAAAGTTGCAATAATGGAGGGATGAAACTATGTCTGCATGCGCAGACATCAATTTTTAATCAAAGAACTGTGTTGCGCATAAAACACATTGGAGAATAAAAACCTACAAGCAAATAGTCCTACCAATAGGGCAAAGGTGTTATCAATGCAACCCTGCTTCAGGTGCATCATAACATTGAATGCATACTATGTCATATTACAAAAATTAAAGGATTGGACTGGTTCGTATAGAGAAGAGTTTCAATAAAAGGCCACTAATATGCAAAGCTATAGTATAAGTTACTCATAGAAGAAACGCTGGTCATATACACATATCGCATGTATAGCCTAATAATAGTGGTCGTGTTGCTAAATCTTTAACCCCTGTCGTTCATGCCTGTCTTACTAAGCTATTTTGTAAAGAATTCTGAATTCCTTACAACCCAATAGGCCCTTGTCAATTTATCGCGGCTATCTTGCGTTAGTCCGTCATAGTGGGTCATACGAAGACGTGGGATTATGAAACAAAAAGATACGTACCCCGCGGTATCTTTTTCCACCATCCACAGTTCGGGGCAAAGACTGGAGGCTCAAGCTGCATGAAATTGAACAGTTCCCCACTTACCCTGCCTTTTTTAAGTTTGCCGACCGTTCGGCTCATCCAACCCGACCCTACCTATTCAAGGAAAGTACCTCTGCATCTGTACCTGACCGCATACATACATGAAGTATCCGTTGTATCTTGAATGAGACTGGTTCACGAATGGTTACAAGCGATGGGACTCAGATCCCTCCAACTCTGTCATCTAACCTACGTTACTACCTTACCTACATGATGTATTTCGCCCTTTCAGAAGTTAAGCACGTACGACAGATCATCGTCCTAAGAAAAAAAAAATATTAGCACGCTTTACCTGATGGAGTAATTTGCCCAATACAGTATATAGCCCAGTGTCAACGGGGTGCATTATTGAGAGTACCTAATTGAAAAGGGGGTACTTTGGAAGGTACTTCAAGGCTGTACGTACCTCGCATGGCCAGCCACATCCGGAAATTTTAGCTTATGTACCGCTCGGCGGTCAGAAAGCAACCAACTGGTAACTTCCTGCCAATTGACGACCTCCCACATTAGCCAACCTTACTCTTTCCAATACTAGCAGGACTAGCTGGGGAGGTAGCTTTGATGGCTATGCGATCCGATCCTTCTTAACTTTGTTGTCCCGGTTGTCCCTTTCTAGGGAAAGTTCCAGTGATATTAGCATTTTACCCCCCCCCCCCCCGGCAAGGTTCAATCTTGTTATTATTTATGTATTTTTTATCCTTTTCATCGCCTGCCTTATGTACCTATTGTCCTATCACGACTAATCTCTATTCCCCGTTCCCCGTCAAGGAAACCTAATCTAGGGCCACCTCATCACTGTGTGAAGTGTCATACGCCCCTCCCCTAACTCCCTACCTAACTTGTTTTTATTATTTTTATTATTATTTATTTTTCCCTTGAAGTTGTAATGTACTTTTCCCCCTTTGGTACAATTATTAGGCTCCATCGTCATCCCCATCCCCCCAAAGCTCAGACCAACCATAGGTAGTCATCGTCTATCACATACTCGCACACACCCCTACCTGGTCTTTTAGCTTTAGCTAGTAGGTTACCCTAGTCGGATGACTTTTTTCGCGATCTGATGCCTATGCGCCTAATTCATTCATTCACGGTTCACGGTGTCTTTTTGGTACCTTTTTACTTGTTCCTTTTCCCCCGTACCGTACGTACCGTATCGTATAGTATATCCCGTCACAGTTCCATGTTTCCATGATTCCATTCTTTCCCCCCCTTCCCTCTTTTCCCCTTGAAAAATTAGTAGGTTCCTAGCTGTTCCAGTGGTCAACCCCGTCCACCTCTACCACCTCTTACCACCCCCCAGGCTTACCTAGTTCCGATCTTTTCTAACTCGATTATTTTAATAATAAAATTTCCCACGCGCGCAACTCTCTCATTTCTAGCTAGTTAGATTGCCCCGATTTTTCTCGCCTCGTTGGAGAATAATTCCCATTTCCCGTTTTCAATTTTTTTAAGAGAAAAATAGTAGCCATCCCCGTCCCCGTCTCTCTCCCATCTTTCCCGCAATCTGCAATCTTCCTCCCAAAACTTCACCCATTCTTCCTCCTTTTCTCCTACTTTTTTCTCCCCTTCACCTTCACACAACACATAGATGGAATTAACTCCTCGAAATAAATCCATCTAATTCCATTACTTCTTTGCGACTTTTCATTTTCTTTTTTACGTCATGATATGCACCTAGATCTAGTGCATCCGATTCGATTATTTATGAGGACCTAATACCCTTGCAATTACAACTTTTTCAATCGGACAAAAGTTTGGTTCGTCGCTCTACTCGCGCATCACCGAACCAATTCTCGTGAAGTTATTCAGAAACTGGAACTGGGACTGGGACTGGAACCTTCGCAACTCCAACGGCGCACCGACCACACGATTTTAAGGTCACGTTACCTAATACATACACCGTGTACCTAGGTACCCCCCAGCCTGTACAACGCGCTCCACCGATAACTTTCAATTTTTACATTTCAATCTGGACGAATCGGCAACCAATCACCGTCACCTCCGCGTACCTACATAATCATTTAGGTATACCTGGGTCCACGTGCACCCATTCAATAGCTATACCCGTGGACCTCTCTCAACACCGTTAGACTCGCTGCATCAATTGTCGCGAATCGGTACAGTACATTAAAACTATTTCTTAATTGGTCAATTGCCAATCCGATTCGAGAAATAGTTTTATAGGTACATTTTACAAGTCAGAGTCAAACTTGACTGTAAACTTTCCTAATTCATAATCATTCAATAATTTGGGGTTGTTTTGATCTTGATTTTTTTCGTCTCGTTTCGTCCCATCTCATATCATCCTACTCGCACTTTCATTCACTCACACAAAAGAAACATAACAAATCAGGACACCATTGTTAGTCTATTACAAGAAACTGCAAAGTGTTTATAAGATACCCGTCGGTATTCAGGTTCTTTAAGAACCAAAGAGAACCTGGATCAATAACGGAGAAACGAAAGGAGTAGTGGCAATGGCGGCGGGTAACAACAATGCCCCGACAAGACTTAGTTCTTCACCAGAACTATCAGATCCTCCTTCTATGTTATCGGCACCCACGTCACCATCTGGATACAATCGAACAAAGAACGGAGGAGAGGGCGATGAGATTGTGGTAGATCCTACCACTATAAGATACGACGAATCTGGCCAACCCATGTTAACCAAGGACGGCTTACCGAGAAGGAAACCTGGCCCAAAACCCGGCACAAGGATTAACAAGCGAAGTAGCACAAATACCGAGGACGGTGAGAAGGCCAAGCGAGTAAGGAAGCAGAAGGATCCCAACGCTCCACCTACTTCTAGAAGACGTAAGGTGGCGTCGTCTGCCGACGGTGAGGCTGGCGAATCGAGATCACGAGCTGCTAGTGTTAGCGGTAATGCGAGTGCTGGAGCCTCCACTGGATCGCGGCAAGCAAAAATTACCGAGATGGCTACGGCTTCCCAAGCCCGAGCAGAACCTGCTCCTCAAAGAGAAGTCAAACGTGAGAATATCGGCTCAATGTCCAGCATCTTGAATGTCGACCCTGAACCCCCCCAGCAATTCAATCGCCAACCGCAACAATCGCCGCCTCCGCCGCAACAGCAGCAACAACCACCAGTACGCCCAAGTGCCCCTTCGAGGACGAGTGGTTATAGTTATGACCCCGTTCGGTCGTCTAATTATGATCCTATCCGAGAAAGCGTGGTTACGCAAAGCTATTCTAACCCGATGGGATCTCCTCGTGGCCCCTCAACGACTGCCCCAGGCATCATCAACCGCGCGAGTGCTTCTCCGTCTATCACGAGTCTAATTGACCCTCCCGTACCAAGTATTATTTCACCAGTTCCGTCGCATACTTCTTTTGTACAAAATTCGCAACATTCCCAGTCCCGACCTCACAAGGAAACTAGCACGATGCCAGAGTCGCCGAATCCTTTGCGCAAGGAGTTCGTGCCTCCCCCGGCGCCTAAGCCACCCGCTATCGAGGCTAAAGAAACTAGAGAGCCCAAGGAGGTAAAGGAAGTTAAGGAAGTCAAGGAACCCAAAGAGGCTAAGGTAGTCAAAGAGACCAGAAAGTCCGCGTCAACCCTGACAGCAACCGCCGCTTCTAAGATCGAAATTCGGCCAACATCGATTACCACGATTGGTGGCGGCGCCACCAAGAAGGCAACATCTAAGAACCAAAGCGCAACGTCATCATCCCCTGGTATCAATGCGACGAAGGATGCCCTTGCCCCTCTTCCTGGTGGGCCTGAGCGCTCTATTCTAGACTTTGGCAAAGTCGATTCCGAGCTTGTCACTCCCTCCATTATCCTCAACATCCCTCTTAATGGCGAAACAAATAAATATATCAACTTTATGCGAATGGCCGAGGAACAATATGGTTGGGACGCCCTTCATCCCCGTCAGGCTGAACAGAAAGCGCGAAAAGCCCGCATCGCCGCCGCGTCCGCCGCCTTGGCCCAGAACGATTCAAGCCGTGAAGGTGACGAAATGTCGGTTGACGAATCAGATAATGAGGATTCCAATGTTGAGATGGGCGGTATGAGTGGACCGGACAAACCCGCTGATGGGAAGCCCGCAAAGAAGAAGAGGCACTTCAAAGAGGACGAATACGACAAGGACGACGATTTTGTGGACGACTCTGAAATGCTCTGGGAAGAGCAGGCAGCGGCTAGTCGAGATGGCTTTTTTGTCTACTCCGGACCTTTGGTGCCGGAGGTCGAAAAGCCTGAAGCTGGACGGTACGTACATGCTATGTTTTCTTATCTATTTGGATTCATATACTAATTCCTTACAGTGGAGAGGGTCAACCCAAACGTGGACGAGGTTCTCGTGGTGGCCGTGGCGGTGCACGAGGCGCTACGGCAGGCACAGGACGAAGTCGTGGAGGTGGCCCTGGTTCTCGAGGCGGAGCAGTGCGAAAGCCTCGAATGACGAAGGCCGACAAAGCTCAGATGGATCGCGAAAAGGCCGAGCGCGAGGCTGCATTTATAAAATCGACGGCGACGAACGGTGGATCCTATAATGTCCTGCACCCGGGAAGTCCGCAATTTGCGGGCTTGTAATGCAAGCATCTTCAGGGGGCAAGGCAATTAAGGATGGTTGGCGTTGGAGCACCACCCAACGGTATGTAATAATGTGCACACATAATATGGGGTGTAAAGCGACTTTGATTTGGCGGCCGTTTCACAGCGGAATGTGGTATTTAAACGGGACTCGCGCCAGGGGCGAAGCTAGAGCCTTGACTTCGAAGTCTTTACATCATAACGCGTCGGACACGTGTTAGGGAACCGGCGGATACGGCGTACATTGTTTACCTACATATTCAGGGGGGGCTCTTCGCGGCTACGGTAGATCTGCTTTGGCTTTAGACAAGCACATATTGTACTTATGCGAATAGCGAGCTATTATTCATGCTTTTAAAACTGTCCGTTGGGCTAACTACCCAACGATGTGTCAATAAAGGAGTGAATGTGAGTAGTAAATCCGTTTTAATAATACGCGTACGAATTTGTGCGTAAATGGCTAGGTAACATTTCAGATGCTAAAAGGCTAACCTGGTCATATAGGTCTCATTTGATTCGTCAAGCATAAGCCCGCCCCGCTCTTGATTCCCCATTATGGAGATCAATCCCCTTAGGATCAAAGTACTGAATCACGCACCAGCTACATAGGACATGGACCTCCAACTGTTGTGGGCTATCTCTGTGCCATGGCTTGACATAGAGTAGTCAGAATAGGGAGCCCTCGCTTATGGGCCTTTTGCATTATTGGCTGCTTACAGGCTTTACCAAGACTGGCTCTCATTTATAAGACTCGACCCTCCTGCCCTTCTCTTCTATTGACCCCTTTTCTCGTCTCCTCTCTTTTCCCTCCCACACCAATTCTTTTCTCGCCATTTTGATCACCTCGCCTTTAGCTTATTAGCACTGCTTACTCCCGCTAAGAAATTTCCGACTTTCACAAGATGACTTCTCCTCACCCCCTTTCCGCTGCCTCGCTTTTTTCCCTTAAGGATTACGTCGCCGTCGGTAAGTTTTTCACCAAACCCCTTTTTTTCTGATGTTCCCCTCTTTTCGCTAATACACGTTGTCCACAGTTACGGGCGGTGGAACTGGCCTCGGATTGAGTAAGACCCAGGATCTAAATATTCTTACCCCTATTTACCCCTGACACCATCGGTGGTAGTGATCGCGCAGACACTGGCTGCCAACGGCGCTAAAGTGTATATTACCGGCCGTCGCGCCGATGTCCTGGAGACGAGCGCGCGTGTTCATGGGTCGAAAGAGAGACTTGGGCCCGATGGGGGGAGCATGGTGCCACTTGTGATGGATGTTACGTCTAAGGATAGCATTCGGAAGGCCGTCGCGGAGATCTCGGACAAGGAGAATTATGTTAATGTGTAAGTCCGAACTCCTAATTCACCCTCACCCCCCACCTACGCCTGGTATACTCCGATGGCGTGTTCTAATGCTTGCTGGATTTTTGTAGGCTGGTTAATAACGCGGGGATCTGGGCTGGTCGGCCCGAGAAAAAGCCACAGGATGGCCCCGAGGCTTTTAGCGAAGCCATTCTGCAAGATGAGAAGGTGGAGAATTGGCATAGAGGTATGTTTTCCTGGCTGATAGACATGGTCTTACATGCATGATGCCCGTTTATTGGGTGGGAGTATAGGCCGCTGACTAATTGATGTTACGGTCGCACAGCATTCGATGTCAATTGCCTCGCTGCTTACTTCGTTACTGCTGCGTTTCTCCCGCTTCTTGCTAAGGCGGTGTCGGGCCCGACAGGGAAGATTGGGAATGTGGTTAATAATAGTTCGATGGCGGGTTTTATGCGCATGTTAGTATAATCGATTCCTTGTTTGTATGGGTTTGGGGAATAGGGGCTGATTGACTGAGTAGGTCGCAAGGTTGCCAGTTTTCGTATAATGTGAGTCGTGATATTTTGAACGCCTGTTAAGCAACCGAGCATATCGGACTAATGGAAAATAAATAACAGGTCACTAAAGCTGCAGTCAGTCATTTGACCCGACAGATGGCGTATGAATTCAGCCACAAGGAGATCAATGTTCGCGTCAATGGGCTTGCTCTCGGTGTGTAACCTTACCCCCCTTTTCCCGCCCTTTCAATCTATCGACCCCTTTACTACGATCGCAACGTTAATTCTCACAACCAACGACCCCTTTTTACGCCTTGGAGGAACTGTCAATTGTGTTAATATGCATTAGGATATTTCGCGACCGAAATGACAACAGGAGAGTCCAACACCGAGAACGAGAGCACACCCGACGACGAGAAATTCGCAGGTTTCCTGGCTAACATGGGATGTACGAAGGTCAATCGCTTTGGGACTCCACAGGAGGCTGCTAGTGTAAGTTGGTCGTTATTCCACCGAACGCGCATGTTGCGCAGACACGACATGCGGTTAGGCTAGTTAGGCTTGTGTAACCTGCTAACTAATTGACTGGTTTGTTAGATCTTGTTGACGGTCGTTACGAACGAGTTCATGTGGGGTACTATATCGATTGTTGATGGAGGCTTTGTTCTAACTCTGCCTGGGAATATGTAGGGCAATGATTGCTCTTGTCAATTGGGTGTTAGGGGGCAACTCGGTTATTCTCATGTTACACGTGGAATTTGGAGTTACCCCTATTCCTATACTCAGGAAATCTAAACCGAATTCTTTGCCCTCTTGCATATTCAAAGTAGCTTTCTTTTACTCTTCTAGTATCAAATAAGAGTATTAAGCTCCTTAGGTAGCGTCTTAGTAACCCTATGGACAAATCACGGATTGGATTAAATTGCAACCTACGATGAAAATGAACACTTCACTTCGACTCTTGCTACTTTGCAGACCAGGTTTGGTGACGTCTTTTGGATGGTAATCATATGCTGAGTTTTCACCGAGTTATTAAACCCCCTAGGCGATCGCGAAACCAACAAAACGGGTGACCTGACCCTTTGGTACCACATTGCAGCCAAGGGTCATCCGACGTCGCTAGTGGAGTCTTCGGGTTCAACTCTCAAACTTTGGCTTCACGGTTTTCAATTAGTGCTATACATGAGCGTGGCGTGGGCTATAATTAATGTTACCGCTTTGTTACCCCCTGGCACACGGTCACGTCCCGACTTACTAGCGTATCCTTGCTAAGTCCGATTAGTCAGCTTTGTCATTTGTAAAAAAAAAAAAAAGAGGAGGAATCTTTTGAAAGCTACTCTTAATCTACTCTTCTTTATTTTACAAACCACTGCCACATTTCGGCAGCCAATAAGATCCCCAGAATCGCCCCGCACTTTTCGACTTTTCGCTTTCGCATTCTTTCCCATGACGTTTCCTAATGATGCAATTAGTATCAAAAGGTCATGCAAAACGGGCTCTATTCACCCATACCAATTATCAATAGATTTACGTGATATTGGTAAAGATTGATTGATTCTATAAAGAATTCGTCGGACGTGCGCAGAGGTGTGGCTAGCCAATCAGAATCCATAGTTGACTGTGGCGCTGTATACATTCCCTCCCTTCTCCTCCGCCCCTTAAAGGGCGGGTCGGGTCAGCTAGTTTTCTTCCACTATAGTTAAATGTCCCAGTGAGTATTTGGTCCCTTAGTAATAAGACTGCAAGGTACGATTACATTTCCTTCTTCATATATCAATCTGTAGTACTTTGAACGTTTCCCCCTAACTCCCAACCCCTCTTCTCACCCTCGATTATCAATTCAGCAGCATTCTACTCCTCAATTGCTATAGGGTGGCCTAGGAATTACCATGCATTTTCCTCAGGCCTATATATGGCTCTGCCAACTTCTCTCGCTTTTTTTTTTATTCTGACAGAGCGAATCCCTTATTTAGCCCGCGATCCTTATAGTCACTAGCTTAAGTACAATCGAGCCATGTTGATTTATTTCTTATGAAATAAGCAGCTATCTCTTAGCTGAGTCCAACCTGTGCCACGGACGTTCCTACACCTGGTGACTCTCCATCACCGGGCGTATTGAAAGAGAAGATGTGATGCTGGGATACCTGGTTTGGCAAGGAGGCCATGGAGCCTCACTGACATCACAAAAAATAAAGCAACTATTCATAAAATTTCAATATCGTTACCATAATCAAGACTATTCGCTACCGTTCCAAAGACCACCGAATTAAGAAAAAATAAAAATAAAAAAAGCACATGTACCTAACCATATGCCAGGACTGCCATTCTAAGGCCTATCGACACCTAACGGCAATGAAGGTTTTGGCTTGGGCCATCTAGACTCCCAGCGAAAGATATCTTCGAAGAAACCATATTAAATGAAGGGAAGCACCATGCCGCGCAAACAGCAGAGGAGAAACCAAAAGCGAAATATGACTTAAGAAAATAAGGAACTGAAGAAAGTGAGATAGGGACATAAAATCATTTGTCCCATCAACCTATCCCCTCGGTCACGACGATATTAACTTAGTTCTTAGGTATAAAGACGACAATCCCCTCACACCTAGTGTTATATTAGGCCTTCTGCGACAAGAATGAAGTCGAGTTGCATGGACGTGAGGTGACGTGACATTAAAAAAGGCTTAGTAGCTTACCATATTTCTAAATTGACGACGCCTACCTACACCCTGGGAAACGAGTCCCGACAAATTTAAGGTCTTGCTCAATCTCTGATGAAGAGCGGCCCGGTAGGGATCCAAGAGCAGCTGTGCTCTGGGCCGATAGTGAGGCTACCTGAGCACCAGTCTGGTTTTGCCTAGGGAAGAGTCGGTCGACCGAATCGAGGCGTGCGGTATGGTTGTGTTCAGACGATATCACAGGTGACAACGACAGTGATATAGAGGTGGTATGGCCCGGTGAAGTGCCATGGGTGTGATGAAGGCTACCGTTGGCTTCTTTGGATACTGCTGATGACCTTGATTGGGGTGCTGGTCTCGAAGACTGTTAGCTATTGCGATTTCAACGAATCTTAAGGCCCATATCAATGCAATACTTACTCAGAGAATGCCTTATCGGTATCAGTAGAAGTGTTGAAAGTCATTGTTGGCTTCGTCTGTGAAATCAGAATGAAACAAGAGTGAAGTGAGTAGATGGGGGATAGCTAGAGAATAGTTGAAGAAATTATGAATGTGGACAGGCTTGGAATCACAAAATCTTGGAAGAATCTTATCCACTTGCGCTGCGAAGAACTTTAGTATATTGTGTGACAATGCTTTGATCAGCAGGGACAGTTAGCTGGCTAGCTGTATAACTTGGAAAAGAATATACAGGCATAGTGAAATCAACTTGACCCGGAGGCAGGTATTTAAATAATTTACCCTAGTCATTCCAGTTCAGTAGTGATATGTACCTAGGTAGGTGATGGGAGGACACCCCAAGTTTCCTATCATATAAGTATATCCGTACACCCCGTGTGTGTGGATTTTTCTTGGATATCTGCTGTGTAACCCTGGCAACATAATTCCATTTTTTCAGTATCGCGGTGGAACCTGGCCTGTTGGATTTTTATTTAGTATACACCCGTGAGTTTTTTAGTATACACCCGTAAGGTAAAAACATAAATTTAACATCATTGGCCTCCTGAGTGCGCGTGTCCTGGTGCTTAAGCCTTGTTCCTAACTTAGCCAATTAAAAAATTATGAAGGAGACCTATTAAATATACACCCAAAGTACTCCGCTGTCGGTCTCTGGCACCAATTGCTGGAAACCTCACACACCGCGTTCCCCGGTTCCCTCATCCAGTCACCAATCCCAGATAGAGGCTTATTAAGACTCTGGGCGAGATATTCGATGTCGTCATGCCCGGAAAGATCCGAAAGCCTTGTTTATTCTTGTCAACCTCGACATAAATTGCTTGCACCATCCCCAATAATGCGGGATTTAATCGCAAAAGAAAAGACCTGCCTGTTCGGCGAAGGGAAGCTGGCCAAATTTCGGCATCCAGTCAACCCAATCTTCTAAATCCATCTATCTGTCTTCAAAGACTATTTACAGCCTTCGCGTGCTCATACACCAACGTCTTTGCCTCCTCATCATCCAGGAAAATCGTAAATCCATCATCATGATTCCGTCCATACGAGTACCCCGAAAAGCCGAATTGCCAATACATATCCGGCACGCCCTCCTCTAACATTATCTTCTGCCACTCTCCCTCCACCGCAACCCTAGTCTCATTAACTGCCGGAATGCCATTCTGAGCGCGCGCTTCGGGGGTCATCCACCCGTACTCCTCATGCACGACGGGCTTACCTGCCGCCCGGCCTGCCGCGGCGTGGTCCCGAATCCATTGAGACGCCCAGGCGGGCGTTCGGGTCCACCAATCTGGGTATGTGTGAAAGACTCCGAAATCGATATTCGGTAACGCAATGTTCGCGTCGAAGTCTCCGCCATCAGATCCGTTGTAGAGTGAGTCGGAGGCGTTGGCGTGGCTGAAACCGCCTTCTCCGCCCCAGGTTACTAAGTGGTTGGCATCGAGGGACTTGATGAAGGTACTCATTTCGTCGATCCAGAATGTTAGGGTTGCAGTGGTGCAGTTGTTGCTTACGGGGACTGTTGTCGATGTTAGTGAGTACGAAGGGGAATAGGGGGAGGGGGGATGAGAGGGATATGTACGGTTACGCTTTGCGTCGGCGCCGCAGCGTGGTTCGTTGGCGAGTTCCCATGCCATGATTGCTGGTGAGTCCTTGTAGCGGGTGACGAATTGCTCGATGTAGCGCTTGTAGGCGTCTTTGATTTGTGGTAGGCGATAGAACTGGACTTTAATCAACATTTTAAATGTTGAAGGTGTGGAGCTGACTTACATCGTCATGGTACTTTCCGCCTAGGTTGATAGTAAAAACGTCCATTCCACCGTAGTCGGCCCAGTTATTAGTAAAGGTGACAATGAGCTTGATGCCAACTTTGGTAGCAGCGTCAACTACTTTATCGAAGTCGGTGATGTTGACAGTGGAGGTGCTATTTGCCCACCATTGGAATACGGTTTCTGTCGCACCCGCGCCTTCGCCGCCGTACTGGGGTAAGCCTTCGGGATTGAAGGTAACGTTTTTGTCATTGAAACCCCACGTGCGGAAGACTTTTAAGCCTGCATCTTTAGCGGCGGCAAGTCCGAGTTCGACATCAGTCGCGTTCTGAGACCATGGTAAGCGTTGATGATTAATTGAATCAGAGTAGACAACTTATACGTACACTATTAAAGGGAAAGTAATACGCATTGCTCCCAGCGAAATTGAAGTCCCCCCCATCAAGTCGGAACTTTCCCTCATCGACAGCGACAAAGCCTTCGGGAACAGCCCGACATTTTGACCTATGTAAAGGGCTAGCGTGGCTCCCGCTTGCCAGCAGACTAAGAGATAGAAGATAGGATAATGTGAGTAACATCTTGACAATTTACTCGATTAGAAGAGAAAGTCCATTGTGAAAAGTCTGTGGTTCGTCATATTTATGTCGTCGCGATCCCCTTTCCCTATTTCGGGTATTTCCCTTTTCGGCAACCGGAAGTCGTGGAACCGCCTTGCTGGGGTCCCTCGCGAATTGAGCCTCCGCGTAGCATTGGCGATCCACGCTGAACCAATTCCGAGTACATGTACAGGTACGCTAAGTAGCGGATCATGATGTGTATAGCTTAACCTGATCGCCCTAAAATCTCTAGCTAAGTCAAGGAGTAAAGATGACATGTTAAACATAAAAGAATGTGGATATGAGGAGACCATCACCGTTCAATTAAGAAATTTGAGAGAACTGTATTATTTCTTGATGGAAATTCTTTCGTATCTCGTCGAGATCCATCTTATAGCACCACAAGAAACTATTCCTAATCAGATTCGCAATCCAACCAGGCAGTTCGATGTTCTTGCCGGATGTCCCTTTTTGGTTGTATGTCTGGGTTCTCGCTCGTGCTAATGGTAATTTCGGTAACCCTGAGTATCCTTCCGTCGTAGTTTATAGGTTGTCCTTCTGTCCGATCTTGCGGGCTCCCATCTCGAGTCCTAGCGGGTGCTACTGCTGTAAGGTGTATGTCACTGGTTTCATCTGTCCAGGGGATGTCGTCAGGGCGAGGCTCATCTCGTGCTATCTCGGATCTCATATATCTATGCTTGCCGTTCGGAGTGAGGTATAGTGGAAGCGAAAAGTCTTTCATTTTTGATCGTACTAGGGCGCCGAGCCTAGGGATCGGATTTTTGCCGCGGAACACGCTAGGGATACCTGGAACGCAGAATATCAACATTGCGGTTGATGTTTCGGCTAGATCCCAGAGAACAAAGCTAGAATATTTTGCGGATGGATCACGAAAAAACCGCTTAATATCGACTGCACCGGCCACTCGACCAGCAGCACATAAACAAGTCCTAGTTGATCAATTAGAAGCGTGTCTAGTCGAGGAGTTTGAAATAAAGGAGCAACGTACAGGCTACCCACAGAAAAAACAATGGAAATAATAATTCTTGACCGGCCTGCCAGGGATAACCTCCATATTATCGTATGTGGGAGTATAAAGATTAGAAGGTCGAAGGCTAGATGAAGAACAGTTATGATGATATTGATGTCGGTTAGACCCATGCATGTTCCTAGAAGGGTATCCGGGCCCCGTTGTTTTCGAAGAGGAGAACAGTTGAAAGAGACGAGAAAGATTGTCGCGATGTATATACAACAATTAGCTAAAATTAGGGCGCGACATAGCCAAAAGAAGGTATTGTGAGAAGATCTTATAACGAAGAGATGAGTCCATTCCAGGAGGATCGCCACTTTGGTTATCATGAGCGTGACACAGTATAAGATAGTCACGAGGACGTAAAACTGTCTGATGTGAGTTATTATTCCTTAAGTACATGGAATGGTGTAAACTAACTCGACTGAGCTTTAAAAATTCCCCCATCTGTAGATCCCACGTGTGGGCACGAAGGCCACCTCGACACATTTCACCTAATATCCATGTGCCAGAGATGAAGAACGGCTAACATATGTTAACATAATGCCATGTGCGATGTTATAATTGTTTCGGTGTGAAATGACAGTCGTACCAATGCGAGAAGCCCGATATCTAGAGGTTTAAAGGACGTTAATCACTAGTAGATAACGAATGAAAAAGGCGAGGAGGGAATAGCAACACCCACAGTCTTCGACTCTGAATCTTTTTACGTAACGCACTCTTGTATAAATTCGAATCGAGTAGAAAATTGCTACCAGGCTTGCGGCAACGATTACTGATACGAGACCTACTATATCAGTGCTGGGTAGATCTATGAGATGAGATGCCGTGCCATTTGGAGGATGACCGGCTGGTCTATTCAAAAAGTTCTCGGGGCTGGTCAAATGAGGAGTGCCGGTGGGATGAGGTTTAATTGATTCCATGGTGGATATTCTCCATGGAGATTTGTTAGATGAGTTTAGGACGTCAGGTTGCCGTTGATATAGTACGGATTGGTGCACTGTTATATAAACGTGGTTTTAGGAAGGTTGGTGCTCGAAGTTCACACAAGTAGGTAAGTAATAAGACTAAATTTGGTACTATACACTTGAAGCTATCAATATTACTTAACAATGTGTGTGAGTATTGGAAATTGGGGGCGGTTGGTGAAAATCAATCAGAATTCTAGTTACACAATTGTTAGGTGGATAGTTGTAAGGGTAGTTTTTTTTTCCTTTTTGGATAGTGGCCGCTTACGATGCGACTATAGGAGGGATTCTTAGTGAGTCGTTCTCCAAAGCCTACATACAAATCATGTGGGATTGTCAGACGTCTTCGGCGGCACTTATGTTGCGACCCTCTTGGTGTAAGGTTTTTCTTAATAGATGTAAGCTGTCTGGCTGGAATATTGTAACATAACGCGGGTAAGCCACACCTGAGGCCATATGAAGAGTACAAAGTGTCCTGGATGCGTGGGACTGGACATAAATTGAGACGTGCGACTCGATCAATAACCCGGGCGGGATTCCGAATGTCGGATCTTACCAAGGCTGTGAGGCCCCCACATGAAGAGGAATTAATTGACCATGGGGTCGTATCGTTTCCTACCCCTACGGTTACACAGGCTCAGATTATTGGTTATTTAGGTGCACCAATAATAGGTAGGCTATTACAACTTGAAGACTTGTATGAAAAAGTGAAAAGGGAGGGACGGATAAAACTGGGACCACCACTACCGATAAGGGCGGAACCGGCCCCGCATACCATCTCCGCATACCCGGCCCCATAGTACGCTCGGTGAATAGGTAGGTACTTAGCTATCTCGGCACTTACCTAATTTAGCTTTAAGGTTGCTGCTGACTGTACATATGGAAGGCTTGGGTGGTTGGTTACATAAGCGCCAAGATTTCGCGTTCGATCAGGTAAGCGACTTGCTCCGCACCAAAAAAAAGTTCAACCAGCAAAAATTATGGTTAAATTTCATCCAATCAGCACCCGCCATTACTTTAGTTAATGCAGCCTAAGAAAAGCAAAAGCTCTAGCCCACTTTGTAGCGCTTGCTGCGACGTTGGCGGGCGACCGACTTTTTTCAACTTCGATTTTTTTTTTTTTCCTCCACTGATCTTCGCGATCTTGATCTTGCTTGGTGAACGAGGCCAATCATTTAGACCTTCACTAGTAGCAAGCCTGGGGAATTGATTTTCAGGAAGCATTGTTAAAATTATTGCCAGTACATTCCTGTTCGAATGGGCACCATGGAGGACTCAACGTTAAAGGTGGGTTTATCCAATAGCCCAACTCGTGTTATGAATCGAGTGTCGCATGCTCTACGCTCTCGGAGAATGATAATTAACACTTCAAAAATCACAGGAGCGGCTCCTTAATTCCCAGAAATCCTTCGATGGACTTCTTTCCTTGATACCTGCGAAGATGTACTATGGAGAAGACACAGGTGTAAGTCACGATACAAACCCCTCTGGTTAAGTTGCGAACAGAATGTTAACCACCATGCCCTCTGTTACAGGATCAATGGAAACGGAAAAAACAGACCAAGGCCGAGGCTGCCGAAGCCAGACGTAATAAGTTAGACCCCGACAGCGCATTAAATCGGAGCGTTAAGGAAGTTATGGATGAACAAGCCCAGAAGAAACGAAAGCGTGACCAGATGCAAGATGACGATGATGAATGGTCCGATGTCGAGGGAGTTGAGGCCGAGAAGCCCGGTGAGGGTTTAAAGAAGAAGACACCAAAAGAATCCAAGAAGCAAAAGAAGTTAGATGAGGAACAAGCTGAGCTTGACGAAAAAGAACAACGCAAAGAAGAGAAGAAGGCTGCCAGGAAAGAGCGCAAGGCAGAGCGACAACAACTTAGGGAAGAAGAGGCGGCTTTCCAAAGGCAAACAATCAAGGGCGTCAACAAGATAAAATTAGGACAGAGAGAAACGAAAACCGACTCGTTACCTAATGGTGATACCAAATCTGCCGAATCTAGCAATGGATCATACAAGGCTAACGACCAAGAGAACCCCGAGGAGGACGTCGCGCCCGGAGAGGTTCGAAATATTGATGTTACTGGTCTCGCCGACGCTGTTGAAGAGCATAACCCTGAACTCGCCCCCTCACCCCCGTCAGAACCTCAGTCTCCCGTTTTCGACACAAACGGCACACCTGCCGACTCAACAGGCCAAGCCCCTAGTACCACAACATCCGTATCATCTACAGCCGCACCCGAAAAGCCGAAACACATTAAGATACCCACCGACACATCCGCCCTCCGAGCCCGCCTTGCCGCGAGGATACAAGCCCTTCGAGATGCGCGAAAGGCCGACGTCGATGGAAAACCCATACGTACACGGCAAGAACTTATTGAAGCACGACGTCAGAAGCAAGCAGAACGAAAAGCACACAAAAAGGAATTAAGACGTCAGACCAAGGTAGAAGAAGACTTAAAGCGTGAAGAGGCTCTAGCGTCCGTACGAAACTCGCCTAGCAGCATGCTCAGCCCAGCAATTGATCTACAAGATAACAATTTCTCCTTCGGTCGCGTTGGCTTTGGAGACGGCTCTCAACTCTCGCATGACCTCAGCCATGTTCTTAATAGCGGCAAGAAAAAGGGCCCTTCAGATCCGAAGACAGCACTTCAAAAGTTGGAGAACCAAAAGAAGCGGCTGCAAGAGATGGACGGAGAGAAGCGCAAGGACGTCGAAGACAAGGAGCTCTGGCTTACCGCGAGGCGGCGCGCCGAAGGCGAGAAGATTCGAGATGACGAGAAGATGCTCAAGAAGGCTGTCAAGCGAAAAGAAGTCGCCAAGAAGAAGAGTGAGAAGGACTGGACTGCAAGGAAAGAGGGCGTCGCCAAGGCTATGAAGGACCGACAAAAGAAGCGAGAGGAGAATATCAGGAAGCGACGAGAAGATAAGATAATGGGCAAGTCGGGTAAGAAAAAGGGGGCCAAGAAGACCAAGAGTCGGGCTGGGTTCGAGGGCTCGTTTATAGGAGGCGGGAAGAAGAAATGAGTTACCCTAATTACCTATTATTGTTAAATACGAATGGAGCTTGTCATCCAGTCCCCCCTTTTCTGGACGTGCTTCCTGGTGCTGTACATACGTAGTGTTCTGGGGTGATGTTGGCCTATGTGGATAATTCTGGCTCTTGGACTGGTACGGTGCCAAATACAATTCTATATGAAGTACTCTACGAGGCTACTAAGTCCATGTTGATCTTCGGCGCGAGATGATCTTGGCTCATGGAGAATGCTAACTTTCAAGGGCTTCAAGTAGTCTTCCTAAGCTGTCAGTTTCGCAGCATTCTGTAAAGCTATAATCCACACGATTGGAGGTTGATAAGGACGTAATTGCCAGATGGATGATGCGTATTGGCTACATCGATATGTCTCGTTTTCACGCTGGTTATTGTCCGCTATTGGTCGCGGTACTGTAAATACCTAGGTACGGAGAGCGGGCGCAAATCACACGGTAAAGCCTGATGTTGCCACATTGCACTCGTCTATCTCTTCTCTGAATTTCTTACAACTACTTGCTTTCTACCCGTAAAATAAACAAAATGCCACTTTGTATCGAATGCGAATTTTTGGTAGGGCAGTTGTTCTATCCTAAGGACTGGCAGTTTCGGAAAAGGTTACACAGATCATGGTTGGACGAGTCTTGTGAATTATGTAACCTTTTCCCTTCTCATCGGAGTGGCCAGCATCGGGATATAAAACCAGATATATGTGACGCTCTGGCTTCACTACTCGCACGAGGCCACAGCGGTGTGGCTATTGCGTTTGGGTTTTCGTCTGCGGGTTCTTATATGGATTCGCTTCAATTCCTAGCCGAACCAAGTAGCGAAGCTTTTAAAAGTGGCGATATAACCGGGGCACTTCTCGAGAACACAGGATCCATTGAATCGTTAGGGCTTGTTGTCGGTTGGTTCGATTCTTGTCGGCGAGACCATGATGGTTGCTGTTCAACACTGGGGGGGCAGCGCCTAGATAATGCGCTACTGCTCCCAACCCGGATCCTCTATGTTGGGTCTTCGGATGATAATATCGTGAAATTGGTAGAGACTTGGAATTGGTCTAGGAAAGAGGAGCAATGGGCAGCTTTGAGCCATTGCTGGGGCGGTAAGATGCCAATATCTACCACCCACGCAACACTGCAGAGCCACAGAGAGGGAATAGCACTCTCAGAGCTCCCTCAAACATTTTGCGATGCTGTCAAAGTCGCCCGAGCTTTAGGACTAGAGTACCTCTGGATTGATATGCTTTGTATCATCCAAGACGACCCTGAGGATTGGAACAGAGAGTCGGCTCGAATGGGATATGTGTATGAATGCGCTGAAAACGCAAATCAGGGATGTTTCGTCAACATGGGTCATCAAGGATCAATGGTAGAACTACCGTACATCAAAAATAATGTCCAGCTAGGACGATTCTTCGCCTCCAAAGCACTGGATTATGGCGGATCAAGCGCGTTTGCCCCCCTTATTGGCAGGGCATGGGCGCTTCAGGAACGAGCTCTTGCGCGAAGGACGGTCGTTTATACTTCTTCAGGAGTCTGGTGGGAGTGCCGCAACAATAAAAACCTGAGGGTTCAGGCATGACGGTAGTCTTACCGGTGCTTACTGGGGAGGATTTGGTGGAAACCTTTGGGAAGAAGAGGGTTGGTTACGTTTGCTCCGAAATTATCTCGAATGTTCCCTGACTGTGCCAACGGACAATCTTGCGGCTATACACGGTATAGCTACACGCATAGCGCGATGGTCCCCAAAACAAATAGGAGATTTCTATCATGGTTGTTGGCTGAGTCATTCCCCATATCAGCTCTTATGGTACGGAAAAGTGCCTAGACTACCAGAATTGCGAACTAGACCTTCATGGTCTTGGGCATCAACCCAAATGAGGAAGAGATGGTTTGCGGGCGATCGAGTAAATTCGATCGTCGTTCTTTGCGGCTCTTTTCAGCCACATCCTCCAACGGGTCTCGGTATTAACTGCCCTGTTCATACAGGAGTCATAGTAGAAAAGCTTTCGCGCGTAAAAGATTCCAATTATATAAACAATACAAACAATATATGGCCATGGAGAATTTCACCGGAGCTTCAAGAACTGGAGGGGAACTTCGTGGTCGTTAATGACAAGGACGAAACGGTGGGCTTCGTATTCGTGGAAGATGTATCCTGGTTTCACGAGAAAGCTTATGGGTATCTGCCCCTAGCCGCGGCTTTCATGCTACAGGAACTCAGATTTTCGACCGACATATATGAAAAGTACATGTACTGTGGCTTATTGCTTGTAGCGCACAAGAGTAAGCCGAATTCATATTACAGAGTCGGATTCATCTACGTTGGGAGCCAAACTTACTTTAGGCAAGCTACTAAGCAGGAGATTGTCCTGTTATAGGGTGCTACACCATGTATGACCTAAATGAATTGTTGGAAAGACATTTTTATGATATGTGATACCTGATAGAAGTCTTGTTGCTTTATAAGAGGACGAAGAGAAAGGGAAAGACTACCTAGGTAGAGCTAGAAAAGAGAGTGGGAATCGTCGATGAGTGGTCACAATTTTACTAACTATTTCAATGCTATTGGCTCTATGTCGGATTCGCGTTTAGTTCATCAATGGCACGATAGCTGACGTTAAACATTTTCTCCCTTTGAAGTCCTGATCAGGAAACGTTCCACTGAGACTTACGACATCTGGCTCGATTTGGCCTCTATTAGCATTGACCCTAGCAACCACATTCCTCAAATTATTAGCATGGGACTAATTTGTCTATCTCGTAATACCGGCACCCAAGGTCGGTAGAGTAGAGAGAAAGAAAATCCTTTAAAAATTAAAACATAGCACTTTACTTGATGGGGAATATTGATGTTTGTAATAACATAGTACAGCATAACACCATGACCTTGTCCACGCGTGGCAGCGTATTTGCATCCGATAGGGTAATGATGCAGCACTAGGGTTGACTAGCTCTTGTTCCGGTTGTACAAGTTAGTATCCTATATGATCGTGTACCAGACTGTCGGTACTTCATGTCTCATATTAGTACTATCTTCCTAGGATCCGATTACTCGGAAGCGAGGATTTTAGATCCGGTCTAAGTCCCGGCCGAGTTGTCAGAAGCTTTGCTCACCTATGGGATTGGTTTCCGATTCGTATTATGCTTTGCTGACGGTAATCATATATGAGCTATAACTTTTCACTATCCCTAGATCCTATTTGGGAAGGACGGGGAGGTTCCGGGTCTCTTTGTCAAAACTAGAGGCCCACCCGCTTCATAACAAAGACGTCTCTCACACTCGCGCAACTACGATGACCCCTCGAATTCCGAATCCTACTTTCTGGGCTCTGAATCGGATGCAGGAAACGTTTATGCAGGGAGCCACGATCTTCGTTCCTGGGTCGAACATGTCATAATTTTTTTTAATTCATTGAGTTTCAAGGCGTCTTCACAAGAAGCGTTGGATGAATTTCCTCGAATATTAACGGATTGTTGCCTCAATGCCGTACCATCCTCGAAAATCTGCGCGTCTTCCTGCTCCTGGAGGATAATTATCAACTGCGGAGGTTATTCTGCCCTCATTTCAGCTCAAAGACCCCCCCTCTTTTCATAATCGATATTTACTTTCCTTTGTTCGCTCTTATGCTACTTGTACCACCCCTCCTACATGCTTGAGCTAGGAGCTTTCGAGCTAGCATCTTGACTCGAATTGACATACCGGACATTATGGACAATGCTAACCTTCCGCCGATGCATGGTATGGGAGTGGCGATTTATCTCATATCGCTGATATTTGTGGCTTTTTCGGTTGCGACTGTAGGTCTTAGAACCTACGTGCGGTGGTCTGAGAAGTTACTTTGGTGGGATGACGGATTGATGCTTTTAGGACTGGTCAGTTTTTACCCAGGTCGAAACGACGTCTTAGCCTTACTGACAACAATGCACTAGATTGTCTTTGTCGCCCAGGTCGCTATCAGTTGCAGGAGTGTTTACTTCGGTGTCGGCTATCGAATCGAGGATCTTACCGATTATAAACGTGCACACGCCAACAAATACTTGACGATATGGATGCTACTATACTCGGTCTGCCTGCTCTCGGTCAAGAGCTCCATCTGTATAACCGTATTGCGGCTCAGCGAGACACTGAAATACGTCCGATTCTCGATCTACGCCTTACTAGCGTTATGTGTCTCGGCTTCCTTGATCTCTATTATAGGGGGTATCACCCAATGTCGTCCTGGTTCGACTGATGGAACATGTTCATCCTGGGATGCGGTCTATGGCATTGCTTATACTACTACGGTCATAACAATTATTACTGATATAGCGTGTGCTATATTGCCTGCTATAATTCTATGGAAGACACAACTAAGATTGAGAACCAAGGCATTGGTTTGCATCCTCCTGTCTTTTGGTTCCTTGTGAGTTGATACTTATACCCACCCTTCGTCATTCTCTATCTAATGACATCCGACCTCTAGTGCTTCCGTCTGCGCGATAGTTCGTATGCCGCTCATTAAATACTACGGGGATCCACAGCTACTATGTAAGTCTATCCCTCAAGAGAGTCAATCGGCAGCCGTGTGGTACTAATGCGACAAACTCGTAGATTATGTCGCGATCGTCATACTGTGGTCGAACATCGAAATCGGCGTCGGCCTCATCGCGGGCTCCATCCCAGTCCTGCAAAGATTGATCATGAGCCGAATGAAGAAGCAGAAAATACCCCACTCACCGATTCCTGTAGACTTGGTGACTTTCGGAAGCACTCCGGTCAAGACGCGCCGTCACGTAGGGGGCTTCAACAACCCGACCGACACCGGCTTTAGCATGGTAACAGTACACGCGAGCCATCCTTCTCGGGATTGGGAACGACTAGATGATGACTCTAGCGTTGGCACATGTGTTATACGTACTGATTATACCGTTGATGTTGATATTGAATAGTCGGAGGTGTCGGTACGCCCGCTAGCAGGTGAACAAAAATGAAAACGTGAAATGAGAGATGTAAAGTAAAAGGGGTTCTGTTACACAAAGGCGCAAGCTGGCAATGGGAGGTTGTTTTTGTAGAATATTACGTCCTGGTCGGTTTAGAAGACACATGGACTCAAGCTCGAGTATCGCGAGATGGGGTGGATATCGTGTATCCCCTTATCGCTGCCTCTTGGTCTAATTTAACTATTATTTCAATGCTTCTAGATGCAATCTTTTTCTTTGCTATTATTATACAGTAGTAACCACCTCCCCAATTCTATCGTAATTAGAATATGTTGATACGTCGCTTGGATCGCCCGTCCAGGCGTACTCGACTATGCGTGTGTTATCTCCCTTCCCGACTAAGCAGTACACTCTTCGAGCGTGGCTGGCCACAATTGTCGAGCGGTTCTTGCAATCCGCCAGCGAGGCAACCTTGTTCTTGGCCAAAGTCCAAGTATCTCCCTTATAATACGTCAACTGAACACCATCACTCGTAGCTGGATCAATCGTAAGAACCTGGAAACCTAGGGGCTCGGGCCAATTGGTGCTTGTCTCATTGAATCCGGTCGAAAAGGCCGCAATTGCGGTATTAGGTCCGATATCGCGGCCGACATATTGTCCGTTAAATTGACCATCGCCATTTATCATCTGCGCTAAGGCGCTGGTCGTCGCTCGGTAGAAGACGTTCATGCTCCTGTGACCGTTGGTGGTAGCGGCGGCTACATGCGCTTGTGCTAGGGAGCTGTTGTCGGAAGGACCTGATAGGCCGTTCTGGATGACATCGTTGTCGCTCGTCCATCCGTCGCTGGCATTTTGATAACTAGCTTGCCTTACGCCGTTCGCCGTCTGCCAGTAGAGGTATGTGTATTGGTTACATAGATCGCATTGCTTTCCGTACGAGACGAGCGAGGATCCAGCAGTAGAAATATAACTGTTTCCGGCTGCCGAGTCCACCCAGTTCGCAGCTGGGAGAGCCGTCTGTGTTGATATACCCTTATCGCCGTTGTAAGTCATGGCCTTGATGGTGGAAAGACCACCGCTGTCTGGTAGTTGCCAGTATATGTGGATATCACGGCGCTGGTAAACATTAGCATTCCGTTCAACTCCTTCATCATCATGGAGTAATTCCTTACCGAGTTACTATACGCAAATACGTCTAGCGCCAACGAAGTTCCTTGTCTTACGCTATCCAAACCCAGATTGTTTGTTGTGCCGTCTACTATTGGCGACACAACCCATTGCTTATTAGATGAGTTCCATGCCGAAAGGTAGATGGCTTTGTTGTTTAACTGGTAGGCCACCAGGTAATTCTCATTTCCCAAACCGTCCGTGAAGTTGGCGGTTGCGAGCTTTGTGTTCGCGTATAGAGAAGTATCGTCACTCGTTGAACCCGCCGCATCTCCATCGCCATCGCTCGAATTAGAGCTCGAGGAATTCCGTCTTCCCACTACCACACCTGCGGCAACGCCCGCTACTACCCCCACAATAATCACCACAGCCGCTGCGATTATGCCAAAGAATATTTTTCTTTTTATTCCACATATCCTCCTTTCCGCACCGGCTGCGGCGACCGCTTTCTCTCCTGTCGCTGCCTCGGCGCCAGGCACGTAGACCGGCTCGGGAAGCGTAGTATCTATTACCGCACCATCCTTTTTGGGAGCATAGCTGCCGACGACTTCGGGGTAGTTGTAGTGTTCAGTCGCCTGATGGTTTACTTCTGGTAATTGTGTCGTTTCTGCGTAGTTGTTTCGAGTTTGCGCTTCGGTATCCACCTCTAGAGTGCTATACTCGTATCTATCCGTCGAGGAAGTCATGACTGCTTAGGCGGACGACAGCCCTCATCTGTCGCAACCAGGAATAATAACAAAACCGATAGGGCGCAGTTTAGGTACAACAAAACAGAAAAAGAGAAAGGAAAAGAACGAAAGAATTCTAGGTGAAACTTGCGAATAGTAAAAGTGGTCTGCTCGTGCCATGCTAATAAGCACCAAAGCACCACATTCTCGGCCGTCGTGTTTTCGGCGAATGGAAACTCAGCCTGGCTACGGATTGACCCTGTCGACGGACTAAAATAGGCAAGTATTTACATGTGGGTAGCGATACCATGCTAGCGGTTCGCCAGTTGTTGGGCTGTGCTGGGATTCCTTGACGCCAAGATCCCGTAACTATTCCATTGTAGCACTAGCTGAATAAAGATTATAGGGCGGAGTGCCTCGAAGGATTCGCAGGCTAAGAGTCTCAATAATGCATAGATTAAGTACTAGGTCCTAGCGACGTAATGTGTGTAACAGATTATTCACCGTACCAAAGCCTAGAGGCGCTTCCAAAAGACCCGTAGTGGCCTATCATCAACAAGGAGATATCAGGCCGTGTAGTGGCTGGTGTGATGCTAATATATATATAGCAGTGATTACCTTAGGTAGGTAGGTATCTAGTTGAGTAACCTGCGACTATCCCCAAGGCAACTTAGTAGTATACTAGTGGGCGCTATGTGGATGGACATTAGCACGGTTCGGGTGAATTAAATAATGAACGGCCCGCTAGTAGCTATTAATATGCTGATCGAGATAATAAAAAGGCTCTTATTACCGTATAAAAATCCCATAATTGATTGATAATAATCAGTGAAGGACTCCCCTGGCTAGCTCTCCTATATTTTTGGGGAGCACGTGCTCCATTCCATGTTCATTCATTTTTAGAATCCGGAGAGTAAAATTGCCGATGATTTTTGTCCACTGCAATATAAATACCGCAAATTTTATAGACAATGTGTATCCAGGTGTCTTATACTGCATCTGACGGGACTGATGGTGAATACATATATGACCCCTGAACCCCTGCGAAGGAATACACGAGTAACTTGAATGTGAGATTTTAATATGAGAATGGCGCACAGCGTGGTATAATCACGCTTACTCTAACTTGGTATTTGTATAACGTCTAGACTCTTCGATGACTTCTTGTATGCCACCATCTCATGAAGTGCGCATAAACTCTTCGATTTACTGCAACTGCGCCGCATCTGAGAACCGTGCCACATACGACCTGAGATAGCCAATAATGTTCTACAGTCATACCCCTTTTGGGTAATGTTGAACCAACATCCGATCGAGTGATAACTCATCTCGATTTCCGATCGTGTTGGGAGTTGGTTGAGAAAGGCAGCAATGCAGGTGCTTACACCCACCCATTCCCCTGCTTCAAGCAGGTATACACTTAAATACACATGAACTGTATCATGAAAGGTAACCCCACGGCTTCGTGCTTTTTATTCGCACTGATATTGTTATATTCAACGGGACCTTAGGGGATCGTAGAGGTTATGAGACGTCCACCTTAATCTTGACACCATCATTAGACTCGCTTACAACAGTAACTTTAACACCCCATTCTGATGCAGTATAGGAACTCGTTCCTTTAAGACTCAATACAGCATCGTTTAACTTATCCCCAGAGCACCCGTTCGATCTCGGCGTGGCGTCCAATACACGAACAGGGCCTTCCCCTGAGTTGACGTTTGTAGAGACTGTATAAAGGAGGACACCAGTCGCACAGGACGCCGCGTCAAGCCCACTCGTTGAGCGTACTTCCGCTACCAACACATTCGTGGCATTATGCTTGATAACTACGGCTTTCGAGCCGCCCTTTTTCTCTAAAGGGGTTAATGTATGCGTGGTCGAGCCCGTCTGCGCGACACAATCGATTTGCTCATCCAATAACCAACCCAATCGCCACTTATCCCACGCGAAATAATCGGGACTTGGTCCACTATATCGGTGATACTCAGCTTTATTTCACTCATTTAGGTCATTCGTGGTTCTCACCTAATCAATCCCATCAGATCCCAGCCACCAATAAACAAGCCCGTCGCCCTACCGTCAAGGGGGTAGTAATCGGGCAAGCACATTGTATGCCCCGTCTCATGGTTCAACACAAGATACTTCCACGCTTCGTACGCATCATAACCGAACGTCACCGAGCTTTTAGCGACATGTGTTCCGGCACGGGTCTTAACATCACCCATGAAAGTTGGAGAAAACGAAATCGCGGCGGCGTTTGCCGTTGGCACCACGTAAAAGACATCAGTCGGCGGGATAGTCTTCCCGTATGCATCCAGCGCATCTTGGATATACTTCTGGTGAACTTGATACGTCAGACCGCGGTCCCACTTGTAGCTCGCCGCGGTGACTGGCATCCGGTAGAAGCGCGAGGTGTCGGCGGTGACGTTAAGGCTTAGCGCACCATACGAAGACGTCGTGTACCATTCTGCGGCTGCTGGTAGGAAGAAATCGTGTAGACTCTGAGTGGTCTCGATCGCCGGTTGGTCGCTGAAATCCACGAATATCATGAAGGCATTTAATGTGCCGACGCTTGGAGCGCAGTTCTGTTCGAATCCGAAGCCGGCGCTTAGGTCGATGTTGTTGACTGCGGCTACTTTACAAGCTGATGCATCTGCTCTTGGAATGATTGGGGTTGCTGCCACTGAAACGGATGCTATGGTTGCGTAGCATGCTAACTCCCGCACCCAAGCCCGGAGTGATCGCACGGGATCAGACATTCTGATCTGATTGGAATACGGTCGTGATTGCTAAATAGGAATATTAATGTGGGCGTACACACATCTTGCTTATATGTAGCGCGCTTGTTTATTTCAGCCGGATTGTTATCTACACCGTCGTCGGGGTATCGTGCCCCTTTTTCTTCACCTTGTCACCTTCCCAGATCGGAATATGCGGAGAAATCGATGGACGCATGATGGCCCCATTCTCGAGATCTAAGCTTATCTATGAGAAGCGATCGAATGGGCTTGTCCTCAATTGATACAAGATTGGACGAGACGGATGTAGCCGGAGATTCTGTTAGATACTCGGTCAGCATTTAACCGACCCCTATTTGGGAGAAACACGAGTCGGCTAATTGTAAAGCACTTAAGGTACCGTTGGTTTGAATTATAAGGCAGTAGGGTATCACTATATGCGTTTTCAACATGTTTTAGGGGAAGTATCTGTAAATGCCTAGGTGCCTTACTCACCTCGTCACGTGATAGCCTTGAGCATCACCACCCTACGCAAGACTCGTACTTGATAAGCCATTAAAGTCAATATTCGGTTTTCTTTTTGACCAACCTTTTTTGTTTGGGTAAAGTTAACAATGGGGTTAATCTACGCTATATAGGAGTTAGTGTTATATGGGTTGCAGTTGAAGAGAACATCTGCTGATGAACTCTTGGATCTGGACTACATCGAACGCTGGTTCGGCACGGATGACTAATACTCGCTACCCCTCACTATGTGAGGCTCCAACATTTCGTAACTCTGGAAGCAGGGTTTCTAGGGGTCCTTAGAAGAGCAAGATTTCGGGCTCGGGAATCTGAGTGAATGCGAAGGTTGACACCCAAACAGCCAATATGAGGAAGAGGTCGCAGTACCGCACGGCAGCTCAATATATCGTGCTGTGAATAGTTACATTGTCTGTTTCGGCAAATTTCGGAAGGAGAAGAAGTGGTTCTAATTTTTGATCATTTTCATGCAGAGAATCGGGATCGTCCGATCGAATTGTATTATCTAAGAAAGCCGCTTTACATAATCCCTTACATAAGATATCTCGGTGGATTCAGTAAGACGCTTATATAAACACTGGTTTCGTAGAAAGGCGACGTAGTTCACGATTTTGAGTCTTGAAAATGGATCAAAAAGTGTATAGATACCTAGGTAAGTTTGCGAAATTTTTATTTGTGTCTATTTCGAAATTCTAGCTATCTTTATACATCTTTTATGCTGAAATCCTTTGGCGAAATTCATAGTTGCCCGCTAAATCGCTAATCGATTTGGATTTCGGCACTAACGGCACTATAATCCACTGTAACTACAGGGTGCTGAGCGCTAAATTTAGGCCATCCCTCCCTCTCGTGGTTACAGCGCTTGAAATAGCCACTATCATCGCAGTTAGTAACCCGCTAAAAGTGGTTTCGCTACAGCGCATTGTTAGCGCACTCCCCTCCATATTCCAAGTTATTAGTGCCCCTATAATGCTAAAACACTGCGCTGAAAATGCTTAAAAGTTAGGTAACTGAAGCACTGATGCTTTCGCGCTGTATCCACCATCGTTGTCGCTTTCTTAATAAATGTGAGCCATACTATTTTATACATTAAAGAATATTATCATTCTTCTAATGGAAAACTTGGAATGCATTTATTTTGCTTTGAATTCATGAGGATCATACCTAGGTAAACATCGCGTGGAAATTCATAAATGCTATGAGTGACACAGAAAGGCAAAAAGGAAAAGGGGGGTCGTAAACGTCGGGGGAATATGAGGAAGCACAGTAAGGGGATTTGACTCGGCTTAACTCGAAATAGATGGCTTCCACTTCTTATTGCAGAACCAAACAGCCGTGATTCCGACAATCTCCAGACAGAAGAACATGGCAGCCATCTCATAACCTATAGCAAACTTAGGGGCCTCACCGCTGGGGTATGCAAGAAGTATTCCCCACGAAACCATAATAAATCCAAACGTTTCGACTATGCCGATAACTATAAGTCGATGTTCGTTTGAAAAGGAAAGGGTTTCATTGATGTAGGTCAAGATCAATGCCGAAGCGCCCAATTGACCGTGAGCCAAAAACCACCCTACCATCATTGCGATGTGGTTCTTCTCAGGGTATATACTGAGAATGATGCAGCCTATCACGGATATCCCTGCGGCAATAACGATGGAAGGAGTGCGCTTCCCAATGCCGTCGCTCAGCCATGCGTATATCAATGTCAACGCAATTTGTAAACCATATGCCCCGGTGGGGATGAGATTCACTTGCTCGACTGTGTAGAGACCCGTGCCCTTCAAGTAAATCGTGAAGTAATTGTTTACCCGTTGGCCCAGTAGCTGCGAGGCGAAGACAATTGAGAATAGGTATACCGGCCACATCTTGAAAATCTCGCCCGCTATCTTCTTGCGGAGCTTGGCAGGGGGTTTGCGGCCCACCTTATCCATGCGAGCGATAGCCATGGCTTTCTCTTCTGGTTTTAGCCACTTCGCTTTGGAATTGACCGGGCTGTCGGGAATAGCAAGGTATCCGAAAACTGTTACGGGTATGGTGATGATACCATCGAAGATGAACAGCCACTGCCAGGCAGCAAGGCCATTTACTCCATTCATACTAGAATAGAGGCCCGCTTGAAGGTAGCCGGAGAATATCTTCGCGGCGGCTGAACTGGCGATGAAAATTGCAGATCTCTTGCCGAGCTCTTGAGGTGTGTACCAGTTACCAAGTAGCGTAAGAACACCAGGGTACGTAGACGCCTCCAAGAAACCGATGACAAAACGAAGGGCGTACAAGACCCGAATATCTTTCGCACCAGCCATGGCCATGACGAGAAATCCCCAAATGAGCTCAAGAGAAGGTAGCCAGATCGATGGACGAACTTGTGTCATGGCAAGCTGAGAAGGGAGATTGCCAAGGCAGTATCCGATAGTGAACATGGTTTGAAGGAGGTTGTACTCTTGCCCAACCATGTTCAAGTCTTCCTTCATGCCTGAGACATAAGCATTGATGACCTACTACTTATTAGTAAGCCGGTCTTGTTTGAGATACAAGCTATTGCTCACATTCGTCTGATCAAGGTTCTTCACGCAGTATGCTGTGCAGACGTACGTCATGATCCAACAATCTACCTTACGGATGAATCTTCGCTCTTCAGGAGACTTGTCAAGTGAGTCCCAGATGATGCGCAGAAACTTCTTGGTAATGGTGTCCTTCTGGCGACCGTCACCTCCACCAGGCTCGGAAACATGAACCACGGCATCACCCTTCCCAAGAGACTCACAGTATTCCCGGGTTTCGACTTCAACCTTGACGTCTTCCATGGTGCTTTCCGGTATCGTATCACTATGGCAGAACCAAGACAGCCCCTGGAATTATTTCTGTCGCTGTTGGCACGGGGATGGCTTTGGCCTGTACTTGATTTGGTTTTGACGGTCAGTTGGCCGTCGAATTAATAAAAGTTTCCTGTTTGATCACATCATCCCGTCTTTGTAAAGAAAATTGACACTGGATGGTGCTTGTAAATCCTGCTGTTGTACAAGGACAACCATCATGAAGACATCTTATACTTGAATATTGGGGTGCCTTGAAGCCTTTTTTCCTCATATCGTCTTCGCAACTTTGTTTAAGTGACTGCCATTTTTAGAAAAGAATCAAGATGCTTCAAACCCAATAGGTGGGTTAGAGCTGCCGTGCTCAAGCTAATGGTGGGATGATTTGGCAGATTTTAGATTCATTAGATGATCCCGCTGTAATCAATATCCTCTCCGCGTTTTTAGTAGCATTATACTTGCCGGCAGGACGGATTGCACGAGGAAATGCTTATTACGTATGGGGATCGTCTTCCGGGGAAAGCTAAGGACCTGAGCACGAGGTGTTGTGTCGTACAAAATAGATGTCAAGATAGATCTAGATATATTGAATAAAATAGGCCATCTAGAACTTAAGTGCGTAAGGCGGAGTGACGTTGATTCTGCAACCCCCTTGACAATTCCCATTTTAGGCAATTCTTGGCGGGGACGGATGGAGTCCCAACTTTCCGAGGGTTTTCAGAAAGTTGGCGTGCTGAATGATCGTCATAATCGTATTTTTAGAGATTAAAAATGAGGGATAATATCGATGAGGCGGACCCTCATTTTTCGGCTCTCGAATTCCTCTGGAGGTTGCTCGGATTCCGCGTGTGATCTGTCGGAGTTTATAGATATTGGTGGTCTTATTAGTCAACAACACTATGCAAGAGGTTGTCAGGCGATGTGAATATCAATTTTAGGATTAAATTTCCAATATGAAGAAATAATGGATGATCGATGTGATGAATAGGTTGATGTTTAAGAAGAGAATTGAAGAAAAAGCAGAAGTATTACCCCTATTTTATGTAAGCAAAATATTACATAATGAAGCTCTGACGTAAATATGTCATTATGTCATCAACTGCTTATGTCACCTCGTACTTCTCTGCCTTCCATAATTCATGCCACTTCTTCATTATATAATCACTGTCTTTCCGACCTCTTTCCCCATCCACCATTTTCACATCTGAGATGTTGAACTGATTAGACATACCTAAAAGTGCTCGGGTATTTCCGATTCCCTTTAATTTTAGAAGGGAATCCTTTTATCCCCTTCTAGGAAATTGGGCATTCAAGATGTTTCCACCATTGGTCCTTGCTTTCCTGATCGGAAGTTAGCTGATGATCAAGATACCTCACCATGAGGATGACTAAGCACGATAAATCCGCCTCTTAGGAATTCGACGATAAACCCCTCCAATTCTTATCTCTGGATTCTACAATGATTTTTCGTCTAAGTTGCTTAAAATGACAGTTGAACAATCACCACATCTAACGATCCCTGTGATCGATATATCGGGATACGTCAATGGTGATTTATCTCGGACATCCGAAATCGTGAAGGAGTTGGGTTCCGCGTGTTGTACCCCTGGTTTCTTCCAGATAGTTGGACATGACGTCCCCGCCGAACTACGGAATCGCTTATTTGCCAAGGTCGCTCAGTTTTACGATCTACCGCAATCCGCAAAATCGGCTCTAAGCCGTGGTCTTTCTGCTAATGGTGCGCGGGGTTACGAAGCTATCGGAACCGAAATTATGGAGGGCGACTTCCAGGACCAGAAAGAGGGCTTCATGATAGGCCCCGAACTACCACCTGGAAGACTCCTTCAAGGGCCGAATCTGTGGCCTGATGAAAGTGAATGCGCCGGCTTTCGGTCTACGATGGAAGAATATTTCATCGCCGTGCGAAGTCTAAGCGTGAAGATGTTCCGCCTCTTAGCGCTAAGTCTGCGCCTCGAGGAAAATTACTTCGACACTTTCGTGGATAGTCGCGACTGTAAATAATCATGCATATATGTTTAGCCATGACGAATGCTAACCTTCCTACTATACTAGCTATTTCGATGTGCCGCGCACATAGATATCCGAAGGCTAGTGTTGAGTCGTCTAAGAAGTCTCGTGGAACGGGCGCCCACACAGACTTCGGCGCTATGACCCTACTACTCCAGGACGATAGTAAGCGATATCTTGCGCTGTTCCCATTTTAATATTAATGATACCCTAGTCGGCGGTCTTGAAGTTTTCCATCGGCCCAGTAGTACATGGCATGCCGTTCCATACGTCGAAGATGCCTATGTCGTCAATATTGGCGATATGATGGAACAATGGACGAACGGCCGATATATGTCAACTCTTCATCGCGTAATCTCGCCAGTCTCGGACAAGGACAGATATAGCGTGGTTTTCTTCAACGAAGGTCTGCTGGACCAAGTCATCGAGTGCATTCCGACATGTCTCAAACCTGGTGAAGCGCCCTTACATGAGCCAGTGACCGTAGAAGCCCATCTACGGAAACGTTATGGCGAGAGTTATGGAGAGCACAATAACGAAGGCCCGGATAAGTAATAAATCATGCATATTCGATAGCAAGGGGTACGTAACGTGAGTGGATGTAGCCATTTGGAGAGATTTTACGCGACGCTGTTGATATCATACTCGCAAGTATTACTTGATTAACTCCCGGATTCAGCTTGCAGAAAATCCTTTCAATATGACCAGTCACCAGACCAGGATATAGGTGGTTATACCGACAGCTTTGAGAGAGAGAAAGGAGCCGCGCAATTGTTGGCGAGCTCTACAGCCAGTTCAATGCACTAGAATATGAATCGAACAGCAATCTTCTCGGCATATTTCTTCTATCAGGTGGTTTGTCCATGTCCGACACAGAAGCAAAAAGTCAGCATGATCTTGAAGCTGGAGGGGTCGCGCTTCAAAACGTCGGCCAAGGAGCCGATCCAGACCCCGAACCCGAACCGCCTACCGCACTGCAAGCTACTCCCACCATTCGCCTTGCCCAACGCTCCGCAGAAATTATAGACGATGCCACCGCCACGATAGATATGACCGGTGACGCAGAGTCGCCTGGTTCCGCTAGTAGCCATTTTTCTTACTGAATTTGCACCTAGGTTGATACGAGGGGCTCCAATCTTATGAAACGCTGTGACTTTTATATCGACGTTTACATCTCACACTAGCCATGGAGTCGCTCACTGGGTATTCATGATTAAAGTAATGTTTTATACGCGGGCTGTCCCGTGAAGATGCGAGATTTATTAAAAAGAACTACGTCTATTAAGCGATAAATACACGAGACATGCTTCACAAGGCGTACCGATACTCTGGTCTCTCCTTGCCTCCGCTAACGTGAACCACCTCCCCACTCTCAAGCTTCTTATTAAGCCTTCGGAAGTGTTCCCTTAAGCCAAGACACAAGACCATGAACACAGCTTGGCAGCAGGCTACCGTAATAAGCGCGGGCTTATACACGGGCGCGTCCTGTGCTCTGAAAACGGCGGAGCTGATGATACCTGCGAGATTCTGCGCCATAAAGTTAAGGCCTAATCGGAATGCTCTTCCAGTTGTTGTCGTGGTGTTTGATGCCAACCAGACGGGAACGAGGATACCAGGGGTAAAGTTCCCGAAGATCAAGAGATAAGTGAGGAAGTACCCAACTTCGACATGCTTGACGAGGTCAAGAGTTGCGAGAAGGATCCATGCTAGGAAGGAAACGAACAGCGTTCCACAGGCGATAGTGGCACGTTGCTGGAGCTTGTCGGATATCCAGGTAGTTGCCAATTGAACGGCCGCAGCCACTAAGTTAGGACCAACAGTATAAAGGTTCGACTTAGCCGGTTCGACGGCGATGCGCTTTACGATGGTCTATTCAGACGTCAGTACTTCCATCCAATTTTGGTTTGATACAGTTGAACATACCGGCAAGAAATTCGAACTACTGGCCACGCCTACGCCATAAAGGAGGGGCATCAGAGTGAAGATCCAAGTTGTCCAGTCCTTGGTTTCTTTCTTCGCGTCTTCCCACCGGAAGTGCTTATCTAAGTCCTGCGAATCTTCTTCGAGACGTAATCTTGACATGCGCTTTTCCTCTTCCGAAAACCATCGTGACTTTTCGACGCTATGGGGAAGGATGATGAATAGTAGTAAGCCAACACCGACAGTAAGTGCTCCTTCTATTATGAACAGATCTGCTAACTATTAGTAAATCGACTCGTATAATAGGTCGTAACCCCGAGGATATGTGGATTTAAATTGGTGTCTTTCGGAGTTATCCGAAGTTTCGTGTAACTTACTATGAGTCTGTTAGCTCTCATTCGTATAGAATCGGAGGCGAATGCCGGTGACTTACCATTGCCAACCCTTTAGAGCCTTATCCCATTGAAAGACGGACCAAGCGATGAGTCCCGAGATAGCACCCGCGATAAACCCCATGCAACCGAAAACACTCGTTCGGAAGCTCAATTCTCGTCTAGTGTAGAACAAACTACAATAGAAGATGGCGCAAGGTAGAAAAGCCGCTTCGACAGCTCCCATAAGTATACGAGTCGCCAATATCCCACCGAAGTTCTTCGCCGCGGCCGAACACATAGCCATAGCACCCCAGCACGTCATAATGGTCGGGATTACCACCGCCGCATTGAAACGCTTTGACAGGAGTGTGAATGGCACGTTCATAAGGGCATATGGCACATAGAACAATATGAGGAGCAGCGAAAACTGGTTTCCGACCAGTCCGAGATCCTTCTCGAGTGTATCGGTCTTAGCATTTCCGAGATTCGCTCGATCCAGTGTATGCGTGAGATAGGCCAGAGCTATTCTCATTATTAGCTGACTGCCCATAATGTGTGTAACAGGAAAGGGGGTTGCTGCTTACCCAAAGCTGGCATCAAGATTAGGTCCGTCTTCCAGACGAGCTTCCTCTCGAGTGCCTTATCGCGAGATTTCTGGCTGCCGGAGTCGGACCCGACGGCCACGACGTTGGAGTCGAGCTGCTTTTCCTCGTCTGTCATGGCTACCTTCTTACTTCGTAAGACTGAGATACGGAAGGTCACCGATAAGGTAGTATTGGATGAACGACGACTGATCAGGAAATTCTTGGTAACACAAGGACAGCGCGTCGGCTATGTAGGTTATAAAGACCCTAGGCAGGTATACATGAGTGCTTCGGCCAAACCCCTAGGAATGCAAGGGCCCTAGATCCTAGCCACCGCCACGTGAAAATCAAGTTCCAAAGAGTATACTTGATTTGTCATTCCCAGCTCTTATTCTAGACTCTACAGACAAAAGACTAGTCGCCGGCCTCGCCCAGAACTTTTTCTAATAGTATAGAACTACTAGAGTTACGCAGCTGGATTACACAGAACAAAGCCTACCTCAAGTTAGATAACCTCCTACGCGCCATTACCATTATTATCTATAAGTTCCGAATGTGGAACCGGACTGGTTGCTGAGGACCTCTCATAAACATGCTTCTTATCATACGGCATCGGAGTATGGAAGCACGCCATCGCGCTATTCATTCAGGGATCGGGACCAGGAAACCATGCAGATTGTGACGGTGGGGGAGACTAATGCTACCAAGCCCGCCTTGAGCTGTCTATACACTATTCCCCACTCCGGCCGCGGGGGGATAATTTGATATCACGGTTTAAATTTTGAGAATAGTTTCTTGATGCTGTTCAAGATGAAATTTGCAGTTTTCACTTAAAGGTATACGGATTGAGTGAGCGTCATGGCCGAGCAGCAACCTACGACAGAGGGCATATCGCCAGCCAGCGACGAGCATGCACCATCGCAGACAGTGAATTCGGGTACTCCCGATAGGTCTCTCGTTGTTCATTCCCAGACGCAAAACTCCGGATTTTTTTCCAGGTTTCGCTATCACATCTTTGCCGCTGGCTTCGCATTCCTACTAAGTCCTCTTGCGTTCATATGGCCAGGTCAATCGCCCATTGACCCAACCAATTACGCAGAACGTACACGAAGAGTGCTCAAGTCGACCCCGTAAGTAGTCACAAACCTGGGATATGAGCTTCTACTAAAGAATTGATAGCTTAATTGACGGACACAATGATCTACCCTGGCAATTACGCATAGAATTGCATAATCGCATTTACGATGGCAAGGTAGATTTCACCAAGAGGCTTCTAGGCCATACTGATATCCAAAGGATGAGAACCGGGATGGTGGGTGGCCAATTCTGGAGTATTTACGTGGACTGTGATACTCAGCAGCAGCATTTCGAAGACCCTTCCGTAAGTTATCAGTGCACCAACAGGAAATGCAATTCTGACCAAGATTAATAGTGGATTGTGAGGGATACGTTAGAGCAGATTGACGTCGCTCGGCGATTTATTGATGAGCACCCCCAGCATCTTCAGTACTGTGACACCGCGGCTTGCGCCCGTAAAGCCTTTAAGTCTGGCAGGATTTCCAGCATGCTTGGTATTGAAGGCGGTCACCAAGTAGGCGGGAGCATTGCTAGCATACGGCAGATGTATAATCTCGGAGCGCGCTACATCACCTTAACTCACAATTGCGACAACTCATTTGCGACTTCAGCTTCCACTGTCGCGGCGGGTGGACCCGATGAGGGTCTATTCAAATTGGGATACGAAGCTATCAAGGAAATGAATCGACTAGGGATGATAGTCGATTTATCTCATGTTTCGCACCAGACAATGCGAGATGTACTGAGCGTTGCGCGCGCACCTGTCATTTTTTCGCATTCAGGGGCTTATAGTGTAACACCACATCTTCGGAACGTACCCGATGACGTTCTTCGCACTGTCAAGCGCAACAGAGGTATTGTTATGGCAGTTTTTGTCAACAGGTTCTTGCGGATGAAGGATCCCGACCAATCGACAATTCATGATGTTGTAGATCACATTATACATATCGCCGAGGTCTGTGGATGGGATTGCGTTGGCGTGGGAAGTGACTTCTCTGGAACACCGTACGTGCCAATTGGGTTGGAAGATGTTTCCAAGTTTCCGGACTTAGTTCAGTTATTGATGGAGCGCGGTGTAACTGACGAACAGATACGCCTGTTCGCTGGTGAGAATATTCTCCGCGTATGGTCCAACATCGAGAAGAGGGCGCGCGAGATACAAGCTACTGGAGAGAAACCTTCGGAGGAAGAATATGATGGCAGAGATTGGCACAAGGGGCTTAAGGATTCGCCATGGATGCTCAGGGGCAGTAGACAGAGAGCTGTTGAATCTGGTGCCAAGGACAAGCCATACATGTTCAACGTCGACGGCGATGGAAAACACAATCCAGCAGTCAAAAACGTGTAGACTAGGTAGGTAGCCCTAGAACTATAATGAAACTACCTAAGTAGTTTAATACCTCGTATTTCGTCGAGTTGAAGCATGTTTAGGTCGTGCATCCCGTCGCAGCCAATAGACTATAGACCAATGCAACCATCGGCTTAAGCCGAAAACCCCTACCTCGCCGCCATCTCGCACACGAGAATTCTCAATAGCAAATAAATTCCACGTGGTATAGGTGCCGTGTGTTAGGTCTCTACCGGCAGGATCCCTACCATCGGGTTCATGACTCCTGAAGTTATCATCATTCTCCACAATGGCGTTATCCCGCTAACACCGTGAACGTATGATATTTAACCCGCCAGTCTGGATACCCGGTCTACTGCCGGCTTAGACCTCCCGCTCCTCGGCAGGGGGTGGCCCGAAGTCGGTTAGCGCTATCCTACATGCGTGCACATGCTCCGGACTTCTGTCGCCCGCGAACTTGAGGGGTTGGTTTACTAATGAAAGCGCGAAGATAAGGCGAGGGCTCGATATGTTCTAGGCGAGAGTATCGGAAGGGCGGTGGTATGATATGGAAAACCCTGGAGATGTCGTGATAACGGAGCTATACTACGCAATTCATCTCCAAGAATGGTTTAGGGGGGCAGTATAGCATAGGTATCCAATGTTACCGTGTTGATAAGATATCACCACTCAGGAGGGGTACATCTCTCCGACTATCACATCGCTTTATACAACATACCCACGTGAGTTTGCTCAGTTATATGGTCGACGAATGAGCTTCATCAAGATGTCAGCATTAGAAGCGGCGATTTCATATTCTCTGAGATCCCTTTTGTATAGTATTGTCGCACTGGTACTAGGCATTCTCGTTTACCTTATCCAAAATGAGTTCACTCGATATCGAAGTAGGATAAAGAATCTTCCCGGCCCCCGCGGGTGGCCCGTCGTCGGGAACCTCTTTCAGGTAATAAGACAAAGAACGCCAATCCGCAACGCACTGTATCTAATAGAGTTTATAGCACCGTGAAGTCATCCCGGCGGAAACGTATCGAAAATGGTCTTTCAAATACGGACCAGTTTTCCAAGTCCAGCTTGGTAACACGACGGCCGTCGTGGTTAACTCAACACGGGCGGCCAAACAACTATTTCTGGGCCAAAGCCATGCGATGAACTCGCGACCGACATTTTACGTCTTCCATAAGAAAGTCAGCAAGGCCGTAACCAGTATTGGCACCAGCCCTTGGGACGATAGCTGCAAGCGGCGACGAAAGTTAGCCGCGGGCGCACTCAACCGAAACCGAGTCTCAGCTTATACACCGATCCTCAATCTCGAAGCTCGCGAGTTTTTGAAGGATCTGTATTCGGCGTGCCGCGATGGCGCCGTCGAGATCGACTTCCGCCCCGCTGTCAAGCGTTTCTCATTGAACTTGAGCTTGACGCTGAATTACGGGACCCGAGTCTCGAGCGTCAAGTCACTGACTGATGATCCGCTTCTCTCTGAGATCATCTATGTCGAAGGCGAAATTTCGAAGTTCCGGGACACCGGCAAAAATTACGCTAATTACATCCCCTTACTCCGGTATTGGGAGCCCATAGCCCAATTTCTAGGCTTGGAAGCACAACCGAAAAATCATGCTGCGGATATTGGCCGTCGCCGGTTAGAATACAATAATATTCTTCTAGAGAAGTTGAAGGAGGAGGTGCAGAGGGGCGAAGACAAGCCCTGTATTCAGGGGGCGGTGTTGCGGGACCCTGAGTCCGCGACGTTGACGAGGGAAGAACTTATAAGTGTTAGCTTGAGCATGATGGCGGTATGTCCTTTTTCCACAACATGTTTTGAATTTCGGATGAGTTCCGCAATGTCTAATACTTTAATGTGCAATAGGGCGCCGATTCGAACCAACCCACCCTCTCTTGGGCTTGTCTCCTCCTTGCGCACCGACCGGATATACAAGGAAAAGCTTATTCCGCGATCCGAGACGCCGGTGTCCTCGGATTATCTTCTAACGCTTACGCTTCGACGAAAGTCGAGTATATCGACGCTCTGACGAAGGAAATTTCGCGTTACTTCGTAGTGTTGAAACTAGCTCTTCCCAAAGCCACCTACACTGACGTAGCCTGGGAGGGTGCCACGATACCTGCGAATACACTTGTATTCTTGAATTCATGGGCTTGCAACCGAGGTACGTTACAATTCTAACTTCAACCGGTAATTCGGAATCCGGATTGGGTGTGCCATCTTACGCTGACTTCCCCCACTGTAGATCCGGAACTCTTCACCGAGCCAGACACGTTCGCCCCTGAGCGCTGGTTACCTAATGCTCCGAGCCCACATGCCCACCAATATGCCTTCGGAATAGGCGGACGCATGTGTGTGGCGTCGCATCTTGCCCACAATGCGCTATATACTGTCTTTTTACATCTAATCGCGCATTTCCGCATTTTGCCCGCTGAGGAGGAAACAGTGGAGGCGATTGATCCGCTCAAGGGGTTGAAAGGGATGACGTTTGTTGGGACACCGCGGGGTTGGCGGGCAAGATTCGTTCCAAGGGAAGGTGAAAAGCTAGCTACTTGGTTAGACAATCCAGATAGTTGAAGCTGGTAGATCAATTGCATTTTGGAAAAAAATTAAAATATTTTGATCGAGTATGAATCGTGGAGACTTTGAAAATACGCCTAATTTGCGGTATCTTTCGGACGCAAATTCGCCTCCACAACATCCTAATAATTGCATCGTGAAATTCGGCATATCAGCTAATAAGCGGACGGTACCACTCCCAACCGTCCTCCATCGGTTACTAGTACATTGCCATTGATGTAGGCGCCAGCTCGGCTAACTAGGAACAAGACCGCGCCAGCAAAATCCTCAGCGTCGCCAAACCGTTGTTCGGGAATGAGATTCTTCGGGATCTCATCTTGTTGGAATCTCTGTTGTATTCCCTCTGTCATTTCGCTAGGGTAAACTAAGTATTCCCCTGATTAGTGGACAAGGTAGAAAAAGAGTAGTTGGTTCGAGATGAACTTACTTCCGGGCGCGATAACGTTAGCTCGGATGTCATATGGCACTAATGAAGTTGCGAATTGCTTCATCATATGAATAACAGCGGCCTTGGAACTCGAGTACGCGTAACTGGCGAAAGGGCTTCGGTTATAGGCGCCAATACTTGATGTCGCAATGACTTGACTTTTCTGTTTAAGCCCACCGCGCTTGTTGCCCTCGTCGAGAAGTTCGAGAAAGGCGACGACGGTATTAAATACACCCACGGAGTTCACAGTAAACGTATTAGAAACCTCGGCAGCGTCAAAACCTAGAAGATGATCGCGAAATTGCGAAAGACTAGCTTGAGGTGGCAAGCCCGCCATCGTAGGACCCCCTACGCCCGAATTCGCTATTACCACATTGACATAGCCCACCGCCGACTTGATTTCTGCCGTAATTTTCTCAAGGTCTACTTTGCTGGTCACGTCACCTTGGATTGCGCGAATATTTCCATGTTTCTACAAGATTTATCTGGTTAGTAGTAGGACGCAAAGTCGCCAAGCAAATTCACATACGGCGGTGCTAATAGCTTTCTCTAGGACATCCTTTCGACGACCGACTATATAAACGATAGCACCATTGCTTTCCAATGCCTGAGTGATCATTAAACCAATTCCTAAACGACGTTTCATTAACAAGTTATTTATTTATGGGGCCGAATTGACATACCTGTTCCTCCTCCTGTTACAACGACGATAAGGCCCTTAACGTCGAAGAGATTATTAGGTTCCAGCGAAGACGAAGCCATTATTACCGATGTATGGATATCACCAGTTTTAACGTTATTGATTTCAAATTGCCGCTCAGTCTTAATAGCTGGTAAAGGAAAAGGGGTGGGTTTGGGTAGTAACTTATAGGTATTTCAGGTGGGTACCTGTACCTATAAGCCCTTCACTCATTCGCCTAGATACCCGGATAGAGACCTAAAAGTACCGAGGATGATCTACTTGCAGCACACCCTCTCGCTTATCTGACGCCATACCAACTTTATTAGCGCATTATTATAGGGACGACAAGTCCCCGCCTAGGGAGCTCTAGAGAGGTACCCAGGTAGCTAAACGGGCTAAGGGACTACCCCGACGATCTCCATCGTCTCGTCTTGAACTTCCCTCATACATCTTTTTTTCTCATCACAATGGCTTCATTCAATACCCGCCCGGGATATGGGTGACTTATAATAATTTTAAGGTATCAATGATTGAACGGAAAAGGAAGTCAAACCTCGGTACGAATTACGTCGGATTAGAGATCCAATGCTACCCTGACCACCAATCTATCCCAAGATTTCCCATCTATCATCTCCCAATCCTCACGATGGCATACCGTAAATACCCCGCACACCATGATGTCAACCCTGGAAGGTCTCATCGTGGACGGCGGGTGCAATATACGAGAATAACTAGCGACGCTGCGATGTGACAATAATCTGAATAGCCATGACTACCCGGAACCTGGTCAAGATGACACGCCGCATAGATCCGGCTATTTACAATTTATTTACAATCTCAAGCCCTTTATTTTTTTCGTGCGCGTTCATGTTAGCTAATCGTGATGACTCTCACTCATTGAAGCACCATGTTTCGTCACGATAGGGTGCTGGCTATCGGCCTTTTCACCTTATTGTTTTCTTGTGTTTCGTGCCAAAGTGATAATCTAGGGCTTAAGAATGGCTACCTTACAGTGAAAACGGCAAATTTCAACGCCAAGATCGTCCGCGACGCACAAGTGCTTGCATCGTTGAGTCCGAATGGTGACACGTTCGATTTCCTGCCCTTCGATCTAATATCGGATCGCGCCGGTAATGGCCAATACCATTGGGGCGATATCACATTCCGATACCGTGAACAAGGCAAGAAGACATGGATCGACGGCGACTCAGCAGCAGCACGGAAGCCAGTGGCCGCTCTCAAGACAAGTCCAGGATCTCTAGCGAGTTCAAATTTGAATGCCACCCTTCCTGCTACGGATACACTGAACGTCACACGTGAATGGCTAGACGTAGAGGGCGATTTGGGCCTACGCTTCACGATTGGAAACACGGGAAAAACTGCCTTGGAAATAGGCAGTCTGGGTTTTCCGGCCGAGTTCAATAGCATCTTTACCAACCGCGCCGCAACGGATACGCAGCGATTGTGTTCGTTATCGGATCCGTACATTGGTATGCACGCCGGCTACATCCGCGTGAGCCCCGTGCGCGGAACGGGTGCGGCCCTTGTCGTAACGCCGCTAGGTGACACTCCTTTCGAGGCGTACCGCAACCTAAATGAACCTTCTTACCAAGCTACAGCATATGGTAGCCAGACGTTTGAAGGGTTCTATGAATGGCAAGTTTTAACCCAGGCCTGGGCTGACTTGGAATGGGCGGGTGTCAAGCCGTGGAATGCACCCTCATCGAGGGCACTCCAGCCTGGTCAATCGTTACAATTCGGTGTACGTTTCTCAGTGGCTAAAGGCGGTGTTCGCGACATCGATGATACTGTCAGGAAAACAGGCACTCCAGTAGCCTTCGGCGTCCCAGGATATATCATCCCGCGAGGCTCGACATCACAACTTTTCCTGCAAGCCAATTCCAGCGCAATTTCGTTCTCCAGCGAGCCCGTAGAATCCCTAGCCTTCAGCGAGCTGAGCCCTAATTTGTACGGTATTACGCCATCACCCACATTTTGGGGCCGCTCAAGATTAACTATCGATTACGCGGACGGGAAGACGCAGACTATCCACTACTATGTCACGAAGCCCGGGGCAGAAGCTATAGCAGATCTAGGGAAATTCCTCACTACTGAGCAATGGTATAATGATACTTCAGACCCCTTCGGCCGAGCCCCTTCGGTCATGAGTTACGATTATGAGACACGCGCCATCGTAACGCAAGACCCACGCGTATGGATCGCTGGACTTAGCGATGAAGGAGGTGTCGGCGCGTATCTTGCTGCAACGGCTAAGCAGGCCATTCAGCCCAATGCCGATGAGGTAGCGAAGTTGGAGTTATTTGTTGATAAAGTCCTCTGGGGAACTATCCAGACAAGTGACTTCGCGGTTCGCAAGAGCGTCTTTTACTACGACCCCACAGCTGTTCCGAAGTATAAGTATAATTCGAATATCGACTGGACGAGCTGGACATCCTGGAACCAGGAATCCGCTTACGCAATTGATCGCGCGTATGACTATGTTCATGTTGCGGCGGCATACTGGTCTTTGTATCGCGTCGCACGAGCTTATCCCGCTCTAGTTAAAAGCCATGATTGGAAATGGTATCTCAACCAGGCCTACCGCACCATTATCCGCGGCATGCAGACCGACGTCGGGTATAACCGACTTGGACTCATGGGCGAGACGGTATTTGGGGAGGTCCTGACGGATTTGACAGGGGAAAGCCTCACAACGGAGGCTAGCGCACTGACGAAGGCCATGAAATCGCGAGCTACGCAATGGGATTCGGAAGAAGTCCCTTATGGAAGTGAACAGGCGTGGGATTCCACTGGTCAAGAGGGTGTTTACTATTGGGCGAAGTGAGTACCCTACATCCACCCGAGACCATTAATTGCTAATGAGATTTTTTCAGATATTTCGGACTCACAAATACAGCGACCAAAACAGTAAACAGCGTACTCGGCTACACACCCACGGTCCCACACTGGGGCTGGAACGGCAACGCTCGTCGATACTGGGACAACATGTAAGACTCCCTCTCCCTTCCCCCCTACCCCCTACCGTACCATCCACCCATCTAACCCCCTCCCCAGCTACGGCGGGAAACTCAAACGCATAGAACGCCAAATCCACCACTACGGCTCCGCCCTAAACGCCCTAGTTCTCCTCTCCGCCTTCCGCTCCAACCCCTCCGACACCCACCTCCTCCACATCGGCTTCGGCGGGACAAGTGGTCCGCTATCCAGTATCAACGAAGCCGGTTTCGCATCCGCGTCTTTTCACTCTTGGCCTGATACCCTGAAATGGGATGGTTATAGCGGGGATTACGGACCTGGGTTTTTGGGTTTGGTGTTGGGGTCTGGGACGTATGTTGCTGAACATGAGAAGTTTGGATTGTTGGTTTATGGTGGGACGGTGGAGGATATGGTGGGGGATGGAAGGGTTGAGGTGCAGGTTAATGGGGCGGTTGGGAGGCGTTTGTTTATTGGGCCATTGGGTGTGACGGTTACCTTGGACGCGGGGAGTGTGAGGAGTTTTAGTTACGCGGGTGATTCGGGTGCTATTTCGGTTGTTCTCACGCAACTTACTGGCGGCCCGAAGGCGGCGGCTGTGGTGCTATGGGTCGAGACTAATGATAGTAAGGTGAAGTATACCGTTTTGAGCCCGAAGGTCACACAAGAACGATTGGGATGGAAGATCCCGCTTTCGGCTGATGCTGATATAGTCATCGAGTTGAAGAGGAACTAGGTTTGGAAATAATGTGTCTTGTATGTAGGAGGGATCAGTTTACTCTCAATACCTAGGAATAATACACGAAGTTTTCCAATGGTAGCGATTGTGTTGTTGAACCTTCGAGATACCTGGCATACAGTTTAATGGTTGTAAAATTATATCCTCGACAGTTAGTCGCTCAAGAATTGATCACGTAACACATTCTTACGCACACAAGAACCAGAGCATATGTCCCAACAGGTACTTTTCACTACCACTGTGATTCATTCCACGTCTATTAGCAACGCCTTTTTTTTGCGTCTAACGTACAGTGGTATCAGTTCAGTTAGCCGTGTCCGCATCCATTCACATTTTCTTAATTTACTCCTCAGGGCCATCCATTCCTGGTCCCGGACCACCTTGTCTGCCCATCTGGCGTGCCTTCAACATCTCATCGCAGAGTAGAAGATTCGATGCAATACTCGAAGAGGATGCGATGCAGTTTCTCAACACCCTGAATGAATCGTAGACACCTTCTAATGTCGGGTCCATGGGTTGACCAAGTACTAGATCCAGTCCGACGACGTTACCATCCGCGTGTTCATCTTGAAGTAAAGCAACTGGGATAATGTTAATATCGGCTACGATTGGAGAGGAAGCAGAAATAATACTTACGTGCGTCTTGGATATCGTGACCGGCGTTAGCCGCCAGTGTCTTCGGAATAATCAGAAGGGCATCAGCAAACGCATCGACACCCCACTTAGCCTTGCCCTTGACCGTCTTCTTGAACGCATCGCTCTTTAGGTGAGCTGCGCAAGCGACCTGGAAAGCACCACCACCAGGAACCACGCTCTTGTCTACAATCATGTTGTATACACTGCGTAGACCATCTCGAACGGCATCCGTAATCTGTGTAATGGTGTGTGCGTTCGGGCCCTTAATCATCAAGGTAACGGACTTGGGGTCCTTAACTTCCTCGATGAACGTGTACTTCTCTTCACCTAACTGTTGCTCGTATACTAGACCAGCCCAGCCAAGAATATCAGGAGAAAGATCCTCTACACTATTCTGTGCGATACCGCCGCAAATAAGTTGAAGTCTCTCCATGTTCCTCCTCTTAGCTCTTCGAAGAGCAAAGATACCATTCTTGGCCAGTACGTCCAAAGAGAGGGGATCGATACCCTTTTGGTTGATGACGACGAAGCTCTTCTTGGGGTCGTTTCCGCATACTTCCTTCTTTAGCTCAACGATCTTCTTCAACTTGGCATCGACGAATCGGCGCTCGCTCTCGACTAGTTTATCGCGTTGCTCGGCACTGGAGTAGAAGAAGCCCGAGTTAATTTCCGACTTCTCGTATTCCAAACTGACGTTCATCGTCAAGATGAAGGCATTCTCAAGTCGCTTAGGCATATCGGGGTGTCGAGCACCGTGGTCTAGAGCCAGACCACGAATGAGCTGGGTATCTGAGGCGGTACGGTGCTGCATCTTCATAATCTCGACCATGTGTAAATCAGGTTTGGCGGGAGCTTGGTAGATGGCAAGGACGGCGTCGACAATATCGGACATTAGCTTTTGGGCGAGTGTCGCGTTGAGCTTAGTGGATAACGACGTTCGGGCGACGGATAGGAGGAGTTCTCGATCGACTTCTTTCGGTAGCTTGAATTCGTCTAGGAACTATAGAAACAGGTCAGAATATCAATCCCAATATTTAAAATGAGAATGATGTATACCTTTAAGGATTCGTTCTTCGCAATCTCAAAACCTTCTGTTATAATACGAGGGTGTAATCCTTCTGCGATGTATCTGTCTGCCTGCTTTAGAAGTTCTCCCACTAACAAAACAACTGACGTCGTTCCATCACCGCAAATATCGTCCTGCGCGGTAGCAGCTCGGGCAATCATGACGGCTGTAGGGTTCTGTATTTGCATTTCTCGCAATAGGACGTTTCCATCTTTTGTAAGTTTGATCTATTTAGTAAGAGTCGGTCAGTTGGAAGTCGTATATATCAAATCGTATCGTGGGCGTTTGTACCTGTCCAGAACCGTCTACCAACCTGAAAAATAAATATTAGCGACTCTTCTAACAAACGATATGTACGGTGAGTATATATACATACATCTTAATAGTCCCTAAGGGACCTAGGTTGGACTTGAGAACATCTTGTAGACCTTCACCAGCACTGATGTTGACTCGAAGAGCTTCACCCCGCCGCTTGCCTAGATGTCAATATTATTGTTTCCATGAAGAGAATATTGGTATAAAAACATACCCGAGATTCGGCCTTAGGGTTAAGGAGCTGTGCAGCAGACATTACGATCTAACAGAGAACAATTTGCTGCAAAAGGAAAAGGTAGGTGTCGGGTCAAAATAGTTGTTGATGGTATCGAGGGGCACAAATTAGAAGCACTAAAGAGATGGAGAGCTTTAACCTGGGGCCCCACTATCCATCTTGAACTTTTTTTTCTGCAGCCTTACACATCGTTATGCATTTTATGAAAGCATTGTGTACATTTATCATTATATAATGTATTTAAGTGGATCTCATCACGGGAATTATGTATGCATAACTTAATTCATTTTGCTCATGTATAAGAACCTCTTCAATGTAACTTCCCTTCTAAACTCGATGATATATCCAAGTAATAATAGCTCTCGCGACTAAGAGAGTTCTATTTAAATATGTTTTGTGATCGGTTCTCGCCTGTTGGGTAAGTATCTCGGCTACACACATAACTACATATGTACTACTCGAAATCTCAAGTTTTGCGCAATAACCTTATCGCGTACCTCAAGGAAGTAGGAATATCAACTGACACTTAATAAGAACTTGCTTTTAAATAATTCAGATCGAGTATTTTTATGGGTAAAGCATAAGTATCCGTCGTCAAGGAAATAATCAAAGCGCCGTGAAGTTAGGGGGTAATCCTTATGTGAGCCAACTTCAACACCGGAAAACTCGTGAGGCTCACATCATCGGAATCTTAAGTCCCCAAACCTATCCCGAAGATAGTTCAACCCGATATCCCTATGCACCTTGTTCATGTGGTCATAGCAATCATCAGAGACCTTAAAAGTCTCTAAGCACGCCCAGCAAATATGCGCACCGCAGTGACAAACCATATGATTGCATCCGGCGATCTTGTCGAGAGGCGTAGAACACTTGGGGCAATCTTTAATGTTCTGTTCCTTCTTGTATCGATTCAGAGCTTCGTATCCGCCGCTAGACACGTCTTTATATTCCGCGCAAGTCATTTCTCCGTGCTGAGCATGGCATGCGATACAGACAGGTGTAAGGCAGTTAGGACAGGTATGCATTCTGGGGGTTGGGCCGGTGCGATAGATATATCCGCAATCAACCGATGGGCATTGCTTAAATGACTGCGGATGAGTTCGGATGTAAGAAGCGAGGGATTGCTCTAGTAGCTCTTCAAACGCCGCCGATGGAAGATGCTCCTGTATTTCCGAGAGACGGAGCGCTTCGCCACAGATTCCGGATTCTCCAATGCATTCAAGTCTGGTGGTCTCGTTCTGTGCGATAGCTGACACGCAGTAGTTTTCGAAGCAGTCCAGACAATAGACGTGACTACAATGCGTCTCAATCGGATCCTCCGCTTCAATGTAGCAGAACGAACAATCCTGCTTTTCCGAGCTCTTAATCGATTCTTTCCGCGGTGCGTTTCTGTCTTTCATTATAGATAATGCCATCTCATAGTCTACGAGACTGCCAATGATAAGAATGCGTTTATAAGTCGGCGCGATCTCAAGATTGGCCTTATTAGAACCAACCCCGTTTTTGATCCTCGCGAATCCGCCCCGGAGCGCCCAAGACAATTCATCAGCGCCGAGATCAATGCTGAACGTCTCGGAACCCTCATCCTTGAGGAGGTTGGCAATTGCGGCTTGGCCCTCCTCGCATTTTTTCTGGGTTCCGTATAGTCGAAGTTGTGATTTGGCCTTACTCCGAATGATGAGTATTCCGAGCTGTTGTTCTAGCTGCTTTAGTCGCTCCAAGAGGATCCCATTTCCACGCAAGGCCGGATGCCAAAGTACGGTAGATCCATCCCTGGCGACTATGCCGGATAAAATTCTCGAGATATCATCCTTCGCACCCACGACTCCCTTAACGTCCTCTCCCTCTACCTTCATAACGCGATACCACTTCGGCGGGATGGAATTCTCGTATAGAGTGAAATATAAGTGCGAATCCTTCCAGGCCCTAATTCTAGCCTTGATCTGAGGTTGGACGGCTTCGCAAATGTTTGCGTGGACCTTGAACTTCGCCGTATAAACCAACTGGACGGTAAGCTTAGCGGCCTTGTGGAAGGGAAGTGCTGAGTAATTGAGGGTTCGAGCTGCCGTCCTAGCGTCTTCCTCATTGTGAAATCGTGCGCTTGCTTTCGCACGTTTACCAGTGGTATCAAGGGTAAACTCCGACCATTCAACGGGGCCGACCGAGGTAAAAAGTGACTGAATCGTGGCAGAACACGTCTCAGTGTCAGCAGTATACGAGGGTTTTCCGAGCTCTATGTGACGTGGTTTATCTGCTTGTTTATATATCGACTGTGAGATATCGGATTCTGCGACGGATGCCGGCACTTCTGTCAAACATACAGTCCAAGGAAGTGGGTTAAAACGCCCTTCTCTCCCACTTGGAGAGCCACATTGTACCTTTTGTTTCAATAATGTATATGTACCATCTTTAAATCGTTTTGCCACACGTTCAGAAATCTCACGATTTCCAAAATTTAGCCAAACTGTTCTGGTGGGTTTATGCCAGGAGAGGTGTACTTTTCTGCAATCCACGCGAAGAGTATTCGAATCTGACGATATAGGTGTCTCCACTACAGTAGCTGTTGGCCGTGATCCTTGCGTTTGGTTCTGGGGGCCAAGCTTTTGGCCAACTAGCTTGACAAATTCAGGGTCGTTAACTTTCACATGAGCGCTCCAAAGGCCTTGTGCGTTAGTAACCCGAACCTCGAGCTCGGCCGATGTGCGAAGGCCATGAGAATGAAGAAGAGCTAACACAGAATCCCGCGTACTATTAGGGGGTAGATGATTGATTTGGATAGTTAGGGAATCAGATGATAAAGTAATTGATTTGACAGCTGCACCGGCTTCGAAATGAACCAAAGCGCCATTTATGGTACGAGTAGCATTCTCTTGCATGGGAGACTTGGCGAGCTACAACAATGTTTAGCGACGAAACCAAAGCAAGTAGTTTCTTGGAACTCGTACATTGGGTTCGCTTGGGATTAGAGTCTTAGACGCAGGATCATTCTCGTGAAGGTATGGGCAAGCATTACCATTCCGACATAAGCCGCGTTCGAAAAATCGGCACTTTACTCGAGATCGGGAGTCGTTGGGCTTCAGCAAAAATTCCCCGCCATATCCATGTTGTCCCCTAGTCGGCGCAAAGCTAAAAGCCGCTGGATTCATCCTCTGTTCAGCCATGATGTCGCATAGTGACAATGCCAGAGACTCGGGATCACCGCCAATTGTGTAGGTTACTGGAACTAAATTTTTATATTAGTATTGAAGGTGCGGGGATAAGGCACTGACGTTAGGGGCTGTACTGTCGTCGATATATATTGGGTGCATCTTGTGGTGACACTGCAGGACTCCCATAGCCAGTCATCACAGTCGTAGACAGGTACAGGACCGTTCACCGGACTCACTGGATGAATAAAATAATAAAATAATTGACATGTCAGTTAAGCCCCACAGTTGAATGGAGGGCCACGGGCAGCTGCATCTTGCCGTATAAGTGTAGGTACGTGCCCGGAAAAGGGGTGGGTTTATCAATTATATCATCGTAGTCCTGAAGGTTATAGGCTGCTTCACCTCGTAGTCCATCGAAAAAGAAACAGGCGTCGCCATAATGGACCGAGGCCTCGCTAGGCCGAATAACCGTATTCGGGTATTGGTGAACAAGGAAGATGAATTTCTTGACTTGCACTAATTGATGAGTATTAATATCAGTAGACCCGGCAAAGTACCTCCTATGCACTTGTACGACGACTAATTTTCGAATCGACTATTCGTACGCCAAGTTGCATTTGGGCTCAATATTCTATGATATCTGGTAGACGCAACGGATGAGAATAACGAAATCTGAGCATTCCCCGGCAGTCGTATCAGCCACGTCGCCCGACATTTACAGCCCCGAGAGCACCGTCCCCGTCGAAGGCCCAGCCGGAACAGTCTTTATCTCGGACGGTAGGCTGTGGCACGCTACGGGACCTTACTCAGACCTTGCGAGCGAGAATCCTGTCATCATATTCTTCCTCATACGTAGTTTTGTTAGACAGGAAGATAATATCTTCTTACAGCCGCGGTCTGAGATTAAAGCTAAAATGTCGGACCGAGTGAAGAGGATGCTGGGGTTTTGCGCAAACGGTTTATTGGGCGGTGTTGGGGGAATAATTGCGGATGGGACCTACGTTAAGAGAGTTGAGAACCCCGTCGGATCTATCCGAAAATCCGCTGTCGTGTAAGCACGGCAGGGGTCGTGGAGGAAAGGAGTATCCGTGTTCGTCTAATGGTGTGAATTCAATGATTCGATTTTTTCTCTCCCATTGGATACTTCCCTTTGGGTAGTCATGGGTTATTCGCTACCCATAGCGAATTTGAAGTCCGATGCATTGCGAGCCTGGAAACGGTCTTTACTTACCTGAGTAGGTATTATTGAACATTTTCGTTTTAAACCTCGCAATCTCTAGGTGATTGAAACACTGAACATCGTATTAATATGCTTATATTAACTTCGGAGTGTCATCTCCAAGGATTGAAAGAGACGAATGAGAGATTACGGATGAAGTTGAAAAAAATATGTGAAAGTTTAAAAATGAAGGAGAGAGTTGGAAATAATTGAGAGGATGGGGATGGGGAGGAAGTCTAAAGTCCGATACGCCTTAGTACATGTCCGACATTAGTATGCATGAAATGGTGTTATGTCTCGGCCGGGGTCCTATATATGATATAAGAATGTGGCTTGTGCTTAACTCATCAGCTCATCTCGTCACGTCAATCCGTCAGCCTGCTTCCTATTCCCGTTTCTATTCTCTTCATCATTAATATGTCAACTACATAAAATATCAACAATGTATTTGATGCGGGCATCTCAGTTGGCATGGTTTTTATCAGTATTTCCTATCGCACAATGTGATTTTCTTGAAGAGACGCCGAAAGTCAAGCAAGTTGCCATCATTGGTTAGTTGAATTCACTACATACACTTTCGGATAGATCCGAAATGAGATGCTTAACTCATGCCTCACGTTATAATACCATCTTAACACAGATCTTGTATAACTCCAAACGCATAATCCAATGACACAACTTCATATATGCCGAATATTACAAATTATTCTAATGAGTTAAATAGGCGCTGGAGCCGCTGGTTCTTCTACAGCTTACCATCTACGCAAGTATGCCGCACAGGACGGTGTTGCAGATGTCAACATCACCATATTCGAGAAGACCAACCATATCGGCGGTCGAACTCTCACGGTAGACGTCTATGATGATCCTCTCAACCCAGTCGAATTAGGCGCCTCAATATTCGTCGAGGTCAATTACATCCTCTACAACGCGACCAGAGATTTCAACTTGCCTCTCACCGACCCGGGCACGGATGAAAATGGTTTGCTTGGTGTATGGGATGGCGAGAACTTCGTCTATACGCAAGACTCGGAGTCATGGGGTTGGTGGAATCTTGCCAAACTCTTTTGGAAATACGGATCTGCACCGTATTATACACATCGGCTTGTCCAGGACACCGTTGGGACGTTTCTCAAGCTCTACCAGGCCCCATATTTCCCCTTCAGGTCACTCTCCACTAGGGCTTTTGAGCTTGGCCTTGTTAGGGTAACTGGCTTGACTGGGCAACAGTTCCTAGCGGAAAACAAGTTGGACGGTCCGTTTGCTCATGACATTGTACAAGCTAGTACGCGTGTCAATTATGCGTCAAATTTGCAGTACATACATGGCCTAGGAACTATGGTCAGTCCTGATAATACCAATCTTAACCGAACGGTACTAATATCCATTTTAGGTTGCTATGGCTCCCGAAGGCGCCGTTGCCGTGGCCGGTGGTAATTGGCAGATATTCTCGAAGATGGTCGCAGATTCCCAGGCTCATGTCTCATTGAATACTACCGTAACTGCAATCACCAAGGAATCAAGCCCAGGCTCAGAGTCAAAGTCTCCAAAGTACCAAATCAAAACCAAAGCAACCGGTTCCACTGCAGATGAGGACGAAACGTATCCCGTGACTTTTGACAAGGTCGTCATCGCAGCACCGTACCAATTCAGCGGCATCAGCCACGACGACGATGTCATCGCACACCCTGTTGATTCAATTCCCTACGTTACTCTTCACGTAACACTCTTCGCCAGCCCATATCGCTTTAGTCCGGAATTCTTCGGCCTTGAGCCTACCTCCAAGGTACCCATTTCCGTGCTCACGACGTTAGGAGAGGATGAAGAAGCCAAACCGGGATCCGAGGGGGCTGGTAACGCGGGTTTCTTCTCCGCGACACTGGTAAAAGTAGTAACGAACTCAAAAACGAACAATACCGAATACGTCTACAAAATCTTCTCTCCGGATAAGGTGACTCCTGAGTTCCTGTCCCGACTACTTGGTGTACAAATACCGGAAACATTTACTCGATCAGACCCTTCCACTGAAGGCAAGGATACCAACGCGAATGAGAAGACCGTCGTCGATCCAATATCGTGGTACCACCCCACTGTCTTCCACCCCTACCCGCAAAAGTTCCCACGCGTCACGTTCCAAGACCCTATTCTCGGTGACGGGCTGTACTACACATCCGGCATCGAAAGCTTCATCTCCACGATGGAGACAAGCGCGCTAATGGGTATGAACGTCGCGCGACTAATTGCGGACGAGAACATACGCGACTATATGAGAGATGAACTAGGTATCCCTATTGTAGATGATAAGGACCAAGAAACTGAAGATCCTCGGATACGATTAAAGGAGGCGAGGCCCCAAAATTGCAATCGCCCATTCGACCCTATAGATGAGCTCTAGGAAATTACTTTTGGAATTGATGCTAGTTTAGTGTATATGTTGGCAATGAAAATTGATACCATTACAGCTCGCCTCCTTTCCTTGCAATGCAATCATTGATTTCCAGTTTATACGCTGTCTCCATTTATCGCAATACCCGGGCGACGCCTAGATTTCATCCGATGCATCCAAGATTGCCAAACTTCTTGCATTTTGGCAGCTTGGGAATGGCCGTTAGTATCTCCATTGCTGCTTGCAGCCCTCGGCTCCCTAACGGGTAGACTCCCGTTGGTCGGCATGAATCCCGACGAATTGTCCGAGTCGCCACTACTATTATTATGCACTTTTTCGGATGTATCCGAACCATTTTTACACTGCGCCTTTTCGCGCTTGTGCTCGAGGTGTGCATTTCTGGAGTTCCGCTTTCGTCGGTCGGACCAGTCGATTATGTTGCGATAGAGCACCTTGCTTGATAGGCCACTATCGAGCCACATATTATAAAGGCCAAATCGTACCAAGAATTCCGTCATCATCCACTTCGAGAGGTAGAATAGGCCGGCACGAATCCAACTACCAAAGGCAATGACCAAACTAAAGATAATCACACCAGCAGATATCGAGACTGCAGAGACGATATTAACGATTGAATATTATGTTAGAACAGGACTTTCTTACACATGTACACGAACTCCGTGTTAATAGACCAGGTGTCGCTAGTGATTTCAATGTTGTTCATTCCGAAGACACTCGACATGAACGAGAGTGGAAGCTAACCATCGTTAATACGCAAACCGGAAAATATGGGATAAATCTTACGAAAACTATCGTCACGAGTGTGAACATCATAATTGACCGGCCTTGCCGTATGGTCTCTTCCGACTGCTTCACAGCCTGCCATGCCTGGACGACACTAGCCTGCTGCTGTTTCAATTCGAGTAAGTCCTTAACCTGGATTTTTTGGTCAGCTTCTCATACCCTCAGCGACTTTTGTACGGGCACTTACGCTTTGAGCAGTATCAATAGCGCTAGCGCGCAACTCCTCAAGTTCTTCAATCCGACCCACAACCTCGTCCAACCGCTCATCAGCATTATGCTTGAACCAGTCATAATCATCCCGCCTATTATTCAGAATAGGGTTCTCGACTTCATTATTATATAGGACTTCGAGATCTTTTGGCTTATCCTTGGCTTTGTTCCACAAGTGCCGACCTGTCATCTCTCGCTTCTTGCTATCGCCGAACTTTCCAAATGGATCCAGGATATTCTCGGCATTAGCGATGAATTTTGTGAGTATCTTCTTTTGGGTCTTTGTGATGTGCAACATGATATCTAGCTCCTCTATGATATCCTTGATCTCTCGCTCGATCCTACCTTCTGGGTAGATGTCGAGGAGGGGCACATGAAGTTCGGAGGTATCGCCGTTTGCCGTGGAACGGTATACCTTGCTAGCGTCGTCGGTCCAACGCCATAGTCTCTCGAATGCGGCAGTTTGTTTGTGCATCTATTAAACGCATTAGGCCTCCATTATGGCTCGAACATTCAAATGATACTTACGATATTGCCAATAGCCTTCGAAAACGCATCAATTACCTGCGGCTGGCGATCTACCGCCTTCGTCCGGTCGAAGAATGTATTGGAACATTCGTTAATGATAATTAGAGCTAGATCGAAGACGGTGCGTATCTGGTCGGGGCCACTATTCTGAAGACGAACTCTGATTGACTTGTGAATAGCCGATGTGTCCTGTTTGTTAGCCCCATATCGCTTTGGGAAGCAGGTAATGATGGTTTTCCCGTCAAGAATCCACATCCAGAGTTGATCGACCATAACCACGCGCGATAGCTTCTTGATGTTTCTATCACACTCTTGGCATCGTTCTCCAGGCTTAAATTCCTTGTGATCTTCCCATCCATTTTGAAGATGGTACTTATGAAAGTCTTCGGGCTTAGTCGTGGTTCCGCGATATACGACTTGGTCTCTATCGCGCTTCCTAGTCGAGTTGAGCGTCCAGTGGTAAGCCTGGTCTAGAGTCCGACGTGGATGCAATGGAGGGTCCTTGCCAAGATAGTCGCGAACCAGCCTCTTATCCCTGTAGTTTGACATTCCTTCAAAGAGCCTTGCGGCATCGAGGAGCAACTGGGCTAGGGGATGAACGACAATCACGCGACCCCTATCGTCCATTGGAGGTTTCTCTCGAGCTAAATTCATTTCCTTGAGGAGACCCTTCATCGTGGATATCCTGTCTTTTCCCGCTTTATGGCAATTGTGGATTTCAGTCGCAAATTGTTCTCTTTTCCTTGAGGTATCCCAATGGAGATATGGCATCTAGATTTGAATTTTTATCAGCCAAGAGAACCTCGTGCGCCCGTTACGAATGGACTTACGAATGTTACCATATTCTTCGGGAAATAGTCCGCGTCTTTCGGATCTGTAGCCGTTAGCCTAGAGCCTAACCCGAGCTTGGATGTACAACTTACCTGATGATACGGTTTCGCATAGTGGTCTCATGTGCCTTGCATGTGGTGGGCTATGTTCCTGGCTTCCGTCCAACTGACTATACCAGTATCGTTCTCGGAGTATCATATAAGTTTGAGTCTTATTCTGCCGCTTCAATTCACGTTGAATTCCTCGATAGTCCGGTCTCCCTTCGCCAAAGTATCGACCAATAACGCGCTAGCGTCCGGGATGTCAGCATTGAGTCTGTCGTAACAGATAGAATTCTTACCTCGGCCCACTGCACTCAAGTTAGTCGGTGACTCATAGTGTACAAACAAGGCCTCACTCACGATCATATTATTTGAAGGGATATGGTAATATCCCAAACGGCCATCGGATGTATGTTGTTCAAGGAGGAGATTGTCCTCCTGGTCGAGCAAGTCGCTCAGGGATGTTTTCTGATTTGGAAACTTGCTCCATACCCAGTTGCGTTTCTCCTTCAAGTCTACCCCCTCGCCGTTTTCAAATTGAATAAGGGGTACTCGAATATCTTTTTCCGGTATATAATCTGCAGCCGCGACACTGACCCGCCTCCGAGGCCTTTGGCCTTTATGCTTCCGCCAGACCCCAAGGCTCCGGTTCAGGTTGTCTACTAAATGCTTGTCTTCTTCATCTTGAAAAAGAGTATTGCGAAGGAATTCAATACGCCTTAACTCGCTCTCGCAATCCTCTTTCCAAGATTTCCGCTTTCGCCCCGTTAGCTCCCTAGCCTTTTCAGGGGTATTGCCGAGATTTTTGATTTGGTGTTCGATTTCCTCCTCCCAAATGTCATGGTCATCTTCAAAAAATCTTTCCTGGTCTTGTATTTTAATGCACCCAAGATAGTGAACTAAGTGATCTTTGATATCGCAGCCATGAGGCTCCGCACTTAGACACGTCGCGTTCAAGGAACGATTATCCGCACTGTGATTTTCCATATTGAATATCAGTAAAGGAGTTTAGCGAACGCATGGATGTAGGCGACGGGGGATAGCAAGGAGCTAGGGGCAATAAGACACTTATAAATCACAAAGGCGTTTGGGGGCGAAAATTGTGACCGAAACCCGATTCCACGGGATTTGCTCACCTACTCCTTGGAGGCTCTGCTCGTTCTGTTCTGGGATAGAGGCGAAAAAATCTTTGGTGTAATACGACCTTAGGCGACCGAGCCTCGGTTACATGAACGACAAGACGGCGACCATAATAATCCAGTAATACATGATTACAAGGGGGTTTGGGTAGGTCAGTTCTTCAGCTTTCTGCGGGTAACGTCATTTATTGGGACAGCGAAGCACAGCCTGCATATTAGCTGACAAGCATCGGGATCATGCAGCTAGCAGTGAAGAGCAGCCAATTAATTATCACGTTGGTACAGGGCATCCAAATGCAGCGTAACTAGAACCTGGAGTTTGAGGGGGTTCGTCTCAAAAGGTGATGCATAGGATCGATGATTGCGGCTGAAATGGTTATAGAGAGCTAGGTCAACACCAGAATCAGCATTCACTGGTTCTCATGCGGACATATCAAAATCAGTAACAGATCTTCTCATATAATGGCTATAGTTTAACATACTTAGTAGCTGAAAATATGCAGCAGTGGGCGGATTGATTCGAAAGGGCTCGTATAAGACGTTACCTTAGTTGGTGAGTTCAGGGCCCAAGGGTGATTGGAGGGTATGAGCCATACTTGGCGACCCCCGGAACATTAATCTATTGAGCGAATAGGCGCCATCCTATGGTAGACCTATAACAACCCATTGCTCCCTCCACGGGTAGTTACTGCCCACGTTGATACACCAATCGAAGTATTTATATTAAGTGTTATCGTTCACCAATGTGATACGACATGCAATATCCAGTCAACCCTAATTTCCACGGAAGCAAACGTACGACCATTATGTAATCCGTGTTGAGCGATGCTGTTTCTGAGAGTCATCTCTTGAGCGACCAAGTCATCAGAAACCCTTCACCTCGAGACTCGCGCCGCAGTTTTGATGTTGTAGAACCCATTACCCCCTTACGACGGTCCAATAAGCACAAAATTACCTAACCATTACGCCAAAACACCGTGCGAGTATACAGTGTGATGGCATACTTCACTATACCACTATAATTATAGAGGGGTATGCGCTGTAGGCAGCTGTATCCATAGGGGACTTCAGCGCATACCCTGCTGGAAGATTAGTGGTCATATTCATAGCGCTAACCCCCTTATAAATACAGCGCATATTAGCACCCCACTAAAGTACCCCGTAATCATAGCGTCTATAGCCCTGTAAATTTAGCAGAGATATACACGGTAATCCTCCCCCCTATTTCCTGATGTTAATGTATTGATGACTAAGCACCACGATCCGATCATTCACATTTTTCAACTACCTAGGTACTCTACACAATATGTACAAATAATTGAAGGGTAGGACTTGATGTTATTCACGATTCAATGCGATTCAGCTGAATCCTTTCGCCCAAATTGGGTAAGCTACGGTCCATCCGAAGCGGAGCAGCCGGACGAAAAGGGTAAAAAAGGAAGTTGAGTTAGCGCAAACACATGGGTCGCCGCCAAGAACACAGAAAGAATCAGTGATCTAGAGCCTCCATTCTCATGCGAAGTTCGTATAGTAGAGACCCTGCTCGGCCGAAATGCTGCGCCGCTTCAGGACCCCAATCTTCTTGGTACGCATATAAAATGGATTGATTCGCCTGCGTATTCTCGACATTTTCCCTAGGTGGTGTCCGATGCCAAGAAAATTGAACGATCAGGAGAGATGGAGTTATTCAAAGTATTGTTGATGACATCCTGGGTTGTCACCGCGACGACATCCCCTACTCCGCTAAATCGACGGCTCAGTTCTCGTTGGACCGATCTTCCAAGAGTCGGTGGTGGCCCCATCCAGGAACATAGTGCAGCTGCTACAGATTCTCATCTGTATCTTTTAGGGGGCATGCCCCCTGATGCGAATAATAATGCAACCGCAGTTCCATCAACCAACACGTTCGAAGCTTACTCATTTGAGGAGAAAGTCTGGAAGAGTCTCACTCCGATACCCAAGGCGTTTACTCATATTAACGCCGCCGCTGTCGATGGGAAGATCTATGTGTTAGGCGGGCTCACAGGAGATGGAGAGGGGTTAACCTGGTATCCGGCGGCGGACTGCTTCGTTTATGACCCCGCGACGGGGGCCTGGGAGACTCTACCTTCCATGCCGGAAAAGCAAGGACGCGGGGCTTCAGCCGTTGGCGTGTCCGGTAGCATCGTTTACCTCGCTGGGGGGCTCTGGCGTCTCGAACTATTTCCCAACGGTACGCAAGAGTCGCTTGACATGGTGACAGCTTATGACACAAAAGCGGGGACGTGGACAACACTTCCAAGCCTTCCTGCGCCGCGAGATCATGTCGGAGGTGCGGTCATAAACCGAACATTCTATGTTATCGGTGGCCGGGATCGCGGGGCAGCTAACTTGCGAAACACGACTTGGACTTTAGATCTCGACTCGCCTTCAGATGGGTGGGCCGTCAAAGCCGAAATGCCTACGGCCCGCGGTGGTTTCGCGATGGGAGTTATTGGGGATTACCTAGGGACGTTCGGCGGTCTAGGGAACGAGGATCCTGGTTCGAATGGTGTCTTCAACTCGTCGGAGATATATGATGTTAAAGAGGACTCTTGGTTTAAGTTACCAGCTATGCCACATCCTAGACATGGTAATGTGGCTGCTACTGTGGAAGACCGGATCTATATTCCAGGAGGCGGTATCGCTGGAGGGGCGGCGCCTGTAGACACATTCGACTATTTCGAATTCGGTCCGTAAGACTTCCACGCAGGTACTTATGAAAATACATTAATTGTTCAATGATGCATTGGAATCTACGTACAATATTTCCCTCCTCGATTAAGCCACGCCTCTAAACGACACCCTCTAAATTTCTCTCTAAATCAGTCTTCCTAACATCCAATATGTGGGTAGGCGGTGGTCCTGCGAGCTGGGGCTAGGGGAGCGCCAGATGTAAACCTGATTATCAGTCAATGGTGGTGCAACTCTGCGGTTCGATGCTTTATGGGCCTCAATCAGTAACTCTCATGTGCCTTGGCTGCGGTATCCACGCATTAGCTTGACCAACTTCGTATGTCCCCTGAGTTCAGCTAACTCTATGAATGTGCAGTTGTCGCTCCTATTAGGGACGCGGGAGTTCATGTTGGCCCCCTTATTCAGGAAACATTGGACTATCCTCAGCTGGGCAATTGTGTCCACTGGGTCCCCCGTACTATGAAGTTCCATCACCTGGTAGAGAACCCTAAGTGCGGAGCCACCTACGGCGGCAGTACTCTTTGTAAGCAGTAAGCATAATATATCTTGTATGTCTTTCAGTCTTTGTGGGTCCCCTGTGTTGCTTAACCGGCGGTAGACTAGATCCAACACCTTCTCATCCGCGACGGCGTCGATTTGCACATTGTTTTTCAAAAGGATTTCAACAATGTTGTCCAGGTTCCTCTCTGCCGCCATTCCAAGTGCAGTTAAGTTTGTTTTGCCACTTATATCAGCCCGTGCGCCCGCCTTTAACAGGTTTTGCAGAATGTCTTTGTCTTTTCTTTCTACTGCTAAATGCAGCGCCGTTTGGTCGTTCTTGTCCAGCTCATTTACACCCTCGGCGATTACCTCTTTCGCAATGCGGACACGGTCTGGTTCCGCTTCGGGATTTCGGACTCCCAATAACACCAACACAACCTTACGGTGCCTGTATTTTACAGCTACGTGCAATGCGATTTGCTTATTGTGATTATTTTCATTAATCGCATGGCGGTTTTCCTTGGGTTTATCGCGGATGTCGCTCTCCACAGCAGCTGTCGACTGGCCAGTTGCAGATATCATTGCACCCACCAACAGCTTTGCAATCCCATCTTGAGTATTAATCGCGGCCAAATGGAGCGCGGTATTTTTATATCGGTCTATTATGTTCGTTTCAGCTTTATGCTCGAGTAGTATTTTGACGACCGATTCATGGCCATTCCTCGTTGCTAGATGCAAGGCCGTCTGCCCTTCTTGGTCCTTGAGGTTTATGTAGTTGTCAATCTCACGTAGCTTGTCATCAAACTAATAACTTTCAGTATCTTGGTTCTAGACTACCTTAATATTCTGCAGGTTCTTACGGTAGTTCTTTGGTACACAGGCAATTCCAGCAATTCTGGCGTTCGATCCCAATCACGAAGTGGTTCTCGTGTATCACCCGTCCTCTGACGTTGACATCGATTCTACATACCTATACCTAGGTACCTAGGGGGATAAAGGGTCGAATAGAACTGGCCGTTTATTTGCAAATATAATGTACTAAAGAAATAACGGTATTTTAGAGCTATACTAAATATAGTGTGTAAAAACCTCTTATTCACAGACTATTGGCCAATTTCCTGCTAAAAAATATTTTAAAAGGGTTTTATTTTTTATTTTTTTATTTGTTTTATTCATTACACTAAATAGTTAGCAAACGCTGCAAACAACTCTGCAAATAAGGGGCTTTTCAACTAGCAACGCTTTTATTTTCACCTTTTCATTCTCAAGCTCCTTGATGTGCGACAGAGGAGTCCGATCCCATTAGAAATGTCATCCTTTCAAGGTATTTATACCCAGTTCCTCCTCGGAGATACTATAGAATATAAGTGAACGATCTAACCGCCTATAGAATTGGGAACACAGCTGTTGCAAGCAAGCCAAAATGGGAATGTGACTCGGATTACGGAATTATTGCGCCGTGGCGCCAATCCAGACTTTCAGGACGAGGAAGGAAATACTGCTCTCCATGTAGCAGCGAATTTTGCTGTAGTAGAAGCTCTCACTAGAGGAGTTCAGGTATCTATGCCTTCCCCCGGGAATTCGTATCTCATCGCGATTGCCCTTTTTTTAACCCAATAAGTCAAGTATATCCTTGACTTGATGAGTTGCTGGTATCTGAATCCTCACTAAGTATTTAAATCGACAGGCACGAACTCTTACGATTTACAACGACACCGTTAACTTCAGAAGAGAGCAAGACTTGGATATTGAGTCTAAGTACATTTTAGTGCAGTGTTTAAGACGCCTAGACGCTGGTCAAAAAGAGCGACTATCCGCGTTAGGTCTGGATTTTCGTGAATACATTGCGAAAAACACATATCTCTGCTACAATAAAAAAGACGTGGGGATTCCAAAGATTCTCGATTTTCCATTCGTCAGCCACGTTGACGAGTACAGCACCGAATGCAAACTCCCTCGTGGTTCGAGATACGCCGAGGCAGAAAATCTCTACGAAGTTTCCATACGGTTACACAATAATATCAGCGTTGACGAGGCCGAATTCAAAACTCCCCAGAAACAGATTCGGGAAGCGGCGGAGCTCGGCCCCGAGGATCTTATTCTCCTTCTAGGCGGAAAGGTCCGACTTGCGGTCCGGGGGAAGTTCTTAGAACGCCTAGTCTCGATTGACGAAGTCCGCCGTATTGAACAAGTCGGCAAGCGCGTGCCCGCCGCTCGTCGCGCGCTAGAGATATTGGGAGTTAGTGTCCCGCATGGGCTCGATGTAACAGAAAGAGGTGCTTATAGAGGAGCAGGCCAATTGATTGCCGTTGCGGATACGGGGGTTGACACAACCCATCCAGCTTTCACTGGTCGTATACGTGAAGTTGTTTCGTTGGGACCTGACCAAATAGAAGATAAATCCGGCCACGGAACTCATGTTTGCGCCCTAGCAGTCGGCAACCACCTCGGAGGCGATAGGCCCATGGGGAGCGCTTCACAGGCAGAGTTACTCGTTCAATGCATGGGAAACGAAAGCGAATACGGCCATCTGGAAAATATGCTTCCGGATGCTTATAATTTAGGTGCGCGGGTACATTCGAATTCGTGGGGGACCACCGTGGAAAATAATCAGACTGACCAGGGGACGTTTAATGCGGAGGTGATTGACAAGTTCGTTCGTAAAAATCCCGACATGGTCATTTGCTTCAGCATTGGAAATAATTCGGCTACCGGCAACGTCCCCTTGCTTTTAAGTGATGAGGCATATGAGAAGAATTGTATCACAATTGGTGCCAGTGAAAGCAGTCGACTAAGCAATGGGGATAGGATCATGTACGAGAACACCAATATACCTCTGATTCGTTCACGGCGGGATAATACTAGCCTTTACCGGGTAGCTACGTTTAGCAATCATGGGTATCGGAATACTTGCCGTATTAAACCTGACCTCGTTGCTCCGGGGACGGATATCCTCTCGGCGCGTTCGCAATTTTCCCAGCCTCCATCAGCGGAACGCGACCGTGACCTGTATTGGTGCTATATGAATGGGACTAGTATGGCGACTCCGCTCGTCGCCGGTTGCGCGGCCGCTGTCCGAGAGGCTCTGATTGCAAATAGAACGGGGCGGCCGAGTGCGGCTCTAATTAAAGCCCTACTCATTAACGGCGCTGATTGGCGAAGGCAACGTGAGGCAAACGTCGAGTCAGGATTCGGTCGCGTTAACGTTACGAAATCGCTCCAGATTGCCTGTGGGATGATTGAAACTGGCTTTTGGGAGAGTGGCCTCCGAGATGGGCGGGATGGCGCTTTCTTAAGAACGGTCCGTGTCGGGCCTGGTACGCTGAAGGTAACTCTTGTGTGGATGGACCCGGAAGGGCCTATGATCAGGAACGTACTACTATTAAAGGTCAGAAATTCAGACGGCGAGACTAGACGGGGCTATCATCGATATTGGGACAGAGAAGGGGAAGGCTTTGTTAACAACGTTCAGCAAATCGTATGGGATCTCCGGGAGTCTCAGGATGTAATTATCCGTGTTGCAATGTATGGGGTCAACGATGAGCCATCCGGAAGGCAGTATTTTGCTGTAGTTTATCGATGCGACAGTTCTGCCGCAATGCCTCATGAGACATAAATGTATTAGGATACGAGCAAAAGAAATCATCGATATATCTCGATACTTTTACATTTTTCTTTTCTTTTTCGCTCCTACTCCTCCAACTCCCTCCTCCCGTTTCCCCCCTTCCTTTGGTATTTTTCTAACTTCTCTTCTTTTTTTACAACGATCATATTCTGATATTTAAATCATACCTATTAATAAAGTGGGTTATTCTGTATGAGGTCGGTACCTAGGTACCTAAGTGACCGCCCGCCGGGGTCTAGAACAGCTCTGTAAATGATGAGGCAATACTCGACGTGGGGGCATTTAACAGCTTCACGATCGATCTGGTGGACTCTAGCTGTCTTGGCCTTCCCACTACCGTACTAGTGTACCTATCTAGGTAAGCGACGAGCGCATTTGGTTTGAATACTTATAACGGTCGAGATGAAAATTTGGCAAATTTTTATCGCATCTCGCGACGCTCCTCTCGTTCTTTTAGGAAACAACACAACTCGACCCCGCGCGGTGCGACCATGGAGAAGGGAACACAGCCTCAAGAAGTAAACGCCGATGGGTCGCGACCGGTGAGCTCGGAATCCGTCGGCGATAAAGATGTCGCGATCGCGATGGTCGGAGAGGAAGGTCATGCTGTCGATCCTGCTGTTGTACAACGCGCCGTGCGCAAGATTGACTGGTTTTTGATTCCTGCTATGACGGTCGGCTGTGAGTTTCAATTACTCTGAGTGAAATGTACGAAGCTAACACCGATATTGAGATGGACTTGTGTATTATGACAAGGTGATTTTATATACCGTACTTCATATAATGCGACGGCTAAGTTTTCATAGGCAATTCTAGGGTCTGCGGCCTTGTTCGGCATGACTTCTGACCTGAAGCTCAGCGTTCCGGATCCCCACAATCCCGCTGCAGTCAATACGTCACGTCTCAGCTGGGCTACATCCATCTTTTACTTCGGCATGTTAGGCGGGCTTTACCCGATGTCTTACGCCTTACAGCGCTTTGAGACGGGACGAGTGCTCGGAGCAGTGGTAGTGCTTTGGTCCTTGATCTGCATGCTCACAGCCGCCGTCACATCTCATCAAGGACTCTACGCGCAACGATTCTTCCTTGGCTTCGTCGAAAGTGTTATTCCAACGGGGTTTATGTGTATCATAAGCGGTTACTACACACAGCAGGAACAGTCGCTGCGACAGAGTTGGTGGTTCTCTTCAACCGGATTATGGACCATCATAGGTGGGGCTCTCAATTATGGCTTCGCCCAAATAACAGGTGGTGGACTTCGTCGTTGGCAGTACATATACCTCTTAGCCGGGTGTCTTACCTTCATATTCGGATTATTCTGCTTCACAATGCCAAGCTCGCCCGTGTCTGCTTGGTTTTTGACTAAGGAAGAGAAGTTTGCGGCTGTGGAGCGATTGCGGTACGGTCAAACTGGCGTTCGTTGTACCAAGTTCAAGTGGTCGCAATTAAGAGAAGCTGTACTTGATATCAAGATATGGCTCATAGCTATTATGATGGCCTCGGCTTACACTGTCAATGGCGCAGTATCTGGCTTCGGTCCGCTAATTGTCTCGACGTTCGGTTGGAGCACTCTGGAATCTATCGTATTCCAGTTTCCTCTTGGAGGTTTATGCTTGATCGTCATTTTACTCACAGGATGGCTTGGCTCACGTTACCCGAACATTCGCATCTTGATGTTGATAATTTGCTGTCTTCCGGTTATTGTAGGATGTGCTATCATCTGGAAGAGCCAGTGGACCTTCCACGCCGCGGCACCCGTTGTTGGGTACACTATTACGGGAACCTTTGGTGGAGTGGTAAGTTTGATCATCACAATTGGGATGTCAAATGTCGCTGGAAACACCAAAAAGAGTTTCACATCGGCGACCATATTTGTTGCGTATTGCGTTGGTAAGTATCTTCCCACCCCTCGAGACCCCTACATCATCATTAACATAAAATTTTGTAGGTAATATCATTGGCCCGCAGTTAATCAAGAGCCAGACCAAGGCCTCCCATTATCCTGAGCTGTGGCTTGGTCTCGTCATATGGTTCGTGTCGTCCTGCAATTTTGCCCAACTCGTGTACTAATTCTGTTGCCTTAGTTACTGTATCACAATCTTGGCCTCAGCAACACTCTTCGTCATTCTGCGATACGAGAACCAGAAGAAAGAGTCCGCCATTATAGAAGACGAAACCGAGAGAGCCAAGCTCGCCTTCCAAGATCTCACAGACAAGGAAAACCCCTATTTCAGATATGTTATGTAGGCCCAAATTCGGCAGGCTAATTAATGATACCAAACTTTTGACGTGCCGACATAAAATCTTCGTATCGCGTGAAACCAACTCGTCTAACGCCGTCGCGTGGATATCTCTTTTCGATCGTTTACTTCGTAACTTCTGGTATCGACTTGGGGCGGTAATTGAATATGCTCTTGAATCGCCCTGATAGTCTCGATGACTTCGACTCCGCACTCTTCCCAGAGCTTGACTCCGCGCTCATAAGACTGCTTTTTCGTCGTTTTACGGCGTCGCTCGCGGATACCGAATCGTGTATGATGGATTCTTCCCACGTTCCTAATGACGTAGAGCAATTGGTCAATTGACGAAATAATGCAAATATAGGGGGGGATCCATACGGATGTTGCCAGCGCCACCAATTCCAAATGACCTACGACTATCACTACCGGCCATACTGAGAATTTTGAGCTTGTAGTGTGCTCAACAATTTTACAAGACGGCTATGTCGTGTGAGAATGCATAGAGCAGTCGCTCTCCGTACTGTCAGTACACCTACATGCGAAAATGTAGAATTTGAACGTCCGGTACCATTTGTCGGAATAGGCGAAGTTTTAATGTAGAGATGATCGCGTGTATCTATGTTTCGAGTGGCATGATCCGATCTTTTTATCCCGTCTTACTTGCGACTCATTTCCTGTCTCGACGATAACCTAGATGGCTCTTATTGGTCCCCCACGGATGACTTTGGCGTTCGCATATCTAGAACCAGTCTCTCATCGGTAGCCATGTCGTCATATTCCATGGAGCTTAACCGATTCATGTGACAATTGATCGACATTGGAGATAGTGGGACGGAGTTTCACTGGCTTGGAATCGCTGAATAATGATATCATCTAACGCTTTTCAGCTAGATATTTATTGTTAGGGTTTTCGATCCCCTGGGACATCCCAGCATCCTCAATCGGTTACGTCGTCACAAGTAGGTAGCTCCAGTTACCCATTGATGAGGTTAGTAACGATCACAGCCGATTCAATTACTACAAAGGATTCAAGAGGAGACGCTAGGTATTTATGCTATCCAAAGGAAGAGTATAGTCCGCCACGAAACTCCGCTCCGATTAAAGTCTCCGTCACAAACGCCCAAGCCAAAGCGCAAGACAACATGTTACCCAGCCAAAACCAAATTACGACTCTACCATAACATTTTGCTCCGGAAGTGTCCCATTTATCAAATACGCCTCAATCAACCTCGTAGCCTCTCCCACATTATTATAACTACTATGCCCGTCACCACGCCTCGTAAGAAACACTGCACTAGGTATCTGCGACCGCAGTCCCTGCGCCCATAAATACGAACTCTCCGGATCATGTTCCGAATTAACCATAAGAATCGGCGGCGCTAATCGCATAGAGCTCTGATTCAACGCGCGCTGAGGATTTCGCATTGGAGCTGGCCAGCCTAGACATTGCACGTTGTACATATACGACTGGCTCGCACCTAACGTCCGCGGTGTCGTCGCATTCGCGAGGTACCGTCGATACATGTAATCCTCAAAAGTAGCAGTGTCGTGGTTCCAGTCGAGACACCCCACAGCCAGACCCTGCCATATTGCCGAGTTCTCACTCTCGGCCATGGAGGAGGAGAGGAAAGTCGCGTTGCCGTTTATGGCTTCGTTGAGGCGTGCGCCGAGTCGGCCCCACCCTAGGGCGATCGGAATGTCTTTTTTGTAGGTTAGTAGGCCTTTCCCCTGGATGTTGAAACGGATGTCTTCGTCTGTGACGTTCGGGAAGCACACTCTGGGCTCGCAACCTGGTGCCGGGATGGGGGTTGAGTCGGCTTGTTGCACTAATTCATCGTACAAGCGCGCCACATCTTGTCCGTGGAGCGCACAGGTCTCATTCTTAGTGCACCAATTGAAGAATCGGTTTAGTTCATCCTCATAAGTCAAGGCTTCGCCCATCGTCGTATATATCTCAGGGGCGGAGTGGTCGACGTTGCCGTCTAAAGCCATGACGCGGATGTTCTCGGGGAAGAGCTCTGCATATTGCGCCCCGATCATCGTTCCGTAGGATATACCGAGCCAATTGAGTTTTCCGTCATTTAGAGCGATGCGGATTGCTTCCATGTCTCGCGCTACGCTGATAGTGTCGACGTGTTTGACGATGTCGCCGCTCCGGTCTAGGCAGCTTTGGCCAAAAGCCCGGTTATGTTCGATCATCTGCTGGAATGAGGCGCTATCCTCAGGGAAGAGTGTCTGTCGTTGGTTCCATAGGTCGGGATCGCATGATATAGGACTGCTGGTGCCAATGCCTCGTGGGTCTGGGCATATAATGTCGAAATGAGACGTAAGGGCCTCGCCAAATATGGGCTTTCCTTGAAGTTGATATCCGCAGAATGCTGTAGCCGCTCCACCCGGACCACCGGGATTATATATCAGGCTCCCGAGTCTGGTGGACGCGTTTGTTGCTTTGATCCTCATAATCCCCAAGGTAATCTGTTGCCCTTGTGGTTGAGACCAGTCGAGCGGGACCTCTATTTGTCCGCAATCGGCACCAGACGGCACATCATCACCACAGCTCTTCCAATCAATTTTGAAAGAAGTGCTGTTGCCCGGTGCAGTTGGGTATGCTGCAGCCACTTGGTGGGTAAGGTACAGGATACTCAATAGGTATGTCTTCGCGTTGGTCTTCATGTTGGGTGTCTTCCGGTACTTCATAACCAAGGATAGCGGCGTCGTGCTCAGAGAAGGGGGATGGGAAGAGAAAGATCGGGCAAAGAAAAGACATGAGTGGATGTTAGATATATAGAGTATTATTAACGAGTATAATCGGTTTCTATATCCACCTTCCTCTAGACGATCGGCTTCCTATATATCTGAATCTATTCCTATTAAGTAGTCTTCATTTCGTCTAACCCCGTGGTTGACCCGTGTTCGCCTTGCCTATGGGCACTGGCGCGTCAAATTGCGCATGGACATGACGTCGTTGGAGGCTCATCGTGAGACTATAATAAGAGTAGACCTAAAGAGGGTGGAATGCGAGATGTGATATTTTGATATCTCGACTCCTACGTCGCGACTTAGTTAATATCACAGGGTTCACTCTGTACGGCTCTGGAAATGCGGATCCCATTGGCCGCCTCAAGACCGTAGTAAGCATCGCGTCGACCGAAAGCGAGCTCTGAGTTAGGTACCTAAGCCTCAGCTGAATAGAAAAGCTAAGGGTCATTCTGAGCCACATTGCTATTTACTATTCACTTTGCGACTTAAATTTCCCCTAATTCTTCCGATCAAACCCCCTACCCCGTGGCTGATAGCGAGTTAAAAGACCCTAAATTTTCCCTTAATTTCTATTCTAAAGCACAGTCCTATAGCGCCCTTGCCCCATGACCTTAGTGCACTTGGGGCACAAAAATATTTCCTAAAACGGGTTGAAATGCGATCGCCAAGTTAGTGGCTCATATTTGACTTACTTTAAGAAGTAGGAGGGCTCCAATATTTGACATGGCCACACTTGTTCAATTCGATCAAGCTCTTGACCAGTGATTTTTAGCATGGCTCTTCTAGATTGCCCTCTATTCTCTCTCGGGAACATCACCCTTGTGGTGAATTTTAATCCAATACAACTCCCTGCTCACCTTGGCGAGATTTCTTATAGACGAATCTATACTCTTATACTCATCTAAGTATAGTAGTTGATATAGTTATTCGTATCTATATTGTTCAATTGGTTCAGAGGGATCGAATACTACCTAGGATGTCAATCGCCTCGTTCACAGCCGAGAACGAAAACGTGTGAGTTGCATCAACCACTATGCGGATTCGATATAGTTGCTTTTGAGAGTTGCATTGGCCAAAGATAGCATCCAGGCGATATCTCTCTAGCTTGATCGGAAATACGAGAAATGACGATCCAACTGTATGAGGTTACAGGGTTATATGCTAGCCAAGAAGAAATCATACGAAATATCATGATGGCAACTTAGCATTCAAGATTCGCATCATAGGTCAGTCTTGATTATAAGATAACTTTCCTGAGATGCATCGCATTGGATTGGTCCAAGCCGGCATCGTATGGAAACCCGAATCCCGTCGAGGCGCTCACCGTGTCACCGTCAATTAAACGAATGCGGCAGGCCATCCGGATACTGTCTGAGTTGGTAAACGGGTGGTGGCACACGTGGGTACTCGGCACCGAGCGATAATCGGCGAGAGTAATATCATGACGGCGACGCACCGGTGTCGTCCGGTGAATGAATAGTTGGTGTGTAAGACGCAAATTTCAAGGTGAGGACGGTGCTACAAAAAGCCACTTACTCATTGATGTTTTGTTTCATAAGTACCTGCTTAACAGATTGGCATCGTTACTTGAGTAACAACAGAGTGGGGGGGATCATATGGCACCATAGAAATCTCAGATTTTACTCCCAATCGGTTACGAAGCTGTCATTCTTCAAGAGATATCTTTATCGGGTCTCTTCCGTCTTTTCCTCGCTCTCTCATATGCTGTGGTCGCGGTCCGACGAATCCACTTCTATCTGTACCTGATCCATTCTACGTACGAGTAAAATCGCACCGCGTGATACGATAATGTGGAAAACCTGGTTACCGTTATACAATATCTCGACTCGGCCGTCTCGGGGGCATATTATTCTCCGTGACATGATTCTGGTCACCTTCAATGGCCCCCGATCATGTATGTTATCAGGGAGATACCGTCTTCACTGGCTTTCCCGTTTCGCTCATGCACATATCGCCTCAGAATCATGTTGGTACTTCATTGTGGCTTGTTGTTGTAAGTGGGGTACATGCTGGTGACCGTGAATCTAGAAGGAAAAACGTACGTGGTCGACGATAATGGCCGGAAGCAAGCCGATCCGGTATACAACTTCGTTAGGGGAGAGGAAGTGTGGCTGGCTGGTAGTGGGTGTATTGTTGTCGCGATGTGTGTCGCCTGCTTTCCCTATTGGAGGAATTACAAGCCTCGAAGCAAGGTGGAAGATCTGAAACGGAGACATGCTTTTTAATCATTGTTTTGCCGTAATTGCTTTTTGATAGGGAAGTCTCAGTTGCACGCAGAGTACTGCAATACGTGTCTCAGCGAGAACCATGATATGGTTAGCACGCAAGCCAGATTAGTCACGTCCCACCCGTACCCGTTCACCCGGGTGTGTGTCCCGGGTCTCTCTACCGCGATACAGAATGCCCTACGATCTCCCTCTCCGGCAACCCGGTTCGCCTTATCTCCCTATACAGATCCCGGTCTGGGTGTAATAGCGAGTTCAACACTTTTTCGTACACCACCAATCCTCCTCGCGCGACCTCGGAAGAGACATTTTCGAATAGAACCTTGAGAGGCAAGTTAAGCATAATAGGTGCAGAATTATGAGCCGCCCGCAGATAGAGCGTTCAATATTAATTCCCTTATTTGGTAACGGCGTCTGCTACTCTACAGCCGGCCCACCTGCTGCAGAATGGAGGAGCTGAAAACCGACATAGGTATGGTGACAACAACTCATCGGAAGTGTTGAGATTGAGCGCATATGAGATAGCTACCTAAAGGAAAAAATGGAAAGACTGAAAGACATCTATGCATGGACCTTGCATACTTCCATGGCCGATCACATCTGGCCTCTCACCCACCGCCACTTGTGTTCCCAGATGAGCTTAACGAACGTCGGAAACCATACCGGGGTGTTACTTCTAGCAATGCTATGGCTGCGAAGTATGTTGTATAAGGTTACCTTTGCTCCTCGTTACTATCTACCTAAGCATCTCCCAAGATAGTATTCCCAACAACAAGGCAACATGTCTGAGTCGTCGAAAAACATCAACGAAAAGTCCTCCGGGCTTGATGGCGCAACAGTCGTGGAGAGCCAACCAGTCCAACCTGATGTCGACTTTGACGAAGTCTATTCGCGTGAAGAGCAGCGGAAAATCATTCGTCGTGTGTAAGTGTTCCCCCGAAATCACCCCCGAAGCCACCCCTGAAATCACAAGGCGACGTTTCAATTCAGCCCCATAACCCCCTTCTTATACGAAAGCTGATATTTCCCAGTGACAATAGGCTGATCCCCGTACTCGGTTCCCTCTACGTCAACTCACTCATAGACCGAGTGAACATATCATCAGCAGCTATCGATGGGTTAGACGACGACCTCCAACTCCAAGTGGGCTCTCGCTACTCTATTGTAATCCTGATCTTCTTCATAACCTACACCCTTTTCCAACCCCTCGGCACCATCGTAACGAGGAAATTCGGACCGAGATGGTTTCTATCATCTCTGTGCATGACTTGGGGCGTCTGCATGATCGGGAATGGCTTCATTAAATCGTGGGAGGGTCTCGTGGGGTTGCGGGTATTGATGGGGTAGGTCTACAACAATATGCATCATTTAACTCACTAACCGTGCCATCAGTATCCTCGAGGCCGGTTATTTCCCCGGCGCGGTCTACCTTATGAGTACTTGGTACACCCGCTTCGACATGCAGAAGCGTTACGTGGCAATGTACGGCACGGGCTGCCTAGCAGGCGCCTTCGGAGGCGTCATGGCCTACAGTCTTTCACAAATGGAGGGTATTGCGGGCCTACGCGGCTGGAGGTGGATCTTCATCATCGAAGGAATCATCTCTTGCATAATCGCCCTTTCCGCATATGTATTCCTAATAGGCTTCCCTGAAGACGATGAGTGGTCGTGGAAATTCTTAAACAGAAAGGAGCGCGAGTTCATCATCCGCCGCGTCAACCGTGACAGGGGGGACGCTATTATCGAGCCCTTCTCTATGCGCGCTTTCTTTGGAGCCGCTACGGACTGGAAGATATGGGTTTATGCTTTCATGTTCTTCTGCGTTACGACCGTGGGGTATTCGATTAATTATTTTCTCCCTATTATTTTCCTTGGCATGGGTAAGCCCCTTCTCCTTTTCCTTACTTTACTTCCCTTTTATACCCTCAATCTAACTCCCCTACCCAGGATTCAACGTCGCTCTATCCCAAATCCTCGTCGTGCCACCATGGGCATTCACATTCATATTCATGTACATCCAAGCCTGGATCAGCGACCGCTACCGTCTTCGCGCCCCCATCATCGCATTCAACGCGATATTGGCCTGTATCGGACTCGCGCTCATGGCCTTCCATCCATCCCCCGGGGTCCGCTTCTTCGGTGTATTCATCGTCATAGCAGGAGGTAGTGGGAACATTCCTCCCGTACTAACTTACCAAGCCAACAATATCCGTGGGCAGTGGAAACGCGCGTTTTCCAGTGCTACACAGATCGGGGCTGGAGGAATAGGAGGAGTCGCGGGAGCGTTGGTATTTAGGAGCCAGGACTCGCCGAGGTATATCCCGGGAATTTACGCCTCGATGGCGTGCAATATTTGCGTACTGATCTGCGCCGCTGGTATGTCGGTGCATTTTTGGTACGCTAATAAGAAAGCAAGGAGGGGCTTGGTTATCTTGGAAGGATTGGAAGGGTTCACGTACACACTTTGAGCTACCTAGGTAAGAATGGGGAGCTGTCGATATCAACCTGCTGGCTGGGATGGAGTATATTACACTACTAGGACATAGGAAGTCTGCGCTGGTATATTTCACTGTTAATACACGAGTATTTAGAATTCTGAATCCATTGACGCTTAATAAAGTGAACCGTTCGATTCGTTGGGGATTGGAAATAAAGCTTTAATGATAGGCGCGTATAGTTTTCATGACCACGGTTCGACGTGTTGATCCGTCCGCTAACATTCCCTTGATCCATTTTCATGATCGCTTCTCCGTCATTCATCGGTTTACCATCCCAGTACTAGGATAGTCCCATCGCGCATCCATCAATGGGGGTGCGTCCCACCCCTTGCATTCAACTTCTTCTCGACCTTTAGTTCGATTCCCCCACACGCCCAAAGTGCATGTCTGAATAGGATGTCTCATGTCTTTAAGGACTCAGCGAGTGGCTAACTCGCGTAGGACGAAGATGAAATCTTGCTGGCAACCTTCGCCCGTATGAGTACGGCCGAGGGTGGGCGGATGAGACAACCTATAATATGCTCCCCCTATTTCCTGCAGTAAGCCTCCCAAAGCATATCACAACCTCAGAACTTATCCCCGACAGTGTTTAGGTATTCGCCACCGTTCATACATCCATTACCATATCCATCATACCAACACCGAATCCCGTTATATCACATCCCAATCAACGGCGCAATACCCCGCCTAATCTTATCCGCATCAATGAACCGTTCCATGGAGCGGAAATCATCTAACTCATGCACAATCCCAATAATGCGATCCTGCGCAGCCGGTCCCTCGGCCAGATCATACGTCAACAGTAGAATCGCCGACATAATCGGTAGCCCCATTGGCTTATACGCAAGACTGTACTCCGTAAGCATCCAAATGCGGCGACACTGTCGCAAGAGCTCTTGTTCCATTAAACCAGTGTCGTGCCTCCTCCTAAGTACCCGAAGATGCGACAGTACAAGGCGATGTACTATGACACTATACATCGCATAGTGAGCTACTAGCATAGCCGCCAACCTATCCTTAACATCGAACATCATGGGTACGAAATCGAGTTTGTTTGTCGTGGGTTTGACTTTGATGAATTTCTCGCTGTCGAGAAGATCGTCTACCTCGCAGCCGATGTGAGATAGTTCTTCGAGAACATGAAGACATTTTTCTAAGGCTACCTCGCGATCAATCGTTAAGTCTCCTTTCCGAAGTGCGGAGTTTTCGCGAACTAAGGTAGGCCAGAGAGTCATTAATCGGACGAGTCTGTAGTATATCATTTGGACATCCGACCGCCCGTTTCGCTCGTCGAGCACTACGGCCCATTTCGGGGAGGCGAGGAAACAGTCTTCATGTTCGTTGATAGCATGTTGAATCTGTAGCCTAAGTGTAAGATGAGTGTAATACAATACTAGAGAGGGGACTTACAATAGAAATGTGACTGTCTACTGTAGCTTGTATATCTAGCCTATCCCCTGATTTAGGGGGTCCTCTTTTACGGTGTAGAGCCGCTAGCCCGGCTGCGTGTACTTCGATATTTGTGTTGGGAAGAATTCCATACAAAGCCTATTTAGAGCAATAAGCAACGAAAGTTTTTTGGAAGACGTACTACTTGGTTGGACGGTAAATTGTAAGAGTAAAGTACATACCTCAATGCGATGTAGCAGAACGGTAGCGCATAAAGTGACCGCAGAAGCCCAGTTTTGAGGATCGACAAGAGCGCATCTGACATTCTGCAGTGCGGTGCTATAGAGTCGTGGGTGTATCTGCCAGTTATTGGGTCGGCCAGAGAGGATATGCTTATGGGTAACAAGCATACAGGCCGTAACCGAGTCTAATGCCTCGCTTCTACCAATATGCCGGGGGACATCACGTACAAATTCACCAATGACATTCAAACTATAAGATTTGTCATCCGCCTTTAGGGAATCGACGAGGTCGAATGCCAGCTGTTCGGCTGGAGTAAGTGGTAGTGATATGGGGCTGTTAACACGAGGGCTTTTACCCCTTCGGTTGACGTGGGGGACGACAAGGGAGGTATTGGAGCTTCCATCTTCACCGTCACTACTGGATCCAGTAGATCGTAGTTTAACCCCTTCGTCAACAACCTTGAGCGCGGATCTCGGGGGACAGGTACGATTGGAGCGTTTGCATTGTCCACATACTGGCCAATCCTCATCACACTAACACATCAATATGTACGATCTAGAAGGAGGGTGATCGTCGCTCACCTTAATCTTCCTCTTCCTACAGGTATCGCAGCGATTGCTTTTCTGCGCGCCCACCATTTTCGTGATAAGATAAAGTCGCTATGGATGTCTGAATGGAAATGGAAATGCGAGCTGGGTAAATTATCTATTGGCCAGGATGGCGGTGCCCTCTGGTTTTCACGTCAGAGTGCTCGCATTTCGACCCATTTTAGGTAAAGTGGCAATGCGCATTGCCAATCTTGGCCCCTCGTAAGCAAGATGTGAGAACGTCAAATGAGGGTGCGTATTTCAGCTCGCAAGGGTTGGTTTTAGCCTCATGCCTCGCCTTACCTAGATATATACTGAATTAGGACGAATTGCGAAAGGTTATCATGATGCGAACTTCTAGAAGTTGTGGAAGAAGCTAAGTATAAATATGAGTATGGAAGTCCATGTTGTTGCACGGAATTAGATATTCAAGCAAAATAGAATATATCAGCTTTTTCTACCCAAATCCAACCTTCCGAGTCACTTGTACATTTAAACCAACAGTTAATTCATCCAACTATACGCCGAGGTTTCGATATCAACGGCAACAATGGTTCGCGCAATGCAGTTTGTCGCGGCTCTCAGCCTTACCACTGGCATCTCAGCTAGTCAAATCGAGGTATGTTCCAACACAGCGAAATTCGCGTATGATGAGTAGCTAATCTATAACCGTAGGAACGCGACTCTTGCCCATCCGGTTTCACTCACATGGCCGGGCTCGCACTTATCGGAGGTACATTCGACGTATGCTGTCCCGGAAAATCGGTCGAGGTCGACAATGTCGCATACTGCTGTGTGGGGAATAAGGACGATAATGACAACAAGAAAAGAAAAATTTGCATTGGTAGTTCGGACAACTGTGATGTCGAAGACAGCAAGACGGCTACCTGTGTGACGGCAGTACCCGCAACAGCTAACGACTTTTCGAATCGGGTATCGCAGGCTACGGCGACTATGACGGGTCAGATCCTCCCGACTGACAATGCGGCCCCCGCGATGATCACTGCTGCGCCGTGGGCTCCTTGGGTAGCCGTGGCCGGTGGTGCGATGGCAAACGCTGCTCTATTTGTATAAGATGCGACTACTTAGAAATGTGTTATGAACTGTGGTAATTAGTTGGACGGCTTGACTGTATGTCTGTACATATATACATGTTCGCGTTGTATAATGGATTGTAGACGACGTTTCAATTTAATGGCTGTAGACTTGGGGGCTTCTAGTTTCGAGTTGGATCAATTCTGTTATTTCAAATTAGGTAGCATATCAACTGTTAATCCTTTCGCAAATATTCAACACCAATCTATGCGGTGTCTCGTCCGAAAAAAGAGCGTCATAGTAGAAAATGCAGCATGCTGAGAGATGAAGGGGTTGAAAAGGAAAGGAATGAGGGAAGAAGAATTAAATGGAGGGGCATTTGAATTACTTATGCTGCTTATGTAAGCAAATAGCTGGGCTTATTATGTAAGTCAACTATATAAGCTCACTGTGGGGTCTATTACGTAAATGTGTCCGTCTCTTATGTAAGCCCCGTCTTTGGTCTCAATACCCATATACGAGAAGGAACTTATCCGCTAGATGAATGCTTTTATAGATGCATGTCCCACCTAATTGTTGACAGCTTTGGGTATTTTCCTTCGTCACCTACATCACGAACCTCAATGCGCCGACAACAACCATGGCTATAAATGCGTCGGCACATCACTACTCGACCGAGCCAGACATTCGGCTTGAGGACTATCTAGACGACAAGCTCCAGTCCACCACCGACCTCGAAAGCCTCGATAGCTTACTAGCAAGCGTCGAAGTCCAACGTAACCAGCTCCAGACGCAACTCGACGATGCCACCAAAGAGCTCGAAGATGCTCGACGCGCCGCCCAAGATCGACAAGGAGGGCTTACATGGTCGATCGAAGAGTTCCACAAGCTACAAGAAAGCATTGACATGCGTTTGAAGATAGTTGCCGAGTCTAACGCACCCGATGAAGCAATACGACGTCTCGAACAACCTATGAAGCAGCTGCATAAAGTCGAACTTGCCTACCAATATGTGTCGCTGTTGCAAGATGTTGAGAACCTACGATTGGAAGCCCGATCTCACCTACCCCAGAGCCCGAAAGCAGCATTACAACCTTACTCGACACTCAAGAAGCTAGGTGTACGGTTAAGAGAGCTACAAGCTAGAGCAGACGAGGCGGCTACGCATTTAGTGGATTATGTCGAAAAGGTGACAGAAGATCTATGGAATGAGATGAAAGACACTATGTCCAAAGAGCTGGAAAATATTCTACAGAAGCGCAATTGGCCACAGGGAGTTGATACGGGCGCCGAAATGGACGATGAGTGGCTGCAATGCTTCGAGAAGTTGATCGATCTCCAAGTACCCGAGGTTCTCCTATCCGAGAAGGTCGTGACATTGCTGCCTTTCGAAGTCATGGCAAAACCCTTCGTCCAGTGGTTTCGATTCCAATTTATGAGCAACAACGCGACCAGCGGTCCTCAGTCATTTGGGACATTTTGCATCCCCCAATTTCTATCGCTCGTTGATAAATGGGAAAGCTTCTTTAGAGAAAACGTAGGCTATGTACTAGCATCTCGATTCCACGAAACAAAAGTACGGGATTTATCGGCGTACATGGATCCGGCCTGTGCCCTCGTCACAGCGTTGTTACCCGTGATGAGCGAGAAGATTAATACTATGGTCCAGCATGGGCTAAAGAATCCGCAATTTTTCAGCAGCCTCATGGTTCAACTTATGGATCTTGATGACGAGATTCGCTCTAGATTCGATTATGACGGCGGTGACTCGGATCAGGGCTGGGCTGGATTAACATCTCAAGTACTGGAGAAACATTTTGAAGATTGGTTCAAGGCGGAAAAAGACTTTGCTCTTGAGCGTTACCACGCCATTACGAATTCACTCGACGCTCGCAACATTGACTACGACTACAGCGGCAACGGTAAAATGAAGCCCACCTTCGGTGCAGTGAGAGTAACGGATTTACTGAAATCCGTCACGTCCCAATATGAGCGAGTTCGGAGATTCTCCCATAAACTCCGATTCCTTATTGATATCCAACTTGAAATCTTGGATGATTATCACGATCGCTTTAAAGATTCTTTAGATACTTATTACACGATTACTTCTACTCTGGGCCGCACTCTTCACGGTTTGACCAAGGAACAAGCTGTGGCTCTAGAAGGAACAGGCGCGTTTGAGACTCTATGCAAGGTATTGGGTAGTTCCGATCATATTATTGCCACATTGAAGGATTGGAGTAATGAAGAGGTAAGGCTCGAGAAACTAGCCATTTGTCAAAAACCACTGCTAATTGTACGCAGTTCTTCGTTAGCTTGTGGGAGCAACTTCAGACAAGGGCTAGACGAACCAACGGTGATGGTAATATCGCTAGCGGGATGAGTTATGAGGATGTTAAAGACAAGACCTCGGCTGATGTTGGTTCCGACGGCGATGGTGGCATTTTGTTTGACGAGACGATCGCGGCGTATACTCGCCGTCGCAAGACTGCCGAAGAATATCTGGTCACAGCCTTGGTTGATTCGCACCAAAAAGCATTTCGCCCATACATCGCAAAGGCTCAATGGGTCACTATTAGCGATAACACACATGGTAAGCTTCACCCAACCGAATCCACTCTCACCTTCGCAGACTTCTAACATCATATAGTTGAAACCTCCCAACTTTCGGTGACTCCCGAATTGGATGAACCTTTAACGGTAATTTCCATTTTCAAATCCCATTATTTCAACCATTGTTGACGTAGATATATAGATACTCAAGCGAAACCTCGCTTTCCTCGCTACCACTCTAAGTACTGCAGTTTATCGCCGAGTATGGCGCGAATCGCTTGAAAAGCTGCAAGATATGCTTTGGACGAATGTACTCTTGACGCAGAGTTTTACAACACTCGGAGCGGCCCAATTTGCAAGAGATTTAGAAGCTATCGGTTCCCTCATAGACCGAAACATTCCGGATGGTTCAATAGCACTGGGCACATTACAGGACGGCATACAACTACTAAACTTGCCACTAGAAGCCGAGAATGGAGGAGTAACTCTCCAACAAGCAAGCGACCGTGTATTCACAGATAACGCCGAAGCCAAGAAACTGTTAGCAGAGCTAGGGTTGGAATCGCTTACCCCGGTTGTTGCTCGAAAGATTCTACAGAGGCGAGTCGAAAATAGTGAATAAAAATCTTCGAATTTTTGCCTACCCTACAATAGGCACCTAAATCTATTGCAATTTGCGCCAACCCACATTTGATGTGTTGAATTGCTCCTCGATCTATCAACCACAATAGTCCTATCCCCATAGTCCCCCTATTTGATCTCAAGCATCTTTGGTTGAAACCCAACAACGCCTTTATATCTTCCGTATATCATCACCCATTCGTATTTACTTTCCCACCCTCATCCATAAACCCTTCACTTTTCCCCTTAACTAATAGCACGCATCGTAGCCTCAACAACAGCAAACGTCCCCGCACTAACCGGCATAGCCCTCAAAAGCGTCGGACCAATACCCTTCCAAAAGCCCCTAGCACCCTCCGCCCTCCAGACCTGTCCAAAGCAATCCCGCATGCTTTTATATTTAGTCTGCGCCCCGAAACCATCCGTCTGCATCTTACTCTTCACAACATCAAACGGGTAACTAGCTAACCATAACGCTTCACCCGCGAGTCCACCGTATAACGCTACTTTGTACGCGGGGACCTCGGCGCGGGAACGGAGCTTGTTACGTGATACATCGGCGTTCATGAGATACTCGAAAGCGAGGAACCATGCGCCGTAGGCGGTCGCTTCGCGGATTATGGTTACGGCTTCCCCGCGGTAGAGGCCGCGGAGTATACTTCCGTTATGTGCGGCGCCAAGTTTTCGCACGCAGTCTAGGGGGCCCGTGTACAAACGATTGGCACCGTGGGGTTGTGCTTGTAGACGGATACGCACGTGCTCGATCGGTCCTGAGATCACGGAGTTCGCGACGCCGGCGAAGGCGCCTGCTGCGTAGTATTGGCCATAGGATAGGTCCTTGCTCCGGGAGGAAGAGGACAGGTTTGCGTTTTCGAAATACCGCCGTGCGAAACCGAAGGCGCCGAATTGGATTGATACGCACGCGCCTATCCCTAGGAGGGGCGTTAGGGTGCCTTTGTAGAATGCTAGGGGTCCTTCTTTGGCGTAGATTGTGGTTGCGGCGTCGAGGGCGGATGTATATGCTGTGCTTGTTTGGAGGCGGACTTTGACTATGTCGAAGGGTTGGCCTGGGTGTGTTAGTAATATATTTGGTGGGATGTTGAAGCTGTAGCTCAAGCTTGGTCTCTCATTATTACGGGTGAGTGACTTTTCACTCATCAAACATAAATATTTCTACTGTCGCACTGAGAATCAAAAATGAATAGATATCTCCTTACCTATCAAAACCTGCGCGATTCCTCCAGCAGCTCCAGCAAACAAATCCTTGGCCGTATCAAGAGCACCACCTTTGGCGTCGAGATCCTGGGCTGCGTCGCCCATCCTGCCCCGCGCAATTCAATCGGCCCCAAAAAGTGATCGGATCTCGTATGAGCTTAACAGTATGCAATTCTCAGGCCGATAATTCCAATTGATATTTTGAATTAGGTCACTCTGAAGGATTTTGATTTAGTATGAGATACTACCTCATGTATGTGATGAGATGTATGTTCGTGGATAAAATTGGCCGATATAGGAGATTGACCAACGGTGAAGAATTTAAGATATATTACCTGAAGTTACCTATCGATACCCGGTATAGGTATCCTTATCAGCGAGTCAGTAACCCAAGCCACTGGCGTATGGAGTTCCTTATCAATGGTGGAACCTGCTGTACGAACAGCCTGAGATGAGCTGAGATTAGGGGTCCTTGAATCGTGCTGTACCTGAAAAATGACGCGATGCACCAGATACTTAGATACATAGGTACGTAGTTACATTTACTTCGATGCCGACGTATTATGTAATCATACATATCATGTTACACTCCACGTATTTATAAAATTGATACATCTATTTAGGTCCAATAATTGTCTCTTCCCAATTACTACAACAAAGAACAGATCACTAAGTACAATATATATTCTGCGCGTAAATGACAACTTAACAAAGAGAAATATGCGAGCCCATATTTATATCAGCGGTTGTTTCACATTTCAATATATACCAATTCATCCCTAGCTTCTTAACTTGCGTGTATGCAGTTTCCAAGGCATTTACACGATATTGGCTTCATCAACTGTCAGCATGGGGGCCTTCCTTTTAGGCGGACTGGACAATGGGAATTGCATCTTGGGCTGAAGGGTGAAGTTATTTAATTTTGCTGGCCTATTTCAACCCTTAACCATCCATCACTCATGAAGATAGATTTCCACTCAACAATCTACATCGAACGTTACTCTCATTTCCCTCTACGCTTAGTACTTGAAATTATTCGTGCTTTTCACCTCTGCAATTGGCGTACGTCAATTAAGCCAAGGTTACTCGCCCACATAGGTTCATAATCCGTAGGGCGGTTTACATTATGGAATTTTTCGTTAACGGCGCTTCTCGACGTAACGGCCAGTCTGGTACCATCGGGGCCGCTGCCGCTGTCCTGAAGGATTTGGATTCCCCTTTTTCTTCTTCTTTTTCTTCTTGGGTCACATCAGAACCTCTAGACGATAGCATATACCCCGCTACTCACCAACGAGCTGAACTTCAGGCCATCATCATAGCACTCAAATGGGCATTGCAAAAATACAATGTGCTCCCTCCACGTCCTAACATGGAAGTTACAATTTGGTCCGACTCAAAATACGCTATCTCGTGTGTTTCGGAATGGGTCCATGGCTGGGTTCGCAGTGGTTGGAAAACCGCAAAAGGAAACGACGTCGTCAACCGTGATCTTATCGAGGAAGCCGACAACCTAGAAAGCCAGGCAAAGCACTTCGGCGACGTCACATACCTCTATATATCAAGACAGCATAACGAGAAGGCCGCCACAGCCTGTACTCTGTTGCTTAGCAGAATAGCAGCCGGAATGATATACCATGTGTCTGAACAGGATGATACCCCGGGCCAAGACGCCGTATCGAGCGGAACGACCAACCATGGAGTCGAACCTGAAGTTTAGCGACCCGCTTACAATTTTAAAATAGTCTTTTTACATGGGGAAATAATATGCCACGGCATTTTATTAGATAATGACAACAAAAATAGCGCTCACATGCTAAGTACCTAGGTATATGGAAACATCTGATATTAGAAGAGTCCATGGTGTGCCAAGCAACAATATCAATGAGATTTATTCCCCACTACCGATATGTAATTCATAATCATACATGCTTAGACATTTATTGTTCTATCGTCTATATAAAGGCCGAAGACGTGACTACACCATCATCGATACCAAAGAGACCAATGCTGCTAAATAGACGGAGACCCACAAATACTCAACTACACCAGCACCCCCCCCCTGGGAAGGGGACGGTGACGCCGTAGGTTCTGGAAGCATCGTAGACCCCGTCAAAGTCGTCGGCGTCGAACTTGTATCTGCAGAGCTAGTTGCCGTCGCACCAGCACTACTACTACTTTCCGTCCACGTAGCCGTCGCAGAACTAGAGGTAGACGTCCCGGCTTCACCTAGTTTCGACTTAACCCACTCCGCCGCAGCGCCGGAGTATCTATCGAAGTAATTTAAGTGGTCTTGGACGTTATACGCCCGCTTCCCGTTGCCTTGCGCGCAGATAGGATCGTCTACTTGACACCAATCCCGCAATACACTAGCGAAGTTACGAACGCCTGTGAGAAGTGGAAGAGGCCTTGGGAATATGCCGTTGATGCCTGCGCCGCCTAGCGTGTTGTACGGTTGGTGGGCGGTATGCCGGACATCGCCGAATAGGAGCGCGGCGGCAACTACATTAAGTTAATTAGTCGGAAATTCACTTACACCTCGACGCACATCGCGTATGATAAAGTGAAGATGGTAATTGCGACTCACTCTTATTCCCCGGTGCAGTCTTCGGATCCAAACCACCCGCCGTCGGCGTCGTGCATCCCTGAAAGAACACTCCTCCTCCTCCACCTAGTATATCGCCCAACACATGCGCGCCCTGCGAGTATCCGCTAACTACAAGCTTCGTGTTGGGGCATTTCTTATTGTAAGCAGTTATCTGCGCGATTCCTGCCTCGCGCCCTGCCTCCACGGCGACGCAGTAATTGGTTTCTAAAGCATCGTCAAAGACAACGTCCTCGTAGTCGCAGCTATTGAGTCCGGAACATATCGCTTGCACGAGCTTGCCTTGTCGGCCTGGGTATTGCTCGTTGTTGCCGCGCGAGAGGAAGATGTGTACGTCTGTGCATGTGTTTAATCCCGTCTCTTGCGCTGTACTGAACGCCAAGAGATGAATGGCGGCTGACAGGAACGCCGCACGATTGAGATCCGATAGCGCGAACATCACAGCTCTAGGCGTCGGGCATCAATCAGTGACTGGAAACTGACACCGACTAGATTGAAGTCCTGCTGCAAGAGTAAAAACATTTTCGATCGCGTAAACAGGAAATCTACTCTTTTTTAGGCAATTAACACCAAGATCTGCCAACGAACGACCGATGATACGTGAGTGGATCTATGATAACGGAATAGGTTACATCGAGCTCTGCGCAAACCATTAACATCCTGTATCCGATATATTAGCTCTTAAGATCTGGGTCTTTATTTGATCTCATATCTCGTCCGAAAATGGGAGGTTCTTGTCCTACTTCCACTTTGGGAAATATGTGTCTGGATAGGTAGCAAACTAGCGGTTCGTGGATGCTTAGGAGATGATATATATGGTGCATCACTGTAGCTCTCGCACTTAAACATGTCGCATTATAAAAACCGTGAAGCCTCAGGTAACAGACGATTTATAGATAGCCGCGTAATAAACATGCGCGTTCATTTAAGTAAGCAGGTTTCGCATTCTCAGATTTCACTCACCGAGCGGAAAGCATACCTTTTACTTTACAACCGTATGTAAATGAAGCCCGAGGGGACTAGGTAATGAAGTAAGATCTCATTGAATAATTCGTCCAGTGAGCTTTTGGCAGTTATTTTCGGTCTCGCTCCATCAATTCGGCCATCATACCAATGCAATCTAGCGTATGTTGATGTTCTACCTCCTGATATTGGTTTTGAGGAACCAGTCGTTTAGGTAACGCCGTAAGCGCCTAGTTCCTCGACAGGTGTAACAATACTGAGGCATTTTCGACGCTATGAAATGAGTCGAACCGAGTGGAATCAGTATCCGGCCCATCCGTTAGTAGAAATGCCTAGATCCCAATATCGCAATCATTCCGAGCATGACTGCGCTCGCGTCGGACATTCGCGTCGCAAAAACCAAAATTGCTCAAGTCGTAGGTGACTAGGCTGCCAAGTGTAGTGCCATTAAGATTAATACTCTATCTCTTTCTCTTCTTCTGTCTGCTTTTTTTTGTCTTGATCAGATGTTGTCTATGATCTCTATGCCCAATTGTTTCCCTGTATCAGTCTATGCCTTGCCCTGTTGTCCAGTAATCCCGTGCCCTAAAATCAATTGCCCTAAACCGTACGTTACGTATCGCATGAAGCCCGCTTAACCGTTAAAACAAAGATACCAAGGTAAGGTAAGGTAAGGTAGAAGGTTAGGTTAGCCATCGCATCGATTACCCTTCAACATCGTGGAACCATTTGTGATCGAGGGCTTCCGTGGCCGTAGCCCGCCTCCTGGGATCGAAGTTGGTCATCTTCTTGATGAGATCCTTGAAATCCGGATCGAGCGCATCGCTCTTCCAGAGCGAAAACGGCCGCCGGGGGTTCTCCGCACCGCCAAAGGAATCGGCCATGCGACGTAGTTCAGGGACCCAGGGATGCCGTCGACCTAAATAGTCGACGAAGGATTCGAAATCATCCCACTCGGCAAAAGTCGATATTTGCCGTTCCAAAATGACTTTTGTGAGATCGACGCCTGGCGCGCTGTCAATCCGGAAGATGACCATTTTGAGACGCATGAATATGAACTGTGGCGGTCCTAGCGTTTAGTAATTGAGAGAATGGGATGAGTAAGGGAACATGAGAATGAGAAGACTCACCACTAGCGCCAAGGAGAAAATGTCCGATGGCTTACCCACTGCGCCTTGGACGTGCGCTTCCGGACTGCGCCAAAATTGATTGCCGACTTGAAGTCCGCGAAGAGCCTGTCCAGGCGGAATATGAGTAGAATCTTCAAGATCAGATAATTGAACCCGGTCTACTGTTAATCCCTCTGGACCTTCGCGATAGTCAATCATGATATTGTTGGCTTTGATGTCTGTAAAAAATGCAGCGTAACATTAGAAACTAAAGTCCGAGCTTTAAGTCCGAATGTCAGGTTAATCTCACCTAAATGAGCGATGTTCTGGTCGTGCAACGCAGCAAGCCCTCGCAGCGTGTCCCGCAGTACGCGCTTCTGCACCGATAGCGGTAGGTCCTTAAAGGCGAAGTTGAGGAGGTGGTCCGTCATGTATTCGTTAACGAACATCTTTTGATCAGGGACGGTGTCCCGAAGCGCCCGTAAGTAAGGCGAGTGATTAAACCTCAGTTGCAGAGGAAGCGCATAGTTGTACTCATTCTCAAAGAGACTCTTCAAAACAAACATTTTCTCGTTTGCTCTATCAAGGTGTTAAGTCCGAACGAAACCCCCACACGATGGTCGCCCCCCTCTTCTTCAGAAAAAAAGAAGAGAGCGAGGGAGAGAAACGCGATCCACCGGAATTTTTCTTACCTAGCGAGGTAGACCTGACGGTCTTGTCTGTCCTGCAGAACATTTTCGATCGTGTACTCGCGACCAGAGTAACCTTTCAAAATAACACCAGGTTCAAATTGTTGACCCGCGAAATGCGGAATTGTACTGGCTTTGCGAATGTTACGTCCGAGGCGAGTTCCGGCGGTGCTGTGAGATGATGTAGTGGATAAATGGGCGCGGCCCAGCTTAGATAGGGGTTGTTTGAGCGCGGTTAGAGCAGCCGAAGAAACGGCGCTGCCGCGCATGGTATCTCTAATAAAAAGGAAAGAATAAAAAATAGAATAGAAAAATAAAATAATAGTAAATAAAAAAGGGGGGCGATGGGACGATGATGAAATATCGATAGAGGTATGGATGGGATTTTCACAAAGAGGAAGATGTGCTACTATATTCCTCTCTCCGTGTCAGTTCTTGTCACTTTTTATTGTTTGCTTATTGTCGGTGTAAAAGTCAAAAATGCCTGGAAAAATGTCGCAAACTCGTAAAGTCGCAAAGAGCTGAAGACGACTCACCGAGTTTGTTGAAACGCCACGCCCAGGCCTATTATGCCCACGCCCGCGCCCACGCCCAGGTGTCCAACCAGCTAGCTAATAAGGAATAATAAATAAATCAAGGACCCCTGAGACCTTGACAATTTGCATAAATTTGCACAAATTGGGTCGTAAAGCGCACCGGTCATCCACCAAGTGGCTCACGTGGCGAAATATCCTTCTAATATTTGGATAGGATTGGTCAGTTGATCCATACCGATACGTACTGTACTCTTCGATGTATATATGGGTTCTTTATGTAGGGTGACGTCTTACAGTGTTTTCTCGTGATTCGCACGTAGCCCTCACGATTGCTTCTTTATGCGGGTTACGATATATGAAACCCGTCCAGGTTCTGTGTTTGAGATTCGATGTATGACGAGGAAGGAAGCTTTTGTTGATTAATTAATTAAAATAGATATTATTATGAACAATAGAGTATATTGTCAATGAGACTTCTGGTTGCAACAAAGATAATTGAATTGACTGGAATGTGAAAAGTCGAGCTGCATATGCCATACCACCCACCCTTTATATCCCACTACCGGACGGGCTTTATTTAAATCTCTTGGCTTTGACTTGGCCTCAAGTTAGACACTACCGCCGGTCTTCCACTAATTCGCCCTAGCAAGGGTAGCTTCAATAGACCTGTCTAGAAGTAAGGGTCCTTGGGATCAACATTATGCTCTGGATATCACTGACACTATTCAAGTTTGCTTTATTCCTTCCCATCAGCTCCCATCAAAGCTTAATGACATATTAAATAATCTAATCCAATTTAGCTTATGATAAATATGAAGCTTGTTTATGATGGCATGTGCACGGATTCATAATGTCAATGTCTCACCTCATCCGTTCCCAACTTGTAAGCTCAGGTACTACAAACTGGTAATTTAATTGTACCGTCGCATTGACCTAGAAATTTAAGAATTGGCCAAGAAATGAACTCCGGGGTAACAAAACAAACACCGTTACATCTTCCATTGTTACTCACCAGGGTCCTAGTAATTCAAGAACCGAAATCGCAGTGACATCGTAAATACCCACGAAAATGGATGCATCAAAGATCGACAATACTTCATTTCTATCTAGCTAGGTCCAGTATTCGAGCCACTAAGCCACCAAAGCCCAAGTGCTTCAAATCATGACAAAAGAAAGTACCCTCAAAATCCATCCGAACCCGAACCAACCAACACTCCATCGCACCGGCTACCTACTAGGTACCTAGGTAGGTATCCGTCCCATTCCATCAAATAACATGATCAAGATCGTATAATCCTACATCTACCCCCCAAATCGCACGCCAAGGAATGAGGCGTTCAGCCGTGGCGTCGTCCCCCACCTAATTCCCCTCCTGCACTACCCGCGGCATCTCCTGGAGCACCTCGCGCTCGTGGAATACAACACCCTCATCAGTGCGCTTATGGGTACCAGTAGGCAGCACAGTGACGGTAGTAGTAGTCACCTTCGGCTTTCCACCGTGGTGCGGGTGGCCAGTTGGGTGCGGCTTCTTAGAATGAGAGTGGTGGTGTCCAGTGGGATGCGCATTCCCATCTCGCTTCTCAGGACGCTGGGGCCCACCAGTCGGCTTCGCATGCTCACTGGTCTTCCTTGAGTGGTGATGGCCCTCATGATGTCCAGTAGGGTGCGCATGTCCGCTACCCGGTACGCCAGTTGGCTTCCGGTGCGGGGGAGTATGGTGGGGATGGTGGTGGTGAGTTGTAGTAGGGTGCTTCGCGTCATCGCGAACTATGTGAGGAGCCTGGGAACTGGTGGTAGGAGCGGTGGGAGTAGGGATGTGAGGTGGCTTCTTCGTGTGGTGTGGGTGGTGTGGGTGGTGCGGCCTGTGTCGCCCCTCACGACCGGTAGGATAAGCACTGCCGTCACGCACATCCTCAATGGTGTCGTCTCTTTTCCAAGGGCCCCGGGGCTCGCCAGGGCGGTGTGGGTGCCCGGTGGGACGAGGGTGGCCACCGCTAGGGTGATAGTGAGGGAAACCGCCGGTCGGAGGCGGGTGGTGATGCGGAAATCCGCTGCGCGTGATGGTCTTGATGGTCGTGTGGGCCTGTTGCCCATTTTCGAATGGAACCGCGAAGCTGCCCTGGATAGAGGCAGCAGCGGCTAGTACGGCGATGAATGAACGCATGGTTGCTGTGTATGTGCGTTGTCTTGAGTTCTGCGGATAATTGTAAACTGCAAAAAATGTGGTTTATATCGACTGTCCAGCTGGAGTCGTTACGCTTAATGTAGCAGTGGTTGCTGTTGTGTTTCTGTTGATGAGGAGGAAGTTCGGAATCAGAATGGTACTGAAATCAACATCCTTATATGCATCTCGACTCTGCACTGAACTTGTATCTGACAGCATGTAATATTGCTGCTTTATCTCCACTCTGACTCTGTTTGCAGGCCCTGATTCCACGTTGACATCAAGGTCGTGGTGATCACCTTGAGCTCGAGTACTCCAGTCGACATAAGGTGTGTTGCACAGGGCACGACAGCGTTCACCAAAGTACAACAATGACGCGACAATCGGCTACCGAGCCGCTGGATTGGCAAAGATAGCTATTCCGTCGTTGCTGCCAACATCCTATCAATCACTTAATGTGCCTCAATGAAGTTGTCTATCATTGATAGTCGATCGGGTCCAACGAATCCATGTGCCTTAGAATGCAAACGACGGTACCTTAGGCGAGTCAACTCGTTCCTCTAGATCGTCTATTCCCCAGTTAAATCCGCAAATATGTCATATCGACATTGAGAATGGAATCAGCATTATTGAAGAACCTTGCTGAAATTCGATATATTCAATTCTTATGTGCGGAGGATTTGGTAGTCCCCCCTGCACGGGTCCACTGGGATTTGGCGATCCAGATCCAATCTTCAATCAACAGGGGCAAAAGAACACCGTTCGCAACAATTTGACAGTTAGCCAGTTGATTTGGCCTTTACATCGCTTTCCATGGCGGTGGTACATGGCACATCGTGTAATACAGCAGCGTATCAAGGTATTGTTAACAAAATCGCGCCTGCACAACCAATGAAATAGGGGCGTGTCTGCGATGCCCGTCAACTGTCGCAACATACACTGTATATGATTATTTCGCCTGAATTCGACAGTTTACAATATCCACTTACTATTTAAAGCTCAAAGCTTCAATGTCGACTTTCTGTTTTAGTACACATCTGACTACTCACTTCCTAATTAGCTCGTATCCCAGTGGCCATCCATATTATGTACACCCGCTGATCTTGAACTCCCTGGTATATTATGTGTTCCTAGATATGTTTAGAAGCATTGCGGTCGAAATTCAGAGATAGCGCACGCTCTCAATAGGGAAAGGAGGCGAAAGAATAGGGAGTCTCGCACACGTGGTAATACCCATCACACCAAGACACGACAAATGACCTCCACGTGGCTACACCTAGGTATGTTAAGCGACATAACAAACTACCCGCGGAAAACCGCCGCGAAAGCTTCATGATAATTCCGAAACAACAAAACATTTACACAGTAGCAGCAGTACACGACCTCGCGGCATGTGTATGTCGTGATGCACGGCGGAGGGAACCACATTGTCACACAATCACGTCAGCCGCTTACGAGAATCGCATTTATTGACACTTAGGGCAGAAGATTAGATGCAGATGGTATTGTGGTCACTAAAAATTGTACCTGCATGTAAGCCGCATTCAGTCCGAGCTCTCGTCCACTCTATACGATGGTCGAATAAATGAAAAGCTTATAAGAGTTCAGTAAGGAATCATGTTGCGCCCTCGAACAGAGTTAGATCCTACTTTGGCTGAGATGTTCGTTGATTGCGTGCACGATTCGTAGCACATGTACTTAGGTAGAGCTTCGCGTGTTTTTGGAGTACAGAACAGCTACCTAGAAGCAGGTACGGAGTTCATGTAACGAACAAATAATCTTAACCAATCTTCTATGGACTTATTGACTATGCACCTTCACCCTAGTCTCCCGCAAATATGAGATGGTACTTAGTCAGATTCTTAAACAGAAGTGCCGTGCCGTACGGAGCGAGATGCTAGTCGATGGATTTCACACCTGTACGTAGAACAATCCTTTCAATTCATCCAATAACATCAACAATCCCAGTCTGGCCTCTCTCAGTTTCTGGGAGTACCCGTCATAGGTGCGTTCGAGTATGGCGAAACCTGAAGACGAACCAAAGGTCGTGAAGATGTCGACAAGTCGCCAGCAATGTTCGGACTACCCAGGTAAGCGAATGCCGTTGGGTATTCAAGTTGCGAAACTACTTTCTCACTTTTCAGTGGAATATTGATTTGATTTATTGATGACGTTATCTTTTCAGTTTGGCAAACATATAATGGGATTTGAACTCGCCGATCCTCTGACGCCGTAAGGTCTGACTGTGATTGAGTACCAACTTTAGCGACGTTTTGCTGTGGTAAACACCTAGGAGCATCAATGTAAGTGAACATTAAAAAAGTACAAATGTTTTTTTCATCATTTCGCCACTTTATCGCGCTACGATTGACATGCTTTCTCATTGCCGTTGGTGGATCTACCTCTTATGAGCTACAGGGCCTCGATACTAACATCGCGGCACAGCGAACACCCCCGGTCTACTCTACAATTAGTGATAAACAGCATCGGTGACGAGATGCGATACATCATTGACGAATCCATTTCTGGGGTGTTCGAATATCTATTTTTAATCATGTTTGATGGCATCGGGAACAAAAAGGTGAGTCTGTATTACATAATCGTACAAATAGGGGGTTTAATAGGGGTTCACAACCACCTCATATAAACCACATGTTCTTAAGAACACAATAATTCTCTCAACTGCTGGTAGCGGATCGATAGCTCCGCATTCTCACATGGACCGGCATACCGTCTTTCGGATGCACCGTACTATTTCCAATCCCATAAAGACGTTTGCCATTCACAAGGTGCGTAGGTGTGGCCTTGGGACCTCTGCAAAGACTTGGGTTAGCAATCAAGGTTTTTACCGCTCTTAAAGGAGCTTGATGGTCATCTAGGGCACGTACTGTATCTTGTCCCATTCTTCCCACGCTTCCCTAATATCGAAAGTCCGTGCTATCACAACACAGACTAGTCTGAGTTCAATCATGGCTAACTCCATTCCGACACAGTTTCTCGGACCTAGTGAGAACGGGAGCCAGGTGTCCTTATTATCAACATGAAGTGGATCGCCTTCGACAGCTACCCAGCGTTCTGGCAGGAACTCGTCCGGTCGGGGCCAGTAGTCAGAGCGGCGCATGATCCCAGGGGCAGACACTATTACGAACAAAGTTAGCAAATGAGTTCATAATACAAGAGACCAGTATGTTTCGGTGCATCGTGAATTAAAAGGGCTTCAATTGCGCCGAGAAAGTATTTTCGGTACGTACCCCAAGCCCCGAATCCATTCAGGGGATACTTGATCGGAGACCCTGGAGCGGTAATAGTGAAACCTGGAATGCTCATGCTATCGCGTATTGTGGCTGCAAGAGGGTTCAACCTCAATGTCTCCTTGACCACGCCTAACGTGTACGGAAGTGAGTAGAGAAGATGCGGCGAGGCCGACAGAATATCTACTGCTTTATCCGGATCGGAGCCAAGCACCGAGTCGTGTTCAGCTTGAAGCCTAGCCAAGCTCTCCGGGTGATCCTGCAACAACTTCACCATGAAGCAAATAGTTGATGATGTCGTGTCATGGCCGGCGAATATAAACGCCTTCACGTTTGCTATGAGCCTGTCAATAAATTCGGTATCGGGCTTCTCCGGTGACGCATTCGGATCGTCCTTGTCGATGTACTTCAAAGCAAGGTCGACGATGGTCTTTTTCTGGCTAGCATTGATATCTGAATGCATTTTGTTCTCTATGTGTGGTAGTAGGATTTCGCGTAACTCTTGGTTGTTTCGTCTGATAGCCGCGTGATCCCAAGGCATCTTCCCCAACGAGAAAGCTCTTGCGCTATTAACTATCAGATTCATCATCTCAATCTGCTTCATGAGAACAGTCTTGAAAGGACTAGGGGATGAACGCGATTGCTCGTGGAGTCGCAAATCCCTATTCCATGTTAGCATACCGGACTTTATAACCCGAAGCCATCGATATCGACGTACAATGATGCTCTGACGATGACGTCAAAGGTCAAGTTGGTGGTCCTATTTTCAAGCTGGAAGACCGAACCCCACTCTCCATTCTTACCAGCCAAGTTCTTGAGCCCATCAGCAAACACCTGAACCTCTTCGATGAGCTCTGGGAGCATGGCTGTCAGATTTCGCGAGCTGAAGCCGGGGTTGAACCTCGACCGCCATCTCTTCCACAGGTCCCCACCTTTCGCAGAGACAATATCGAGGCCATTCGTCAGCGGCTTCATAAACTCGAAATTAACATGATCCTTGGGAAGGCTCTTGGCCTGTATGAACTGAGCCGCGGCGGTTTGATCGTAGACTATCGCTAGAGACTTTGCAACAGGCCAGAGGTCGACATAGACTACCGGAGGTAACCTATCCTGGTCCGGGAAATATTTCTTCGAATTTGTCGCAAGCCAATTGTGGAATTGATATGCATTGATATCCGGAGGATGAACGGCACGAAAGTCTGCGAAGATAGGTAGATGGCCATATAATAGAGAATGCGGTAGCACCGGCTTTGTTATATTAGTCTTGTATCGCCTGACGGTCTGTTTGACTTACGATTCCCTGGGCTTTCAAAGACCCTACTCTTCCACGCTCGATATAGCCTTTATACAAAATGCGCACCACCAAGACAGCGATGAGGGCCCCGAGACTTCGTAGTAGAAGAGGTTGCACCGCGTCGGTGGTCGCTAAGCTCCGGAGCTCCATTATATGTAGAGCGATCGCTTAGGAATAAGATAGAATCAAAGTAATGTAAAGTCTATTCATCAATGGATTAAACGCCAATACACGTTAACTTCCCCCGGGGCTGTTAGCAATCTAATGGCCTATATAATATCCACCGTTGAGATAGCGAAGAGGACGATATTCAGCACCGGGCGTCGGGAGACATCTCTATCCCGATGCGCCCCGATTGTGCCCGAAGACGTCTACTCCGCCTCAAAAGCTAAGTAAATATGGCCGAATAGAGATTGTTCCCTCGTTGGCCCGCGTAGGTAGTTCACCTATCAATTAGCGATTAGAAGTACTTAGGTATACCTAAGGAAGCGATTGATACGAAGAATTGCTTAACCATGAAGGTGGTTTGAAAAATCTCACGAGAGCGAATCGAATCTGATACGGGAGGGCATGCCGACGAATTTACCAGAGTAGGGAACAAGAGAATACGACGTAGCTAATAGAGTAGCTCCGGTATCAAATCGCTACGGTGATTTCCTGCGACGTGCCTTGTTCGAGGCCCTCTAAAAATTCCTCAACCCCTGTTTGAGCTAACGAATATGATGATATGCTGCGGTGTGCTAGTCAGCAATTGGGTAAGTGGTCGATTTCCCTGTTTAGCGTCACGGAAGTACAATCCGACTGGAATAAGCTTGAATCCACTTAAAACGAGCTATGAGTTATTCTTAGCATGTTGAATCATCACAGCTCTCACGTGGCCCGGGCATAATTACTATTTTCTTTTCCTCATCCACGCGAAATCGTATATATGAGTCACGCATCGGTTACTCGAAATGGGGAAGCTGTTACTTCGGGTCGTCAAAAGTCACTTCGTTCCGAGAAACTGGCCCGTTCCTGATTGACTCGGCTTCACATCAAGAAGTAGAAGTTGTCGCGCAAATATCTCGCATTGAAAATAGTTCTAACATAGTACACCATATCTTGTCTCCCTACTACTTCGTTACCTGCTGACCCCCGGGGATCTCGGTTAGCCCTAGGCCGTCGTTAGTCTTCTAGAGTCATAGATCTCGAAGTGCCTTAAGAACTCACAAGAGTCGATGTCCTCCTTCACGGTTCTATCAATCTTGCACTTGTTCTGGTTGGCAATGGATTGGGTCGTCAAAGTCGGGCAGGTCACATAACAAGGGGTGTCCATCGTCCTCTGCAGAGCGTCGCCCTTCCAGCCGAATAGATAGTCGCCATGGCTACCATATCCAGTTCTATAATCATGTGTTAGGGATATTATACAGAAAGTGCCCCACGGTTTGGGAACTTACTGGTCACCCATACTCCAGACAAACGGCTGAGTGCCATCCTCCGGCCAGTCGTCGGGGTTGTTGAACTCACGGGTGTCCCATACAACCTCATACATGAGTTGAGGGACGGGAACCTGCACGGGCAAATATTAATCAGAGACCTTAAAGTCTAGGGCGATTGAATTTCTGAACGGGGAGACTGCGATAGGAGTGCGGCCTTTGATACGTACGGGATGAGTCTCAGGGCAGGCACCTTGCGATTCGAAAGTACCGTTAGCCGGATACGACATGTGGCTCATGTGGTCCGGACTGTCGAGGTTTTTGCCGTCCCAGCATCTATGCTTCGTTAGATGACCGCTCGATAGGCTCGGCGATAGTTCTGTGTGGTCGACTCACGTTGGGAATCGGATGTTTGCCATAATACCAGCCGGGCATGGCTTGTTGGGGAGATTCTTTGTCTCGGGGTATCGAGTGCCCATGTCTTGCAGGCAAGTGTAGGTGACCTGTCTATACTTCTCGGCCTGTTCGGCATTTCGGGCCATTACATCCCCAATAAGCATTCGGAACCCCTGGATTAGTCAGCTCTGTCGGTTATACGCTCGTGAGTGCTTGAGTCCTTACAGGCTTGAAGGCTGTGACTTTAGACCGCTGCTGGTAGTCACCTAAACCGTTCTGCATGTAGTAAACGGTCATGCCACCGTCGGCTCCATCGAAGCCGGCGTTGGGTCGGATGGGGACACGCTTGAAGGTACCATTCCGAGCCTTGTAGAAGAGTACGGCGGTCCAGTAGTTGGAGGTGTCCTCCGTAAACTGACAACTAGTGCAAGTCGACTCGTCAGGCATGTTCTTGGCAGGATCCATCGTTACGTTCAACGAGTTCTGTGTTAATTAGCATGGTATTGCGCCATTCCATCTCTGAGGAGTTTGGCTTACCCCACCAATGATCTGGTGAAGATGGGGAGATGGCACCATTCCGGGGTTGACCAGGGGGTCAATCCGATCGATGACGAGCTGAGAGCATGAGAAACGAATAAGCGCGCTTGTAGGCGCGGCTAATGCCAGCGCGACGAGAGAGGTCAGCTGCATCTTTGTCCTTGGCTTCAAGTCAACTATGCGGCGATCGTCCTAAGAATGGGGATAGGGGTACAGGTAAAGGCCGCAGGCCGATGATTGCGGCGGGTGTAGTGTTTTTATTCATTTTGGTACCAGGGTCTTATCTGGTTCGCAATTTGATTTAATCACAATAATAGAACAATAGGGTCTTCCATGCATTGTCGATCCCATGAGGCTTAGTCTTCGGTTGCGTTGGAGTTCTTGCTCGCGACAAACGCAGACCAGACCTGGTTCAACACTACTTCGTTGCGGATATCAACCAGTCTAAGGCATCGTCGATATCACATACAACTGCCGGCGTATGAAGACCCTGACCTGCAATATATTTTTTTTGAACTCGCCTGGGTCAACATTAACCATGGTGGGGTCTGCTCGATTATAGCCTGCGAGCATCCCCGTGGGGTTGAAAAAGCCGGTCCAATCAACCGACTGCTATATCCGTCTTCTTTCTGTGCCAGTGGAGCATTGGTTACCAACAATATATGATAAGCTCTTGATGTCAGTGTAATATATCGTGTGCTAAATAGGGACGTAAAGGTCATCGTAGTATTTCGCGGTGAAGAGCTACTTAGGTAGGTACTTATATACTGGTATCCGAGTATTTTGTGACATCATAACCTCGGCTCGGAGATAAATGCTTGATATATCTCGGAGTTTATGTATAAGTTTTTCAGCCCGCTCCTTAATACAACACAGTATCTTGTAAATTTTAGTTGAGGAAGTGCTTCAATTCCTGGCTTCGAGACTCATTTCCGCTGTCGGTGCTTTTCATGGATCTCCCTCGGTCAGCGAGAACGCCGAATCAAGCGGCAAGCTACTATAACGACCGACTTGTTTCCTATGGTGATACGCACGCATATCATCCACATACAGGGAACCGTCCCTCCTAACGCGAAGAGTCAAGCGAGCATCAAGATCCGACCCAAGTCCTTCTAGTTGATACCCACGGCTCCTTTCCTCCTCTACGATATGAGAGCAGCACCCAGCAACGAGCCCAATCAAAACCACCAGACCCCATCGATAACACCAGTTCCATAATTTCATCGAGTGTAGGGGGAGGGGGTTCGCAATTCGCCCAAACACCAACTGCATGAGCAGTGCCTCTTAAATAAGACAGTGTGTATACTATCCATGTGATCCCGTTATGCTTAAGATATGGTAGCGCCATTCCCGTGTCGCGTTTCCTCATCAAGACAATATGGACGAAATTTCTTGGAGGAAGATCAGTGAGAACCGGCCTACTGGGTTCTAATATCTCTGTGGGATCTTGACGACGTCTGGCGGCCATCTCTTCTTCTTCCCGCCGTCGCTCACGCCGTTCTAATCGTTCCAATCGTCTCCATCGCTCTGCTTCCTCCCGATTTTTCCAGTCCTGCCATTCTCTGTGCCAACCCTGCGAAACTTCGTTGGTTTGACGTATTCCGTCCGCCTGTGTTCCAACTTTCGGAGCTCGTTCTTCGGCTACACCCCGAAGCGATGGAGGCTTGGATCGGGTTCGCGCCGCCGACTTATTAGAACATAATAGTTCTAAACGTGATTTGCGGGCCGGCTTCTTTAGAAGTTTGCATTTATCGCATTGGCTGGCGTGTAATAGCCATTTGGACTCGCATTTTTCGCATGGGGTGTCTGAATTTTCGCATTGATCGCAGGAAACAGTACCAACCGAGCAGACAGTTGAGTCAGAGCCCATCTCTTCCGAGCCAAAAATATCTTCGTACAATGCATCCATCGTCGTGTAATCAGGAATAAAGCGAGTCACTTCAACGATAATCCGGATGCGAATAGAAGGGCAGGAAGACATGTACCAGTGGGTGTTTTTAAAGACACAATATGTCATCGATTTAGTCCGTGTCCCTTCCAGCCTTCAATATCTTAATAGAAGCACAATAGTACGAACTTACGCATTGAATAGTCTTTCGCTACGCCACGACGAAAGCCAAAGTCAAGTCTGGAGTTACGTAGAACTGCCACGTCCTACGTCTATTGAGTCTGGCGCGCTTTACGAGATGTTGGCTTGAATGGATGCAATATAGAGGGGATTTTGATGTGTGTTATATCGAGTAAGTAGCCTTAAACTACAAAATCGACCAAGAATGCAATAATAACGACTGGTCTATATCACGCGCTTCGCGCATTTCTTCAATTACCTAGCTTTTACTTGTGTAGTCTCTCGACATCATATTATCACTTCAACGGAAAACAACCATAATAGGTACAGCGACGCGAGGGCCCATAGAACGAACAAGGGGTTCAATTAGACCCATAACAACTAATTTAACATATCTGCTACGCCGCTGTCCATTACTATATATAGTAATGGGTCTAATTGTATGCATACCTAAGTATCTTGAATTAATTGACAAAATTCGTCATCACGTCACAACTGAGTAATATATGTTAGCGAAGGCAGCTGGTGGGATGAAGCCGGCAATAGGTATGTTATGATGGAGGAACTCCCAAAAGATGTGTTTTCATAGCATTCTCCATATGTAGAAACTTACTTGGCTACCTGACATAGATGAATAAATAATCACACCATCCCTGATTGGCGTATAGTCGGCTCCTTCAACCTTCCTCATCGCGAATCATTCAACCAGGGTACGAAACACAACGTCATCTAGATTATCAGTAATCGGCCCCCAAACATCTAGGATCTCACACCGAGGTTATATGAAAATCTAGACTACGCCACGTGTGGAATCTGACTGGTCGTGCTACCTTGTTACCCTTGTCGTTCAGTCCTTATAGACAATATGGCCTTATATTTGACTACCAGCGCTAGCCCTCCCCACACGATTCTTGCGGCTTGTTCTTTACACGGATAATACAGCTTGGCGATTCATATAGCTTCTATTTAGTCGCCAAAGCTTTACCTCCGAATATGACATCCCTTAGCCCCGTAGACGGTGCTGCGATATACCTTCTCTATGGCTTCGTCTCTCTGGTAAGAGGTCTCCGATCTCTTTTCCTTAGAAAGAAAAATATGCTGACCCACCATCCAAGGTGACCCTTATTCTAGGCTACCGGTTGTTCCTACATCCTTTGAGGAACTACCCAGGACCTCTGCTCGCCAAGATAACGAACTGTTATACTGGACTATTTGCATTCAAGCGAGATCTTCACCTAGAAATATGGCGTAATCACCAGAATTATGGTTAGTCGGGGCATGCTCGTCTCAGATTTGACAGACAGTTGACTCGCGACAGGCCCTGTGGTCCGCGTTGCCCCTGATAGAATCGCCTTTAACTCCGCCACCGCTTTGCGAGGTATGCTTTAGCCTCTAGCGACACTTGTGTGACAGGAATCACTGATTGATGAGAAGATATATACCAAAATGACAGAGTCACCAAGCCACCTCTTTATCTCATCACTCAAGCTAAGCCGGGCGTCCATAATACATGGAACGCGTTGGACAGGGACTTGCACCGGCGCAAGCGCAAGGTTGTTGCGCGCGCCGTCACAGATGCTTCTATGCGCGCCTTTGAGCCCGACATGATTGAGCAGGTTGACATTTTCATCCAACAATTAGCCCGCGGTCACCGACAACCAATCAATATGAAGGAGAAATGTAGCTATCTGAGCTTCGAGATTGCCGCGCTTCTCTCATTTGGGTACGCTTTGAACCTACAGACAAATGAAGAGAACCAGTTCCTTATCGAGCAACTCAATCGGACGAACCATCGCATGAATATCTACATGCAAATGCCCATTATCCACCGTTATAAGCTCCAGGTTTACATCAATATGTTATTCAAAAAGGAGCGCGAGAGAACTTCACGTTTGATAGAGAGGATGGTTCGCACTCGTATGAAGCAAGACAAACACGCAAAGCGCGACGTGTATTCCTTCCTCGCAGATTCTCTTGACACGAAAGAAGATGGAGGCATACGTCTCAGTGACCTTTGGTATGAAGCGTTATTCTTCATCATAGCAGGTTAGTGGACGGATCCCTTTTAGGGAACTTTATACCCCTATTCAGGCATTAACATGTGGATAGGAGGTGATACGAGCGCCACAGCTATGTCCGCGACCTTCTTTTATCTCTCCCGTAACCCAAAGTCATACCAAAAGCTAGCAGCAGAAATCAGGACTACGTTTCAGAGCGCGGACGAAATTCGTGGCAGTAAACTTGCAGGTTGTCATTACCTAAGGGCGTGTATCGACGAATCTTTACGGATGTCCCCACCAGCACCTGGTACACTCTGGAGGCACTTGGCGCCGGAGGAAGATGGTAAACTCTTCGTAGTCGACGGTAATGTCATTCCTAAGGGTACGAAAGTCGGTGTTAACACCTATTCGTTACATCACAATGAAGTCAGTACACACCTGATATTTCTTAGCGCACAACTCCTTTAATCGTTACTAACAAGTAAAGCAGGAGTATTTCAAAGACCCTTTCGCGTATAACCCAGACCGCTGGATAGATGCGGGGGAATCAGAGAGGAAAGCGATGTACGATGCTTTTTGTCCCTTTTCGGTGGGCTCTCGTGGTTGCGCCGGAAAGGCAACAGCCTATCTCGAGCTTAGTCTAGCTGTCGCTAAGGCTCTATGGTATTTCGACTTCGAAACCGCGCCCGGAAAGCTCGGTGACATTGGACTAGGCCAGAGGGGCGAATTCCGTCTATACGATATCTTTACGTCAAGCCATGATGGGCCGTTCCTGGTTTTTAAACCCCGAGACACATTCACGGCAGATTTCGGTACGGATTCGGTTTAAGCTGGAGGGTTTGGAAGTCCGGGGTTACTTCATATGGCGAATATTCAAAGATAAATTACACAAGTATTGCGAGGGATAGTAAGCAGGAATTTTGGGGAATTTGTCTTCAATTCAGCTTGGTATATACGTATATGCTGGACCCTCCTGTATAAATAACCCCCAAAATATCTAAACTTTTTCTAGACCAAACAAAACAAAACCACCATTAGAATTCCAATACCAACGCCTATGCCATGCGAGTAATTCTACAATATTGAGCCAAAATCATTGACGGTCGTGTCGCGCCTTAAGACGATGATGGAAGTGTGCAGCCGCAGAACCTAATCGACACGGTTAGATCAAGATCCAAATAGGCAGATAACATTCATAGAGAACTCACTTTCCGTTGCTCTTTTGCGAGCACTGAACACCCAGACCTACTTGAGCGCAGAATGTGTCCTTGCAGTCGGAAACAGTCTCACACGGAGTGGGCTGGAATTGGTTGGGGCTACCGGTCGGGAACGGGAAGCCACCGGTTGGAAGAGGGTAGCCGGAGCCGGTTCCGGTGACTGTTACGAAGGTCTTGGGAAGGTCTCGCGGAGGTTGGTGGTGGTAGTGAGGGTAACCGCCTGTCGGGGCGGGTTGGCCTGTGGGTGTGGGGTACGATGTGTGCGAGTGGTGAGGGTAACCGCTGGGAAGATGGTATTCACCAGCGTGGTTCGGCGGGAAGACGGGAGGGCCGTTGTCTCGTCCTATTAGGAATTCTCGTTAGATTTGCGTGGAATGGTCTGAGTGTTAGTTGGCTAGGCTACGTACGTATTTGAGGAACGTTGTATGGTAGCTCGGCCTGGACGCCTGTCAAGCAAAAGCTGACGAAAATGGAAACCAGAGATAGAGAAGCCTTCATTTTGAATGTTGTAGTCGGTAGTACTCTAGATATTGATTCTGGTGTTGGCGTTGTTGTATTGTGGCCTGCTTTGATGTTCGTTGATAGTGGTTTTGGTGTTGATCTATGTTGATTTGATTAGACCACTCTCGAGGAAGATGGATGATCTATATATAATAGAATTCAGTCTGGAGTGACCGAAGCCAGGCCACGGAGCCGCTTCTTTACATCGCCGCTGCGCCATCGGTAATAGCTTCTGTGTAGAAACATGATACAATAACGTAGAACATTGGTGGCTGTAGTTTGCACAGTCAACAACGTGCTGTTGAAGGATCATCTGAGGATTACCGCCCCCCTGTCATAATCCATCCGAACCCGCAGATCGTTCCCGCAGCAGGGTAGCGAGCTTTCATAAGCAACACCGAAGATAGAAATGCCCAGCCGTTTCGTAGGGTTCTTGTGCCTAATTAGTGCTGATATTCATTGCGCTGTCATGTTAGAACAAATTCCTCAGCTTAGTTGGATTTCACGATGCAGCATTTGGGACTATTGAAAGTGCAACAAATATGCAATTCCCGAGTTCACTCGGAGCACAACGAGAGAGTGCTGTATGGATCTATTCCATAGGATTAAACAGAATCTGGGCGGCCCATCTATGTTGCTAGAATAGAATAACTCGGCACTTGTGACGCGTCGTCATTCCGTAAGAGGCATTACTGAGCCGCACTTGGCCAGGCTCAAGGACTATCATCAAGCCACAAATGCTCAGCCCGATAGAGTACGAATATGTACTACGTAGCCACACAATCTATCGTCAACATTTTATCTACAAAGTAGATTTTTCTTGCGATTCCAACATTTCCTACCTAGGAAGGTAATGGTGCATCAAGCTCTAACGCCTCGATGTTTATCAATCCCCAGACCGGCACGTGCTAACAGGGCTCCCTCTCCTAATATAGAAATCATAGATGTCTCGAATTTGATAAGTACTGCGATAGGACAATCGGCGTCATCGGGATGAAAAGGACTACATGTAGGATTTAAAGATGGAAAAGCTACCCTGGTACTACCCCTGAGGCTACTTTGTCCCCTGTATCCTGAAAAGGCCCCCACACGGAAAACTCCATTACCCTTTCCACTTTATTGTGCACAGACCGCGTGGTATTCTTAACTACTTAGCCAATCAGACGATTTGAATACTATTAACGTGGGGGAAGAGAAGGTACACTTGTATCTTGTTTCTATCTTTAAACTCTTTAAAGATTCAACAGCAATGGAACTACCTATGTACCTTAAGACTATACTCTACCTACCTAGGTATGATTCTTTAATACGTTACCTTCTATTCCAAACTCAAATGTTTAAAAACTGGCTTTAAATCGTAGATTCTAATTGAGAGTTAAGATGTCAATTCATGCCACCTATATAACTCAAACATAAGTATCAAGTACTTCTCAGATGTCTATCTGGATACCTGGGTCTATTAACAATGTGGTACCTAATGAACCATCAAGTAATCTGTAAGCTGAGTTGAATACACATTCAATATAAGCAACCCTGAGTTACTAATGAACTAAACAAATTATTCATCCTATCATCTCTAATCCGCATCATAACCCTCAAGAATCCTGCCAATTATTTCCCTTCGCAGCGCAAAATTACATGATGGATCTTTTCTGGAAACGTAAACATACTAAACACTACACTGACTAGGTATGTACATGCTTATGTGGAAATCCAAGCCTTCCTTTGACGCCGGTGAGTCCTTGAGATCGACATCAGCGATCGGCACGAGGCTGCTGACGGGTACCCACGAAAAAAAACCACAAATATTTTCCTCATTGCCCGAGCTCCGACACAAGGACTTTTGCTTTTGTGGCTTGGATTTGGTATCACAAATATGGCATTCAAAACCGAACTCCGCTCCAGATTCCCCTTGCGCAGCTCGGAGTCAGAAAAACAAAACTAGATTTCCAAGAAATATTACGCTGTCTTCTGAGACATAACAAAAAACAAGAACACCTGAAACTCCATACAATTATCTGTGTATCACAATATTATCTGCCTAGGTAGTTACAATTCTTTTCTCTTTCCCTCCATTCAACATTATCCATTTCCCTGGGTTGGCGCGCTATAAAAGATAGCATTGACCCAAGTCGCGATAGTGGCATCATCCTCACCCTCGTACACCCTCGTAATTCCTTCCTCAGCCTGTGCTAGCAACTGCTCAACAGTCGGGCGGTCGCCTGGTCGGTGATACATGCACTCATATATCATCGTCCTAAAGTCTTTGTCGATGTACTTAAAAAAACCCCCATCCTCCATGATGAACGGGCAGTAGGATACCTTTACATCAGGGTTCGTCGTATCGACTTTGTCATCGAGACTTCCAGGACCGCCTTGATATTCCCTATACGATTCTATAACGTCATCAAGAGTGATATTCGGATTGTTTGGTAGAGCATCAGGCGACACGCCAGACCCCAGCGGTATCTGAGGTTGGGGCGGTTTAGGTGTCTCCAATTGAGTTATTATACGCCACATCACCAACGCCATGCCCCAAACATTCATGGGCGAGCCATAATTCCCTATTACGTCCTGCTCAGACACTTCAGGTCCAGACCTAACTGGGGGTATCTTATCCCACTCTGCTGCAAATTGCTCCTGTGGGTAGGTAGTTAGCAAGGTATGAAATTCTTTGAGTTTGGGACTGAACGTACAGGCGCGAGGAAGTCGGCTTTACCTATTTTTCTTCGACGGAAGTAGTATTCGCTATATTTCTATTAGCAAGTTTGCCCTTCAAAAAGAATTAGTGAGGACGCCACATACTTTCGTTTCTGTCTTTCGACATTTTTCGCCAACCCAAAGTCCGCAAGCTATTAGCCAATTAGCCATTGTTCCCTCTAAAGACAGATATATTTAACGACATACCTTGAATATAGGGACGCTGCTGTGTTCACCTGGTGCCCTATCGTCTCCTACCTCGTCGTATTTTCGCTTGAGCTTTCTCCACTTTGGTCCTGAGGACGCACCTTGGCTTTGGGGTTTACTACCCTTGTCTTTCTTGTCCTTGCCACCTTTATCATCCTTCTCATCTTGAGACGTGATGTGGAAGCCCTCTAGTATCTCCTCTAACTCTGGGGGCCGCTGCTCGAGGTTTCCGATGAAGACTGGAAATATGTTAGTTAATCATACGTGACCCCCAGATACTACCCAGATAACTACTTACTGTTACTAGGATCAATGTCAAAATGGACTATATTCTTCGCTCGCCATCTCTTCTCAGGCGGTGGAATTGTCTCAATTAGACTTTCCGGGCCGGCTGCGAACTGATTCCCTCGAGAGCGGTCTGGGTGGAATTTTCGAGGCGGGTATTTCAAAGCCACGCAAGCCCGAACCACTACACATACTTAGTAAAAGGGCATATAAGGTGCGGTTCTTCGAACTTACAGCAGAGCCAAATTTGCCAGAGAATCCTATTTGGTACCCAAATAGGATACCCCTTCTTTTGAAATCTCTTCATCTTTTCGATTAGATCCTGTACGGTACCACCTTCAAGATACTCGAGAAGTAGATAATCCTTTCTATTCTCATCATGCGGGCGGTTTATCCATTCATTTAGACGTTCGTGCCATCTTCTTAACCTTTCTTGTTTTTCAGCCTGTTGCATGAGCCGTCGCGGATTTCTTGCAAGTCGAGTTGGCCCTGTTATACTTTCATCTCCGCTGGATACTGAATCGTCAGAAGAGTCGTCGCCCCTTGGCTTCCTCACATATTGTGATAGCTCTGGCCCCTCAACTTCCTCTGGAAATAAAAGTTGGACGCAATGTGCCGACCCTCGTACTTTCTAATGTTATTGCTCCCGTTAGTACTGTTCATTCATTAGCTATTAGATTTGGAGTTTTGATTTGCCTTTTGCATACGGGCTTCGTCACGAAGATCCTCGTCCACCCAAGAACCAACCGATACTTTAATTACAAAATCCCGAGCCGGTCGGTGCGTTTGATGGTTGCCTTCGTATTTGTAATGTAGCGCCATCCCCACTGTTAGTATATAAGGTCAGCAGTAGCCCAATGAACGCAAACTCATAACAACAAAAGAGATAGCAGCCTACTTACGACCTCCGAATCCTAGCACCTTCTGATACTTCATTTGGGGCGTATCGAAATATTCTCTGGCCTCCTTCAACGTATCCTGCATTTTGCCGATCCTAGGGTCTTTACTTCGCAATGCGGATTCCAGCTTTTTTACTACATCCCCCCGTTTATTTCCATATGTTCTGTGCATATTCCACTGGACCCTTGGCAAAGCATATATAAGGGGATGACCTGATGTGGGCACCCATGCATTCCCCCATACCACCTGGGCGGCCTTTTTTTCTTCGCTATTCCAAAATGGGCTGTGGCCTGCTCTGCGATACAGATCAAACTGGAAGGCTGCCAATTGGCATTCTTCCATGTAGGTCATTCCAGACATGATGGTTGGTGTAAATCTAAATGTAAGACTCGATAAATGCTGCTTTTACTTAGACAAATATAGTTAACGAAAATACCAACTAATATTAATTATAATACCTACATACCTACTCAAGTAGGTCGGCTACGGGGGATTAATTATAGTATGGATAAGTTTGATTCTTACGACAAAGACGCCAAAAGGCGCAAGGAGCTTTTCCTCACAGGATTATTATCTAGGTCTCCCAAGGTTCTTCATGAAGCCGACAATCGCATCTACCTGTACTATACGAGGACAAAGGTATAAATCTCCGAGAATCAACTCAATGATCAGTTTCCAAGGAGTCTGTTATGGTTGTTAGCTACAATGGACTTGTTCCCAAGTGTGTTGTCTAGTAGTGGGAGGAAGTCTTGCGTGTGAGTACCTTCTTTATGCATTACCATTAAGGATCAGTAACCAGAAACTCGGAACCGCAAAAACGATTAATTCTCATATGAATACTAGGTACACTTCATTCGCAATACGGTCCCATGAAGAACCTCAAGCTGCATCGTGGCGTCATTCCCATAGTTGCGTAGCGGGTGATGGTCTACGACTCTTTGCTATATTCTGATTGGACAGTAAATGACAAGATCCCCCAGAAATAGCCCTGGAGAACTATCCAAGACGTCACTCCCCACTGAATTGTACTTGTGGGGTACCTAGAATGCCCCTGCTATCTCCTGTTCGGGAAGTGTGTTTGGTAGCTGACCCTGGTCGACATAATTATGACATCACGAACCATCATCGCCGCCATCATCCTCTTATAGTCTTTATCCACCAGACTTTGATATTTTATTACATTTTTTCGCACAATTCTTCATCTTCAGCACCCCAAATAATCATATATCAATACAATTTTTATTCAAAAGCTTAGAAGCATCAACAATTACAAGAAGACATCTGCAAGCAACCTCAATATCGAATCACTCACCATAAACGAAACAACATGATGTCGTTCCTCACAGAAACTGCTGCTCGCCGCTTGGCTATCACATCCACCAGAGTCGCTGTGGTTCCAGTCCCGCGACACTTCAGCACAAGCATCGCCGCCCAGAAGACAGTCACAGAGAGCGCCAAGGACACATTAAAAAGCGTAGATCGCAAGGTCTCGGACAAGTTGGTCGACGGTATCAATGCTGGTGGTAAGTAATCTAGACTTTTACCCCACACCAATACTATTTTCTTTGCCTTGGTTAGAGAAACACTTGACTAACTAGCCTATTCTTGCAGCAAACATTGCCTCGAAAGTCAAGGGCGAAGTCGACACAGGCAAGGTAAAAGGCTCGGCCGAGGAAATTCGTGGTCAAGCGAAGGGTAAAGCAGAAGAATTGAAGGGCGAAGCAAGAGGTGCAGCCCAAGAGGCCGAGGGGAAGGTCAAAGGAAACCTATAAGAGCTTGTGTCAACTATAATGAAGGTCATGAGGTATATTGGGATGCATTGGTACTGGTCTGTACGGTATCGAGGTTAGGTTCGACCTCAACAAAATGATATATTAAGCATTTCTATTTTGATGAAAGACCGCCTTCAGACCCCATTGTGTTCTGACGTCAAGACAGGAGCTCCCCAACCAAGCCCCTATATCTTTGGTGCTGTGCGCCTCAGTGCGACCGGCGGCATTCCACAGGGGAGCATTGTAAATGTAGTGACTTTAGCGCTGCAGTTTGTGGTAAGCTAGTTGTAATTACAGTGAGGTATAGCGCATGCTACCCATGAGTATAGGGGGTTTTTATTGCTTCAACGCCATGTTTTTAGTAATATTTTCACCGCGGGGGTTATTCGCCAAAATACACTGTAACTACAGCGGACATATAATGGGAAATAGCGCTGTTGTGCCCTATATTTATAGCACATTCTTCTCTCTAAACGTCGGTCCGTTAACATCCTGCAGCCATTCTTTGAGAATAGAATTGACTTCTTGGGGCTTCTCTACCAGAGCAAAATGCCCTGCATCCAACTCTTTGCGCGTCAACTGCGACACATGATTTTCCATACCAGTTGCAAGACCCTTTGTAAGAACTAGATCACGAGTGGCAAAGACGAAAAGACATGGTACATCTATAGTCTTTTTTTCCAATCTTTTAAGATTTAGCTACGAATGGAGACATGGTTCCTAGGATTAACTCACTTTAGATCATCTTCATAATTGACCCGGCGATTGCGATACCAGTTGACTACGACCTGATTGTTAGCATAAGACGCTATAAGCACACCACCCATGTACTTACACCCACTATGAAGCCCTTTTCGAGAAAACTCCTTACCATAGTAATCGAGAACCTATTAAATAATTAATTTGTGCCTTCACTATAGATATAAGTGAGTTGAAGGGAACTATACCTCTCCATTCAAGAGTCGACTCTCTCCAACGAGAGGCAGTTTCGCAAGGTCGATACCCTTGGTTGGATCGAAGATGCGCTTCTGTTCTTGAGTAACTCCACCATACATTGCACTCAAGACAGATCGAATGTCATTATCAGACTTAACGACCGCTTCCACATCAGGTCCAGAGAATTGCAGTTGATAGCCAAGTTGTGGAGCAGGGCCATCGACGAGGGTCTGGTGTGAAATGAACTGTTCCGTTGGAGGGAAGAATGGAGTGCAGACCGTGAAAACGTGCGAGACAAGCTTGGGATGCCAAAGGCATGTCCGATGGACAATTGCACCACCCCTTTAACCCGCCGATTAGTGAAGTGTATATGTGATCGGTTCAGTGTACTATACCAATCATGTCCACCAAGTATGATACTCTTACATCCAAGCTGTCTTGCTAACTCGGCAATGTCATCTGAGGCTCTCTTGTACCCGTAAAATTCGAGGGGCGCCGGAGCGTCCTATCAAACGCTGTGTCAACTGTCGTGTAGCAGCTTTAGGGTAGTGAAGAATCCGCCTACCGTTCCCCCAAGTCCCATAATGTCAGGGGCAACGACCCTATAGTCATTCGCTACCAGCATAGGTATCTGGTATCGCCATCCCATGGAGACATCAGGCCATCCATGAATCTGCCACATTCAAAGTCCACATTAGCTAAATATTTCCTGAATTAAATATTAGCTGTGGAGTGACCTACCAGAAATACTGTCTGAGTATATTTCCCACCTACGGGCAAACTCAATAGATAATGATACCTGCAGCCATTGAGTTCTGCGTAGTGATGTGTAACGCGCTCGTCATTATTTGGACGAATTGGTGGGTGATCGAAGGAGGCCATCATCTTAGAGATGCTTGTAGTATGAACATACAATTAACTAATTTAGAAGCAGCAGGTCTATAATAACAAAGTATAGCCACATTCTATTTGTTCAAATAGTCCGTATATATTTGATAATTCGGCGTAGAATAGAAAAAAAGGAAGATTACTTTAGACAGAATGAAATTAAGCCGAGGTGCTTTATTTGATCATCATTATTGGAAATGTACCCCGCTAAGATAACCCGCTGGAAGGGTGTGTGTCCAATTTTATACAAGGGTGCATGGTAAATACAGGGCATTCCGCTAGCGTTCCAACTCGCTATAAACCCACTACTGTCACAATAAAACCACCTACTGTAGGGCAGCTAGTAAGTGACACGCAATTTAATCGATTCATCTATTGTGGGAAGGTAGAGCGGTAAACATGCGCTACGGTTCCCTATATCTAAAGCGACATCTAGTGCTAAACTCCCTGTATTTCTAGTGTATCATAGTCTAAAAGAAACCGGTGTGTTTCCCCAGTTTACCAACTCAACGCTATGAGGAACCCATTCTATCTATGTCCTTTCTATATCTATGCCTGAGGTCTGTACAATATGTTCTCCCGTCAATGCTAGCTCCTCTATAGAAAATTCCTCCTTTTTCCCTTAACTTTGTCCTTTAACAAAACGACTCCTTTTTCGAAGTGCACCACCATACCTAAAGAGGAGGTAAGGAATTGGTAACATCACCAAAGAAAGAAATGCGAACACACTAGCCGCCCAATTTACACCAAGATTTTGAAACATTTGGATAGTAAATAGCGGGAACACCGCACCAAGGGTATATCGAAGAATACCGTTCGCAGCCAAAGCTAAGGTTGATTGGGATATCAGCCTCCTGAGAAAACCAAGCGAGTGGAATTGGGACTAACCTGATGCGGCGGCTTGGGAGCCATAGAAGTCTACTAAGTATGAAATGATTGAAAGCTATCGTCGCCGTTAGTTGTTGATATCTGAGATTAATCCGTTATAGAAACCTACGAAGAGAGAGAACGCCCCAGTTCCAAAAGGGATGCCGGCAGCTACTAAGGCAGCCCAATTTCCGCCTTCATGCGCTTCCCATGCATACCTAGACGATAATTAGTCCACGCCTATATCAATCGGAGCTCGTCTCCTTCGTAAAATAGGAACTTACCAAAATAAACCAGCTGGAAGTAAGACGCTACCAATGCACGCAGCGTATAATCGATGTTCGGGTGCCATTTTGCCATCTGGACTAGCTCTGCGTGCGCGGTCACATATCGTATGATCAATCGCCACGAAAATTAATATACCCAAAATGTAGCCGATGATAACGCTAATAAAAGACAACCCGACCCCCCGTGTATTAAACCCATAAAAGCGCTGAAGGGTGTAAGAAGCACTGCCGAAGTAGCTGAATATCATTGCATAGGCGAAAGCGGCATAAATAGAAAGCGATGATGCGACAATCTCCGTGAATAGCATCTTCGTCGGGCGCAGCGCGGCAGTTATGATTATCCTTCGTAAATTCTGCCAGCTAGTCTTGTTGTCGCTCCCCTTCTCATGTCGTAAAATCCAGACTTTTGATGTTTCTTTCATCAGCATACATCCAACCCAGATCGGCGCGCCCACGATAAGAAGTAGATACTGTGTCCAGCGCCAGTCGTTGCCTCTATCTTGAAGGATGTAGGCTGCGGCGAGAGGACCAAGTGTTGGTCCCAGAAACGGACTAAGAATGTAGAACATCGATATATCCGTTGCCCCAGTCTTTTCAAACAGCCAGATATCCGAGAGCGATCCCGCGCCAGTGGCAACTCCCGCCGACCCAAGAGTTCCAGCAAAGAAACGACATATAACAAGTGCAGAAAAACTTTTCGCTGCTGACGCCCCGCCTATGAATATCAGAAGACAAGTACTGGTGACGACGTATATCCATTTCCTCCCGAACACTTCAGAGAAGGGTGCGATGAACAATGGGCCTAACGCAATACCAAGTGTGTAAAGTGTCAAGGGTAGGAGGGATACAGTCCGAGATACGTTGAACTCTTCCATGATCATATTCGTCGCAGGAACAGTAACGGAGGTTGAGAAGGTGCTGCCATCGTCAGCACTTATATTTAAGGTCGTTGTCACATAGATCCCTTACATCTCAAACGCGAGGAGACCAGGAACGATAGTGTGAAATAGCCGCGCAGGCATGCTCCAATTCCTTGGATTTCTGCGTTCTCTGGGGTCATCGTAAGATATCGGCACCGTTTCCTGTACTTCGAGAGACTCGAGATCCGATGGATCCAACTTCTTTCCTCCCGATTCAGCATCATTCTGAGTACGGGAGTTAGCGGTAGTGATCGGTGATATATTCTGCGGGCTCATCGTGAATGTAACAGTGAAGCAAGGAATACTCCAGAGATCAGCTGTAAAGATTGAAGAGCTATCATAATAGACATATCCAAGAGAGACAGTAAGTGCTGGTCTACCTAGTATAACCCCTACCGCCCTGGTAGTACAAGCACCCCTTCCCGGGTAAAGAATTTTCTCTCATTCCATGATAGAACCTTTGGATTTGAAATGCAATTTTCCGATTAGACTAGTTTCATGCTTTATCGCGTCGAATAGACACACGAAGCGTAAATCACATAATTTTCGGTTGTAACCATTCCATGTTGATTAATCAACAAGCCGAGGTTAATAATAACATAGTGGGGATACTCATCGAAATGGATGTTGGTGGTCATGGTATTGGATACATACCTAGATAGTATAGGAGTCAATTTGTCGTCCGTCTACTCATGCTGGAAGTCCCACTTTTAAATAGGGACTTGGACGGGAAGAAATAACGGCTCTAACTCACTATAAACCGTTGTAGCTACGGCGCATAACCCTCTATAATTGGAAATCAACCAGGCAGCAGCTCACTGTAAAAACAGTAAAACGTATAGTGCGTCGCAGTACTTTGACCCCCCTATACCTTTAACGTACCCCTACTCAAAAGTGGGACTATTCCTGGTTTACATCATTTTAAGTAGGCTATAGGCCTAACATAACTCTTCGAATACCACTTCATAAGCTTATTAACATGCCTAACTATATAAAACAAGCTAAATGTCTAGGTACGAAAAATAATTCTATAGTAGATAGTAGCTACTGGTTATGTGATCGAATTGCTCAACAGGTCTGGTGAATTTGAAGAGTCTCAGCTCGATAATACCGACTTTGGAAGAAGAGATTTAGTAACCAGAAAGTCCACCAGGTTGTGTCAATGTAACATAATGCATTCAAACTTCCTGCGAGTTAGATACACCTGATAATAGTCACTTCCCACATAGATTGAACATTAGTTGTTGTGATCGAAGTGGACACATACCGAGGCTCGTAGCCGGTGCCCCACATACAGACTGTGGGTCCCGAGGTGTATGATTACTTATCACCTATATTACTTACCCTTTTAGGCCTGTAATAGAGGTATTTAGCGAATGAGAGGCTAGTGTTTTGGGGGTACTCGTGGGGTGATAGGCCTATACTGAACTTTATTCAAACGTTTACGCACTATAGCTAGGTACATCCCACCCTGCCGGTATCCCGCTATCCAACAACTCGACAGTAATATAGGTACCTATACCATTAGGACGGGTTACTAGCGGGAAACCAATGCGCGCAATTAGGAGAGGCTTGGCATCCCTCTAGGCACATTACGTAGGAAGATAGGTATCAGCTAACGGGACCGTCTTATGCACTGAAGTTATAACGATCTTATCATGACTACATGCTTATAGAAGTAGGGAATGTGCTCCTTCCAGCCCAGTGTTACCCAGCAAATCCAATCTAGATTCTCGCGCTCCTTGGAACGATGAAAACACCCGCTGCGCTTAGAGCGAGGGCATTTGGGTTGTACCGATCTGGATACAGGTTCTTCATCTTTGCAATCACCTCTTTTGAGTCTTTAGGGTCCTCAGCTAATACGCGACCAAAATCCTCGATGTACTTCTTGGTCGACGCCAAATGCCATACCCCGTCGATCTCTTCTGCTTGCCTATGTCCAGGAACCACATAGACTGGACCTAGTGCTTCAATCTTTTCGATAGCCCGAATCCACTCCTGACGCTTGGCACGAGTATTCGCTTCGAATAGCATCTGGTGCACCTGTCCGTAGACAACGTCCCCGCAAATAGCTACTTTAAGATCCGGAACCCATAGGGCTGTGGAGTCGTGCGTATCCGAGTGGCCACATTCAATCGCTTGAAAAACCCATCGATTCTCTAGTTTGAATGAAAGACTTTCAGGGAGTGCTTGTGCTAGCTTGAAAGGCTTGGCGATTTGATCAGGGAATCGGTACTCCCACGTTTCGCTGTAATACGGTTCTCCGATCTGTTGCTCCATATGTTTCACTGTCCCGGGAGTAGCGACAGGAACTGCTTCAGGGAAGCGTTGTAGAAGAAGAGGCAAGCCGAAGAAATGATCTCCATGGCCATGAGTAATATAGATATAAGAAAGTTTGCGACCTGGAGCTATCTTCTCTATCCACGCAATGAGGTCATTTGTCTGCTGAATCGTGATGGGAGTATCCACAAGCACGGCCTCCCTTGGAGAATATACTAGAGTGCAAGATATTGGAGACCAGTCCGCCGTGATCGAAATAGGCGGGGGTCTGCGAGCAGGGACTGGGGGAGCGATATAAACTGCAGAGCGTAACTCAGCCATGCTACTGTTGGGCAAATATATATGTAAGTAGGATAAGAATGTACGACGAGTAGACCCGGAGTGGAGATACTTTTCGGAGTTTCTGAAGGAGCTGGGGGTGTAACTTAAAGCTCACGGCCGAATTTCAAACATGGTCGCATCAGGTCATTCTTATCTCCCATATCTAGAATAATAACGTCCATTCCATAGCAAAAATAGTCAACATGACGTGAGGTCTAACTATCAATACCGAGGCAATCATCAGAACACCGGAGGGGCCGACGAAGATCTATAATAGGCCCCAGGTGGCAGTTAATAGTTGGTCAATCCCCTGTTCTCCATAACACGTCCCATTGAACTAAGCACATCTCATCATCGTTTCATTCCGTTACATCTCAAGAATCATCCACTAGGCGCAACACTTACGATTAGCCAATCTACCATTACCCCATACTGCAAGGGTATGCAAGGGTAGTGACGACCTGTGCCAACTCTCGGAGGTCTAGCCTGTTTGAACGCTTTGAGCTGTGAGACGTTGATAGGCCAGCCCTTAGACGAACCAAGCATATAAGCCGTGTCTATATGCATGTTCCTTCCTCAACAACATCATTTTATACCCCTCATCAGCTCCTCGTCGTAGCTCATATTAGGAGGATTAGCAGAAGGTATTGGATTACGCACATGAACCGCGGTAGCTTTCCTCGCATAATATATTCCTACAGCGTTTAGTCAACTACCTCGGTATCGAGTGATAATATTGGAGTATGTAGCCAGCCATCCTTATGTAAAACATGTAAAGAAACGGTCAATCGCGGCATATCCTTCGTTTAGGTGAGGGTTTGGTCAAACAGTCCCATTCCTCCTGTAGTTGATACGAAAGATATATAAGACTAATATTTTAACCAAGCATCTTCTAGAAACCCAATTCGAGTTGTCTATACATCATTTCGACTTTCTGCACCTCACATCAACCACCATCTTTCATCATGCCTCGTTGGACATTTGATATCACGCTAGGCTTATTAACCGCCGACGAGAAAAAAACACTCGCCACATCAATTACCAAGATTTACACCGACCTGGGTTTTCCCCAGTTTTGGGTCAACGTCTTCTTTCATGAAACCAAGCCAGAGAACTTCTATACTGGCCTCGAATCTGGTAATCATGCCTTCTTTGTGATCAACCATGCCGCGAAGACGTTCGAATCAGAGGAACAGCGCTTGTGGTTCCACGACCTAGTCGCTTCTACCGTAAAACCAATTTTCGATCCCAAAGATATACACTGGGAATACAACATCTACCAGCATCCAGCTGACAACTGGAGGGTTCAAGGAATGATTCCCCCGGTACATAACCCTGATGCCTTGAAGCAGTGGGTAGAGCAGAACAAAACCATACCTTATTAAGGTTGCTATCGTCAGAAGGGTCGAATACGTGAAGTTTATGGTAGCTAGGTCAGTTGTGTAAGGGAGAATATGGTATTCTATCAATTATCTGGAGAATATTTGAAGTTATAACGTTTCGCCCAAACCCCTGACCATATATTCATTCGTGCAGACAGATGATGCTAGATTTGAACATAATATGAAAATAGTGATGGAAAAGTAAAAGGCCTACAACCAACCAAAAGCACATAGGACTAAACCTACAGTCGTATCTAGGGACGTAAATTTATCATCATTCGTTCGCGCCTGATTATCAGCGGTCTTCCCACTGGAACAGAAATTCTGTTGGGTTACACACTGATAGGGGACGAACAGGGCCATTGGAGGCGTAGCTGTACCCCTGGGGCAGGCAGATAGCCTACCTAGGTAAGTAGGGTAAAGCTTAGTCCCCCTATAAAGGAGTTTCCCGGTCATGCCGGGTCCCATATCGGATTGGAATTGGATGTTTAGGTATTTCGAACAATTAGTTTACCGAGGTTATTTGATGAGACTTGTCTATTTATTAGAAGGGTTAAAATTTATGTCTCCCGATCTATAACTATTCACTCTCATTTCTCATGCCGTAACCGCGACCGTGCGCGAAGATATCGAGATCAAGACACACGATCAGACCATCCTCCGGGCGTAGTTCTACCCCGCGGGACCTAAGGCCCCCGTTTTGATCATGTCTCCAGGAGTAAGAACAATATTTCCACTATTCAACTAAAATCTAACTCTGGTTATAATATAGCTGTCTGGAATTAAAAGGCATTTTCTCGATAATTTTGCAGAAATGTTCCAGCAAGCAGGATTTGCAGCAGTTGCCCATGACCACAGGAACTGGGGAGAAAGTGATGGACTTCCTCGGCATCATACCAATCATAACGAACAGATTCAGGATACCCATGACGTTGATCCGTCGCGCATTGCATTATGGGGATCAAGTTTCTCTGGAGGAATCGTTCTCATCGCCGGTGCGATTGATCCCCGTATCAAGGCAGTGATCGGTCAGGTGCCCTTTATATCGGGTAGCCATGTTCGGAGTCGCCTACCTAAAGAACTTCTCCCTAGAATCTACGCCGATCGGGGAGAAACCACATTTTTGAACCCAACATATATCCCTACGTTCCCGGAGTCATTGGAAGAAGCCCGAGCCCAGCCAGGCAAAGCCATAATGTCAACTGAGGAATCCTAGCATTATCACCAACGTACCAAAGACGACAAGGAGAATAAAATCACACTCCAATCTATGTTCCACGTAATTCGATCTGAGCCATCTGCATTTGTACCTCAGATTTCGCCCAAGCCCCTATTCATGGCGGTTAGTCTGCACGATTCTCTTATTAGCCCAAAACTTCAAATCAAGGCTTTTGAGACGGCTGGGGAACCAAAAGAACTGCTGAAGCTAGATTGCGGACATTTTGAAGTCTATGAGGGTGAATACTTCGAACAAAACATATCCGCGCAAATTGATTTTCTAAAGAAATATCTCTAGAAGAGCAACAATGCAACTCGTCACCTATATTCAATGCATGTAACTTTCTTCTCGACGGCTATGGGATTATATGAAGAAGGCAAACCCCACGGCGAGATAGATGGTGGAGAAACTGAGCAGTAGAAGGGCAGCGGGAAGAGCCAAGATGATGTCCCGTTCTTAAATAGGGGTGCGCTATATGATTTTTATTTAGCGCTCCAGTTCACTGAGTTACAGCAAGAATCCCACTGTTAGGTAGTAAAACGTTCGATCAAATTGCGGGGACACTTTCTAACCACCACGAAATAAATATATAGTCTAAATACATCGGTTTCTATTACAAAATGGCTCTCCTGGAGGTATTGAGTGGTTTCTTTTTTTTATATTAAAAAAATCGAGAGAGCATTAAGGTTTGATTGCCCTACCTCCGTTGTTGTCTGCGCGACATTTTTAGAGGTAATTTGCAAGGTAGGCGCTACAACTCGCTGTAATTTTAGTGGAGTTATGGTGAACTAAAGTGCTAAAGGCCTTTTGTCAATAGTTTTTCTTTTATCATCGTCATGTTTTACAACGAGGGCAGTGACCGATCGCACGATTAATAAACGTGAAGAATATTAGTGGACATGCCGTATTGATAGGAACTTGTTTCAGAATCTTACTTGAGATATCGGTTAACCTTCACTATTAATGTTTATAACATTCCCTCTTATCACCTACAAAAACCACATGTAAATGAAAAAAGGAGCACCAAGTTATATTTGATAGTACGTATTTCATAAGTAACGTATTTAAATCAGGATTTATATATTTCAATTCAAAATGAAGTATCTCTTTTTAAATTTTGTTTTATTTACCAAAATAGTGATAAATATGTTGTTATGGTAAGTCCTGAAACATGTGGAAAATTCGACGAGAGTTAACAGTGTTCCATATTCCTAAGCCCCTTAACCCTCCGTGAATAGGAGTAACCCACCCAACAAATGAGATACCGGTATACAAATATATGGAAGTCGCCAGCATCTACTATACCATTCTCTTATTCTTTTTCTTTATATTTGTATAGTAAGCAATCTTCATCCTAAATCCAGTATATGCAATAACGGATGATGCACGCTACAAATACCTCCCTAAAAGTAAAAGGGGGTCTATACAGGCCACTTACGTTCATTATACCATGAAATGTTTTTCATCTATGGTTGAAATGACTATTCTCAGGGAGTTTGCAGTTTGTGACGCAAATCGCAGTTGCCTTAATTAAATGATGAATGTTAGTAGGAAATTCCTACTTATCGTCGCTCAGATATGAAGGAAAGCGCCGATTCTAAGATTCACCTACTCGACACACGAGCCAACAATATTTCCCTATGCTAAAGTGGCATATCGATCTATGCACCGATACACCAATTATCCCACAGACTATTACCAGTTGTGAGCGCCTAGTGTTTCGTGAATACGGTCACTATCGTGAATCAAAGCTCAAGCCCAGTAAGTTTTTTCTTTACTCTAAGTAGAACTTCAAAATATTGACTGACTATCTCCTAGGTATTTAATACTAAAGGGGTCTCCGCCAAATAATTGAGAATAGCAACCAGAACCTCAAAATCCAGCACTTCGCAATGCCTTACCTAAACCCCCCTGACGAGACCTACAAGGCCGAGGAATACTTCTACGCCAACAAGGACAGGATCTGCCGCCATATTGAACCCGATATCGATTACGGTTTCTTCGAAGACCTTGAGATCTTCGTCTCCATCGAAGATAACGAACCCTACCTCGTCATCATCCTAAAGAAGGAATGTCACTACACTTGCGAGAACATTGACGTGGAGGATTTCCATCAGCAGATGGTCGAGTGTCTCGAGAGCTACCCAACCTTCCCGGAGATGGACCGCGCCCACCTTAACCTGGCCGACATGTTTCTTATTACGATCGTGAAGAGAAGCGATGAGGACGACTCAGGATTTGAGAAGATTTGGTGGCCCGACGAAGCCGTCGAGGAAGAGGATAGATATGGAGAGTAAGTAACCAGGACCAGGACGACTGATTTATTGGGATGCGGGCATGGACATGTACGGAGGAGAGCCGGCAACGGAAAATGCGAGTGTTATTAGAGAAAGAGGGAATGGGATGCGATCTATGAGACGGGAAGCCAGCCTGTAACCACTATTTCTGCGGGGGAAAAATTCAATGACTTTTATTCAACCCTACTTCTAAACTATTCCTTCCAAGGTTTCTTTTTTAGGTCTGATATAGCAATCTTCCCCCTTTTAAATGGAAAGTGAAGCTCTCGGGGAGTAGTCAATACCCCTAGGCGAATTATGATTTCCGTGGCCTATCCACAAATCTACTCGGCATCATACTAAAGTGACGTGGAATGCACAGTTAGGATACACCTAACGTACCACCTAGGTTTAGGTACTCTTTCTTATATCGAAGGTAAGAACGGATGAAACTATGATCATCGTCATTCCCTCTTCCTCCCTTGACTCGACATTCTCTTGCGAAATCACCGGAAGTGCTAATCTATATAATGAACACTGATCTTCACTCCTCTCTTTCCTTACCGGGTACTACGAATCTACCCCCAATTCGCCAATTACACCCGTCAAAATACCTACAAGATGTCTCGCGTTACCCGTTCCCGGATCCTCGAAGCACTCTCCACTAACTCCCGTCCCGACAACAACGACGTCAAACGGTACGCCCGCCAATACAAAAACATTCTCAAGATGAACTTCGCGGCCCGAATTCCCCACATCGACGACATCGGCTGGTTCAGTGGCGCGCGCGAGAATCCGGGGATGTTCCTTGTGGTAATTCTCACTGCGGACTGTTTAGACTGGTCCGAAGATTTTGTCAGGGACGAGGTCAACGATGCGATGCGCGCATGTAAAATGTTCATGAATTACCCGTACAACTTGCATGATCTGTTCGCCGGCTTCGTGGTCGTGAAGGCGGATCCTGTGCGGGTATATACGCCGGTTTTATGGGATGCAGATGCCAGATCGCGGTATGGCGAGTATTGCGATCCGCACTATCGACACCGACACCGACACCGATCTAGATGTTGATGTGGGGGAATGTTTAGAGGGTATTAGTCGTGGTTAGGGGAAATGGTGAATCAGGTCTTGCCGAGGGCTTCTTTGCACTGTTTTCTACTTACCCTCGCCATTAATCATTCAGAGGGCATGAGTTAGATAGCGCTGAATTAAACAAAATTGACAGACATTGTCGAATTAAACATTACTCAACAACCTTGAAAACCGATGAATATTTGTAGTAAAGGGAATAGGCGTACGGACGCATTGAGAATCTGTTGATGATGTTGGTTAAATATATACGGCTCTTGGTGGAACAATATCATTCGAAAGAATACGGACAATACTCATCCCTGGGTCACGAAACCCCTCAGTTGCTAAATTTAAGCACTAGACACTACTACATCCCCATGATAATAGAATCTATAGAAGAAAATATTTTCTATTTGCCCTCGGTCTCGAGTCGATCGCACCTGTTTAGAATATGTGTGAATGCGCCTTGCTCCTCGTCACAATGTCGTACAGCGTGACTTGGGAATAGTTCTTTTTTTTTTTAAAAAAAAAAAGAAAAAAAAAAAAGCTTCCTCGGGCGACGGCTTCCTCATCAACAGTACTTGGGAATTGACTAAAACAATGTAACCTGCAAAGACGAGAAGGGGAGTACACCTACCTAGGTGTAGTATTACCTGTGTCCAATTTTTTCCTCCGAATTGGGGGTTCAATTGAAGTACCTAGGTAAGGTCTCGTCAACTCTCTCCAGGGATTTACGTGACGTTAAGTCGATACATCGGTTTCCTTACGGAATACCTACCTAGGTAGAGATGTTTTTCCATAAGTAGCGAAGGCTAGGATATCATTTTCCTCTCCTTCCTCTGCACAACTCTGCTCGATACCTATCCTCAACCTAGCATTTTCACATCACATCGACTTTCAACAGCACTTACAAGATGCCTCCCTCAGCACGAGACGTTCTGGAAGACATAGTCCGCTGGGATAAACCCCTCCACGGGGACAGAGAACTCCGAGCGTACTTCGAGGAAAACAAGGACGTTATCAAGGAACACTTCCAAAGCAAAATGGACCACGTAGTAGACATCGCAGTCATAGACACCCACCAGTGGGTACACTATGTAATTATTCTTTCGAAGAACCATATGTACGAGCCCGAGTCGGACCCTAATAACCAATCCGCCCTGTCGGAGGTGAGAGGAGCGTTGGTGGGCTTCCAGCCGTTCGACAACTTTAAGCTACCGTATCTTATAACTCAGGATTTCATGAGTCGGTTCGTCATAGTCAAGAGAGATCCTACGGCGGCGTCGGGGTATAGTCCCGTTTGGTGGCCGAGAAGTATCGTTTCGCGCGGTGGTGTTTACGGCGATCCGCATTATCGTCCTAGTCGTAGATTATTCGAGCGGCCCCGACGACGCGGCTAGAATATGATAGAGGTTTTGTTGCCGATTGCGACGGGTCATTTTAGGACAGGCCTATCGAATCGTATCTTGGTCAGTTTAGCGGTTACATAGGTAGAATTTGGGCTGTATAGTGCTGAGTTAACCATATAAAGTACTTCTAAATTAATTTTACATTAGATATTATCGAATTATTCAGTAATTGATTGATCATAGAGTACTCAGCTGCGTCCAAGCTATTCCATACATCGTTTCTCAAACACAGGAGAAAAAAAAACTACTCATCGTCCACAGAAAGACTTTCTCCCGAATCTTCCTACACCCCTTCGTGCTTCAACTTCGACTTGGCAGCATGAGCTAAGCCTTACATTGCATTAGACCAACGGGACGACCCTCTGAACATCAGTGCCGAGAGCCGACCATAGTATATCTCTTAGCAGACTGCGGCTCGATATGCCAAGCAGCCAAGCAACCAATTTTACAGTGGCGTCAGCGCCCATCAACGCAGCTTATACGCCAAAGCAGGGAATGATTGGCCACCAGGATAGAAATTTTTCTAACAGGATCAATGCTATAACACTCTTACCTTCCACAAGCAGGATACAATCGCGCATCACTACGACTACGGGGTGCGTGGGGGAGGGAGGGAGTTAGAACGCCTACTACGCCACTGATTATGATAGGAGACAGCAAACGACGAAGATGAGATCCATGGATGTTGAAGAAGTACAAGGTTTGTTAATTAGGCCAAGACAGAACGGAGCCTCGAGGGAAAAAAACAGTCGCGATGATGACCGCTAGATGGACGGATATCCGTTGCCGTCTCTGACACGTGATGACCCCTTATTTAAGGGGCTTCCATGGTTCCAATCAGGTCCCTCACGTGGCTAGCTACGCCAAGAATCTACTTCTCTCGATGTGGAGGCCAAAGCGAGTATTCTCTAGGTACCTAAGCAGGCGCTCGGGTCGTAAAGCGCTATTAGGTGCAGGAGGCACATGGCGGCGATAGCCACCATATCATGAACTTTCAAATTCCAACGATCCTGCGAGTTGCCCCGATTAGTGATCCGAATCCGAAGGATGTGCAAATCAGTAGGTACCTCAGTAGTTAGTTATTAGACCGCAAATTGCTGACATTTACATAAATATCGACATCTTGGCGCTCAGCTGAATAAATAAATAAAAAACCTCGTGTGCTAAAATCGTGGGTGCTGGAAATGGGCGTTACTCGCTGCCCGATACGACCGGCCCGAAGCTGAAATAAATTAATGCGGTTTGCTATAACTAGCACGCCTGACCTATCTCGTAATTCCCAAGTAGGAAATAGTAGTGTCCTTTTGAATCCGACCTAAACTAAAACGCGATAGTGAGGTTCTGGTTCCAAGTAAGGAGCTAACTTACGACACTCGTGTGTTCATAGGTTCTTCGGTGTCTGATTACGTGACGGGCGTTCTGTGAATGTTCTGCGAAGGCACTTGCATTATCTCGCTGTAACCACCCTGGCTACGTCGCAGTTTTTAATTGGTTAGTGCGAAAGCAAAAGGCCAGAATTGGGTAAGCTGCTGCTTATACTGCTAGACTTGCCTCGTGTAGCCCTTTTGGAGTATTCTAGAGTAGCCTCGCGTAGCGAACAGACTTACCCATGTGTCAAGGAGGCACCAGAACATAGAATTGGTGCTTCACCTAGCGTCCCTAAAACTTCACTTGGGAAATTGTCATCAGGGGTGTCGTGAAAGAAAAAGAACGCGCAAGCTGACAGCATCATTGAGGCGTATGGTATGTGACTGTGCCTCTCGGCTTGAGTAATTGCTCTTGCTTAGTAGTTTTGTAACTGCACTGTAAAGTTTTAATTTCATGAGGTGTTGTTATTAACTGCTGCCCGCAAACTGAACCATGCTTAATCGTCGTTGATTAAGCCATTTTGGATTGTAATAACCTGTACATAGCCACATGGACTACGAATTAGGTAATCTGGGGCATCTCGTAGTATCGCCAAGAACCTATACGACGCATAAATATTGACGGATCTACGAAGTATAGGCTAGTTGATTGACGCGATGAAAGCTTGAAGAGCAATCTCAGGTGAACAATGTCAATCACATAAGGTAGTAATGGATGCGGCCTTTCGAATGCGGCTTATATCTTGCAAGGGTAATTGAATGCAAGCTCGAAAATACGAACCACATTGAGCGTAGCCAAGAAGGGGCAGTCTCAAGTCGCTTCGGCTGTGGACTATTATGCGATCATGTAAGTCGACGACTCCCAAAGAAGTCGAGTGGACTTTGAAGATACTGCATCGTACCGAAGAAGCATCATAACCCGACAGAATGGCTGCCATGGGAAGCGAAGTTGCAATTGATGCCCAGGTATGTGATTCGTTAATTTGGCTAGGGTCGTCGTAATGCCCGTGTCGTTATTGGTAAACTATTGAAGTAATTGAATCCTATGCGAACTGCTATACTTGATTGAAATCCTGGGGCATACGGGGCTCGGAGGCTCTCACCGTAATTCAAACCTGCCGCGTCATCTTGGCGGCGCGCGATGTTACATCCTCCTCCCTGGGGTTATAATTAGGGCCATACATAGCAGACAAGATAAGAGAAGGGATTAAAGATCGGATTTGGGTCACCAACCCCTCCTTAGACGCAAGTTGTAAGTACGATGACGAAGTGACAATTGTGTTGGCCGCTTTGGGTTGGGAATTGTAGGTATCGTGAGTTTCCATAATCCGGCTCGCAAGAACGGCAATTTAGCCGCCAGTAACGTGGTCAGTAATCATCAATTATGGGCACGGCCTGTTACTGTTCAATTGATGTTTCAAGGGCAATCAACGCCCGGGCTTCGGTTGGGGGCGATCTTCAAGTTTCGGAAACTCTCCCGCTTACGTAGATGTTGTATGATCTCCGAGATCACCGCAATTGTGCGAGTATCGGTTCCCTGAGTGTGGGGATTCTTTAAAGGAATTCTAGAAATGTATCCTAATGAAATCCCTTGCTTGCTACCACGCGACAAACTTGAGGCTCGCAATCTGCTTAAGATTAGAAGAATACAAAATACAGCCGCAATAATGAATGGCCTGATGGTGCTGTGGATGGTCCCTGTAAGATTTATAAAGTGCCCTAGAGCGCCCTGGGCTTGCTTATTACTTGGCATTTATGGGAGTTGTTGTCCCGTTCCATATTGATACGAAGTGACTTGGTGGTCATCAGCGTCATTGATATTGAATCGATGCTAGGCTGTTGTTCGTTATCCACTATCACCGTAGCTACATCAGATGACATTATTATGCTATTATCTTTTATCGAAAGTGTATGTATGTGAGTGGTGCGAGTTTCTATTTTGACGATTCTGGGACTCTGGAGTTGGGATGAATCTGATACCTGCCGCCCCCGGAAACGCGCAAGTTCCCCGGGTTGAAGAATCCGAGCCCCAAATGTCTCAGTTTAGGATGTTCATCAACCAATGATTTGGCGAGGTTGTCTATCGCTGATGTTTATTTCTTTATCTGTTTTTTTGTTTTCTATTTTCGTAGTGTATGATCGGACACAGCGGGGTTGAAACTCATGATGTGGTTGTAGTTGTTAATGGTAGGAATGGTAGAGAAGACTAGAGGAGTCTAGCGCTGATGTCGAAATGTCAAAATAGGGGACTTACATAATCATTGAGGGTTTTTGGGAGATTGAAGCCGCGTAAGCACTTTTGGGGCTAATGATTGGCGAAATTCCAATTCGGGAATTTTGTTCGCCATAGTCAGCACGCTGTTCTTTACGCCAACGTAAATGTAGTTAAGCTAATATTTTAGTACAAATCTTAACGTCTTAGTGTCAACTGTCGCGTGCATTATTTTTACTATAAAAATCATTTACCAATCTTCTCCGGCGATAGGCGAGTCGGCGCTATCTTAGTACATATTTTGACAATGCCTACCCGCTAGCGCCCATTAGACGATAAGTTAGAAGGAGTATGTACCCAGGCATAAAGTTCATGATTTGCCACAGGTGGCACAAGCAAGGTACTAGGTATAAAATACGCTTGCAACGATTATCCCGTGAGCTTAGCAGCTTAGTGGTGTATGTTGCCCACATGGTTACATCAAAAATAATCGCCAAGACTGTTGGCAAGACCAGTGGCTAGGTAATGGAGGGTCTGCTAAGCTTTTTTCCTTCTCATGCCGCAGACGATTTCTAGATGCGCCGGAACGGTCAGGACGCGGAATTCGATAAGTGAAACACTCGATCTCCAGATTTCGAGTTATACAATTGCACAGACGATAAAATATTATAGAACTCGTTTTGGAGATAAGCTTGAGTCGACAACAAACTCGGTGAAATACTGTTTCGAACAAATAATAGATAATATAGACATGCCTATCCAGGATTAGCAAATGGTCATTCGCCATGTCGATCAGTGACCGTATGTGCTGAAGAAACAAAACACATAGTTGCCCCCAGCTGCCTCATTGGCCACAGGGCGGTATTAGCGAACGGGCGGGCAGCAGCAGGTCAATGGAAACAAAATCGTGATCTTCTCCGGTCCCTCCAACCATCGTATCTTGGCTGTGTGTTGGGATCGCAGCCTGATACCGGATGCGCCATGCTGTTCTACTCTACCCGTTTACACTGCACACACACGGACGATGATCGGCTGGAAAAACGGAAACAGGAAACAGGAACAAGGAATGTGAGAAGTCTTGGCCGAGGCACGACATGTTCGGACTCGGTGTAGGAACGGAGGGGGCGGCTTGATAGGCAAGTAACGCCTGAGATGATGTGAATTGTTAGAAAATATGCAGATGCAGTCCGTCACTCCGTCATTCCGTCACTCATGAGAGTGGATAGGTAAGATAGGTTAGGTAGGTGGATTAGTAGAAAGTGAATTAGGTGCTAAGCGGCGTGGCTGCATCATGAGAATAGAATAGAATAATAACTAATAGTAGGTTACCGAATGACACCATAAGCTCCGTATAATATTTAGAACCAACCCGGATGCTTCCACTTTAATTAGTGGATGTGTATGTGCTGTGTCTGTTAGGCGTTCAGGGCATTCTGTCAAGCCCATTTTTCGTACGAGTGGAATAATAAGAAAGAGCCAAGCATTTTGTGGTTACACTGCCAAGTCTCTTGGTAGAGGCGCTGGACAAGGAAAATGACGCCCTAAGACTCCTGTCAATGCCGATTATCCGGGGAACGGGAACACGGCAGGGCGGGTTTTGTACGTCTTTGTAGCTATTCTATCGTGTAACTTCGGCCAAGATGCTCCAAACCTATTATCATAACAATAAGTAAAATCGAAGCTTTTTACTAAAAAGACTTGAGTATACGACGATAACCCGTTCTGAGCCGCATGAACATATTATAGGTCAGCCGATAAACCTAGGATTATTCTAGGATGTTGATAGGCTGGTCCAATCTCATTACAGGACCTTGATTGCTTTAGGTACCTACTAGGAAAAGAAAAAACCGAAGCATGATCGACCATGTGGAGTTAACCTATCATAGCGCATCGACGGCATTGACCCCCACTACATCGACAATTAATCTACCTTAAACGTTACCGCTTTCAGTTTAGCCAGGGTTCTCCGGGGTTATTCGATTACTCCTGACTTTTCCATCTGCCCTTTCGAGAAGTTGGATGATCGAGTTGTACGCTAGATACGTGCTAGGTATGTGCATTAGGGAGAGGTTTATTTTGTATGTAACGTGCCTACCTAGTATCGAAGAGCGAATGAGCGTTCGTAACAAACACCGAACTAGAGAAAGAAGCAGTTATGTATATGCATACTTGTATGTACGATAAAAGTCTATATATTCCAATGTAGGCACATGCACCAACTTCCTGATTATTCCTCTACGTTAGACGAATGGATCGGATGTATTTAAGGTTTAGTTAAGTCTGATAGGTTCCCAAAACATTGGACGTTGCCTGTAAGCTGGTTTAACCCGGATAAAACAACTCCTGCCTAACTCCTTGTCGCAATGAAAGTTGCATAATCATCTAAAGTATATTATTACATCTTGGTACGAAACTAGAAGAGGCTGAGTCCACCGGTGGAGCTTCTTCTCCTTGGTCAAGTTTCCAAGTTACAGTTACATACCTATCTTTTTTTGCTTTGCTGCAAGCATTGATCCTCGATACATTTTCAACGCCCAGCATACACATACCTTACAGCACCACCATAGCAGCCGCAGCCGCAGCCGTATAGCCGTAGTTGGTTAGGGAAGTTTGGGGCAAGGTACTTAGGTACGTACACTCTCCAATTTTCGCCAAGCCGCCGTCTATTCTCACCATTATGAGGGGGGTCCATAGAAAATTCACACACAAAACCCATCCACATCAAATCAGTCGCATCGATCCTGTATGCCAAGATTCCAATCGTCAAGCCCCTTATTATATCCTCTTAATAAAAAATCCACCCGCTTCCCTTTTCCTTCTTTTTCTACTCTGCGCTTCTGCCATGTGCATGTGCGGGAACTGACCTCTGATCCTGTCCTTCCTGATTCTTTTTTCTTTTCAACTTGACCGAAATTCATTTAATTAGCTTTTTTACAAGTCCTCGATCCTGACAGCTTATTATTTTTTGTCATTTGTTCAGGATTGCAGTGACGTATGTTTGCGTGTACGTTGTGCGTGTGCGTTTGAGAATAGTATCAATTAGCAACCCACCCAAATTGCTTATACGGTACACCCCCTAATTCAGTACATTCACTTGGTATTGTTCTCCCCTACCGTCGATAAGTCCGGACGAGAAATACCATTGGATATTCCGACCTATCATCAAACGCCATATCTCAATCACAATCGCCACCTCTTTAAATCGGTTCAGAGGACGCATTTTTGCCGAACCCGGTCCCGCATTCTACAATACTGCGCGCGTGGAACAAACAAAACCAGCGCCATAACATTCCTCCACATTCACTCGCTCAACCTGTCTACCTAGGCATTCAGCCACTTTATCTAAGTCAGCCGTCAGCTACCCCGGAAATCTAGGAGACGAAATCGACTCTTCGGACTTTGGAAGGCGTTCGTGGTTTTGGACTTAGAGTATCGTAATAATACACCTACTTCACAACCATATTGGATACTAGCCAAGGAATGATATAACGGTATCGACAACCTATCCGTACGATCTCTTCCGCGACAACCCGTCACCATGGCTATTGGCAAAGAAGGAAATGTCAAATGGGTCGATGTAAGTGAGATGTCCAGTTTATATATCGGTTGTCGGAAAGAATGCGACTCGTGCAAATGGTGGTGGAACCCTCCACCGAATTATCACTTCTAGGTGTCGGTGGGAGGGTTAGTCGCGCAGTATTACCCACGCTCGTTCGATCTATCGGGTTGGCTCAACAAGGTTTGGAGTTTTCGCTCGGCACGTTATTATTAGTGCCGGGAGTTGACAGTTCGCATGGCATCGACATCATAGTTGGAGATCAAAGTTGGAACTAGGAATACAAGATCGAACTCTCTTCAATCAATCGTTTACTCCAAAATAAGTTAGATAACTAACAGTATTCTCTACATTATAGGGCTTACGAGGTTTCGCATCTACTCTTGTAGTATTAACTCATATTGCTAGAGCTTTCGATGGCGAACTCTTCCTCCCCGCGTCCCACGAAGGCGCGCAACCTCGACCTATGCAATTGCCCTTCCTCCGAATTCTCGTTCAAGGTCGTATTGGCGTTACGATCTTCTCCTTTGTTACCGGTTACGTCTGTGCTCTGAAGCCCATCAAGTTGTACCGACAGAACAACCAAGATTCTGCTTTTACTTCCATCGCTAAATCCGCCCTCCGCCGTGTTCCCCGACTCGTTATACCTTGTGCTTTTGCTACGTTTCTTATCTGGATTATGGCAAACCTGGGAATGTTCCTTGTCGCGAAGCAAAGCGATTGTTGGTGGTGTGGTAAAACCGCACCCGATCGCCAGGCCAACGCATTTTTATCGGTGAAGCACTTGGTTCAGAATATCATTTCGACATGGACGAGAGGTCAGAATGCTTACGATGGTAATCAATGGACTCTGTTGCCCTTGCTCAAGGGTAGTATGGAAGTGTACACATTTATTGTGGCTACAGCCTACATTCGACCTCAGTTCAGAATGGTTTTGAGCTTAATGATGTTCGCCTACTTTTGGATAGCATCGGACTGTAAGTTGCCTCTGCCGAAGTATTTTTCGACGTTCGATCTAATTGTGTTATAGCGGCTTTTGGTATGCAATTCTTCTGGGGAGTTTTCCTTTGCGATCTACAGAACCACCCTCCCGCCAACGAATGGCTTACCCGACGACCAAAAGTTTCACGAATGCTTGCTGCGATCTTCCTATTTTTGGGTCTATATGTCGCCTCGTATCCTGAAGGACATCCAGAATGGGCAACTTGGTCGCGCTACCAGTTCACGGTTCTGAAGCACATTCTGCCTAAGGATCCCGATTACCCCCGATTTGCTTCTGGTATTGGTCTAGAATTGATCACTCTTGGATTGCACTTCAGTCCCGGCCTACGCGATTTGATGTCCAGCAAGGTGCTTCTTTGGTTTGGCAAGCAGTCTTTCGCTGTTTACCTCCTTCACGGCCCTCTTCTACGAAGTGTACTATGCTGGATGGTTTACGGAATCCATGTGCCCCCACCAATCACCAATGATAAGGGTGAGACGATTCACGGTACTCTCATGTTCCCCAGCGGATGGCGCCTCATGATTGCTCTACCGTTCTGGATCCCCCTGAATTACGGTGCTGCGATGCTTTGGACTGGCTACGTTGACCCCTACTGTGCGACATTGACCGAGAAGATAGTGGGCAAAGTTATGTTGGCACGCGACGAAAAGGGTGCTTTGTTGCCGCAATAGAGATGCGGTAATGGCCACCCTAGACATTACGATTATGATAAATACTCTAGGTGACAAGGAGTCGCATAGAACACCAGCAATTGGATAAATCGCCAGGTAATCCCTGAGTCGAGTCTATTGCGAGAATTCATCGCTTCAAACCCTAAAGTCACCACTCAGAGTCAACTTCTATATTATTCATAGACGAGAAGCACAATCGACCGCTATACCAACAAGACTCGACACCCTTTTTCGCAAGACCTTCCACATAAATCCCTCGTGTAAATACAGCAGCGCTCTCCTTTTTGCGACGCGGGTGTTTGGGTTTTTCTGGAGTACATAGGATCAAAGGCTTATGGGATTGCATTTGAAAATTTTCAGGGGCATATGGGAATATTCAGACGGCCGAAGTGCATCGTACATACGCCCGGGGCGTTTATTTTTTTATAATTTTCTGAAGACAGACGGACACGGCCGCATTGTTGGCACGCATGGAGAGGTAGAAGAAAGTCAGGCGAACGGACTTTGACACTGCTGGCTCGCAACGGTTGATACCCATGATGATGAAAGAAGCCGAAAACATAGAGAAGAGGCGGGAGGATGATGCGCGATGTGCTTCGCATCGTACAAACTATACATACTATAATTCAGATTAAACCCTGTATATGTTCTGATCTACGGCGTCGTTTTTGATGAGTTGTGATTGTGAATTGCACGTATTAGCTAACTATCTCAAGAATTGCTGAGACAAATGTTTTGATATGATTACTGCTTATACTAAGACATGGCGATTCAGCTCAACAAGTTCAAGTCTTGGCTTCATTTTGGCTTTATATTATTTGGTTGATCATCTCCATTTTCTACAGGTATGTTTAGGTGGAAGGAAGAAATTGAAATTGATAAGCCTCTCATTAGATGATTATACGATATGCGCAGATCGCTCGAGACCCGTAGAAACATAGGCTATACAAAGTAATTGTCTTATCCATCCTTTCTTCGAAATGTATCTTGAGCTGTAATATCTCAGTCAGATGTTTAATACAACTTCCGGGAGTAATAGCCTAAGGTATAGCGAAGAGATTTCTTGATAAGGGCGTTGTATCACAGCACCTGTGAACGTCGTGGTATAGATAGGTTGAATAGGTTCATATATAAATCGGCTGTCTCATATAGTGGTTACTCGGGAATTGCGTCGCTTGTGTTGTTCCTCGTATTCCTTCCCGTAGGTAATGCATGTACTATGTAACCCATCTGCACCGTGTATCTGCCGTACCCGCGTGCTCGGGTTATCCAGTGAGAAGTTAGTGGCTTGCCTGAATAGGCAATATATTGCCGCAAGATGCAACCTTTTTTGTTGGTTAAACTTTATTAGGTATTACTTGTGCTGTTACTTGGGGTAGCGTCTGCTACTGGTAGTGACGGGGTCACAATGTACACAGCAGGTCGAAATAGCATAGCAATATCAGGGTCAAAATAAAATAGCTCTATAACGAGTGGCCGGACGTATTTAGCAGCAAGTATAATATTAATTCGAAAGACTCCACACCCCGATAACGCCCTCACCATTCGTCTAAGATAACGCCGATTCCCTCATAGCTTGTAAGTCATCGACCGACATGTCATCTCGCTCCTTCTTGACCTCTTGCATCCTAGGCCACCAATATTCTTCCATGAATTTGCTAAAAGGCATTTTCATTTCTTGAAGCTTTTTTGTGAAATCCTCCATCAAAGTTTCTAGCCGTCGAGCAAGATATCGCTCTTCCTCTTGTATTTCCTCGACTTCTGTGGGATCCATGAGACGGAGTACTCCTCCTTTAAGGGCATCGTCAAGATTCCGAACCCAAGGATAACTACAACATGTATGCCTCATACCAAGCATCGTAAACGTGGCAACACGCACCAGATCCAGGAATACCCCATATTCACTATCGGATATTGCCCGTTCAAGACAACTTTATCCCTATGGACATGCCTTTGAAAATCTCCCATTTATAAAGCTCATCACCATAAGCCTTCGTAGTAAGCCCACACATATATTTTGAGGCAGGGGTACACCCATTAATTGTGCAGTAGCAACAGCAAGAATCTTTACATTCAGCCCTCATCAATTTTGAGAAGACAGAAAGACTTTCTTCTGGCACGTCATTTTGCTCCTTTTCGTGGAGGCAATAGCCAAGACCGTTTAATATTTTATACATGACTGAGAAAACTCGTTCGGGCTTCCCCGCGTTCGGGGTGAAGGTATAACATCCAGGTAATGGGGATGGGCGTGTAGGAGTCAGCCCCATGACCACCAAACCACGACACCAACGCCAATGATCCAGCGAAACCCAAAGATATGCACCGGAATACCATTAACGGGGTATAGCCACCAACCCTCGTTTCTGTTTGATGAAACCCAGCTTCATAAAATTTCTGGGCGATGAAGGAGTTGATGCCGCGCCAATGATACACAGAGCCAGGCTGCAGGGTATCGTGCGTTGTAGGCACTGGGATATGTTGCTGTCTAAGTGTTTGGGCAACGTCGTATGCAATGCCATCGAGAAGAAGATCTTCTTCTAAGCCAAGTCGCTGGATCGTTTCAGATGAAGGCTCCGGAGCGCAAGCTTCAGTAACGCCTTCCGCTGTGAAACGAGGGGATCAACTACCATACAGGCAATCATCTGTTTATCTATCACAGGCGGCACTCCTCTAAAGTGGTAACAGAATATATCATTCTCAACACTTGCTCCAGCATCAAGTAATATGCGAATAGACTCCAATTGCTCTAGCTCTAGCGCAAATTCAAGAGCGGTATATTCTCCACGATTTTTCCTATTGATCAAAGAGTCAATCGTCTCCCCTGCATATTCGATTAATATTGAGAGCCCTTTGGGCCAAGTAACAGCTAGATGAAGTGAAGATAGGCCATTTGGAGTGCATTCGTATAGTGAGGAAGGATTAGTGCGTAAATGGTGGATAACTCCAGACTCTGAGTGGACGAGCACATTGTGGAGGAACTCGGTGTGAGCGAAGTCTCGGAAAATCATCAGCATCAATATCGCGCTTGAAAATCATACCGGCAGACTTACATTCGTTTAAATCATGGTTATTAAAAGAGAGGATACTAGGAGCAACTACGCAATTAAAATCCGCACCTTCGATAATAGCATCCATATCTAGTAAGTTTTGAACTACGTAGGGAGAGGCCCTATTATTCACCAAAGTTAATAAAGGGAACCTGAGAGGCCATTAGCTAAGGTTCAGAAGTACGTTGCGCCCTTCGTAGGGGTAGATATTACCCTCGGCGGCAAGAGATATCATTGATCGGAACCCCCATACGTATTATGGAAGATATGAACTGTAGAAATAGAGTGTTAAAATCTTCGTCCTGGAAGTCGTGCTCATGAAGAAGGTATAAGTCCATTATTCTCTGAATTCACGTCGTTAGCGAGGCCTATTAAATTGAGGGAGGACATTTGATACATGAAGTAAGTTTTCTCCATAATCATCAACATCTGTTGGCCACCCTTTGCCACTCACGAACAATTTTCGCAACTCAACTAGAATACTTCGGAATATCGCTTCAACCTCTTGTTATGTGGCATCTTCGGGAATGGAACGTATTTGATTTAACGCCAGAAACGCGGGGGCATCTTCTGTTACTGTAGCTCGAACTGTCAGATTGGGGTAGATTTTCCAGTCGCGCGTCCAGGCTAACGGCGAGTATTCAAGTCGCCATTTGGCTGTAATTTGACGCCGGAGGGCTACTAGGTTCAAATTAAACACCCATTTGTTCCGATTTGTAAATGAATATGGGCACCATTTACGATGTTGCATAGCTGGGCGTCCATGCCGCGCTCCTGGACAATCGCAGTGCACGCTTTTTATAGGCACCCCTAACGAAGGACGTCCAACATCCCCATTCCTGTTGGGACTGTTCGTGTTGGACGAATGCAAGTTTTTCTCTGTTGAATCCCGAGTTTGTAACATTCCGATAATTAAATCTAGGCTTTGCGTAAGAGTCGCTGATTGTCGTTCCTGTCCGTCTCGAAATTCATCCGATAGGCCACGAAAGCCGATAGCCATAGAATTGGCCACATCCTCCGTCCTTTGAAGGCCTTGCTGCACCGATGCTCCTAACTGGCCAACGCCGATTTCTAGTCCTTCTACTACCTTAATGGCTGTGGCAACTTGGACGGAGTCAGATACCATTTGGGTTCTTATGTCCCGAGAAACATCACTTTATAGCCTATATCAGCAAAGCAGGCAAGACGGAAACTTGGTAAACACTCACAGATTAATCAATTGCAAATACCCAAGCAATTCTGCGTTGAATTCTCGAAGTTGAGATCGTATATCCTCATGCTTCCTTTTATCAAAAGGGTACTTCATCATCATGACAGATATCTTCAGTCTCAATCAAATAACTTCCCTTCACCACTAAGGAATCGTCTGGATAAACTATCTCCCGAGTAATACTCTAGTTTCACTTTAATCTTTTCCTATTGACAGGAAATACCTATACAAATAGACACTACGTCAGTCATCCATTGCATCACAAAGGCTGTGCTAATATAGTTAGTAGTACATGTATGCTTCTAGATGGGTGTAAAGCCAAACTCAAATATGTCAAAGCTAATAGGGATGTTTTGAACATCAGTGTATACAAGAAGAAGGGACTTAGTATGACTGGTTTCAAACCCCTATAGTAAGTGTAGACACTCTGACTCATATTTGTCGAATTAGAAAAATTATATATAAAATGGATATGCCCATTCCCCTACTTTACGATTGGGTATATTATGACATATTTCGTCCCGTAGCCCCTGCCGATGTGCATTCAATTGTTCCCAAATGAGCACACCATATATATATATGTATTAGGTAGTTACTTATAAAGAGAGAGTAGGGTACACGGGGCCTTGATTAGCTGGGATGTTAAGACCTGTCTGGAAGATCACGGAACAGGTCGTGACCGACATCAATTCTGACAAAGGTAAAGTTACTGGCAAGAGCAAGGTCATAATAGCGGGTTCAGGCTGAATTACATTTACCTAGGTAACTACAAATACCACATTATACACTATACTAACACGCGGCTTGCGCCCTGAAGTCCCGTATTTCTTAGCTATCTGGGTAGGTAGGGTTTTGTGAGATAAGCTCCCACGTTGAAAAATATTTAAATACACCACCATTCATCATCGACTTCCGCCCTGATTCAAACTATCAACACCCCAATCAACCCATCCAAGGTTGACTTCGTTATATAAAACCACCTCAATATACCTAAGCAATGATGCTGAAATCGTCACCAGAAAACAATAAATAAAACGACAAAAACAACCAGAAATCTTTCAAAAAACAAAAATAAAAGGCAACTAAAACTGATCCTACACATAGCATTAACCTTATCTAGCCTAAAGCTTCATAGACATAACCTATCTCTCTTAAGCACTTTCTTCAACACCTATTCTACCACCCTCCCAAAGAGACCTGCCTCCCTTTATCCTGCTCGACCTTATGGGCACCGCTATGATACTGTGATTACACCTAACCACGTCCTCAAACCACTTTCATTGACTATTAAAAATAGATGGAAGGCCATACCTGCAAGGACTTCGCAGGGTGGGGACTGGTGGTGTCTTTAATGAACGACGAGACCTTCACGGACGGATCAACGTCCTCAACAACCACGACTGATTAAAGCTGTAAGTTACCAGAACTTAACCTGTCACCTTGACTCCACGTCGCCTACACTCTAAGCCAGCGTTTTGCGGGTAACCTGATACCAACCTCTTTCCCCACCCTATCTTTATTATTTCCGTTGTCCTATACCATTCCATATCCACGCTCGTGGTATCCCTTCCTTTTCCCCATTTTAAATGCCACTCAACATGATACACACATGCAGTAGACACCTCACGAAGAACACCGACTAACTTGGAGTTTTCGCAGCCGAGTCAAAACTGCTGTCATCCTTAATAAGACAATAGGGAGTTGGTTGATGATATCAGGAGCCGAATCATGTTGGTATCATCAACCAATTCTCGGAATGCAGCAAGCATTCTCTGGCGGCTTGCCCGTCAGCGGGTAGTCTCTCGGAAGTTTTCGCTCCCAGACCTGGGAAGAACCAAAGCTGCACGAAGCAAATTCTTAAAGCTTGAGAAGCGACCCGGCTATACTAAGGGTAGTGAGTTAAGAGGTTTCTAGCTTACTGCCTCAAAACAGTGTCGAGCTAGCAAAGGCATCCTTGCCGAGGCGGGAATTTGGCGATGTTAGGATGGCCGATGCAGCTAATGATTTAGCTGCTAACTAAGGCCTAATTATCGCCTAAATTTCGCGTGGGCCAAAAGCAAGAGTCCAACCAACATATCCTGTCTCCGTCGACCCAGATCGAGGGGACGGAGCACTGTACCGGTTTCCTACATCAATTAACATTTCAGTCTCGGTATGCTACAGACGAGAGCATCCCTGAGGGTCATGCCGGCTGTCAATGCTGACGATGGGAGCGACGTCAACTCCTCCCCTCGGGTGGTCCATCGCAGGGTGCATGGCCCACCCACGTTGGAGCGGATAATCAGACATCTTCTAATTAATACGATAACGTTAATAAGAGATGGCCTAACGCCATTGCTAAACTATTCAATACGATGGCACTTACTTAGATGAAATAGCGTATAAATTTCTGGTCGCTTGCTTCGATAAGGTGTAGAATGATATCGTCGATACATCATAGGCCACGTCCAACACAAAAAGAAAACTTCTCCGAATTACTTGCTTGGCTATAGCCCTAACGCCTGCTGGATGCGCGAGTAGCTGAGGTGGGGAGATGCATACCCTCGACGACAAGGCCGATGATGCATTTTGAGAATTCATCGTCGGGCACTTTCGAGCTTTGGACCAGAGGCCCGCAGCAGGGGTGAGTAAAGAGCACCAGTCGCCTGGTTGGGACAAATGAAGAGCTAGAAAGCCTGACGCATTGCCGGCTGTGGGAGGAAGGTGGTGTCAGTAGTTGAGCTGTATGAAGCGATACATCTTGGGAAGTATCGGGAGGACCCCTTATCGCCGATACACGGACAAAGGAGCTTGTAGAACAAAGAGGCTACTCGTGTATGTATACGATAGTTCCTATAGTAGATACCTGCGATCTCTTCGCGCAACAACAGAGTTGTTAAACCCCCATATGGTTGGTCTCATGACAGGTGGTCTGTATTTTCTATTTCGTAGGGAAGGACCTGGTGAATCGGGTTGGGACGATAGTTCTCGTCGCAAGAGTGGTGCCTGGCCCTCTATGGACTCCGTATCAATGGATATTAACAGTCACGAGGATAGGATGATGTTGACTACGAAGCAAGGGATGTCAGCGTTATACTTTACCTAGGGTTGAGGCGGGGACCTAGAGTATAAGAGGCGTATTATAGACGGGAATACTCAATTATGGATGCATATTTAGTCCGCTTCTACCTAAAGCTGAGCTATAAGAAAAATCGGCGAACCCCGGGTTCATACTAGTTCTCCAAACTAAGCGGTAGCGGCGGCTGTTCCCTTGCTCTAAGTCGTAAGTTCTATGCGTGTTAGCAAGCTAGAAGCTATTTTCCGCATATAACTACTTGATCTGTACCATAATCCTAGGATTTCGTGTCTTACGCCCCCACCGCTTTTTTCATCATACATCGTGGGTTTCTCCAATGGGTAGGCTCAAACTAAAGCAGCATTCGTATCAACATAGTGCCATATATGTAAGTAAGCTTTGCGACGGAGTCTTGATGTGAGTCGGCTGAGCTTACTGTCATAGGAAAAGACTACTCCATATTAATATTCTATTGGCGGTGAGACCTTGCGGTTTCTTATGAAAGTCATTCCTTAAAGGAACACTTGGAATTGCTTTTTGCTTCCTGCATATGTATTATAGAAAACATGATCTGCTGACGAATCGACGAGGCTTCAGCCATGCAGCTCGATATAGGTCGGAGTATATTGACTTTGTCCGAAAATGACGTTTCAGAATGACAACATGGCTGACGCCTGTTTGACGCCTGCTGTAAGAATTTAATAAGGTGGCTGCCGCCTTGGTGTTCCCCAGCCTGTAAGGAGTCTTCCGACGTTACACGACACCGCATTGTCTCTCTATAACCGGCGGAAAGAGTCAGATTGGAACCAAGGATCCAATGCATTGATCGATGGAACATCTGATTGGACTGCTGACTTACATGATAGCTATATCGCCGAACTCACGTAAGCAACCGAGGAAGAGTGAGATGAATGTTCCGCGGTCTTTCCATTGTCCGTAATACTCGTCCAATAACGCCGGGATGGTCAGATCATGCTGTGCTAGCCTGGCTGGCTAGTTCCCCGGACCGTCAGCCCAGTCCCAACAGGACGGGACCCTATTCCCGTCTCCAAGGTATGACATTGACACATGCAGAGTAAAAAGACGCCATGGATAACAACGCAACCCTCCCATGGATCTTACACCCAAACGGATATCTTGCCATGGTGGGGAACGGCCCGAAAGAATAAGAATAAAAAGCAAAAAAAAGTGAAAATCAAAAAGGAATCACTATATTTTCATGATTACCTACATGCCTAACAAATATTACATTTCATTAATATAGTTGACGTATGGCTGTATGCAATGTAAGTGTGCAAATCCCGGATGGCGGAGCATCAGATCTTGGAAGTTTTCAATTTTCAGGATTTAAATGTATTTATATACAAAAGAAAAAAAATATGTATGTAAATGTATTTGTGCAGATACTTGGGTACTTGGCTACATACATCCTTTAAAAACCCAAGATGTACAACCCACACGAGGTACTTGCCCAGTCAGGTACCCGAAACAAAAAAGATGATTACCCCTTTGGGAAACCACCCATGTATCTCTGCGTAATCTGCGTAACTTTGTGTAACAAAAGGAAAGTAAAAAGTCGGTACCACCTGGCGAACAGCCGGTCGGGACAGGTCTAGAAGCGAACAGGGCAGGAAAGGGCAACAGGGGAGGTGAAAACGGAAGTGGCGGGTGACTTCCAATCCACTCGATCTGGACAGCAATTATTACATATGTGGATGTATGTAGGTAGTACATACATACATACATATGTACATTTGTACATAGTTCCGTATGTACCGTGCCACATGTTTAGATGTATCCAATACATGTACAATATGTATCAATTGATCATCTGGTTAGTCCAATAGGTTATTCCAATTTTTCCCCACCCCCACCAATTCGAGGCGGGATTACCTTATTCTTCTCTCCCTCACCTTTATTTTATTTTATCTTTATTTTTATTTTTTATTCCTACACAGTTTGAATATCGAGAGAAAAAAAAAGAAATTTCTTTTCTTTTCCCAGCAAACAACCCTTCTGACTTGTTGGAGCGCTCATCTCCAAAATTGGCGTTTCCTCATTTATGACAGAACCTGTTTATGCATACCAATACCAATACAAATACATGAAAAATACATGAATACCAATTCAATACTCACAATACTATACACACAATACACTCTATGAAATGCATTTCATCGTCGATCTATCCCCTTTTAGCGACAGCCAACTCACCAGACCTTGACCAGCCTTGATCAGCAGAACCCCCCTTAGTCCCCCCCAAATTCCAGTCCTTTCAGTGCCTTTCTCAGGTATCTGTCCCCCCCAGTCGGCCAGTGCCCTCAGGCCCTTGTCCGTGATGAACCACTTCTCGTCACTTCCTTCTGAGCTTCGGCTCATGGTATGGCGGTACGCGGTTGACATGGTCTACGACTCGCGTCCTCCATGTGCCTGGTCGTTGGCCTACCGCGCCCCATACTTGAGTATCCAACTTGATGAATTCCCCCTGCCCAAGCCCAAATCCAAGTCCACCTTGGCCGTCTTCCAGATCAACCGAGAATCACGCCACGAGGCTATCAGCAGGTACTTGCTGTTTAAGGCCCGTAGCGGTTCGAAGAGGGGGCGTGTTAGGGCAGATACTGACGTCTTTATCCTGGATGCCAGTGTGCTTACCGAGATGGCTTGCACGCCTGAATGGCAGTCGCCTCACTTTGCTAGAAATAGTTTCCATTACTGTCTTGTCACTTGGCCGCCGCCCTTGGCTGCAATCTACAGCCAATCTTGGCACAACCTGGCGTTCGTAAGGAAGATCCTCCTACCTAGCGTGTGCTTCACCTATTTGTACCGTAGCCAGCTTGCTCCTCTCCTCCGGCTCCCTTGCTTACATACCATCTACCTGGATTTCGGGTCCCCCTTGCGCAGTGCTGCCCGTGACTACTCTGTGGAAATGTTCCGAGCCAAGGACGACCGACTGGGGTTGGCGGGCACGCGTCGTGATGAATTCCACGCCTGGTACCAGGAACACTCAGACCTCCTAATCGACCCCCAGCTGAAACGTAGCGGCGGCGGCGAGCAGATGAACGAACTAACCAAGGCTCTTTTCCTGAAATGGCAACGTATTTTCCTCGACGACGTTTTGGCTGGGTGGGAACCATTCGCCCGGAAAGGCGTTACTGGCATCCTGGTCTCTGAGCTTTACTACGGCCTGCAAACGGAAATCTAATCCGGGCGCCCAGACTAAGATGGCCTTGCCAAACGCTTGGGTGAGCGAGCATGGGTGTGTGAGTTATGGGTATGGGTGCAAGCCCTGCAGGCGAGATATGTATGTACATACATCCCATGCCTGGCGCAACAGTACGTATATACCTATAGGTATCTGGGTATGTACATTACTTCGTACTTACATACATGCGTACAGATGTACATAGACCTAACAAGGCATACCTAGTAGCACCGCGGCTCTCTCTCTCTCTCTCTCTCTCTGCTCACCACGCAACGCAACCACGCCCAACATCATATCTGACGGCTTTTATGGGCTCCTTAGCGCCATCGGCTGCTACTTTAAGCAGGGGATGGGTTATGGTAATCATACGCGGTGGACGTGGAGTGACGAGGGGTAGTATCTGCACCCAGCCTTTTCTGGAATAATCAGCCCAACATTGACGTCTTTGGAAACACCTATGGCCCTTTCTCACCAGGGCGGTCCAGGCTTCCTAGGCTTCCTCTGCGTATTATTAACCTGGCCTTGCAACGGACCTTGCAATTTGATCTCTCAGCCCTTGCAAGGGTTAAAGAGATCTTCATCTCTCTCTCGTTCTCTCTCGCAAGCTTAGCTCTCTCTTGACTCCTCGCTAATCGCCCCTCCTAATTTTCGTCAGCTCCCAGTCAGTCCAGTTACCTCCTGCTAAGAGATATCATGTCTCGGGGCCTCCCAGAGCTACCACTACGCTGTCGTCATGAGAGAGTTCATCGACGAGTGCATGAACGACTTACACCTCTCCGACAGTTCACGTTCACGCCCTAGCACCGTAGAGACCTGCCCGCACGTACCACACGAAATATTTGACCCCGTCCCCTTCAAGAGGCTAGCGCCTCAAACCTGGTCGCTTACACCCTCACCAGCAAGCCGCCAGTCCACGATGCGTAAAAGGCGGTCACCGATTGGTGAAGACATAACTATGCGGCAGCGACGTCGCGATTTGCACATTCATCACCATCACCGCCCGATCAAGCCTCTCGCCAATGTCACTCCTACGAGACGCACTCGTTCACTTCCTACAGTGCGCCACCCATTGCTAATGCCGGAGAAGGAAGACCATCTCGGTTGGCAAGAACCACTATCAGTGTGGAATCAAAACGCGCCTCGCGTCTATATATGCGTTGTATTATGCTTTCCTTGCGATCACCAACGCCGACATGAAGCAATTCACCATATCGAGTCCGCCCTCAAGCGTCTAGCCAAGGAACGGCCCGTCTTTGCGGGGCGCCTTCAAGCTAATAGTAATAACGGCAACGTATCACTTCACCGGTCTCCATCACAGGACATTCCTTTTCAAGTACTCCCCGCTAGCGAGACTTGTCAACGAGATTATGCACGACTAAGTAAAGACGGATTCCCGCCGGGCACATTCGTCCATCCTCGGTTTGGTGTTTCGGGGAATGTAGGCACCAACCTCGACTCAATACCAGTATCGAAAGTACAAGCGGAATTCCCACCCGGTGGCTTGCTACTTTCTATCTTCCTACATCACGGCTTGGTGGACGGCGGTTCATTGCGCGTCTTCCTGGAATGTTTCGCCGCGCAGACCCGGAATACTCCAGTTCATCTGCCATCTGAACAGACGTTTCCTATGTTGCCTTCTCGAGGCCACAAAAGTCCAATCACAATGCGCAATATTTCTACGTTTAGGGGTCTATTGGCAGGATGTCCAGAATACACAATGCTAGGCGATCTTAGCGGCCCAACGCAACCGCGACTATTAAAAACTGGGTTGGATATGGCACATATCGAGAAAATTGGCAAGATCTTCGTCTTCAGACACGAACGGCTGCAAGAGCTGCGGGAACTGATCCGGTCTCGAAATGGGACGGTGGAGCCTCCATCGGCATACACAAGCTTGGCGGCCCTCGCATTTGCGCATATCACGAAAGCTCGCGTGGCAGCTGAGAAGTACTTACCAGGAAGTCAAGCGAGAAGATATGCCATGTTATGGAATTCGGTGAATTGGAGGACGAGGGCCTTCAAGGGCGCGACAGATAATTACTTTGGTAATGCAGCATTACCAGCAGTCACGAGGGTGTCAATGGCCCAACTAGTAGCGGCGTGTGAGGACGACACCGAACTTGCTCAGCTTGTGCCGTTCGTAAAAGAATCAATTGACGCTGTTGACCAGGAATACGTCAGCCGGCGTCTTGCCCTGCTATCCGAAGCACCCGACCCACGCTTAGTTGGGGTCAATTATGACCCACGGATGCCTGAAGCGTTGGCGTTCAACACATGGAGGCATTTCGGGGCAGATGTGGAATGGAGCATCCCGGGAGTGCCCGTGACAAGGGCGGATGCGATAAGGAGGGCACACGGTTCGTGGAACCTTGGTACGGCGCTGATACTTCCGGCCAAGGCGGACTCGATGAAGCAAGAACTTTTTGTTAGCTTGCCGATTGATTCGATGAGGCTGTTATGCGCCGATGATGGATGGACGCGGTGGATTGATAGGATCATAGGTTGAATAATGAATGAGGCTGCAACCACTATAATGTAATTATCTAATGCCTTGATCCCTGGCCCTTGTCGATGATCTACTCATTTCTCATTTCCGTGGCAGTTGGGCATTGGTTGTCACCCTGTCGGCTGTTGGGATCCGAGTCCGATACGGCCGGGCTCACATCAGGTTCCCTGGCTGCTTGTGTGACTTGTCACATCAATCTAGTGGCCTCGCGCACGACAGGACCTTGCTTTTTTTTCTTTTTTTCCTGAACTTCCCAGCGGTACCAAACTTTTTCGGGTAGAGGGTGGAGAGGGTAGCGAACCGCGGAAAATCCGAACCATATCCGGAATCAGACCCCTTTTCTCGGCGCCAAGGTATCTTGCGAGGTACGTACAGAATTGGGAATTAAAAATGCTACGTACCTTAAGTGCGGTCTAAGTACGGATAGATTCGATGCGATACCGATGGCACTATCTACAATTCCTGTATGGAACCTCCAAAGTACCTAGCCTTCCCTACCTTTTACAATCCGTTCGCCGCGGCCCGAGCCGCTGCGTAGGTCGATTCAATGATAAGAAAGAAAAAATTTTACTTTATTTTTATTTTAGGGATGCAATGGAGGCTCAAAAGGTGGAAATAGCCTAATGTTCGTCAGTGTGCAGCGGGTGTGATGTTATGCTTTAGTGTCAAGCAAGCATAAGAGAATGGTGTAGCAATGAGTGGTGATGGATGGTCGACGACGGACTTGGTGGGTGACATTATGGCGTCTTGTCCTTGGTGGCTGTGACCTGGGCGAAATTGTCAGCCTGTCTGGTTTTGTTATTCTGTCAGACTATGAGCAACGGCGATCAATCGATCTGCCTGTACGTACTTCTGACAGCCCTATGAGAATCGTCGCAGGATCGCAGAGTTTCAGCCGCCTTCTGAGTTGGGCAACCAGAAACGCCAGTCCGATTTCCTTTTCCATCGATCTGGGACCGCTGGAAAGAATCGGTATGCGTAAAAGAGGTAGGAGACCAAGCTTGGTTCGCCTGGATCGGTTTCAAAAAAGTGACGAGACCTACATTTTTCACCTACTTTAGCATTAGACGGGCGCTGCAGAAGTAGAGCTGCTGTCCTGCGGCACGGGTAATCTTGATTGATCACGCTCTTCACGATGACATAATGACATAATACCCTACTTGGCCTTAGCCTACATACATATACATACATGCGTCAAATACGGAATACAATGGAACAAGCACTGTATGTAACCACTTATCTCAGCCAAGCGTGGATTTGATGGATGCCCAAAAGGCCTCAACTCAACCTAAGTAAGCACTTCACCCAATCCTTAACCAAGTACGGTCCGCTTCGAAGAAAAAGAAAACCGTGCTTCCATGTCTCTCTTCTCCTTTAGATTCTAAAATGAGACTGACGAAACTCCCAACACATACTGTACAGTAACAGCGATCGTAACTTGTTGACAAGCATTGTTATGCCTGCTAGTTATCTATTTCTAATGAACGCGCTAGAGAATAATACCCCTGGCGTTTACTGTTTATGGTAGCAAAGTCGCCGTACTGTACGCCACTACTTCGATATATATGGATACTGGGCGTTCTTCATTCATTCTGTTTCCAGGTTTATCGCGGAAGAAATGAACAATTTGGGGCTTTGTTGATGAAATTTGGGACGAACGCACATCACTTACGCATCTCGAAACAATTTACTTACTTTGGTTTTGCTTTTTTTTTCCTTTTTCTTTTTTTTTCTACCCTTGGGTTTTCCCTCTCTCTTCTAATTCTGACGGCATGCTCGGCTTGTGGGGGGATGGCAGGCCAGGTCGAAGAACAGTGAAACAATCTTCTCGGCAGGAATCCCATTCGTCAAAGGGGAGGACCGCTTGTCATGCGAACCCTTTAGTAACGAACTTATTATTATAGTCGGTGTCTGTTATTATTTCTGTAAGCGCTTCGTACAGACCTTGCCCGCTGATTGCATCGTCATTTTTTATTTTCTTTCTAGCCTCTCAGAAATGAAAGAAGGGGAAAAAAAAGATCTCGTTTCGGTCTTACCCGCTTTCTGACTTATGTGGGTTTCCGCTTTAGATCTCACTTACTAGGTAATTTCTGTCATTTTTCCTTTTTTCGACTAGGTTCTGGGTACCTTAGCATGGGCTCGTGAGACCCAAGTTCGTGAGGGAGCTCGCTTACTCACCAACCAACCACGCGAGCATGGAGACCATGCCGAACCGGGGAACCCTTCCCTTTCCTCCCCGGAACCCCCTGACGGAAACCTCTCCGGTCCCCGGTTCGGAGACTGGGCTCTTCCTCAGATTCGAGAAACATGTTTTGATACCTGGACACGGCATACTACGTGGGGGGTTGAGAAGGGGAATGGGAAGGGGGGGCACAGAAGTGAGGCTATCGCCGTTTTTACCTCTTAATGCATGTCCCTCGGTCATAATCTGAAATAAGGAAATCCTACCTAGCCTGCCTTGTCTCCTTCCCGTATACCTAGCATACCTACTCACCGCTGTCCCCTCTTTCGTACCGCCGCTGATCGCGCGCCGCATCAACTAGTAGGGGAGAGAAGGGGGGGTCGCTTCAATTTGCATGGGGGTAGCCCTGGCTTCCATGATCTGATATATCAAGGGACTTTTAAAGGGTCAATCCCAAGAGCACGCACGATACGGTCCCCATCCCATCTTCAGGCGACCGGGCGGGGGATTTGGGAAAGACATACCGCAATACCCTACCCTAGATACATCCCCCCCTCCCCTCATACGTACATATACATATACATATTCACACATGCATACATATATGTACATATATGCTACCTAGAACGAGATGATAGCTGGAGTTCAGCCGCGCCATGCGTGCCATCGCATCCTTTTTTTGCCCGATTTCCCCCTGGGCCGGAATCGAACAGCGGCAGCTAGCCAGCTAGCCAGCCAGCCACGCATGGCAATATGTCTCGGACGCTGTATGCGGTATGTATTGCAGAAGGCAGGCTGACGGCACGTTACGTACGGGTACGTCATGCGGTGTGTTTCGAGAGAGACATGCGCGCGCCCTGCGTAACAATGTCTTGTCTTGTCTTGTCTCGAGAAAGAGTCCGTCGTGTTACTCCGTCTCCCCGCTTCCTCGGTCCCGGTTCGCCCAATCCACCGACGTCACGGAACTCTCCGTATTCCTGGTAGGTAGGTAGTATTATCAAGCCGCCTCTTACTGAAGAAGAGGAGAAATGCCAACCCTACTCCAACTACATTGTTGGGAGGAGGTTTGTGGTTGGGGGAGTTGCTCGCTGCTATTAACATGTTAGAGAATGCCCGCGTCGGTCTGTTCTCTTCATCTTTAGCCTTGTCTTGTCAATCTTTAGATATGTACTTGTTCCTTAACAATGATGTCTTAGATTGTTCCCGTTGTGTGCGACCGACAGAGCCTGCTCGATTGATGCGATCGGGATAATTTCGCACTGTCCATCTATTTGCGCCGTCAAATTGTTGAGTTTGATAATTCGCTCTTTAGATGCACTCCCGGTGCATATTAGAAACGAGTTTCTGCTTCAGGTCGGTTGACCAAAAGCATGTCTTCAAGGTTCGTGAGATTTTCGTCGGTAAAATGATCTTGTGTCATTGAAGCAGGTCTCGTATTTCCTAGAGGCTCGAGTTGACAACCCGACAGGCGCAAGTTCCGTCTTACAATTGAATCCGTTTAGTAGATTGTCCGAGCAGAGCCCAATCTAGAGTGTGCCACGCGTGCTCTCACATTGCAGTTCTTAATGCAATAAGACCAAGCCGAATGATAGAAATGTTTCGGGTGCAACGATTGGTGAATTTAGCGATTCATCCCTAAGAAAAACATAGCAACAAAAGCCTGTTGACCTCTTTCGCATCGCATAAAAACTTGACAAGATCTATCTCTTCCACATCTCGTGGGGTTGCTGAGAAGCTGCGTCTATTCAAGTTTGTCGTAGCAGAATGCGTACCTCATAGTGGTGCGATCACGTCACAAATTGAGATCCAGGGGTTGCGGTGGGATGAGACGATCTCGAATGATCTAGGAAGGGTTTGCATTGACTGTGCTACACCGGGACCCCTCCAAATTCCCCCATCGTTTTTCACCCTAACTCACCTCAATATTGATGCTTTCGTCGTCAGTTCTATCGCCATCGCCACCACGGCGGCGTTAAGACGACATAGCCCGCTTAGCGAGAAACCGGCAAAAAGCAGCTTGCCACATGCAGGCAGAATTATATTGGCATTAGCAGCCTCAGAAGCCAACCAGGCTTCTTGACAAGGCGTCTAGATCAATGGCGACGCGTAAATAGTATATTTACATATAACATGAAACCGCTATCGTGGAGCGTGGGCAGGGGCTCGGCCAGGGTTAGCTACCATTTAACCGCCGGCAAAATCACTTAGAGGTCCATTGCGTCAATATAGGAATCCCGGTTCTCCAAGCTTGGGCTACCTTGGGCTGCTTGGGGAATACCGGCAAAATTGATTCCCCACGATGATCGGCATAAACATGCTAATTTCGAACTCCATCCCATCTTCTCGGGAACCAGGAACGGACTCGTGGTTCCCCTTTCCAGAACGAGATCATTGGTTAAACCGGCCGCTGCGTCCAATTAACACAATTAACCCAATATAACGCAATGCCCGCCAAGTATATAAGGCGCCATCCCGTCCCCGCTGCGGCGATCAGAAGACCCTGAGGAGCTTTATCCTGCCAGAGCCAAAACAGACCTCATCAGTCAGTTTTCGATCCAGTTTCAAATTCCCGCTCGACAACATGCTCGGTTCATCCATCCTCGTTGCCCTTACGGCGGCTGCCGGAGCTATCGCCTCCCCGCTCGACCTCATCACCCGCTCGACCCCCGCCGGTACCGGTACCAACAACGGCTTCTTCTACTCGTTCTGGACCGACGGTGCCGGCTCGGTGACATACAACAACGGACCCGGTGGCTCGTACGATGTAACATGGTCGAACGTTGGTAACTTCGTGGCTGGCAAGGGATGGAACCCTGGTGCGACGCGCGTGGTCAAGTACAACGGAACATGGAACGGCGCCAGCGTAAACAGCTACCTGTCGGTGTACGGCTGGACGCGCAACCCTCTGATTGAGTACTGTACGTATAGTCGCTCCAGTTTTCCGTGTATATAGAAAATATGCGCTAATACTAATAAATTGCAGACGTCGTAGAATCCTTCGGAACATACAACCCCTCTTCCGGCGCACAAAAGCTCGGCTCAGTTGAGAGCGACGGCAGCACGTACGACGTCTACCGCACGCAACGTGTCAACCAGCCCTCCATCGACGGCACGTCCACCTTCTACCAGTTCTGGTCCGTCCGCCAGCAGAAGCGCGTCGGTGGTGAGGTTACGCTTAAGAACCACTTCGACGCCTGGGAGAAGGCTGGTCTCAAGCTCGGAACTCACAACTACCAGATCCTTGCTACTGAAGGTTACCAGAGCTCTGGTTCTGCTGCTATCAATGTCGAGCAGTCTTAAGTTAAAAGGAGGCCGCTGTCTTCCTGTTTTCGCCGTGATGGAGGGACTTTAGTCGTTGGTGAAGCGTTGGAAAAGGAAATGCACGTGTACCGGTCGTCGCGAAGTATAATTCGCGGATCATAAGCTTGCTTTCTATGTATGTTAAGTCGGTACCTTTCATTGGGGGCTCGGAAATTGGGGTTCTCAGTGTACGGCTCTTATGGTTGGAAATTTGATTTTTCTACCGGCATTATCTTGTTCGACATGCCTTAAGTGACTTGCTATGATGAGTAACAATAAGTAGAATAAGACTAGTTAACATTATGCTTTAGAAGTCTAGTAAACAGTTCTGCGCAGCTACTTCTATTAATCATGAGTACTATGGTTCGAGTTCTATGTAGCCTAAATGTAGTTGGTTCTTCTCTTGGGATCAACCCCTTTTCTATGGTTACTAAGTACATCCTTAGTAAGCATAGGTATTCATGACTACATACGTAGACTTAATAGAACATTATGTCCACTGTCAACCTAGTGGTCAAGTATTATGCGCCCAGGCATTATTATCTCTCGACTCCAAGGCAAAGCTTCAAGACGTTATCTTCAGTATGACAATACCCAATAACTCACCCTACACACAACCATTAGCCGTATTGCTAGCTATGTACTACCATGAAAAGCCGTTAGCCCCCCCCTCCCCCCTATTTGCCTCCGTACATTTCCTATGCGTCACTATACTTATAGGCTATCAAATAACATACTCCAACACAAGGTATTTGAAATAGCATCCACCTTGATTTTGCCTTGCAGATCACCCATCACCGTACATACAATACGACATATCTCGGTTGTTTATCCTCTTGGGGCTTCAGGAACTTCGTACCTGCCTCATCCCGCGCCCCCTACATAGGCAGCTCTCAAGATGCGGCATGACACAATAAAATCAGGCCATTGGGGGGCGTAATGTGGTCATAGCTAATTTCGCATCCATATGAGGTCCTGCCTCATAGGACCTTCTGCTTCCGCTTGTAACCCCTTATTTTGCCCGGTCGAAAAAAAAAAAAACAGAGCGCCAGAAGCGCCTGGGTATAGATGGATTGCGGCGGATAAATATTTTATACTCGGTTGGCTGGGAGGTTCCTCGTGCTTCCAGCACCTTCCATGAGGTTTGTGAGACCTGTAATTGACGTATCCTCTCTTCCACGTACTTCTAGGAATATTTCCGTCGTTACCGAAGAAAACCGCATCTCAGTTTGTATTGTTGAAGACAGATGATTACTAAACCCCCATCCCCGATGTCCCAAGGCGTCACCTCGGAAGTGTGATTCCTGGGCATGATATCATAGCAGGAGCCACACACCTTATTCATCAAGTCGTCCCAATAGGCAGACCGCCACATTGTTCGGCGAACATAACGTCGTATCAGGGACAACCTCCGGTCACATAAGATTTTGCAACATAGTATATCTCTCACCATGCCACCTTCCTAGGAGAGTGCTATTGGTAGGAAATCAGCATGAGCATGTTGCTTCGGTCTAGGCATTATGCGCTCGACGTGTCTGAACTCATCTCTCATAAACCGCGAGCGTGGGATATAGTTCCGACGCAGCTAACCTGCATGTAATAGCTTCGATGGGGAGGAATTGATTGGTCTGTTGGAAAGTTGACAAACGACTCGTCTATAAATCCTTTGACTTTAGGCATTGTGACTGCACATACGAAGTTGCAACGACGCCCCTGGTAAGTCCGCACGTACAGTCTACCACATTCTCGACCTCGTTGGTGGAGGTTATTGGAGGTAACCCCCAAATATTGGCTACCGAACTCTCATCAAATAAGGCGCCGATATCTGCAATTTTTCCTGTGGCACGACAGAAAATGCTAGAGGGGTTGCAATCATTATCAGGGTCGGGGGTAATTGCACCCGCACGGGAAGCCGGACAATGTAGTTGAGTTGACTAAGAAATTGAAGTTATTATGATTAACTAGAAGCGGCAATGAAGGATTTCCGGATACTTACGATTATATCGGATACATCCCAGGGACGTGGAAATACTTCTAGATTTGTATCCTAATCAAGTTCCTTGTACCTTATTGATCATTGTATTGGAAGCTCTACGGTTAAGATGAATATGATCTCTTACCCGAGTTCTATAGCCAATAATTAGCCCCTAAGTCCAACCTGGGTTACCATCGATGGCAACTCAGATTAAGGGCTCAGAAGAGTCTGTTTATGTATTAGGTATCTCAATTTTATATAGAGAAGACAATGTTGTTCTAAGATATCAGAAAGAAACGATGGTCATTATGAGAGAAAGCCTCTCGAAATCCTAGAGCATGTAACCCCATGAATGAATCTTCTAGATAGAATCTGTATAATTTAAGTACTATTTCTTGCTAAGATAAGATATTACGATGTTTTGATTTTCAAAAAATCGGAGCTCTACTTGGTATAGTCCCCTATCCACGAAGGGTTATGTTTAACAAAAATAGCTATGCTGTCTTCGTAAAATTTCGAATAGTCGCTATCGTATATAGTATTGTGTTAAAGGAAAGAGACGCTAGTCGAATGTAGCTATGTTTATAATTGTTGGCGGACGAGAGACTGGACATAGCTGCTGATTTGACTAATAGGTATTTATATCCGCCACTAATTCCTTCAGCAATGATTTACACCAAATCATGAGAATTGATTCACTAGTATAAATCTTTCCAGTCCATAGAATAGTCGATTAGCATGCCGTCTAACTATAGTTATAATGCGCGGGGCCTTATCAGCTCCTACGATCTTATACCGTATAAAGGGTTAGTTTTACGAGCTGTGCGACGTTGTGAAGGGTTTAGTATAGGACTATAGAATCCTGCACAGGCAGTGTTGTGTAAGTGCTGTTGGAAGTCGTAAATATGGGCCAATGACGCCAAAAGACCATCATAGTATAAGGACTAGCTATTTAACTATTATTTGTCCAATTGTACGACACTTCCCTATCGCTATGGTGATGGTAACACCTCTTATCAGGTGGCTTCCACAGATCTAGCCGAACAAGCCGTATACCCCTTTTACATATAAACCCTCTCATCCCCCTTCAGATCTTCGACCGGACCTTCCTTTATGGTCAAAGAAACTCCGCTAAATCAAGCCTGTACTATCTGACTATGGCTGTAGAACAGACTGTAAAACCCGTGATCATCCTGGTCCACGGGGGCTGGCACACACCGGAATGCTGGGACAAAGTCAAGACCCGACTCGAAACAACCGGGTACGAGGTATACGCGCCGCAGCTAATCACTTCCTGTGGGCCAGAGCCAATGCACCACTCATGGCGTGTTGACGTGGCCGTCGTACACGATCTAGTCATACCCCTCTTCAACCGCGGACGCCACGCCGTCATCATCGGGCACTCGGCTGGGGAGATCGTCGCGACTGTATCTGTTCAAGGACAGACAATCGCGGAACGGCGGGCCCAAGGACTTGAGGGAGGATTCGGTGCTCTGGTGTTTGTCTGTGCGTTTGCTATTGGGAAAAGGGGGGATACGTTGTTGGATAATATTGGAGGCGTGTTTCCGCCTTGGATGACGTCGGTGGAACCTGGTTCGAATGTGTGTTTTTCTTTTTCAACTTGGAGAACTCGGAATTTGCTTTTATACTACCTAGTGCTGACAGTACGTTTAGATACCGTTCTCAGCTGAGATCAAACAGGGACAAGTGCCCTTCTACAGCGACTTACCCCCGGATGAGGCTAAGGAGTGGGAGGGAAGATTGCGGCATCAATCACTGAGGTTCATGGAAGAACCTGTGACGTTTTGCGCTAATGACGTTACGATCCCTATGTCGTATTTAATCTGCGAGGGTGATGAGACCCTTCCTCTCCCGGCCCAGGAGGCTATGGTCAAAGCCGTTCCAGCGATTAAGGTACGGCGTTGTACGGCGGGCCATAGTCCCTTTCTGAGCCAACCGGATCTTTGTACTGAGATGATTATCGAAGCTGCCAAGAAAGTGCAGTAAATGAGGAATTGAGGTCTCGTTGGGAGAGAATATGTATCATGTAACTTGTAGGAGGTTGTTGATTATCGATAGGTGTCGTTGCTCCTGAGTTGAGTAATAACTGTGGGTGCACACAAGCGATGGGCTTCATAATCATTATTTTTCATTTTTTTATTATACATTGTGGAGTGTGGAAAGTTTTTACACAAGGACGGTTACCTGGTAATTCCTCATAATACATCGTCGTGGAGATCCTCGTTTCATTTCCTTCATGATAGCTAGCTTCTTCCCTGAATCATCTTCCCCTCATTACCCTATCCTCATCTAAGCATCGACGAAGTCCTTGACGTTCTTCAACCAAGCCTGGTATTCGCGCTGCTCCTTAATATCTATGTAATCCGGGACAAAAAGCGCAAGAGCCGAAGTCACACCGCGCTCCTCAAGGTATCTCTCCATAAGGAGCTGGAGGTCCTCGTCGAGCGAGCCGAAGGGCGGGCCGGGGTACACGTCCTGGGCGCTATGGGCAAGCTCAGCCGTGGAGCTGTGCGCTAGCTTCGGGTCTTGGAAGTAGTAGAAGTTCTCAACGATGATGTGACCTTCTTGTGCCTGCGCCTCAATGTTCAAGGCGCCTTTGCCCTCCTTCTCAATCACGATGTTTAGACGGCTAGGAACGCCCGGTTCGGCTTCTTCGTCGAACTCGCCTTCGTCCTCATTCTCAGGAGCGCCTTGTGAACCGCGGACTTTGCCGTCGGGAGAGTCGAGCTCTTCGTCACCTAGAGCGGCGTCCTCGTTGAATTCGTCGGGGTTGTAGTTGGCGAGGTCGGAGATGGAGAAGGTGATTGTGATTCTAGAGACAAGTGGGGTTAGCTCTGAGACCTTCATTGTACTTGAAAGTTTCAGAAGGGCAACTTACGTCTCGTTGCCGAATGTTCGAACCAAGCTAACGTCCTCCTTACCAGCTACATCCTTCAGCTCGAAGGGGCTGTTCTCGAGGAAGTCTTTGACGCTGGCGGGGAGTTCCTCAGCCTCCTTCATCTCGCCTTCGAATTGAAGCTCACTCTCGAGCTTAACCGATAGTTCCTCGTCTACCTCAGTCTCGGGTGCTCGTCGGAATTGCGATGTTGAGAATGCAGAGGCGAGTTGTGGCGATCGGAGGGGTGTCCATGATGACTTCAATAGGGAGCTTGGTTGAGCTACTCTGGATTGACGAACGGCGGTTGAGCTTAGACGGGAGAGTGTGCGGGGTGCTGAGCGCGCCGCGGCTCGTAGGGACATCATCATGTTGGATTGACTTGTATGATATACTCTTCAAGGATACTGACTACTGGGAAGAGGGAGGAGATCGGATTGATTGATGTTAATGGAGGGGTAGCTTGGTGGTGAATAAAATTTGGGATTGAATAATATGGGAAATTCCCAAAAATTTTATTTGACGATGGCGATAAACGATTTGAGCTTGTATGGCGCACGGACCAAGTAACAGGGATTAAGCTTTTAGTGGCTTGACGCTTAATCCTATTTGATACATATTTAATTAACCGTATAACATCTCGTCGTCGCTGTGAACCCTTGGCTTGGAATCATAGGCTGGTTCAGATGAACTGAGAACATGGAAAAACTATAATAGCTTGATATTCTAATTATAGAAGTCTAAAGTATATAAAGCGTGCCATTGCGTGGTTGTGATGCCGTTATATAATTAGACAATGGATCGTTCTATTTTCCCCATTCTTTTTGAATTTTGATGTTTGTGACTTGACATTACATCAAGATCCAGGCAAACTGTCTATGAAAAGAAGATGCCACCGTATTTTGACTTCCGTTTTAGTGTTTATATAATCCAACTCTATGTTGCGAGAACTTGAAATGTTCAGATCCGTGAAACTAGGCCACCTCCTTCCTTGCATTTCCAGCATTGGTATCTAGTTCTGCTCAATATGCTATTGACACCGATACCACAGCTTCCGAATATGCCACTGAGTCTCGCTGTCTTGCAGCATTGCTCTGATATGAGGACTGTTTCTTCGTGGCCACAGATGTAGCAGGCTTTTAGGTGCGTAACGTATTGACACATTTCTGGTTTTGCGTTAGAATGGAGTCTGGCCCAGAAGCTAAAGATTACATACTGGAATAGCGTCAATGAATGTGTCTCGATGGCTGGCAGTTTAGTTCGCTGTGGTAGTTTTCATATGGGGTAGAGATCGGCATTGCTCCTTTCTATACTGCGCGTATCATGGCATATTTTATACAACGCTGACAGTAGACTTCACTGCGAAAATTCTTCAAAAGTTTTTGGACTGTCTTCGCTGCAGTGATTCTTCTAACAGTATGACCCATTCTTAAAGCATGAATTTCGCGTTCATGGCCAGGCCAATCGGGTGCTTGAAGTAGCGAAGAAAAAGAGTATTTTCATCCATGGTCGTTACTTTACAAGCGGGCTGGGCCAATCGCCTGAATATTTCTGTTTGGAATAGATAAGCATTCTGCTTGGTGGATGTGCTACGAGTTAGGGCACTGGTATTTAATAACATGAATTTAGAGAGGACAATGCACAGAGCATCTAGCCGCGGGCGAAACGAGGGTTCATAGAAGACAAGGACGGTTGTGAAAGGTCACACGTTTGGTTGACTGCGGATGGGACGATCTGATTTATCTATGAAGATGGTTGAGGGATCGGTAGTTCGGGAAGTGGTAAGGCTCTGTGGCTTCATTGCGCGCTTCGGATCCGGGGTGCAGGCAGTTTGGAGTAAACTATCATGCCGTGAACGGTCGGCTGCCCACCTCCCCATACATACAACTTGGCAGTCTAAAAACAGCCGTGACGAGTATGCACCTGGGTTGCAAAGGATCGCGATTTTACATCTGTAGTGGCACGTTCGTCCAATTAGCGTTGGGCGCGCTGAATATCTTCAGCGGATAAGTTGATTCGCCTAGTGGCATCGGGCGGTCTCCGTTCCAAGGCGCGGAAACATTGCCGAGGGATCCAGATGGCTTTACTGTCGTTGATATCCGAAGTGAATGGCGGATGGTATAGAGACTAGTCGAGATCATCTGCCTAGATATTTTATGTGCATCTTAAATCTTGCCATTGAAAATACTAGGAGCGAATGCCGACGTAAGTGGCTTGAGTTGTGGAGTTTGGAGCGGATGTGCGCCACTGCTGTAGGTAACCGTGGGCTTGAAAATTAGAGGCCCAAACCCCCTTGTCAGGTCTCGGAAACCTTTCCCATCCGTACGTAAGGCCCCGTCTGCTCTATGATAAACATAGAAGTATCAACCGAGTTTACAGAAAAGCCGTTTCACATACATTCTCGGTGTTAAGCGTTAAGCATGTGAGCGTCGAGGGGATTTTTCAATGTTCTCCTCTCGGAGGGAAGCTCGATGGCTGTACTGTACCAGTAGATGAAATTCTCGCCCAATGGACAGTGGTTAAATAAGACCAAGAGCCTTCCCAGCGATTAAAAAGTGCCGCATTTTCTTCAGTATCAAGTACCGGAAGTACTAAAAAACGGATTAGTTGATGAGACCTCAATAGTACCGTCAATGTACCGACAGAAGCCATTTTGATATTCCTTCTCAAGCTTGTCAATCTTCACTTTCAATAAATCTTCCTTAGCACTGGCAGGCCGTCCGGGTCGCCGTGCCTTTTTTACTTCGTTTAATTCTTCATCAAATTGATATACGAAACTACATTGCAAGTTAGTTCAAAGGGGTTACATAAAATAGGTAGGATACCTTGATGGAACTAACGTCTTAATAAGCTCCTGGATTACATCTTGCTGTAAGGGTTTGCCCTCATTTTGTCTCAGCGCCTCTTGAAAAAAGGTGGCTCGTTCAACTGGTTGCGCAAATATGTTAATTGATTGTGCTTGTAGGGATGGTGGGACAATCCATTAACGTACGGTAGGGTTTGTCATTTTTCTTTCTTGAGGCTGCGATTTTTTCTAACTTCTCATCTCGAACTTGGGCTCGATGTAACCTCTTGGAGTCGCGCGAGTATTGATGAAGAGAATCGATAGGACCCTTCTTTTTGGCAATGGCCTTGCGGGTTCTCTCAAATGATTTTGGCATTTTGAGATGATATTTGATGAGTGTCCCCGGCGTACTGAGTATTGGTGAATGACAAAAAAAAATGCACTGTACGTACATGAATGTATGTGGGAATGTAAGTTAGATTAAGTTTAGATATTTTCGAGATTTTTGCTTGCTGGAAGAATTAGTGGGGTTAGAATACTTCCAGAAATGGATTTATTGAGTGCAGCTAGACAGGCACTGGGTCCCTTTAGATCCTAGCGTCTGAATGTGGCTGGTACTTAAAAACTGTTATATAAAACGCGTTCTACATGGCCAATCTAGTATCTTTTTGCGGGTATATACCATATTTATGTAAGCTTTATGTACGCATATACAGTGTGTAAACAGGAACGTATGTGCGTACATGGATCTTTTAGTCCATTCTAAATTGGTGATTGGTTAGCCCCACGTTGCTGGTCCTACCCACATTATGGAAATCGCGGTGTGGCCCTTCCCACGACGCGGTTGCCCTTATCGATTGACCCTTTAAACCTCCACGAACTGGGGGCACGGTGGTAGGAGCGACGAACTTTCTAAAGTCTACATATTTGTCACGCGTTCTGTTTCTTGTCTATTGAACTTTCTTTCCATACAATTACAACAGCACCAACCTTCCTCTACCCTTTCCCTCGACACTCCTGGGGTAACACTTCGACATTGTTTACCTCCGCAAATTGTCAACAACTTCAAATCCTTGCGCGAATTGAATATCATTCTCGGTGTGTTTATACGTGTTTACCGCCGACTTATTCAATATCTTGAAATTGTATGGTTCAATTGATTGCCAAAGGATTTGCTTTGCTCTTCATCACTAAACCCTAAACCTTTGAAATTTTTGCTACCTTTTGCTATCTCAACACTTGGGTATCTGGTTCTTCAACGTGGTGTCAATACTTCGGATGATCACGAAGTTATCATAAAGGTATCACGGTCCAGGCGCTGGAGAAGGGGGGATCCACTTGGTCAAGATGGGTATCCAAGGTATGATCACAACTAACGCTGTTCTCAACACGACATACTGATTGATATAGGACTTCTTCCGCTGCTCAAGTCAATCCAACGACCGACGGAGTTGAAGAAATATAGCGGGGAGACCTTCGGAGTTGATGCCTATGGTTGGCTACACAGGGGCGCTGTACCGTGCGCCATTGAACTCGCACAAGGTAAGCCGACACGAAAGTAAGTACCAATAATAATACTTTGCATAGAACACAACCCTCTAACACCTTGCCTATTAGATATGTCGACTTTGCTATGAACCGTGTCAGAATGTTGAAGCACTTTGGCATAACGCCGTACTTGGTCTTCGATGGCGGTTTCTTGCCTAGCAAAGCTTCAACGGAAGCCTCGCGTGAAAAGCGTCGCGAAGAGTGTAAAAAAGCGGGTTTGGAGTTATTGAAGGCCGGTAAGCCTTCTCAAGCACACGCCGAGCTTCAGAAGGCGGTCGACATAACTCCAGAGATGGCAAGGCATCTCATCGAAGAGTTGAAGAAAGCTGGTGTCCCATACGTCGTCGCGCCGTACGAAGCCGATCCTCAATTGGTATACCTAGAACAGCAGGGCATTACCAATGGTATCCTTTCGGAAGACTCTGACTTGTTGGTCTTCGGAGCCAAACGCCTGCTAACTAAGTTGGACCAATATGGAAACTGTATTGAGGTGAACCGAAGGGATTTCGGTGCATGCCGAGAAGTTTCCTTAACGGGATGGTCGGACGCACAATTCCGCCAGATGGCTATCTTGAGTGGCTGTGATTACCTCGATAGTATCAACAACATGGGACTGAAGACAGCATATAGGATGTTGCGAAAACATAAGACGCCGGAAAAAGTAATCCGCATGTTACAATTCGACGGCAAATACCGCGTTCCAGCTGATTACCAAAAGATGTTCCACCAAGCCGAACAGACCTTTCTTTATCAATGGATCTTCTGCCCTAAGGCGAACAAACTGATCCATCTCACTGCGCCCAGTCCAGATCTCGATATGGCAGAACTTCCATATATCGGACCCTTTATCGAACCGGAGGTTGCTCGAGGTATCGCCGTGGGAGACGTGAACCCAATTACGAAAGAACCAATCATACTCCAAACTTTGCCGTCGCCGAGGAAACGTACTGCGTCCGGAACTCCCCGTAGTATGCCTCAAACGCAAGCTACCCGAGAACCCCCCGAGAAGCCGATCGACTCATATTTCAAGGGCCATCGGCGAATTCCTATGGGTGAAATGGAGCCCAATTGCTTCTCGGTTGATCCTAGAAGAGTTTCCTCGTTAACTGAAAACGGTAACCGACCGATCGTCTACCCCCTTCCCCGACCGTACCTTGACCAAAATGGCCCGAACTCATCTACTAGCCGCACATACATCAATAGGCCAGAAAGCTCGTCCAGGACCCTACGACGCCGAACCGAACCGGTAACTAATATTCTTAGCGACAACGGTCATTCTTTGACCTCCAACTCGAGACGCCAAACAACTGGGCCGGGAATGGAAGTCTCGGGTAACTCTAGAAGCACTGGAGTCAACCAACCTATTCGACCGCCTAAGAAGGCGCGCTTGTGTGATGACGCGAGCTCGGGGCTGAGTCTTAGCAAGGAGAAGAGCAAGTTCTTTACCGGTTCTAAGGGTACGACTGTTAAGAAAGAAGAAAAATACCTAATGTCAGATGATTCAGTCGAAGATGCGTTGAACGATCTCCCGGATTTTGGTGGGTGGGCCCCAGCGCGAAGGGGCCACAAGGAAATTGCTGTGTATGAGGAGGCGCAACCGCCGGTTGATGACGAGAGGCCTAAGGACGACGACTTAAATGTCGAGGGTATTATGGACGACGCAACCGCCTCGACACAGAACGAGCCTCCGAGTACGCCCAACATTATCGAACGGTTCACGTACGCGCCGAGTGTTTCGTCCACTTCAGTAACTCGCGGACCTGGCCAGTCGCGTAGACAGAGCGCTTCAACAACCTTTTCTGGTAGAAGCTCACTTTCTGGGTCAACACCCGCTTCTTCCATCGCGTCGTCGACTCCGTTTTCATCAAACACACAGCCATCGACGGCCAAGACGACACCGGCGACGCCCCGCATGACGCCACTTCAGCGCCTCGGTATCCAAGCTTTGGGTCGTAATAAGCAGCCACCTACGCCCACATTTGCCGTACCCCGCCCACCGAAGCGTTCTACCCAGGGAAGGCGAATACTGGACTCCATTCCTGTGAACCCGGCGGACGTGCCTCTACCACCAGTCGACTTGGAAGAAGTGGAAGCACTACATGAACCAGTCGGTAGTGAAGATCTAATGATCCCTGAAAGCGAGAATGAGGATGGTCCGGAAGAGCAGGAGAATTTGGGATCTGGCAAGGACAAGAGAGTGGCAAGGAGAATGGATTTGTCTAGATTTCGCTTTGCTTAAGACACAAGGCCACCCACCTTGATGTAGTGTAGGGAGGCAAAATGAGGCTTAAAAGGGACATTGCATTTTATATACCAGGCCCAAAAGGGAAAAGGGGTTTATACCAGCATAGCGCCGGAGTTTTGAGCGAACATCATTTATGAAGCATTGGCGTTTTAGGGGGCAATATTTGATTGATCAAAAGGAGTCAGATACCTAGTCATGCACGGCAGCCCGGGAAAAGGAAGTCGGAGGTGTAAATGGATTATTAATACAGCCTCAGAACCGGATGTCGGTATACATGTGTTGTTGTTCACATAATGCGCATGTATTTGAGCGGTTGAATTATTCTACGTGAAGTGTTTATGTATGTGATAAGAATAGGATATGAATAAATATTCAGGGTCGTAAAATAGGGGTAGATCGTCAGTTTGACCTTGTTGGCGCTGTTCGTGGCGTTGTAGGATAAGTGGATTAGGATGTCGCCTTGCTGTACTGTCAATGTACTGCAAGTGCTTCCTATTTCGGAGTTACGATATTTGGTAGGTGATTTGTCTATGGCGTAGTAAGTGTTCTACCGAGGTATCGCCGATATAGGTACCTCAAGTCTGTACATGGGTACTCCACGCCTGACCCCCTTGGCGACGGAATCAGGTGGCACTAAAGCTGCATAGGACCTAGCATAAAACTGGTAGCGTAAGCAATGCCAGTCAGTTGCGTCAGAAACCCGCCTGCCCGCGTCTGCCGGTGGCTCCCCTGTATTTCTTGTATTTCTTGTACGAAGCAGAAGGGCGGAAGGGACAACGGAATATTAGGATTTGGTCATACATGTAGGTAGCACCTAATAGGTTGAGACTAGAAATGTTAAATGAATGTACCTAGGTATTAAAGCATTAAAATAGACTAAGCCAAAGTTACATATGTACCCTAAAAACTTAGAAACAGGCAATGACCTGACTTGTACCGTGTCTTGTGTCACCTCGATCGCCGCGGGAAACACCCACTAAGGAAGAAGCCAAAATCGGACCCACTAGCAAGCAGACCATAACCAACAAGCCGCCTAAAACAAACCCGCGCACCGCCTAGCCCACCGCCTGTACCGGTGTTAAGGTCTTATCTAAGGCTGCTAACGGTGCCAACGCTTAGCATTACATCGGACTCGCCTTTCCACTAATAACGTCCCGAAACCAAAAAACCACCACCAAACCACCTGAGCGAACACTCGACACTCGGTCGTATTCCGTCGTGCCCCCTTCGTCCTAAATCAGTCTCGTACTTACAAAACTTAAGATCCTTATTAGCGGTCATTGCTTTTGATTTGTTTCTAGGTAAGATACATTTTGTCATAGTTTTGTTACATCACATCCTCCATCGTTCGTCGAATGCCAGAAACAGTGATCGCATTTGCATACATGTATCAATCCCAATGCCCTAAAAGAAGATGGTCACGAAACAATAGTTTGAAAGGAGTCGCCGTCGATTACCCGTCCACACTATATATATTAGAAATGCAACCGCCCCTTTTCAGCTGACTCTACTTCATTACTGCTGTCGCCCCTCGCTACTGTTGGTTACTGCTATTGCTGACAAAGTAGCATTTCGTCCAATCCAGCATTCAGCAGCAATCAGCGTTCCCGAATTTGATTCTATCCCTTCCATCTACCACTTACACCCTACCATTTATTTACTCCCGAGTCACTTGACGACATCCGCTTGTTCGATTCCGCCGAATCATACTCGACCGAGGTCACACCACACATCACTAACCATCCGAGTAGAGTCTTCGTCACAAAGTTATCATAGTCCCTCGTTATACTATTTACCGTCGATGTCAGAGAAGGAATAGAGGCCTTTTAACGACCCCGATTTTGTTATCTCATCTAGTGCCTTTGTGCGCTATCTCGATATCCTCTTTACATAAGGCTCGTCTTTGGCGAGCATCCCCGAGCCGACATCACCAACCGACAAGATTCCTCCCACAACGAGGAAGCGGAAGGCTGCTGAGGCGAAGATAGCTGCGGACACAGGCGAAATACTTCCGAATAAGAAGGTCATCGCCTCAGCAGCTGAAGACAACGAAGCACCACCCACTCCAATAACCGGTATGGATTCAGACGAGGATTTCGTTTCCGTCTCTAGCGACGACGGGATGCAGGATGACAGCGATGATTTATCCGGCGCTGAGGGTATGTCCATTTCCTTAATTCTTTTGTGTATTGTTTCTATCTTGTCTTACAACTTGTTTTGAGCCTCGCGATGGTTTGGACGACGCTAACACTGTGTGGAACAGATTTCGATGTATTCGATGACGAGCCTGATGATGAACCCGGTATCCCCTCACAAAAGTCGGACAAGAAGAAGGGGATATCATACGACTTCAGCTATAAAGTACACACACCACGGGATTTGCACGGCCAACAAGAAGAAATGATTACTGAAGTGAACATGATCTTAGAAATGAGAAAAGAGGATGTTGCTATTCTCCTACGTCATTTCAGGTGGAATAAGGAACGTTTGATTGAAGATTATATGGATAACCCGACTAAAGTCCTGGAGGCGGCTGGTCTGGGTCCCAGCTCCAGTAGTCCCCCCAAACTAGAAGTCAAACCTGGTTTCGTCTGTGATATCTGTTGCGAGGATGAGGAAGGGTTAAAGAGTTTCGCGATGAAGTGCGGTCATCGATACTGTGTCGATTGTTATCGCCAATACTTAACCCAGAAGATTCGCGAAGAGGGCGAAGCTGCGCGCATCCAATGCCCCGCCGAAGGTTGTCACCGCATCATCGACGCCAAGTCACTCGATTTGCTCGTAACGCCACAATTAGCCGGTCGATACCAAGAATTACTCAACCGAACATATGTTGAGGATAGAGATGTCCTCAAATGGTGCCCTGCTCCCGATTGCGAAAATGCTGTCGAGTGCGCTATCAAGAGGAAGGATCTAGACAAGGTTGTGCCAACGGTAGCTTGCGCATGTGGTAATAGGTTTTGCTTTGGTTGTGTCCACAGCGACCACCAACCGGCACCCTGCGAATTGGTTAAGAGATGGCTCAAGAAGTGCGCCGACGATAGCGAAACAGCGAATTGGATCTCGGCCAACACAAAGGAATGCCCCAAGTGTAACTCCACGATCGAGAAGAATGGAGGCTGCAACCACATGACATGCCGAAAATGCAAGCACGAATTCTGTTGGATGTGTATGGGCTTGTGGTCCGAGCACGGCACGAGTTGGTACAACTGCAATAGGTTCGAGGAAAAGAGCGGGACAGAAGCACGAGACGCCCAAGCCAAGTCACGAGTATCCCTGGAACGTTACCTACACTATTACAACAGATACGCCAACCACGAGCAGTCGGCACGTCTCGACAAAGACGTCTACAATAAGACCGAGAAGAAGATGGTACAATTACAGACAGCATCTGGCATGTCCTGGATTGAAGTACAATATCTAAACTCGGCGTCGCAGGCCTTACAAACTTGCCGACAGACGCTAAAATGGACATATGCCTTTGCCTTCTACTTAGCCCGAAACAATCTCACGGAGATATTTGAGGACAACCAGAAAGATCTAGAGCTTGCCGTCGAGGCGTTATCAGAGATGTTCGAGAAGCCCATCGCTGAATTGTCCGACTCTAAGCTGAAGGTGGATATCATGGACAAGACGGCGTACTGCAACCGAAGGCGAGTAATTCTACTGGAAGACACTGCCAACAATCTTGCGAATGGTAAGTTCACTTTTTCGCAGCAACTTTCTATATGAACGCATGAGATAGCTAACCGGTTATTTCTTTCTAGGACGCTGGACTTTTAACGTAGATCTTAAGGGCGTCATGCCTGGAGCTGGTGGAGTCGTATCCCGTTCCTAATGGAATTGTATTGTAATGGCATAGATAGAACAGGGTGATCATGGTTGGCGTCTTCGGAATCGGAATGCGGGATTCTTTGCGTTAACGTCCAATTCGCCTCGCTTACTCTCATACGCTTTTACTTAGTCTCGCTACCATCACCGCTACATCTCTTTTACAATTAAAATGAGCAATAACTTCAGAGAGCGATCCTATTTATATATCTAACGACTAGCGTATGTACGCGTATGGTATTAAGTCAACATGTTGGTGCTGCGTCATTACTGTAATGTTTCTTACGCATTGACTCCTCAAGACATGTTACCGTCTAAAAATGAATTGCCTTTCAACGCGGAGTGAAATAAGTTATTTGAGGTTTATATTATCCTACTCTTACATCTAGACCTTGGTTACCTATTTATAGTCGGTATTTTGTTTCCAAAAATGTATTTTAGCAGTACGGCAAAATATTTCAGTACTTCACACCGCCGGTAAATGAGTACCTAGGTCATACAGAGTATTTTCGGACTTCTAAATTTGTCATCGCGGGTCGGCAGTAAGGATACAGTGCGAATAGTCCGGGTAGAGTTCGTTAACTTTAGGCGGAAGACGATATTTGGTGGGGAGAGGAGGAAGGATGGGGAGATGTGTTAGGTACAGTGTAAGGTCAACCGGAGAAACTGTGCCCCGTAGATCTGACGAACGTCATAGCTGGCTTGTTGAGAACGTGAGGAAACTTCCCGTTTGTAACTTATACGTGTATGTATATCCGAAATCCGGAACTCTAACGTGTATTCGACTCAACACCAATTCATTCCATCTTATACTACCAGAACTTGAGGAAATAATTCACAGTGAAAATAAAAATCACAATGGCATTCCGCGCCCTCCGCCGCATGCCCCTCCCCACCACCGCTTCCTTACGTGCACCAGCGCAACAGCGCATGTTCCACGCCACACCCCGCGCCTTCATCAAAATCGGCGAAGCGATCCCCGATCTCGAGGTCCTACATGAAGACTCACCGGGGAACAAAGTGAGTCTCGCGAAAGAACTCGCTGCTGTGCACCGTGGGGTTATTGTTGGCGTGCCGGCTGCGTTTTCCGGGGCTTGTAGTCAGAAACATGTTCCGAGTTATATCCAGCATCCGAAGTTGAAGGACGCGGGTCCGGTTTTTGTTGTTAGTGTTAATGATGCTTTTGTGTGAGTACCTCTTTTTTATGATTATATTGGGAGGGGAGGTTTGTTTTTGTGGTGAGATTTCGGAGGTTGGTGGGGTAGGATGAGAAGAGAGGGCTATATACCATTGATGATAGATCAGCTAACAAGTAACAGTATGAAGGCATGGGCTGACCAGCTCGACCCTACCCACGACTCCGGTGTAAGTCTACCTTCAACCCCGACTTCCACATATATCACTAACAACGATCTAGATCCGCTTCCTAGCCGACCCAGCTGGTGAATTCACCAAAGCCCTTGACCTAGGCTTCGATGCGCCCGCCATCTTCGGCGACACGCGTGCCAAGCGCTACGCCATCGTCGTCGAGGAAGGCAAGGTCAAGTCCCTCCACGTCGAGCCCGACAACACCGGTACCAGCGGTGAGTATCCTTCCACACTTCCATATGGTATTGGGAGGAGCGTGTGTGCTAACTTACGAGTAGTTTCTATGGCCGAGCAAGTCCTAGCTTAGGCGCGGCTCTTCGAGAATAAGGTGTCTTGGTCTTGGTGGATGGATTTGAAAGGCAAGGAAAATTCAACGATTGTACATAGGCGGATATGATTGAAATGATGCTTGAATCTAGAATTTAACATTCTCTCAAGCAGTAAATGTAGTGAAAGTGGTGAAACGACGAGCACCCAGATACTCAACAGGACTCTTGACCATCACAATTGTTTCACGAATGCATTAGATCGAACCACGGGCTATTATTAGGTATCTTTTCAATAACCCTACAATACCATACTTTTAAATAGCATGCTAGCAAAATAGCATAGCATCGTAGCTCACTCAGCCAATCTAGCTAGATATTTCCTACCACCCTCCAAGCGCCGAACCCGGCTAAGCCGTCACAATTACCTATATAGCACAGTCCTTCCTTATATCATCCATACCGTGAGCAGAGGCGTGTCATAGCGTCCGTACTCTTTTCCATCAAGTATCATACCATTAACCCTTACAAAGCCTTAACAGCAGTAAAGAACGGGTTTTGTAACAATCTCTCATCCTTCTTCACCAGATCCCTTAGCCGGCTTATCATCTCTTCCTTGCTCATCCTTCCACCAGCAACCTCATTCTTCCACTTTACAAGGACCTCCTTCAGTCTCGCGCTACCTTCCTCCACATCTTCCTTTCCGTACTGTTGTTGCATGCCCGCCGGCCCATCACTCTCATGCTTTGTCGTAAAGTCCTCCAACTCATCGGCCTTTCGCTTCGCCATCCGTACTACTTTATCCGGAAATCGGACAAGCTCCGCTACATGAATACCAAATGACTGATCGCAAATACCGGGCTCCACTTTATATAAAAGCGTTACTTCTCTCTTATCAACGCTCTCACTAGAAGCCGATGAAGAGGAAGAAATGTGGGCGGTAACGTGCAGATTCTTGACTTGAGGATGCTGGTCTGCAAGCGCTGTCAATTCATGGAAATGCGTAGCGAACATAGCGGAACACCCGATCTCAGTGACGATGTGTTCGCTAATGGCCCAAGCTAGACCAAAACCGTCGTACGTGGACGTACCACGGCCTAACTCGTCGATAATAATAAGCGATTCGGCGGTGGCTGACTTGAGGATATTGGCGGTCTCCAACATTTCAGCCATGAAAGTTGAGACTCCCTTTAGTTGAGAATCGCTAGCACCGACACGTGCGAGGATTGAGTCGAAGATAGTCAACTCGGCCTCGGAGCAGGGAACGAAACATCCTACTTGAGCCATTAATGCGATGACGCCGATCTGTCGGATATATGTCGATTTACCACCCATATTGGGTCCTGTGATAATCAGAAACGATGACTCACCGCGGCGGAGCTCGACATCGTTGGTGATGAATTGAATGTCGTCTTGCATTTCCATGCATGGGTGACGGGCCTCCTTCAGGATCGTAGAGCCTTCGCCTCGGGGGTGAAGGGTAGGCCGAACATATGATGTGGGTGCATGGACTGAGCAGTGCGCGAATGACACGATGACGTCGAGGTGGGCTAGGACACCAGCGAGCTGTTCCAACACTGGGCAATAAGAAGCTGCGACGCTTACAACCTCGTTGACTAAGCCACTTTGCGTTCTATCGTATGTTTGGGACAGCTGATCGAACTCCCGACGATACGATTGTAATTGCTTCGTAGTAAAATAAACACCGTTCTTCTGTGTTGAGCACTCCTGATATTGAGAATTATTTCGAATGCAACCAGCTTCCGTTCTCGTCAGTCGCATACACCAACCATGAACCTTGTGGTTTTCTAAGAATATCTTCTTGTTTTCCTCTTGGTTCAAATCGTCTGCCGCTTTTCGGAATTCCTTATCCATGTTAGATCGGAGCTTGTCGAGTTTCCTTCGTACGATGCGCAAGTTGTCATCAAACTCGGGCTTAATTATGAATTCGTGGTTGTCAAGGGCCTCAAGATCGACAGTTGTTTCCACCATATCCGCGAGCTTTCCTAGACTATCGGAAAGCTCTCTTATTTTGTTGGTATACGTCTCGTCCAGAGGATCCTTGTATTTTTCGTCCATTACCCCCTCAAGAGTTCCTAGGAATCCGGGTAGGCGAATAACTACCTGATATGCTCTGACGACGTCTTCCAAATTGGCCTTGTTTCGCTGGAATCGTTTCGCCAAACGATAAAGATCCGGCACTGACTTCAAGTGTTCTTCCTGCATAGTTTGGCGTAGTTCTGTGTCGTTAACGAATGCTTCAACCAATTGTTGACGCTTCTCGATCTCATCTTTGTTCATCAAGGGTTGTTTTAGCCATTGCGATAACAACCGACTACCAACAGGTGTTTTGCAGTGATTCAATAACCCATACAAACTCATAGTCTTGGCACCGTCTCTCGCGCCTGGCATTAAATTGAGAGCCTTGAGCGCCGCAGCATCGAGCTTCATGAATTGGGATAAGTCATGTTGATATAGTTGAAACTGGCCAAAATTGGAAGGATCGTGAAGAACGCTTAGGTATTTGACCAGCGCTGCTGCTGAGCCCATTGCTAATTTGAGGTCGGTCTGGGGGAGCAGGGTTGCGGATCGTTCATCTTTGAGTAACCTAGCGAGATCCTGCTCGATATCCTTCGTCCCAAAATCTCCGGCTGGTCTTTCGGATATGGCAACTCCACAATTGTCGATAATCTGTCTCAGTTTAGCTAGCTCGGGGTCTTTGTCTTTTTCCGCCTTGTCGATCTGTATAAGACACTCCCTAACGCCAAGCTGGATAAGTAGAGCTTCGAAGTTGGAGTATAGGTCGTTGTCGAGAAATTCGCTAACACCAAGCTCTCGAACGCTAGCATCGGCAAAACAGACACCAACATTCCTAGCTTCACTGGCCTTCGCAGATATTTTGACAGCCAATATCATAGGTGCGGATTCAAATTGTCCGCCTAGTTCTTCTTCAACATCTTGTAGGTTTCCGGGAGAAGCTTGTTTGATAACCTTCCAGTTCAGTCGGCCACCGCTACTTGCGTATATCTCAACTCGTTTTCCGAGTTTAAAGAGGGCTTCTCGTAGGAATTGTCGGAATACGGTGACGGTCATAGTGACTGAAGCTAAACCGCTAGCATCATTTCGTCCTAGTTGTCGTACGACCGAGGTGGTCTTGTAGACCGTTCTTGCGATAAAGTTGGCATCTTCGCCATGAGCTGTGTACCAGTCGCCTCGGTCGAATATACGTACGGTTTCGTCGCCTACAGATGGTAAAGACTTGAAGAAACGTATGAAGCCATGTTCATCATCGACCTATTATAGAAATATTAGTTCGAATTTGGAAGGTGACTTGAGCTCGTGAATAGCATACCTTCAACTCGGGTCGGGACGACATCTTGGCTTCTTAAAAGCTAGGTATTTCAGTCTCTAACAGTATTGTTACGTTGTTTATGTAAGTGAGGAATGGAAAGGTTCGTCTGAGACTTCTGTTACATCCTCTGAGGAGTAATACCAACTTTGAGTCGTCGTATGTAAGAAATTGGAATAGATATTTAAGGGTCCAAGTGCTAAAAGTCGCGTTCGAAATTCAATTAACGACGAAAGACGCGACGGTACGCGCTAAAACTCACTAAGAACTTCGCTAATCCACTTATGTAAATCACCCCTACCACCCTACTGGGACCCCTGCAATTGCTCTTTTCCGCGGGGTATTCTAGGTACAATGTACTCACGAGCAACCCCACCAAGCTTTCTGAAAGTTTTCCAGGACTCACTAAAGCTTAGGTACCTTTCCAGCCCACCTCTGCCCCAACCATCGCCAATACAACTTTCTGCTGCTCTCCATTTCCGCTGGCGCACTCGCAAAAGTTCTCGTCGCATTACCCTCTAGCCTCACAATATCGATCCAATTGACATTTTGGGCAACATGACAGAGACGACACAGCCTGAAAAGACCGACGAGATCGTTGGGACAAGCGAAACCTCCTTCGTAGAAAGACCTGATGTAGATCTGAGGCGCGAACCCGAGGAAGATGGATTAAAACGGCAACGACCCGACGATGACGGCAGCGACACGTTATGCAACAACGAAGGTATAAAACGTGCTAAACACAACCATAAAGACGGCGACCTTGTTAACCATAAAGACGACCAAGATGACGAAGTTGCGACGAGAGACCTCGAGCGCGATTTCGACTGCGAATCCGAATCGCCCAAACTCTCCAAGAACCAACAACGAAAGCTGAGGCGAAAATTACATTGGGAGGCCAAGAAACATGAGAAGAAATTCCATCGTAAGGAGAAGCGCGCGGAGAAAAAGGAACGGGCGCGAAAAGAGAGGGAGGCAGAGATCGCCGCTGCTGCCGCTGAAGGGAGAGAACCAGTCCTTGAGGATATTACCAAGCGACAACCTAGACCGGACGCTATCCACGTACCAATTGCTATCATAATAGATTGCCAATACGAAAAATACATGATGGACAAGGAATTGGTGTCTCTATCAAGCCAGGTCACCAGATGCTATTCCGACAACAAGAACGCAAAATTCCCTGTTCACATGTTCGTCAGCTCCTACGGAGGCAAGATGCAGGAAAGATACGAAAAGGTGCTGAACAACCAACACACAGGCTGGAAGAATGTTCACTTTACTGAAGGCGACTTTGTCAGTGCTGCCGCTGAGGCTCAGAAGTTAATGGCCAGTTCAGGGGAAGAACAAAAAATCGAATTACTAGAACAAGGCAAAGAAGGTGATTCTATTTCACTAACCAAAACCGACGACCCCAAGAAGCTGAAGAAATCTACTCCCGTCCCCGAACCCGAAGCCGACGATGTAGATAAATCCATCGTCTACCTGACCGCCGATTCCCCTTACACTCTCGATCGCCTCGAACCGAACACCTCCTACGTTATAGGTGGCATAATTGACAAGAACCGCGAAAAGGGCTTGTGTTACAAGATTGCGCGGGGCAAGAATGTACGCACAGCAAAGCTACCTATCGGCGAGTTCATGGTAATGCAAAGCCGTCACGTCCTCACCACGAACCATGTCATGGAGATTATGCTTCAATGGCTAGAGACAGGTGATTGGGGTGCTGCTTTCATGAAGGTCATTCCTACGCGAAAAGGAGGGCAATTGAAGGAAGACGAGCAGGAACACGAGAGCACTCCCGATGGTGTTCAGGACGAATCAGTAAAGGCGACTCAGGGATCCCAACCGAAACAAGACGTGGCCACAGCCAATGATCACGAGGACATTCCATCAAATACAAACGGACAAGAAACACCGAACACCAAAGGATCGAATAAAAGTAAGCCCATTTTGCCCCTTACCAAAGTACATGTCAAAAAAGTCGCGCGCTTGAAGGAAAATCCCAGACGGAAGGTGCTCAAATGGCTGGCTGCTAAGGCTCACTAATACATATTACATCTATAGTCGATGAAGCCGCCAGTTAACGACAGCCGTCTCGCTGCCTCGCTCTATGCCGACTTACATGTATCGCCGAATACTCTTACAAATATGCACATACTCAATCATAACTAACAAGTGACGGAAATGTCCCATGGGACACGCTTTTGACGCATTATTATACCCATCGCAATTCAACACGAAGAGAACTTAGGACATTAGAGGTTGAGCATGGTGCGTCCCTCCCCCGTACTTTTCTCAAGATCTTTCAGCGCAACTTCAACAACTTGATTTGATATGTTGTGGGGGGTCATGGATTGAGATAAATCGGGTTTGTCTCAATGCGGGTTCCGGCACATACACTCTAAGTATAAACCCCAGCGGATATATACATGATGCTCAGCTAGAGCAGCAAGCTTACGGTGTCCCTCAGGGAGTCATGATTTAGTCAAAGCGTACCAGCTCCACTGAGCGCCAAGCCTTTCCGCATGATACTTATAACCCCAGGATCAAAATAGGGCTCCCAAATAGAAAAAGAACTGAGTTTATACCCTCTTGTTGTTCAACTGCTAGTCAAATGGCAAAGTACCAACCGCCCCCTCGAAGATTCTTTACTAATATCATATCTGTCATCCCTTAAGTTTGTGCAGGTGACTCTATTCCATTCGATTCCAATACTATGTGTGAGTAATTGAAAGATGATCAAAATTATATTTAAATATCGTTTCCGCGCTGAGTTTCTCATGTTTACACCAACATCGTTCTCGCAGCAGGGTCTGTACCAAATTGTTTTAATCCGGAAGCGCCCCTATGGCAACTAATATTAGTAAATGTGTTATCGGTAGCAAAATATGTTATATATAATCCTACTATCATAATTGCCAATCTTTTCCCGTCTTTTCTTCAATTTTTTCCTACCGCAGCCCCCCAACGCGCATGGTGGGGATGAGACGCTGTTTTGAGATGGATTCCTCTACAATATGCTCGCTGGTTCGCCACTGCGACACCTATTCTTCTACCACCATAACCGGGCGACAGTACCCAAACGCGAGAAACCACAATGCAATGCTTACAGCGACGGACTCCACACAATATTCATTCATTGACATGTCTGTCCGGCAACGACCGTTTGTGGCGAAGTGCCTTCTCAGCAGCAGTTACCGTGGCTTGTAAGATTGCGCCATGGTCTATCTCTAGGAAAGTCTCGGAGACGGGATGACGGAGTCGCCTTTCATTATGATGGTAGACGACTTGCTGAGGAGGATCTTATTTGTGGTGTTCGGGGAATGATGAAGGAGGCCTGGCGCCTAGCGAAATATGGCCCTTTTAGAAACCCCGATGGAGGTGTTGTAGGATTCGGGCAAAGCGAGCCCACATCCATGATGGGACGACTCCGAGACAGACAACGTCAATCACAGATGAGCAAGGGGTTTTCATTGGAAAAAGGCATCACAGTCGCGAGACCCGTGGTCCCTGACAAGAAGAGGCAATAGAGATTGATAGGATTTTCGCGAAACGCAGAGTTTTGTAGCGAAAAGACAAGCTCAATCGATATTCGTGCTAAGTCGGAAGATTAATACGATACACCTACCATGTAAAACGCACCCTTCTCAGCCATAAAGAGACCTTGTCGACCCAACATCCGAGACCCGAGACCTCGTGGAGGAGACCCTTGGTATTAGGATGAAAATAAGAGGGTGATGATGCGAATAATGAGAACTCTTTTTTTGCAATCTGCTTTCGGATATCAAGTGCTCTAAACTAATGTACACAGACAGAGGGGGTTGTTGCTGACCAAACCAACTCAAAGGTCTGATCAACTGCGAGGACTTTTTCCTCGGGATGGCAAACGACAATCGGGAATACCTAAATGATCAACGTCCAGAGGATAAAAAATCAAGCCATCCTCATGCTATGCCCCGTGATGGCGCCCTCTTAAACGCCTCATGAACTCCTCACTCCTGAATTGAATGGATATCTAGCAATCAATTTTTTGTCCTTTCTTTTCGTTTACTCTCCTACCCCCTGAAAATGCAGCACCCGCACCCGCACCCGCGCCCTTACTCACAACTTAGTCCCAACCGTGACCTCGACCCGCCGCGCCTGATCCCGAACCACCATCCCAAGGCGTAGCCTCCAACTCAACCGGAAACTGACTTTGTCCCTGCAACTCAGTCTGTCCTTGGTGTCCCTGGTTCTGCACAGCATACCCCGTATTCGCGCTATCCTGACCGTACACCGCCGCCCGGTGCGCGTCCATCAGCTCCTTAAGCTGTGCGCCGTGCTCCCCCTCCGCATTCTGCGACTGCAGTTCTTGTAATTGCTGCTGTTTCTTCCGTCGATGACGCGCGCAGAGGACGTACACACCTGCTACGATTAACCCGAAGAACGCGACGAGACCGACTGCGATCCCGATTGTTGCGCCTGTGGAGAACGGGCTGGGATTCTCGGGGGGGTTGGGGTCGCCGTACGGGCTTGTTGAAGAGGGTTGTAATGCTGCTGCGGTAGTGGGTAGGGGTGAGGGGTTCTGTGCCTGGGGGCTGTTTCCATCTGTTCCTGTCGTGAGTGTGGAGAGTGTTGATGGGACCGAAGTTGAGTGAATTATAGGGGGAAGATACATGATAGAGCGCAAGGAATTCGCGATCGGGTCCGGGAAAAGGGTGAGATCGGTCTCGTTCCAGAAGATGAAGATGGGCTGTTCGACACCGACGGCAGGCGTGTTGATGTATGTGCCAGTTTCGGTGAAAGTAGTTCCTGTGGCACCATTGACAGATGCAGTTATAAGAGGTAGGAGACCTGTTCTGCACTCGATGTGCGATTCGTCGCGATAGGTCAATTGATACTCGCTATTTTCAATATGTTAGTTGATTCCTTCTTTTTTTTTTCGTAAAGATATTCCAAGTACTTACCTGCTGCAACATATTGCGGCATACCACCGAGACGCCGTTACCATACCATCGCTCATACTCTCGACAGTCATGTCCATGCGCTTGAATTTTTGGCCACTAGGACAGAGTCCAGGTCTGAAGTGGTTATTGGTTCCCCTGTAAGGCAGGCAGGTTTTGGCGTAAGTACTGCTAACATCGCCGAGACCCTTATATACTGATCCCGGGGTAGAAGTATCATAGACCCATTCGGTGCTACATTCGGTACCCGGCGTGTAGGTGGTGAGGAGAGCAGGATAATTAAAGGAATCGGAGAATGGCCCCTTCGCCGTTACGACGTAACCGGGGATTCCCTCGGTATCGCTGCTACCAGGCATTGTGCAGCGCGATTCGAAATATGACTTCTGTGAGACGTGTTTTGCCGGAATCTCGAAGTCTTTGATGTGTTCGAACAATCAAAACCTGGGAATAATGTTGCGAGGGAGTAATTTTTCTCAATCTGATTGACTATTTGTTTCGCCACAAACAAACACCACCCCCGGGTCTGTTCGACGTTCGATATTCCGGTGGTCGAAATTAGTGCGTAATAGGTTTGTTTCCCTGGTAGGTTGATAGGTGTAATTGGTGAGTGGTCGGTCAGGTATCCCAGGCTACAGACCCGGAGTCAAAGAATTGTTTGCACACTTGAACCAATGTGGGTAAAATGGAAAGAATATTCACCAATTAAGTCATCATGTGCCTGCCTAAAGAACAGATTTAATTGAAATAGATACACCATGTTTTTCGCTAGTAAAGCACAGGGAATTGATACACTTGCAAGACGATTTCGCTGCGAAGGTGAGGGCTCAAGCGGCATCATTTCGCACATTTCGCGTCCCTTACGTGCCTTTAAAGAAATACGAGATTATTTAAGTCTTTCGTCCGCGAGTCTTAAAAGCTACAATGTGTTAATCCCATTTCTCGTTAATCGTGGTCTATCAATACAAACCAAGTAGCCCTTCATCGTATCGTGGAATTGCAGGAAACAAGAGAGCGGGCAATGAGCCTAAGGATGAAGATATCGCTAGTAGGAAATTGGACACCAGAACTTCGTCTAAAGTCTATACTATGTAATCACGACGAACTTCAAATATTTTCGAAGACACATCATAGTTGCATTTCCTGAAACTGGGAGAATGGGTACATATTCATTCACATCTAGCTGTCTAATCTAGCATCGCGATGTTCTCTCTCACCATCCCATTAAGCCTCTGATATACGTACCCATGTTATACTGGCTCGGGTCTTGCAAAGCCCAGTCCATCCAACGCGGAAACTGAGTTCCGCCCCTGTGGTCTACATCAAAGCTACCCCCTTGTACGCGAAAAAACTCCAACATTTGGCTTGCATTAGGACGGCAATTATGGTCAAGAATAGCCATATCTCGTACGTTGAATGTAGTTGTGTGGTATAAAGCCGAGAGCAGGACATCCCTACGAATATCAGTTTGGTCCAGGAATATTCCAGTCTCCAATTTATCGCGGAATCCCGTCTCGTTGTAAATCCACATCAAGACTACAAATAGCGACCAGGTGTCTGCCTGCGGACCATGCTGCCTACTGCCATCGAATATTTCTGGTGCCGAGAAGGCAATCGAGCCAGCTTGACTCCTGGATAGGGTAGCACTATTGATTAGACCAAAATCCGATAGTATAAAGGTGAGCCTCCCCTTTTCGTTGTATTCGTACAGAATGTTGTCCGGTTTGACGTCGCGATGAATGAGTCCCTCTCTAGCAACATAGTCGAGTGCTTGAAGCATATGCATAAGGATACATTCTGCGGTCCACGCTACCTCGCCGGCTGCATATTCTCTCCTGAACATCCAATTTCTCAAGTTACCCTTCATAAGTGGCATGAAAATCTCGACAGTGTTCGTCTGATATCCTTGTGCCCCAAGTAACTGGATAATGTGTTTCTAGAAAGTTGACCAGGTATTAGCAAACCGATGCCCATCGAATATGTCGGCTGGATAGCATATATAAATATACTTACGTGATGAAAATTGTTAAGCCATTTTATCTCCCAATCTCGAGTATGTTTTACTTGCCTTCGCCATTGAGCATCATGACGCTTGGTAGGGGAACTGATTAGCTTGACGGCCATGAAATTCCCGGAATGCACGTCCACCGTCTTCCTGACCTCCCCAAAGGATCCAGCCCCAAGTCTCTCTAGCATATGGTGTTTCACCTTCGTCCTGGGGCCTGCTGGTGTCTGGCCTTCGTAACCGATCACATCATCAATACCATGAAGGCGATTTTGTATGAAATTCAGGCTTTCTTGAAGAGCGTTCGGGTTCCATCTAAACCCAAACCTAACCGGATCACGGGGTTCGCCTATACACAGTACCAAGTTAAGACCTGGCATTACAGCATTCCGTATATAATGGCCCGGTTTGCTATTATCACGTCTAGGTGTCTTGTCTTTATTTTGGTAAACTCGAGTCTTTCCATCAGTCCTGTCCTGTATTTGTTATTAGCTATTGTCATTCTAGAAGCAATCACAGACACTACCCACTTCAATCAATATCACACCTGTCTTGGGATTGATCACAAATGCACAATTGACGTATGCAACGTCCAATCCTTCGACATAGATATCCGAATCTCTAGGGTCATTACCTAATCTCGCAAGCGTTTGAGGATGTGTTTCCTTAGTCGTAGTCCAATTCCCAAAGTGGATGCAGGGCGTTTTGTACCATCTATCTTCTATCAAATGTCTGTTGTGCTCGTGCGCTAAACAGTCTTCAGCCCGTTCATTAAGCGCCGAGAGAGAGAAAAAATAACCGGGGCGTTCCATGATAAATAGAAGTATATACTTAAGGACGTACTCAAAGAACGAATGATGATGAGATTTAGAAGTTGGAATCGAAATCGACACAGAAATAGTGGCGCGTAGCTAATTATATCTCAATAGAATATCCTAAAACGTCGGGTACTCTGCGCGGTAGTAAAGGGGTAGCTGAAAGTAAGCTGTAGATTGTTGATCTTTCGATCCGTTGAAGCAACAAAGACTATGAATAAGTATATAAGACGTTCGGTCGCTCCTTGCTTCGATAGAAGAAGGCTGTTCTGGAGAGAAAGAGAAGCCAACCTCATACATGATCAATCAGTTTGTGTTCTAGTTTACATTAGATGAATTCCAAGCATGTGGGCTCAAATCAGTTGTGACTGATCTGTGAGCTCTACTGGTTCATCAGGATGCGAATTACAGCGAGGGATGTCCAGTTAGGGAGGGTTATTTTCACCTGGTGCCTTTCACGATCCAGGCAAGCTTGCGAGGCCCCAAAGACTGAGATAATGACCAGATCCTTGAAAAAACGACCTGTATCTTGGATAACGACTGGTTCTCCCAAGAGACAGCGGGTCTAGATACCTTGTATATATATTTTGCCACTGGTGTATGCGATTGAAGTGCTATTTTCTACCAACTTAGGTAGACAGTCAGTCATACGTTCTTGTGAATGCCATCTTATCTCGTAAACAACGAGAAACGTCATGATTCGAATGCAATATGCTCTCACGCCAGGGAATTCCTAATGCGCACGCATTCTTACCACGACGGCAGCATCTTGTCTCTCTCGCTGTGTAGATACACAGCGACATGATAAGCCGGGGGGATAGAATGACGTGCGAGTAAACTCAAGACACCCGTGCGACGCCAGAGCCGCAGCGCATATACACGCAGCGGCTCAAGTAACCGCTTCTCCCTTAAGCGACCACACCTACCCACCCCATCTACCATCGCGCCTCGCACATATGACGCCCCGTGTCGGCATTCAGAAGTATCGGAACGGACGGCGACTTCGGAAGGACCCTGAAAGGGAGGGGAATACCCTTTTCTTTCTACCGAACCCGTCGGTTGTGGGTTGTGGTTGCAGGGCCAATGCAGGTAGGTTGAATGTATAATATGGCTGTATGCTGTAGTACTATTTTAAGATACACTATAGTACTGTAGCAACAGAAGTAATATATCTTATCTACCAGGTAGGCATGTAGATAGGTAGGCAGGGTAGCTTTGCTATCTGCCCAGATACTCTACCTTGGTTGCCTTACCTACTTTCGACGACCTCACCTCGATATCCGGGGTGTGGAGTTCGTGTTGTTGTTTGGCTGCTTCTCCTCTTCTACCTACCCATCTCCCTCTCCGCGGGACGGCGGATAGCGGATGGCGTGTCGCGGCAGGGTTTTTTCGGTTTGGCGAACCGGCTAATTAGGCACATCGCGCGCTTCTTTCTATCTCGTCATCATTATTCCTTCCCCGACTTGTGATTTGATTCGAACGAGCATGTTTTCCTCTGCACGATTCTATTAGCTATAAAGTAGGCATGTATGTGGCCTTTTCTATCAAGCCCACCCCCGGTTCACTTCGTGATGGAGCAACGTTTCCGGAATAAAGAGAGGTTGGCGCGGTGAAGGGAAACCTGGGGGGATTTTGGGGAAAGACGCTATTTAAAGCCAAGTAACATGCTTGGCTCCCACGTTCGGCAGGTAGATATTGGTCTGCAAGTCCATGAATAGAATGGCCTCTTATGTAGGCAAGGGTCCTAGGTATATGTAGTTTATAGTATATGCTCGCTTTCGTAAAAGGTAAAGGGACCATAAAACTCTTTGAGGTGCCTCCACGTAGGCGGGTAACAATAGCATCACTGTATCCCGACAGCGGAGCTAACAGTCCGTATTACTGACATCTAAAAGCACGAGATGACTTGATTAATAGGTAACGATGTTGTCCAATGCAAGTAACACGGCTCGAATAAGATTGGCTTTTGGAAACCCGGCAGTATGTGTTATAACAAAATGGGAAGCGGAACTCAACATTTTTGAAAGTCATTGGAGCTGTGAAATTGCATCACGGCATGTAGGTAGACATCATTTAGCAGGGGATAGCGGTGGGTAAAAGGGGTCCCGTAATGCGCTGTAGCTCACTTAAGCCCACTAAGCCAGTTCCCGATGTATCTGTGCATGCTTCGATATACTTCATCGAGCATGGTGTCATAGATAAACATAGACCATGATGAGAACATAAACGTTTGGCCAAACCAAGGCAGGTTAGGCCTCGCCGGGGAATTCGGGAATTTTCTCTGTGAGGACGGAAATACCACGAGGCATCGTACCATGGTTCATAAGGTTATTATTGAAAAATGCTGGCCCCGGATGACGGATCTGGATTAGTAGATCTCTTGGATCTCGACTGCGAAATCAGATCGGAACGAAACGATTGGACAGAGTAATGACCAGATGAAGACAACGGAACGCGAAAATGGTGAGAAAGAGAAAGAGAGTAATTCATCTTCCTAGTATCCGACCATAATTGGTAAGGCGAAAAGACGAAGATATTCATGAAGTCAGGGTTCGGTTATTATTCACACCTGGCTTCTTCTTTCTGTTCGCTTGAAAATCGCGGTGGAAATAAAATGATCTACCTAAACCCAGGATAGCAAAGTGATCCGACTGGTTGGCCTGACCTGGCTGGTTTAGGTACCTAGTGGTTCTTCACTTACAGCTGATCTTCTTCGGTTCCCCCACGCGCGCTTGCTCGCTTGCCTGCTTGCGTACATCATCCAATGCGTAGCTAGGTATTCCAATATTTCCTGTAGCTACTGCGAGATGGTAATTAAAATCAAGCCGCGCGCGTTCGCCTCTTTTCCCAATAGTAGCGACGAACTCCGCTCGCGTAAGAAAAAACAACGATAGAAAACACGTATTTCCCGTTCGACACCTACCCGCCTGTCCTGATCAAGGCAATCGCCGAGACAGCGCTTACGATAGCTCTGGATTGGTCGTAGTTAGTTATTACGGTGCGGTGCGGCAAATACATTTCTCCCTCAAAGTACCTACATCATTAAATGAGTGCATGTAGGTACTTACGTACTCTCGCCGCTAAATTGCTAACCGGTGTCGCGATTTTCGTGCTTATCGCGGTATTGGCTGTCGATCATTTACACATTTCGGGGGTTGCAATCCAGCTTGGCGGGCAGGCTTGCGGCCGCGTGCCGCCTTGTTTTTTTCTTCTTTGGTTTTCTGGGACGGGGATTGACGACACATTTTCCATTAGCTGGAAAATCCGGACCCAAGCCACTTTTTTACCAGCTTGGATAAATTGAGGCGGAAATAAGCAGATAAGTAAGGGATGTGTTGTAGAGAAGAGATGAAGCAACTCCGTGGAATCAAATACATTAGGTGTGTGAGAGCGGGCACTCCGAAGTCATTGGAACGGAGAGTAAAAAGAGACGGGTTACTCTGTGTTCGTGACGAGATTCCCGCTAAACCAAGTTGCGACATTGGTCACTGTCCACTTAGACAGACATTACACTATATCAACGGAATATCTACCACCGGAAACCCCTTCGATGATAACAATGTATCGTCATGTCTATTAATAAACTCGCCCAGCGTACAATTTAATAAGCTTAAATATTGGAAATATGCATACATCCAGGACACATACCCTGGGCGCATACATCTACGCTCTCGAACAAACAAACTCAGTCAGATCGATCCCAGATGGCCCCCGTCGTGTCTTGCATCGTGGGTAACACAGGAAAAAGAGAAGACCATAATAAGCCAGCCAGTCAGCCATAAGCGTTAACAAGCAGTACCCAGATAGGAGGTAGGTAAGATAGATAGCCCCCCCGGCCGGGACGTTCCAAAGGGACCACGTTCCTGGAACCAAGACACCGGTGCATAGCCCTTCTTCTGGACCGGTTCTTATCTTACTTGGGGCCCTCTCACGAATTGGGTAAACCTGGGGGAGGCAGGTTCTAGGTCGTGGTCCCCAAGAACAGGACGCACAGGAACGGGACGGAGCGCTTTTTGGGTTGTACTACAGAATTCCATTTAGAAAGATGGGATGGAATAAAGGGAGGGAAATTAGTTTAGTTTATGGGCTGTTTTCCGCTGCTTCAGCTTCCCTTGCCTGCTCTAGCTCGCTCACTCACCGCACTTAGGACTAGCCGCCTCCATCATCATCAAGCATCGCAGCCAAGACATACCTTTTTTCTTATTTCTTCGCCAACTTTACAGAGGTAGTAGGTGTGAAATAATAATAAAATTAATGATTGGCTAAATAGGTAATGACCTTACAAACATCTTGTGCATATACACATAGACATGGATATCATTACCTAGGCCGGGAGCAGTTAGACCGAAGCAGTTCAAAGAGTCGGGTAAGTTACTGCCTAGGTAGATGACCCTGTCCTGCAAGCAACTAAGCACGGCTCGTACATATTGATCTATATTTACACATATCCGTGCATTGAGGAAGACAAATAACTTGAAATGAGGGAAACGAATAAGATCACAGAAGTTGAGATAGGAATCTAGTCCGATGCGCTGCGCTGCGAACATAATAAAAAAAATATTGGGAGTTGGGGCTAGTTGTGATGCTGCCGTCATCCCTAATTCCCTAATTCCCTAATCGCGCGCGCTATAAACCTCGTTCCCTCGTCCCCCATGGAGCATTTCAGGTGGTGGAAGGATGGGTTGGGGGGTAGGGGAAGCATGACTCGCTTGTATTACTTGTGGCTCGTGGATGACTTTTACTTAGTAATGTTGTTATAAGGGAGGACCGTCGGCTTTTTTAGTGATTACCTTACCGTTGTTCCAATGGCTCTTATTCGCATCCTTCCTCAACACACTCCCTCGGGCATATGTCCGTTAAAGTACAAGCTGAAGGATAATATTGAATCCGCGCCGCTTTCACGAGGAACTTACTCTAGCTGGAAAGTAAGGTAAGCTATAGTTAGCTGGATGGATTTATTATCATCCGTATGGTATTGGGTATCGTATCTACAATAACATGTGGTAATGGGTATTATATCAACTTCGCCATACTGGGCATGATTTTGCCCATTTCTTCCTCATGGCGCACATACCGATATGTAGAAAAGATTACAATACGATGACAGCAGACCAATGAGCTTCCGACCAAAGATCTACTATAACCTACATATATAAAAATTGATAAAAAATGATAGGAGACAAGCAATTGCCATAGGCCATACCTAGTAGCACATGTGTTTTTGCTCACAACCATTGGCATCCCGCTGGTCCGCCCATGCTGATTCGACGGATTTTCCCCGCAGCCCGCCCTCCTCTAGGTAGGGATGTAGGGTATTGTATGTACGATATATGCAGTATTGCACAATACCCTCGAATGTACAATACGAGTACGTATAGTAACAATACTCATAGTCCTACTTTCCAACAACAACGTTACGAGGGGAAGAAAAAAAAAAGAAAATAAGGGGTCTTCATGCCCATTATACGTTATGCCATAATAGGATGTTGCAGGAAACCTCTTAGTTACCTATTAGCTTCTTTTTTATATTCATAGGAAAACAAGAAACGAACAAGAAATACACTAACGAAAAAGGGGTTAACCGAAGAGAGCAGAGAAGAAAAAAAAGAAAACAACTTAGCCTGTAAGAGGAAGTAGTACGAGAAGTACAGTACCCATGAAGATGAGTTGCAGGGGTTCCACACATCTCCGTCAATAGTAGACCATGAATGACTTTCCAGGTTGGATGTGAGGATGACCCTATGCCGTCACGCTTGCCTGGAATATTTCCCGTCCAGGATAGGGAAACCAAAGAAAAAGAAGCTGTAGCATGCTGTATGTGTACGTCTACCTGTCTATCTCTTCTTGGCCACCCCCCGAGCTGCCGTTCTACCAGCCCATGTATGCACGGTATTATTCTCTTGTCCCTCCACTTCCTCCTTCTACTCCTCTTCTCCTCTGCTACTTTGTTACTTTGTTACTTTGCTATGTACCTCACTTGCTCTAGGTATTATTCACTAACCTGAGTGGTATGTGCACTTAGAACGGCGAAGTGTCCCCTCCCTTATCCACTCTCCGTTCCAGGATTTCCGCCAGAACGCCCCCATATTATTATGTACCTCTATGTATGAATTGAAGCATTCTCTATTTTTTTTATTATTATTATTATTACTGTAACCTCGCAAAGCTAGCCTAGCCAGCCAGCCCCGAAAAAAAAAGAAGAGCGTGCACCCGAGTTCCGCCCACCCACCCTGTCTTGTCCATTCAATTCAATTCTCAAAAGTCTTTAAACATTTCCCAGTTCGGCTCAGCTCGTCATGGTTTTTAGGTATTCATATCGAGTTCTGGAAATCAGTTCCGCCAATTGAGTGACACAACCTAATTCTTTAGGCGGACACCGCCTTCAAGTTAACCTGCTCGAACACCACTCAACGGAACAAGTCCAGATAGATAGCTACCTACCTACTTTAGTTGTCTGCTAACTTGCTGCTTGCTTGCTTGCTGCATTGTCCTTGGCAATCGTCTATTATCGGAATCTCAACACCCGCAGAAAAGGGCGACCGCAAAGAAAACTCGGCTATTGTTATCCTCTGGATTGCGTGGTCTGAGCCAGTACATCGAAGCACAGATATAACGAAAAGCGCATAGCATCAAATCCTCGAATAACTCGACCTAATTCCTAGAGAGGAAACATTAGAAGATTTTTAGACCACGAATACAACACGAATACGTAAGGCCTTAATCAACCGTCGCTCGAAATTTAGTCGCACCGAACGTTCACGTCGAAGTCGCCTTCTTGTTGTGCTACCATCCGAGCTGCTTCCTTTGAAGCCAACCTAAGACGAACGATTAATACGCGCGCGTGTCGATATATATATACTTGAACGTTAAAAGAAACATAATTGTTAGGCTTCAGGCCAATCGCCTATCATGCCGGAAGCCGACATGGCTGCCGTGGCGCAGGGCGCCGGTAATAACTCGAGCGACTTTGTGAGTTGGATCACTTTCGACCTATATTCGAGGCTGCGTCGTCGCGAGCTGTCGCATATGCAAATTGCTAACCTTAGGTAATTCCAGGTTCGCAAATTATATAAGTAAATCCTACCATCCCTCGGTTGCGCTTCGAGTCGATCCTCGAGTCGATCTTCCATTCGCCCGTACTAACCAAGTTCTTTTTTCTTTGCAGGATGCTGGAAGACCCAGCCTACAGCGAAGTAGTAAGGTGGGGCAACGAAGGCGACAGCTTTGTCGTCCTCGAGGTAAACCTGCGAGCTCTCTAGGTGTGAGACAATTATTGACCTGAGCTTGCAGAACGAGAAATTTACGAAGACCATATTACCGAAACACTTCAAACATAGCAACTTTGCGAGTTTTGTTCGACAACTGAACAAATATGACTTTCACAAAGTCCGACACAATGAAGAAAACGGACAATCTCCATATGGCGCATCTGTAATTCATGCCTTCTTCCGGTGCAAAATTGTTCCGTATTGGGAGGGAAGCTGACAACATATGCAGGCATGGGAATTCAAGCACCCCGAATTTCGCGCTGATAGGAAGGATAACCTGGATAATATCCGACGGAAAGCTCCGGCACCGAGAAAGGCCCAGGCCGCAGAAGAGCAGTTCGGAGTGTCTAATCAACAGGTCCTAGTTCTCAGTGAAACCCTGGCCGCAACACAACAGCAAGTTCAACAACTTCAGGAGTCTTACCACGAGATTGTAAACGCGAACAAGATCTTTGTAGATGAAATAATCCACCTCCAGAAGTTGGTCCGCGCACAAAATCAGGTACATAACGAACTCATCAACCATCTAAATAAGGTCGAGCAGGAAAGGAAAGAACACCGAAATCCAGGCCACTCGAATTCTGGTTATGGCTCTAACACCTCGAATCTCTTATCGGATGGATCCGAATCTCCCTTGGAGTTACGCCGTGCTCGTGATATTCTCAATGGTCTTCAAGTAGATCATGTTGCGGATAGGGATCTGAACCGAATGTCTATTCAATTGCACCAGGCGGGTGGCTCTCCCGAGTCTGCTGGATCTTCTGGGATGATGGGACCACCTGGCGTAGGAGGTGTTAATCCTTTCTTGCATGACCCTCTAAATGATATGCGCCACCTTGTATATCCCGTTGGTCAGACGATAGGTATCGATCCTTTTGCTGCTGAACACATCAACAACTTGCCATATAACCGACCTGTACAGGATAATGCGATGGGTTCTGGCCACGAATACAACGGACCGCCTATGCCTTCTCATACCCCACCAGGAGCTGCATCGCAGAGTGGTTCACCATGGGGATCGAAAAAGCCTATTGTCCTACTTGTGGAAGACGATAGGACATGTTCTCGGATTGGTTCTAAATTCCTTGCCCAGTATGATTGCGGCGTAGAGGTTGCAGTACGTAGTCGTAGTTATTCGTCTCGCGTGATGATACATGCCTGGCTAACATTTCGATCTAGCGCGACGGTCTCGAAGCTGTGAACAAGGTCAACGCGAAGCAGCATTATTATGATTTGATTTTCATGGATATCGTCATGCCTCAGCTTGACGGTGTCTCAGCAACTGCTATGATTCGTGAGGTGCAACCCAACACACCAATCATTGCCATGACATCCAATATCAACCAGCAGGATCTTGAGATGTACTTCCACTGGGGTGAGTGAAATTGGGTTTCTTGTCCATGACTTTCGAATGCTAATGATATCCCTAGGCATGCGAGATGTCCTTGCCAAACCATTTACTAAAGAGGGAATGATTGGTAAACTAAGGAAACATCTCGTCAACTTCTTGCGCAACCCTCCTCCCGAGAGTATGATGGAGTCAATGTATCCGAATGGTGCTCCTGGCCAACCACCAACACCAGGACCATATTCAAATCAGGCAATAGGCATGGCGCCACTTTCTGCTGCATCCTCAGGGCCCGCAGGGAAGTTTGACACCACACCAATACAATCTCCTGCCACTAGTGCTTCATGGCATTCACCCAGCCAGATGCCGCATGCCTCACCAACGATGGCCCAGGATCAAGGCTATATGGGTGCGGGCAGTGGCTCCCAAATGGTGCTCACGCCTGGTGGGACTCAAAAACCCCAATTTACCAATGCGATGATGCCACAGATGGGTGTACCTCCGCAAAGAATGCCTGAGGGTATGCAGCGCTCAGATGGGCCACCCGAGAAGCGGCAACGGTTGTACGCGTCGCAGACGAGTTATAACCAATAGTCGCATGCATTGTTTCTCATCCATCCTTGACTCCGACTTGTATATATTCTCAGCATATTTGATTGTCTTGTGACGAGGTCCGTTAAAATTCGGTAATGGATACATCGAAGGGACAGAATGCCGTTGGCGCCGATATCGTTGGACATCTTATGCATTGGAAGCATTGGAAACATCCTGTTTCGCTGCCTTCTCTGGTCTGGTTGTCTCACTCGGGGCGAAGTAGGACTCCGTGATAGACCATGGAATACCCCTTGGCTGTTTTCTAGAGGCGTGGCTGCATGTGTATCAGTAACAGAGAGCCAAGAGATTTTCTAGGCCAAGGAGGGGCAGATGCTGGAGGGAGGGATTTTGATTGTTCAGGCTGGATTGGATCCATTGGCTTGTCCCATTGGGGGGTCTGGTAGCATATGCGTGCCCATGGCTTTTTCTCTAGGTGGGGGGCATTTCGTGGCTGCCGGCGATGTTCATTACCGTATCGGATGCCATCATCGATCTTTACGATCTAAAAAACATGGTAAATTAGTTTTCGAATCAGGATATGCGTCGAACCTAGACGACGAATGAATTAGGATGAGGGTTTATTTTCCCATTCAAACGACGAGGTCAAATGAACGATCCCAACATAAAATAGAGGAATAATAAAAAAAAAGTATTCGATCAACAATCATATATGTATAAGTCGACCGTGACTAGCCGCCATAGCTATGCCGTCAATGCTGTACTGAAACACTAAAGGTTAGGGGAAGATGGATGTGGTTTATGTTGTGTCGGGTTAAGTTTGTCGCTACTCGTGGGGATGGAAAGAAAAGAGAAGACTCAACACGTATTGAAGGTTAAAGATCGAATGAACCTACCTTGATCATATCTCAACGACAGGAAGCTCTTTCTCTCTTTTACACCCTCATTTGAGTTTGGTGCTTTATGCCAACACTCGTGGCTTGCTAGCGACGTCATAATGGGCTTATACTGCGAGTGGCTTCCTCTAAGATTTGGCAGGAGGAAACAGCATTGGATAAGACGATAGGCGTTCGAACGAATGGGGAAGGAAGGGACGACAGCCAGGGAGGTACAAACACTGACTTATACCGTTGAGAATAAGGAAAGAGGTAGGCTTCTTACCCAGGTAGGTTTGGTACTAGGAGAGATCAAGCAAGATTCTTGGGAAAGCTTAATCTTAAAAAAACAGACCCGAAGCATTAAATTCGTTCCCGCACTTCCGCTGCCAACAAACATTTGAACTTTACAACATTCAACATGTGAGAATACTACAACCCATCAAATATTTAAGAATCTTAGGTGAGAGAGAGCCTTTCTCATGTATACGCCGCACAAATCTCGTTACTTGTGACAGCAAACAATAAGTGGTACGAGAAAATTCATACGAATTCGTTGACCGAGCCGCGATTATTAACAACTATAATAACGGGAAAAGCTTGGCTCAGCCTAGAATGCGATCGATACACTATCTATAAGCATCCGCTGTCAACGAATAGTAAAATCCACTTGGCTATAGAAGGGTCTGTCCCATTACTCCCCTGCAGTGGGTGACATGATCTGCTGATCTAGACACCGATTATATGGAACGAGACCCCTATGGATTAATAGGAAGGCCATGTTAATGCTCCCTTTTGAGGTCTAGCCTTCGGGAAGCATGGATAAGATCCTGGGAGCACGAAAGCTTGGTACAAGATCGACAGCTCCCGAACCTTCTTCGTTGTTTGCTACATATGCACCAGGTACTTGGACGACCACTTCCCCAGATTTTGTGGATGTGTCTTTACAGTAAGGCGACTTTAATAACGGGGCATCTCAGGTTTGGTGATATTCACAATGGCATGTATTGGCTACAACCCTAGCCTGCTGATTAGGGACGTAAACATAACATGATCCGACACTCCCAGGTGCCTTGTCCCAAAATTCAACCGGGTTTCATTAAAAAAAAAAAAAAAAAAAAAAGGGGGACGAGGCAGGCTTTAAATGACCGACACCGACTGGTCTACTTATTGCTGCGGGTGTCCGTATTCGAGAAGAGCTCTTCAATATGAAACTGAGGAGATGGCTGAAAGAAGAAGGAAGAGAGACAACGAGCCAATCCCAAGTGTACTTGCTAAGCTACCTTGTAGCTGGGGCACATCCACTACCTAGGTACAGATCGAGAACCTGGAACCACGACCACGGACTGCCCGCGTACCCTACGTACATACATATAACACATGTACATACATATGCAAGCTGCGTAAGGTAACGGTCGGGGGTTGCGTTTGCGGCAAGGGGTTAGCTGACTGGAGATTTGATCCGAAGGTCTGGATTCGTGAAGCTCTAGCCTAGAACGTAGTCCGTTCCACGGCAGTCAGTCCACCCTGGTCCACCCTTGCCGTCGCGCCCCTGCGTCGCCTGGCCTAGAACATCTAGGTGCTTGACGTGTCCGGTAAGTTCCATGGTAGACTTTATATACATTATGTACGTACATACGAGATCACGTTATTGGCCTTATTTGCTTCTCTAAGCTTTATCTTCCTCAAGCTGCCTAATTTGCGGTGAGTATCTTCCTGATAGTCTATACAGCTCTTACATTGAGCTGGCTTTAAGTGATGAATCATGAACGATAGACGAAAAAATCGAAAGAGCTCCATACTAATGGAATTTTGAGTATCTTCCGTGTACTGATGATAATTCCAGGGATGTTAAATTGACAACTCATATTATCCCTGAAATCTCCAACACTGATGTCTCCAATGCTTCGCCGGTTTCCTTCATATGTACTAAGTGGCTTTTTCATTGACTTGACCTTCGAATCTTCTTTTTACTCTACACTTGTAGAATTATGTTTCTTACGTATTATCGTAAGGACAAACTAGTACTCATATCGACATCCTGCTTTTACGGACCTTTGAACCAACACAGAAGATCAAGGTCAGCTTGCTTATTCATATAAGCACATTCTAAGTACCTTAAGTATAGCGACAGCTGTAATTAAGTACGCTGTTTGGTAGTAAGGGCTACAAGTCAATGCTGTAAGACTGGTCCTGTAGGGGGTTTGCTACGCCGTGTCTCCGGTGTATGTCTTGTACCACCATCGTGAATCAACTTGGGGGTCTTGGCTTCATTGAGCTGTCTGTCATCCCACGCTCGGTATTCTTTTGGGGTAATTCAAAAAGACGGAGGGTTGACACATGACTATTAACCCTAAGGCTAATTGGAAGGAATTGATTATTTTATTCCATGACTTGTTGAATAATATTAACGAAATAAATGGAGAAAAAAGAAAGAAATGAAAAGATCGAACGATGGCGTTGAACTTTTAATTAGGTTGCATTATAACGATATCTTTATACAGGATATCCGTGTATTAAGGTAGTATCTCATAGCGGTGTTCTTAGCTACTGAGGTACCTAGGTACAAACTGCCCCTCCATTGACGTTGACTCATACTAAAAATTAATGGAGCAACTCTTGAATTGAACCTTCTTCACAACTTACAATACAAACATAACAAAAACAACATCGCCGCGTCATGTCGCAAAATAAAGCCGCCAAGGGCGGCGCTGCTTCAAAAGGCAAGAAATCTAGTAAGACTGGAGCTGAAGATAAAAGAGAAGATGCCCTTCAAGCAGTTGTGAGTATTTTGCTTGGGTTCCTAATCATCGCGGGGCATTAACAAGAACGATCTTCATGGCTAACACGATGCGCTTTTGCTATTATAGCTTATAGCAGATTCTTTTCAGACTAGATTCCATCCATTCACGGTAGAAAAGCCAAGAGTAAGTCGACCGCGAGCTATTCCTAAGCTTCACTCATTAATTCTGCCCCGCTATAGTGCCTCCTCCCCCTTGCGAATACACCTCTCATCGAGTACTCCCTCGAATTCCTGGCTGCGAATGGTGTGCAAGAAGTCTTCATATACTGCGGCGCCCATCATGAACAAATCGAACGACACATCCACAACTCGAAGTATTCACCCAATTCTAAGCTTTGTCCTTTCTCGAGCCTCGAATTTATACGTGTTGCCGATGCTCGGTCTATAGGTGATTTCCTCCGAGACCTCGACAAGCGCAACATAATTGGAGGTGATTTCGTATTGGTACATGGAGACTTAGTCGCCAATATTCCCCTTGACGAGGCATTGGCAGCGCACAGAGCACGCAGAGAAGCAAACCGCGACTCATGTATGACTATGGTATTACGAGAAGCTGGTGAAGAAGCACACAACACTAAGACGAAAGGGCTGACCCCATCATTCATAATCGACCCGAATGCTAAGAGATGTCTACACTACGAAGAGATACACCCACTACAAACTGAGCATTACCTTACGCTAGATCCGACTATACTAGAGAACCGCGAAGCAGAAGCACGAACAGACCTCATCGATGCCGAAATAGATATTTGCACTCCAGATGTGCTCGCCTTATGGTCGGAGAGTTTCGACTACGAGTTACCGCGCGCAAACTTTTTACACGGTGTACTTAAAGACTGGGAACTGAACGGGAAGATGATCCATACCGAAATTATTAATGAGGGTTACTGCGCGCGAGTGAGTAATCTTCAACAATATGATGCTATCGCTCAGGATGTATTGAGGGGCTGGACTTTCCCCTTTACGCCGGAATGCAACCTCTTCCAAGGACAGACCTATCAACAACGAGGCAACGACTCTTACCAGGACGACGACGCTGAAGTTGAGGATCAAGACGAAATATATCGCTCTATCGTTGGAAAAGATACGCACATTGGATCGGGGAGCATTGCTAGAGCTAGTGTTGTCGGTCGGAATTGCAAGATTGGAACCAATGTCCGGATCGTAAACAGCTTCATATGGGACGACGTTACGCTCGAAGATAACGCGATAATAGAACATTCGATAATCGCCGATAGGGGAGTGATAGGAAAAGATACGTATGTCCACGACGGCTCTCTTATATCATACGGAGTTCACTTGGGCAGCCATCTGCACGTCAAGGCTGGTACTGTGGCATCACTTCTTTCCCACACCGGGCAGCCGGTATTGACACAACCGAATATTGTCGGTTCAGAGGGCAAAGGTGCCCTTTTCGAGCCTCCGGAAGATGAAGAAGATCTTGATGACCCAGCGATATTACAGAAGACTCTAAATTACACCATTGTGGGACTCGATGTCTCTGATTCTTCTGTTTCGACACTTGCAGATGATGACTACTTGTCTGACACATCGGGACCGGTCTCGCCTTCTGCTAGTCAGCCTACTTCTAGGTCACGATTATCCTCATTTGCATCTGACGACTCGGGAGCACCGAATTTCTCTTCTTTCCATTCTGATGCGGTTCACGGTTTATTGGATGTCCTTCGCGGCATATCGGGCAACTTCGAATCCGAAAAGCTTGAGTTCACCTCGTTGCGACTCGCTAATAATGCCTCTGATGCCGCGATGAGGAAAGCTGTCGCAACCGCTTTCGTCCGCCGCGCAGTCGAGCTTATGAATTCGGATGGCGAAGCGTTAGAGCCGTCGAAAGCTGCTAAGCAGGTACTTACGTCACGAGAGGGTGCTACGGAATTCGTCACAGAAGTCGGTGTCGGTGACCATTCCGTAGCAGAACAAGTCGAGTTTGCGCTGGCGGTACAAAAAGCTTGCGCGAGTAGCGCTAAGATAGTTGAGGTCGCGAAGGCTGGGAACCTTCTTGCTGCTATGCTGCAGCAGATGTACGACCTGGATATCCTGGAAGAAGAGGGAATTCTGGGTTGGTGGGAAGATGATAGGGGTAAAGAAGAGGGCTTGCTATCGGGTGTAAGGGAGAAGAGCCAGGCATTGGTTGAGTGGTTGGAGAATGCTGATGAGGAGGAGAGTAGTGAGGAAGAGGATGATGACGAGTAGGGGTTGGTCTATGATGGTAGTATGCATGGCAAATTGGCTTGACGTTACGCCTTGCAGAAACCGTTTGGTATAACATATCAAGGATGAAACTCTATATCGGAACTCATCGTGCTTCGCGCTGAAAGAGGTCGTTGCTTTCCAGTATCGACGAGGAGCCTACGAGTCGACAAGGGTAAAGTGGCTATGGTGTCTAAAAGTTTAGAGCGATGTTTTAATGCGATTAATATCTAGTTTGGCGCTGTCGCTATTACTGGATACGCCGAGGGTGATGTTGGGGGCGGGTGGTTCAAGGGTCCCCTCTCCATATAACGGCGAATGCATCTAACATAATATAGAGTGAACACTACTTTGATCAAAGACCTTACAAGAGTCTTGAGAATGGTGCTATGATTCTGGTCTATAGATGTTATATCCGTATTATGCATTTGTTGGGTGGATTACAAACTCATCCACTTATATAACCAGTCTCTGGTTGGTGGAAACTCCAGCTTTAAGTGGATGTATACCGTGCGCCGTTTTCAATAAACCGCCAATGCGCCATAATACAGTGTATTTTTTACAGTATGGTGGCGTTTCGCACTGATGAACTAAATTTACAGGGCCATTAGTGCTGTAATTACAGCGCATTTCAGTGGGGTGCTATAATGCGCTATAATTATAGTACTCTAGAGCCCTGTAGAGCCCTAAATTTACAGCACACTTACAGCGCGTCTTAGCACCTCACTATAACACGCTGTAATTACAGCACATTACAGGGGCTACCTATAAAGCGCTGTAAATCCAACCACTATAATTATAGCGCGTACTCCCCTATAGCCCCCTGTATTTACAGTTGACTTCAGCACATGACTCCCTGTAATTACAGTGACACAGTGCAGTACGCCACCACACTGTATATTCGCACGGCGTTTTGGCGCATTGGCGGTTTTATGCTTATTGGACCGCCGTAATATAATGTAATTAACGCGATAACGCGTCGCGTCGCGTTCAAATTTCAATTAAAGTAGCCCCTCTACAATATTACCTACCCGTACCATGCTACTACGAATTCGCAATACTACGAAATAAAGCGCACTGATTGATTACTTGAGAATGCCTCACTCTATATCCCCCGAGGCTGATAGCCAAAATACTGCTACCGAAGAGACGATGACGGACGCCCCAACTCAGAATGGCAACAGCCAAGCAACGGACAATGATATCACCATGGCCGAGCCGGGTACTGTATCAGCTACAAATGGCAACGATAAGAAGGATGTGAAGCTAGAAGATATGTTTGACGACGACGGATCAGATGAAGAGTTCCCTAGTTCGCGGCCGGCTGTAGATAAATTCTCAAGTACTCCTGATGCTCTGGGGTCACCTATGTAAGATTGCCGGATTATTTCGACTAAAAGAACCACTTCTTAACAAATGCTATAGTGATGGAGCGGTTCAATTAGCAGCCTCAGACCCCGAGCTCATGCGCATTTTCTACCAACGATTCTTTCCCTGGCGATACCTATTCCAATGGCTTAACCACAGTCCGGTCGCCACGAACGATTTTGCCCACCGAGAGTTCGCCTTCACGTTACAAAATGATATTTACTCACGATATAATTCCTACCCTAGTTCTGACCTGTAAGTAGCATACAAGCCCGGATTTCTACTTATTACACAATACTAATCATAGATAATTCCAGACTCCGAAAAGATGTCGTCCGCCTCCTACCAAGCCGTTTCGAAATCGGACCCGTATACTCCACGAACCCACGCGAACGCAAGACCCTCCGAAACTCGAGCGCTTTTAAGCCACTAGCCAAAGAACTATGTTTCGATATCGATTTAACAGATTACGATGACATCCGAACATGCTGCGACAAGGCCAATATCTGCAACCTGTGCTGGCAATTCATCACCATGGCTATTAAAGTGGTTGACGTTGCGCTGCGCGAGGACTTCGGGTTTAAGCATATTATGTGGGTGTACTCTGGACGAAGAGGTGCGCACGCTTGGGTGTGTGATAAGAAGGCACGATTGTTGGATGATCAAAAGAGGAGGGCGATTGTGAGTTACCTTGAGGTTATTCGGGGTGGTGCGCAGAGTGGGAAGAAGGTCAATCTGAGGAGGCCTTTGCATCCGCATTTAAGGTATGTCTGATTTTGTTACTATGTAGAACGATCCTTGCTAATTGTTCTCATAAAGTCGGAGTCTGGAGATTCTAGCACCCCATTTCCAAGACGATGTGCTCGAGTCGCAAGATCCTTGGTCTGAGCCTGAACGAGCCGAGCAACTACTTTCTCTTCTCCCGGATAAAACCCTCAACGAGAGTTTGCGCAAAAAATGGGACTCATCTCCTGGACGAGTTAGCACATCGAAGTGGGCTGATATCGACGCAGTAGCCAAATCTGGTGCAAGCCGAAATTTGGATGCTAGAGCGCTGCTCGAGGCTAAGCAAGATATCGTGCTCGAGTACACATACCCACGTCTCGATGTCGAAGTCAGTAAGAAACTGAACCATTTGCTGAAATCGCCATTCGTTGTGCATCCTGGTACTGGGAGAGTGTGTGTACCGATCGACATGCGGAAGCTCAGCGAATTCGACCCGCTCGGTGTGCCCACCGTCCAGGGTCTGCTAGAGGACATTGACTCTTGGAAGGGCGAGAATGAAGATGGTGAGGAGGTCAAAGGTAACCTTCAGGATTGGGAGAAGACTACATTGAAGTCGTATGTAGAGTACTTCCGCAGCTTCGTGCTGGCGCTTATGAAGGATGAGAGGGATCCTAAGGTCAAGAGGGAGAGGGATGAGAGTGAGGCTATGGAGTTCTAAGCTACCTAGGCTTTTCTCTGATTATTGATATGATATGTTAGCGAGATGATTAGGTTGATTATACTATGGCATGGGCTTGGAGTTCGGGTATGCTTTACATATAGGTACAGTACTTTACCTAGGTACTCGAAGATCGGAATAATGAGTAACATATGCAAATAATACCTTTGCTTCGTGGAATTCCCTCGTAGCTTATGCCCCTGATAATTCGTCGCTGAGAAGCTTCTGTTTAACTAGAGCAACCAGGTCCTCATTGTTTTCGGTATTCCTACCACGCTGGAAAGAGGCGCTGGCGATGCTGATGGTTTTATCCCTGGTTTTCATCCCATGCGTGATTTGAAGATCTGATTTTGCGACCCCTAGGATCTGAGATTTTGTTATTAGTGAAGTCCGTTTGTATCCGGATGCATGCTTCCGTGTGTAACATAGGGGAGCTATCATATTCATAATACTGCCAAATGGAGAGTTTGTATATATAAAATGACTTTCTATATGCTCACCTCACTTAATATTTGAATCACGGCCTTGTTTGCTTTTCCATCTTGAGGAGGGGCTGAGACGCATAATTCTATTGCCTCATCGGTGACAGCAGCAACTCCTTCTCGTACCTTGCTTGCGCCTGGTCGGATGTGACATCGTAATTGTAGGATCTCGGGAGATGAAGATTTGGATTTTTGCACGAGACTTATAGCATTACGCGCTGCCATTTTGATATCGATATTTGTCTTAACTATTTCAGTTCATTCCTAGGTAGTCGAGGGGTCTGAATTGTCTCTTTTAATGGTGGTGATGGATCGGAGTGCCCCACTTCTCCGGATGGTGATACCGAAACGAATTCAATCCAATTGTTTGTAACGGGAGGAGCTTGGGCCATGCATACATGTACCGTTTGGCTACAAATAGATACATCCATACGCTAGTAATTCATGCTAATAATTTAGTACTGGTACAGGATAAGAATTTCTGACGATAAGCTCCAATAACTTTGTAAATGCTGCAGCTGTTACGAACTCTCTCAGTTACATACATATACAATTGCGACGAGTCGATTCTCATCTAAATCCATTATTTGGAATCGACGACTTGGAAGTTAAATAGAACTTATCCAAATCCTTTCAATCGTCGCTTCTTTCTCCAATATTCATCCCTTTTTCCAATATGCGATCGTCGTCGTAATTGTATGCTTCCATCGCGCAGACTTCCATCCTCTATTCACCCTCTGCTCTGCAGCCAAAGGATGGCGTCCGACCGCGGCTATACCATCACCGGTCTCAAGAGATGGTCTATCCTCGACAAGAAACTGCCTTGTATGTTTGAATCTTACTCTAGATGATGATTTCGTTCTTTGCTAACCTAAGAATTTAGCTATCGACAAGATTAATGCCATTCATGTTTACGACTTCGACAACACCTGTTAGTCCCGCATATGCCTAACTCCCGCATCTATTTCGCAACTAACCACGCATCGTTTTAGTGTTCCAGACCCCCCTGCCCAACCCGAAACTATGGAACAATGCGACGCTCGGTCAGCTAGGTTCCCCCGACATATTCGTCAACGGCGGTTGGTGGCACGACTCGAGAATTCTATCCGCGACCGGCGAGGGCGTAGAACAAGAAGAGAAGCGCGCCTGGAATGGTTGGTGGAATGAGAAGATCGTAGAGTTGGTCCGACTTAGCATGGAACAGAACGATGCCCTCTGTGTTCTGTTGACAGGACGCTCCGAACAAGGTTTCTCCCAACTCATCAAGCGAATCGTCGCCAGCAAAGGGTTAGAGTTCGATATGATCGGGCTCAAACCGGCTGTCGGTCCTAATAACGAGAAATTCCTAAGCACTATGAACTTCAAGCAAACTTTCCTTCGAGTATTGATGGGAACGTACGCACACGCTAAGGATATACGCATTTACGAAGATCGCCCGAAACATGTCGAGGGATTTCGAGATTTCCTGGACGATTTCAACAAGGAATTAGTTGGCCGTAGACGAAACCCCATTGTTGCCGATGTCATACAAGTTGCGGAACTCTCCACTACTCTGGATCCTGTTGTCGAGGTAGCTGAAGTACAACATCTGATCAACATTCACAACTCCCTAGTCAAGGGACGGAATGGAGGTCCGCGAAATAAACGTCTATCCATCAAGAAGAGTGTCTTCTTCACTAGCTACATGGTCGAAACCGCCGACACAAAGCGACTCATCGCACTTTTGAATTCGATGGCGTCGGGGATTGATGATCTAAAGTTTCTTGCTAATACCATACTTATCACGCCCCGTCAATGCCCGAAGCACATCCTAGATAGGATAGGAGGAATGCGGTCCAAGATGAAGTGGGAGGTAACCGATATTGGTGAATACCAAACTAACCTCTGGGCGGCACGTGTTAGACCCGTGCCTGCCGATGCGATGTACCATACCGATAACCCGTCGCCGTCTGTCGTGCTAGGACAGAGGAGAGGCGCTCGCCCACCGGATGTTAATAAGATCCAGTACTGGCAGCCAATTCCTCCTGAGAAGCAATTTATTATCGATACGACGGTAGGCGAAAAGGCGATATTGCGAATCGAGCGCGAGGACCAAGATGGTGATCAATATGATGACCACCAGGAGCGGTCGTACTCCCATAGGGGCTCCAAGCGCAAGTTCCCCAGTGATGAGGATCGACCCTCGCGCCAGAATAGCGGCAACTACGGCAATAGCCCCCGCGAGTATCACACTTCATCTTACCAGGGACGAGGCGGAGGTGATAATCGTGGTCGGGGCGGCTACAGAGGCGGCAATAATTCTAGGGGTAACCGCGGTGGCGGCAGAGGCGGTTTTAAGGGTTCGGGAAGAGGTGGTAAGGGCGGTGGTCATGGGTACAGATCCCTAGACGACGTTGACACACGAGACAACTCTCAAGGGGGGTATGGCTCATCGACGGTCTCTTATGATGATACTTTCCCGTCTTTACCATCTGGTGGCGGTATGCAATCTCAGCAACCTCTTCCGCCGATCCCCCCACCTCCTCAGTTCGGCCAACCATTCCCGCAGCCTGGTCAATGGCCGGCTCCGGGTGGTGCCTCGGGTCAATCGCGACCTGTTGGCGGTCCTGGACCGGATTTACAGAATTTCTATTAAGCATCTGGAACGGTTACATGATACGACCGACAGTGTACAAGTATGGTTTTAAGGACGTCTTGAAGGTCAGGCTTTTAAAATTGAGTCATGGAGCATTGTATCAAGGTCGGCTTGGAGTTTCAGAAATAACGTTCAACCAAAAATGGTAGAATGATATAAGGCCCAGGTTTACAAGCAGGCAGTCATAATCAAAGGGCAGGCATTTCTTTCACGGACAGGTCTTTTTTTACATATACTACTAGCATACCCCCTCGAGTTTCATTTTTTACGGGAGATTTGGTACTGAAGTCAGCAGCTAGGTTAGGCGTTTGGCAGATTACTTCCTCCCTAAAAAGTAGGTGTGAAACATGCAGGCTGGTAATTAGGTCTAGGTAGTTAGGACGAAGGGAGCATCGCGAATGCGAACGCAAAATAAAAGGCATTATTTCTTGGTACGAGTATTGATGCATGATCTGAAAAATGCATGTGTTAGTCTATGTTTCGAGTTGATATGTTTCAAAGGACTTGAGTTGTATGTGCCAGATATAAATCAGGATAAGATAGAACAATGTGGTGAGTTAGATGAATCATGCTCGCCAAAGACGAGTCATAAACAGCCTCTAAGGAAATCATCATGGAAAGGTAGGCGTAATGAAAAAAATTATGTTAAAAAGAAATGGATATAAAACTTACCACAAAGTCAACAAGCTATTCCGTGGATTTAGAAATCATCACAGAAGCAAAAGAGCTCGTATCTGAACATTGAAGAAATGGAATTCTAGGTATATGTACGGGTATGCATTGTACCTCTTAGTTTAGTTGCGACAGCCCCTTATCCCCGCCGTGGATAGAAGGTTTGTGTATGATTGTTGTGATGTGATGGTGATGGATGGATGAAGAATGCCCGCCGCCCTTTTTATCGTCAGAAATAAATTTGCGCCGGAAAGTGGAGTCCTCTAATTTTCGCGGCTCAACTAGATTCTCCGGCACCGTATGGAACCCCGGCTGTCAGTGCAATTACCATCTGCAGCCTACTCCCTCCTTTTCTCTTTATATCTCGTGCGTAGATTAAATGGGTGGGTATATTTATTCCACAGTAGCGGACACAGGCTTAATCTCCACGCCGTACTTCTCCTTCAAGCGTTCGCGGCGGCGCTCCTCGTAGCCGGGCGGGTGGATACCGCGGCCCTCGCCGATGTTGGCGATGGTCTCGTCGATCGGTCGGCGGCGGTTTAATCGCATGGCTTCCTTGCGGTCGAACTCGTCGAGCTCGTTAACGGGGTTACGGGGTCCGCCGCGGAGGCTGCCGCCTGTGAATTCGAAGGCTGACATGACGATCGAGAAGGCGGCGCCGAAACCTAAGATCTGGGGGATGCGGCCGGCTGTAGTAAGAGGGAGGGTTAGTTTGACGGCGTTTATGATATTATGACGGGTTTACGGGATTGGATGAATGTGAGGGTGAGGGTGAGGGTGAGGATGGAGGTGCGTACTTCGTAGACCTATCGTGGCTCCGCTTAGGAATGAAGCGATTGAGATGTTTAGTGTGTCATCTTTTTCTCGTAGGTTGGCGGTAGCGTCTCGCGCGAATTCGTATACGGTCGCTCCAGCAGCTATAAGAATGAAACCCGTCAGTTCTCTAATCATCCATGGTATATGACGATGTTTCCCCAGCGCCAGTAGAGTGCATCCGGAAATTCCAATTGAGCGGGTAAAGACGTACTGAACATAGCGACAGTACCGCCGGTCCTCGTAAATACACCCCAAGCGCCGACGTTGCGTCTCGCGAGTGAGTTCTGAACGGCCGAGACGGTAAAACCAGCACCTCCACCTAGCAGTGCGCCGTTTATGGCGGATTTGAGAGAATCATGTTGGTGGAAGATATGTTGCTCCTCCCCCTTCGGCGCGGAGTAGTCGTTCGCCATCTTTGACTCGAGCCCGAAGGAGGCCTATTTCGCGATGGTGGGAGGGAGCTCGAGAATATGCCTATAGGAAATTGGCGATTATAATAGGTATGGTGGTAGGTAGTAAGGTCTTTGGAATCTAAAGCTTTGAAGCTTGGATGTTCCGCCGATGGATCCTGGAATTGCGTTGAACTTTACTGGTCAGAATTAACCGGGATTTTGCCTAGTGGATACATACATATATGAAAGTGGTCCAAGTGTCGGAGAATCATATAGGCCGAGCATAGAGTTACCGGGATACTTAAAAGTCTTGTAACTGGACTTTCATAACCAATTGGATTTGTCTCAGTAAACCGTATTAGCGCGGGGTAGATTTACATTTTCATGTACAAAAACATCGTCCCATACAATTTGTTTTTGTATTTTAAGTAAGAGCCAGCGCCAGCATTAGAGTAGTTTCCTCCTGTCTATGAAACAAATATTTTGAACCTTAAAGCTGCATGCGTTGATCCTACAGTGTCTAATGCTTTCCTAATTCTTATTTCGCTAAGGTAGCTACGTTGGATGTATTGTCCTACGTCACTGCCAACATTGAAGCAAGGGTGTAGCACAATACCCTAAAATACATACCTAAGGTACATAGGTAGGTACTGTACAGCCTAACGCACGGTCCTTTTCTTCAGCTCGCAGCTACCTATTCCATATCCTAAGCCTTGAGCTTACTGATTAGCAGCAACGAAGCTCCAGAGTCAAGTCGCCGAAGTTGCCTCCACCAAAACTACATCATTCTACGCCGTTCTCTCTGCTACTCAAGCCTTTATTGTAATCGCCGACATTTGTCAACTTCTGACTATACGGCGATTTGCGACCTCTTCGCGCGACTCTATTTTGAGTTGACTCTTTTTCTAATCATTTTGTCTGCTACGTCGCCTCTTTTTTTCCCCGGGCGCTTGGAGTCCATCCCGGTCAAGTCGATAGATCGTTGCGATTGCATTCCTCTACGTCGATACTTGTATGTTACACCCCGGTTAAGTTGAGTTACATATCCTCATCTCTTAACTGAGTCCAGTATTGTCTGCCTCGAACAGCTCAGCTACCTAAGTTGTCAGGTACGTACGCGATTTATTTATAATGTTTTCGCCTTCACCTAACAATGGTACCATAATTCATAATCCTTCTCTCTACTCATGTGACTCTCATCAAATATAGGAGCAGCTTCCCCCTTTTCGCCTTCTATCTCATTATTTCCTTTAGATCGATAGTCGCGATCCTTACATGTCTTGAACAAGTTTATTGTGTCTTGAACGTAAGAAACAAGTTGTTAGGAACGATCACTGGATACATCGAGCTTAAACTTAACATTCTGGTATTTACAGTCACAGTGTTCAATAACCGGTGTATCATACCACATCATCGTTCGCGCGAGGAAGAATATTAGATATCGCCGATAATTCTCTACCTCTCAATAGGTCATAGGCAGGTTCGACTGTGCCTCTACGTTCACTGCGGTAGCGACGGCATCCATCATCTTGACCCCCCTGATTAATACTACATTACCCATTACCCGGCTTCATACCCTCTACACATATCGCTAATAGTAAAAGTACGAGTGTACTCGAGAGGACAAGCAAAAAACGAAACTCTTTCACTTCTACCTCATATTATACAATTGAGTCTACTGCTAACGTAGATATAATACTAAGCCATTGTACTCCTTTACTAGTATTGGAGATCTCAGTGGTACCAGCCATCCCATCATATTTACTGATGAAATCTTAAGACTGAAGAGCACGCGTCTACTTAGACATTCAATCACGACTTCAACGGAGTTGGTGCAACTCATCGGGTAAGTTGGCTCTCATTATATCATGTAAAAATTAAGCGGCACTTACTCTTCATATAACCCCTCTAATCTAAGAGTAAAAGTACTAATGCTAGTGAACCTAGTACCCAAACACAAATCAGTCGTTTCTCTCGATATACCCCGCTCCTGGGTATCTAGTAACCTTGAGAGCTCGCGCTCTCAAACGGGTTTATTATCACGATGGATTTCATCTACCCTTTAGACGATGTAGCAGAGCTCCACCGACTCCAGCAGCAGGCGAAAGAGGACGTACGAACCTCCCCAAACCCTCGAGGTAAGCATCTAGTCGGCTTTGGTACTATTATAGTTTTTTGGAAGTCATACTAATCAGGCTGCGAAGTTGTCACATCACCTCTCCTTCTAAGTCAATTTCTGGGGTCTCAAATACCGGAGCTTGATTCAAACCATCGATGCTCAAATCATGAGATGTTACTAGTTATAACTCAGTCATCTGAGGGAGGACCTGCTAAGTTCATCTCTACGTTTTGTGGACGATGCCATTACCATTTCCACATAATGAGTGATTCGAGACATGTACAGCCGTATTCTAATGATACGCATCGTCTTCATATGCTTGTTCCTTGCGGTCAGGATTCTACACATGATTCCGGAGTAAACCGAACAGGTTATGATGATGCTATCGGAAACGTTCGATATATTTGCGCCGCCGATGGCTGTTTTTTCAACATCAAAATATCCTCTATACCAGAAAGGATTTCTGAGGAGGAGATGACAAAGCTTGACGACAAGAACCGAATCGCCCACAATTTCGCACAGGCCCAGGCTAACGACCCGGAACGTTATGAGAAGTTCGGCGATATTTCGACCCTTAAACCCAGGTCCATACTTCAGAAATACCTCGCTGATGGACTCGACCGAGATAGTCAGCAACCCAGATTAAGGGTTAACAAGCGTAACAAGAAGTTTCTCGTATGTATGGGCAATGACTTCGATAACTTGTTGAAATTTCTGGGATTCTGCGAGGGTGTAGACGCTGAAAGTGATGAACCATGTTGGTTCATCGTTCATCCTGAACCCAAACAGGGACTGACCCGTGTCCGAACCTTACGAGCTCGCATGGAGGATGCGATGGCAGAGCTTGGGCTTGTTAATGGGGTGTCGATGAACCCGGCCTGGGATTCACTCTTGAATGCTTTTCAGGGGAGTTATCAAAGCGTTCCGCTTGATTTCAACGCCGTGGATCCAATTCCAGACGCAGAATTTGCTCTGTTAGGGTGCTTAGCGGGCTACCCACCTCGCTCTTTTGCTTGGGCCGCTATTTTCCTAGCTCAACTACGACCTAAAGACCGGGACAAGTACTTAGATACCGCTCTACGTTGTATTAAAGAGAGAAGTGATGATGCATCCACCGAAATCATCATGTATAGATCTCGATTCGACGAGACAGTCCTTAACGATAGGATAGTAGAAGAGGCGTTCACATTCTTCGCAGCTTCTCCTGAAGACGGCCTAAAGCCAGAATGGTTCTTAGAGAGGTACTATGAGATGGTCGCAGGGCACAATACCGATAAATTTAGAGCCGAAGCTCAACAGCACCTTGAAGCGATCGGCAATCACCTAGGGAGAGATATTGTGAGCGAAATCAATCCGAGAGCCCTAGAAAATGTGGGAGACATGGGTCTTATAATATCCTCACCTAACGGCGGAAGGATGGATATTGCATCAGCGACGAAGTTACTAGGTGTCGAGTCTAATTGGACGGCGGAGATCATCCGCGGTTTCGTAGGAAATTTGGCTAACGTAAGCCATCTTTGTTTTGCTCTTGCGAGATTCATATATTCTAATTAACGAATCTAGGACCCGAAGACCGACCGAAACAAACTTGTTGAGGCTATCGACGTTTTATCCGAATTCAAGCGCCAAAATAATGAACCAGAAGAAGCAGCAGAGTTACAAAACATCGCTCAATTCGTGAAAGAAAGCGGATACGTTCCGACGCTTGTTTCCCAGCCTCATTCGTCACCGCAACCCACAGGCTCTGTCAATACGCCCCCAGGTCTGAAGAACATCGGCAATACTTGCTACTTAAACAGTCTTCTACAATACTTTTACAATGTGAAAGTAGTACGCGATTTGGTACTTAACTTTGATGATTTCAAACTTGAGCTTGACGAAGAGATCGTCGCACAACGAAAAACAGGCGGGAATGGCACTAGTGTAAATCTAGAGGAAGCCATCGTGGCTCGACAATGTAAGAAATGCCTCGAGTTACACCCCTTACGAGAGATACTAACGTTATGAGAAGTTGTCGAGATGCTTCAGGGTTTATTCGCCGATCTACAGACAACTACCAATACTGCGGCTCAACCTTCGCAGAAGCTTGCTAACACCGCACTGTCGTCGGCTAGAGATATCCTAGATCAACAATCTAATACCATCCCTCCACCGTTGCCGGCACGCCCGTCGCCAGCACCACTGCTCCCCTCAAGAGAAAATGACGATGCTATGAAAGGCGTAACGAATGACGCGATTCGAGTCTCCGTCGAATCAGTTAATGATAAACATGAATTGGCTAGTTCCCAAAGTTCCCACACGCTGGTTGATGAGGTTGAAGACACTCGATCAGTGACATACGATCCGTCGAAAACGCCAAACGATGGCGATGTGAAGATGCATGACTATCCCGAGTCCTTAGCTCTTGACGATAAGATTGCCGAGGTCTCCCGCCGTCTGGAACACTCAGATCGTTCAGGTACATCACAACAAGATGTCGGAGAAATCATCGGCAATATCCTCGAACATATCATGCGTGCGATCCGTTCAGATGGCCCAATGCCTGAAAAGCCCGAGCTCCAAGCAGACAAAATCACGCAGACGTTCTTCACTACGATTGTGAATTACACCATCAAGACTAAGAAGGGATATCCAGCCAGTAACCCGGCCTCCTACCTTGAAGAGTCTCCACTAAATATCGAGATTGTCCCGGAGCGTTGGATCACAGCCTATCCTGAAGAGGCGGACCAACCCTCGGACGGCCCTAGCACTAGCTTTGCTGGACCAACAGATGTCCGATGTACTTTGACCGCAGCTTTGGATCGATACTTCTCTTACGAACCAATCGATGAAGAGAAACGCGCGCGATACAGTAGCATTAGATCCCTGCCACCTATTGTTCATATCTGTATCCAGCGAAGCACACCTAAGGGCAAGAACAAAAACCCGGTTATTATCCCGGAGATCTTGTATCTCGACCGCTATATGGAAGCTGGAAAGGATTCGGCCGTGTGGAACGCCCGTAAGCGAGCATGGGCACTCAAGGAACGCCTTAAAGAATTGAGAGCCACAACCTCTAAGGTCATTCTACCTCCGATCCAGTCCATCACAGAATCCGAGGTGAGTCGTCACCCCACTCTAATACGTGTAGATAAAATGCTAATATCAATCATAAGGAATTCAAGAACGCGGAAGTTGAAGATTTGGCTACTATGACCTCAGCAGCTGTTGGTAATGCCGCAGAAGAAGCTGGTCTACAGGAAGCGTTCCTCGACGACATGGGATCGGATAAGAAGCGAAAGCTAGCTGAGCCATTTGAATCCTCACTTCTAAAGAAGATAGCTACCCCGGCCTCGTCGGTTAGCTTCCCACTCAGCGATAAGTTCGGTGATCTTGTCTGGGATATTAGTAAGCCTCTAAACGAGATGACTGAGAAGGAAGTTACCGACCTGAACCAAAAGGAGGAAACCATATTCGGCGCAATGAACAAGGAAAAATACAATATTCACGCCGTGATCTGCCATCGCGGTGGCACGGCCGCTGGTCATTACTGGGTCTGGATCCGAGACTTTCAACGTAATGTGTGGTATCGATATAACGATGAGACAGTGACGGAAGACGGTCGCGATACAGATGCCGTTCTGAAGGACCTAAACGAGACCGGCGATCCTTATTACGTCGCATACGTCCGAGACGAACTAAAAGAGGATCTGGTGGATGTGCCTCAGCGCCACAAACGTGAGCCTGAGGGTTCTCCGACTGGTGGCGAGGAGGTGGAGATGATCGAGGGCGTAACGGTAGAGGAGACGCAACCCCCCCTCACAAACGGACACCTATCAAACTAAGTTGGTGATGATGCTGACCGGTTTTGGAAGGCTTTGATATATACCCTAATGTCCTTCCTTCCCCATAAACGTGCCATGATTTTACACAGTTGCATTAGCAAAGGAGTTTGATGTGGAATTTTTCTGTAGGATCACACAAGGGCACGCGCCCATGTCATGAATTGTCTAGATAGATGAATCCCGACATTATCCGATGATGAATCATATGTGCTCTACCCGAAGTGAAGAACTGATCAAGTGAGACAATCGTATCGTAGCGTACCCCCACGTAGTAGGGAGTGAGGCCGTTGCCGTCGTAGTACAACCGTAGATCTCGGAGATTCGTAAGTCCTGGCGTTCTTAATCTAAGATCGGTACATACATAGTATTGGCCCCGTATTATAGATAAGAGCGCTTTGTGATTATCATTGAAGTGGCCATCTACAAGCGCTTTGAAAGGTAATCACGATGATGTACCCGGTGTACCACCGTAATAATGGGGAGATGAGTTGAAAGCCTGCTGCTGCTGTGTTACCCCTTGTGGAGCACCTATACGGGAATAAGGAGCGACTGTGGGGGTGGTGGCGTTGGTGGCGTTGAGATTAGATGAAGGATATGCAGCCGGAGTTGGAGTCGGGGAATAACTCGGCGTTATGAGGGAGTTTCCTCCCGCTGCTGGTGAGGCTTGCGAGGTATCCATTTCTTCACCCTCTGCGTCTGCCTCTGCATCTACTTGTGACTGATCCGCAGATCCTTTTTGGTTTGGGCGTGCTGGTAATGTATTAGTTCAACCTCATTTCATCCCACCCTCAAAAGCGTAGAAAAGGGGAAGGGGATATACCTTTCTTCGGCCTTCCAGTCCGCGGTGGTACAGCAGCGGACTTCGCGCGTATAGCAGTCCGGATCTGACTCATGGAGTACCCGGTTACGGCATGGATGCGCCCGGCGCTCATGCGGGCGTCGAAATGGAGCGTGCGCACCCGGAATCGTTCTAGTTCGGTTAGGTGCTTGGTGTGGACTTCTTTGGGGCGGTTTCCGAGGGAATTGGGAGGATTGGGAGAGTTAGTGTCGGGAGCGTTGGGAGTGTTTGGTTGTGGTGGCTCTGGTGTTTCCATTTTTTATTTAGTTTAGGTATGTTCTTAGTTATGAGACTCCTGGTTTCTTCTAATTGATTTACGTTGGCGTGGTTCACGGTGATGGTGTAGGTTAAACGACGACGATGTTGATGAGGGGGTTGGGGAGAGGGGAAAGTTTTCTTCTGACGGTGAGTTACTGGAATGCGGGTTTTTTTTCGCGGGGAGTAAACCGACAGTGTGCTCTGTCAGGGGTACCTGGTAAGTTTTGGCATGATGATACTTAGCAGGGATGTAAAACTTCCGGTTTGGTACTACGATGTATCGTCGTAGCGCTTAGTCTGGGATTACTAAGCCCCCCTTTTTTCTCCGTCCCTTTCAAATGGCATCAGGGGTTCATTGTGACTTTCAATTCGAAGCACAATATTAAGTTGGTTGGAACTCGCGAATGACCCCAAACCAGGTAACGACGACATACATTGGTAGGCAATAGCGATTCAGATACCTAGGTACTCACGAAATCTACGCGGGACTGCGAGTAGTCGCAGTGGTAGAATCGGAAGTCATAATGCAGTATAAAAGACAATGCAATGAGAAATTCAAAATAGATCCTCGACCATGTCTTTTCCTCCTAACTATAATGTTACATCTCCTGTTGTCCTCACATGTATTCCTCGATCTAGATCATTACCGGCATTCTTTTCTCAGCATTCGTTGCCTCGTTAGTATTCCCAAATAAAACTCCAGAGGATCCTCCGATAAGTCCGTTGAATAGTTCACACCAAGATGTCGGTCCCCCTTTCACTATCTAAGATTCTCTCCCCATCCGGACTGGCTATATTTCACAAACTCACCTGCACACCGTACCTAACTTACAGCACCCAATTCATACGTCTCGCCATCCCAAGCAGTGCTTAGAGTGCTATTATTCTCGGAGATTGCGACAAGTTGATTAGTGAAGCTACAGACCTGGATATTCAAAATGGACTATGGGACGTTTTTGGATGTTGCCTTTTCAAATACGGTAACAATGGGCTTGGGTGGTTAAGTTGTGAGGCATTCTGGTTGAAAGTCTGGGAATGCCTAGTTGATTTCCGCCGTCAATTTGGGCCAGTCACCCCATACCCCTTCGGGTATCAATATCTTCCTCATGTGGTACATTTCTACGCCAAGTCGAGGGATCTCGCGCTACTTTACCCACGACCGCGGAATTTACAAGACTTCGATACCCCTCTACATTTGCGCATCGATTCATGGAATCGCAAGACATACTTTCAGACATATTGGGATCCTCAGCCACGATTCAAATGGGGTCTAATTGTTGACGATAAATACATTCGGGAAGCCTTAAGCCCCCGGCATCATACCGAGGCTATTCATGGATTTCAACGTGATGGAACCATTACCAGTGACCCTAGTATCTCTGATAATCCCGGTACTCCTGGTAACTCGAGTCCCCCTCGTAACTTTAGTACTTCTAGCAGTGAGGCCAACTCAATTATGACGACCTGGACTTGGTAGTAAGATCTGGGCAAGGACTACGGCTCGATGTTAAGTGGTATCGTGGTGGCATTTGGACATACGATCATGCGGACATAAGCTTGGGGTATTAGGAAACAAACCGAAATATCAATACAAAAGCGACCTTTCGTTACTAGCGAGCACTTACGTGTTATATCGTTCCTGCACTTAGTACCCGACTATGAAGCTGCTAGGACTTAGGTAGCCATCGAAGTTATAAGGGTCTAAATAAATCTTTAAGCGACTGGCAGTACATTCATCGCTCATTTCTTTACGTGTCGGTTTGCTGTGAGATTGTATATGAGGAAAAGGGGTAACTGGTTTCTGCTATACATCACCGCCCCTCCATGGACATACCCCTTTATGATCACCGGCTTGGTGTTATCATATTAATCCGAATCATAAAAGGTTATAATGTCAGCTAGAAGGTGATGTTGAGTTGTTCAGATATGTAGGTAAGTACTTGTTTTTTTTTCCTTTTGGGCTTCCCCGCCGCTCGGACGAAATTACTAGTAGGTGACAAGTGGCTTGCATGTAGGTGAACATGTAGATTCCCGATGACGTATGGAAATTTGCGATCATATTTTCTCTCTTTCGGGTTTCACATTATTGACTCTAGCCCCTATAGGTTACAATTACATGTCATCTATCATTTTATGCAAATGAAAAGATTACAGCGATTTCTCCTTGCTTTTTTCGATCCTTCGTTGGGAGTGGAGTTCGTGACAGCATTTTTTTAAACAAAGAATGCTACTTCGTTTTCCGAGACCGGGCGATCAAGAAAAGAATCGGATCGGATTGCATACAGTACGGTATATGCGCACCTAGGTAGGGAACGTACCTAGGTAAGCTGATGATGCGGTACGTAGGTAGTACGAAAGCCTCTCCTTTGGTCGCACTGAGACATAATCGCAATGGGAGATGGCTTGACATCGAAAATCTCGCTATCTGTCTGGATATTATGGCTAGTACTAACGTTTGGGTATTGATTATTCTGGTGGGCAAACATGGAATAGTTGAAGTTGGAATGGCGATGGTTCAACTGAGTATCGTGAAAATAAAATTTGCACTCGCAATTGCCTCTATTTTAATTCGGCTATAGGCTCTCAAATCGCGGGACATCCGTCTGTGTACGTGACGAGGCATGGTCGAAGGTTGAAGTTATCCAAACCGTCACGGCCGCCTCCAGTCTTGCGCTTGGTGACAGCACGTATATGCGTTTGGCTGCAGAAATAACACATATAGTGCATATCGCCTGGCCTATGAATTTTAAATTGCTCTTGTCGTCATTTGATGCATCGTTAAGGACTAGGCAGAATTTAATCCAACTACCGTCGCAAGCATACCGCCTCAATCCTACGAAGAGAGCGAGGTTCCTGTTTATCTCATCGATCTCTACCGTAGCTAATTATCATGCTGTTACGGGAGAGTCATTTGTACCCGAGTCTCGAGTGGATGATCTAAATTGGAGCTTAGACCTCGGGTATGCCAAGGCGAAACTCGTATGCGGAAAAGTTGTCGAACGTACGGCTACCAATCACCCTGAGATCGAAATAGGGCTTGTAAGGGTCGGTCAACTCGTTGGCGCAAGGAGTGGTTTTTGGAACTCCGATGAACGCTTCGTCACGCTTGTGAGTTCATAGGGAAATTTCCCGATTTATACGGAGTAAGATGCCAACCCCGTCGTAACTAGCATATGCTCACCGTGTCTAGACTCTATCATGGCTTCCAGTAGATATCGCGGTAGAAGCCTTATCGGAAATTACCTTTAGTAGCAGTCCTCTGCATCTGGTATATCATCTAGAGAATCCAGTACGGCGGGGATGGCAAGAAGTTGTCAAGTTACTCACTAAAGAGCTCGGCATTCCCAGAAACTCCATTATCCCACTTCGACGATGGTTAGATCTCAATACATCTACGCTGAATAAAGCGAACCCTACCGCGGGACTTTCTGACTTCATTGAGAAAGAGTTCCCAAAGATGTTGTGTGGAAAGATAATTCTGGATACTTCCTTCTCCCGGGCCGTATCGCCCACCATGAGGAGGGTAGGTGCCGTAGATGATGACAAGAGCTTACGTACATACGTATCATATTGGAGGCGCATCGGGATTCTAAAGTAATATATTTGGCGGTTATATAGCGTCCAAGCTATCGCTCCTTCTGAATATACCCTAGAAACCTCGGATAGATTGTAGAGCAGCTTCGACTAGGTAGTTGGTAACTGCATAGCCCAATTTTCTACAGTGATAAATCACTATAACTTCGGTGTCTAGGTACCCTACAACGCCCCTCCAGCACACCCCGCACTCCTGTCTTGAAATGAATTAACGGATCAAATTATAAGGGGTTCCCCAATCTAGTAATCACTAATTGAGTCGGCAATAAGACACTTTAGGGGCGGTTAACTTAGGGAAAGCAGGCTCTGTTACTCATTGCTGCCGCAGGGGTCAACTCGTTTCCATCGCCGCCTATATTTTCAGGGAGGTCTGGCACTACGAAGCCCTCCAAAATTGTACCTCATGTTTGCTCACCCTTCAATCGTGTGTTTACTTCGTTTCCTTCGTGTCCTGGGCCATCCGATGCATAGTCGCGATCGTTGTCTAGGCAGCATCTACAGTAGCCTAGGTCCAATCCAATCAACGTTAACCAAGTTGCTACAATAGAAGATACAGAAAATATGGTATACGTACATCCCGGTCTTCCTTCTCTTTATCCTTAGCCGCGATACTGTTTGGCCGTATGTTTGGATGTCGCCATTCGACGACACTCGTATAGAGCAATTCTCCTGCCGAACCGGTGCTGATCATATCGACAATGTTTCTTCTGTCGTCTGTCCTATATTTGACCCAACATGGTTGATAAAGCCAGCGATTTTCCACGGCTACGGTCAAGCCCATAGGATGGCTATCCGGAGCGAAATATACTTGCCTAGTGAAAAAATCGCAGTCTTCAGACGCCTGCAGGATCTCTGAACTGGTAATGGTAGGTGTGAATTTCTCGGCATGGTGGGCCTTTAGGTCGATGTAGGTCCATACTTGGTCTTGTGTGAGCTTAGACTCGAATTGGTCCTGGTTTATGGGTGCCGTATAGGCTATGGTATAGGCCGCCATGGTTTCGTCCATGACTCTATTTCCGTTATCACTGTTTTTGCACGAGGAGGGGATAAGTAACTGCTATATAAGTCCTTGCATATATACACCAATAGCTGCTTTGTCTTGATGGCTAGTCCCATCACCCTCATATCTAAGGTCTAGACTGCCGCTAGAAATCAAGATCGCCATATCCTGCAGTCGCATATTCATAAAGATGACGAGTCACCACCACATACGCATCTTACCTACCTAGGTACCTAGGTAGTGCCGATATGTACAGTAGCTTCCCTTTGACCCGGGAGTTTTCTCCACACCATCTACATTTATGGTCTTAATAACTAACGTGAGGTCGTATTAATTCTTGTAACAGCACGGTCCTCACTTCTCATCATAGAATAAACTCCTTGTCCATATACCACAATCAGAACTCATATTCATCAAATAGTAAAGAAGATGGACGTATTCGTTAGGTTTTACGGTCATTGGCTAGGATTCACTACAACGGCAGTCGTCGTATCTCTAGCGATAGCAACTATTGTTTCAGTTAGATCATATATCTGTCTCAGGCACATACCTGGCCCATTCGCTGCGTCTCTCACGAACTTCGTGCGCCGCTGGTGGATCCAAACTGGAAGTGTTCACCAGAAGCACACCGACTTACATCGTCGTTACGGGACCGTGGTCCGTTATGGACCTAATGCCGTTCTCATTTCTCAGCCGGAAGCGGTCGAGAAGATCTATGGGTTTAAGAGTCGTTTCCCAAAGGTAAGTCGTCAGAAACGATACGTCACCTTGAAATTGCCAATGTACGATGTCTGATGCCCAATACAAACGCTTTAGTCCGAATTCTATAACACCATTATACCACGCGTGAAGGGCGAAAGGATCCCAGATGTGTTCGCTACTCGTGATGAGGATTTGCATCGACGGATGCGACGCCCTGTTGCGAATCTGTACTCAGTAACAAATCTCCTGTCATTTGAAGAGCACATAGACTCCACGATAAACTTCTTCTTCTCGCGGCTTGATGAGCTATTCGCGAACCAGGCCAGAGACTCCAACCTATCTGAATGGATGCAACTCTTCGCGTTCGATGTCCTGAGTGAAGTCACATTCTCGCGTAGATTGGGCTTCTTGGAAAAGGGTGGGGACATCGAGAATCTGATGGGAAATAACTGGAAATTCTTCCAAGCAGTATTCCCCGTAAGCTTCCGTGACACTAGGTATACATGATCGTATCACCCGGTATGCATATTGACGTATAATAGAACACACAGACACCATGGCTTGATTATCTTTGGAGAGATAATCCGCTAAGGCCAGCTACCTCAACCAAAGATCCTTTGGTGGAATTTGGGAGCGCGCGTATTCGCGAAAGGCTAGCATTAACTGAAGCTGAGAGACTAGAAATCAATCAAAAAGATTTCCTCTCATGCTTTATGAGAGAGAAAGAGAAAGACCAGTCCCTGCCTGTGAAGCAAGTTTTGATATTTCTTTTACCCCTCGCCCTGTTTCTTTCGCGACTCCGGCAATCGTGCTAATACATATGACAGCGCCATCCTAACATGGACCAACTCAAATATACAAGCTGGTGCAGACACCACGGGCATCTTGGCTAGTGTGGTTATCTACTATCTCCTGAGAAACCCTTCTTCGCTTGATACCCTGATACGAGAGATCGATGACGCCGCTGAAGCAGGTCGCATCTCCAAGCTCGTAACGTGGAAGGAGACGCAGACTCTACCATACCTGGAAGCATGTATCAACGAGGCTTCGAGACTTCACCCGCCAATCTCCTCTCCACTAGAGCGTATAGTACCTGAAAGTGGGCTTGAGGTTGATGGTTATTTGATTCCAGCAGGCACTCGGGTGTCAATGGTACGTATCCTATCTTTCTATAGTGGGATTAGAAGGATACGAAGATGATATGCTAATATGTAGCTTTGAAGAACCCTTGGGCCGTGCATCGCGAGCCACACCTTTACGGGGACGACGCAGATATTTGGCGACCGGAGCGATGGTTATGCGATGAAGATCAGAAAAAGGACATGTACAATGCGCTCCTCACCGTAAGTCTGCGTTGGCTACCATTCCTCCAGGAGCTAACACAGACCTAATCAGTTCGGTGCGGGCCATAGGACCTGCCTGGGCAAAAACCTCTCCTTGTTTGAGGTGTACAAACTCATCCCATCGATGTTGCAGCGATACAATGTAAGTCTACCCCTCACATTTGCCGCGGCATCATATGATGATAATAACAGACCGTGTCAGCTGAAACTCGTAAGTCCTGTCGATGATTGGACCGTTGAGACCAAATGGTTCGCAATGCCTTCGGGCTTCCACGTCAGAATCACGACGCGATGAGGGGTATCCGCACGAATGCGTTACAATCGGAGTGTCTATCAAGTTGATTCGATGTAACTAATACCGCGAGCGACACAGCATGTTTTTTAGGGTATTTCAGGTAACCAGTAACTTCAAGTCGTGGTAAAGTCAATAGTACACGACATAGCTTCTCTTGCAGTATGTCAGCTTCGCGAAAACGTAAATTTCCGAGACAGTCATGGCTGGGGCATACGATACCCCCTATCATAATGTGCACGGACCTGTGCCAAGGCGAGGTGCGCCTGTGTTACGCCCGTTTTCTTGGCGTATGTAGATGGCTGTGACTTGGTGTAATAATGTCGGCTTCTTATCACTTGGAAATAAAGACGGAGATAAAAATGGTGGCTGAAGGGATCTTATGTCTGCTGCATAGTCATTTTTTTGCTTTTAAATACGATGTGGTCGGTTATTAGCACCACGATTCTTAGCCGAGTGGCTTCGATGCAACCCCACCCGCAAGCCCTTCGCGTTGGGTGTCGTCTAAGGTATTTTATAGTGTACCTATCATTCAGCTACTTAAGTAGCACAAGGGACGAATCATAATTGATAATGAAAGTTAAGAGTCCCTAAGTTGCCCTGCACCGCGGTCTCGTGGCGATAACGACATTTGGTATATCGTCGTGGGAAACCGAGGCCCCTATTTTCTAAGCGGATGAACTTAGGATCTTGTAATGCAAAACGTAAGTCCGAATGAGTCTGCGAGAAACTCTCAGCTGCGACGCCCGACACGATGAACAGCGCCTAGCATCCAGGGAAACTTCCTCCTAATTTAGCATACAAGAAACTACCAAGTTTACTCGCATGGATTATCTTGCCCACCCGAGTGACTCGTGGCGTCATCTTAGCTAAGTAACCTCGAAGCACGATTGGATCGATTAGCAAGATTTTGGATATGTATTAAGCTGTAAGAATGTTTCGTAATTTTGCAACTTGCGGGAGGCCCCCCTTTGACTGTGCTTAGCATTACCCCAATCGAGAGACATCCGGCAAGATGTTGTTGCCTCTTCGACGATTAGGACACTCTTACCCATACGGGATAACCTAGAACTTCATCTAGGAAGTCTAATTATATCGGCGATAGCACTTTCTAGATAGGTGGCGTTTGGGTCAGTTCGGTATCTCGGAGGTTGACTTCAGGTTGAGTATACGGGATCGGTATCAAAGGGAGGAAAGGTATCCAGATCTCGGTAGGCGTTACCCATAGGAAACACACGTGGTGTGTACGGGTGGCGGTCTTTTTGGGAGGATACTAGGGGTATAGCATATTGTAGAGATAAAAGGGGGGTCTAGCTTCTAGACAGACGTTCCAAGGGTTTGTAATGTATCGTTCAAAAGAAGGGGCTACTTTGGGAAAGCTCATGGGTGGCCTTGCAGGTAATGAGAAGCACTGTTCTTCTTCGTAAAGATATTCTCTAAAGCGACGAAGATGCCTGGCACATTCCGTGGACGTGGAAGTCACTCGTGAAATACTCCGCCGAATAGTCCCGTGGACCTTGTCGGCGTGTTATTAACAAAGCTTCGGCCATGCTACCACTAAAAAATCAGGTGTTGCTCTGACAAAACACGCACCATCTAATCTGTCAACAACGACATCATTCCTTTCTAAAACCTAGAATTGTTCCACGTCTCGTTTTCCCTTTCACCATCAACAAATCCCTAAGACTGTTGTACTACGAACAACTACTTTAATCCCCAAGTCCATCTAAGGTATATTCTACCAGTGGTTACTTGATTCTCGCTCCTTTTCACTCGTCTTTCTCACCACAAATTGTTCTTCATCTACCTTTGCTTCGTCAACTGAAATTCTTTAGTTGCTGTTAGTAAAACTGAACACGCATCAGTGTCTTCATCTGTTACTCGGTCTTCTTGATATCGGAATAGGTAGGACTTGACCTCTTTATATCTTATTATCGTCAACCTACGTTGGAACATGCGACTCATTTTAGATTTTTACTTCGCTACCTTGTCAATAAGCATTTACTAATCTGATAAACATAGCCTCTCGTTACGCGCGCCGTATACAGTCGAAAGACCATGTCCAACTCTCCCCCCGCCCCGATGTACCACGGGCTACAAACCGTACAACCCGCACCCGTAGCTCAATCCCATCAGGCTTGGGACGAGGATGAGCTTCTTGGACTCCTGACGGACCTCCGATGCTTCAACTTCACTGGTCTGCCGCGGCCTGAAGGTACCACGCTATCGGCAATCGCCGACATTGTGTTGACCACGTTGACCCCGACTGGTGCAACCAGACTGTTCACTCCTGTACAGGTCAAGAGAGGCGTTCTCTACCTTTTCGCGCATATCACGAGGGTTCTTAAGACTCGGGGTGGCTACAGCGGTAACAACTACTTCTGGCGTATGGCCTGGGACGAGGGTCATTGGTCCAGACTAAGCCCTAGATACTCGACCCATAGGGCAATTGAGAGCGCGGTGCTCTTCTACACCTCCGCGTTCAAGAACCACTTCCAGCGCACCGGAGGTCAGAGTGCGCGTTACCCCATGAGCTCCGACACGATCGAGGAACTGCCCGCCGTCACATGGGTTATGGAGTGGCTTCGTATCGCCAACGGAGTAGAGTACCACGTCGCCATTGCGCCGGGCAACCCGACCAACGCCGCAGCGCCTAATCCACAACAGGAGCTTGCCAACGACGAATTCGATATTAAGGTTGAACTAGAGATTTCCCAGCACGACGCCCGAATCGCCGAGGCCGAGCGCGACGATGCTCTTCGCCAGCGAGACGCTGCTATACGTGAGAGAGACCAGGCCGCTAGAGGTGCCGAGGACGCCAGATCTGAGGTTGCGGCGGTGCATGCGAAACACAACCAAACGTACGGCACTATGCGCAAGACTGCGGCGGAGCTTGAAGCCTCAAAGGATCTCATCCGTGCACTCAAGCAACAGGTTGAAGACCTGTCCCGTCAACTTGCGACAGAAAGCCAGCTGTGAGTGTGGAGACGTATAAGGCCAGACTTTGCGAGGTTAAGGGGGATTATGGAGCATTATGAGATGGAGTTAGGAATTCATACGGATGGTTGCTCTTTTTTTCTGTAACAGGTTGATATCCCGCTGGCCTTAGCTAGGCAATGGTGCACACATGGCATGTAATTCGATTTTTTAGTCAATGATATTGAGAATAAACTGTTTCGTGTAAACCCTTACCTACCTACCTAGACAAGTAAGCAAAGCGACCTGCAATCTTGCGCCTCAAGTACACATAACTTGCTGGAGAGAGGACAGACTTGGAAGACATGCTGAGAAGTAGCGTTAATCCATCTAGACCAATCCTCCCATTGCCACCCTCTATACATCTAACTGAAGACATACACAAAAATTCAAATCTACCCGAACATACGATTACAGCCATCACAGCTTTTCTATTTTATTATACACCCCTATCTATCTAGACGCATAACACGCTTAATTCCAAGAAAAAACTTTAGGTACCTAGTAGGCCAACACCGAGAAGCAGACGGACGAGACGACGAGTCGTGGGTAGTAGTAGTAGCCGATAAAAAAGTAATAATAAGTAGTTGAATAAGACTCGTCAAATTCATGCAGTTTATGCAATGGTGGTATCATGTCTTTCTGTACAAACACAATTGATGATAATGCTCTCAGCAACAGCCAACAGCGATAGCAAAAACAAGGGGAATTAAAAAAAAGGAAAAAGGGGTAGGAAGGAACGCGCTCCCGTGCTTCAAACATTTCTACCAACATAGTATACCCCCCTTATTGGAAGGGGGTTCCTTGGAACAATGATAACCGCCAGAAGTGTGTTTGCATGTCGCCTCCTCTTTCTCGGTTTCCAGCTTGCTTCGGTAGCCGCGGCTGGTGTTAGACACTTAATAGGAATATTAGCCCGATTATTCTTCCCCTGCACCGGGCCCTTTAACTCTTCGACTTCCACTTGATCTTATATTTTCATTAATTTTTCATCTTCTTTCCGATATTACTTGTACCAGTCATTGAAGACGCACAAGCGTCTTAACAAAGGTGGCTAGCAATCCTATAAGCCCCAACCCCATAACGCCAACACAATTTCAACGCTAAGTTGTCGACAACGCCGAGATTTACTTAGGAATAGGGGGTAAAGCCTTATCAAGACTTTCTCGACTGAACCTATGCCTTAGGAACTTGAATCCACCGCTACCCCCGCTGCTACCACTCCTCCTAGGTTCATCGTAGCTGGCCTCGGGATCTAGATAACTAGTTTTGGGCGGCGTTGGTGGTCCCCTACCCCCGATACCGTGAGGCCCTAGATTGGTAAATCCGTCTTGTCTCTCTACTCGTGAAGGCGTATACGGTCGAGATCCGCTGGCACTATCACCCCGACTCCGTCCACCAACCGAACCCGCTTCCGCTGTTTCCTCGACAACTGGGAGAACGGCGTGTGAATTGGCTCTCGATCCCGGAGACACGGCTGTGGTTATCTTACGTTCCGGCACTTGTTCCTCTTTAGCAACGTCTTTCTCCTTTTTCGTGGCCTTCCTGAGAGCTTTCTCTATAGTAAGGTTTGGCTCGGGTGAGCTCGGACTTCTCATACCTGGCGGAGCGGGTGGCAAATACGATGGTGCAGGTGGCGCGCTGTTAGACCCGGGAACCTGAAGGGCGTCCTGTTTGGTCTGTTCCATTTCGGCTGACGAAAGAGCAGCGGCCATCTCGCGATCGAGTGCATCCCTTGCTGCCTCTTCTGCTGACATTGTAATACCAGACATGAACTTGATAAAGCGGTCGCCGTATTCCTCAGGCGGGAGGGCAGATATTTGAGTGCGATCAGCTGACAGGCCTTTCCAAAAATGTTCTATCTTCTTGATAACTCCGTACTGTTGGAAACATTAGCGGACAACTCAAAGATAGGTGCGATCATCACAAATATAGAAATAGGGGTAGAAGGGGACATACATGTGTCAAACAGTCGATGACTCCAAGGTAGTAGACTTCTTCGCCAGGGGTATTATCCTCATGGGTTGCCCGCAAACCACCATCATCGCTGTAGAACATACCGCCTCGAGTGTGGCCCTCGGCAAGTTCGTCCGGCATCCTGGTACTAGTTTGGCCTACGGGAACCGGCCGTTCAGCCTTAATCATCTGCCGCAATTCCCTTGCTTTGCGTGCATTCTCAAGTTTTGACGGCGTCCTCATAAGAACAGAATTGGGTTCGAACCCCTCCTCTGACGGGCTATCCCCTCCTGGGTTGAACACTTGTAGAGTCTTGTCTCGAAGATTCTCTTCATTTCCTTTTCGTAGGTCGTGGATACCAATCAGGAGGGAGTAATCCATGATCTTTAGCTTCTGCAGTAGTCGTACATCACGTTCAAGTTGCTGCAAAAACATCTGCTTTTTCTGGAGCCCCAATTCGAGGTGTCTCTTACGTCGAAGCCAGTTCAAGTCCTTCAACGTCGCTCGCGGATTCTTTTCGAGTTCTTCTTCCCGATAATCTCGTCCAACCGTTGAGCCTTTCAAATCGAATGTGGTGTGAATATCTCGATGAGGGGGGAAAAGGTTATTCATGACAACGAAGTGTATCTTCTTGCCATAAGGCATTTTGACTCGGTGGAGGCCGTAGAATTGGGATAGAAGGGTGTTCGGGTTTTCGGTGACGTGTTCATAGTAGTCTTTCAAAACCTTTCGTAGAAACTTGTGTTCGGCGTGGTGTATGGTTTTGATGATATACTTATAATCTCTAGAAAAATAAAAGAAGCTACCACTCTTTCCAGGAGAGCCGAGCTCAGATAGGATATATTTGCCTGTAAGGGACATAAGATAATCGGCAGGATCTAACCTAAAGAGCGCACGAAGATGCCGAAATACCCAGGGCGCATAGTCCTTAAATTTAAAGTCATATTTTGCCGAGGGAACCAACTCGTTGCCCGCGCTATTTGTTCATGTTAGTACGTGATAACCAAACTTATTTCTACAAGGAACATACATGTCGAATGTCGATTTCTGCTTAGTATCGAAATCGGCATCATTCAACTCGCGATCGAGTTTGGCGTTCGTACGTGAAACAGATACTCGAATTCCAGTCAACATATTATAGGCCGTCGTCCAATTCGCGTGATTTTCGTCGACCTTCGTTCCTACCAAAACCCTATCATCCTCCTCTTCTTCCCGTCTCTTCTTCTTGGCTCGCTTCTGTCGGTATGCTTCAGCCCACCTTAGTGCGTCGTCATCCGGAAGTATCTCGTCGCGGGGTATGTCGGAATGTAGGGAACGCGTATTTCGCCTTCCCAAATTCAAAGACCCTCGACGTTGTGATGCTCCGCCTACAGAAGGAGAGAATCTACCACTCGTAAATGCTGTATCGTTGCTATCTTTTGAACCTCGGCCCGGGGGAACTCTGGGAACCTCCAGCGTATGTCTATGTTTTAATCCTGCCGCGGGCGGTTGGAGAGCTAACGTTGATGCGGAGGCACTTGCACCAGTAGATGGATAATTTGGTGGCGAGGAGAATCTTTGTGGCGGCGGGGATTTGCGCTGGGTTGGTTCGGAATTCGGACTTCCTGGCAGATTGGGACTGTGCAGTAAGTAACTTGGTACGGAGCTGTTTGGAGGTGCAGAAGCTGGAATGTTATCATAAATGCTGTCTACGCTTTGTATGTCACCATTATTTAATGATTTTCGTGATGCATCGACGGGGTATTGCAGCGAAGGACGAGATGACGATTCGACGGAAGACCGTTTAAACTGTGACTCAGAGGTGCTCTTTCTTTGATTATCAGTGGGCGGAGAGATGTCATTGGCAGTGGCTTGGCGTTCAGGCGAGTGTCTTCCAGACAAAGAAGTTTTTACGTCTGAATAATATTTCGAATCTGGGCCCGGGGCGGCCACCCCATTCGAGTCTCTACTCGACCTGCCATTGGGCAAGGGCATCATACTCGACGGGGAAAAGTCATCCGCATTCATTCGCGTCCGTGGGCCGGAGCTGTAGGAGGAATGGGATGATGAATTGTCGTCGAATGTTTCATTCGTGTCAATTGTGGTAGGTAGCGGTCTAGGGAGTAATGTTTCTTTTGGGTTGGCCAACTTGTGAAAGACCGCTTCGTGGTGGTTTCCGAGATGGACGATGCCTGAATTCGGGGAGTATATCGGTGAATTCTCGTCGCTTAGGAACGTAGGCATATTTCGCTCCTGGATGGTCGGTTTTCGTTCGAAAGGGATTCGACTCCCAATGCACTTTGAAACCCTCGCCCTTGGCTTCGCGTCTCGAGACGGTACTTTACGGTTGGGTCGGGCGAGGGGTGTGCGACTTTCGTACTAGTATAGAAAAATCGAAACGAATAATATTATTGTCTTTTCTTCCGTCTGTCGATGTCGTCGTGGTTTGCTATAATGGGTATTTTTTTTGGTGTTGAGACTTGAAGATAGGGGGGAGGAGGTTGAGGATGCGAGCGAGATTGTGTTGTCGTGTAGTAAACCAAGAAAGTTGCCAGCTGGGTGGGTTATGGGGGCTGGGATCCTTGTGATTGGTCCGTTTAACGTGGATAACTTTGAGTGGAACGTCCTACCGTAGCTGCATAGAAAGTAATTGCACAAACTTCAGCCAAGCATTTCCAAGCCACTCCTGGGACTTGGTCTCGCATAACTGAATTAAAAGCGATCAACCAAGTTTAGCGTATTTATTTAATTGTACCTGTACGGTACAGTACACTTCGATGTTGATTAATATGATCATATTCTAGATCTCCTTTTCTCATATGAAAATAATTCGCCTATAAAAAGTCAGATTGTAATATTTGCTATGATTAAAAAGTTCAATTAATTTCCTTGTGAAAATAGAATGCGATACGTCACATCAGGTGGCATCTTCACATATGCAGCTGTAATGTTATCCTACCCAACAAGGCTTAGCCTTTTTAGATTATTCAGTTACATATGGGCATATTCGCAATATGTCACTGAAATACCTAGGTAGCATCGCGTCAAGAAAAACACACCGTTTAGTTTTTAGCTTTAACTATGCAGTTATCTATCTTACTTTTAGGCTTACGTACATAACACACTAATAGAACGTAAGGGAGAAGCTTGGAAGCCGTCAGGGGTTGACAGGACGATACGTAGAAAATTACCATCAGGATCCATGACTGCCCGTCCCGGCATTTTAAGCCTGTGGACCCCGAGCAAAAAAGGAGGGTCTTCTACACATGTACCCAAAAGCTAAGCCACGATTCGTATTAAAGTATTCAATTTATCCTGCCCAAATATTATGGAGGATTATGTCATATCTCATAAAACTTGACAGCCCAATGCTCAATTCTGCAGATTTTCGCATCTTACTTCGGTCAAATATGTACTTGAATACATTTATAATGTACTGCCACTGCAAGTTCGTCGAAATAGCAATCTTATGAATGAATAATAGTCTCACCTATGTGGTGTATACATATGTGTGCTTCCTCCTTCAATTTCCCCTACTATTATGCTAAGTACTTACAATACAGCACAATGTATTTAATTGTTTCTCCAACAACAGCCTTGGTAAAAAAAGAAGACAGTCTGCCTGCCGAGCTGCCGGTTTAATACGTACGAGATTGGAAGATCAATTTAATCAATTTAATGCGGCTCCAGCCACGAATTTTAATGAACTATTTCAGCTTGACAAGGTATTGTTACCAACCATCCATTCACCCCTGCTGACGCTCATCTGTTCTATGTACTATGTGCCGGCTCTCCGAGACAAATCAGCATCTTCTCCAATGATTTTCGGTGCTGACGTACGGTTATCTTCTAGGAGGATCTGAAAGCTGACAGGTACATTTAAGCCTGCATACTCCGGAGCATACCCAGCGTACAGGTGTTAGAAGTGCTGCGGCGATAATAGGAAGTAAGCCGCATCCGCACCGCAATCCGAGATTGAAATTCCTCCGTCGGTCTGAGAAGTGCCGCCCGGTTTTAAAAACCGGGTTGATTCTACTTCCATTCTACTCGGAACCCATACAAGTTAACGACACCGTATCACTAACATTAGTTGTTGTAGTTTGTTATGTAGATCATGCCGGTCACATACAAAAGAAACCTGTGGTACGAAGATCGCGTTATTGTTGACCCGCTATGTGTAGGCCTCGGGACCCGAGGCCCATACCAGAACAGTTGCAAGTGACCACTGAAGTCATTTCGCAGATCCTTGTATTCGTGGTCTCCTTCCGACAGCCGTTTAGGTCTACATATGGAACTTTCCAACGGTGGAGCTAAATTCCCGTTCACGAGCACGGCCTCAACCGAAAACATTTAGCCCATCGTGGAGAACTAATACATTGTTTAGCAAGCCTTTGAAATACGCAGATACCAACGCATATCTACTCGTCAAAACATGTTCCAGGAGGCCTCTTGACGCCGCAATCTCGGATCACCATAGGGCACTATAAAACCGTGCGTAGATACTAGATGATTGGGATTATCTCCTCGAATCTTCGATCTCTGTATGCTAGTAAACATGCTTGTAAGGAGTCGAAATTTACGGATTCAAGTTCCTGGTTCTCACTTATGCAAGTGAGTTTGAGTAATTATTCGGGTATAGTGGAAAGGAGATTTTCGATATAAGCCGTTTTTCCTATCCAAACTCCATCCAATGCATTTCGTGTTGGCTTTATATACAATATCATACACTTCATGAATGGTCTGCGAATTAAAGGTAAAATGGCAGCGGGCCATATCTATGCCTTCGTGGATCCAGGCGCATCGCCAGGTCCTTCGATAGCCACTTTGTTTGCTCCCTCTTTTTCTAATCGCTCGAGTGTCTTTTTCTTTTGGTGATCGGCAACTCGGTATCGTTTGAAATATGTTACCTATACACAAACACCGGAGTCGGTTAGCCATGTTTCCATACACATCATCGTATTCCACAAAGTCACAAGAGTACAGAAGAGGGGAAAAGAGAAGAACGCACCCATGCACTAGCACAATTTTGTTCGAAAGCCTTATTCTCTTGCGCACATTGCTTATCGGCAATCTTCTTCCCTTCACCGTTCAACGAGTCGATGACGTTGTGCCGGTCTAGACATTGGTAAAAGTTATCGCGCGCATCCCAACATTGCTTGCGCTCTGTCCTATCTGGTGCCCGCGCTCCAGTGCGTACTTCCTCTTTGCGTTTGTCGTCTTCCGAGGTGAATAGACCGAAAAGGCCCATGGTGAGGATTTAGTGTGTAGATGCCTAGCGAATCGGAGTGGAGGTTCGGACTAATTGAATGTCTCGTTTGTTTTCGTCTTTGGCTAATTCGTTCTAAGTTGAACAATTCAATGTTGTCTTTGAGGAGTGACGTAGCCAACTCAAATTGTGAAAATGAAGTATTGCGATACGAATTCGACTTATCCAAGCTCGATAGCTGTAGGTATTGAATTAAGCTTCGATCTGATAGGTCAGGCTCACCAATTACATAAGTCTACAGGGACATCCAGATACACTATAGCAAATCGAGCTAGACAGATTCTTAAAATTAACCCGGTTAGGTAATAAGCCCCTGCGTCACCCTTTTTCTCGTCATACGGTACTCCCATCAACCTTACGGCTTATGATTTTTAGTAGACAATTCGCTGGGCGAAGGCGCATAACGGACTAGCCCAAGTCTAACCTTCGTCAAATTAATAATAACTAAAAACCAACTCTTACGATTCTAAGCTCTCGACAGCATTATCTCCTTCCTTTACGACTTCTACATATCACGATATCCGGTGTCTGCATCAAATAATACAACCCCAATAAAGAACAACCATCTACGTAGACATGGTGGCCTTATAGCGCGACCACGATACATACCACCAAGAAATTCAACTTCGTTTCTATCCACTCATTCAGACTTTTTGATAGCATCGGACGATATTTGTGCGGCATCACCGACCGCTCCATCACCCTCCTCCTCGCCTTCTCTTTTTCCTAATACCACATCTCGAAAATGGCCCGACGAAGAAAGCCGCCACGGTCCGGCGCCGTGAACGAACTCCCACCTCTCCGACTCCTAGGCCAAATCGCCGCGCTACAGAGTATATACTACGCCACAGCACTAGTGTTAATGTTGTTTACATCCCTCGTCGCTGGGACGCGGTTTAATCTCGACCTTGTTTTTGGATGGGCAAACCTTCGCGGTGACACGACGCAAGGGTGGCTTGTGGGATTTGTCTGGTTATGTTGCGCCGGCGTGGTGTTCGTCTCCCCGAAACTTCTAATTCTAGGAGAAACGTATTAACAGCAGAAATATAGTGTTGTGGCAATGGTAGCCTTGATAGGTCGATCGAAACTCGTACTTGATTTCGCGCTTTCCCTGCACTTTATACACCTCGTTATCGTCACCTTTTACACGGGCTTTATACCGAGAAACGTTGCTTGGTGGATTACGATGGTAGCTTCGAGTGTAGTCGCAGTCGCGGGAGGCACTTATGGATGTCAGTGGAGAGAATTACGACCGATTAGTTTTGGAGGCAATGCGAGGAGTAGTAATAACACGGATGGTAGCGCCGAGACTGCCGGGGAAAACGGAACGGCCGGCGGCGAACAAGGTGATGAAGAAATGGGCTTTTCTAGGGGCCGCGGAAGGGGTAGAGGGAGAGACGGCGCGGGCGAATACGAAATGGTTGGTATACAAGATAATGGGGAACGGTAGCATTTTGCTCTCTATTTTGCTACGGGAATGGATGGGGTCGGTCATATTTAGTCGGTCTTGTATCAATACCGCATTGCATGGCGTTGGTTTTTTCTTGAAGAGGGTAATTAAGAGCCTGGACACCCGGGGCTATGTCTGAGTTTACATCATGATATTCTATCTATCTAGGTAGTCATGAGGACAGGGTATTGAAAAGACATGGTACACGTATTAATATGAGATGTTCACAGCCAACACCCAAACTTCCCAAAATAAAACACGATGTCTAAAACTATATACGTATTTGTATCATGACTTGACAGTTAGACTTGATTAGAAATGAGCCAATCCGGAAGAGTCTAATTGAGCACTATGGATACTCCACAAAGGCACCCATGTCTTTAGATCAGTTTGCTTAAAAAATGTAAGGAGTGTTTGAGACAACGAGGTGAAACCTACAATACACCCGATGACACGGCAGTTATACTTAATAATACATACGATTGTTATGGTTTCTTCAAAAGCGGGTATTAAAAATCGGTGAAGAGGTTTTAATAAGTCAGAGATGTTGCTAACAAGAATGAAACTACATGTAACAAGTACCTACCTAGCTACAGGAATAGGCCGGCGTATAGCGGGTGAAAGGAGGTATAACAGCGGACCCGGCGGGCTCGCCCCTTCTGTATACAACACCCCCGGAACTATAAATTTAATACACTATATCGCTCATTCAAAGCCTCCAACTAGGATAATTCTAGGTTAGCCTGCCTTACATAGGACTAGTACAGTGCTAGAAGATACGTGCATGTGCTGTACCTGCCCGATTACCCGGTATACGCCATTAACTATAACCCATCACCCATCACCCATCACCCATAACCCATAATCCATTACCCCACCACCCCGCCATCGAATTCATGTTTTTGCGCGCATCATCTAAAAAATATCGAGACCTTCAATCTTTCGTTTGTCCTGCTTTCGTGTTATTTCTACGCAGCACATTCTATTTAAAACTTTGCCCAACATGGCTACGATAGTGTTAGGAGTCCAATGGGGAGAGTAAGAGTTCCAAACCCCTACTTATACCTGATATTCTTGCTAATTGGTCTTTTTCTATACAGCGAAGGGAAGGGTGAGTAATACTATCAGCTCTCTCCTAAGTAATATTGTTGCACTTAGCACAGCCAAATAAAATAACTCTTTCTTACATATACCCTTCTCTATAGGAAAGCTTTGCGATATCCTCAGCCCTGAAGTCCAAATCTGCGCCAGAGCAACCGGTGGAAGAAACTGCGGTCACAGTAAGATATTTTTACCATTTATAACTCGTCTCCTATATCGGCGAGCCGTATATGTTGACGATTCTTTACTCATTCTTTAGCTGTTGTCGCCGCTGGAACATCGTATGACTTGTATGTATCACAGTCCCCTCCTTACAAACACACTATGTTTAACTGACCATTCAAAGTCATATGTTACCGTCGGGATTGATTCATCCTACAACTACGAACTTGATTGGACCTGGTGTTGTCCTACACGTGCCCACGTTCTTCTCTGAACTTGCCAATATTGAGGCGAAGGGAGTACAAAATGCCCAATCAAGACTCAAGGTCTCAACACGCTGCGCCTTAAACCTCGACCTCCATGCGGCCGCGGACCGTCTTCGTGAAACACAGCTTGGCAAGAAAAACATAGGTACAACAGGAAAGGGTATTGGTCCCTCATACAGCTCCAAGGCTGAGCGAAGCACCGTGCTCCTCGCCGATCTACTCGACGACGATGAGTTCGGCGACAGGATTCGAGCGATGGAGAGGGATTACAAGTTGAGATACGGCGGAAGCTTGGGTGAATATGATGTCGAGGCCGAAATAAAAGAACTTCAGGTAAATATCTCACCCTCTTAAACGTTCTCTTCTCATTCCCCAGGGATACCGTGAAAGGCTCCGCCCCTTTTCCGTAGACGATGTCGAATACCTCGCAGTGGCCCAAAAACAAGGCAAAAAGATCCTCATCGAAGGCGCTCAATCGGCTCTCCTGGATAACACATATGGTACCTGGCCGTATGTCACTTCAACTTCAACCACTTTCGGTGGTGTGATGGCTGGTTTGACTCTCGACTACCGAAAGGTGGACGGTGTTATCGGTGTCCTGAAGGCGTACACCACTCGAGTCGGATCCGGGCCATTCCCCACAGAAGACTTCGGCGACATAAGTAATAAGCTCCAGGAGATAGGACACGAGTTCGGAGTTACCACGGGACGAAGACGTCGCTGCGGATGGCTGGATCTGGTTACCTGCAAATATTCGCACAACGTTAACCACTATACGTATGTACACGCCACAAGGTTCCAGGTAAGGGCATATAGAACTAATTTTCTACCAATAGTGACTTGAACCTCACGAAACTCGACGTCCTCGATACCTTCGAAAAGATCCAGGTGGCCGTGGCCTACAAGCACCCGGATACTGGCGAGGTCATTGATGGCTTCCCCGCGAGCGCGAAGCTCCTATCCCGCGTCCAAGTCGAGTACAAGACCCTTAAAGGCTGGAACACTAAGACGACCGGAACCAAGACCTTCGAAGAACTACCCAAGGAGGCCCGGGAATACATCACCTTCATCGAGGACTTCCTCGGTGTCAAGATCAAGTGGATTGGATGCGGTCCCAAGAGAGAGGACATCATAACCCGCTAACCCTTCAACGGGCCCGGTTTGTAGCACCACCGCCTCCCTATTTATATGATGTCAGCTAAGTAGAGCTTACACGAAACCATGGTGTAGTGCGAGATTATGCCTAACATTAAAAAGAATTCCACTGTCGACAGAGCAGTTATTACGGGGTTGGTGTGCTGAATTTATTTACACTACGGAAAGGGAAAATTATAAAATTCAACAGAAAAAGAAAATATGGCAAATTACTTCTTACGTGGATTCTAGAGGCAAGTGCTCTCTTAGATCTAGATCCGGCGACGGGTTGCCCCTATTTGCTAGAGGAGTGATAAATAAATCGGTGGTCGAATCTAGACAGCGGGGATTTAAACTCGTTTTCTTAGAACGCGGCGTGGCGGATGAGATTGTGGCGCTTCCTAAGTAGGTGTTTATATAGAGGAAAGGAATTGTCAACCCCTAAAATGTGTTTTTTTAATCGTGACTTGGCACTCTCCCTGCCTTTGACATGGGGAATTTTATAATACGATACATATGGATACACATGAATTTGATAGGATATATAGGTATTTTCTAGCTCATTCTAAGCCTATCTATCTGTATCCCCATGTACGATGGCGAATTCCATCGCCAATACACAACTTAGCAAGACGCGAATCTGTAGCGATTGCTCACCAATATTCTTACGCCATTTTACTCCTCGAATATCACCATCCTATAGATATCGTTCTTTGGTTAACCCCTAATATAAAAATAACCCCGTTAATGTTCTATCCATAAGTTATGAATGACTACTGTGCCGACTCTCAAGACAATCAGGAGGACAGAAAGGATCCGAGTTCCCCGGCTCACCTTGTGACTCGGACCAAGTATCCGGATGACAAGAATCGGGATCGGCATCCTCGATTATATTGTCCCTATCCCGCGTCCAGATAACTTCACCTTCCGGAGTGATGATTTCGTTCTGGGTTTCAGCTGTAGAACATGGTACATCAGAATCGCATGTGTCTACAGGAAATGCTGGCGTCCTAAGTTCGAAAAACTTGACCGGTGAATCGGTAAAAGGTATTAGGCGTGTATACATAGACTCAGGTGTCTTACCGATCGATGAGACCCGGGCTGGAGGTGAAATTGACTCGTCTGTGCTCCAACTTGGGCTACTTTGAAGTATTGGGCTCCCGGATCGATCTAATAATATGATGCGATGAGGACTTGGTGTAGAGGATCTGGATGTCCATTGGATCTCCCGCGTGCCATCCGCAAGCCCATATTCGTGTGGCCCAGTGTTACTGCGGCTGATTGTTAATGGTTTAGGACATAAACCGGCATCAGCCCCTACAGGAGTATGTGAACATTCTAGTAGGGTCTCAATCTGAGTGGACGAGATGGAGGCAGTGCCTTCGATGAAGCCTTCAGCGGGCTCTGCTGGTGACTTGATTTCATCTGGGGTTGTCACTTCCGATAAGCGGCTGCGCTGTCCTCTTCGTCTCTGTCCACGCCTCTGCGAGGGTCTTGATACCGGGCTTACAACACCTGACTGTGGGTTCGACGACGAGGGGGTATTAAAAGGGATAGTCAGAGGCATTTCGAGCACAGCTAGTTCGGATAGAGACATTTCTTCATTAGGACTCATAGCACCGCTGTAGTATGGCGTATGTGAAGTCGGAGAGCTCCCTGAGAACCCGGTTGAAGATCCGGAAGTCTTAGAAGCTTTTTCGAAACTTGGTCTCGATGAAAGTCGGTCCAGTTCTCCCGTAGCAATCATCATACTTGCCATCGCCAATGGATCGAAGTGATGTCTGATATTATGGGGAAGACCCGCAGCGTTGGATTCCGGAGTGTTGAATAGTGGAGTCTCTTCACCAGATGATGGCCAGTTATTTACTGACTCGCGAGCGAGGAGTCGACGTTCCTTGCTACCCCGGCGTGCTGGTAGGTCTGATCGGATTGTAAAGGTGGATGAACCTGAGCGCCGTAGCTTTTTGCCGAGAGATCGGAATTGTCTCGTAACGATATTACGGATATGAAAATGATGCCAATGTCGATTCTTCTCGAGCTGGGAACGCAGCTGGGTTATCTGGTCTTGATTTTGATTTTCTATAACCTAGATACACTACTGGTTAATAAAAATTGCGTATGAGGTTGAAAGCAACGCCTACCTTTGATTCGAATAGTGATCTGTCGAAATCGTCCAATTGTCGATGAAGCTCCGGGCATGAGTTGAGTGCGTATCTCTGGATAGCATGGAATCGTGCATCATGTTGCGATAGGTATGAACATGACTTGTTGTCAGATGTATCTTCACTACCGCTACCATTCTCAACGTTGCCATTGTCGCGAGCCATCTCGATAGGGTCGTTGACGTGTGTACGGTAGGCGTGGTTCGAATTCGAAACTTCTGACACTTCATGTTTCTGACGAGGTTTCCTCTTTTCCCAGTCTCTATCCCAATCGATAGACCCGGATGTATTGGAATTGAGATTATGGGAATCGGTGGACGGATCTGCACTTTGGCTTGATTCTTTCAGGTCACTGAGCCCATCTCGTAACAATTTGGAAAGTTTGTCGCTTTCAGAACTCTGGGGACCATCTAGACCAGTACCAGATTGTGCAGTTGACCGATTCCGCCTGGGAGGTTGTACTACAATAGTTGGGCAGGCGAAATTCAATACATTCTCGACTTTGTCTCCTGGATTAATGGGCTCGAGTGGCGTATTTTGATCCGTGAGATCGGCCCCATCTTGTAGACAATCTGGGCAGGAAACACCAGATAACCAGACAGAAACTAGGTCATCCTCATTGTCATGTTCCTAACGATGTCTGGGATCCTGGGAGTCAACTGGGTTCGGACTGACTGGTGTGAGCGATCGATCTCTACAAGCTTCGGAGGTCCGGCGCGTCTGGCCAATAGAACAAGCTCCAGACACAACCAACCGTGAAGGTAGATGGTGCACTTTAGGTGCGAAGAGCCAGTGTTCATCTTCATATTCTCGGCTGTTCTCCTTCTGATGTTGCTCGATAATCGGTGCCGATTTGCAGCTGTGAGAGTGACATCTATGAGATGGATATCGACCGCTATTGGAGTGTCCCGTCGAGTGGGGCGATAGCAGATGTGATCCGGCGGAAAAGAGGGGAAATCCATAGTCTACAGCATTCATCACGAGGGTTTCATGGTTGTTCAGGTTCATGCTTTACGAAATGGGAGCTGATGGTCTTGAAAAAATGTGATAGTTGGCGGCGAATACGGAAAGAAAATGCTTTAAGAACGTATCGCCACTTGGTAAAGGTAGAGAACATGATTATAGGGGCAGGTATGGGATAGGAGCTTTGTCGAGAGACGAAAATGAGAGAATAGGGAATGCTGGTGGAGTGGAATTAGGAATAATTGAAGCTTTAAAACTTGAAGATTACATGTATATGAACTACATGCAAAGAAGATGAATGATATATGTAACTGTCACCCAGTGACTTCCATATTATGAGATATCATCACGATGCTTACCCCTTTTTGAGTCGTTACTGCCAACGGGTGTGATTTAGTTCTTCTACCTGCGCCTACTGTGCGAGATTTGAGCGGAATAAAGATACAGAAAGTGTATTTTAGAGTGACACAACAGGAAAATCCAACCTTATATATTAAACCTTCCGGAGTTTAAGGTTGGTAACACTTGTTACTTCTAGATTAGGTGAGAAGCATATATGTATGTGGCTTCGTGAGTGGTGAGGTATGTGGCTTGAAGGTACTAAGAGGTACTTCCATATTTTAGACCCGGGTTCGTTAGCATGCATACTGCAGGTGGATGACCGTTATTAACCGAATTAAGTTTGGCTTGAATGCACCGTTTATTTCCGACTTTTAAAAAGAATACCGAGGCCGTTGTATCGGAAAGCATCATTCCTTTTTCGTATTCGTCGGTTCTCAAAGTCCGGCCCCGCAAGCCGTAACCGCCTCCATTACCTATAATGAATTGCTTTGATCCTCGGCACGCTCACCTCTTTTTCTTCCAATTGAGAGTGCAGCCATGCTACGTTCATCATTATCACGAGTATCAAGACCGTTGACCCTCTCGGTAAGGCAATGGCAATCTTTCAGAAGTTATGCTTCCACTCCCAAGTCTCTGTTTGATTGGGAAGACCCACTAGCTAGCAAGAACTTGTTTACCGAGGAAGAGTTGGCCATTTCGGAGACAGCAGAACGGTATTGCCAAGAGCAGTTGTTGCCACGAGTCCTACGTGAGACTTCCTAACCAAAATATTCATTTCATGTGATTTGGGATCTTGCTTGCTGACCATGCTACGCATTTAGAGGCGTACCGCGATGAGCACTATGACCCCGCTATCCTACTTGAGATGGGTGAGCTGGGTCTTCTCGGCGCAAATATCCACGGATATGGCTGTGCTGGCGCATCTACCGTGGCTTCTGGCTTGATCACTCGAGCTGTAGAACGAGTTGATAGTGGGTATCGGTCGGGCATGTCCGTTCAATCTTCATTAGTCATGGGCGGGATCTACGAATTTGGAACTGCTGAGCAGAAGGAGAAATACCTACCCGAAATGGCAAAAGGTAAACTACTCGGTGCATTTGGGCTTACGGAACCCAACCATGGTAGCGACCCAGGCTCAATGGAATCCACGGCTCGACCGCACCCGACCAAAAAGGGTTACCTCCTTTTGAGTGGCTCCAAAACCTGGATTACTAACTCGCCTATTGCGGATGTGCTTATGGTATGGGCAAAGCTGCAGGAAACCGGCAAAATTAGGGGATTCCTGATAGATCGAAAGGAGTGCCCATCAGGTACGTTGGAGACGCCAGCCATCAAGAACAAAACAGGCCTCCGGGCTAGCATCACTGGTATGATTCATATGGAAGATGTTCCCGTACCAGAAGCAAATATGTTCCCTGATGTTGAGGGCTTATCGGGTCCGTTCACATGTCTGAATAGTGCTCGTTATGGTATCTCTTTTGGTACTATGGGGGCGTTGGAAGACTGCATCACCCGAGCGCGGGAATATGCCCTAGAGCGCAAGCAGTTCAAAGGCAACCCTCTAGCTAAATATCAGCTAGTCCAGAAGAAACTTGCGGATGCTGCAACAGATGCTTCGTATGGTGTATTGGCCTCGATACAAGTCGGTAGACTAAAGGATGAAGGGAAGGTTACACCGGAGATGATTAGTATTGTGAAAAGGCAGAATTGTGACCGCGCACTCATAAACGCGAGGGCATTGCAAGAAATTTTCGGAGGCAACGCTGTTAGCGATGAATATGGCATTGGGAGACACGTGGCCAACTTGTTCGTGACTCAAACTTACGAAGGGCAGAGTGATATTCATAGTAAGTGAATCCACATTTGGACCATGATTGTTGCTAACGGGAGTCTAGGCCTTATCCTAGGGAGGGCCATAACAGGGCTGCAGGCTTTCGTATGATGATATAGGGTAATTAGAAATATGTAGTTGAGGGAACTATGCGTTTGAAATTCACCATACGTCGATCTTCAAAACGCAACCCCGGCACGGGTTTATGCAGGCGGCCGTTCCGCGTTGCCACATGGAGTTACTGTGCACAACACATCTATTTGACTAAGATACCTAGACTTTGCCGGTCATTATGTACTTTGCCGTCGGTATTCCAGCAGATATCCTCATAGAGTCGTGATTACGATGCTGTCGATAATATAGACGTATTTTTCAGAATTTGAATAACGGTTCCGTATTATAATTCGCCTAGATACCCTGATCGTAAGTACCCAAACCTCTTAGCCGTGCATCATGTTTGGTCATCAAGGTGACTGAAACGGTGAGCGTTATACCCACTATTGCTACAAGTACATCCAAGTACTTGGCGTAACAAACTGGGTATATGAAATGTGACAGAACAGCCTAGATAATAACCTAAGTAATTGCAAACCTGACTCATCATAATTTAGAAAAATCAGTAACCCAAAGGTGGTGAAGCATGAGTAATGTAATAGATGACTGTGAAGTGATTGGATATTCAATGATGGACTTTCAAGGCTGGAAGGTTCGGGCGGCTTTTTAGTACCTAGACACAAAAAGTTAGGTGCCTACGAGTACCACCAACGTACCTGAGTTGCCTTAAAGCTGATTAGGATTGGTCGACCTCGTGGCGGTGTGGAGTCCGTTCTTTCCGTGTAACAATTAAGCCTAAGGCGCCGTTTCTTCGGGTCCAATAGGCATAGACCGGTTTCTCCTAATTGGTAGAACCAGGAATGAGCTTGCCTGTTCTAAGTCGGACTCGTCTACCAATACCCATAAGGTAGGTACACCGGGTACTTTAAGTACATAAAGTAGTCGCGCACACTCCGAACTAAGCCACTCCAGTCACTGCTACTTAAGATTTAAGAGTGAAAACGTTCTTGATTGGGTTAAGGGGAAAATACTTGCCTGTCCTTTCCTCTTCTTTGTCAAAAATTGGTCTGTGCTGATTTTTAGTGCCTTTCTATTGATTCCGTCAGCTGAAAAGACCTGCCCAACTTTCTTTCTCCCCGCTACCATTACCATTTACCAATCTTTCGCCATTTACAACAAGTCACGATCATAACCATCACGAATCCCGACCGACATTAATAATAATACCAACAAAACAAACTACCTTACCCTTCCCTCCCGAACCTCATATATTTGGAGATTGACCCAAGGTCTTCCGAATTTTCTTCTACCTCTCTGGTAAGCCGGACCTATATTTTTCCTCCCCTCTTTGTTTGCAGGCTTGCCTCTCTGTAACTCCATCCATTTCTCCCGCATTCCATAAACTGACCGCAAGTATAAATAGCCGTTTTCTTAACAGCAGAGATATCGCCTCCGAGCAAGGAATACTACATTCCACCGCAAACCACACTCCTACACAATGGCGTTGAAGCGCATCAACAAGGAACTCACAGACTTGGGCCGGTATGTTGACTTCGTTTTTTTTTTTTTTATCGTGGGGCGGACATATGTTTGACGATGCTACTTGTCTCTATCTTCAGTGAGCCCAAGGTGGGGCCGCTATACCAAGTAGAGCGGGGTCTTTGTATATGATAGCCTCGTTGACATGTTACATCTATTTGTATCTCGATAATAATTGTTTGAAAAATGCATTTTTTGTTTGATAGTATTGCTAACGACTTTCTCACAGTGACCCGCCCTCATCATGCTCTGCCGGCCCCGTCGGTGAAGATCTGGTAGGCATCACATTACCAACCCCCCCACCAAGGATTGATAGGCAACAGACTATCTCTACGCTGCGCGACTCAGGCGGTTATCGGGTAGCGAGGGATACTCTAGCGCTTTGGAAATCAACATGCACCGGGCACGTGGACTATTGCTGACGTTATGCTTTTGTACAGTTCCACTGGCAAGCAACGATTATGGGACCTGTAAGTCTTCCCCATCCATATTCTTATCTCCCTGGGCAAATATGTTTCTTGAGCTCCATGCTTGGCAGCTATGCTACACATGAGATGGGTTCGACTCTGGGGTCAATAGTGTATATCGCATACGCAAGTTCGGAAAACTAACTAGTCGTCTTAGGGTGATTCGCCGTACTCTGGAGGTGTTTTCTTTCTTGCCATCCACTTTCCGACAGACTATCCCTTCAAGCCCCCTAAGGTTAACTTCACAACTCGCATCTACCACCCCAACATCAACTCCAACGGCAGCATCTGTCTAGACATCCTAAGAGACCAATGGAGTCCGGCGTTGACCATTTCTAAGGGTAAGCATCTGATTCGTTTGTGCTATATATCTATATACTAATTTGTTTCAGTCCTCCTTTCTATTTGCTCTATGCTTACCGACCCCAACCCCGATGACCCGCTCGTCCCCGAGATTGCACATGTATACAAGACGGACCGCGCGAGATATGAGGCTACAGCTCGTGAGTGGACTCGCAAGTATGCTATCTAGGGTGCGTAGCATGGGGACTTCGCTGGCGAGGCATCACAAGGCTTGATATGGGAGTAGGCAACCAGCAGAGCATTTATTGGTAGTGGTACTAGGAGGGACGCGGAGAGGGTTTCCTTCCAACCTATGCAATACGATATGCATTCGCCGGTGTCTCTGTCCATTCGTCGTTATGGCTTAGTGTGCCTCTCGATGAACTTCTTCGAGCACATGAATTTATTAGGAATGGGTTTGAGAATGACTTGCTAAGAAGGACAAAGTTTTACAAAGAACAGGCATAAGTTTACGGGAGTGATTAGGAGGAGGCTCGGCTTTGCATTTCCAACCTCGTTGACTTTGACCCCGGATCTGTTATAATGCACCTTTCCCTATTATTTTTCGCTGCCATCTCTTTCGTGACATTTGGAGCATATTCTAGACCATTGCAGTTTGCATCGCGTATAATTTACAGGACTCCGGTACATAACATGACGTACGTTTTACAGACCTTTAGTAGATGGCATTCCCATAGGCCGTCGAGTATATTTAGGACAATAAGTTGTTGTGTACGGACGCCCGCCGATATCGCGTCTGCTAAATCCTAGTTTCTATTTTGGACTAGGGTGTCTACAAAATAACATCTTGGGACAATCTAGAGTAGTATTTCAGCTTTCATATGGTACATATTGCCCCCTGTTTGAACCGCGTAATTAGCATCGAATGATAAACTTATACGCCACCTTTCCCTCGTACTGGGTCGTACGGTGATGGGACGTTTCTATGTATATTGGCTCTTTGGGTGTGTTTAAACAATCCTATGACGGAAAGTGGAAAATGAAATCAAATATGGTAGAGATAAGATGATTGGATTTCGGTATTCGTGGTTGGTAGGAGTCGAAGGATTTGTTTCTCCCTAATCTACATCTATGATTCAAGTGGCTTGAAACATAATGAACGCCAACAGGATGTGTAGATACCCAAGGTGCTTAGGGTATTCATACAAATTTCGTTAGAACACGAGGGGATTGTCAACTTCAAATGCGGGATATAATTGTCTTTACATACTGCTTGGTCGAATGAGATCGACTGCTGGAATTTAGTGCATTATGTGACGACATTGTATACCAGAATATGGCGCCTTATGGGTAGTTGAAGTTTTTCAGTGGATATCGTGGGTATTTCGAATCGTATCAAACCAGTAATTCGTCATTTTGCTTGTGATATGGTTGAGCCCGCGATTTTGTCTGTATTAGTCCATCGGGTTATCTAATTCTTGTTAAACAAAACGAAGGGGTAATTATTGCAGCATGTCGAACCGAATAGCTGTTCCAGTTTTAAACCAGGGTTGCGTTATTATGAGCCGCTTTATTTTCGATGTTCTGCTCCGTAATGGTTTGAGGTTAGGTACCTAGGTATTTATTGTAGGTACATTTTAGTGGCCCTGTCGCGAATCTGCCGAGACAGCCGATTGAGATAAGATTCGGTTTTATTGAGTATGGCTTGCTTATCTAAACTTTCATAATCGATTTAATTGTATTCGTCGAAGAGTTAATCCACTAAGACGGTCTAGTGACGCATATGCTATTCTTAAAATCAATTATAAACCACAAGATTCAAAATATTAAAAACCATCCAACCAAATTATTCATATCATGTCAATTGTATTGGGCATGAAATCGGTCGGCGCTTGTCTCTTTTTGCTACAGAACCCTTGGCGGTTCGAGTCTCGGATGTGTTAAAGACCCCTGACGAAACATTCTGAGGCATAGGCGCCGTGGATCATAAGGGAACCGACCAATAACTATTCAGGTCGAGACCTTTTCCTCTCCACATTCCAAACCAGAGTCCAAGCCTCATCCTCCTCAACTCCACTATTCTCTTTTTCCTTCGCTCTTCGCTTCTTGTACCAAAGCTGTAACAATTTGTCCTTGGTTATCTACAATGGTTCTAGTATCGCTGAGGATTACGCAGACCCTTTCATATATATCCCGTATCGAGTCTGTATCCTCACGATGACAGTGGCGCCATTACCCACATCTTCAACCCTGTAAGGATCTGGAGATCAGACAGGACCAGCCCGGGACTAGAGGTCGGTACAGAAGGCGAACGAAGATTCGTCTATCATTCAGCGCCTTCGATACTAGTTAGCAACAAGTGTTGTCTTTCCTATAGTGAATAGTACTTTCAACACTTATACTATTCATCATCACAATCATAATCGTGATTATTATGAAGAAATATAACAACGAATCATAGCATTACAATCATCGATTCGAAGCAGGCGTACCATCTAACTAGAAAACTTACATTCTGAGCCTCTTCTCGTGTACCGGCCTCGAAACCATTTGTGGCAAGGCTGTAACCGCTTCTTGGCTAGATCCAGACCCATCTACCAAGAACCCCCTGGCCGATGTTACCTGTACCTTGTCGCAGGTGTCTCGACCACGCGAACTCCCACCTCTAATCTGACTTTTTCATAAGTTACTGGTACATGGCTATGAACTCGTATACCCTTGTATTTTCTTCACCAAACCCCCTAGGATCACATCATTTGTTCCTTTCCTCTTACAAAGTATCTTTTTCATTCTTCTCGATGCCAATTTTCGATATGTAAACTAGGGCTTTCGAAGCATTTTATCACCTAATTGGTTCCAGCCGTAGTAGCGTTGACGTTAACTACCCCTAACGTGGTGTCTGTACCCAGGTATGATCCACGGAAATGGCCTGATGTTTCCTATTCTTGGCGGTCTCCCATAATATCCACTGCTTTCCCGCTTCTTGCATGAGATCTTCGGAACCCTTCTCTCCTTTCCCTTCGTTTCCCTCACAAACGTCTTTTTCCAGTCCTTCTTCGTCGTAGGTGCGCTGTGCGATTCTTGCGTTGGCTGACAGGCAGCTGCAACAGCAGGCTTCCAGGTCGACTTTCCATTCTTTTGATCTATTCATTTTCGCCCGTTACCTCGAAGCAATATCTTTTACTTTCGATGGCTTTGTGCCCGTTCAGCAGGCTCTGAATTAGCGTTATCTGTTTTTTCCGTACCGAGGGACGAGGCTCTAAAATATAATCAAAAAGTCTAATAAGGAACGAGGAGGCATCGGTGGTGTTGGATTGGTAGCTCTGTGTGTCAAGATATTAAAGAGATTTGGAAATTTTTAGTGGACGAATCTACCGAAAAGCGATATAACGACCACGATCGAAAGAGTTATACGAACCGTTAAGTCAAGATGTCGTTCTACAATGCGGACCAATACATGGGGGAGAAGCCGTCGGAGAGGTCAAGATGGACGCCGTTGACGAGGATGTTATTGTCGGGAGAGATGACGCAGGAGCGGCAAAAAGAATTGACAATGCGCGAGAAATTCGACAAGTGGATGATTAACGAGGGTTACCGAAGATTGTTCGTATCTATTGTAAGTTCTATTTGTGAGACAAGCGTACTGACCATGATAATAGTTTCGTCTTCGTTTTCATGGCTCTCCACGCCCTTGTATTCGCTTTCGGTTTCGTCAACTACGCTGTCAAGGACAATTTGCAAATAGCAAGAGATGTATTTGGACCGACATATATGATTGCTAGATCAGCAGCACTGGTGCTTCATCTGGACGTTGCCTTAATTCTGCTGCCGGTCTGCAGGACATTTATCTCCATGGCGAGACAAACGCCTCTTAATGGTATTATCCAGTTCGACAAGAACATCACCTTCCACATCACTACCGCGTGGTCGATCTTCTTCTTTTCCTGGGTCCACACGATAGCTCACTGGAACAATTTGGCGCAAATTGCTGCTAAGAACAACCTTGGATTTTGGGGATGGTTGGTTGCGAACTTGGTGTCGGGACCGGGCTGGACGGGATATATCATGTTGATTGCGCTCACGGGAATGGTGTTGACCTCATACGAGAAGCCGAGACGTGCTAACTACGAACGATTCTGGTACACCCACCACATGTTCATCGTTTTCTTCTTTTTCTGGTCCTTCCACGGTGCTTTTTGCATGATCCAGCCTGATTTCGCGCCGTTCTGCGTCTCGATCGGTACCACTGCGATCGGTGTGTTCTGGCAATACTGGATGGTTGGAGGGTTTATCTATCTGGCCGAACGTGTTGCCCGTGAATTGCGTGGTCGCCACAAGACTTACATCTCCAAGGTCATTCAACATCCCAGCAACGTGTGCGAGATTCAAATTAAGAAAGAGAACACGAAGACCAAGGCTGGACAGTACATTTTCTTCTGCTGCCCAGAAGTTTCCCTTTGGCAATATCACCCGTTTACCTTGACAAGCGCGCCTGAAGAGGATTACATCTCGATCCATATGCGTGTGGTGGGTGATTTCACACGTGCCGTCTCCTCAGCTCTCGGGTGCGAATTTGGCAAGAAGGACAGCAAGGATGCCTCGAAAGTCGTGGGTGTTGACGGTCAGAACAGTGACGTGGACCCCGCCCTCAGGAGAGTCCTACCCCGTGTTTACATCGACGGTCCATTCGGATCCGCTTCTGAAGATGTGTTCAAGTACGAGGTCTCCGTTCTCTGTGGTGCTGGTATCGGTGTTACACCTTTCGCGTCTATTCTGAAGTCGATCTGGTATCGCATGAACTACCCGCAGAAGAAGACGCGGCTTGCGAAGGTTTACTTTTTCTGGATCTGCAGAGATTTCGGTTCCTTCGAATGGTTCCGTTCGTTGCTCATGGCCATCGAGGCTCAGGACGTCGACGGCCGAATCGAAATCCACACCTACCTCACGGCTAAGATCAAGGCCGACGACGCGACAAACATCATGATCAACGACGCCAACGCCGACAAGGATACGATTACTGGACTGCGAAGTCCCACGAATTTCGGACGGCCGAACTGGGATATGATCTTCCGAGGTATCAGGAAGCTTCACGCGCCTGCTGAGGCGGGTGTGTTCTTCTGTGGACCTAAGGGTCTTGGTAGTGCGCTCCATGTCTACTGCAACAAATATAGCGAACCTGGGTGAGTGCTTTCCTAAGTTTAATTTCCTTTATAGGTACAACCTGTAGAATAAGAGCTAACTAGATTATAGCTTTTCCTTTGTCTGGGGCAAGGAAAACTTTTAAACTTGCGTATCGTCAAATGCTTGGTCGGCATGTTTCCAGCAAATGTCAGAATGTTTGCTTAATCGCTGGCGCTGGACGCGGATGGCCATTGTATTTGTGTATTAATCAAACTAGTTCGCAAACATTTTCTGGTTTCTTGGGCCTCAGGGTGAAGCCAGATTGCTGGGCTACTCTCACGTAGACTTGGAACGTCCAGCCGGTGTCCCTAATAGGTTCGAGCAATGGACTGGAGTATATGACTTGGCCGGAGAGAACACATCACGAGGCGAAATTAATGAATACCTGGACTCGGGTTAGAGGCCTCCGAGATTCCCGCTTCAAGAGAGGATTCTACGATATATGGGGATAGGAGTTGGAAACCTTGGAGCTGGAGCTGTAGAAGATGTTGATTACCATATACCTTGTATCTAGTTTACTTAAACCTGCAATATCCTTTACATTTAGACTTCAATATTTGGTATATGATCGTGATTCTAGTTAGTGTATGTGAAAGTCTTAAATGTCTGCATTATTTGGACGAGACACCATATGTAAATGATCAAAGAGGAAGAGCGGCGAAATCACTAGATAGTATTAAGATTGAAGTTATTTTTCGAACACTAAATAATCTAGATCTTTAGGTAGATATTAAGCGGCTCCTTCTGCGGCTCTTAGACCAACTTTTAAGCACCAGTGAGTGAAGAAGAGAATAACATCAAATTCTGAACAGGCAACTTGATCCGTACCACGTGGGCAAAGCAAGTAATACGATTGGTTCATACTTAAGCCAAGAGTACGAAAGGAAAGGGAAATGAAGAAGCCAAGCATAAGATCGATTTCAGATTTTACGGCTCGCCTCAGGTTTCCAAAACAGCTTGGGAAGCCTGCCTGCGTCTGGGTCGGGAGTCGGCATTAAACTGCAAGCCTGCCTGCCTACTAACTGCCGCCCATATACTCCGTCCGATATAAGTACTTCCTTATGGCACGATCGATATATGGTACGTGAGGCTCTGACCCCCACAGAGCTGGGTCCGACCATGCATGTCAGCAAAAAGCAAAGCGGCGCGGGAGGAATTGAGGTCGCTGCTGTGAAACGCGTCTGGTCTGGACGGCGTTTCGATTGGGTTGGCGGAGGTACGTAAGCTGTTTTTGCTTCTCATTCGTATTTCAATTCAATCTATGTCTGCAGAGGAAATATAATGTTCTTTTACGAACTTGCAAGATGTAGTATTAAATTGTTTCTTGAACTTGCGCCGCATATAGTGATTTGGTAAGCGTTTGCGGAAGTAGGGGAGTGAGAAGCTAAGACATACAAGGGCGCGAATTAAGGGGAAGCAGCATGTGGCGCGGGCGTCTACTTAAAGGGGGGGACGGGAATTCCATCTTGGCAAACCGCCATGATTTTGTTATTTAATGCCGATACTCCGGTCTTCACAGTGGTTCTTCATTCAGGAGTATCTTGAAAGCCCTACCTGATGATATTATTATATTATTGCTCACTAAGATCCCGTAGCTGGGCGTAGTCTACCTAGGTTTTTAGACGCCATCCCATAACATACTCCCGAAAACCTTTTAGCCAAATGCCTTCCAGACTGACCATAATAACCGTAGTGATGCTAGCGAGATGGCCGGTGTGTAACTCGAAAAGTCCGAGTCCGCGTTAGGATATGTGGCGTCATGCCGACGACCCGTTTCTATCCTTATTACTAATATCCTTGAGCTCCAGATCTCCAAATTCATCGCCACTTTCATAGAGCTGGAAGTCCCATTGAATCGTCACTGGCGGATCGTTCGTTATTGTATGCGAATGATCGACTCCGTTGATTGACTCGGAAGAGTCCTCGCTACCCCTTTTCGGCTCGGTAGCCGTGACCCACAATTCAGGGGGATCTTCCTCAGTCCAATTCCAGGGGAATTTAACAGCATCACGCTGTAGTTGATTCGCGCTATCCTGGGAAACCCTATCCGAGGTGAGGGTGCTGCCGCGATGACGCGGTGGTTTAGCCGGCGGCGTGGGTGGTCTTACCAGTTGATAGTTAGAACCGAATATACCGTCGCGGCTGTCAAGCCAATTATCACTCGAATTTGCTTCGGCAGCACACGCTTCACAAAGTCCGGGCCGCTGGATCGCGAGCCCGCGATCTTCCGTGAGTGAGAGGTCCCCGACCAGTGCACATGGCTTCATAAAGCCCTTGAGGCCACCGATGCTACCACGTTTCCGCGGTTGAGCTGCATTGCAGTAGATTAGGGCCCGTGGCGGCGTCACATCGAGATCTTCGTGGCCGCATCCGTAGTAGACGCGCCTTAGTTGACACATGTGAATGATATCGGATGAAATAATGTGGCAATTATGATGGTGATGGAGATCAGCGATGAGTTTTGGTTGATGAAGAACTGCATTGAAATGATCTAGTATCGTGACTGTAGATGGATCAGCTGTTAAGCGAAGGCCAACCGGCTATTTTCGGTGAGTTGAGAATTATGTCGATAAAAATTGTATTCACATCTGTTTTTATTACTCCTCAAATTTGGTATGGTGGAAGTAGCTCCGGTTCTAATAAGGAGTGCGCGAATACCTACCCTCGAGCAGAGTTACCTGTGCACGGCGCATGACAGTTTAAGATTTCAGCTGTGCGGTATGCGTACCGCTAACACGGTGATGTAGAGATTCACTGCAGGTATGCGAATTGGTCGGTTCTAATTCCGAATTTGTATCACGTTTGCTTTGGGCACTGGCCTATATGTGGCGAGTGCGTGCTATTTCGACTCCAATTTCGCTTTTCATTATTGGTGAATTACTTAAGGTATGCTTACATCTCTAACTTATCTGGGCGCCTAGTCTGTGAGCTTTCATAACTTTACTTTCCTCATCTGAGGACCGTGTCGATACGATTAACAGTTCAACTTCATCAGTGTGGGCTTTTAGTATCTACTTTACACGGTGGTAGTGAGGATTTAAATTTCATTACTTTTTGACAGTACGTCCTACGACCGAGCTTTGAACTGTAGCTTCGGCTGATTCTTAGGGGAGCGTTCGTTATGGATTCATCTAAAGTTAGGTATATGTTACGGTCTAAGCAACAACATGTAAAATCTACTCCTTATTGTAAATACATTTAAATATTAATCATATTATCGTATGATATAATTCCTAAAGTGACCATTTAATTATAATGCCGTAAATTTTCGTGACCCCTCATTGATTCAATGATTTTCAACCCAATAAATACCACCCAACGTGAGAAAAAGACCCGAAATCAGGCCTCTCAATCGCGACCCAAACTAACATCTATACTCGATAAACAATCCTGCGTTCTCGCTTCTCTTCAAGAAGATATTCCCATTTGTAGTGGATGCTTTCTCGAGTATAATGTAGATATTATCCGTGCAATTAATTTTACCCGGACCCGAGGAGTGATACGTCCCCTTGACCTCTCGATCCCATCCCGTGAACTCCGTATGGAACTCCCACTCGGAACCAGCGGTGTCAAACGGACCCACAGCAGCAGCCGACACACCCGCGGTCGCATTCTCGGGGAACCCGGAGAGTTGACGGGCGGTCAGCAGACCATCGCCACCAGCTACCAAGACACCTTTATCCGCATCGTCCTGCGCCCATCCGAATGCACATCCCGTCGCTTCCTTGGGAAACTTGCCGAATGCCGCCGCTTGTTTGATATTTAAGCGTGTCTCGTTGTGGTATTGCACGTGGAAATCGGTCACCGGTGGTGTTACGAGATCCGGAGAGTTCGGGAATAATGTGTATAGCGCACTCGCATATATCCTTACCGTCTTGTTGACTTCCGGACAGAAAGGTGTGCTGTCGGCCGGCATTACTGTCTTAGCGGGGAGCGCCGTTGCGAGGGTGGCGACGGAGGCGAGTGAGGTGATGATTTTCCCGAATGAAGGCATTTTCAACGGCTTTTTGCAGCGGCGAGGGGTTCTTGGGTCACACAGTTTATTATATGGTCTTTTGTGAACTGGAGTCGAAAAAACGGTGCGAGCATCAAGACACAAGAGAATTAGAAGTGGCGAGCTGAGCCTTATGATGATAAACTACTGCATCTTAAAATAGAGATCTGCGCTGGATTGCTGATGATGACGCACGATTTATATTAAGACCTCCGCCCCGTATCCGGGTCAGTCCGGTAAATGGATTCAGCTATTTTACGTCAATGCGCCTTGCATGCGTCTTGGCGGCCAATATCACGAAGCTGTTGATATCCTCAGTGGAGCGTTGAATGTTTGCCAAGGAGGCCCGGGTTGGCACAGCATCATCCTTCCCGAGGTCTCCATGTACATTGCCAGCAATGCTGTCACAAACAGTTTCCTCTACAAATGACAAGGCTTTGCTGAAAAGTGGCACTAGAAACTACGTGGACATAGCAACGCGGTATCGGCAAACAGATTGACCGTTGTCAATAAGCCAATTTCTGGGGAAATAGAGCTCCGATGCAATTAGCTTCCCTGCGATATTCTTGTTAGTCATAATTCGTATTGTATCTGGGCATATGCTAATTAGGTGAGCATTAAAAAGCGATCCTGACAATGTTTGTTCATCTACATGAGAGAGTAAAGACTTGAAATAATAATAATATAATGGGTCTCGAAATAAGGTAGTGCTTCTTCTAAGAATATGTTTGCTGCGATTCTTGGCGTCAGGTTCATTATTCTCCAGTCAGATATCTATGGCATCTCTCAAGGGGCCGAACAACCCGCCGCAACATCTCCCGCCTCCATTCATCCGGTGCTATATTCATATACCCCCCTAAACACCATCTAATAGCTTCGTCAAAGTCGGGTCCTGCCTCTTCATTGACTTCTTCAACCCAATCTCGAGCGGCCACAGTGTCAAACGTACACTTTTCCATGTCATTGTTCCCGGGTGGCCATTTGCCTCGGTGCGGCTGGGATTCAAGCGACTGGCCGAAACAAAGCTCGAGGAGGGCTACACCTAGTAGTTCTATCGACCTGGAAGCGCCGGAACCGATCCCCCTCGCGCCAGTCGGAGCGCTTAACGAGGTTTTCCCTTGCTCATTTCCCTGTAATGGCTGGGCAACGAACTCGCGGGTGAGATATGGTTGATCTAGAAGGAATATATCGGCCTCCTTGTCGCTATGGATGAAAATAATATCTGATTTTCTCCATAGCTCGGGGAGCCAGGGGGTGTCGAGAAGTTGGAGAAAAGAAGACGCCAATGTAAACGAAAGTGCGTAACGCTTTCGCCGACTGGCTGCAGGTGACACTTGCATCCTGATTATCTGATCCAACGTGATGAAGTCAAATTGTTTTGCTGCCTTCCGTGATACTCTATGCACATAATACCGGGACTCTTCTTCTACCAGGTAGCCGCAGCAACCATCGCCTTCTTCGTCTAGCGAGCTGCAGAGCTTTGATATTGGATGTGGCGAGTCCACTCGTGCTATTGGTAGCAAAGGTATCTGGGTAGTTGCATGTCTAGATTTGGGTTAGTAAGAATAAATAAAAATAAGGAGTACCGACCAACCGCGGTTTCGATGTCCCTGCTTTCTTCATCGCGGATTTTAGCGGGATGTTTGATTTGTGCTTTGGTCGGTAGACCAACGTGGTTGCAATGTTGGGGATCTCTGCTGTGCACTTATTGGGTGTGCTTTTATCGCTATCGGTGATCATAGTCTTCTGTATATGCCAATGAGAAGTCAAGTCCCTGGCAAAAAGCATGTTGAACTCGGGGCTTTTGCTTGTTCTATGTTGTAGCAGTAATCTTGCGATATGCTGTCCCTGGCAACAAGACGCCCACGCCGATGCGAGAGCCTTAGAAAAAGTGTTAGCATGTTCCCAAAAACTGCATAGAGCCAAGTCGCTGGTTAGTGTGCATTTAGGGGATGCTTTTTGGCCGATATTTGCTTCATTGCTGCGTATGTCTAATATTCTTCCAAGTTGGGTCTCGTATTGCTCTAATTTATGGAACAGCTCAGTTCGGAAGCTTTCGCCATTACTAAATTTGACCTTGTATAGCTGGAATCTCATGAAGGCTGTTGGAGTTGAATCTCCGGGGCTCACTTGTGGTACTCGGACCCCCTAACGCTGAGTATTAGAACAAACGGAATATTTACCGTGATTGGATATATCTCACTGTCACGTTGAGGGAGTTTTGCACTGTGGCCGAATCTAGTGCCAACTCATGGTTCAATTTCTGTACAGCATCTTTGATACCTTCGATGCACCCTAAGACTAGCTGGTACGAGTCGTCGCCCAACTGACGCCGAAGAAGCTCTGCAATATTCTTGTCTTCCCAGCATGTGTTGCTAGAGTCCGATAAAAGATGATTTATTTTCTCCTCATCCTCAACTACCAGCCGCAGTAGCTATCTCATATAATTTGTAAAGGAAGTTCGATGGTACTTCAGTTCGTGGTCACATCTCATGTATTGAGGCCTGATTTTGTTGAATAGCTCGAGACGCTTGGAAATTTCCCGATACTTCCCGAGAGCCGTAATAGCTATCGGAAAAGCACCTAAAACGAGCCCTACTATTTCAATACCTGACATAGCGTATGTGTTAATGATTGTTAGACAGGTACCTAGCTGCGTTTCGAATATTAAAGGAGCAGTGGCTTTGGTGGGGAATAGCTGAGGGGTTATTCACGGTGACGCTGTGGCGGCTTATGTACAAAATTAAGGCCCAATCACACCCCATATACGTAGCTGGGCACATATCTGAGGGGAATCGCAAGTACTCCCTCGGTAAGAACATTACAATGTCCGCTTCTAGGCAAAACCGAAATATTTCGGCCCTAAGCCATAGAGTAAAGGCTGGCCTCTATGATTTGAAAGGCCACCTAGAGTGGGAGGATTGGGGTGTACGATTATCAACCCGACCCGGTGCAATTGAGGATATTATAGACAGATACTCACTGTGGACTGGGAACCTGGGAGCCCTCCATTCACCCAAAAGCAAGTTGTCCTTGGATCAACGCCTGACGAATGCCCCTGAGGTTCGGGACCAAATTTGTGAATTTCTCGACGATCTTCAAGAAGCTGTTGACGATTGTAAGGGAAACTTCATGCCCAGATAAAACTGTAGCTAAATATCTCCCAGTGACAGAAATTACCCTGCAAGAGCTTTATGCTGGCGACGAGACTGATTTGATAGAGGATGGATGGGAAGCCGATATTGATAATGCTCTTGCTCCCGACTTACTTGCCTCGGACGAAGCTAAAAGCATCATCGAGGTTATATCTCAGTGCGTGCGGTCGCTGTTCAGAGTGGGCGTCCTTATCCGTCGAGAAGGACATTCAGATCGATTCCAACGAGCTCTGCAACATTCGGATTGCACATTCCCGACATGGGTAGATATTGGCCACGTTCGAAACAAATACCCGAAATTATGCAAGCCTGAAGCGGGGCAATTAGCAGAACGGGTAGGAAATGCAAACGCAAAAAGACGACAATACGTTAAATATTGCCGCGATCACCAATCTAGGCTGGCATATTTGCCCGATAACGACAACGACGATACGAATACTGCGATTGAGTCAAGTAAGGCTACTACTTTCTTTCCTGACAGTTTCGACCGATCTACACAATCGGAGTTGAATATAACAGAGGAAGAAGACAACATATCACTGTCGACCGCGACGACATTAGAATCATCCACGAGGGTCGAGCTTCCGAGCTTACAAGACCTAAGCCCCGATTCAGAGCCATTTGAGTGTCCGATATGTTTCACTCTTCAATCCTTCCGAATAGAGAAGGCTTGGAGGTAGCTCGCACCCGTCGTATCACTATTGACATCTACGGCTAACGTAGCGCAGGTCACATGCTTTTCGCGATCTCAAAGCCTACATCTGCACGGTAGGAGGAACGAAATGCAAAGATGAGCTATTTGGCACCCGTGACGCTTGGTTCTACCATGAGTTACAATCTCACCGGTCGAAGTACACATGTCTTTTGTGTGATGAGTGTCGAAAGTAGAGATACTTTGGCATCTCATATAAAGTCAACCCATCAACATTATACGGCCGAGCAAACCTCAGTGTTGATCGATGCAGGAAGGGTAGCGCTGAGCCGTTTCAAAGCCTCGGATTGTCCATTTTGCGATGAGTGGGCCGAGGAGATCAAGTCCAGAAACGATGGAAATGACAAATTGACTGCAGAGAGGAGTGACCAAATCTTCGTCTCTTCGTCTCGTTTTAAGAGGCATGTCGCAACTCACCAAGAACAGCTTGCGTCTTTCATTGTATCAAAATCCGCAGAAGAGACCCAAGAAGTCGAAGATACATCAGCATCGGAAGATGTCCATTCAGACTTCGGTGAAGAGAGGCTAGAAGAGGAAGACAAACAGGAAGACAGCGAAAAGATAGTCGAGCCAAGCGAGAAGCCCCCCGGAATACACGAACAAAACAGCGAAACAGCTCAAAACACGTTTTTCTCATCTGGTGGAGGAGGTGGCAGCCTTGTCCACGTAGAAGTTCGATGGAATTGCGTGAGTTGCTACCTCTTTAATTTTATCGTGAAGATATCTAGGTATTCATAACTGACAACCATAGTGTACATGTAATAGTGGAGGGAATCAATCGTACGTATATAATACCAACTGCACCGAATGTGGGCACGCCAGGTGTAGTACCTGTACTGTTTGGGAGATGAAATGAAATTCGGTGTAAGTACTAGTCGAGGTACTGTTACATTCCTATTGAACTAATAAAATTGCTGCAGCTGTGGATTTTCATAAATCCGGGGAGCATTTACGGAGAATGATTTTTCACCCCATATTTTCCAATTTATGGAGTAAAGTTCTCCCAATAATCAACCTTGTAAATACGGTCCGATGTTGTCATTCAAATTGTTGATTATAAAGCCTCACACATAAGCCTGAAGACGATATTTCTTCCCTTCCTACCTTTCCAGGTAAAAAAAGAGCAAAATCGATATCAATTAAGGTGTCATGATCAATCATCTCAATAATCAACTTCCCATTCATGATACCTAATGACGAGACAAAGAGAAAGCCATCCGGGTGGTCCGATTACTCCGAATACCAAGGTATTGTAGGAAGAGACTCGGAGGTGGGTCGGGATGAAAGCGGTGTTAAACATTTTTCTTCTTCATGCCTATTATAGACTTAGTGAGCAGGTGAGACAAGCATGCATGCCGCTGAGTCTAGGAGGAAGGAAAATACCACCGAGACTTATAATCTAAGTGGTTGAATCTATTCCCCCCACGACGGTATGACATCATTTTGCGGCTCGCTGCAGTATGTATTTATGTTTCCATCATAGTACATCTGCATAGTATCCATGTAGTTTTGATGATCCATGTCATGTTCCACTTATATCCCACTTATTTCCCACCTACAGCTGGCGGATCTTGTTCTTCGTCATGGATATAAAACATTAGTATGGCTCGAGGCAGAGAGGGGTTCAGAAATTCTCTTTCGACATCGGTCTCCTCCTTATCTCAAACATTTTGAACATATTTATAGAGGCTTTCTTAAGTGTATCATACTCAAGAAAGTCGAAACATAATCTTACATTGAACAAAAACCATATCAGAAATAGATTCAGTTTAAATCATTAAACATGCCTCAACAAATCCCTACCGCTACCAAACTAGTCGACCTCTTTAGTTTGAAGGATAAGGTCATCGTCATCACTGGCGCTTCCGGTCCCCGGGGAATGGGCATCGAAGCAGCACGTGGGTGCGCTGAGATGGGCGCTAATATCGTCATTACCTACTCTACGCGTAAGGACGGCGCAGATAAGAATGCCAAAGATCTACAAGATACCTACGGTGTTAAGGTTAGGTCACACTACTTGGACATTTCACATTTCGACAACTGTCAGAAGTTGGTCGACGATGTTGTGAAGGAATTCGGTCACATTGACGGCTTCATTGCCAACGCCGGTGCTACAGCCGATGGTGGTGTCATTGATGCTTCCAGCGCAGACTGGGACAAGGTCATCCAAGTCGACTTGAACGGTACCGCCTACTGTGCCAAGGCAGTTGGTCCTCTTTTCAAGAAGCAGGGTCATGGTTCCTTCGTCATTACTTCTTCTATGTCCGGCCACATCGCCAACTTCCCTCAAGAACAAACCTCTTACAACGTTGCTAAGGCTGGTTGCATCCACATGGCACGCTCTTTAGCCAATGAGTGGCGCGACTTCGCCCGTGTCAATTCCATATCTCCCGGCTACATCAACACTGGTCTGTCGGACTTCATTGCCAAGGACACGCAGAACTTATGGTACTCAATGGTCCCAATGGGTCGTCCTGGTGATGCGAGAGAATTGAAGGCTGCATATGTATACTTGCTCAGCGATGCCAGCTCATACACTACCGGTGCAGATATCGTTATCGATGGAGGGTACGTTTGCCGATAAATGTGGAAGAAAAGTGATTATTTCTGCGTAAATACCTAGGTACCTTGGAGGATATTTCGGGCATAAATAAGGGGCGCCTGGGGTTACTTTGACGATTGAAAGAATTTCCTAGAAAGATAATAGACATAGATTTCATGATTGGCATCTAATTCCATGATGTTCTACTATGCTGACCTTGAGTGAGGGGTTGTCTAGACCAGGCTTTGCGATACATTGTGTCGCTTTAAAGCGCCTTTATCTTGGGAGACGTCCGATAGGCCAACCATCACCAACATATGTATGGCTTCATTATGATAGGTGTTTTAGAAGCGCTGTCAATGCTGAGCATTGGGTAAGGCACCAACACAATCATTGGAAACCTCATGGCCAAAAAGGAGAGTGCATGAAGACAGTAGCACTTCCTCTCAGAAAAAGAGAAGAGGGAATAGAACAAGCAGATCATAAAAAGGTTACAGCTTCTCAATACATACCGCAATCACATTTTGATAAAACCTTACGAGTCTTGGGTCGCTTGATGCTAACCTTGATTCCCGTACGTAACCAGACCTGATACGTCATATTGTTATCATCGCGGGGATAACGGCCCAAAATGGAGCGTGTAGACAGTAAATACCAATGCGGTATCGACGACGACGAAATCTACGTTAAATTCATAGCAAATAACCTCTACAAATCCGAACTTCAACACTTACGCATATCATTTCGACGAACTATCCGCGTACCCGATGATGGAAAAGAATATGACCTTCCGCCTAACCTAGGCTCTTTCCCGCTCTTTAGGGTCCGAGAATATGCTTCCCGACTTCCACCTGAGATGACGGCCAAGGGTGGCTATGTGGATCAACTTTCAGGCAGATGCGCCTTTCATGATTAAGCTCTATGCAGGGGGCGTCAACGTTATTTCGGAGGAACATTATGCGGAAGACGCCGATACGAAACGCAGACGCTTAGAAATTTTGAAGGAGAAAAAGAGTCTACAAGATTATGTAGTCGTACCTGGACAGCGCTGGCTTGATGGTATCGCTACGTCACCCGGGGTCGTGAGACAGTTTGTCGCAATGCCGAAAGGTCAAGGCTACGGCGTGGAAGCTCAACTCACTGGTAAAGATGTCGTTGGCGGCTTGCAATTGGAGATTACTCCCACCATCCCCCCTGATCTTCCTAAACTAGAAGACGATTTCTTCGTTATGGTAGATTGTCGTTATTTCGGGAACCCTCGTTATATACGGATACATTGTTCGCAACGCACCCTTGTTTCTACTTTCAAAGTTATACTATCCGGACAAACAGGATATCCAGTGGAGGAACAGAATTTGATTGGAAGGGATCTCCAGTTTAACAATAGTAAGTAAACTCTCATTCTCCGAGTTCTTTTCTGACATATACACCTATAGGAAATACATTGAGTGACTATAATGTAAGAAAAGTAAGTCAACATTGACTAAATGTTCCCTATACATAAATAGCCGTGGATTAGCATAGTGGGATCTTGATCTAATACTTAGTATAGGGAGAGATTCTACATCTACTTAACAGGGTTTTTGGCGGCGGCGCCACGGAGCCTGCGGCCGGGGGCAAAATCACCCAGTACATCCACGAGGATAGGGTTAAGACCTTGTACTGGCTCAAAGAAAAGACGATCACGATCTTCTTACAGATGCTGGACAGTGTCGACTTCCGACGGGCCACCGGGCTCGACCCGCCACCCTGTCCTATCGAGGCACACCACTATGCCGCTGCAAACCTCCCGTTCTTCACTATCGATGAGGAACCTAGCACTATCGCGGGTAAATTCGATGGGCTCAAGAGTATTAACGAAATCGATCAAAGCCGCGGGATCGCGAAAGGCCCAGAGGAAGCGATAAATCCAAGAATTATTCCGCTCCATCAACGCGAGGAGCGAATTACAATTCCGAACCGACATGTCCTTTCGATTCGGGACCCGGACGCGATCATGGATCCGGATGGTCCACTTCGCCCGTCTCGCACTGTTGTTGATATTGAGCAGGAGATCCGGGACCTGAAGCCATGAGAACGAGTCGAGCAGTACAGAAACCTAGCGTTAGGGGTAGTGCTGGAAAATGTGGGGGTGGCGTTATTAGAGGTAGAATGACTATCGCGAACAACTACGGCTACGTGCGTTAGATAGACTATGATAAATTGTTAATTGAGCATTGGATTTACTCATAATATTGTTAGGTAAAGTAGAGTAGAGCGCATGGGGTTCGTGGGCTTTAAAGTGGTTGAAATGTGGCCTGGATTGCGGGATTGTATTATGATTCCAACAGAACAGGCATACCCTAGCGATATCTGTCAACGATGCCGAAGTATTGACTAAAAGGTTACGTCATTTTCGCTGGTTTAATTTCAGCATGGACCGTTAACTTAAAGTATATAAAGTTAGACTTTGACTTGCAGAAAGTCTAATATATCGTCACTGTGATCATCGCGTGTCCATAGGGCTGAATGTTAATTTAATAGCTCAATTTTGCGTCGCGTACCTGGTTACTGGTGGTGTATTCGCGGTCTATTTGAACGCTTGAATTTGGATATTTTGGACTTATCTAGGTCCCTGTTTCTGCTGGTAATTAAGCTATTTGGGGCAAGATGATCCCCCACTTTTGACGCTTATCTTACCCACTCCCCTGATCCGATCCCTGTTTTTAGCCTGGCTTGGCGAAGGTACCTGTAGTTTATTAATTCTGTCGGCTCAGCTCGTTCTAGCCCAAACTTTTCCCAACTCAACTCCCGTAAGCCCGTGGTTATCTGCTCGGGATTCCTAGAAGAGGAGGCAGGCTGGGGTTGGTTAGATATCGAAGCTCGGACTAATATCCCGTGTAGGTATATGTAAGTGGCGCCAGGGTGTTATCTTTATCTATCAGGGCTTAAATGGTTGGAGCTTTGAGGTTGGGAATTCCTCCCACTTTAGGGATTGTCTCTCCAACTCTTCGCCTTATTTATGAAGATTGCTCGCTTGTGTTACCTCGTAGCAACGCTGCATCTATATATTCCTGTCAATCCAAACCCGCATTCGAATTCTTTGGCTCTTCCGGAATATTCGAATAGGGCTGTCTCTAGCGGCTTACTATTGACGTAAAGCCGGACAAGCTATCCACATACATGATAGCGCAGGCGGCGACTTGGGTGGAGCTGGGTGAGCTTTTTTTTCTCGGTCAAGGGGATTGCCACCTTCCAACCCAATACATTTGTCACGGTTTCGAATAGTCTTCCGGTTACTCAAACCGGGCCGGAATTCTCTCATTTTACTTTTGGAATCGCGGCTTTTTGTGAGACTACTGTTTTCACTATCACGCAATGGCAACCACTCCTCCGGACGTGTCCGAAACTAAAATTGCGGCGCAGGACGCCGAGCACGGGATTGCGACGGACCCGACTTTCGGGGTTGATGAGAAGAAACTCATGAGGAAGCTCGATGCCCATATTATCCCGCTTGTGATGCTTTTATGTTAGTCGATTTATGCATCTCATATTGCTAATTCCGCGATTTGGTTTGAGTCTCATACGTTCTTTTCGGGTTGATGAGTCATCCGTATGATTGTAGTTGCTAACTTCAACCACCGTAGATACATTTAGCTTTTTGGACCGGTACTACCGCCCCTGATCGTTCAAAGAATAGAGCCATTGCTAATAGGCTCTTTAGTGTGAACATTGGAAATGCGCGTCTCTATGGTATGGAGAAGGACCTTGGGTTGGTGGGGAATCAGTTCCAAGTGGGCGTTTCGATCTTCTTCGTCACGTGTTAGTCATCTCCCCCTTCGCATCTTTGTGTAGAGCTATGAGCCCCCCCGAGATGTTGCGCGTCAGGTTCTGACCATAGTATAGATCTGTTGTTCGAAGTACCTTCGAATCTGGTGCTGAAACCCCTGACACCGTCCCGGTATATCGCGTTCATCGCATTTGGCTGGGGTATCATAGCAATGTGCACCGGCTTCGTCCAAAGCTATGGAGGTCTCATTGCCGTACGTCTGATTCTCGGTATTGTTGAAGCTGGTCTCTTCCCCGGGCTTAATGTCTACCTGACGTTCTTCTACACGAAGAAAGAACTTGCTCTGCGCGTCGGCTATTTATTCGTCAGCGCTGCTATCGCTGGTGCTCTGGGCGGATTGTTAGCTTATGGTATTGGCCAGATGTCAGGGGTCGCTGGGTATAATGGGTGGAGGTGGATTTTCATCATCGAGGGTCTTCCGAGTATCGTGCTGGGCGTCATTTCGTTCTTCCTCCTACCAAACGATATCGATCATGCGTATTTCTTGACTCCTGAAGAGAAAAAGTTTGCCAACGCGCGACATTTACGTCATTATGGGTTTACGGAGAGCGCGCAGAAGTTTAGTAAGGATGACATGGTGGCTGCGTTTAAGGATTGGAAGATTTGGTTATTCTGCATTGGCCAATTCGGTGTGGATACCTTGCTATATGGTGAGTTTTACGTTTGAGTCTCGAAAATATGGATATTAATATGCACGTCTAGGGTACTCGACCTTCCTACCAACGATCATCCGCGGCCTGGGGGAATGGTCTACTGCGGAGATTCAACTGCTTACTATTCCTTGTTACTTCGTCGGTGCTATGACGTACATGGGAATTGCGTACGTATCGGATCGTATGCAGATGCGTGCCCTTTTCGCCATCGTTTTTGGCGCTATTAGCGTGGTTGGATACGGTGTGCTGCTCTCCAACTCGTCTGCTGGTGTCCACTATTTTGGGTATGAACTACCAATACCGATGAAGGAGTTATGTGAGCATCGCTAATGTTTTGCAGTTGCTTTCTCGTGGCTACGGGGCTTTACGTAACTGTCGGTCTGCCATTAGCTTGGGTTCGTATTCATTATTGGTCCGTGATATTTCGCGATACTGACCGCTATGATCCTAGTTACCGAATAATACACCGCGATATGGCAAGCGTACGACGGCTAACGGCATGCAATTGACCTCGGGTAATGCTGCTGGTATTATGTCATCATTTATATAGTGAGTTTGAGCTTCCAGTTCACCGTTTGTCGTTTTCACCTAATGATCTTTTAGCCCCAGTACGGATGGACCTCGTTATATCGTAGGGAACGCGGTGTCTCTATCTCTTGTAGGAATGGCTGCCTGTATATTTGGTTTCTTGTGGTTTTGGTTTGCTAGAGAGAATAGGAAACGGGATGAAGGTCATCTGAAGTCTGAGCATGAGAATTTATCTGAAGATGAACTGGCTGAACTTGGTGATGAGAGTCCGAGATTCAAGTATACCATTTAAGATTTATCCTTATATGAATAATTAATTCTCATACAAGAATCTTAAAATCTTTATTGTTGTAAAGGAGATAGGAAAAGTCTTAGTGGCCAATCAGATTATGACCCGCTCTAGCTGCCTAGCTGACTGCCCCCACTTATCGCGGTCAGGAAGGCGCGTTCAATTGTGAATTCAATTTAGGGCGCGTCGGTTTCGCATTTTATCGTGACATCACCCGTTTCTCCTCCAACCCTCCTTCAACTTCTATCTAATTCGACCAATTTTCGCGGATCTTCGTACACGGTTGACCTTTATTCTCTACTAGATATCGTGCAGCTTTACTGCAGAGAGGAAGCTCACCATGGGTATTAAAAACTTATTCTCCATCATCAAAGATGAGGCCCCAGCTGCCATTAAAGAAGGTGACATCAAAAGTCAATTCGGTCGCAAAGTCGCTATTGTGAGTATTTTCCACCTTTAAGCCTTCTCGGTCATTGATAAGCTAATATGGAAGTAATAGGATGCGTATGTCGCTTGGTTCCTATCTAACTAACTAGCAAATACTAATGTTCGAGCAGGTCTATGAGCATCTACAGTTTCTTGATCGCCGTTCGATCCGATGGCCAACAACTCATGAACGAGTCCGGCGATACTACCTCCCATCTCATGGGTATGTTTTACCGAACATTACGAATGGTCGACAATGGCATCAAGCCCCTCTACGTATTCGATGGTGCACCGCCTAAGCTAAAGTCCGGGGAATTGGCTCGTCGATTCCAACGCAAGGCGGAAGCGAAGGAGGGACTCGAGGAAGCAAAAGAGACGGGTACAGCTGAAGATGTCGAGAAGTTCTCTCGCCGAACTGTCCGAGTTACGAAGGAGCACAACGCCGAGTGCCAGCAGCTCCTAAAGCTGATGGGTATTCCGTATATCATCGCCCCTACCGAAGCCGAGGCGCAGTGTGCCGTTCTTGCAAGAGCTGGAAAAGTCTTCGCCGCGGCCAGTGAGGATATGGATACCTTGTGTTTTGATAGCCCGGTCTTGTTGCGCCACTTGACCTTCAGTGAGCAAAGGAAGGAGCCCATTCAAGAGATCCACGTGGATAAGGTCCTCGAGGGACTGAACATGGAGCGCAAGCAGGTCAGTTGGGATTCTCATGTAATTAACCATATGATGGATACTAATTATAGCAGTTCGTCGATCTATGTATCTTACTCGGCTGCGATTACCTCGACCCCGTCCCTAAAGTCGGCCCGAGCACCGCCTTGAAGATGATCCGTCAACATGGTACCCTTGAGAAAGTTGTCGAATTCATCCAGAATGATCCGAAGTATACACTTCCCGAAGACTGGCCTTTCGAGGATGCACGAACACTATTCTTTGAACCAGACGTTCGCAAGGCCGACGACCCGCTCTGCGATTTCAAGTGGGATAAACCAGATATCCAAGGGCTCGTTAAGTTCCTAGTCACCGATAAGGGCTTCAACGAGGACAGGGTTCGTGCTGGCGGTGTTAGGCTGGAGAAGGCCACCAAGAGTTCACAGCAGGCTCGACTGGAGGGCTTCTTCAAGGTCATCCCCAAGACAGACGAAGAGAAGGCCGCTCACAAGCGAAAACTAGAAGAGCAGAATGACGCTAAGCGAAAGAAGCTGAAGGAGGACAAGAAGGAGAAAGCCAAGGCCAAGGCAAAGCCCCGCGGAACAGCATAATCCTGATTCGCACTTGGAAGATGATGACCACTATATTTCTTATAAATGTCCGGTCCCCGTATCTACGATGATGATCTGGGCGGGAATATGTGCTTAATAATTGGCGTTGCTGGATTTGCATCAAATATCGGAGTTCACGGCGATAGGCGAGCAGGAGATGATACCAACAGGTACAAAAATGCTGGTGCTTCTGAATCTTGCTAATGAAAATATCATATCTTTAGGTAGTGTTATGACGAGCTTAGACTACGGCTCAATTGATCACGATATTTTATCCTACTACGGGCTACTACGTCGAGCTACTCATAATTAATTCATAAATCACAAGGAGACGTTTCACCATATGAAGCTAATACACTATGAGTTTCAAGAGCAGATCGATTATGTTAATTCATTGATGTCCTAACTATCTATGCATTCTAATTGAGGAAGTTCGCTGATGCTATGATCCAAGCTCCAGATTCTATGCAGTGTCCATGCATTTCAATTCTCCGGGACGATAATCAACACCTAGGTGATACGGGTAGTTATGGAGAACTCCCCGGCGAAGTGGATCCGGGGTGAGGCCTAGGCTTGGGTGTCGGCTTGGGAGGCATCGTGAAGATAGACTTGCCCTTGTTCGCCCAGAGGAGTAGAAGCCAATCCATTTTGTCGGCTAGGATAGGTAAGATGGCGATCCAGCTTCGTCCCTACCTCCACCTGTTCCCACGAAGAACTTATTTATGTGGGTGTGGGTTGGGTTGAGGCTTGGGAGGGAGAGGGCGAGGGTTAGGTCGGGGGTGAGGTCGGGGAGGCATGTGAAGATTGGTTTTCCCTTGTTGACCAAGGGAATGAAAGGTGGTTTGTTTTGTTGAGACGAGTGAAGTAAGTTGTGGCCTTGCTTGTTGATACGTATTCTTAGTCGTTTGGTTGTGTTTAGAATGGGAGAGGAAAGGAACTTGAAGCAGAATGTAGCAGATGTTAGCAGATGTTATATATTATCGTCGCTGCCATCTGACGGCTTCGTGGATATCGTGAATAATGATTTATTCCTTATTCACTGACTATCGTGACTCACAGTTGGATAGGAAGACTAGGTGTGCGATATCTCGATAGGGACTACATTGGGAATTTATCCCGTGGACAATCCTCCTAGAACTTTGACCCATGATTGTGAACTATCATTCACGCCCTTTTCATTGTGCCCCCCCTACCTAGGTACGCTTCACTCGCATTATTAGACATTTTCCCTGAGAAGATCTAGGTCATTAAATTTATGAATCATCTAAGTACTCCTATTATTATATGCTTCCTGATAATGGCTATTCGAAACTCCTTTTTAAAGATGGATTCACACGTCTAACACACTCGAATATCAAACCTGATTTATACCAATGTCCTTAACATCGTCAGAGTGTGATATCCCCCTTTGAACAATCCACTACTATCCTGCTCTAAAGTCAAGTCACTAAACTTTGTTGCCACAAAGTCGCGGTGGGCTCATTGCACGAATGATATTTCGTCCTACATCTCATTCAAGGCTTCGGCTCCTGTTCAATTTGGCCGGCAATGGCGTCGTAGTTGGGCTCATAGGCTGGAAACGCTCGTTGCTGGGGTTGGATACCGACTATCTAGATGAGTGTACACAAGACCGATGCAAATGCCTATAAATACTTAAATGGCTTTTGGAACTCCATTCAGCTAGAAGGAATGGCAGACATTTAATATAATGATACATATTAGTAGTAGAGGGTGTCTGGGTACTTTACGTGTATGTGACATCATGGATATCCCGGAGTTTGTGTACACCTTAGGTTTGCTTCAGACACCGAAAACTACTAACATGGATATGTACGATGAATTCATGGATTATGAAGCTCCTCTGAAGCGCCCGTATATATAGTTGCCCATCTTGCTGTCGACCGAGGCCACGGCGTCATGGGAACACATATACGTATTTAAACAGCCTCTCGATATATTAGCATATATACGGAAAAAAAAAGTCCAACGAGCAAGAGATCCCCAAGATGGGAAACAGGACGACCCTCTCGTCGTCGGTGAAGTCCTTCCTGGAGAGACATCCAGACCTTCATCTTGGCGGTAATGAGGACTTTCACATCGAGCGACGCCACCATCTCGATGTTTTCGGGTTCCACAACCTCCCCAAGGATAAGCAAGCGCCAATAGGACGTGTCCATTTTGACGGCGTGCGCGGTCGTCATGGCACAATCCCGGTGCGTCTATTCTATCCGCGCAGTTCCACATCCATTAGTGACAAGGGGCTTCCTGCACTCATTTACTTCCATGGTGGAGGATACACTGTTGGTAGTGTAGATGAATTCGAGAACGGTTTACGCCTGCTTGCCGAAGCTGCGGACATGATCACTATCGGCGTCGAGTACCGCCTTGCGCCCGAATGGCCATTCCCAACTCAACTCGATGAGTATGAAGATGTGCTAATGTGGACGCGGGGCCCCGAAGGCGCACGATTGGGTATTGACCCCGATCGTGTACTCGGCGGGGGTGATTCGGCCGGTGGGAATATGACGGCGGCGCTGAGTCTGCGGCTGAAGGACGAGGGGAAATTGAAGCCTTTAAAGGCCCAGATTTTGTTATATCCCGAAGCACGACTCCCGTTCGATACTCCCGCAGCGTCGGAGAATAATTCGGGGTATTATTTGGAATGCAATGGCATTTTCAGCTTCGCGGACCACTATCTACCCCGCGCGCCAAATAAACCGTATCCCCCAGCGTATCGTTACGTTTCGCCGGGTATGCAGCCCGTAGAAAAGTTGTCGGGCTACCTCCTGCTGCGGTATTCACGTGCGGGTTCGATTCGTTGAGGGAAGTGGGCGTCGAGTATGCTTCGAAGTTGTAGGATGCTGGGAATCGTGTCGCGTGGCGTCATTATCCGGCGCTAACACATGGGTTTTTGCAAATGGCGCCGTGGAGTAGGGACGCGGAGGAAGCGACCAGGGACGTAGCGAGGTTGATGAAGGAATTGGCTGGTTGAATGTTAATAAAATACGTTAGAAAAACTGTAGATGTGATAGGATTATTGCAAAGTGTCAATCGGTAAGGAAAGGCTGGTAGGGTGTCACATTAGGTACTCATTAACCAATACCTTTCTCGTCTCAAATTCAAGCTGAAAAATTGGATCTAAATTGTGCTTGAAATGTATAGTTTAGATATAACGAAACATGTTCTAAAGAGAAGTCTTTAGCGATTGCCTATCGTAAGCTGAAGATTTCGGGATATTCACATTTCGCACGCTTCGCTTCATCGCGACTGGTTGCCCATTTTCGTACTCGACTCCAGCTTCACCGCCATCGCCAGATAAACCCGACATCCTCTGTTGCAGTTCAGCGTCTAATTCTGCCATTGTTTTCTTTTTCTTTCCTTGCATCTTAGCTGTAGCTTCTCCGTTCTGTTTTACGGGATCTTCACGGTGATCTGAATCCTGCTCTGCGGGACGCGATTGAGAACTGGCGCGACGATTGGCGGGAATGGGAAATTTCGAGAACGGCAAAGTATTGCGATTCCGCAGGTATGAACTATGTGCATATATCCGTCGCATTTCTAAGTTGTAGCAGGGACTTCTATGCGCTGAAAGAGACTAAAGTCAATGGGAGACGATGGTCGCGTGCTTTTACAGAGGCAGATACCCCATATCGAATTGAAGGATGACGACATTGGAGTTCATGCACGTCATCAAGGTATCCTTCAATCCACTATATTAGGTAATGATTGCTTTTCCATATACGCTTAGTAAAGCAATAATGATTACTAAGTCAACTCTACCCCTACTGCCCTATTTCATAATCTGATGATTAATCTCTTATGTAATGAGCTATAACAACTATGGTAAAGACGCTACTGAGACCTCATGGAATCATATTGAAGTCATATCAAGGCTAATTTTCACGCGTCGTGTAGTATATAAATCTAGTTTGAGCCGTAGAAGTCGACCTTTACGGATAATGGTAGGTGCATTTGTAGAATAGGGGGGGGGGGGGGCTTATGTAAGAACTACACTTGTATAATCATCATATTGGCCTGACATTGAACATCTATAATATGGATGGATTCTTGAAGGCATTGGTAGGGATGAATGATTAGGTCATATTGGGATTTCTATAAATATTCATCTATAATATCAGTAACTATATGACTTTGAGATGTTGGTGTAACAGAACTTAGTCATATTCATTTGATCTCCCCTCCTGGTCTACCTCTAGGTAATGGCAGGTAGCTTTGATACTTAGAAAATTCAACCAACCTCTATGATAATTTCACCTTCGTCTAGTGGTACGTCGAACCCATCCCAGTATCTATCAAGGATTTCCTTCGTAATAACCAATGCTGAGTCAGCATTGACACCTTGTTGTCTCCTAGTCACAATCCTATTCCATATGAAGTCTTTGTCCTTCGCATTGAAGTAGACTAACACCCATCTGCCGCCGTGAGCTTCGACAATCTTCTTGTACTTTTCTCGATCTTCCTTGCTGTAGAGAGATCGATCTAGTACTACATCCTTTTTCCCTTCATCGAGTAGACTGATCAGTCTAACATCACACTCAGCTTCAGCCTCATCTTGAAATTCTTCGTACTTCTCGTCTGGATAATCCACTCCGTATATCCCGTGCTTGGCGGCAAGTGTAGCGTCGATTGACAAACGTTCGTAGTTTGGGTAGTTCGCTAATATGGCTTTAGAAAGTGTTGATTTGCCAGAGCCTATTTCTTGTCAGTTTATCATACCTATAGAATATTACAAGACATGATATGTGGATGTTGATATCGAGGTTAAGTCATAAGACTGAAACATACCAGCAATACCGCATGTCATTACAACTACTGGTTTGTTGTCTGATTGAGACCTCAGCAGTTGAAGCTCTAGTTTCTTTAGAGTTTTTTCCATGGTGAAGTATTATCTAATTCATTGATGGTTTTGTCAATATTAGACTAATAGACCTCTGCAATGCGGAGAAGTTATAGGATGATAAATGACTCCAAGGTATGACTCATACGCTGTGCCGAAAGCCGGTTGATGTCAATCGTAAAGGAATTCTTGACATCGAGACCTATCGCTCGAATAAGTGTGTATTTACCAATGTTATAAGTAAATACCCCTTGATGACTTAGGAATAGTAGGAGAAATACTTCGAAGTGTATGTGGTGATAGTGATTGTTTGTGATTACGTCAGCAGCCCCTGAATCAGATACTTCGTCTAGGAAATTATTTAGAAAATACGGTAATTCCTATGGCAATGCAAAATGGCCATGACAGACCTGATGTTTTCAATATTTCATTTCGTCTTCCATGCTCTCGGCGATTTATCCCGTGCGATACCTCTTGTTAATTGCTACGCGCCATTATAAGACCAATCTGTTTTAGCTGTCAATTTTCTCTATCACGATTACAGCATTGTACAGGTCTCACGGAGGTAAAATTGAAAATGTTTCATAGTGTTAAGTGTGTTTATTATTGAGTGAATGCTATTATGACATTGTAAATCCACCCAAGGCATGGTTCAGTGCCATGCATCGCCAAGCCATGTAGGAAGTAGCGAAAGGTAAACACGTAGGTAGGTATCCTAGCAGAAAGGTCGCCTAACATCCGTACCAAATGCACTAGTAGGGCATACTATGTCCGACATTCGCCAACGCATAGTGTGTTTCGTGGATACCTAGAAGGGAGTAAGGAAGGTTGCCTGGTTGGGGGCCGGGGCACTAATCTGAGCTTCTCAAGGCACAAGGATCGACTCCGAAGTCAACCGTAACCCTCTCCCAAAGGGCTCTTTCCGCCTCAGTCAAGTTGGTCCGTCTCTTCTCCTTTGTGAGAGACTGGCGAGCTGACTCGGCCTGGCAACGGTAGCTGCCGAAGCGCCACTCCTGTCGGGTCCAACCAGGGAGAGACTGTAGTGTTAGGACAGCTTCCAGCTCGTATGTAAACTTTGTCGAAAAGAATTGGTTGAGAAATCTCTCGTTTACAATGCGACTAGGCCCTGAGATATGTAGGACGCGACAGTTAGGGCCTGGATCTCGAGGAGCAGACTTGATACGGTTCATTCGGACACGTGGGACGTAACCGCCGACGTAGAACTTTCCGGCTTGGGCTTTTGTGACTAGTCTATCAAGGCCCTCACGCTCAAAAAAGACTAGCTTCGACGCCGAAGTTGTGTGAGGGGCCGCGTTGCTGTAGCGAGAGGAGTTGAACACGGGCGGGTTGATGACGGTAGCAAATATCTTTCCGCAACCCCTGATAGCGCCGAGGAGCTTTTGATGAGTACAATCAGGTGGCAGATTAGTTAGCCAGAGAGAGGTACTCAGTGATTCGGGGATAGGGGCGGACTGGTTGGACTCTAGGTAAATGTTTCCGCAGTAGTTCGCTGAGATGCCAGTGATTTCGAGCTGTCTTGCCCAGCTCCTTGGGAGGCGATTATTCATATTATGCCATAAAGGATTTTGGTACATCGGAAGGAACCCGTTATTATCTCTAGCATTTTGCTCCTCGGTAGATTTAGTCGATGAGCTTTGAGGGCGCGCTCTGAACTCCCTGGGAAGGCCTACACCAGCCACGTACATTGTTGGATTAGTTCCGTATTCGTTTAGAAGCGGGGTAACGAAATTCGAAGAGACTCCGCTGCCCGTCCCCGTAGCAGTCGTTTCAGTTTCGACGGTATCGCTCAGTTGATTTGGCGTGAGTGAGATGGACCCCCATCTTACGGGTGAGTTGAGATTGAGATGTAGTCCAAACCGAGAGGAGCGTTGTATATCTAGATGTTCGGAGAAAGTGGGAGTTTTATCGGGTGTACCATCGCGAGGATACATGATGGGTTAGGGTCGCCACCAATGCCTAAGGTCGGGTGAAGCTCTAGGAGTAGAAGAAGCCTTTTAATGGCTTAGTTGGTCAGTATCAATATATAAAAGAAATTTATTTTGGGGGGTGGGGTTAATGGTTGTTAAATGGATCTAAGGGTTGTATGAGTATTCGCGTTGAGGTGTTGTTATGAATTCCCTGATGGGTCCGGCAAGGGATGATGGTAGATATAGGATCGATGCGGTGGTTTTGACGGAAATGAAACAAATAGCTTCCAATGTAATCATACTCGTGATGAAGAGTGGTGGTGAAGTTATACCAAAATGTTGAATCAACCGCGGAACAGTCGTCCGAGAAGATGGTTGATAATGGAAATGCTCTGAATGGGCCCGGTGCCTTTTTTTTGTTTGTAGAATTTGTAGGTGGTATGGAAAAGGTGTGAGGAAGAAGATGAAGGAAGGTGTAAAATGAACGAAAGGCGTCTTAATAAATATGGCCGGACCCTATGCTTGAGATTGATTTCCTATGGGACCATCTGCACTAGTTGCTACAGAGATGATGGGAAGAATTATAAGTGTGTGCCTTAGGTAGTAGGTGAGCACCTGAGGTACATAAACGCCTGGGATAAGGCTAGACTTTCAGAAAATAGGCATCCTCTTTCCAGCCTAGCCGCTGAGTACTCATACGGCCGAAGTGAATAGGGTAATGGCCATTATACCGCGAACCGCCCTTTCAGGCACTAATAAAACATTTTCCATATATCACTTCGGCGAGTCTTAATAGCTTTGATATAAAAGCGACCGTCAAGAACAATGTGGGTTCACTAAGAAGTAAAATTGATACTACATTCATTTAACCTAATGGTCAATTTTAAATGATGCCCCATACATCGTCAAATAGCCACAATAAAAGAGTATAAGAGTTCAAGGTATAGCCACAACTGTCGGTGTAGTCGTAAGACGTCTATCATTTACCCCTACTGCGTATAGATAGACAAAGCAATAATACGTTACTCTTCTCATCACTAATTAATTGTTATGGATACCTCCTTGACTAAATAACAGTACCTATTTTGACCGAAGCCAAATATGACAGCATACGGCAACCCAAACTATACGAAATCAGATCAAACGCAAAGTAACGATCACAATCTTTCTGGTCTTCGCTTGTTTCTACCCTACTCCCGAGAGTGAACACATGATGAGAGCTCCTCATAAACATAGTACAACTATATTCTAGGAAAGACTTTAATATAAACACAACCGAGAGAGTCTTGTCAGTTCCGTGTCAAGGAACCCCTTATTTTAACAAGCCGCTTTATGCCAGACTTTTGATTGCTCAGTATGTTTATAACCCAAAAGTTCACGTAAATCTAATACATACGACCATAGGATCTGGAAAACTCGGGGTCCCGTCTGCTCCCCCTTAGATAAGCCGGATACCGCAAGATCAATAGTTAATGCCGGGGGAGAGCGGCATAACAACAAATATGCACGTGACCGGGCAAAACAAAATTAAGGTATCTCACGGAAAACTGAGAACCAAATTCTGTTTAATCCCTTTCACGATTCCATGTTCCATAACGAATGTTCATTTTATTATATAGCACGCTGTCGGTTCAATCTAAAAGTTTTAATCATGTATATACACAGCACTTTGTCTCTTATCCCTCTTTTCCTATTTCTACCTTACATATTTCCTTTCGCTAGATCAGAAATCGTCGAATGCAATGGCATCGGAACAACGCCTGGCAAAGTCGCGGATCGGACGTGCGTTCGCCAACAATATAGAAGTGCTACGACAGCGGGGTGAAGAAACTCGTCAGAAATACAGGGACAAGCCCTTAAACGACTTTCGTGCAGTCAGTCGAAAACTCGAGTTGGAACGGGAACGTTTATGGAATGCCTTGACAATGTATGCCTCTCTATTTGTGCATTACCATGTGACTAACGCGCGCCGCAGATACTTCCAGGATGTGCAAGGGATTGATCCCGAGAGTATCTGGATTAGCCTCTGCGAGGGCGACGACATCTCCGACTATGTACGCGAATTCTTCTCCATGTTCATCGAGAGTTCTGTTTGCGAACGACCCTGTGTTGGACCTGAGGAATATAGGAAGGTATGGACTATTAACTCAACCCTTTCGATCGATGAGTATTGGAAATTGCTTCTTGCGAAAGCCGAACGTACCGTCCTTCACCGGAAGAGAATGGAAGACCCAGAACACATGGAGAAGTGGACTTTAACCACCAAAATTGGCAAACGGTATGGACTTGTTTATATGATTAGCAAGGCAAGATTCCAAATATGATCTGTACCATTCCCATTCTCATTTCTGTCGCAGTGGATCGAAGAAGGGGCGCCTATAGAACACAACCTCAGCCGCAAACAAACCTTCGAAAAGAAGGAAATGACACCGGAAGATATCATGATATTACTCAGGACACTCTGGAGGCAAGCAAGGCACATTAATGCCACTGGATGGACACGCCTAGCCTTTCACGGTGCCGTTCTCATTTCTGGGATCGGAGGGTTCCGTCCTGGGGAGGTGGTGAACCTCACTTATAGGCAAGTCGCTTTCGAGCTTGTGCGAGATCCTCTAGACAGCTCTAGGAGGAGGCTTGTCGCATCAATTACTATTGTGCACAGTAAGCAGATGGAGAGCAGAATCCAGCGGAGTCAGCATAAAGTGTATGTTTTCCCACAATGTCTCGCTACTTTAGCTAACCATACAGAGTCTGTTTTTCTATTACAATAATACCCTGCAAACTCATTTGCCTAGCTAGCCTGTTAGTAGCTAGAGCAATTGCCGACCGGGCCTTTGACGAAGACTTCCAATCTCTCGATGACATACTCCACCGACCTAACATGGGGAATTTGGATTCTTTGCCTTTGAGTTGGACCCCCGGTATACTGGACAAGCCAATTCTCCCTATCTGCTACCAGACGTACTGGCGTATGTGGCGTCGGACACTTCAGGTTTCCGGCTTGCGCGATGAAAAACAACGGCCCTACTCGCTTCGCGTCGGCGCTGGAAGCCGAATATCCGGTAGGCCTATTCATTATCTCACTTTGAATTGAATCTAATCGGAGCTCGTAGGTAGTCTTAGTGAGCCAGTACGAAACTACATAATGGGGAACAGCCGTGATGTTTTCCTCAAAAGCTACTAGGCACGCCATGTCGCTCAAGACTTAGTTCATATTGCTTTTCGCCAGAATTCACCGGAACACAACAATGCCCTTTTTGATTCTCTACGACGCTCCTTCCTACAACGAGACCCCAATGCTCCACTTTATGCTGATGAAATCGACGTCGATGCATTTGAAAAGCGGCAGGACATTACCAACCTTCGTGCCCAGTACAAGGAGGCCGTCGCAAAAGATTCGTCAGCACACCCGAAAGCGAAAAGGATAGCAGCTCAGATACACTACATCCGCCATTCCCTAGCTGAGGAGTTACTTCAGAAGAAGAGAGCAGAATGGTTCGACAATTCAGACAAACACCGGGCAGCTGGGAAAGCAGTTACTAAGGAATCCGATCATGATTTGATTCCGTTCAAGAATTTCGATCCAGCCGGTGTATTGGCTGCTGAAGCAGTCGGCCAATTTATGGAATTGGAGGAGAGCGAGTATGAGCAGGGTGCTGTGAAGCTGGTGAATGTTTATCTAGCATATCTCCGACGACACCTTACCGAGGTTGTTTTGTTAGTTGAAGGCGGAGTAGGTGACAAAGCTGACACGCAAAATGACGACGCTTGCGAGAAGACTGCGATCGACTTAGAAAAAGCACATTTATGTTTATTTGGTTGCCGTGGGTTCGCTGACCGCAAGAATCTTACTAGGCACAACAGAACCGTGCATTTCGAGAAAGGCGATTTCGACCGACCTTTTCCTTGTCCAGAATGCTGCCGTTTAGGTATTAAGTGCATTATCGAAGGGCCAATGCATTGGAGCAACCACGTTGAAACCGTCCACGGCCGTGCCCATGCACCTGACCTCCCTAGTAGCCTAGAATCTAGGCGGAATCAGTCGTGGAGAGAGGATGGTCAGTGGGAACGTTGTCTTATATGTGGTGATCTCTTCAGCAATGCCGGCGGCTTCTCAAGGCATTTCAGGGTAATGCACTTACAGAAGCAGAAATTGTTCGAAGCACCGTTTTCCTGTCCCGAATGTGCGCGCGAACAAGTTAAGCCTATTTGCGTCGCGAACGAAACGGAATGGCTAACCCATCTGGTAGATGCTCACCAAGGCGGTGGTCGATTTGGCCCGCTACATTCTCTACGCGAGCCCAAACGACTAAAGCGTTCTCGGTCCGCCATCCAAGGCAACGACAGTGATTATTGTGATAGTAAGAGGCGAAAGAAATAGTGTTGTTATTCCACACTTGAATGGATCATGTTAAGTTGGTTCGCGGGAAATATTCTTGCGTGGGTGCTACTCCAAAAAAAAAAAAAAAACACGCCTAGAAACGGCCCTTATTCGTACAACATGTGGGACAGGCCTCATGAAAGGATGGCCGGAAACGACTCTCCGATGACTAAAGTCAGAGATGTATTTAGCTCTGCTAAGGCGGCTTTTCGACCTGAGAAATTTAATTCCATGTGGTTCCAAGGCTACCTAAAGTGATCCACGTCGCGCTATATACAAAATAAAAACCGTCAGGCTCGCTCCCAATCTTTGCCCGATTTCTACATTTTTTCGACATACGTTATTCTCGCAGTTAAAGTACCCCGCCCCCCGCAAGTCACCAATATGGTATGTATTTGTCGCGGAAAGCCAGAAAAGGTCATTAATGTATTGCAGTCTTTTAAACCAGAAGCGCTAGGAGCTAACGTCTCCTTCGAAAACGCTCGACCAACACCAAAATGGATTATCGGAAAGGGTCAGAAAATCTATTGGAAGACTTGTTTTATTCAGATCTACGCTACCAGCGACAAGCAAACGCCAATAGCAAAGTATTCTACTTCTGATGGGCAAGCTGAGGTACCAGAGGGCACAGATGTTTTTTTGGGAGGGGATGGTGGACTGGTAAAGGAACAGTAAACTTTATTAGCCTTCCTGGCTATCGTACAACTTAGCCGCAATACATGTCCCTTGGTGCAGATCTACAGTTGCAACGAGAAGAGCTGCATCCCCGAATTTATGGGATATCGTCAAAGATACTGCCCATGTATGCTCCGATAATGTCTTTATATCACGTTGGCATGGTTGGCTTGCGCAAATTGCGGGGCCTAAAACATCTCCGAAAAAGGGTATAATTGACGATACGCGACATCCCCGTATAGTAGAATTATCACTAGGGATGATTTGAAAAGTACCGCAGGATAAATACCGAATGCCATTGTATGTCGTCTCTATAAGTGCGCCGAATAACTCTCTACTGATATTCTCGACCTTGTTACTCTCGATAGAGAAACATATTTCATATCCGTTTCCGCGAGGATATTCCATGGTAATAGAGGCTGTCTCCCGCGTTCCTGAATTGATCTTCTTCACGGCCCCGAATAAATAAGGAGGGAGGAGTTTCTTAGTTTCCGACAGAGACGGATCAATGAGGGTTCCTGACCCTAATACCTCAGTATTTTGGAGGGTCCATACTTCTGTGTGATGGGGTGTCGAAGGTAGGTGTTTTGGTGCTGACGGCCGTAGCAAGCGTGGTGTCGGTGATGTGGAGTCGGGACAACGTCCTGTAAGTAATATTAATGATCTATACACAATGAGAAGGATACATAGAGAAAAACCAACGTTTTCTTGTGATTCTATTTTCCCAGCTGAGTATCCTACTCCTATCCTCGGCCTTTATGGTGGCGCAGACCTTTTGCGCGATTGCTCTTCTATAATGAATAGGCTGGTTGTCTAGCCATTCAAGCACCTTTCGCATTTCAGATTGGCCAACAAAATGCACGGAAGATTCTACACTTGATTTCAAACTTTGGTATGCAAACCAAGTAGGAAAGTCAATCTGGAAAATCTTGTCATTTGAGTCTTCATTACAAGCTTGCGCTTGTTCCCACGCTTGAGATAGCCACTGAGGACGACGTGGGTAGCGAGCGATGGCAGTAAAAAGCACAGCGATCCCGTCATCGGTCATAACGAAATGAAAGCGACTTGTGAGAGAGCAAGAGACGTTTTTAGTGTTCAAATGACTTGGTTTTAGAAGGTTGGTAGCTGATTCGATTTGACCAGATACCCCACTTCTAATTACGGGTACTGGATGAAAATTGACTGCCAGACCACACAACTCAAAAATAAAAATAAAAAAAGTAACAGCGACTAGTGAACGAAGCCGGGAAGTGGTAATATGCTCGCAAGGCTCTACGTACAGCCAACAAGGATGCGACACGCTGTCATATTTATTATATGGCTATAGTAATGCTACACCAGCTGCGCACTCGAAGGCTATCGTCGACCATATCGATTTGAAGCTCACGAAGGCTCCTTACTCTTTCGTCAATTATTCTCTATCAGGCCAAATATCTAACGATCAATATCGCTAAATAGAGTGCGTTTTGTATGGCCTTTACATACAAATTGCATCGTTGACTTTCTGTGTGGGAAATGTGAAAGTACGTCGAGAAAGGTGCGGGGCGCTTCTAAGGGTTTGATTGGCTACTGAAATTGTGGCAGTGACTTATTAAATGCAAGAGAACTTGATTGATGCACCTTGATGCCCCCTGAACTGACCACCCTGCCACCTGGGCAGCTTCTTCATATCTATAATATCTAGCCCAAATACGACCCTCTCCCTTGGACGCAACATCATTATCCATACCAGCTTACCCAATGTTTCCGTCACAGCCATATGAAAATCTATCAATCAATGCTCGCTGAAGTTTTTAAGGACCGTCATGTATGATATTGGGTTTGCACTTCCTCTTCCTCCTCCTCTTCGTCGGCCTATAGGAGTCTTCAGATTCGGAATCCGACTGAGTCGAATCGGTAATTTTTAGTTCGGGCCTCTTCCACTTCGACACTCGTCGATACGGGCCTCGAAAGACGAAATCTGACTGGGCCGAGTAGCTAATAGACCTCCTCCTCCTCTTCATCGGCCGTCGATAGGGACCTTCAAACTTAGAATCCGGCTGGGTCGCATCAAAAGAAACGGGCTTATAAAGATCGGTGTCGTTGATGAAAGCCTTGTCATCGAGCTAGGTCAAATCAACAGTTTCTGGCTTGATGAAAACCTTGTTATCGGACTGGATCAAATCAGTAATTTCTGGCTTAATGTTTGTCGAAAGGAAAACAATATTGTAGATATCGATGTTGATGAGAATCTTGGCCTGGAACAAAACAATAGTTCCGGCGGCGTCTATCAAAGAATTGATGTCATAGATGAAAAGATCGGATGCAGCATCGGTTTGCCATGTCGTCACCGGGAAATGAGACGTTATCGCTGCTGATCTAGAGATTTCTTCGGTATATTGCGAAAATTTGAAAAAGAGAATACGGGGGATGAATAGGGACGACGAGGGAAGTTAAACTTGTTGTCGAGCAACAAGTGTGACGAACCTATGCCTCGGCGAGGTATAGTCGTTGCTGGATTGGGTAATCTGGGGTGTCTTGATTTAAAGGTAATAGTATTAATAGTAGGTTAAGTAGTTAAATATATTCTGTTCGTCAGAGAGGCTTGAAATCTTTTTATTATATTTAAAAGAATAGTTTTAGATTAATAATTAAAGAATTATAAAAAAATGATTAGATATATAAGAGATTTCTTTTTTATATATCTTTTATTTAAGTGGTTTCTGTTTCCTAGATAGAGACTTTTAGAGACCTCTTTTCTATTTATCTTTGTGATATTCCCAGAGACCTTTTCTCTGTTTATCTCTATAACATTCCCAGAAACCTTCAGAGGTTATTATATAAGCCTTAATATATAGTCTTTGTTATTTCCATAAAGACTTCTTTTAATTGATTATCCTAACCCTATTAGATCCTTATTCTTTGGCTTTTTTCTTATTAGGTTGTAATATTATTCCTTTCTTTTTGAAATTCTTGTCTTAAGGATTTTCTTAATATACCTTTTCTTTCTTTTCTATTATGTTCTTGTTAATAATTATGGCTAATTGTATATTAAAACCTTTTCGGAAATCCTAAAAGGTGTTTTTGATTAAGAGTTATTATTAATTAACATTTGTTATTAAAGATCTAAGTGTTGAGGTCATTGTTACGTTCTAAGCTGCGGGGTAACATATATAATATAGAATTAAGGAATAATAATTAATTGATCATTAAGAAACTTTTATTTTATGACTTAATTAGTTATCCTTAAATTAATTCATGATATAATAACCAATTTCATCTATTAAAATAAAAGATATAAATTTAATTCCCATAGTTGTTAGATAATGTGACGAACCTATGCCTCGGAAAGGTATAGTTGTTACTGGATTAGCTAATCCAAGATATTTTAATTTAAAGGTAATAATATCAATAATAGGTTAAATAATTAATTAGATTCTATTTATTAAAGAAGTTTAAAATCTTTTCATTATACTTAAAAAAATAATCTTAAATTAATAATTAAAAAATTATAAAAAAATAATTAAATATATAAGAGAATATAATAATTATATAGATATTCTTTACTGTTATTTTTTTTTATAAATAAGATTAAATATCCTTATCCATATTCATCTTTATCATACCAATTAAATAAAATTGGATATATTTATCCATACTTATCCATATCATATTTACTAGATGAAACTAAATGCCCTCATCCATATTCATTTATGTTACATATCATATATTCCTACTATTATTATCCCATTTTAACAAGGAAAAAGATTTTTTCCAAGGTCTTATACCCTTATAAGCCTATGTAATTTATAACATTATTTTTTTCTTTTTTAATTCCTTTATCCTCAAAGATTCTTTTTCCTAATAGATTCTTTTAATTCAGTTTTTATCATATTTATTAATCTATCTATAAAATATAAATACATTAATCAAGGATAAGAATATATAAAACTTTTAGAATGGATTAACAAGATTGGTTTTAATATAAATATTATATCCTATTTATATTACTATTAATATAATGAGATGGACATTCCCATTAATTCCTTCTCCCGGCTTAAAAATAAAGAAAAATGATTGTTTATTTAAGAATATTAAGCTAAAAAGGCCCTTAAATATCTTTATATTAAAATAATTAAAGCCTTAGTTCATATTAAATAACTTAAATAATAAAAAAAATTATTAAAAAAAATTATTAAAAAAAAAAGATCTAAAAATACTTTAATATAATCTTTAAAATCTAAAAAAGCTAAAAGAACAGGAATAATTAAAAAAAGAATAATGTCCAGCAGGGGAACAATAATACAACATCAAGACACAAACTAATATAACCTCCACAATCAACCCCTTCTCCAATTTTTCCCTTAAGGATATAAACTTTAATTTATTACTATTAATTAATCTAGGTTCTGATAATAAAAATCCTTAATTAATTTCTAGACTGATGGTTGTATAAGTAAAGGACATGTGATCTACTTAGTCATCATATTTCCTTTTAAGTAGGTTATCTTCTTTGCCTACTCAATGTAGATAGACCTTTCTTCCTTAGACAATAATATAACACCAGTCTTACCCTATATTTTCTTCATTTACTATTATTATTTCTTTCATTTACATACATACCTATCAACACTGATCAATATTACTAGACAGTTAGTAACATAGATTAGCAAGGTTAGAAGAGTTATTACTATAATAATTTGGAAGATTTCATCGTAGTAATATAAGCAATATTAGCATATTTATTTCCATTTAAATCACTTTTTTATTATTTCATTTATAATGGAATATTGTTTCACCTTATTATATAACCCTTTCAAACCTATATCTGTATATTATAATTTAGATTCCTTATCTTTTATAACTTCAGATTTACCACCCTTAGCTCCTATATATATTATAATATTATAAAGGAAAAACTTAATATAGACATAAATATATATTATAAAAATCAATCCAGTTGAATTAAAGAATATAAATAAATTGTAAGAATTAATAAGTTACCTCTTTAGCCAAATAATAACTTTTATATAATATTTTAACCATATGGTAATAAGATAAGAAATTATTAATCTTTAGAAGGTTATCCTAGAATAAAAAATAATTTAGGTATTATTTATATTAATAGATTTTAAGATTATCGATAAAAATGTATTATATATTTGTATAATTGAAGAAATAATGGACAAATATCAAAAATGGTTTTAAGGCTTTATAATAATAGATTTTATTAACATATTAAGATAATTATAATTGGTATTAAGAACTACACTGATATAATAAGGTATTTATATAGGATAGTATAATGTTAACCATGTAAAAATATTTACCAATCTTATATTATTATATAAATTATTAATATAGAATTCCAAAAAGTTAAAAGTAATAAAATAGAGATAATCTAATATATTAATATAGAAAATATTAATATATAATATTAAAAAAGGATTAGTTTATCTTAAGGTCTATATATCCATATATATATATATCATATTATAATAATAATTAATAATCTTTAATTTATAAACATTAATATATATAATAAGATATATAGGTTAGGATCTGGTTCTATTAATAATCCTTATTAAACCATCATCTACATATCTATTTTATATGGTATATAATTTATAAAAAATATTATTTCTTATTTATAATAATCTGTTATTATAGAGATCCATTATTTAACCCCTTTTTTAATAAGTGTTTAATTCTTATCTAATTTCTTCCCTTCCATTTTTATAAGGTAACCAAGGTAATCCTTAATTATTAATAATTTTTCTTCCCCTTTCCCTATTCTAATAAAGAATAACTATACCCCTGCAGGTCATTGTAAGCAATAATTATCCCAATATTTCGGTATTTATAGTCCAATAGGGATACAATCTTTGATACCCCTATGATAATAATCTTATATAAAAAGAATAGCCTAATTTATTAATTCTGGGAAATATATCTGGACCCCTTAGATCATTATTAGGTAATCTATATATAATATTGGTAATTCCATTTTATGACAAACCTATCCCTCAAAGAGGTATAATCATTGCTGGATTGGCTAATCCAGGGTTT